GAAGCTTGGTAATGGTTCAAACGTTTGTTTTTTTGAAGTTGGTTCGAATCTTGAAGATGAGTGTCTTTGAGGGGTCTTTATTAGATCAATATCAGCATTTCCCGAAATTGGTAAACCATCAAAGGAATGAGAGGATCTTGGAATAATAGAAGATGAGGAGTTTAATGGGGCAGAGTTTAAACCAAGGCAATTGAATGAAGAAGGTATTTGTAAATGGCTGTTGCTGCTATTATCACTGCTATTGTCATTGTTATTGTCAATACTATTTTTGTTTGGATTATCATGAATATTATTTGAATTAGAGTCTGAGTTTGAATTTAGAATTGATGAATGTTGGGACAAGATATTTGAGGTTGAGTTTTTATTGATAAAAGATAAAGAAGTCTTTGGATCATCTAATTTTGGAGTTGTATTTGCACTCGTTGCTAGCGTCAGTTTTGATTGGATTTGAGAAGATATATTATTTGAAGAGGAAGATGAAGAAGATTTTGACTTTGACCTTAGTTTTGATTTTAATTTTGGTTTCGAGTTGTTTGATATATTGGAGGTAGTATTATTGCTTGAGTTATGAGCAGAGTTTGATGAAGAGTTTGATAGGGATAATAGCTGTTTTTTATGCGATTCTGAGGAGGAACTATCTGAAAGCATGGATTTCCTAATGAGTTTATGAGGTTTTGATGATTTCCTTGGAAGATGTTTAGATTCTTTATTTGAACCATTTGAGGAGGCATTATCTTTATGGTTATTATTGCTATGGGCGTGAACATGGTTATCGTTATGGTTATTGTCTTTCTCTTTCTCTTTTTCTTTGTCTTTATCCTTATCCTTCTCTTTATCTCTGTCCTTGTCTTTCTCCTTGTCTTTTTCTCTATCCTTATCTTTTTTCCTTAATGAAGAAGATTTAGAATCTGAATGTGATCTGGTCCTTGATAGGACTCTTTGTTTTAGGCCTTTCATCATTTTATCCATTGGCAAAAAGACAAAAAACACAAAGCAGAAAGATAAGAAAACAAACAGGAAAAATAGGGTGAACGAGAGGACTAGTAATTATATAATGAAAGCAAATAAGAGGAGGGAATATAAGATTCTCTAATCACTCTCTATCAATTTCCAAGCAATGTTGAATACGAATAATAAGGATTAATAACCAATGTCCAGTGTGAGTCTTGTGGAAACCTGGTTATTGCAACGAGCAGGATAATCTGGTGTGGAAGTGCTGGCAATTGTACCAAGTATCAATCAGCCCAATTCCCAATAGTGGTTGTTCAGTAACAGCTGTGAGAAGAGTGTTTATAACTGACAATTTGAGTAGAATGTGTTAAATGTCCAAATACAAAATGCTAAAGATAAAAAACCCGACGATGAGCAAAGTTCCGTCAATCGCGTGAAAGACGCGTGAGGGTCGCGTGAAGAAGTACGTGAGGAGTGCGTGATAGACGTGTGAGAGGTGCGTGAGGAAAATCCCCTTTCCAAACATTTCTTGTTTGCTTCTTCTGCTTCTTCTGTTTCTTCCTTCCTGTGCTTCTCCTGCTTTCTGTTTAATGCTTCCTAACAAAACCTTCTCATACACCCCTGTCTACGGTCTCAAGCCCGATGTCACATCTCTCGACGACGATTTGAGAAACCAGAGAGCTGCCAAATATGACAGTTCAAAGATTCTTGAAATCAAAACCTGGATAACAAACCTCCTACAAAACGATCCCATATTGTCCAATTACAACTTGGACCACGATTTAATTGACTTGCTAAGAGATGGCATAATTTTATGCTCATTGATCAATACAATCACTAGAAATACAAACAAAAACGAAATTAAGATAAAATTTAGAAAATCTAACATGCCATTTATCCAAATGGAGAATATAGATTTTTTTCTTAAATCCTGCAAAAAGATTGGTGTGCCTCAAGATGAACTATTTTCTACTGTTGATTTATTTGAAAAAAAGGATCCTGCTCAGATTTACACTACCTTAATTTCATTAAGTAGATATTCAAACAAATTAAATCCTAGTATTACAATAATTGGTCCAAAATTAGCTGAAAAGAGAATTCCTCCTTCAATACCCAAAAAACCAAAATATTTGAAGAATATCAACAACAGTAATAGTTGGAGTACTTTTGAGTACGGCTATATGAATGGTGCTAACCAAAACACTGAAAGTATCCTTTTAGGGGGCGATAGAAATATAATCAGAGGCAATAATAAAAAAAATTGATTGATATAGATTTTTTTCTTGTTTTCTTTTTCTTTTTTACTTTAGGTATTATATCAATAAACAATTATAAATAGAAACTATTTTACACCATCCTTCTTTCGAGAATGCAATTTCATCTGTGCCTTTTATACACTCCTCTTAGTCACTCATCCAAGAAAATTTTCTGGTAAATTTTTCTTATTCCTCATTTGAATAAAAAAACTAAATATAATTGCACCAAGATTAAACTATGTACTCAATATCATTATCTAATTAATTAAAATCATCACAAAATAAAAAATAAAAAATAAAAAATAAAAAATAAAAATAAATCACAACTAATTCAGCCTTTTGAAAAAATGGTATCACTTATTAACCCATACATAAAAGATTATTTTCAATAGCTGATGAACTCTGTATTTCAAAAAAAAAAAATAAAACATTAAAATTCCTCATAATTCAATTAATTTCTCTCGTTTTAATATCAATTTTGTTTTAAAATGTGATTTTTCTATGCGTTTTGGATTAAACACAAAGAAAGTGTTTTTGTTATTTAACATAATAAATCTTTTCTAGCTTAAGTTTAAAAAACATCGCATATTTATCAATCGTAAGAGATTATCAAAATGTTTTATTGTTAGCCCCAAATATAAAACTATGAAGTTGGGTTTTAAAGAATGTAAAATACTTAAATTGAGCCGACTTAAAGATTATTTTAAAATATAAAAATCTATTGATAAATAAGGGAATTTATGAAGAAAACGAATACTTACACTTGACTATTCCACTCTCCAATTGTTTTTGGGCAAAATCTTCTCTGTGGGTTGATTTAGTTTAATATGATGACATTTTTTCCTTTGTTGAATAGTATAGTTTGATAGCTTTTTACGAAAGTATTTCTTGAACTGGCTTCTAAACCTGCTATTTATTTTCAAGAGAACAAAAACAATATAATCGAACATAGTCAAAAACAATATTAAGCTTTCAATGTTACGGCTTTTGAAATGCAGAAAGCGGTATGTATCACACTGAAAGACTCTTAAGTTAGCACACATTATTAGACTCCGAGTGTCGTCGAAAAAAAATAGAATTGATATAATATTATACACCGTAACTTACAGTCTATCAAAGACTAAATGATATTATGAACAAAAAAGATTACTTCTTGTTTTTTTTTCCAAATTATACTGCTATTGTCAAGATAAATTATTGAATTATTTAAACCAATTAATAATTATCCTTGAAATCAAATGCAAAAATTCAATTTTCAAAAAGATCGACTTAGCACCCAATATTTATTTCCCACCCAAGTTTCGTTGCTACTTCAAACCACTGAATATTACAATTACCGTTAGAATTTTCTTTCCAAATTTCTCTAATCAATTCTAAAACCCGTTTTAATCCTTCAATATAATATGTTCCTTGCAATCTTCTAATCTGCTTAAGAAGTTTTTCTTTATGTTTCATACTAACTAAGTTAATTCCCGTTATTAACAATATAAAACTTAATCTACTTTCAACTTGAGACCCAATCAAAATATCTAAAAGTGGCAAGATCTTTAAAATTATCATTTGAATCTCAAATGATTCAGGAGGAAGTTTATTAAGAGAAGTGAAAATTAATAATTTTAAGACTAATTGAAAAACTTTAAACGAAGTCAAATGAGCCTCTATTTCTTCCTTTGAATTGAGATACTTTAAAGCTTGAGGTTGTGGTTTCTGTTTGTCAATTCTTTCTTTTAAAACTTTAATTTTGACATTTAGATTTTCGTAAAACTCAACACTTAAATGATCATCCCAAGATCCCCTGTAAAAATCAATCGAACCTTTGCATAAATTATCAATCTCAATCTCATTTTGAATAGATTTTTCAAATTTTCTTAAAGCCAATGCTAAATTGTTAATTTCACCAACTAGAATATATAAGTTTTTATTACAACCTTGCAAACTATCAATACACGTATCCTTGTCATAAATCGACTGATATTTTTCAATTTCAAAATATGTTCCATGTTCAACAGACCAGCTGCTTAATATATCGTGGTAAATAAAATTTAATATCAATCTCATTGTTATTTCATTTGAATTATCCAAGTTAATAAATTCTTCTAACCCCCCTACTTCTGTAATTATTGAAACCATGTTTTCTAATACTCTTCTCCATGAATTAGGCTTAATGTTTCCTGTTGAAATTTCAATTCCTAGCTTTATTACTAAAGCCGTAAAAATATTTATTTTTGATCTGATAACAACCTGCAAACTTTTATGATAATAGTTTTTTATTATTTTATCGGTTCTATTGTAATCAAACTCATCTTGAATAGAGTAACAATCTAAATTAGAAAAAAAACTTTTTATATTGCTAAAATCAATCCTTGAATCCTCTTGGCTGGATATATTCTTTTGATGAACAAAAGAATCATTTATATTGAGGTTTGTTAAACTCTCAACAGTTTTAAAATTATTGCGATAATCCCTATACTTTCCATTTTTAAATCTGTTATAAAAGCACCCACCCCAAGAAGTGATCGCATAGAGTATTGCCAAGTTCTCTATATTACTTTTATAGTTTAAAGCAATCTCTATAAATACAGTGTGATAGTAGCTGAAGTGGGGATCAATTACAGGCAAGATTTTAGAGAGATCGGCCACATAAAACTCAAAAAATAACTTTCCCTCATCATCAGGTAGCAAAGAATTTAAATCTTGAAAATATGACAACTGGTCATAAAGAGGATACTCATCTTCTTTTATTGGTGCAGGAGCGACTTTCATATCTGACAGTGATATTTCAGGTAACAAATCAACATTAGTACTCATCGAGCTTGAACCAAAGTGGTTAGAATTTAGAAAATGAGAAAATTCATAACTATGATTATAATTATAAGTATGGTCATGATGGTCTTGTTTTGGCTGTTGTTTTTGTATAACCTTGATTCTTTTTAAGATTTTTGCATCATTGATATTACAAAAAGTAATCATTTGTTGAAGAAAACCACATTTACACTTCAAAGAAGAAGCGACATAATACGATTTAAAATTCATTGGAGCCTTATTCAGTTTTTTCAAAACAGATACTAGGTCTAAATTAGGAGAACACAAAGAAATGGAATCAATATCAGAGGAAATTGATCTAATAGATGCAGAAGTGTCTGATGTTGTACATGTGGAAGTGTTGTTTTCATTAGTTTTTGCAAAATTATTACAAAAAAACTCTGTAGGGGAATTGACAATGTTGTCATTATTATAATTAAAAACCCGAAATAAAAAATCGTTGTTATTGCTTATATTTTTTATATTAGGATTTGGGCAATAATTGTTAAATTCATTATCAAAGATAGAATTGAAATTTATATTAACACTGGAATTAAAATCATAATCATGGACAGAATTAGTTTCTTTGATACTGGAATTAGAACTGGAATTAAAATCAAAAGTGGGATTTGAATTTGAATTAAAATGAAAATTGGATACACAATTTGAAAAACATCTAATTTGTGGAATGAAATTGTCATGTTGGATTGGATCCGGAAAAATCAATTGGTTTGAAATTGAAGCCGAATTCATATTAATATTATCAGTTTCTATCTGATTATCTATATTGTTTCTTATATAAGTATTTATTTCATTTATCAGTTGAATATTATTGTTTTTATCAACCATATTAATAGTTTGAACATGGTTAACATTTTCTTTTGAATAATCTTTCTGTGTGCTTTCAAGTAATTCTGTGATTGTATTATTAGTATATTTGGGAACCGAAATAATGTTTTCTTTTGAAATATTAGAAACCAAAGGTTGTAGATGAGGAGAGTTGTTTGTTATGTTGGAAGAATTTGAAAGAAACATGTCCTTGGTCATAAACTGAGTTTGGGAATTTCTATCAGAACACTTTTGTATTTTTTGATTTTTGATTTTAGTAATATTTGATTTCTCAGTAAGTGGTCTAGGGGGGTAAAGACATTTTGTAGAACTTTTTAAACATAAAGCACAAATTGGCTTTCCTTCATTACATTTTTTCTTTTTTCTTTTGCATTCAAAGCAACCACCTTTTGACCTTTCCAAGGATTTTATAAAAGTAGTCCTTTTATATTTTTTTGTATTATAGGAATTTTTATTTTTTTTATTATACAAATCTGGATCAGTAGATAACTTTTCAAAATCCTTTATTTTAACTTCTTCAACTTCATTTGATTTGAAATCAAAAGTAGTAAACATAATTGGTGGAGTAATCTATAGCAAAAACAGGGAGTTGTTTGCAGTTTTAGTTGACAGGTATTGATAGTGATTAGTTATATTTTATTTCAGGGGAACTGTTTTTTTCTTATCTCAGTTTTTTTTCACTTGTATTGAAAAATAGATTTAAACTAACCACTATTATTTACAGATTTTCAGTAAGCAAACCCAAAAGCTTAGATCAAGAACACCAAAAACAGCAGAAAAATAACAAAACACCAGAATTCTCTTAGAAATCAGTATTACTAATTAAAAAGATTAGAGATAGTGGGTGGATTGAAAAGCTGGACCTTGAATGTTGCAAACACTGGGTTAGCAGCACGAAGACCAGCTGGATAACCAGTGGATTTTGATGAAAAAGGTCTCTAATTGTGCAATTGACCATGATGAAACCTGGGTTCCATTTAACATTTCAGTCAGCTCTTAAACAGTGAGACAGATTTGCAACTCTAGAGCAGGTTCTTTTGCACCATATTGAGATTTCGCTGCCTGTTGAGCTTCGATTCCCCTGCTGGTTATCGACAACCCGATCAGGAAGTTGCGCTGTCGCCTAAAAAAGACGCGCATCCACACCTGTGGACTGTGCACCCGAAACCACTTGTGTGGTACTCACGTGCATTATAAGTAATATGCTTAGTCATCTCACACACTTTTTCTGATTATCTAATTCTGGTGTTGTGACCTTCGATAACCGATTTCCGGCCGTTCGTTACGAGTTAATACACTTTCGAGCATACCGGTAGCAGATACCAAGGGACAGACAGGTGCGAAATGTAGACATCCGACTGCTTCGCAACAAATCTTTGGTTGTGACTAGATAAAAAAATGGGAATTACTGCCTATTTTTACTGAATTTAAGTACTATTTAATAAGATGATTTAGCTTTCTTTCTTTTTATCACATATATTATCAATCCATCTTTCATGAATTTGAAACAGCCTCTTCTTTCTGCACTTGCACAACAATCCTTCTTTTGTTCAACTATCTTAGGTATTCTCGAATATCTTCCATTAGACAAGATCTTTTTATTTTCGTTATCTCATGCTCTTTGGTCTGAACAATGCAAAAGAATACTATATTGATCTGTTCAAGTAAGAATCATTCAAGGCAAGTATTACAATTACTTTCAAGATCGCTATAAACCCGGAGCTTTGGTCTTAAATTTGCACCCTTTTGCTCTTTTTGAAGACAATGTCAAAAAATATTCTCAAAACATAGAAATTGTTTCTACATTTAGTTTTTTTGATTCTTTAAAGAGATTCAATCCGCTAGATATTAAATTGGATAACTTGAAAACTTTAAGTGTCCTCGACTTGATTAGTGGTGATCATTTATATGTCAATTTTTCAATCAATGAACACTTTAATCGGTTTAGATTAACTCATCAAACCATTAAGCTTGATTTTACAACTCGAAGCCATTTTCAATTACTAAAATATTTAGATAAAATACTTTTCCAAAAAACCATTTCTAATAGTGCACTTCTTTGTTTCATTGGGGAACACTCTGCAGAGTTAAATCGTTTAACCTCTCTCTCATTCAAAAATTCCAATCCCAGTTTTAATTCATTCTTAAAGTATAATTTCAAAGACTTTTATTTTTTGAAAAAACTCACCTTATCTGATAACAATTTGCTATTGATTTCAGAATTTTTTTTATTGGATAATTTAGAAACCCTCAATTTGAGAAGCAATTCAATAGAAAAAATTGAAAATTTAGTACTGCTTAAAAACTTACAAACACTTAATCTTAGCAACAATAAAATTCTAAAAATAGAAAAAATATCTTCTCTTGTTAATTTAGAAAATTTAAATTTATCAAATAACAAAATTTCAAAATTGGAGAATCTAAATACATTGAAAAACCTTCGGATATTCAATTTGTCCGGAAATTTACTTGAAAATGTTGAAAATATATCAATGATTTCTTATATTGAAGAATTGGATTTATCATCAAATCAAATCGAATTTACGCACAACTTGGATGAATTATTCGCATTAAAAAAATTGCAAAAATTTAAAATCTCTGATAATTTCCTTTCTGACACCGATCGATTGGAATCAATCGCCTTTGTGAGTAAAACCTTTTTGACTGAATTAACTTCAATAATACAAGATCATGATATACTAAGCAAAGTACTTTTTGAAAGTCCTGACACTGACAGAATAATAGAATTATCAAATGTTTTAAAGGATGACAGTAAATATAAATCTGTAAAATTGATAAAAATTCTTAGAAATAATTGGTTCAATTTTTCGAAACCACATATCCATTTTTTATATAACTTTGGAATTGAAAATATAGAGGAGCAAAAACATATATTTACTTTAATCCAAAATCAAGTTCAATTCGCAAGATATTGTACATTAATGTTATCAGCCGGAAAAGATTTTCTCAAACAGGATCCGGATATTGTTAAACCATATTCTCAACGAAATTTCTATGAGCAATATTTTAAATCATTTGAGTATATTGCTAGGGTCCATGAACAGGATCTAGCAATTCCTTTAGTCAAATTATTAATTAAACAAGGAATAATTATTGAAGACGAAAAATTGTTGGATGTATTTGATTACTATATTAAAAATGCTGAAAATGCTTGGAAGAATTTTCTTTATCACTATGTCAAAGTGAATGTGTTCCTTCGGTTTATGAGGACAATAAATCAATTTGGTCCACAGGTTTGTCAAAAATTTGATTGTTGGAAAAATAATTTAGAAAAGAAAAAAATTATAACCTTAAAGAATTTTAATTTTATGTCTAGTCAACAATTTTATTCGATTAATAGAAATATCTCCCAAATTCAATCATTGAACAAAATGAACAAGAAATATTCTGAAAATTCTGAACCTGAACTTGAAACCAAATTCGAAATCATTGCTAGGAAAATGAAAAATCTTTGTATAGAAATTGATAGGGTTTATTCACTTTACGAAAATGATGAAGTATTATCAATGTTAGAAAATATGTTTTTCCATTCTTATCTTAACAGAAATAAAGATTTTGGTTTACTAAGTATATTTTACGCTAAAAAAGCGAGTAAATTTTTCACAATAAAAGAGCCTATATTAGTGCTAGTGTTTTTAAATTGTTTAGTTGTGGTTTCATTTCTGCTTGAGAAATATAGTTTAAAAAAAGTATTTCCTGAAATTAAAATGCTGAATTTATTCCTTCAGTTAAATCTGAAAGATAGTTCCCAAGCTACAATCAAAATCCGTGATTTGTCGAACAATAATAGTTATCAATTGATTATTTACGATTATAGTGCGTTTGCTCAAACTATTGAAAATGCTAGAGAGCTTTTGACTGTCAAAAAAATAAATAATATTTAGATGATTACAGTTTGTATAACAGTATTCTTTTTTTATTAAATTTGGTGTTTGGCGCAACAAAAATTAGTGCAACATATTAAGTTGCGTTTGTTGGTTTTGATGAGAGGGTGAAGTTGGGTTTTTTTTTCGACTTTTATACATATTTTCGTAATTGTTATTAAAACTAAGTTATTGATTTTTGAGAGAATCGAACCGGTGACTGATTTCCGATTGGAGTTTGCAAATCAATTTTTAGTTGCCTTGGTTAGATATTTAATCATTACTAGAACCAATAAGAATTTTTTGTAAGAATATATAATTTTTTAAAAATGAAGTTATATGATGCACATTGTCATTTGTCACCCAATTGTTTTAGTATTGATATTAATGTTCTTTGCGATGTTATTTTTGAAGATTTAAAGAATAGCGAAGTCAATAATGAGGATGTGGTTAGTGAACTAGGATTAATGTCAACAAATCAGTTTGATTCAAAATTGGTGATTGAGTTGGGTGACAAATTGAATAAAAACATGAATAGACAAGTTATTATACCATCGATTGGAATCCACCCATGGTATTGCCATTTATTTAGTTTTGACGATGATGAAGAAAATAGAGAAAGCAATATAAATGGTGATGATAATCAAAATTATAAATTACTACATTATAAGAAAATACTAAAGTTATCAAATACATCATTAGATTTTGATGATAATTTGAGGATGATACAAGATTATTTACCAAAACCTATTTATATCGAGAGATATTTAAATGAGTTGAAAAGAAAAGTTGATGCGTTGTTGGTGGAGGACCTGAGCTTGAATAAGTATATGATTTGTGGAGAAATCGGATTGGACAAATTGTTTAGAATTCCATTAAATGGGTTTTTAGGTAATCCCAAAGAGTTTGATTATAAACAAATCAAGAATAATGATAAAGATGGGAGCAATAATAGATTGTTATCAAATTTCAAAGTGGATATGAAACATCAAATCAGGATATTTAACAGACAATTAGAATTTGCAAATGAGTTAAAACTACCAATTTCAGTACATTCGGTGAAGAGTCACGGAGTGATACTTGAGTTGATCAGGAGCTTTTATTCTGAAAATAAATTGAAATCGATCAAATCAATTTGTCTCCATTCATATACCGGATCGAAAGATCAAATCAAACAGTGGTTAAGTTTTGTTAAATTAGTGAATAAAAATAGAAAAAAAAATAAAATCAAAGATGCAAACATTTATGATGGGGAGGATCAAAATTCAAAAATTGATGTGTTTTTCTCGTTTTCTAATATTATTAACATTAGCAATAATATGAGCATTAAAAATGGAAACTTTTTGATGGAAAATGTTATTCAAGAAATTCCCATAGACAACCTCTTGATTGAAACAGACTTTCTGGTGGATCGATACTACGACTGCAATAAGGACAGAGACCATTATCGAGATTTGCTTAAAGTTGTTGACCAAATTTGCAAAATCAAATGTCTAAAAAGAGATCTATGCATTGAGCATTTGAGCCAAAACTGGAACCGTTATTTGGAAAGTAACCTGGCTGCGAAAGGGGAACTCTTAGCACAGGCAAGGAGTTTCCCAATAGATTAACTGCCAAAAAAAGCTGTCTTGCTGGTGTTTCAGCAACCACAGCACCCCTTCTCTGATTCCACTGCTAATCTGCGCTCGAGGATCCAACTCGCGAGTATTTTGTTTCCATTCAGTCAAATAACAAGCAGCTGTTTGGCTTCAGCCATTCTCATGAAGAGCTGAATTTTGTAATGCGTTGCCCAAAAAAGCAGTCTCTGTGCTGATTGAAGGTGAAGTTTGTATTGTCTATCTGGCGCAAAATGCCGGTTCCACTAAAGTTGTGGTGGAAATCAGGATTCTGGTGCACATGGGCTTAGGCCTTGGGAACGGTGTGGGCGATGCTGCGTTGTGATTGGCCCACTGAATCTTTTAGACTAGGCACATTTCGAGTTGTTGCTGTTTTGGGTCATGCAGAAACATGCATGATACTAGCGCAGAGAAATAATGAAATGATTATCTCTGCGTGGAAGTGCATGTTTTCTGCAGAACCTGTTTTAGCAGGAAGTGAATATTCCACACAACTACTTTGTTTTTGTTTTTAGAAAGGGCAAAGAATCGCGTTTTCACCAAGAGTGGATAGAAATTTGGCTCATGTAAGTGCACCAACTACTGTTTAGAGACTCATTGGAAAACAAAACCTATAGACCCAACTGTCTGGCGCTCTCCCCCCATAGCACCCCAATAATAGCTACTCTTCCAGAATGTGGAGTACACCAGGTCAAATCGGAGCTGGAGTCAAAATAAGCAATATATGCGTGCCCCGGTCTTGAGATGTAAGGCCGAAGTATAATATGCCGTGCCAATTCAAGCTTTTCCAACCGAAACTTAGTTTAGCTTAGCATGCTCAAATTACTCTTTTTTGTTAAGCTTTGCTATCCGGAATTACTTTAGGATGGGTCGCTCTTCAAAACAGAAATAGATAAAGAAATGTTATTAGAGTTAAAAACTTACAGTAATTATTTTTCCAAGGAAAAATAATTGTTAAAAAACTTCATAAATTGGATTCATTTTTCCTTTTTTTCTCTCAATTTGTTTTATTCTTCCACTTAAATATCTATCACTTTTTCATCTTACTTATATCCTGGCTTGTTTTATCTGTTTTTTTAATAACTATCCTATAATCATACTAGTACTACCTCAACAATGTTGAATATCTCATTTTCAATGAGAAAAGCTCTCACTTATCTTCTTATATCACTTTTTTCTTTTTCTCTCTTTTACCAGTTGAACAATTATATGGTGGATTCTTCGGCTAATGATGTATCTTTAATCAGCTATTTTAATTCCAATTTTCATAGAAAAAGCTTCTCAACCAAAAAAATCTCAATAACTGAATCCTTCAGATTTGATCATATTTTTAACATAGTGCTCAACCAGAATAACAATAATGATCAAAATAATAACAGCAATAACTTCTCTTCTACTCCAATACCTCAATCTTTAAATAATAAAATTAATCTTAAAAAAATTACATTAAAATCTTTTTATAAACCCCAATCGGTTAAATCTCTCCACAATTTAAATTTTCATCAAATAAGTCAACTAATCAAAACTGCCACCAAGGATTTGAATACCCTTAGTCCTCTCAAAAAAAATGAGTTGATGCCTTCAAATGATGACAATTTTGATTGCGATATCTTCGCAAAACAATATGATATTTTCTCAACAGATCCTCTAGATATCCCTATTGATTCGTACAAATATAAAAAATATTATAAATCTCTTATATCAAATACAGACTTATTTTACTTGTTTGACGATATCAATCTTCATGGTAATGATGAAATTTTACAAAAAAATTGGTTCTACTCAAGTTTAAATTCAATTTGGCTTAAAGATTATAACATGCATTTCACAATCTCTGATTTAATGTATTCACAACACTCTGATATATCAACTCCAACTTTCAACCTAATCACCTACCAGTTTTTAAATAACCAATTCAATATCATAAATAGTTATAATAGCAATCCAAATCAAATTGAAATTGATAATGATAATGATAATGACGATATCGGTAATACTGACAATACCAATCGTAATTATTTCGATTTTAGATATGGTCCCAATTCTTACCAAAATATCTCTTATCCTTCTTTCCCATCTTTCTTTGATTTCCAATTTTATTATAATATCTCCAACAGTATTTATGATAGTGGTTACGGGCCAAAAGACGCCAAAATGATCAAAAAAACTATCACCTACCAATTTTACAATAATCAAAAGCAACCTATTAAATCAGTTGAGTACGAAGAACCAATCATTTTATTCAACATGTTATCTGAAATTGATTTAATATCTAGAAAAAGCTCAGAATCCTACAGCAATAGTGATAGCCATTACAGTGACAATCCCAATACTAATAAATTCAATGAACCTATCTTGAAAAGAATTCTTTATTGCTATTTACCCTTTCAAGATAAATTAATTCCCTTGAATATACCCCATCAAATTAAAATTGACCACACTTTTCAACCATTTTTTAAAGATAGCCTGAAAAATAAAATCAGAATTGATCTTAATGATTATGATAACATTGAAAACTTTGATGACGATTATGAATTTGAATTCAAAAATGGTATTGTCAATTTAGTTTATTCAGCTAACCCTTTAAAAACCTTACAATGCAGTTTAGATACTGGTGTTTGTGCGATTGAAAAACCCATTAAATCAATTGATAACGATCATTTCAAAGGTGACAAGCTAGTTGCCTTGTCAAAAAAAACTAGAATGTTGCAATTTCTAAACTTCAATAATAATAGTAAAATAGTAGATTTTATTTCTCCAGCCTCTTTTCCACAATCCTTTTTAAACAATAAGAATAAAACCCAGAGATATCAAAAGAGATTAACCAGCTATAATATCTGGTTGGGTTTTGTTAACTCTGAAATCCGTGATGCTGCTTGTAGCCAAATTACTTATAAACCTTCATTGGTTTTATTATCAAATTTAAAAAATTCAGAGAATTCAAATAGTGATAGTGATGACAATAGCAATTATAATTACAATATTGAACTTATAAGTGACACCATAGATTTCAATTTTGATTTGCAAAAAAGCGTCAAAATTGAAAATATTGCCTATTGGGAAATTGATGAATCAAACAGTAAAGATTATATGGGATTAATAATTAGTGATGATAACTACAATACAAAAGTCGTCCATTTGAATGGAGTATTGCCATATATTTTAAATTTTGATTTTTTCAAGAATCATGAAAACGATTATCATGAATATGGTGATGAAGACTTTTTTGTATCTAAAGAAGAAAAGAAATCAATCTTTAAAGTTATAAATAATTCAAGATTGACGACTTGCTTGTTAAAATCTGCTGGACAAATTTGTAAAATGTAATTCCAGTAACTATTGTGACTAAACCTATCATCAATTTTTTTTCAACCAAAATTTTATAAAGTGCTAATGAATCTTTCTATAGACCAATTTTTTTTATTTGTACTTTAGTAGACTACATAGAATTTGCTAATGAAATAAACTAATATTTTGCTGTTTAAACCGGATAGAAAGTTCGTGGTTTGTTTCTAGTGCCTTTCCAACAATTTGGAAATTATTTAGCAATTATTTAATAATTATTTAATGATTATTAGTATTAGTAATGGCATTACTAAACCCAGAGATCAATAAGAAGATTCAATAGAATTTACGATAAAAAACTGAGAGCACTGATTTGCTCAAACGATTCAAGTGAATGGGCAAATATTGTTCGAACCACTTGGGATATATCTGATTTAAGTTGGGTTTGTCCTATTTTGATATCTTTTGGAATGAAAGAGGAAAACTTTGAAATAAAAGAAAGCTGATTATTTGTTCAACATTGATAAAAATAAATCTGAAAAGATTTGAACATTTCAAACAAGAAAATGTTATGTTACAATAATAAATAAAACTGCTCCAAACATAGATTTCAACAGTTTGAAATGCTCTTTTCGGATACAGCATCCGTAAAAGAGTCCTGATTTGGCGCAAGATAACGACAGTTGATCAGTGAAATGGACCTTTCAAACGTGACTTTTCCCTGATTTAGTGAAGTTACAAGATAAATCAAAATCAGAATATATTGCAGTTGTCAAACTGCATAATGGGTTTCAGCCACACAAGTCATGTGCAGTCAGATTAAAACGTGATTCGGATTCGTCTTTTAGCTCAAAAGACTAAAAAATAATCCATTGATTATTAATTAGTCACATGCAATGATTATTGATTAGTCACATGCAATGATTATTGATTCCATTTCCATAGTGGTCACGTGACGTGATTTTTTTGTTTGGCTGAAACCCTGCATATCTCTTTCTCTGGTGAAAAGTGGCTCTTTTCCTGGTCAACCACTGAATTAGCCGTTTTTGTTCCTTTTGGAGTCTATTTTTAGGACATGAAGATAAACTGTTTTAGGAAGCGTTTCTAGGACCTTTTTTTACGCGGGTAAATTGTTTTGCACCAACTTAAAGAATTCTAGTTTTTGAAATGAATGAAGGCTGTATTTTGCATCCTATTTCTTCTAGGTAGCTTGTGTTTAAAAATTAATTGAAAAGTGCCTTTATATTTACTTAACAGAAACAGGATTTAGCCCAATCAAATACTAAATTTAACCAAAGATATACGTGAAAAAAGGGCTATAACAATCTCAACACAACTTAATAAAAAACAAGATTATTGTAGAGACTATTTTTTCCTGTTGATAATAGAGGTTTTGTATTTAGAAAAGATAATCACTAAATTCAAAGTATTTTTCTGCTGATTGAAATCTAAATTTGACTGAAGATCATAAAGGCCAGCTAAAAATTAAGAGAATTTGGAGAAACAGAGTTGCAGATTATCAACGATGGGTATCACGATGTCTTTTTAAGCCATTCTCATGTCTAAAGTACTTTCAGGACTTTTGGAAATCATCTCAGGCTTATTAGCACTTGATATTGCCAGTGAAATTCTAGGTGATCATATAGATCATTATACAGATCGTAAGGATCTGGTTTGTCGTAATTGAAATTTCCAAGCAGAGTCCTAAAACTTTTGTTTTCAAAGAAGACAAATCTTGAGACAAGGTAAATAGCGTTTTTCTCATGTTCTATCAAAATTGTCTTATGATCTCGTAGGTTTTAGGAACTAAGCACATTGATCGATTATTCTGAAATGCCCAGAAATGAATTACCCCAGTCTTACCTCAAGCCTTTTTTATTTGATTCTTGTTTGATTCTTGTTTGTTCCATAAACAGGAAAAAAGATTGAAAACCGACAAATTCCGTTCGATCAAAGTCGTATAATCCGATCAGACACGTTTCTCTCAGTTCTGTATTACGTGAATACGGAGTCACGGCTTCGTTAAGACCTGTCAAAACAACATTCTCGGTTCGAATCAGGACACTTTTGGATCAAAAAAGAAAACGAGGCCTGTTGAACAAAGTTGGTGCACTTTTGTTGCTTTCCATAAATACTCAGAGAGACATTTGAGCTGGAAAATGATAACAAGAAGGTAGTTTTATCATTATAGAAGACAAGACGATGCAGAAAATTAAAGCTATCTCAGTTTTCTTTCTAGACAGGTTGATGAGTTTGAATTTTCCCAAATTCAGACTCCCAAAATATAGATATCTTTCCATTTGCATTGCATTAGTTATTCCACTTACTATAATTCTTCATTTCTATCCAGCAAATGACAAAAGGATCCAAATATCTAAAATTATAAGTTCTTATAATTTTTTTGATGGTACTTCCTATTATAGTGATAACAACACACCAGGTTTTTCACCAATATCTGATTCGGCAATAAATGCTTTATATAATTCATCTCAAATTATTAGTTATTATAAACCATATTCTGCTCTAGAGGAAAATGTAAATTTTAAAGAGATTTTCAAGCTACATGAAGATATAGAAGTTTCTTATCCTAAGCTTACAATTTTTCCGAAATATCTTAAATTTTATCGAGATTATTTAATGGACAATTACAAAAAAATTGCTGACACATTCAATGACAAACCATTAACTTCAGAAGAGGAAATCCTTGAACAAAATTGGTACGAGTATGGTGGTGGTTCAATTTATTTAAAATCAATTGGCTATAATTTCATGGTTACTAGAGTGATTTATTCTAAAGTTCATGCAAAGAATGATCCATTTATGAGCTATTTAGGATTTCTGTTACTTGATAAAAATTTCAACCATATTGAGAAATCCATTAACTTCAAATATGGACCTAATACCGATAATAACAAAATGATTAACTTTCCAACACTTGGAATAGTTCCTGATACATATTTTAAAAAATCAAATAATCGTAAGGATAGATATTATGGTCCAGAAGATCCAAGAATTTTGATTAAAACAAACCACTATCAATTTTATCATAAAGAGAAATTTGTCAAATCTGTTATATATGAAGAACCAATTGTTATATTCAATATGATGACGGATAAAGCTTTCAAATACAAAAGGTTAATGCATGCCTATTTACCATTTCAGGATAAAAAGGTCATATTCAGAATCAAAAATGAAACCCCAAGAATTAAAGAAAAAAATTGGGAGCCGTTTTTCAATGATGATTTTAAAAATATCATAAAAATTCAAGTTGATGACATTAACATCATCAAAGAATTTGAAAACAATAAAAATCAGAACCAAACAACTTTTGATTTTGATTTTGATTATAAATACACAAATGGTTATATTCATTTTATTTACTCAATCGATTCACTTTCTGTTCTTAAGTGCAGCTTGGATGATGGAATTTGCGAATACGAATATAAAATCCCCCAAAGACCTGAATCAATAGAAGAAAGAAATATGAAAGACAATAAAAAGGCATCAGATTTTGATATTGGAAACATGAGAGGAGGGACTCCTTTATTGAAATTACCAGATAAATTCTATGCAAGTATTGAGAGGATAAAGGAAACCAAAAATGATATCAAAACCACCTTACAAAATTATAATGTATGGGTTGGGTTTCCAAGGTCTCATCTTAATAAATGTGGGTGTGGAGCTGTTACATATAGACCATCAATGATGGCCATAACAAGCTTGAAAGGTAGCTCCAATTATCAAATTGAATTGATCTCTAGCAGCATCGACTTCAATCTTGATGTTTTGAACTGGGATGGGCCAGGAAAACTTTCTTGCGACGCCCACCAAAGTGTTTTAATACCCAACAGTATTGCCTATTGGGATATCAAAGAGATTGTGGAAAATGGCTACTACGGAGGCAATGACTACAAAGACTACATGTCAATTATTCTCTCTGAAGCAGACATCAACAACATAGTGATTCATGTGAGAGGATTGCTCAACTACCTCTTGGAGATGGAGTTTTTTCAGAAGTCGCACACTGAACAGGACAGCCAGAACAACCAGGTTGACAGCACTCTTCTTGTTCAGTTGGCTACTGAGGACTCAAAACAATACTGCCGAGAGTATGGAGCATCCCATGGAGGAGTCTCTCGTTAATATGTCTTTCGTGAAGCAGCTTCTCGTCGTGAGTGAGTTGTGTAAGAGGTTTATCCTTGTAGAGCGGGTGTATATTTATATTTTTAGGTTAGCACAGGTTTTACCCTTAGAATTCATAAGCCCTTCGTCTTTCCGGCATTTTCTTTATTGATATGAAGCAAAATATAATCCTTCAGAATTTTCATCTCTTTTCTTTGGTAGTTTTTTTCTTTAAAATAATGATAACTGGAACGTAGCTTTATTGAATTTTTTTTCCAGTTTTAGTTGTCTATTAATGTTTTCGCATCATATATTGCAATGCAAGAGATCAAAATCTATCTTTTGAGGCTTTTAAAGCTTAATAGAAGGCTTATTGTTGTTATTTTCATTCTTATTTTCATCAATGTTTTCTTGTCCTCATTGTTCACTTCGTATTTCAACGACAATAGAAATAGTATTCATGTCACAATAGATGATGATAAGCCCTTTTTATCCATCAACAACGATTACAAAGTACATCAATACTCACCAATATCCCCTTTTTTGAAAAATCAATTAAAATACAATCCTTATGAACTTACCATCTACACAAGACCATCATTTAATTTTGAATGGAAGTTTGATTATTATCTTGAAAAATACACAAAATTTGGCAGAGACGTTGAAATAGAAAACTGCAATACCTATTTATTCAAAGATAGTATACAGGTGTCAAATGATCCAAAATTAATACTATCAAATTCTCATTTAAAACTATTTCGAGAACAGATTTTATTAACAGACTACTCACTAATATTAAACGACTCATTTACTCGCAAAAACATACCAATCCCAGAAGATGAGCAAACATTAATCAATAATCACTGGTATCAATTTGCTGGTAGTTCAGTCTGGTTAAATCAGCAAAATTTATATTTTATGGCTAGTCGAGTGGTATTTACTCCTACTGATAGAGGAGGACCAACTGAAAGTTTTTTGGCATTGAACCTATACGATAAAAATTGGAAGGAAATCAGTGAGTTAAAATATTTTAAATATGGTCCATTTACTGACCAAGTTTATTATGTGAATGCTCCTTCAATTTTTGATTCCATCTTGTTTTATTTTAACATGGATGTTTTAAAGAAAAAATCTGGATACTATAGATTTTTTGGACCAGAAGATCCAAGAGTTATATTAAAAAAAACTCGCTATCAATTCTATTATCAGGATAAATTAGTCAAAGAAGTTATTTATGAAGAACCGATGATAATATTTAACTTATTAACTGATAAAGAACATGGAAATCGACGATTAATTCATGTATTTTTACCATTTCAAGATAAGCTAATCGTTTTAAGAAAAGTCGATGCAAGACTTAAGAGAACTGAGAAAAACTGGTCACCCTTTTTTAAAACTGGTGAAATTAACACCATTAGAGTTGATATAGAATCACCAGACGCCAAAATTTCAACTACAACTAAAAGACATAAAAATTTTAAATTTTCAAATGGGTTAGTATATTTTGTTTATTCAATTGAACCATTTAAAATCATCAAATGCAATTTAGATAATGGTAAATGCAGATCTGTTTTTGATGGTAAATATGATAGTAAAAGAAAAACATTAGAAAAATCATTTATGAGAGGTGGTACAAATCTAATTGAATTGCCTAAAAAATTTATCTCAAAAGTCAATGAAATGATATATAATGAGGAGAATAATTTAGGTGACAGAAATGCTGCATTAATGAGAAATTATAATCTGAATTTGGATTTAGAAATATTTAAAAATTATAATATATGGATTGGATTTCCAAGGTCTAATATTAAAAAATGTGGATGTGGATTTAAAACTTATAGACCATCATTGCAAATTATGGTTAGTTCAAAAAACAAGAAAAAAGCAGAGGTATTCGAAATCAATTCTATAAGTAGTAGTATTGATTTTGATATTAATATTCTCAATTGGAACACCAATCAAAGCAGTTTGTCCTGCGACGGATTGATGAATGCATTCATTCCTAATAGTATTGCATTTTGGGATATTGATGAAGATAATAATGAAATGGATTATATGGGAATGACATTATCTGAAGCAGATTACAATACAATGGTTATTCATATTAAGGGGTTATTAAGATATATTTTAAAACTAGATTTCTTTCAAAAAAAGAAGGATAAAGAGTCAATTGATGGTAAACATGAGGATATTACCAATCCAGTCCGATATTTGAGAAATACTAAAAGTCTCGTTGATGACTTCTTTCTTGTTCAATGTGCACTTAAATCTTCCTATAAATATTGTGTTAACTATGCCAGGAACCACTCATCTAATTTCAATTATACCATGTTCTCTAATGTTACAATCTGATTGATTTCAGTATATTTTTTTTTATCTTATTTCATATTTTATCAAGTTTTTCTTTGTTTAATTTTTTTATTCTTTATTGGAAGCTTTTCTATAGGAATTATGTACTTTATTTAATGCTAAATATAATTTGGTATGTTTGTATTGACTATATTTAACACAATGACTGATGATTGAATATGTTCTTATAACAAACCCTTACAAACAGGAATCATCCAGTTTAAAAAGAAAGACCTTTAAAAAAGAAACATTCATTGAAAAATTAAAGTTTAGAGTTCAAAACTAAAAATGTTATTTCTACACGTGCCAACACAAAATAGAGGCCAGGCCTAAAGAATGTCCTATTTCGACGTTCGAAGACAACACAAACGCACCGAAGAACTTCAAGCAATCATGAACAAGCTCAAACACCTTTTCGAAATCACAAACACCTTTTACGGAAACTAAGCTTGGAAAGTTGTTTAATAGTCTTTCGGAAATGGTATTTTCGAAAATGGTATTCTCGAAATGAAAGTGCTGCCCAATTTTTAGTCTTGGAAGAGTTCTTTATTTTATGAAAAAAAAAGTATTAATTAAAAAGTTCTGTTGGGAACTTTCAAAATAGTCTCTGAGATTCCAAATTTATGAAACTGTACTTGATGTCATTTTTAGAAATTGACATTTGTAGATTTATAGGAATGGAAAACAATAAGATATATTGATGTGAAAATTATATACTAAATACATGTGGATTTATCTATTCATTCTGAGTTAGTGAAATGGAAGGATGACTTCAAAAATAGTAAAAGAAATTTATCTGAAATATAGTTATTCTCTTCAATTTCCGTTATCCCTACTATTATTGTCCTTCTGATTTAAAATGATGGAGTTATCCATAAATCTGCCATTATCAATATTGGAGTTATTTTCAATTATTCCCCAAATTCTATCCATTTTAATCCCACCAATATCGTCTGCAACATAGTAATATTGCTTTATATTAGACTCAGGATCAGTATACTCCCATGAAACCCAACCACTTCTTGCATTTAAAATCTTCAAGTTTTCCAAGTGAACTAAATTGTTGAAAGTCTTTTTCCCACTCCAATTGATTTTTTCCAATACTAATTTTTCATCATTCACTAAATCTTCAAATTTTTGAACAGGGCCCTTTGATTTATCGTAAACTCTAAAGACTCTAGTAACATACGATGAAAAATAGTAGTTCAATATGGGTAAGGGCAAAATTGCGATTAATGAAGATATCACTGAAATATCCTTTGAGAAATATAGTGAAGAATCAATCAACCAAGATAAATATATTCCAAGAATCGAAAAAGTGATAGAAAATCTCTTTGAGGCTGCAATGTATTTAGAATCTGGACCAATGTATAATGGAGAATAACCAACTCTGTATTTGGGATCTAGCCTCTTTGGCATCCCAGAGATAACTGATCTCACTGTTATTGTTTCATCAGGTCTCTTATAAGCACTTGATTTAGGCAAGGGATCGAAGTCTTCTTCTAGTATATTTTGAGGATCATACTTCGACCTGAGATAGCTGGAATTGTGAAAATGTAGCTGATTTCTATAGTTGTTTAGTATGAGCTGGGGGATAAACGCTGGTTTGGAATGCACCAAGAATGATCTTTTAGACACAAACATAGCAGATATAGCAGATATGGATATTACAATTACACCTCTTCAAGATACTTTTGTTGCTTCAAACTCTCATCAATCACCCAATTGAAGAAGAAGTTATTCAAATCACCAGAAAAATCAAAGTTTACCCTACGATAGTGCTATGCAAATAATTACATATATTTAAACCTATCTAAACTTTTTAATTGAACCACGAAAAATTATTAAAAAGAAATCAATCAAACTGCTGTTACTAAATGCAAATTCTCTTCTAAAATACACCAAAAAATATATAAAAACAATAAAAACAGAAAAAACAGAAAAAATTTTGAATGAAATGGAAAATCAAAAAAATCAAAAAAATCAAAAAAAACACTAAACACAATTAAAATTGAACATAGAAAACAGGAAAATAAAAATCAAAAAAAAATAGACAAAATTAAAAAAAGATCAAAAGAAGATGAAAGAAGATATATAATAAAAAACAATATTAAAACTTTGAATGTTGAAGAAATAGAAATTAGAAATAAAAACAAAAGAAGGAAAACACTACTTGGAACACAAGTCCATTTCTTCTTTGGTTAATGACTTTATATAAACACATTTTGATATAATTTCAGGAATAGGTTCAAAGTCATATAATTTAGACCACTGAATGCATTGAATAAAATTACGAACAATTTTAGACGAAGAAGTAAACCTTTCCAAATTAACTAGAGTATCATCATCACTTATATCAAGAGGTTCCTCAATTTCAGTACTGGCAAATAAATCTTTGCCATCACGAATGTCTCTGCTTGAGATTAAAACAGGTTTACTGGCATTAAATGTTAAATCAGAAAGGTATAGCCCAAAAAAGGGAATACAACCTTTTGAAGGTATTATGCTTTCAATTTCCTTTCTTAGTTTGAGAAAATTCCCTTCGGAATGAGCAAATGTTTCCAAAGTTCTCAATGTAAAAATGTCCGAAGCGTCCATCTTGTTCCAAGTATAATAAAGCTCTTTAATTCTTGGTGTTGTAAGCGCAAGAACAATTTGCATTAAAGTAGAGTAATTTTGTAGTTTAAAACAGTTGTTAGCAATATGAATAAATCTCGAAATCGTGTCTCGCCTGTATTTTTCATCATTAGTCAAAAGGATTTCTGACACAATCCAGTTAACAGTTAAATTAAACCTAGAAATAACAAGATCAATTCCTCTAACGTTTTTCTTTAATAATAATTGTAACCAACTTGTGATTGGCTTTAGTTCTTGAGACCACTGTAAATCAATTAGTTCTCTCCAATCAACTTCGGATAATGCATCTTTTTCGATAAGTGTAAACTGTTTGGCTAATGTAATCGAATCATAGCTTAAAATAAAAGATAAATGTCTTTTTGTGGATAGAACTTCCTGAATAGACAAAATACCATCATTTAAACAGTGTTTTTCAAGCATACTTTCGATGACATTGTTTTCAGGATTATTAAAATCGATTTTCTCAGGATTCAATTCAGTTAAAGCGGCAAGATTATTTAGATCTTGAACAACCTGAGGAACATTGGTGAATATATTACCTTTGGATGAAGAGTCCTCAACTGGATCTGCAATACTGAGTTCTGCCACTTTTCTTGTTAAAATTTCAGTATCAGCTGCACTGTCAGTGGTAATATTGCTTTCATCAATTGTAGAATCAGTTTCGTCATTCTCCAAAAAAGGTTTTTCCTTAGGTTTTTGAGAATCCTTTCCTCTTAATTTAAGAAGAGCAGCAGTTACTGGGTCTCCACTGATAAGTTCATCTGGGATTTCTTTTAAATTTTGAACAATATCTTTTTGGTCACCAACAAAAGGAGGAAGAAATGCCTCGCTAAGAGAAGAAATTGGACGAGCCTCGCATCCTTCTGTTTCGTAAATACTAACAGATCCGGAGGATAGTGACTTTTTGTGAGAAAAGAAGTTGTGCTTTTTCTTCAAAACCAGATCATCTGATGCTTTTAACATCTCTTTTGATTGTTTCAAGTTAAGAATGTTTTCTTTCGACTTGTTCAATCTCAACTGAAATTCATTCCTTTCTTCCATTGTGGGCTTTGTTTTTAATGTGACAAGAACTGGTCTCAATTCAGAAGAAAAAATTGATGATGAATCTGATATTATACTTTTTGTTTGATCAAAAAAACTGGAAGAATTTATCAAGCTTCTGTTAACGTTGGTAGGAGGAGGAATCCCAGATAGTTCATTTACACTATCATTGTTATGATAACCCAAGCTTTCATGTTTAAGAGTGCCACTGTTAGTGGGAGTCTGGCTAATAGAGGTCTTGATGACATTTGAAGAATTAGAATTAAAATTAAGTTGCATTCGGTTTAATCCTTGAACATCAAACTTCAAATCAGAGAAAGCTGCACGTTTTTTGAGTAGATTTCTTTCTGGATTAGCAATATCATTTGAATTAGATTCAATTGAAAGAGCTGAACTGTATGATATATACGATTTCGAAGTAGCAGATGATAAACTTGCATTAAACCTAGAATCTTCAGAAAATTGAGAGTTTTGTTGAGTAGAAACTGAATTTTGATTAGGTGATTTCATTCTTTTCCCAAGTAAAACATTTTCGGTAGGGGAAGAGGATTTTGAAGAACAAGAAGACTTCAGAATCATTGATTTCTCTATTGTAATATTTCCAGTAGATTTATCAACTTGGTTATCTTTTTGATCACCTCTATCAGCCATGTTGATTGTTTTATTATCGATATTTTCCGACAACTTTGAATTAGATGAAGTTGGGATAGCGTAATTTTTCAATGAATAATTAAAGCTAGTAGGAAATGGTTGAGAGGAAGATTCCTGATCGGGACTCATTACTGTTCTTAAATCATTAATCCCTTGTTTTTTCTTCAATAAATCTGTGGCACGATTATTGTGAGATTGTATTCCACTTGTTTCACCATAGACGGATGAATCTGAATAACTAGAGTAAGATTTACTTGAAATATAACTTATTCTAGAGCAACGATTCAAACTATTTAAATTTCCAGTAAATCGATCTGACAATCTATTATCTTGAAACTTAGTGCTTGAAGCCAATACCTGATTTTCTCCATCCGAAAAACGTTTTTCTATGGTTTTGTTATCAATTTCATTTAATTGCAGATCAAGTTTATCCGGGTTTCTAAAATGTTCTTCTTTTGCTTCAGTGGAATCAACAGGCGAAAGTATTGAACTACCCAAAACCTCTTCAATTTTTTGATCTAGATCTAAAATGAATTCATTTTTATTACTATGAGGGGTCTCTAATTGATAACTTGCGTTCATAAACCTTGAATTATTATTATCTATTATTTTGCTTTTGTCAAGAGGATTTTCAGACTCTATTAAACTGTTATTGTATTCCTCAACTGTATCATTTTTATTTGTTGAAATAGGTGAGTTAAAAACAATATTCTGATGGATATTTTGATTGGCGAATTTATTGACAACAGAAATACTTGCATGATCTTTAGAAAAATCAAAAGAACTAATTTTCATGCCCTTTTTCTTAACTTCTTCTTGAAGTTGGAGAATAAAATCTAGCTCATCCACAACTCTTGCACTTAATATATCCATTTTAAAATCAGTGGTTCGTGAATTAGATGATCCTTTTTTCATGGATCGTTCAGGACTAGAATTACCATAATCTTGACCAAATTTCTGGCTTTCATCCAAACTTAAAACTGAGTCGATAATACTTACTGGCAATGTATGTCTATCTATTTCACTTGGTAAGCTATCTCTGTTGATTGATATTAAACTTTCCACTAAATTATTTAGGCTTTCATCACTACTTACACTTTTTTTGCTCTTGACGGAAAAAGTTTGCCTCCAACTATTGAACAAATTTTTAATATTTCTGGATTTTTCTGAAGAACTGCGAAAAGCTTTTGAAAAAGATGACGAAGGAGTTTTGGGTGTTTTAACTTGTGGTTTGTCTGTATCAATAACTACTGAATTGTTTTTAATTGCTTTTAAGAATAGATTGTTGATATTTTTTGATTTAAAAGATCTTTTTCTTCTAAGTTTTGAGGATAAGATGCTTTCAGTGTCATTCAATTCATTGCTTTTTCGTGGAGACGCTGGAGGTTTTCTTGGGCTCGATTTTGGTGATTTGTGTGATCTTTTAGGACTTGAAGGAGTTGATATTGATTTTTGATCACTGCTTGAATCATCATCCACAAGTGAGATTAAACTTAAATTTATTTTCTTATTGGGAGTGGGAGGAATAATATCGTCAAACTTGACTTCTTGTTCTAATTTTGTTGGTTTAATTTCACCTCGAAGAGAGATTGTATTGTTATTGAAATTCTCATATTGTGGTTGTGATAAATACTTGATTCCCTCCGTATCAGAAAGGGGGTCAAGTAATTCCATTGGAGTGGTTGGGTTGACTTGAATTTTAATAAGACGAGAAACAGGTGCTTGGGGATTTATTAATTTTGAAGCTGATAATAAATTTGGGAAGGAGCTTTGGGAAACATGAGCATTATTAAAATTGGAAAATAATGGTGATCTTTTGTCAAGGGAATTTTTTCTTTGGTCAGAAAATGAGCTATTTCTATTTTGACTAGATACGGGCGAATGAATAAAAGAAGGAGATTGTGGAATTGAAGGTCTTCTTGAATGAGAAAGTGAAGAGTTATCAGAAGTTCTCTTTTTTTGATAATTTAAAAACTTTTGTTTATTTTCTGAAATAATTTGTTCTAAGGTTAGCACTTTATCAGAATTATCATTTGTCATAGAAAATGAGGAGTTTTCTGATTCGGATAATAAATCCACTGATATCAAATCATCGGTATCTTTTTGATTATTTAAAAGATTTCTGGTTTTAATTTGTAAAGGATTTTCAAACTCTAAATTCGAATCAGAAGATATCCTGAGGGGAGAATTTTTAAAGGGAGGAGGCAATTTTTGGTCAATTTTGTTGAAAGAATCATAAGTCCAATAAATGGGAGCTTTTCCCTTTTGATTGCGATGATTTGAGTCAGAAAGAATTTCATGTGGAAAAATTTCAAAGTCATCACTTATTTTACTAGTGCCAATCAAGGATTTTGTATCTTTAATAGGTGAAAAGGGATCGGGATGATTGATATTTTGAGAGCTGGAGGAGTAGTTATTAAAGATGATATTGTTATTATTATTAATGTTGTTAAAGTTATCAAGATTATCATTGTTATCAATATGATCAAAAGAAATATTTGAGTCATAGTTTAGATTATAGCTTTCATCTAGTAAGTAATTTTCATCAAAATCTCTATCCATACTGCTTCTGAAACTACTTCCAAAATGATTACTTGGGGGATTATAGTCCGAATCAACGATTGAGGAAAAAGCTTGAGAAGAGTAGGTTGTATCGTTTGTAGAAGGTTTATTTGAATGATGGTGTATAGCATTTATTGAATTTTCAGGAAACATTACCATTGAATTTCCTCTTGCAATATTAGAGGAAAAAGAGTTGTTGTAGGCATGGTTATTATAGTGGATTGGAATATTATTATTTGAGTTAAAATTTGGATCGATTTTTTTCTCTAGATTATTCAAGTTATTTAAATTTAGATTTTTAATATTCAAGTGTGAGAAGGTGTGATTGGAGTTGAGATAGCTATTATTTGGAATGAAATTAGTTGAAGCCGATACTGAAGAGTTGTTTGTATAAAAGGAGAGGAATTTATTTTGGCGATAAGAGGGATCGATTGAAGATCTTAAACCATTGAGAGAGGAGTTTAAATTAGTTGGGGAGCCCCCAGGAGACAATTTAAGATGTAATAATTTTGTTATAGTGATTAGGTCGAGGTTTAAAACGGAGAATGAAGAAGTGAAAGAAGTTGAAGTTGAAGTGGTGGATGGAGTTGAATTGGAGTTTGAGTTTGAGTTTGTATTGGTTGAAGTTGAGATTGTTGGTGAAGAGGAAGAGAAATTGGGGTGGTTGAGGTTGTGAATTTGGGGTTGAGACATTGAAAATTGATTAATTGATTGATCATTCCAGTAGATTGATAAATTAGTGAACCAACATTTCTTCAACTCTATAAAGATTTTGTAGAGAAAGAGCAAGTTATTTTTATTGTTTTTGAGGTGGTTATAGTGGTGATTAATAAGGTCATCATTGAGAGTGTTATTGTTAGTATTAGTGTTTTGAATATTGCTGTGAATATTATTGAACTGATCTATATCAATATTTGAAATGAAAAATGTTTGAATCTGATTATTAAAGTAATTGGTGAAGGTTATTCTCAAGTTTAAATCATTCAAGAAATCATCAGCAAAAAAGTTTAGGAGCCAATGCCTTAGAACGACAAAAGTTCTTAATAGGATTGATTTATAGACACACAAATTTTCATCATTATTATTATTATTATTTGTCGTGTTTATTGATAGGGAGTGGGTGAAGGCCCATTTAAATCTTAGTAGTAGTATGTTTAATAGAGAAGTTTTGTTGAAATAGTTTCTGAAAGTTAAGAAAAAATCAGATACAAACTCATAATTTATAATGTTAGGAGAAGTCAAGTAGGATATTATTGATTTTAAATTAGCAAAAGCTATTTGATTTTCTTTATTAATATTATTTTTAAGATTTTTAAGATTTTTATTATTTATATTGTTGTTATTATAGGTTTTAGTAATGTTATTGGATACATTATCAAAAATAATGTAATTTGGGTTTGAAGGGATTGGGAAGTAAAAAGGATGCTCAAAAAAAGAGGAATCTAATTTATTTAGGGGAGTATTTAGTGGTTGTGTGTCTTGATTGTGACTAGATTGTTGAGAAGTATCTTGAGAAGAATCTTGGGAAGTGTCTAAATCACTGTAAATATCGATATTATCATTGATATTATCATTGATATTGCCACTACTGTTATTAATAAGATGATTAGTCATATTTTTACTAGTATTAATGTTTTCGAAAACCGACATTATTATGCAAAATTTCTTTTTTTTATGTATGATTTTTCAAGAAATAAAATAATGGGATATGATATAATAAGATAATATAATATAATATAGAATGTAGTGTAATATAATAAAATATAAAGTAATATACAGTGGGTAGTATACAGTATAATATATTATATTATATTATATTATATTATATTATATTATATTATATTATATTATATTTTATTAAATGGAATGGAGTATGGTGGATAGTGGATATGAGTTGTTGTAACCAGTAGTTATAATAGAGACAATGATTAAGGATAGTTAAAAACGACAAATATCTTACAAGACGTGAAAAACGATTGAGGATGGTGGAAGGGAATTGCAAATCAGAGAAACAAGAACAAAGTCTTAAACTAATAAGATTGTTGAGGGAAACGTTCAGTATTGAACTTGTGTGTTGAGTGTGTTGTTATTGTTATTGTTGATATTATGATTACTGTTAATGTGAATTATTTGAGTCGTTTGAAGAGGTTGGAAACAGTAAAAGTGCACTAGGACAATAAGTTTTTTAGCTTTTTAACTCTGGATTAGAGAACAGAAGAGAAAGAACGAAGGCGAGATAATGTACTTGGGAATGAGAAGGATGAAAAGAGCCAACAGAAGCAGCAGAAGAAGCGGAAGCAGAGGCAGCAGAGGCAGCAGAATGGTGGTGAAGAGCAGACGACGCTGGGGACAATTGTCGAGGAGCAGTTGATGGACGATGGAAAGATAAAAAGAGGTGAGATTGCAAATGGGTGATTTGAGCAGAAAGAGAATTTGAAATTGGGGGGAACCACAGCGGTGGATCCTGCGGCAGACACCACAGGCGTGGGTGGTGTGCACGTATGTGCGCACCGTGGTGATGGGTGCATGTGTGTCTGTGTGTTTGGCTGTGTGTGTGCGCGGAATCCATGGGCACGGAAGTCCAGGTCGGTATTTTACACGGTTTCGTCAGAGGCGTGTAACTTCCAGCACGGCTTGAGCCAACACACGCAAAACAAAAAGGAACACCTTCACAAGACTCTTCGATGAAACCCACAGCTGGTGTTCTGTGTTATTGTTCGTGTCTAACATGTCTACCCAGTCTGGTATTGTTGCCTCCCAGGAATTGATTTCCTCGTTTGCCAACTTCATCGCCTCGAAGAGCAGAGCCTTCACTATCAAGATTGCCAACGAGTCACTTGTTCCCTCAGACACCATTTCTGGCTCATCATCTCTTGAGCAGGACTTTAAAACCATCAACTCCAAATTGGCCCCTGATCCTAATTCCAAGACCAACTCCTGCTATCTCTTTGTCAGAATCAACCAGGACGCTTTGCTGTATATCTTTATAAGCTTTATCCCCGAAAATGAATCTGTTCGCTCAAGAATATTATATGCTTCTACCCAAAACACGCTTCTCAGAGAATTGGGTAATTCAAAACTAATCTCAAAGAAATATCATATCACTGATATCGACGAGATCTCATATGCCAACTATAAAGATCTCGTTCACCAAGAAAACTCTCAATTGCCATATACTGAAGATGAATTGATTGAAAAAGATTTACAAAAGCTATCCTTTTTAGGCAACTCCCCCAAACGTTTACCATCTTTTAATCCAAAATCTCCCAATTCTCATTCCAGCTCTCATTATCGTTCCAGTTCTTACTCATCTCCCAAATCGGTCTCAAATTTTAGTTTCCAGATTGATGACGAGTTAATCGATTTATTGTCTCAAACCATGGAAACTAATCTACTAATCAATTGTTATATCGATATTAAAAATGAAACTATCAACTTGCTAGACATCAAAAGAAACGTTTTGATCTCAAATTTAGTTTCAAACTTAAACAGCTCTTGCCTATCAAATACTCCTCATCCAAAATATTCCTTCTTTTATTACTCAATTAATAGGAAATTATCTTTCATCTACACCTGTCCCTCTGGTTCAAAAGTCAAAGAAAGAATGATTTATGCTACAAATAAACAGGGCTTCATCAACTCTTTATCCTCTCAATTGGGTTCTCTTCATTTCGATTTGTTGTTTGAGGTCGGGGATACTGATGAAATTGATTTATCAAAGTTTACTTCTTCTCCTAATTCTGCTACTTCAAGTACCTCAAGTTTTTCTAATAACTCTACCGATAATTTACCAAATTTGCCCTTAGTTGACAATGATATTTCTTCTTCAACAAGAACAATTAACAAGTTTTCCAGACCAAAAGGTCCTCGCCGTCGTTAAAAAAAAATTGAGATCGACTAAAAGTATTTTCTTATTTCAATTTTTTAATAAATTTAATCTTCATAGTTTTTATAAGTTTTATAAAAAGAGATTCAAAACAAAACAAAACAAAACAAAACAAAAAAGTGATAGATTATAACTTAATTTAAAATCTAAAATTTTATTTTAGAATATTAATTAATTAGAAATACTGACATTAATCATTTTTTCATCAAACTCGATTTCTTTATTGTTTTTTTCATTCTCATTCTCATTCTCATTCAGATTCACATTATCTAGTTTATCCAATCTCTCTTGTTTATGTTGTTCTTTACTCCCCGTAACTCCAACTTTTAAGAAAAATGACAATATAAATGCTAAAATACCACATCCCAACGCAAACCAGTATGCGTTTTTAAACCCATCAAATAATCGATCTGGATACATTGTCTGTAATTCAGTGCCATAATATTCATATCTTGCACTAACTAACGCAGTTGTTATAGCCAACCCAATAGTCGAACTTATTTGAATGATCGTATTAAACACTCCTGCTGCTGAACTTTGTAAATTCTCTGGCACTGATGTTAATGTAATAATATTAACCACATTATATGCAATATCAGCTCCAATAACACAAAATATATAACTCCAAAAGGGTCCTAACCAATAACTTCTATCAATATCCATGGTTAACCAAAAAATAGAACCGATTATGAAACCCAATGTTGCAATTAACATTAAAACTGTCCCAGTAATCTTATGCAATGTAAAAGCTGCAAAGACATTCACTAATATACCCGCAACACCAAGAGTTATTTGACAAGCAGTGGTTAATAAAGGTGAATAACCCAACACTTGTTCAAAAAATAAAATCGAATAAAAAACAATTGTTCCAACAAAATTCATCCAACTTAGACTGATAATACACATTGATAGAGAAAATTTTCTCGATTTCCAAATTTGCATTGGCATTAAAGGTAATTTTGGAATATAGGCTTCATAGAAACATAATGCAACGATTAATAAAAACCCAATTATAAATGTTGCAAGAATATAAGGAGTCTTCCATCCTCTTTCAGTGACATCGACTTGTGTTAAAGCAAAACAGAATAAAGTGAAACCTGACAAAGATAAAAATGCACCAACATAGTCTAATGAAGATAAAATATTCAAAGCCTTTTCGAAATTCAAAGGAGGATCATTTGGAATTACAAAAACAGCTAAAACTAATACAACCGAGAAAAAAATAGCTAGAAAGAAATGGCAAGCTCTCCAAGATAATATTTCAGTGCCAATACCACCAATCAAGACCCCAAAGATCAATCCAACTGGAGCACCAGCTGCAAAAGTAGCCAATGCTCTATTTTTTCTTCTTCCAGTCTCATAGATAGATCCAATCATCCCAGCAGCGGCTGGAGTAGCACCAGCTATAAAACCACCTAATAATGCTCTAGAAATACAGAGACCAATGAAGGATCTCATAAAACCGGAAATTATATTGAATATTATGAATAGGAAAAAAGAAATTAAAATTGTCATTTTTCTACCCAGGGCATCAGCTATTCCTCCAGATAACAATAAAAAGGAACCAGTACCCAAACTGATACTCCCTTGAGCCCATGTCAAAGAACCGCCCAATACATTACGCCCAATACATTAAAATCCTTTGAGATATTATTAATAGAAATAGCAGCTATGCCTGAAGCGATTGGGGAGGCTGCAATAGCTAGAGTGAAAATTAAAACACAGATTATTTCAACAAAAGTTGATTTAAACATTTCAGATCTTGTCAAATCATGATAATGAGGGAAATCGTTTAATTCGAGATCATCTGGATTTTTAAGATGATTGGGACTGTTATTGTTTAGATTTTGTTGAGTGGACGAGTTGTGAGTATTAATGGAAGACATTCTTTCCCCACAAGATTAATTTAATAATGAGCTTAAATGAAAGTAATAGTAAGTAAAAACAAAAAAAAAGACTGCCGACGGTAAAATGAAATAGTTTTATAGTGAGGAACAATATTAAAAAAACCCTGGGATATAAAAATTCATGACGAGTGATAAAAAAAATGTTTCATACTAGTGATTAATAATGTATAAGTAACCGAGAAATTTTGTGGATCATTGAATTGATCTGTGGTCCAAAAGATCGAGATCTCAAAAATAATTTCCAATTTCCTATTTGTGATGCGGAGATAAGATGACCAAAAGAGCAAGTAGCAACAAAGAACTTACTGATCTCAACGTCAAGATCAGATCAGGTTCTAATGATTGAAAATAAATACAAATAGCTTGATCATACTACTACGATAATGAGCTCCCAAAGCTTAACAACTCCAATTATAAAACTATCATTTGTTGATAACACTTTTCTTGAATCTTTTCTGTTGAAACAATTTCAATGTAAATTAGCTAAATAAAACTTGCTATCTCAGAACCCATTTTGGGGTCGATGATTGGCGGGTAAGTGTTCAAGCTTCGATCCTAGCTTATGTCAGCACCAAACATTTCAACCAAAGCATACAAAATGATTCTGAACCACTCCGAGACCCTTGAAGAAATCAGATCCATTTTCAGAGGGTTTATTTTTGCCAGCCAATGGGAAATACTCATTAGGTACACAAATAAGAAAACGGTGTTTGGGAGGTCTTAAATGTCGAGAAAACTTCCTAAATAGGCTTTTGAAAGCACCATTACTATCAACAAGCAGTATTTTCAATGTTGTTTTCTAAGAAATATGTTGCTATTGCAAAGTAAACTGAATAAAACAACTTCTTTTTAAAGATATTAAAGCATTTTGTTATTTTATTTTTGAATTCAATGAAACATGGTGGTTTGATTTTTGAAAACGATTCTTCAGCATCTTTTGTTTTTTGTTTTTTTTTAATTTTTTTATTTTGGGTTTTGTTAATATAAATTTTCTTTAGGTTTTTGAGCTTTATAAATTTTTTCGTTATGACATTTTAGTTTATATTTAAAATAGTAATTGGACAAAAATGAATCTTTTATGAGATTAGTCATTTCATAAGTGTCTATTTTTGAAATTGTTGGATGTACAATATATAAGCAATGTTGAGCAATGAGTTGCAGCTGAGCGCTTAATCGAAATTACACCTCCGGAGTAATAATAATAGTGTTGGGGAAGCCGGGACAGGGTAACTTGACGGATTTCGGGAAAAGATACGAAATATTGTATTGTACTCGACGAAGATTCCGGTAATTACTATTGAAACGGAAAGAAAAGAAAAGTAAAGTAAAAAAAAAAAAGAAAAGGCAAGGGAACTGATTGAACATAATTCTATTGTTGGTGTGTACTGTGGATAGAATTTAGTTTGATATTGGTAAATTTGGCAGAAATGGTAGGATTGGCGATGGTTTAACTGCTAAAGAGTTCGATATTTGTATTAAGGGACTAAAGTATAATTGATTAACCGCCAATAGAGATAATTGACTAAAATGAATAATTTCAATTGAATTTATTAAATAAGATGATAATATAATATAGATAAAAGAAACAAAGCTAAAAATATGAGTAAAACTAAAATTAGAAGTTGGATATTAGGAAACAAAATAAAAGCGAAAGATGCAATGATCGATTAAAAGACGTTAATAACTATTTAGAATACTAAATACTCTATGCGAATGTGGTTTGGAGAGTATAAAGTATAGAGTATAGAATGAAAATTGTAGGTAGACCAACAATGCAATCAGGTAATCGTATAGGAACAACTAAAAGCAAAAGACAAAAAAAAACAACAATATAGCAAAACAAACTAGAGGATAAGATCTAAATAGAGATCAGTAGAAAAACATAATAAAAACACAGTACAAAAAACAAAATTAATAAAATTAATAAAATTAATAAAATTAAAGAAGAAAGTTAAAAAAAACAAACTTTTTTGGTTTTTTTTATTATATAGTATAGGAAAAGTTAAAGTTCATTTTTTGAATAATTTCAAAAAGATCAAGACGATCCTGTAGGATTAATTTTAATAGGTATTCAGCCTTTTTGTTATTGGAGAAGAATTTATGATAAGTATCATGGTCGATTAATCTTAAAACGTTGCCTTTTCTGATCCAGTTAATTAATTGGATTGAGTTGATGTTTGAGCTGAGTAATAGGTCGTAATACGGTTCTTTACCAATTGCAGCGTGGAGTAAGATCAACCCAACAGAATATAGATCTGATTTAAAAGTAGGTAAAGAGGGAGGGTTTGATAATAATTCAGGAGCAGAGAATTGGAGGGTTGTTTGAGGATTGTTAAGTAGGGAGGCGTCGTTAAAGCAAGCTGAAGAGAAATCAGTGATTTTGAAGTTTAATTGGGTGTCATTAGAGATGAGGACATTTGAAGTTTTCAAATCGCAATGAATGATGTTTAGTTTTCTTAGGATTAGGAGACCTTTGAATAGTTGGTTGACCAAATTCCACCAGGAGGTATTTGAGATGAATAATTCGTAGTTTGGGGAAAAAGTAATGTTATCAATTAAATTTGACAAATCCAGAGGACATTTTTCTAATAATAGAGCATTTCTAAATTTGTTTAAGCGAATTGGAGGGTAATCCTTTTTGAATAATTGATAAATGCCAAAAAATTTAATAAAAGGGAAGTTAATATTAATGTTGTTAATATTAATGTTGTTATTATTAATGTTGTTATTATTAGCTTGAGAAGAGAGATAGTAGTTGGATAGAGTGTTTAAAATTAGAGCCTCCGAATTAAATTTTTTATTAATTCTCTCATTGATTGGCAACTTTATGGCAACTTGAGTTAGCAGATTGTTTTGAAGGATGTTGACAAGGGTAGCCGAGTAAACAGTGGAGATTGAGCCTTGACCCAAGTAGCCATTTTCGAAATCAATGATTAATTTATAGTGGTTTGGGTTGAGTATTAAGGATTGATTTGAAATGAGATTCGAGTTCAATGAAGGCTGGTTTGGAATTGAGGAATAGGAATAAGGAGGGTCATCTTTAAAAGAGTTTAAAGAGGTGGTTGGAGAGGAAAGAGAGATTGGAGATTGGATGGTGGTGCTTGATTGGTCGGTGAAAGATGAGTTGATTGAGGAAACAGAAGACAAGGAAGAGACGGTGTTTTGTGAGATTATGGAGGTAAGATTGTTGTGGTTGATGTTAGTGTTGATATTGATGTTGTTAGTGGGTGTGTTGATGTTGTTGTTGATGTTGATGTTGTTGATGTTGTTGTTGTTGTTGTTTGGAATTAATAGTTTGAAGGGAAGTTGAATAGGTAAGACAGTGGAGGGCATCGCTGAAACAGAGACAGAGGTGGATGATGGAGGGGTATAGAGCTGATTGATATTCATTGACGGGTGATGAGAGTTATTAAGTAAACAAATAAATAAGATGTTGCCGTTATGAAAACTAGTTAATATAGTTGAATAAACTTGAGAGTTAAATTCTGGTTTTGAAAAAGAAGGGAAGAAAAAAGAGAAGAAGATGCTTGGGTAGAAGATGAAATATTTATAGGATGATGCAGAAAGTGAAAATTTTTCTTTTTGAAATTTGAAGATAAGAGATAACAAAATAATAATCAGTGATAAATGACAAATAATAAATAATAAATAATAAATAATAAATAATAAATAAATAACTAATTTAATAGAGTAAAATACTAGCCAGAAAATAAAAAAATTAAAAAATCAAAAAATCAAAAAAATGAAATAGAATAAACTGATAATTGGAGGTTAAACAACCAGATTAATTAGGAAAATTTGATTTTTTTCAAGGAAAAGATCAGATTGGCGAAACGTAATTGAATTAAAACTGAAGTGAGATTAATTAAAGTGAGTTAGAATAAACCAAAAGAGGGCGAATGAGAGAGAACTAGACTGGAAAAATTAAACTGATAAAGGATACTGGATTAGACTAAAACGATAATTATTGCTTGATGAGTAATTGGAAAAGCAGAATTTAAAGATAAAGAGAAGAGAAAGAAAGGATGTTTTTATATCGCAGCAACTGAGAAATATACACAATATACATTTCAACTCACAAATGCAATTAATAAGATGATCTACAAACACAAATTGAAATTGTCTTTACAATTGCAATTATAATCCTAAATTCTAATTGCCATACTAACCATAAAGTGCAATTGCTAACCGATTTGACACTCCAGAGCAATCATTCATTTACTCAGTCCGCTCATTCATCTCTAAATAAATTGCTTGTTGAGAAAAAGCAGAAATAAACCCACATCACTCTCTGGCACTTACCCTCCACCCGTGCTACCGGGACATAAGCCCCTGCTCAATCTGGTTTGCAGCACAGACTCCGAGCCAGAGGCACGCCATGCCCTGCTGTCCCATGCATCTCCGCAGTGATCAACGCGCGCAAACGGACAAATGGTCCCGGAGCCGGTGTCACGTGAGCCCTTTAAGTTTCAACGCTAGCCTAGGTCAGCGAGGGGTCACAAGCAGACAGAACAAGCAATCTCTGCTTCTGTCAAAATGACACATGGGCTACTCGTGGAGACTCTTTTTGGTGCTTGTGGTGTTTGAGGTGTTTGTTGTATGGGCTTTAAGGGGGCTTTCCAGCCTCAGAAGCTGCACAAACGCAGATCGCTAGCCCAGAGCGAGGATTGGTGTCCATGCTCAACAAAACAGCCAGATCGCCAGAACCTTTCTTTTCCGATTTTGCTGGTGTCTCAACTTTATCGGTTTTCTTTTCATTAGCTACGCTCAATGGAGGGAAACGTTTAGTTTAGACTAAAATTTAAACTTAATCTGCTTCAATCTTTGAGGAATATCTCTTTCGTTTTAATTTCCTTTTCTCTCAGCCTTTGGCTTTTTTGGCAAGCCTGTCTACATTATTTTTACAATTCTCTTCTTTGGAGGCTAATCTAAATGTATTATTAAACTCATTTTGTTATGCTTCGGTCGTTTATTCTTTATATCTCTGTTATGTGTTGAATTTTAATCTGTCTTCATTATACTTTTATTTATTTCCGCTGATTCTTAACGTTCAATTTCTTTGGAACTTCCTATAAAACTTATTCTCATCTAAACAAAAACCTCTTAATGTGCAACTTGCTCATTCTTTTCGTAAACTTCGAGTAAGTCACGAGTTAGTTTCTAATGTTATTGAATAAAACAAAATAAATGCTATATTGTGATCAATACGAAATATTAATTTTAATAAATAGATAATTAATAGTATGGCTATATAATGAAAATGATTGATCAACAATAATTAAACGGTTTAGCAAATTGTTATTGTTGTAGCGAATCCATAATATTGTGTTAAGGTGTAGAGGTACAAACGAAGGAATCGAGGGTCCCAGACCCCTTTTATAGGGGGCCTGGGGTAGAGCCCGTGCGGATTGCTTATCCTATCCGTACATTTCCTATCCGTATCCGAAATACGGATAAGTTTTGCTATAAATAGTCGGACCAAGTTCCGTTCGCTTGACGAAACTGAAAACAACAAATTATTCTTTTCTTTTTCTTCGACCATCGAGCCCGAACCAAGCCCTAGAAATCACGGGGACAGACTGGCAGCATGTGCTAGATCGTCTGTGGCAATCGAGTTCAGAGATCCGAGTGCCTTACACCATGCAAGTCCAGCATTTACTGTTATCAACTTTCTAGAGCTGCTGCAAAGAATTTTCGTTGCAAATCTTAATATCCTAACTATCCTCTGGAAAAAGAGATTAGTATCAAAAACAGAATAGATCCAAAGTGGTACCAACCATTTACAGGCCATAGCAGCAAAATCTAACGGTTTCATAGCCCCGCATATTTATACATAGCCCCGCATTTTCAAAAAGTACCATTGCTATAGTTCTTCTTTTGCGGTCAATCTCTTATATATACGGTATTCCCTCCCTACTTGCAACTAAATACACCTACTTCTTCCCCTACCACACCTTGTTGATCCGAAAATTGAGAGAAAGAGAACAAAAATTAATCATTCTGAATCGAATGGGCATTCTGGAGAAAAAAGGTAATATCCTTAAGATATATAAATGAAATACCATACAATAATCTAAGCTATTAATTGCATTAAGATATTAACTTGTTAATTAAAATACCCTTTCATTTTCCTACAGGTCCCAAACTATTAATGAAATCTAAAAGCCGACTGCTTTACTTAAATTAAGCAGTTGTTCAATTGTTTTGAATTTGACCATACCAAAATCTTCATCCAAACCCCAAATTTTCTTTGATGCTAAAAAACAGCAACCAAATGAATTGTTGTAGATATTCAACAAGTTTTGCTCCCCATATTCATAATCTTTTCTCGGTCAACCAACTTATTATTGTAAGTAACCGTGGTTGACATTAGCTGGGGTTTACTAATCATAATTTTATCTCTACTGTTTGCAGGACATCTATCATCACGGCTATTGGAATTACTTTTGGTGTTTTTTTTTAAAAAATTAGTCAAATTTTCAGAGCTTCTGCTGTGTTTCTTTTCCTTCTTTTTTTCCTTTTCTTTTTCAACCTCTATTGTCTTTTCACTGGACACTGGCTGGTCTTTTTCATTCAATCCTTTCTTGCTGATAAGTAATAAATCGTGAAAAAGTGACAACGTTTTTTGATGAGTATGTAACCCTCGTTTTTTACTAAGTTTGGCAGTACCATTGTTGAGAATCTTATTACCATTTTTATCACTGGTTCCCACATTTTCAGTCATGTTTTGAACTGTTTCCATGTTTCTACTAAATCTTGAAAATTTAGAGATCTCATTCAAACTAAAAGATAATCGTGAATTGTTGTGTCTATTTTGTGTAAGTTCCTTAAAGTTATGAGAATTATCACTTTTTTCCCCATTAAACAAGAAATTATCAATATCATTTCTCTCCTTATAATTATTTTGCCTTAGTATCATTGCTTTATCATTGGTGGTTATTAACGTCTGCGCATTGTTTTTGGTTAATAATTTATTGCTTTTGGGAATATTATAATTAACATAATCCTCGCTATTTTTATTGAAAAAATCTTCTAAACAAAGGGATTGGCTTTTTTGATGATTATCACTCTCAAATTTTTTTAACATATTTAATTGATTATTTAAATGGATCTGAACTTCATCGGGGCTACTAATATCAATATCCGTAAAGGAATATCTCTTTGTATTATTTTCATTGCTATCAATATCCCCAACAATAATATTATTGTCGTTGGTACCATTATGATTGCACCCATGATTATTGGTGTAATTATACTCATAATCATCATTAGTATATCTAATAAACTCATTATCTGGTATTATATTGACTTTTGGAGCTGCTAAAAATGAAACTCTCCTTTGTTTTTTATTACCAAGAGAGCTTCCAAAGGTCGAATGATTATCAACTTTATATCCATGATTATTACTGATATTTTCGTCCGAAAAATTGAAGCTGTTCATACTAAATAAATGATTTTCCATAGGTTTACTAACTTTATGGTTTTTGTCAGTTTCAGTTTCAGTTTCAGCTTTAATTTCAATTTTAGCATCAATTTTAGCATCAATTTTAGCATCAACTTTTGCATCAATTTTTGCATCAATTTTTGCATCAATTTTTGCATCATCACTAATATCTTCACTACCAATTTCAGTCTCATTTATATTGATATTGCTGCCGCGGATATAATTATTTAACAAAAATCCAGATTCTGAAAACTCTTTAAATTGCTTGCTACTATTAATGAAATCTTGAATTTCCTGTGTAACATCTATTTCATTACTCAGAATTAACTTACTTTTATTATTTTCAAAATTTTTACCCATTGTTAAGCGCTCTTTACTATTGCATTTTTCAATAACTTGATCAAATGTTTTTAAAACATCAATGGAGAATTCCAGAGCATTATCATTTTCATTTAATTCATCTTCGTTTAACAATTTAATATCGGTTAAAGTCATATACTTTGATATACTATTGCTTAATGTAGATAACTGAGATAACTGTGAATTACCTCTTGAAATGATTTTATGATTTTTTGAATTAAAACGGTTAATTGAACTTATCGAATCTTTGCTCCTAAGATGTATAGTATTTTTGTTATCGATATCAAACCATGAGTCGGTTGATGATAATGGCTCCATTACACTGATTTTCAATACATTACTTTTAAAAAAATTAGGATCAGAGATAGTTGAGGCTGAAATTGAAGAACAAATACTTTCATGTCCCTTGATAATGTCATTAACTGAATTACCAGATTGATGAAAATCAGGTGTTGATTTGCTGAAGGAGTGTGGATAACTGATAAAATGGAGTGAATCTTTGTTTTTTTCATTCAAATTAGGACTAGGGTAGTATATAGGTTGAGTAGTTGTCTGCACTAAAACTCCAGAATTTTCCGAATTGTTATTAGTGTCAATATTATTACCAGTACTTTTATTAGTATTCCCTGTATTTTGATCAAAAATATTACTAAAAATTGGTAAATCCAAGCTCAATATAGAATTTGAAGATCGTTCAATTGACTTGGGATTTGAAGCAGGAGGAAAATTTTTATTTAGTCCAGATGGTTCGTCTGATACAATAGTTAATGTAGCCTTTGATGTTGTATTTGACAATGGATATTGCAGTTGATTTGATGTTGGAGCTGAAATTAAATTTGAATCTGAAATAGAGTTCAAGTTTGATATTGTAGTTAAAGGTTTTACATCGTTGATTGGAACAGATTCATCTTCAGGAAGATTTTCTAGTTGAGGTTTTTTCTGATTAAATTTAATGTAATTTGGGTTATTTGTATTTGAAACAAGAGACAAAGGAGATTCAACATCTGAATTTTTTCTTGAACTTTTGTTAGATATAATTATAAGTTTGGGTTTATGATTTGTAGAAGAGAAAGCAGTTGATCTAGTTTCAGCTGTGTTTATGGATATATTTGATTCATCTCCAGACAAATATAAAGAGGCTATTTCATCGTCCATTTCATTGTCAATTTCATTTTCAAATTTAATTTCTCCACTTGGTTTATTTATTTGTTTTAAATTAATTTTTTCATAAATTTTATTATTAATAATATTGTTATTTGTATTAATTTTATCCAAGTTTGAAGATTTTGAAATTTCATTTGATAAAATTACCAAGTTTTCATTTAAATCAGTTGTTAGTGAGTTTAACTGAGCAAACTTCAATTTTAATAAATTATTTTCATTTAACAAATTTTGAATTGTATTTTGAGATTTGGTTAAAGAATTATTCATTAGCTTCAATTTTGATTTAAAAGACGAATAGATGAAATTTAAATGATTATTATAACTAGTTGTAACTTTATTGAGTTTTGAATTTAATTTTGTGATTTGATATGAGTTTTTGGTTATGGTAATATAATTATTAAAATTGATTTTCTTCAAGTTTGTATTCTTTAAGGAAAACTCTTTATTTGTAGTTTCCAAATGATTTATTATCTTTTGGTACCTCTTCTTCTGGCTATATATGTAATAAATGAGCAATAGGAGGATAAGCTGGATTACAATACTGTGATACATTGTTCACAACAGACCAATAGAAGCAAATTGCAACCAATTTTAGCACAGCAAAGAGATAGTAGAAAAGGGAATATATGAATGGCTATATATAAAACAGGAAGAAGACTATCTTGGTAGATAGAAATATTTGATATACGAAATAATATTTTTTTCACACGACAGTTATTCACTCCTCCTATGTCTTCCTCGTAATTAAACAGAATGTATGTCGAGGTTTGATGGCAGAATGAACTTAGAATATCTAGCTGAACATGTAAAGCTTTTTTGGCAAACCACCAAGAGTGCTTGAAAACAGTAAAGCAAAACTGCTAATTATAAACAAGTTGCAAGTCTAAAGGATAATTATTGTAAGAGTGGTTAGGAGTAGCTTCTGTTGCACCGATTACAGCTGAGTGTATCAACGACAAAGTGCTGTAGGTTGTCTCTTTATAAGCGAATCGCTAGGTCTTTTGTCTTCTATGGCAAAACAGCAGTTAGGAGGTCTTTAGAGCAGCTCTTCCATCTTCGGTTTGTTGTTTAGTGTGTTCTTCTGACTTTGTTCGATCAGACTATTGGCGTTGGAGAGAAGTTTCTTTGGAGTGTGGAAAGGCAGTGTTGGACCAAGGCATGTTGGGGCAAATCCCTTCATCGAATCGTACAGAGGTTAATTGGAATCTCACTGCTAAATATAAAATGCATACAATTGAAACATGCACTCTGAGCAAACAATGTGAACATACAATATGGGCATGCTAAGCAGGACCTGAGCAACACCTAAAGAGTATGGAGTGGGATAAGAGGCGAATACGAGAGGTTGAGCCAGATTGGCTGAGAGCTGGTCTTAGAAGGTCTTACATTTTTGATGCAGAGAGGATGTGTATTTCTATCAATTTCTGTCAAGAATTATGCCTATGTAAATGGAGTTGAATGAGTAGCCAGTGTGAGAACAGTTTTTTAAGACGAGCATGAAAATGAGTTAAAAAGAAAAGTGAAAATAGCTGTGATGAAAATTTGACCCATAACGTGGTAACCTTCTTGTAAGTATCATTGATAATTTAGTGGAAAAAAAAAAATTACATCAAAGAATAATAAAAATAGAAATGAGAAACACAACAAAACAAATATAAGAAAAACAATAGTAAAAATAACCCTAAACAAAAAATACAAAGAAAAATATATGAAATAATACCAAAACCCTAATTAGGAGAGTAGAGCAACATCTATTATTGATTTATAAGAAGTTCATAAGAGTTTTATAATTAATTTGCAAACAATTCCAAATCAAAATTTTATTTTGAGAAGTTTTCTATCACAAGAGATGAGAAGTTGTGTAAATGAGAGCTATTCCACCAAATATGACTAAACAAATATCAGAAAGTCTGGCAAGTTTGTCCTTTGCACAGGATTTATAATGAAGCATTGGAGGGTACATATAAACTAAAGGAATGCAAGCAAGACAACCAACCAATGAGACAAATCTATCCAAGTTATCAGCACCATAAATTGCAATAAGGGTGCACAGGATAACGATTGAAAATCTGAAAAAGTTTTTTAACCATTTAATTTTCCAATCAAATTTGCCATGTAAATTTGGACCAAAAATATTGTTTTCCAAGATTTTAATAACAGGAAACAATTGCAAAGGAGAAGATAATAAAATAGCTAAAGAATAGAATAGCTGAATTAGATTGACAAAGATTGAATCTTGTGGTAAATTTAGTATAATTACAGTTAGGGTTTTTGAGCCATAAGTCATATAACATAATGAAGCAATTGAGATCATTAAAATTGAAATTGAAACTATGACTAAAAACATAACTTTTGGAAATTTTTCTGGTTGAGCCATTGATTCTTGAATTGGGATAATTAAACCAATACCTTCAAAGGAAAAAATGGCTACACCTATGAATAAGGGCCAATCATTTGAATTGAAAAAAATAATATCGTTGGCCGGACCATTAAGAATTAAATGAAATGAAGTGTAATAAACAATGACGATCAAACCGAAAAAAATGAAAACGTTGGCAAATAATGCAGCTAAAGATAATTTTGTAATGTTTCTAATTAAAGATAATGGCATAAAGATTAGACATAGGATTGATAACATAAAAATGAATGAGACATCGAAATTAAAGATGTTTTTAATGAATGCAATCAAGTTATTACTTGTGAATACCAAATAAGTAGCTACAAAGCCAATTTGAGATAAGACTATTGAAAATAAAATGAGAAGTTTCATTTTATAGCCAAATAGGATTAAACCAATGTCACCAAAAGAGGAGACATTTGTAGCAGATTTAGTTTGGACTAATAGGTAATAGCACCAATAAGAGTATAAACCAAAGAAGAATAAAACAATTGAAGAAAAAAGTAAGCCACCATTTAAAAAGGCCTTTGGTAAAAATAAGATACCAGTACCTATAAATGCTTTAAATAATAGGAAGAAGGCCTTTAACGGAGTTGCAGTTCCTTTTTGTTTATTAAAAGCTGAAGAAGAGATATTAGTGGAGGAAGATTCGGATAAAAGAGGAGTTTCTTCATCAATTGATTTTGAGGGTAATTTAATTGCACAGGTTTTAAAATCGTAATCTTCCAAATTTTCACCAGCAAAATGACCATAAATAGACAAAAATTCCATGAAATTTCGAGTTAAAAAGGGAGGTAAAGTGATATCGTCATTACTGTTGTTTGTATTTGAAGTTAGTTTGCTTGATTTGGGGTTATTATGATTTGAATTATTTATAACTTTTTTAATAATAAATTCTCTTCTAAAACCACCAGGAACATTGATTGCACTTGCAATGGACTGTCGTCTTTCGTTCAAGTTAAAAGAAGATCTTCTGGATGGTTTTATAGTTAAGTTATTTTCAGTGTCATTATTAGGTAAATTGTTGTTATTAATTAGGTTTGTATTGAGAATATTTGAATTAGTTGAAATAAAAGAAACGTTATCCTTTGAATTTGAATTTGCAAATTTATATAAATCTCTTGTTATGTCACCACCTTGAAGAGTTATTGGGTCAATATTTGGATTGGTTATAAGATGATTTTTAACGCTGTTTAAAATCTCTAAATTTTCGTTTTGATTTTCTATGGTTAAGTTTTGTAGTTGGGAAGGTTGTTGAGGGGAATGATTATTTGAGTGAGACCAATTTGTGGAGGCGGTGAAGACTGAATTATTTGAGGACATTGGGGGATCATGTTTAATTAAGGGTAGTTTCGAGTTGCTGCTGTTATTATTGAGGTTATTATTCAAGTTATTGAGGTCGTCAAATGGGTTTGCGTTAGAATTTGGAATAGACACTGATCTTTTCATGAACAAATTTGACAAGTTGTTGTTACTGCTAGTATTGGTGGTGTTGTTTATTGATGTGCTGTTGTTTCTGTTTAGAAACGAGTGATTTAAAGAGTTGTAACTACTATTTCTCAAGTTTTTAAGATTCAAGTTTGAGCTTGAGTTGGGGTTGTAAAGATCATTAAGATGATTATTCGAGGGAGAGTTTGTTAGCTTGAGAATGTTTTGGTGTCTTACGGGAGACCCAGCAACACCAGGATCGCCAGCTACCAAGGACATTGGGTTGATATTTGATGAGAAGGAGGCATTTCTGTTATCTCGACCAAGGTAAGAACTGGAGGGCATCATTAGCAGACAACAGAGAGCAGAGAGCAGAGAGCAAGAGGACAGAGAAAAGAAGCAGTAAAAAGTAGACAGAGAAAGTAAAAAAGGAAAAGAAGACAGCTTAGGAGAAGAAACTCAGAGGAAGGCAAACAACGAGAAGCTGGAGTATTTATACTTTTCGCCTGAGATGGATGGCCTCTCCTCGCAACGACTGTTATCTGCAGCCGGCAAATGGGCGCGTGATCTTATCTCAGGCGGCTCGCTGCGTGATATAGCATGCGTGCGTGTGCAGCAGCATCTTATCAGGCTTTTACGTAATTGTGCAGTAGACAGCGTTTTTTTCAGTTGGTTTTTCCTCGGCGGGAAAGTTTTGCGCGAATGTGGTCAAAATAAGAGCGTGCGTGCCGCAGCGTTTGTGCACCGAATCCACAGCGCTGGAACGCTTCTTTGTATTTACAGAGTGGATGGTTTTGAAGCTAGAGCTGCTCGGTTTGCACAAACAGCTGCATTAGACGTTAGGTGGGAGGAGGAGGGCTCCTATCTGGTCTTTCCTCTCAGTTGAGAGTATGTCAAAGTTTTTGCAGGCATTCAAGGTGCTGGTCACCTCGAGCTGGATGCCCAACTCCTTGAAGAAGTTCTTGTTGCTTTGATCCAACATTCTTGTTTTTTTCCCTAGTCCAATCACTAACAAGTCTGGTTTGGGGTGAATCAACCTGAATATGCTCAAGGATTTCTCATTGAACTTCAAAATGAAGTTGTTGATGATTTCATAGTTATTCGACAAATCAATCTCAAATGTTTCATTATTAAGTAGTATTGCACCAACAATTTTCTGTTTTTTATTAATCTCATTGTCGTTGTTCTCAGGAATAACATTTGTTGATCTGATGATTAGCCCATTTGTTAATAGAAACCCGTTCGATAATACTGATTCCACTGAATTTTTTGGTCCAGTCAATCCGGCATAGATATCGAATTTTGATAGCGCAGTATCTCCTACCTTTTGAGTTTTCAATCCACCCAAATAAACAGAGCTATTCTTGCTATGAAATTCTCTTCTTAACCCTAAGCTACCATATCGTGCAAGTTTTCCGACACTTCTTAACCATCTGCTTGCTGCCATTTCGATTCAGCTTATTTTTCTTTCCTCAGTATTCCATCACTTCTCCACTGAAATCTGCAAAATATCAAATCCGGATTTTTCTTGCGGATTTACCAGTCCGCATCACATGACAATTTTCTTTTTTTCACGGAAATATCCCAACCGAGAGTGAGGATATAATCAACCTAAATTATATTGAATAAAATCAATTTACTGCATTTTGGGTTCATTTTCATAAAAAGTTATTCTTTAATACACGTCTAATAACTGTTAATAATGCCCGTCAAACCACTATCAGCAACATCCCTTTCCATGAATGGTTTGGGCACATTCATGCTACCTGTATGTTGTCTCTCTTCTTTTGCACTTTTCCGGCCTCTTTAAATTGTTATATTAACATCATTAATTGTCTTTCTTTTCTATTATTCTATTCTTTTTTTTTTCTTTTTGGTCTCACTTCATTCTATTATACTTGATACAGTGCAAAAAAATAGTTTTACAATATTGTAACTGGAATGGTTCCGCCGAGGGAATGAGACAGTTCATTTTGAATGAATTAAAAGATTATGCTGCTTCAAATCCAAAAATCGAGTTCAACATAATCAAAAAAACCGGCCATCCTGTCGTAAAAGGTTACTATCCTTACAACCAAGTCAAATCAATTTGTGTCAGAAATTTAAAACCCTTTGAAATTAAAAGAAAATTGGATTTAATCAAAAATAATTCATCTGCTCAATTAACTTCATACAAGAATAACGTCACAAGTAAAAATAAAAACCCAAGAGGTATTTGGAGTCCCTTTCATGTTGCACCCTCTCTAAGACACAAAATTTAATCAGAATTCACATAAATATCTACAAAAATCAATATCTTATTAGCTATTCATTTATTGTATTACCTTCTTTTGTAAATACTACATTTGTCTACGTTTCTATCCAATTAATACTCATAACTTAACTTTTTATATTCTATAAATCTGTAGATTTTAAAAACAATGAAACATAAATATAAACAAAAATTATGATTTTATAAACTAATAAAATTATAAAATCATAGGATAGAAACAAAATCAATCAAAAATCAAAAATCAAAAAAAAAAAAGACTGTAATGAACATTCAAGAAAGTGAATTTAAAATTCATAACATATATAATCCAGCTATATATACCAACAATAAAAAACATGAAATTAATGAAAGGAAACAAAAAAAACAAAAAACAAAAAATAAATAAAAAAAAACAAAATGTATAGGATGATAATTGACATCATGTACAGAAAATATATTATACAAAAAAAAAAAATGTAACCTTTTACAGTTTTTACGTGATATTAATAATTGGAAAATTTGGGGTTGACTTATTATTATGGTTTAAATGAAATATCTTCTGACTACTCGATTTTCGGCTCAATAATGCTTTTTTTGCTGCAATTTTAAACGAAGTAGATTTTTGTGCAAAGAATTTTCTTCGAGGTCGATAATTTTCTGTATTTTTTTCCTTTTGCAGTTCTTTATTGAAAATCGGATCAGACTTTCTACTATAATGAACACTTTTACTTTGAGATTTAGTTTTGCCGTTTTTATTATTATCAATCTTGGTGGCTATACTGTCCTCGGTGATAGTTTTTCCATTCTTATCACTATTTTCACTTATTTGAGCAGTATCATTGTTATATCCTGTCTTTTGAATATCTTTGGCTTGGTTATCGCTATTAACGTAGTTCAAGTTAGGATTTACCTCTGTAGATGACTGAGAATTATCATACTCATGTCTATTTTCCTTTCCAAACAAGTTCTCAAGTCCTTTTGTTTTATTTTGATTGGGAATATGGTTATTGCTATTAGTGACTTCAGATCCATGAGAAACTAAACTGAACGTAGACTTTAATGATCTTAAAGAATAAAATGATCTTTTTGACGCTAATTTTCTCAATCCCCTACCATCATTATTTTTTGCTATTTCAGCAATACTCGGAGGCGGAATTATTTTATCAATATTATCGGCAGAAAGAAAATCACTTGAAGACGATTTGGGGAGTGATATTTTCTGCTCCATCTCTTCCTCAACATAAGAATCATCAATTGAAATCGAAAAAAATTGTTTCAAATTCGGAGTTTTCATTTCTTCATCTTCTATATTATTATTTTTCCCATCAATTTTTTTATGTGTGGGTGAAATTGTTAAAGTGTCCTTAGATTTATTTTCTTGAAAACTTGGGCTATTATTAATTGGTGGTAATGCATCCAAATCATCATCTGAAAATATTGAAGCAACACTTTCACTTCTAGATTTTTTCAAAGGAATTTGATTAAGATGTTCCAAGTAATGATCAATAATAAAGCAAAATTCCTCAAATTCAGAACTTTCGGGCCCTTGTAGTAAATTTTCATGGCAATAATTTATCAGTAATTCATCATTTCTTAAAATATCTTGGTAATGAACCTCATTTTCAATGTAATATATAAAACTTTCAACTTTAAATTTTTCATACCACAATGATTGCAAATATGACAGGTATACTTTATTTGAAAAATTTAATAACAAACTTTTTGTCTTTGTTTGTAAAGGTATTAAATTTTGAACAAAAAATAGGATCTTAAAAAAACTAGATATTGTCTTTTGAATAACTTTAAACTCACTCTTTAGAACAATATATTTTTGATTAATTCCCATAATATCTAATGAAGTTATTTCATAAATTTCGACATCGTAACCTTCAGCGGAATTTTCAATGGGTTTTTCAACGGGATTTTCCGAGTTAGTCTGAGCAGTGGAATAACTCTCCAAAAATTTTGAGCAGTTAAGATATGTTTGAATATCAAATGGAGTGCAATCAGAGATACTTGATAAATGATTCAAACAATTGATCCAGCTCATCATGGTTTCAGTTGAGCTAGATTTTAATAATTCTCGAGAATCAATTGAGTCCAATACTCTCTTATCCATCCAGGCCAAACAACTATCAAAATCATCATCAAGATTGTTAAATTCAGAATCCAAACTAACATAAAAACTATTATCGGTTTCTTTGAGAGACGATCTGTAGGCAAAACATTTTTTCAACGGAATAGAGCAAATAAGATTAGGGTTTGCACTATGAGTGAAAATATTGTTAAATGAAAGATACGAATTAACTTCTAAGACTTTTAATTTTTCTTCCAATTCTGTAGAGTTATTGAAATTGTTATCATAAAAATCATTTTCAAAGCATTCTAATATTTCTTCAGTAAGATTGCTAATCCAACTTAAGTTTCTGAATAAATATAAACCAAAATTTGTAACAATGCAATATGATTTTCTCCAGCCATTACTATTAGAATGATTTTCATTTAAATCTTCTTTAAAGTTTTTTCCACGGCCTTTGTTTTTCTTTCTATTCTTAATTAAAGAAGTTGATCTTGAATGGTATAAAACACCGGCTTTTACAATACTAACATAATAATATTTTTTAGTAGTAGAAGGTTGTTCATTTAGAGAAGTTGAAGAATCCTGACTATTGATTGAAATACCGTTTCTGAATTTAAAGGAAGAGCTTGCAGGAGATTTAATTTGTAAATTTTCATTTGAATTTTGATGATTAAAAACCTTTAAACCAAAATTAGAAGATAAATAAGGAGATATCAGGCAGTGGTTTGTAAATTTTAAGACCAATTTATGAGATGATTTGGAGATAGAGTACTGAGATGATGAAAATGCTGTCTTGGAGAAATTTTCACCATTATACTCCACTAAATTTTGAAAAATGTCTTCATATGAGTCACTGAGGTCGAACAGAGATAAATCTAGTTTCATGAAATCAAGATCTTTATATGTAGAAGAGGAATAAACCAATGAGTTCAAATTTGATACACTTGACCACCCGAAAGTTGAATTTCTTCTTTTTAATTGAGGACTTGGATTAGAAGATGCTAATGGTAATGTGACAGTATATTTAGCCGAATCGAAAACTTCAGATATTGATTTGAAAGGAATTGCAGTTATATTGTCGAAAAAGTATTCGGCTAAATCTTTACAAAGCAAATTAAACAAGGGGTCTCTTTTCTTAAAATCTGAGTTTTTTGATTTTTTTAATTTTCTTTTGCTATCATTTTTGAAATCATTAATAATGGCGAGATAATCCAGTTTTGTCATTTTAGTTTTATTATTTTTGTTAAAATGATCAGTATGAAGAACCACTAGGGAGAACAATAGAGTGTAAATTTCATCGATTGAGTTGAATAAGCATTTATCAGTTGTTTGAGTAATAAATTTTTGGTCTTTTAGGCGTAGACTGATGATATTTTCAAAATGTTTTAATTTTAGGAAATATAGATAGGTGGTAGAAATTGATTCTAAAACCATGTCAATCTTTTCAGTTTCGCCAGGTAGTTTATGAAAATATAGAAATTTTCTTAGGATTAAGTCGACAGGTATTGAATATACTTTTGAGATCATTTCTTGAACTGATAAATTACCTATAGTTGTAAATAAAAGGTAGGAATCTTTCAAATCGTCTTGGTGGTAGTAATCATCGATATTTCTAGAGGCTATATCAAAGATTTTGGAATCAATTGGGGAATGATTGAAAGGGTTAATTTCTTGTTCCAAGCCAGTTTCATTATAGAACAAGTTGAAGAAAAAAACATACAAGTAGTATAGTAGGCAATTTTTATAAAAGTTATGGTCAGTTCCATAAGAGTAATCTGAGAAATCGTAGCTTTTGGGAGAATTGATGATTGAGTCGTTTTTATTTTTCAAGGGAAAGGAGAATTTTGAGGATAGGATGTCTATAATTTCGTAGGAATAGCCATCTTCTAGTAGTTTAAGAATGTAGGATTTATAGTCATCATTCAAGTGAGGTTTAGGGACGTGGGATAGATTGAAGCTGTCTTGCAAGATTTTTTTTTTTTTCAAAACTGAGTTTGAGATATCATCAAGAGAAGATAGAGAAGTTGAAGTGGAGTTTGTGATTCTTTTATCGGAGAGGAGACTTGGATAGGATACAGTTGATTCATTTGAGAATCTTGAAAGAAAGTTAGGAATTAGGCTATTTTTTCGATGAGGAGGGTTCAGTAGGGATAGTCTTGTTTCATAGTCTAGGGAATGGGTTAGAGGGGTGTCATTTTCAAGGGCTACAGATCTTCTTTTGTAGGAGTGGATATCATTTTGGGAGGGGATTGAAGATAAAGAGCCGACGGTTTTGCTTCTTCTTCTGTTGAAGGGAGATATTTTTGAGTTGGCGATAGAATTGAATTTTGTTGGAGAAGCTGAGTTGTTTCTCTTTTTGATGAAGAGAGAAGATATGTTGTTGTTGTTGTTGTTGTTATTGTTATTGTTGATAATTGAGTTTTTGGAGGATATGGATAGGCTTTTTTTTCTTTTTGCTAAAGAAGCTTTTCGTTCAAGAATGTCATCCGTAGATTGGGATATAAAATTTGATAATGAGCGGTTAATATTTGTATTTACATTTGTATTTATATTATGAGATGATGAGATGTTTGATTTTGAACGTAGGTTGTTATCTGAGGGTTTTGTTGATATGGAGTGGTTAGAAGGAGAGTCAGTGGATAGGTCAGTAAAGAGAGAGGTTGTCTTTCGACGAAATTTTTTTAAAGGGAATATTAAGGAGGATCTATTTTTGGGTATAAGTAGAGTGGAGGAGGAAGATGCTTTTGTGAGAGATTTTCTTGAAGCTATAGACGAAGCAGGAGAGCTTTTGGTATTGGCATTTGTATCGGTGGTTGTGCTGTTAATGGTGTTGATGTTTGATATGTTTATATTGTCTTGAGGAGATTTTGGACTATATACTTCTATAGAAGGAATTTGGAAGGATGAGGAATGAGAATCGGAAGTGATTAGCTGAAGATTTGGGTTTTTTGGTATGTTCAAGGACTCTAGTTTTTTGTAATTGAGAATATTTTTTTGCAATTTGTAGTTGTAGCTGGAGTCATTGGATAGGTAGTCGTCGTGGGATAGATAGTCGTCGTTACTTTTCAAGGCTAACAAACTCGAACCGCTATTATGATTATGATAAGTTGTATAGCTATCGTTGTAGAAAATATCGTTATCATTGAAAAAAATCTGGGAGGAAGTGGTGTTTAAGTTGAGAATATCATTGTCGTTATTATCGTAGATTACGGTGGTATTAAAATCGTCAGAATTTTCATCATCATCGTCCTTGTTGTAAAAGTTATTATTGTTATTGCTATTGCTATTGCTATTGTTATTATTGCTGGTATTATTATTATTGTTATTATAGTCGTTATTGTAGTCGTTTATTGGGGTTGCTTTTGAGTCGTAGGTGATAGTGTTGTCTAGACTGAGCATATCGGAAATGTTGAAGTTTGAATTTTCTTGGTGAATATTGTCATTGTTGGACATATTTATGTTGTTGGAGCAGTAGGTGCTGGAGCGCGAGATGTCTCTGTTTGAAGCTGAGGATAGCAGGAGGGAGGAGGAGTTGGAAATGGACCTTATGGTGGCAGTGGAACCCTGGAGCGACGGGTGCTGGCAGTAGTGGAAGGAGGAAGAAGTGTCGGCAGAGAGGTTGGAGGGACGAGAGTGGAAAGAGATGGTGGATCTGCTGCCGGAGTGGAAAAGGGTGGTGGAGGAGCGAGAGCGGAGCCTGCGGAAGACGCTGCGAAGCTGCGAGGAGCTGGAGGTGCTGGAGGTGCTGGCGGTGCTGGCGTCCATCGTGGAGAACAAAATAACAAGAGCAAAGCACAAGAGAACAAGCGCAGAACAAGAGCCGGGGCTGCTGCTGCCGCTGCTGCTTCTGCCGCCGCTTACGTCAGCGTTCTGCCTTTGTGCCTCTCCAGCAGAGATATAAGCACCACAGCAGCCGCCAGCTCTGCTTCTCCTCCACCAGCGCTGTTCTACGATGGACCTCTCCCACGACGTTTCAGATGCCAACGAGCAGGACGAAAAGTCGACCAGCGATTCTATCATCAATGGCTACTTCGATAATCCATCCAGAAACACTCCTACCCACGATCCTGCTGCTTCTGCTGCTGCTGTGCCTGGGTCAAAAGACCATTCTGATGCCTTTCTCCCAAAACCCCCCTCTGCCCTCTACATCAGCAAAAAGAACCAGATAATCTACTCTTCCACCTCAATTCCCAAGTCCAATTCAGCCTCAAATTTAAAGAGATTGAACTCGTTTTCAACCAAAACTAAAAACCTATCCCACTCTCAAATATCCGAAATCGAAAACTCTCTTTCTATCAGTGAAGAATCGCCATCAACTAGTAACCAAAAGTCGTCTAACGCTTCTCTTCCTTATCCTTATATCAACACCATAAGTTCCACCTCAGATACTCCGTCGCTAATAACCGACCCTTTGTCTACCACTTTTACTCAAGACTTGTCCTCAAATGCCTTTGGCACTTCCAGGATCCTAAATGATTCTGCTAAAAACTTGAATAAATCCTCCTTTTTCAATGAAACCATCAACGAAACTGTCACTTCAAACCTAAACTCAACCCAAAACAAATCACAAAATCAAGACCAAGACCAAGATCAAGATCAAGATCAAGATCAAATTCCAGATCAAAACTCAAACAACCCTCTTGGTTTAAATCTGCACGATAAAATCAACCCGAAAATCATCAGCTTGAACAACCCAATTATCCCTTCTCATTCCCATCCTCATTCCTCTCATTCTTCTGTTTACTCTTCCTCCTCTCACTCATCCAAAAATAAAAACCCTTTAAAACACTCCCTTTCAATCATCTCCTCTATCTTTGATCACAAAAAAAACAATATTCGCCCAAACGATCATGATCCTTCAAATAATAACCACATAAAACTCACCCAAAGATTACCGAGAAACTTTTACCAGGTCTTCTCTGGAATCTTTTTTGTCCTATTCGTCCTCAGTTTATCCGTCTTCCTACCTCTAATCATCGTCTTCTCAAGAGGTACTGAAAATTCAATCGATTCCTTTTTCAATAGAGCTTCATCCGATGTAAGACAAAAGGTATTCACCAGACTAGCTCAAAACTACAACCTTCTCTCCCTCCAAAATCCTTCGCTAAACAAAAAAAATCCCAATCTCAACAACTCCCTTACAAATCTTAAAAACCACACTAAAACTATTGATCTAATCCATTTTAACCCTCTAAATAACTCCAGCACAATTAATCCCAATAATCAACTCGTCAACACCCTCTCCGGAATCTCTTCAAAATATAGACAAAATCAGCAAATCATAAACATATTCGAAACTCCAGGTCTCCACAACATCTTTTATGGTGTAGCCTATGCTCCCAGAAACGTCATCTATCCCTTGTGTGGTGTCTCCCTTGACGATGTTATCCTGGATCTAGTTCTACTCTCCCAGATTACAACAAGAATTAAAACTTATGGAATGCAATGTAATCAACCAGATTATATCCTAAACGCTATCAATGAACTCAATCTCAATATGACCTTAGCAATGGGCATCTGGATAGGCGACGATGATCAAATCAACAACCAGCAAATTCTCCACATGAAAAAAATACTATCCGAATACGATCAAAAATATTTCGACGCCATTTACGTTGGAAATGAGGTCTTGTTTAGAAACGAAAAAACGAGCTCCCAATTAGCTCAATACATTAACCAAGTCAAATCTTACATCTCACAAATGAATTATGATATCAAAGTTGGAACAACTGAGATAAACTCCAAAATAGATCCCATCATCGTTGAAGCTTCTGATGTAGTAGGCGCTAACATACATCCCTTTTTCGGTGGCGACCATGTTAAACAGGCCACCTCTTGGGTCCTTAATGCTTTTGAACATCAAATTAAACCAATTAACAATCTAGTCGATAACCCTGCTCAATTAGTGCTCTCTGAAGTTGGTTGGCCCTCCGGTGGTGGAAGCTTCCTAAACTCGGTTGCCGGTTACAATGAAATGCAAATTTTTCTTGACACTTTTGTCTGTGAAGCTAAAAAAATTGATACCCCATGGTATTTCTTTGAAGCATTTGATGAACCATGGAAAGAAATATACTACACGGACGACAGCCAGTGGGAAACAGAGTGGGGCATTTTCACAGACGACAGAAAACTCAAGCCCGGAATAGTGCTTCCCACCTGCCAGTAACTCGCTCTTCGCTCTTCCTCACAATTACTTATATATCCTCACAATATAAGAATTCTTTATTGCTGAATTATATTGCTCCCCAATTAGGAAACTGCCTACTGCTCCCATAGCACTGGCTCCTCGGCGCGGAAATGCCCAAACTGCCTTCAACAATAAAAAGATAATAAAATAAAATAAAGTACAGTAAATCACACAAACCTCTCACACAATAGACTCCACTGCCGATGTTGGCTATTGTTGTGTTTTGCCATGTTTTCGATTCTTGATGGTTTGGGCAAAAACTGGATTACACAGAAGAGAAGGAACACATCAAGAGTCTTTCTCAACAGATCTTCCTTGGAGAGGTCCAGAACTGGCTGCTTTGAGTGCAAAAGAAAGAAGAAGAAATGCGATGAGAAGAAACCCTCCTGTCTTCTATGTCGTAGGTCCAACAAGCTTTGTGTCTATCCTGAAAAATCTCTGCTACCAAAATCAAAAAGAACACCTAAAAAGCCATCTAGAGTTGAAAAGGAAGCCACTGCTCATCCCTTATCCTTAAATCAAAATAACTCTTTATCTTTGGCCACTGAGTTATCAACTAATCCAGCTTTTGTAATTCCCACTCACATTGATTTATCATTTATAAATCAATCGATAAATGCAAATCAAACTCCTTCAATCTCAACTATTTCCAACTCATTCTCAAATTGTCCAATTCCTCCTCACTCCAAAAAATTATGCTCCTTGATTAAATTCAATAACTCCTACTATGTGGCCTCATCTATCCAATGTAAATGCCTGTATCTTCAAAATTTCATTACATTAAATAATAATAACAATAATAACAATAATGATAACAATATCATACAAAATCATTTAAATCAAATTAACGCCATTCCCCAATCCTTGAATTATTTTGCTGATATCAATACGTTTTTTATTAACCAAGAATCTAAATTATATTTTGAATTTTATGTTAGCAACATATCAAAAATTTTACCTGTTATTGACCCTCATTTGTCTTATTTTCACACCTTATTTATTGAAATAGCTTTAAGTTATCACCACAATAATCAAAATTTATTAGTATTATACGCCTTAACCGCTTGGGGTGGTTGGTTTTATAACAATTTTCAATATGGGCAAAATAATAATGACTTTTTATTAAAAAACTTTCCCGAATTCTTTTCAGATCTTCAACCCAATCAAAATTTGAATCAAAATTATAGTAATTCTGATCCCATATCTTCTCGCCATAATATTAATAATGATCAAAAATTGAAAATTAATCAATACAATCAAGGTTTAAAACTCATAAATGATTATAAATCAAAATCTCTTCAAATCTTAAACACCTCTTGCGATAATTTAATTTTAAAAGTTATTGGTTTAATTATTCTATTAAGCTTTGATATCTCAATTGGTACTGTTTCCCCAAATTCTTGGAAAAGTTATCTTGATGAAATCGCTGTTTGTATAAATAAAACTGGCTCGCTAATTGGATTTATTAATTTAGATAATTCAAATGAAATAACAATTAGATTAATTTTAAATTTCATTTATCATGATATATTAAGTAGCACTTCAATTGAATCTGGCACCTATTTTCCTATTGAAGATTACTTTAATTTGTCTATAATTGACAATAATATGGACTCGTTGCAGGGATGCAATAAAATTTTATACTTAATAATTGGTGACATAAACAAATTGACGATGCAAATTGTAAATTACAAAAGCTCAATCTCATCATTAAAAATAGCAAAAAATTATTTGCCAATTAATGAAAAAGCACAAAACTCGATCCCTTCCACTTCCACTAATACTACTACTAATTCTGATTTAATTTTTTCCTCCTTTCATCAGTCGGAATATAATAAAATGGATAAAAATTTGACTTTTCAAATAGATTTTTATTCAAATTTGGAAGATATCTTAATTCCCAACATAATCAACAGAATCGATACAGCTATTCCTCAAACAACATCAGTAATGTTTTTAAATTCAAAATTAGAAATGGAGGTTCATCTTACAACTTTTGAACTTTTACAAAATACCCTAAAATTATTAATATTGCATGCTATTAAAAATCTACCTCCTATTTCTTTTGAAATTCAATTATTAATTTTAAAAATATTTCCTCTAATAGATATAATTATAGGCACAAGATTACAAAGCAAATTAATCTTTTGTCTTTTAATTTTAGGGGCAAATTGTTTTAAAATTCAACATAGAAAAAGATTCTTGAATCAAATCAAACGATATTGTGAAATGGGTAGTTTTTATTATAAAGCAGGAAATATTGAGAAAATTTTAAAAATTATTAAACAATGCTGGGTCAAAAATAAAAATGGAAATAAAAGTATTCATTGGTGGACAATTGCAAAAGATTTTGGTTGGGAAATCAATTTGGGAGACTAAACCTAAATCATTTTTACAATTAAAATATAATTTTTTTTATAATTTTAAAACTATTTATTCATTTAATGTCTGTATGAAAACAATAGAATTAAAAAGAACAACTGAAAATCCTATATTATAATTTCGATATTACATCATCTTTAATCAAAGAACCTTCTTGATACAATAGATCTATCTTATCTTTAAAAAATGAAGCACACACATTTCGTTTCACTTTAAAAGTTGGGGTAATTAAATTATTTTCAATTGTTAGCGGGTTGATTGCCAAATATAAATTATGAATCTTTTCAAAATTTTGTAAAATTGATTTTCTTTCTTTGTTAGATAATGATTGGATTTGCTTGTTAAGAAAACTCAAAATTGTTTTCTTGAGAAAATAATGACTGTTGATTAATCTAAGTAACTCTAAATCATCTCTTTCTGAGTCTGAACCTAAAAGGTCTTTCAAGTTCTGAAATATTTGATAATTGCTTGAATTTGAATGTATTCCTCTAAAATGAATTTCGTCTCTTTCAATACTTTTTTTCAATGCTAAGGCATCCACACCAACAATAGATACAAGATAATTTTTAAAAGAATTGCCATAAACAAAAACTTGAGTCAAAATTGGACATGTCGAAAGATATATATTTTCAATTTTTTCTGGAGCAATGTACTCACCTTGACTTAACTTGAAAAAATTCTTCACACGATCAATAATGTAAAGTCTATTTACATTTTTAGTATCAACTTTAGCAATATCACCAGTCAAAAAAAAGCCATCTTCATCAAAAGATTCTAAAGTCGCCTTTTCATTTTTGAAATATCTTGGAAATATTTGAGGACCTCTTAATAATAGCTCCCCTTTTGGAATTCCATCGGGATCATCAACATTATAGTTCATGTTTGGCACACTCTTCAATCTAAACTCACAAGTAAGACCACCAACACCACAAGATCCAGGTTCCTTTTCATAGGCTCTACTAATTGTAACACCAGCCATCGATTCAGTTAGACCATAACCTTGTTTGAAGCCCATACCAAGTATTGCTTTTAAAAACTTGACAGTTTCAGGAGCAATGGGTGCAGATCCAGTCACACAAAATTGCATGTTATCAAAACCCAAAGTATGCCTTGTCTTATCGACCACAAGCCTATCAAACAACCAACTCTCACCTTTATTATCAGGTTCCAGTGATTGAACTTGTTCTTTGTCTCGAATAGATTTTTCAAGTAAATATTTCTGAAACACATTTGAGTTCTTTATGGATTGCTTAAGGCTACTCTCAATTTTTGTAAAGACTCTTGGAACAGCGCTTAAAATATGAGGTCTCAAAACTCTTATGTCTTCCATCAAAGAGTTGACAGGAATCGAAGAACTCGGAAAGGCAATTGCAACACCACAAGTTATTTGATAAGCTGAAACTTGTCTTTCAAAAATATGAGCCAAGGGTAAAAAACATAAAGCTCTAGGCTGATCTTTAGTATAATATTCAGCATATTCAATTTGGTCTTTTGATCTTTCATTAGCATCGGGTTTACCAATGTGGGTAAAGGCAAAAGTTATACCAGATAGTAAGTTTCTTTGAGTCATTTCAACTCCTTTTGGTAAACCTGTGGTTCCAGAGGTAAATGAAATTGTGTATAAATCATCAGGTTTTGAAGGATTTAAAGGGATTGGAAAAAGTTTTCCAATTTTTTCAACATTTCGTAAGTCTAATAATTGTAAGTCTAAGGAATTGGATAAACTGATTAAATGGTTATCCTTTTCAGGGTTTAAATTGTCAAATGAAACAACAATAGCTAATTTTTGCAATGAAATTGGATGATCTTGTTTCAATTTCAACACTTTGGAGATATTTTGATATGAGCAAAATAATATAGGAGACTCTGTTATTTCAAGAATATATTTAGATGTTTCTGGACCAAGTGTATCATATAAAGCAGTATTGGGTAGGCTGTAGGATTGGCATGCAAGATCAGTTAATAACCATTCAAGTCTATTAGAAGAATATAAAGAGACTAAAAAAGGATAGTTATAATTTTCATTTGTGTAAAAGCTTGAGTCAATGTCTTTAAATCTTTTGTAAGTTTTATTATTTAACACCAAAGACAATATACCAGCACCCAAATTATTTCTTCTTTCTCGAATCTTGGAATAGGACTGAAAAGTATAAAATCGATCAAACTGATTTTTAGCAGTGTTGTTAAATAATCTTTTGCCTAAGCAATTGTGGTCTGGCCATAGGTTAGCAGAAACCTCAAAGATTTTGAAATAGGTATCGACAAAGGGATGAATATAAGAGATTAGACTTGGTTGATTGTCTGGAGTTGTTGAATTTAAAATAACCAACTTGCTTGGTCGATAAATGTGAGAATGACTGTCCTTTTGAGAGTTTGGAATTGGCAAGCCGACATCAATTTGGTCAGTGGGCAATGGTAAGTTATCATAGACATCAGATATTTCCTTCTTTTGAGCATCAGATAATCGATAGCCAAAGGTGTTGTCAAATTGGGCGTCCATTTTTTCTTAAGGATCAATAAATGTATATTAATTATTTCTGGTGTTTGCTGAAAATATAAGACAGTCTCAGATAGTGGGAGGAATAAGAGTGTGAAAGAAAGAAATTGACTATAAATACCTTTTCAGAGTATCATGTGTCAATCAGTTAGAAGGTTCTGTTAGCCAATCACCAGCGAATCTTCCGGATTGCTGTGGTCCAAAGTAAACAAAAAGCATTATATCTGGATCATTGCTTCCTTTTTATGGTTTTCTTCTCCACATTGGTCGAATTCAGAAATCATCACAAGTCCATTTTTCTAATGCAGTTACGAGTATTTAGATGTACAAAAATGTGTTTGTACATATCACCACAATGATGGTAATCTCGGAAAAACTTCAACCCACGAAAATGGTTTTGATGTGTCAAACTAAAAATAGTGTGAAATTCCATTCTTTAAGAACTTCGACCCAGTTCAAGTCTTGATTGGATTCGTTTCTCTTTTTCCAGATCTCAAAGATCACTTGCTTTGCCTTCCAGTTATTGTTATTGAAAACATCTAACTTTTCATATTTATTGTACTTCTCCCACAATTGCTTGCATTTTTCTTGCAAGTCAATCGAACTGGCTTCGCAGCTGGTGAAAAATATTTGCAAAAAGAACGGTTTGAAATAAAACATTTTTTTATTTAAAAATTTATCATCGTGATAGTTTTTTTGAATTATTTCGTAAATTCTTTTCAAATGATTGATTGAATTCGTTGCATAATAACTTAATAAAACTGCAGGATATTTTTTGATAATTTTATAATAGTATATTAGCATAGAATTATAAAATGACATGATATTATGGTATACTAGTTCGTGATATATAGAAAAAAACTTCATTTTTTTTCTTGAATTTTTATTATTATCATTATTATTATTATCATGATTGTTATGACCAATAATATTATAACTAGGATTATACTCACAATCATAATAATACAAATTCCAGTTGATTCTCCAATTTAATAATCTATCTTCAAAATCTGTACATATTTTTGGAAAATTTCTTGCAAATATTTTCTTTTCTCTAAAAAAATTATTATGATTGCAAAGCTTTGTAATCTTGTTTAATAAATTGATCAATGATAATGGTATTGGAAAAATTAAATCATTAAAATTTAAAATATTTGGGTCAATATTATTATTCAAATTTTGCCAATTTAGATAAAGATTTGTATCACTATTGTTATCATTGTTAAGGATTTTAGGTAATGGTAAATCGATTAATCTGTCAATTCTTTTTAGTGGTCTTGCTGTATTATTTTTAATAGTATTAAAATCAGTTATCAACTCTCCTTCGTCTTCGCTTTCGTTTTTGACTTTAAATCTGATATTGTCACTTTCATCGCAATTAAATCTTACCTGAATTGAAAGGGTTGGAATTTCATTTAAATTTGCATCGCTATTATTTATACTAGTATCACAAATTGAATTTGAACTGTGACTGTCAATACTAGATTTTTCACTCATTGAAACTGTTTGCAATGGTAAAGAAGTTGATGAACGAATTTCAATATTAGTTTTTTTATTGCCCATATGTTTATAATAATAATCGTAATCATCTTTGATTAAGTTATAATTTTTTTTTAAGATATCATCAAATTTTTTAATTTTAAGGATTTGAAAGTTATTACGATCAAATATAAATGTTGCATTATATATATTTTTATAAACCTTTAGATAAATGATTAAATAATTGAAATTGAAATTAAGTTCATTATTATTATTTATAATATTGTTATAATTTTTATTTAGTATATTAAAATTACTTATATCATCATTATCATTAAAATCATTTAAATCATTTAACAAGTCTTTGTTAATTTTTATTTTATCATATTCATTTATTATATAATTTTTACCATATTTTTCATTTGAATTTGATGAGTTTGATAAAGTTGATAAATTTATAATTAAAATATCACAAAATTTAAAATATTTTTCAAAATTTAAATTTGAATCAAACAATTTATCTAAATTTAATTGGATAATAAATAATAGTAGAAAAATGACTTTTAAATTTAATGAAAATTGATTTATTTGATTATTTATATAATTAATTAAAATCAAAATCTTTGAAGTAAGTAAATTTCTTAAATATATAGATAAATTTAAAAAAGTCGAGTTTGATTTTAAATTTTTTTCGGTATCATACAAGTGGAAAGAAGAAATTGATAAAATTTGAAATAGGATCAATTGTTTAATGTAAAATTCTTTATTTAACTCAAATAATTTGATATCATGTTGAGGTGAATTTGAATTAAAAAACAAATCATTGATGGAATTTGATAATACAAATTGAGATATGATTTTAAGTATAAAGGGAAAAAAGTTTTGGTTCCAAGGATTTGAAAAGGGCATGTTCAAAGAGAAATTCATTAATAAATGCAAGACATTTAATTCGAAGTTTGAGATTAATTGATTAAATAAAGAAGATAGAGATAAATGGTTTGAGGAAATATCGAATAGTAAATTTAAATTTTTCTGATTTAGTAATAAGTCATTTTCTAACGATTTATCAGGTTTAAAGAAATAAAAATAATTGGAGGAGGGAAAGAAAGAGGGAGAAGAAGAAGAAGAGGAAATTTGAAGCAAATTTGCAGATAAATTAGCTAGATTAGTTAACGATGGATGAATCCAATATTGGTATCTTAGTTTTTTAATCTCATGGTCTAATTTGATTGAATCTTTTGATTCACGTTCTGGTTCAAATTCATGATCAAGTTTGGATAAATTTTTTGAAAGCAAGTTGAAATTTGAATTTGATAAAATTAAAAGATTTTTTTGGGGATTAGAAGTAAAAGTTATTGTCGAGCTATTTTTTTCTGCAACTGAGCCATTATCATTGCCATTAATAACTGTATTTTCACCGCCATTAGTACTGAAATTATCATAGCCATTTTCATAGACATTATTATTGAGATCATTTATTTCACTTATCTGACCAATAGAATTATTATTATTATTATTATCATTATTACTATCGGAATAAAAAACGGAAAAAGGCCCTTCGATTAAATTTGAGTTTAAATCAAATTCCTTTGAATTTTGATCCAAGTCGTGTGATATACCAACATTGTTATGAATATCATCATTAATATCATCATTAATACTTTGTTCAATATTAACATTTAAATTTTGATTTAAAATGTTGTTAATGTATATTTGAAATTGAATTGAATCTAGATCAATTTTTTTTAACAAGCTATTGATATAATTCAAATTAATAAAATTTGAATCCAAAGCCTCCCAGTCAATATATTTGATATGGCATCTTTGAAAATACTCATCATTGTTGGAATCATCATTAAAGGGCTCAGCTTTTTGTATGTTCGAGTTTATGATTTTGTTGTTGGGATTCCTGAATTGTGTAAAACTCGTTGCTCGAGTTAAATTTCTCTTGACTGGATCGAAAGAATGTAACGTTAGGGGAATTGCCCATTTCAACTTAATGTCATAGCCTGAGCAAATCAACCCAGACTTTTCACATCTTTTGCAATAGGGTCTTGTTGAATCGCACTTAACCTTTCGGGTTCTACACACCCAGCAGCCTGCAAAGTTTCTTGTTCTTTTGATCTTCTTTCTGGCATTCGAGTTGCTATCAAACGAGTTCTTGCGGTGGAGAGCTTGAGACAGATTTCGCTTTGCCATTCTGTCTTCTGATTGTGGCAATACCCAAATACTAGACACTTCCCCAGGTGCAGCTGTGAAACCTGATCATATAGCCATCAAAACAGCATATTAACGTCTCTTTGTTTGATACCTCCACGAACAGAAGCCTCACATTGAGGTTAAATCAGAGAGAAAAAAGATAAGACGCATAAAAGACATCCACATAGCTGGTGCAAACAGAAGTTACGTAAGCGCTGACTCAGCGGATGGTTAAAAGCAAGACCAGCACTGCCCTTTTTTTCTTTTGCTCGGCATATTACAATTTGTAAACCCTTGGCGAACCAATTACACATCCTTGGCAGATCTTAGCAAACGCTGCACAGCACATTGCTGACACAGGATGATGCAGGGTGGTTCTGTGCTGCGGTCGATGGATGTTCGTCAGAGTTTCCCCTTTGGGAGCGAGGAAAAGCAACTGAAGAAAAGCTTCAGCCCGGAACTTCTCTGCTCTCAGTGCCCATTTTGAGAAGCAAAACGATATAAAAGAGACGGTTTTTGCTTTGTTCTGTGGAGATTTGTTCAAGACATTACAAACCATTATAGTTGTTTATCAATTGCATTTCCAGTCCTAATTGCAAGCTCTTTATTACTGAATCTCTCCGATAATTACTGTTTCTTTTTCGATTACAATCCTCAAAATGCGTTTTACTATTGCTGCTTTAGCTACCTTATTGACCCTTGCTAACTCTGCTGTCATTCCTGGCAGCACTTTATCTTCCTGGGAAAGTCAAGTTGATCGTTTGGAAGACCGATTAGATGATCTTGATGAGTATCTTGATGACAATGGAAACAACAACTCACAATTGAGAAACAAAATTGACTACTTAGAAGAACAGCTTAGTGACATCAGCGATGCTATCGATGACCTACAAGACAAAAACCTGCCTGATGCCAGTTCATATTACAGAGATGTTGCTGAAGAAGTTAGAACTGTTGATTTGGTTTCCTTTAGCTCAGTTTTATCTGAAGTTGTCTCTGAAGTATCCTCATTCACATCCTTTTCTACTTCTTTAGACCAAAGTATTCTTGATGTCGTCCAATTTCAACAAACTGCAACCGGCGATGGCACCCTTAGTACTGTCACCACCACCTCTGGATCTGCTTCTTCAACAACCTCAGGCTCTGTTTCAGATTCCACTTCGGTTTCTACTATAACTTCTACTTCATCTGAAACAACTGATGCTTCTGCTTCTGCTGCTTCGACTTCTACCTCAACTTCTACTTCATCTGTTTCTGAATCTAATGCTGGAAACGTTCTTAACTTGAATGGTAAGCAATACGCAATGATTGGTTTATCTCCATTTGTTGTATTTTTAACCGCTTTATTATAATGATTGATTTTGAATCAATTTTATAATTATAGTATGGGGTTTTTTAAAAGGTATTTCGCTTCTTTAACTTTTCGTTCTTTTTTTGATGGGCTTTTTGTTGTTTTTTTTTTCTAATTATTATTACATAAGTGGTTAAATAGGCTATTACATAAGCAATTAATTACAATACATTTAATTATTTATACAAAACAAATTCACTAAAACATTTTACAGTCCCAATTATACTTTTCTCTAAACGCAGTTTGAAATTTTTTTGATATAGCCTTAAAAACCAAACCTTGTTTCGAGAAGAAGTCTTTTCAAAACCTTATTAGTCTATTATTCATAATTACTAATAATCTCTTATAAGAACGATCCTTAAATTTTGGAAGTTATTACGTCTTTTATTAAATTTCTATTCATTTTTGATATAGTTATATATTTTATAATGTTCTTACTAATATTCTTCTTTTTGTTTTTTTGTAACTCGAATCAAGCGATTCTCGCTTCGTAAATTCAAGATTTGGTCTCTATTGACTAGTTTCAACTTTAATTAATCCTCATGGGATGACTAACATTGGTTTGTTTATAGCAAAGAATAATATATATTTTTATAAGTAAACAATGTCTTTGTTTTCTGAAAATTCAGCCCCATTATTGTCATTTTTGAAATCTAGATCCTTTAAATCGTCTGAAATGCTCGAATCCTCTGAATCCTCTGAATCCTCTGAATCAGAGATCATAATAATATTTCTCTGTTGTATTGTATCATTTTCTTGAATTTTTTTGAGTATTTCTTTATCTTTTTTACTATTATTCTCATCTTCGTTTTTATCTTCTTTTATTTTTTCATTTGTACCACTAGCCAAGTTTTCTTCATTTCGATTTTCAAGATCAAAGTAATCTTCACTGTCACTATTGCTATTATTTTCATTTTCACTGTCACTTTCACTGTCATTTTCACTTTCTAAATCACTTTCTGAATCACTGTTGTCAATCATTTCAGATACTTTATTCATATCAACATTGAAATTCTTTTTTCTATTATTTTTCAAATTTTCATTAAAATAACTATTATAAAGAAATAATTGCTCGATTAATTCATCTTTCTTCTGTATATTTTGTGTATTATTATTAATTTTATCATTGTTTTCGTTTTTGATAACATGAGATAACTTGCAATTTTTACCTCTTGGACAAGGATTTAAACCTTCATTTATAAAATCTGGACACTCATAAATATGTTTAAATTTACAGGAAAGACCCCTATCACACCAACCACCAAGGGTGAATAATCTGCAGATTTTAGCATTTTTATCTGTTTTAACATGATTAAAGGAACAATTTTCTCCTTTTGAACAAAATCCCTTTAGATAAAACACGCATGTAGGAGAATTGAATTGATTTGGAAAATGGGATAATGAACATTGATTATAATCCGGATTACATTTTCCACTGATAAATTTTCTGCATAAAGCTATATGATTAGGATCATGTTTATACTTACATGTTGTCCCATCATTACAAATTCCTTAATTATAAAATTTAAAGAAAAACAAAATAAAAAGTGAAAATAATTAATTCAAAATATGATTTTCAAAAAAAAAAAAGAAAAAAGGGAAAAAATATAAAATAAAAGAAATAGTAAAAGAAATAAAAGAAATGAATGAGATGAATGAAATAATAATAATAGTTAAATCATTAAAGTAAAAATTACCAATTATTTTATATTTTTTTCCCTTTCTTTTTCAATTTTTTTTTTTTTTGAATAAATATTATAATCAAAATCATTTAAAATTTAAATGATTTTGATTAATAAAGATTTATCAAGAATCACTTGGTTAGTAAAAAGGAATTAAAAAGTAGCATAAAGCAAATAAAAATAAGCAAAAGACAAAATCAGATCGGATTAATAAACATACCAGTTTTGGTATAATACCTACAATAAGGTATTTGAGTTCTAAATAAAAAATGTTAGTATTTTAATTATAGTTTTTGTTATTATTGTATTTTTCATTTGGAGATAATAAATATTGGAAAAAAAACATACAATTTCCCATCGGTTTTTATATAAGAGCCATTTTTAGAGAGTTTGTAGGAAGAGCTGAACCATTTTAATTGACTTGGTAAACTATCAAGATCGAAAGTAGATAGAGGGATCAATTTAAAACCTCTTAATGTTATGGCATATGATATTCCATTTAGATTTATTCTGTCGCAGTAATCAAATTTGACGTTATTTTTTGACACAATTTTTGAGACTTTTATTAAATTTTTTTGCTCTCTTATAATTTTTTTTCGATTTAAAGTAAAGTTTAAATTTTTATCAAATATTTCTTTGTTAATTAACTTCAATCCACCTTGAGAATAGGATTGAACAAAGTTATTCGTAAAGTTTTTGTTTTCATTATTTTGAAGTAGAGCTGTGGACTGAGGTTCTCTATCTTGAGACAAATTTAACAAGCTTGAAGTTGCTGGAGTTACTAGACTTGAAGTTGGAGTTGCTAGACTTGAAAAGGCTGTTGGCGAACTGCCATTATTCAAGATCAATGTCTTGTTCTTGTGAGATGGAAATCTGTTTGAGTAGATGTGTCGTGGTGGTTTATAGACACTGTAGTTTTTGTGCTGGTAGGTGGAGGAGTACTTCATCTGGGCTGTGGAGGAGCTGTTCTGGTGTGTTTCAATCTGGCGCTTCATCTCAGAAATCTTTCTCTGCAACAGCTCGAGCTTTTCGTTGTAGTTCAGGGCCAGCTGGGACATGGTGCTGTTGTTCTGAGGTTTTGAGGTTTTGAGGTGATTCTTCTTCACAAAGAGATGAGAAAATGTGCACGTGCTATTCGCGTGTTTTTTGTGCTTCTTCTGCTGTTTGCGCTTCTTTTGCTTCTTTTGCTATTAGAAAAGCTGCAGAAATGCAAGTGTGTATTGAATAGTTACTATAGTATATATGAAGAGCAGAAGGATCAAATGGGCTAATGAATTGCTGAAAATAGAAGGAAAATTCGTTAGTCGTGTCGTAAAGATAAAGAACGTTCAAACAAAATAAAACTATCACCAGAACAAAATGAAAGTTACTCAAAATAACAAAAAGAGAATGTGAAATAGCAAGTAGAAATAACAATTAGAAATAAAAACCAGAACAAAAATTAGAACTAAAAATGAGAAATGAGAAATTAGAAATGAGAAATTAAATTATGTGAAATAGATTTTTGGAAAGTAAAAAAATGAAATATTGAAACAAAAAATCAGAAATTAAAAACAATTTCACTGCTTTTTGTAATATGCATAATTATTATTATTGAAATTATTGGGATTATTAAAATTATTGGTATTGTTGTTTCCATTATAATGATTGGTATTGGGATTCTTGTAATTGTTGGTATTATTATAGTTATTGTAATTATTGTAGTTATTGTTATGATTAACATCCGAATTGCTCTGGTTGATAATAGCAGTATTTTTGCCACTTGTGTTATTTGAATCCTCATTGTCGCTGCTATAAAGAGTGGCATAATCCTCTTCATAGCTATAGTCTGAATCTGATTCATCGTCAGAATCGTTTGATCCACTATGGTGATCAGCACCTTTTCGAGCCAAGTTATTACTAAAACTATCTGATGAGTAATCACCAGCTAATCTATCGATTAAATTATCGTTTTCTTCTCGATTAAACAAATAATAATTATCTTGTTGTTCGCCTTTATTTAAATTATGTTGATATTTATTTTTTTTCTTAAATTTTTTAAAACCCGATATACCTTCTGCGTTATTTTGTATATCTTTACCATTGTTTAAATTGTTAATATTACCATTTTTATTACCATTACCATTACTAACATTAAAATCAACATTAGCATTAGCATCAGCATTGATATTATGAACATTATGAGTATTATTAAGATTATTTTCATTTTCAAGTGGATTTGGTTGAAAAAATTCAGATAATTTAGAATTAACGTATTCAGAAAATTTATTATAACAGCTTTGGCAAACTTTAGATTCAATACCAGTTCCATCAAATTTAAAATTCAAATCAGGATCCAAACTGATTATTTTATCAAGACATTTAAAGCAAAAAATTTTGCCACATAAACGGCAATGGTGTTTTCTATTTAAAATTGTAAATGAGGTTAAACAATTTGAGCACGTTGACCTTGATGAGTTTTTTTCCCAGTGATTTTTGTTTATTTTTAAATTTTCATTGCTTAATTGCAAATTATTATTGCTATTGCTATTATTATTATAAATTGAGAATCTATTAACAGCGCTAGAGTTTGAATTGTTATTAAATGAAAAGAAATTAAAAAAATTCTTCAATGAAGTCATTGAACTGGAGTTTGATCGTATTGAGTTATTGCTAGAAGATAGGGAGTTTCGATTATAGTTGTAATGGTAATTACAACTAGAATTTTGCACTAAATTAGGTCTATTATTTGGACTTGAACTGCCAGTAAGGTTGATAGTATTGATAGTATTATTATTGATAGTGGTAGTGGTGGTAGTGGTAGTGGTAGTATGGTTAATATCAATCGTATTGCTATTACTTTTATTGAGACTATTATTAAGAGTGTTAATAATGCTCTGATTGGAGTTAATCTTTTGGATTGAGTTAAAATCGTTATTAGTGTTTAGATCTTTGGAATGGTTGGAGTTGCTGGAATGATTTGAGTTAACTGTATCATAATTGTTATAATTATAATTATTTGATATAGTATTTGAAGCACTTTGACTTCTATTCATTGGGATTTGATTTAAATTGAGATTAATGTCGTTATTTAGAAGATTATTGTGAAGAGGAGAGTTTATTGGATAACTGAAGGTGCTTCCTAGACTACTTTTATTACTGTCATTATAGCTTGAAGCACCAACCCTTAGATCTTCGGGTTTAATTATTAATTCGGTTTTCCTTAAAACAGCAGGAATATACAGAGGTCTTCTTAGGTCTTCATCCAAATCTTCGTGGTTATTTTTGGGTTTAGTTTTGTTAATTTTGTTGGTGTTGTTATTGGGAGGAGGAAGAGGGTGGTTGATGGAATGGTTGATAAAATTGGGGATATTTGGAGATAGAGATTGGCGATTAAACTGGTTGTTTCTTATCAGATTTCTATTGGATAGGTTGATGTGATTAATGTGGTTTATAGGAGGGATATTGGGTATAGAGGGTATAGTGTTTATGTGATTGATTTTATTTTGATTGATTTTATTTTGATTAATTTGATAAAAGGCGTTGTTGTTGTTTTGAATGTTTTGAATGTTTTGGTTATTGATGGTTAGGTCTTTTTTTGGAGGTATTATAAAGGAAGGATTGTTATTATGGTTGTTATTGAAATTGAAATGGTTGTGTTTATAGTCACTTTGAGTGTTTTTTAGTAGAAGATCGTATTCTTTTTGATTAATTAAGTTATTTTTTTTTTTAACTGTATTGTTGTTAGTGCTAATGTTAGTGTTAGTATCGGTATTGATATTAGTATCAGCATTAGTAGTGGTAGTGGTAGTGGTAGTGGTTTTATTATCATTAGTAATAATGATATTGTCTTTTTGATTTGAATTTTGATTTATGTTTTTATTATCATTTTTATTATTATTATTATTATTATTATTATTATTATTATTATTATTATTATTATTATTTTGATTTAGGTTTTGGTTAAGATTTTCGACTGAATTATTTGCTATTAATTGGGAAGTCTTTGAATTATTTAGCTGTTTAGTTATGCTTGGGAAATCATCATCAATATTTGAGTTATTAGTACTATTGGGACCACTTATTATTTGGCTATCATTATTAGTAATATTGAAGAGATCTAAATTCAAGGAGTTACCACATTTTGCTTTTACTGGGAAATCCTTTGGAGGAATTATTTGATCAGGCATATCCATATAAGCTATTTTATTTATATTATTTATATTATTTATATTGTTTAAATTATGTATACTATGTGTGTTATTATTGGTATTGATTTGATTATTATTTGGCAATAAAGAAGAATCGATAATTGTTGTTTTAGCCAAGTCGTTGAGGTTATTTAGGTTAAATTGAGTAATATCGTCGAAGATATCATTTTTGTAGTGATTGAGTTGACTTTTAGTTGAGTTTCTTGTGGCGTTGGGATCCAAATTGGAATCGTTTTTGCCAGTATTAGGAGTATCTATATTGCTGGACTTGCTGGACTTGCTAGACTTGCTATTGGAAATTGGGCTATTCTCGCAATCGGAATCGTTGATGTAAGTAAAAGTGGATAAATTTTTCAAGGCCTGTTCAGTCAATCGTTTGTTTTCGTTGTCAATGGACCTGATGTGGTCTTCGTCGTAGTGGGGTCTGTTGGAAAGGACACTGGGAACAGTGGATAGTTGGGCCATTGTGGTAAATCCTTCTTGGAGTGGTTGGGTTAGTGGTAGCAACACAGAGGATGCAAAGGGAAGAGCTGGGATATATAGCAGAGGAACAGGAGCTGGTTGAGAGAAAAGGCAAGCTATGGGAGGTTGAACACAGGAGAGCTGTTGGAGATATCAGACACAGAACAGGACACAAGAGATAGACAGAGATAGACGCAGATAGAGAGAGTAGGAGATAGATATAGCTCTCCATCTATCTACGCTCTGTTTTTCCACCTCAAGAGACAAAAACACCCTCACGCCGTTGCGCGCTGTTTCTGCGCAAAAACTGCGCACAGTCAGCGCAATACCTCCGCAAATGCGCGCGTCCGAGAGTGAGTTCCTTATCTCACGCACTGCATGCGTCATCTGGCATGTGACTGCGTGATGCAATACGCGCACCGCACACTGATTGGCTCGCTTATGGTGTGTGTGCGTTATCTCATGCACGTCGGCACAGCAGGCGCTACCGCCGCCGAGCGCGCATTTTTTTCCGCGCGCCGCCCGGAATTGCGTGACATAGGCGTAGTATGCACGTGAAAGCAAAGGGTCTGTTATGTAATCAGGGTCTGAAAACGGGGTCTGAAAACGGAGATGTATTCTTTTCACTTTGATCTGATCTTTTGCCTTGCTTTTGCCTCTTGTGCTGAATTTTCTGTATTTGCTGTATTTGCTGCTTCTGCTTCCTTGCCAATGTTCAAATCTGTCTTCAAAACAGGTATCCAGGCAAACTACTCCATCTCGTCCAATCCCTCCTTTCATGCTGACCCATGGTCTGTCTATCCAGCAAAACACAACTCCACCTCCAACTTGGTGTCTGTCTTTGTCTTTGATAAGAAGAAGTTTGAGAAAACATTGATTTCCTTGAGCTTGGTCGACAAGAAGACGATCCAAAAATCAATTGCCAAAAAGTCCTCCTCTTCTCACTCAAACAACATCAACTTGTACCTCGATGGCATTAACAAAATCAAAGCCTATATATCAAATCTAGCTAAATTCAAACACCCCAATATTTTAACAATAATTGAACCAATTGAAGACCATTCGACAAAGATCCTATTTGTCACTGAATATCTAACCAATTCTTTGTCTTCCTATCTTGACTCAACCATTTCCACTGTCTCTTCTACTACTACTACTACTACCACTTTAATCGACAACGATCAATTGGCTTTACAAAAGGGTATACTACAAATATCAAACGCTATAGACTTTCTTCACAATAACGCACATATAATCCATCTCTCCATAGCCCCCAATTCAATCTTCATCAACTCAAATTTAGACTGGAAATTGTCAAATCTATCCAGTATTTGCAACCTCGCAGATAAAAAATTCAAAAATACTACTACCACCACTAACGCAATTGATTTCTCTTTACCAATATACCCAAACCTTTCTATAGTCCCAAAATTCATCTCCTATGACTTGGATTACATAGATCCTTCTCTACTACTAAACAATCACCTCAACTACTACAATGATATCTTCTCTCTAGCATCTCTAATTTTTTTCATTTATAACTACAATCACAATTCTTCCACCAACTCTCAAACTTTGCTAATAAACTCAAACCAATCTCTATCACGATACAAATCTCAAATCAACCAGCTCTTTAGCTCTTCTAATGCTCTAAACTTAAATTCTCCTCTTCTAAAAAACTTGCCTGCTTCCTTGAAACCAATCTTCCTAAATCTAATCCAAAAATCCCCTGACGATAGACCATCAATATCCCAGTTTCTTAACTCAAAATTCTTCAACAATATTCAAATCAAATCCCTTATCTTCTTTGACCAATTTCTAACAAAATCAAACAATGAAAAACTAACCTTTCTAAATGGCTTTCAAAACATTCTATCTCAATTCTCTCCTTCTTTACTACAAAAAAAGATACTCCCAATCTTAACTGACTTTTTTAAATCGCAATCTCTAATCAACTCCGATAACACTGAAAATAACGACAACGATAATAACCAACTAATTTCTATAACTCTATCTATAATCCTAACCATTTCTCAAAACCTCTCTCAACTATCATTCCATGACAAATTCGTTACTGACATCTTCATATCAAATAATAACTACCTAAATTTGATCAACTACAAGAAAAACCCTCACATAATTAAAATCCTAATCCAAAATCTACCTCTCCTAATTCAAAAGATATCAAACTCAAACGACCTCAATAAATTCTTTCTACTACCAATCTTAGACAACTCCTTGATCTTGAAAAATAACAATATCCTAAAGATCCAAGAATCACTACTACTCAATCTATCCTCTTTCTTAAATATCCTAGATTTCACCACAATTAAAAACAACTTGTTCGTAAAATTATCTTCTATATTTTCAAAGACAACCTCTTTAAACATCAAAATCTTATCGATTAACTCCTTCAATCTACTAATTACAAATAAATCTATAGACAAATTCCTCATAAAGGAAAACTTATTTCCTCTTTTAAAACAAATGAAAACAAGAGAACCAAACGTATTAATGGCGCTTATAAAAATTTACCAAAACTCCTATAAACTATTTGATCTACAATCAATTATATCTGAAATCCTACCCGTATTATGGAACCTATCTTTAGCTAAAACTCTAGATCTTCACCAATTTAACATTTACATCGATACTATAAAGGAAATCCAGTCATATATAGAATTAAAACAAATAGAAATAATCCAGAATAACAACAATAACAACAATAATAAAAACGTTGATACTTCCGCCACTACTTCTAGTAACATCAATAATAATAACAATAACATAAACAATAATGAAAAATCAATTGATTCAAATTTTGAAAAACTAATTTATGGTAATGACTATCAAAATACGACAATAAACAAAAGCAATAATATCACTAATAATGACATTAAAAATGAAAAGAATACAAACGATGACAATGATGATGATAATGATAATGATAACGAGCTTGATCAGGATCTTGATGATTTCGACGATTTTCAATCTGCTCAACCTACTGGAAACTCTCAATTTGCTAAGATCGATCCGATCCCTATTTTTAATCACAGTTTGAAAAATAATTTAAATCCTACATCAACAGCATCGGCTCCTAATATTTTAGAACCTTTAAACTTATCAGCAAGACAAAAACAAAATAATACTATTCCCAACTCAAATTCCTCAAATATATCCAATCAAAATCGTAGTAATGGTGTAATTGATTGGACAACTGAGAGCACCAAAATCAATAATCTCAACTGCCATATTACCGGTTCTTTAAATTCGTTTTCTTCATTAGCTCAAAACAAAAATTTGAATAAAAATTTAAATAATTTTAATATTAATAACAATAGTAATAGCTTTAATAATTTCAATAATTTCACCAACTTTAATACTACTACTAATAGTAATAACAACAATAATAATAACTTTCCACCGGGTTTCAATATGATGCCAATTCAACCTAAAAGGGCAAAACCTACAAATAATCCAACCAGCGATAATTTTAATAAATCGAGTAATCAATTTTTTAATGATTTTTTATAAACAAAAAAAAAAAAAAAATTCAATTCCACAGTTATGTCAAGTCATGTTTTATTACGAATCATCCTCAATTCTTTAAAACTCTTTGAAAACAAAAATTTTGTTTTTTTTTAATTATTAATCGTTTCCCCCTTGTTTTATTATTTTATTTTGTCATTTCATCTTTTTATTTATCGTTAATTTTTGTCTACGCTTGTGTTGTACTTCTATTGCCATTTATAAATTATATAAATTAAAGTCGAAGAAAACAAATAGATATAGATAGATTCTATAGTTTATAGTTTATAGTTTTGCCTTGTCGGATTCGGATTCAAATTCAGGCACTGGAACTGATTCAAGTTCTCCATCTTCAAATTTGTAATCATAACCCTTTTCCTCTTCTGAATAGTCTTCAAAAATAAATCTATTTTGAATCGTGCCAATATTTTCTATGTTAAAAGTTGAAACATCGTTATGCTTTAGCCATTTGGGAGGGTTGAAACCCATGCCAACACCTTCAGGAGTACCAGTAAAGATCAAATCACCTGCATTCAATGTAGTCCCTTGAGACAAAAATGATACCAACTGTTGGACGTTGAAGATTAAATCCTTCGTGTTTGAATTCTGTCTTAATTCACCGTTGATTTCACTTTTGATACCCAAATTATTGGGATTCTGGATTAAGCTTTTGGAGACTATTGCAGGACCAATTGGTGCCCAGGAATCAAACATTTTACCAGTAGAGAATTGAGAACCACCCCTTTCAATTTGCCATGTTCTTTGAGAGACATCGTTACCAACAGTATAACCCAATATATGGTCGTCAGCGTTTTTAAGCAAGATGTTTTTGCCAGTTTTCCCAATAACTATGACCAACTCAACTTCGTAGTCAACTTTGCTTGGATACACTTGAGCAACTTTAGGAACAATAATGTCATCAAAGGGGTTGTTGATGGCGGTAATTGGTTTGTAAAACAAGACTGGATACTTAGGAATTGGAGCGTTGATCTCGATGGCATGTTTTCTGTAGTTCATTCCAAGGAATCTGACAGTGCTGATATCTCTAAATGGATCCAAGGGCGACAATAGTTTTGAGATCTTAAGCACTTTATCAGTGATGCTGTAGTTGTTAGACAAAATATTTCCTAAGATTACTTTGGCCTCTTTTACCAAAGATGAATCAGAGATGTGCTTGGGCAAGATACCATCTCCATAGTAAATTTTGCCATCTTCGGCAAGGAATCTGACGAGTCTCTAGAAAGGATATTAGTAACTGTTTGCTTCAACAAGAGCTATTGAAGGAGAATCCAATACATACACTGAACGACATTGCAATCGATGTTTCCCAGCTCAAGCAAAAGCTTTAGAAAAGCATCGAGAAAAGAGCCAGAAAAGAGCCAGAAAAGATCCAGAAAAAAGCTGGACTTAAATAACCCGATTTCAGTCGCGGTGGGAGCAAATCAACAAATGGTATCAAAGCACAGAAAGTGGGAAGAACAAAAAGTGACTATTTATCTATTTATACGAGCTGATTCTGCTGAAGCTGGGAGGAATAATGCTTACAGGCTTCTCTCACAGACTCACAGGCGATTTTGTTGGCCTGAGACTCTGATTCGTTTGTCTTGTTGAAGCCTCTGATTTGGAGGGAGGGAATGCCACTTTTGTAGTAGGTTTGGTTGATTTTCTGTATTAATTTCACAGAATTGATGAGTAGATAAAGATATTTCCTACTGTTTTTATTAATTGATTCGCTGAATTTGGATATGACCAATTTCTGGTCTATCACTCCCCAGTATTGAACTTTGTTCATTAATTGTGTCCATTTTTGGTAGGAATTTGAGATTAGTTTACAGGAGATTTGATCATTGGTGATTATCATAAAGTTCTTAATTCCCAGGTTATTTTTGATGCTCTTTGTAATATCTCGATCTATTTCGATGAGTGCTTGGTATATCGAGTATATATCGGCTCTCTTTGTTGATAAATACTCGCTTGGGTCGATTTTTTCAGCGATATTGTTGTCGTTGTTATCATTGGAGGAGGTGCCCAATTTTCCAGTGATTTTGATATTTAATGGAGTTATGTAAATAGAATAGCAGCATATTTTAATATTTTGGTTAGGTGATTTTGAAACCTTTCTAGCAGAACCACAAGTGAATATTCTGAATGTCTTTATATTTTGATTATTATTGTTGATGTTATTCTGACTTAGTTGAAAGATGTTTTGATTTTCAAGAAGGTTATTATTAGTGGTGGGAAAAGTAGTGTTATTATTATAAATTTGTGAATGGTTTGCATTTTGGTCAAACTTCAAATCAAGATTTAGATCAATTTCTGTATTTGCATATAATTGAGCATCTTGAAAAGAATTAAAAGTTTTGTATTGAATGCCGATTGCATTCATAATTTCTTCTAAACTTGAATAGATATTTGAATGATAAGAACCATGAGATAAGACATAGAATTTATTGTTATTGTTATCTGATGAATTTTGTGTTTGATTTAGATCCGGTTTTGATTTTGATTTTGATTTTGGTTTAGATTTTGATTTAGATCTTGGTCTTGATAAGGATTTATTTAAAAGGTGTGGAGATAATTTTTGTATTTTATTTAATTTTTGATTTGTAATTTGGCTTTGAAACTGAAACTTCTGAATATTGACATTAATATCTAAATTATTAGAATTAGAATTAGAATTAGAATTGGAATTGGAATTGGAATTGGAATTGGAATTGGAATTGGAATTGGAATTGGAATAAGAATTAAGATTGGAATTGGAAAGATTTGAAGTTGAATCCATTTTGAAAAATAAAGGGAAAAAAAATAATAAAAACAATAGAAATAAAAATAAATGCAAAATTGAATATTCAAAGGAATACCCAAAACGGGGATTAATACATTAAAATAAGTCAAAAAATAAAACAAAATAAAACAAAATAAAAAAAATAAAAAAAATAAAAAATTGAAAAAAGTGAGATTTTTCAAACGTTTTTCTATTGTTTAAGAAAATTTTTGTACTTTCTGAGAAATTTTAAAAAATTGCAGGATGTGACGCACTTTTGAAGTGCGGTTTTCACGGAGCGTCTTTCATTCACAATTTTCAACAAAAACAAAATGGATAAAAATGAAAGCTACATAATATGCGTTAGAGAAATGAAAAGGGGAGAGCAAGAAAATGTATTTTTAATGTAATATGGGAAAAGATTGATAAAGTAATGAGGAAGAAATTAAATATAGATAGTTGAAAAAGAAAATTTTATTTCTATTTGGTAATTGATACGATTTATTTCAAACACAAATCTATGATGAACTGATCAGATAATGTTCGTTTTGGTAGGAGCAGACAAATTAAACTTTTTTCTTCTGCTAATTGCCACAGATAGCAGCAGAAAGTGCGCTATCCACGTGATCCACTGAAAATTTTGAAATTGAAATATCAAACATGAGATTATTTTTAGATTGAATCTGGAGATTTGAATGAAAGAGCAAGATCTCAATTGAGCCTTTTAAGAAGATGTTATATGTAATTGGATTGGGATTGGCCTATGAAACTGATATAACAGTTCGCGGGCTTGAAACAGTAAAAAAATGCAAAAGAGTTTATCTTGAGGCATACACTAGTATATTAATGTCAGCGGATAAAGATAGCTTGGAGAAGTTTTATGGAAAGGAAGTGATTTTGGCAGATAGAGAATTGGTTGAAAGTGGGTCGGACGAGATTCTCAAGGATGCTGATAAGGAAGACATAGCATTTTTAGTTGTGGGAGATCCATTTGGCGCAACGACCCATACAGATTTAATCATTAGAGCAAGAGAATTGGGCATCAAGGTTGAGGCCATTCACAATGCTTCTGTCATGAATGCAGTTGGAGCGTGTGGATTACAATTGTATAAGTTTGGACAAACGATATCAATGGTGTTTTTCACCGAGACGTGGAAACCAGATTCGTGGTATGACAAGATAATGGAAAACAGGAAAATCGGGTTGCACACACTTATTTTATTGGATATCAAGGTGAAGGAGCAGAGTATTGAAAATCTAGCACGAGGAAGAAAGATATATGAACCACCAAGATATATGAATATTTCGACAGCATGCAAACAATTGATTGAGATTGAGAAAAAAAGAAAAGAGAGGTGCTACACTGTGGACACTCCCTGTGTTACAATCTCGAGATTGGGGTCGCCCAGCCAGAAATTCAAAGCAGGCACATTAAGAGAGTTGGCAGAGTACGACTCAGGAGAGCCATTGCACAGCTTGGTGATGCTCGGGAGACAAGTGCACGACTTGGAGTTGGAGTACTTGTACGACTATGTCGATGACAAAGACAAGTTCAGGCTTGATGTTGAGGCCGACCAGGAGCACTTTAGGCCTCCACCCTGGGTCCCTCCTGAAGAGGAAGACTCGGATTACTAGACCCCGTTATGTAGTGGTTATGCTTTTGGAAGTTCCATCCCCGAAACAGGCGTCTCCTCCGCACCCCGCTGCATAAACCACAGCCGACCAGCGGAGTACATGTGATTATTCAGCAATAATCCGTGCGCGGAGATATATCTCACGGTCAGCGCTTGCTTCATGCGGCGAGACAACATCTGATTTCTGCCACTTTCGCACTGCTTTTCCACTAAATCCTTCGCTACTTTCTGGATCTCGCGCGGCTCGAGCGCTTTCTGGCCCGACAGCATTACTGGTTATGGTCGCTGCAAACTTTGCTGGAGATAAAAACCGTTGGTGCTCATCTTCCTTTTCAGTGCCTTGCCCCTCAGAAACAGAACCTCTTTGACATGCATGTGTGCAGTAGCTGTCTGAATCATACTTAGAGGCCCGTGGAAACGCAAGCACCGAGTGCGTCTCCGTTCTGAGAGACTCCAAGCAGCCAATGAGCAACGCGCACTAGGTTTGGCTGCTGTTGATCAAGCACGGGCAATGCAGCGAGGGCTTTTGCTTTGGCTAGATCCGGCGTTGTTTTTCGTCGCGCATAGCGCTTTTGGAGATAATCCGCTATTTTTCAGTTAGCTGGGCTCGTGTCTTATAGTGGGCTCTTAACGGCTATCTTCAACAAACGACAAAAAGGTTGGGTTCGCGTGAGAGAGATTTCTTCTTGCGGACTGGTTTTAATATGTCTCTGATGTTTTCAATCCTGCCATGATTTTAATGGATTTAATGATCCTAACTGGGTTTACGATTTCTAAGTAAATTTTTTTTTTCAATCTGACTATCTTGGATATTTTCTTTTTTTTTTGTTGAATTTTTTTTTATTTTTTTTTTTTGCTCACTGAAATAATGCTTTTAGATATAAAATACTATTCATTCCCTTTGCTTCTGTTTGTGCTTTTTTTTTTTTCTTTCATTCCATCTCTCATATTTCTTTAGCTTCCTTTTCAGCCCTTCGCATTTTGTAGACTAAAATCTTCCTCTGTGTTCTCCTGCTTTATACTATTTTATTACATTATACTATAGTAACAGTGAAAACAAATCAATTTGAATCAGATCAGTTGTCTTTTAATATAACTTATAATTACCTAATTCTTAATCTCTTAATCTCTTAATCTCTTAATCTCTTAATCTCTTAATCTCTTAATCTCTTAATCTCTTAATCTCTTAATCTCTTAATCTCTTAATTTCCTAATTTTCCAACTTTCCAAAATGGTCCAAAAAATTAAAGTTAAAAATCCTATCGTCGAATTGGATGGTGATGAAATGACAAGAATCATTTGGCAAATGATCAAGGATTTGTTGATCTTGCCATACCTTGATATCGACTTAAAATACTATGATTTAGGTATCGAATACAGAGACCAAACTGATGATAAAGTTACTATTGAGGCTTCTGAAGCCATTTTGAAATATCAAGTCGGTGTTAAATGTGCTACCATTACTCCAGATGAAGCAAGAGTCAAAGAATTCAACCTTAAAAAAATGTGGTTATCCCCCAACGGAACCATTAGAAACATATTAGGTGGTACTGTTTTCAGAGAGCCAATTGTTATTCCTGCTATTCCAAGAATTGTTCCTCAATGGGCTAAACCAATCATCATCGGCAGACACGCTTATGGTGATCAATATAAGGCAACTGATACTCTTATCCCCAAAGCTGGTAACTTGAAATTGGTTTTTACTCCAGAAGATGGCTCAGAAGCTCAAGAAATCACTGTTTTTGACTATAAAGGTCCCGGTGTCGCTTTATCTATGTATAATACTGATGAATCTATCACTGGTTTCGCCGAATCCTCTTTCAAATTAGCTCTTGACAGAAAATTACCTCTTTACATGTCAACCAAAAACACCATCTTAAAGAAATACGATGGTAGATTCAAAGACATCTTCCAAGACATATACGACACTAAATATAAAAAAGATTTCGAAGCCGCTGGTATTTGGTATGAGCACAGATTGATTGATGATATGGTTGCTCAAATGTTGAAATCTAAAGGTGGTTTCATCATCGCCATGAAAAACTATGATGGTGATGTCCAATCTGATATCGTCGCTCAAGGTTTTGGCTCTTTAGGTCTTATGACTTCGGTTCTTATGACCCCAGATGGAAAAACTTTTGAAGCCGAAGCAGCCCATGGAACTGTCACCAGACATTACAGAAGACACCAAGTTGGCGAAGAAACCTCAACCAACTCCATCGCCTCCATCTTTGCATGGACCAGAGGTATCATCCAAAGAGGTAAATTAGACGAAACTCCAGAAGTTGTCAAATTCGGTGAATTATTAGAAAAGGCCACCATCGACACTGTCCAAGTCGACGGTATCATGACAAAAGATTTAGCTTTAGTCCAAGGTAAAACTGATCGTGCAAGTTATGTTACCACTGAAGAATTTATCGAAGCTGTTGCCAAACGTCTTGCTGCCGAATTTTAGTTTTAATTTTAATTTTAATTTTCATTTTATTTATTTATTTATAGAATAATGTTATAATTTTTTTCTTTTTTTTTCCTTTAAAAACTCATTTATTATGTATCTATATCCTAAATTAATTCATTCCATCTAACGATTTGCTTTTATTCTAATTCCTTGATCCATATCCTCCCCTTTTTCCTCTTCCTCTTTCTCTTTTAATGGATCTCATTCAGTAATCCTCTCGTTCGGTTATCGGCCACCCCTGTCCGGTTAACGTACATCTTCTCCAGCTCTCATCCACCAATCACAGCGGGGCTCCATCCTACTTTTCACATCACTTACTCTTTTTTTACTTTGCTTCTGAAATATTTCAATTAACCAGTCAATATCGTTAAAACCATCGCTTCAACATTTTTTTATATCCACAAATATACCAGACACATTTATATAATTGTTTAATACTATATCTAGAAATATCTAGAAACATCAATATCACTCCTTTTTTTTCATGATATAACAATATTCTTCATCCTCTTATAATGATTCTCATTCCTACAAAACTAATCTCTCGCACCATTCCTTTAATCTCAAAGCAAAACATTCCTTCTAAAATATCTTCTAATCTTCAAAATATAAGCAATATTCAAAGATATTACTCCTCTGATGCTGCCTTTTTACCTATCACAACACCTTTCTCTGATAATAACATTAAACCATCTGAAAATGATTTGTCTGAAAATGATTCATCTGTTAATCTAAATAACCCAAACAATTCTTTTTCCGGTTCCTTATTTTTCAATCCTAAAAACAAAATTCGTAAATTAATCTCAAATGAGGACAAAAACCTTAATAATAATAAAAAAAAAAAAAAAAACGGTTTTACCAAACATACAATTCTAACTAATGAACTCATTGATGCAATAACTGAACAATTAGTTAAACCCTATGAACTAGAATATAATGATTTCTCACTAGAGTTTTTTGAAAATATTTCCCCTTTAGATCTATTTCAATATATGTCTACCATTAATGAAACTGAAAATATCGTCCATTCCGAAATTCTATCGAAAATTTATACAATCGAGAACTTTAAATTGATCTTAATTAAATTAATCTCTTATCACTCGTTCGTAAGAAAAAGTTCCAAATTAAACTTTAAAATCGAAAAACAATTCGGTTTAGCTTACTCTAAATTAGCATCTGAATTATTCAAAACTATTGAAATTTCAATTAATTATTTCTTGCATTATAACCCAAAGGCTCTAACTTTCTCTCAGTATAAATATTTAATAAAATTTTTCGGTGAAAATTATAAAATAGATACCGTTAACTATTATTTTGAAAATATTTCTTATGATTTAGATATAAATTTATGGAATGCAAAATTTAAATATCTTTGTGATGGTCAGCCGGAGTTGTGGAGTTATAAAAGAACTAGACACATTGCCTTTGATACTAGCGTAAATCCCATCTGGTTAGAGAAAAGAAGATCCCATGGTTATAAACCCTTTATCGATTTATTTCACTCATTTCAATCTCACAATATAACCCCAAATCAAGAAACCTTATCATTAATCATATTATGCATAGCAAGAAACTCAAATTTATCAACACTTCAAGATTATATTCAAAAAAACTTGGGAATAAATGTAGATCAACAACAATATAGTGATGATATAATAACATCTTCTTATCCAATCCAACCAAACTATGATATATTAAAATCTATCATCACTGCTTTTGCTTACCATAACGAATTCCTAAAAGGTTTAATGACTGTAATGATGATCGAAAAAAAATTCGACAAAATTGATTTATCTAATCCAAAGGCTTTATTCTTATGGAAAACTTTATTACAATGGGCAGAATTAACTACTTCAAAAAGAATCTCTAAAAAAAACTATTCTCTAAAAATCACAAAAGCTGAAAAATTAGAAGAAAAATCAAAACGAAAGGAATTGTTAAACCATTTATGGCTCTATTATCTTCGAACTCATTCTAATGTAATAGATTTGGACATGATCAATTTAAGATTCAACATTCTTCGTAGATCAAATGATGTTTTGAATGTCATAAATGATTTACCAATTTTGCATATGAATTACATCAAGGACAAAAGTATATTCAAGGGAATTTTTGCGAAACACTTAACATACATTGTGAAGATCTCTATCAAAACCAATCATGAACTTCAGACTCTAGAACTTCTCAATCGTTTCAATGACAACAAGGATTTAATAATCACATTGTTCATCCAAAAGTTGCAAGATAGCATTGATAAGAAAAAAGTCTCAGACTCAAAACTAAAAGAAGGATTGGTAGAAAGACAAATTAGATTGCAGGAAGATGATGATGAAGAATTTGGAGAATGGTGAGACCCTAATATGATATCTTATATAATTAACTTTCTTTACTTTTCTGATAATTTTTTTTTTAATAGACATCGAATATTAGCATTTCATAGAGCAAATTAAGTTTCTATTGTTGTATTTCGTGAAGTTATTTTTATTTTTTCTCCTTCTCCGCGAAGAAACTCATATTTTCGCACGATTCCCAAAACCGCCCAAAAATCAAAAGACACTTTCAATTCTTTTCTAACATCACTCTCATTGACAAGAACGCTCATTCAGTTTAGTTACAATGGCAGAGGTGTTGAATTACTCGACTGTTCTCAATGGCAGAAAGTTTTGTTTTTCTGGAAATCTTGATTATCTGTTTGAAAAACAGAATCTCCAGAAAAAGATTCCAATTGCACATCGTTCTTTATCTTTAAAAGATGCTCATGAACCATTGAAAATTATAAATAAAACTCACAAGATTCAAAGTAACAACAAGGATGACCTGGAATCCAATGATAGTGAGCAAAGTGGAGATGAAGAGGTTTCTGATCCAGAAAACGATGATAATGACACCGAAGATGGCTCTGGAATAGAAAACAATAGTTACAACAGCAGCGATGCTGATAACAAGGAAGACACTGATAATAATGATGATGACGATGTTGAGAATAATGACGGCATTAGTGACAGTCAGGAGAATAGTGACGATCAGGAGAACAATGATGACCGGGAAGACGACGAAGATGATGACGATGACGATGACAATGATGACGATGATGAAGATAGGGACAGCACTAGAGGCGAAGATCAGGATGAAGATCAGGGAGATGAAGATGAAGATGAAGAAATAAAGGACATTCATAATGAAAATATTGATGTTGACATTGATGCTGCTGGTTATGACGAAGATGATGACGACGACGACGACGACGATGATGATGATGATGATGATGATGATGATGATGATGATGATGATGATGACAACAACATAATTCTTCATAAAAAATTAAGATCAAATCCTTACGACTATGACTCTGAAGATGATGATGATGATGACTCTGAAGATGATACCAAACAAAACGAGGACATTGAAGATCCTTATTTTGATAATGATACTGACATTGAGAACATTTTACTAAAAGATTCAAACGCGAATTCAGTCTCCAAAATGGAATATGAAAATGAAGCTCAACCAGAATCAGAAGAACTGGTTGAGCCAGAAGTTGTTCCAGTTTTAAGAAAAAGAAGAAAACCTGTAGCAAAGTCTGCCCAGACTAAAAATAAGAAAAAAGTTCCAGCTTTTAGCATAAAATTGAAAATCAAACCTCTCAAAGATCCTTCAGAGAAATCATTAAGATCTACTTCAAAGAAAATTATTGAGAGTGATGATGGTTATGCATCTGATAAATCTACAACTAGTGTTTCATCGACAAAAGCTGCTCCTAAATTGAAAAGAGGTCCCAAACCTAAAAAGAGAAAAGCTGCTCCTAAAGCACCCACCAAAAGAAAGAAATATAAATTTCATGGTAATCAATACACTAAAGCCAAATATAAAAAGAATATGGAAGAAGAGAATGATATCGATAATGATAATGATAATGAGGAGGAGGATGATATAGATGAAGATGATGATCAAGATGATTTTAATGATAACTACGGTTCATTAAATGATTTTGATGATGAAAATTCTTCTCCAGATTTGACAAAAATGACAGAAAGACAAAGACAAAAATATTTTGAGGAGCAAGGTATAGTGAGTGATTCTGTAGTTTCCGATACAAATTCTATCATTTCTGAATCAATTAGTAAAGTGGATCCGAAGAAAACAAAATTTTTGTCATTAAGTAATGAAATACATAAAAAGAAGGTTCTAACTGAAGAGGAACAACAAATGAAGAGAGCAGAAACTGCAAGAAGAAGAAAAAATCAAAATGAGAAAAGGTTGGAAGAAGAGAAACAGGACACTTTGAATAAGTTGTTAAAAAAAAGAGCAAGTAAAGCGAGAGATTTAAAATCATTAGATGAAAATAATAAAATTGAAACATCAGTTAAGGATAGAAGACCTATTATAACTCATAAGGCTCTCTTCCGTTGGATTTCTACTAAAGATGAATTTTCATTAACTGCTCCAGAAGGTTTAGGATTTTAAAATCAAAATTAAAATTACTATTTCTATAAAAAAGAAGTCAATCGAGTTAATGATAAAAACAGATGACCCCTTGTACAAACTACACGTAGGATAAGAATCGAAAAGTCAAGAATAACTATAACAACAGTTTACTATTTTATTAATTTATGGATTTAAGAATTTAAAAAACTAATTTATGAATTTAACGATTTGATTTATTGGTTGATTAATCACTTGATGACGACTTGAAATTTCCAAGGTTTTTCAAATTATTGAATATAACATAGTAAAGTTTTATGTGAATCTTGATTATAATATTGAGTTTTTTGGGATTTCTCATCAAATGTGGTTGTTATTTTATATTCATTTATTGATTCAACAGGATATGAATCGGGTGTTGTTTGGTGTAAATGTGCCGTTTTTGTTTTTGTTTTTGTTTTTGATTTGATTTGATTATATTGATTGTTGATTGATTTTGTTAAAGAGTTGGAGTTTATATTTGAATTTGGGATAAAACTATCATTTAAAATATCATTTACAATATCATTTAAAGTATTGCCATTTGTTGAATAAGGTATATCAATTGATAACACAAGAGTTTTATTGTCATTTGAGATTGATTCCGATTGATTATTAATTTCGTTTTCAGAATTGCTCGCAGAAGATTTTTTGTTAGGAAAAACACTATTTTGATCAATTACTTGAATATCTTTATCAGTCGTATAATTTGGATGGCCTAAAGATATTTGTCTGTTATCAAGATCAAAGACAATATAAGCGTATTTCATAAATTCGATACCTAAACTCATTTGATTTGTAGCACCCATTGGACCAGCTACAAAAGTACAAGTGCCATCACCGTTATCATAGTATAAAGCCTTGACTGGGATTTCGAATAAAAAGCCATCAAAATCAAAAGTGATAATTTCATTAGCTTTATTATTACAATCAACTATGGCGTACATTTCGGGGATGTTTAATAAGGATAAAAGCTGATCAAAGACAGGATCAGGAAATGAGATTTCAGTTGCACCACAATCGAAGAGAGCACCAGCTGGGACAGTGGTTAACGTTTGGTTATTAAATCTAATGTTGACCAAATCTGCAGTCATTAAAGACCTTTCTTTTGCTACTTCGAAAGTTTTCAAACTTCCAGTATATTTAGCGTGGTCAATAGCTCCGAATAGTAAATTGCCTGTTGCATTTAAGCCTTCGTTTAAGAAAAGAGAGTATAGATTTCTTGCGATATAATTATCATCTTTTAGTCTTGCAGGAAAATTTTGGTATTTATTTTGAGTTTGTTGATTTGCAATTAGACCTATTCCAAATACACCTGGGTTGATGTTGGTATAATTTGAGAGACCAAAAGTGTAATTATGAATTAGTGCGCCATTTAAATTGAAGGAATCTTTTGCCCAGGTGCCATTTGAGAAGCCAGTCATATAGTTTAAGAAAAAGTCAGTATTATTGTTAATAAAAGTGGAAGAAGAATCTGGGTCAAATAAACCATAGTAATAGCAATCGTGGGGATAAGTTGTACCATAAATTTCGACTGTTGTTGAGTTGTAGGAATAAGGAATGCAAGAGGTTGACTTTGAGGATTTTATCCAAACATCAGAAGAACCAGTGTCTAAGATTAGACCAACCGTTTGAAAGGGAGAACCTAAGTCGACGTAAATGGCATAAAGCATTCCATCGATAAAGTAGATATCAGAATCAATGTATCCATAGGTATTTGTATCACGTTTAATGTATCTGATATTTGAATTTTTAGTTGGATGGTTTACTAGATTATTTTGAAAATTTGATATTTTAGTAGACCAAGGTTTTAAAGGAGCTGTCAAAGTTTGAGATGAAAAGAGGAATAAGAAAAAAACGAGCAATAGTGGATAAGAGAATAACATGGTTTAATTGAACTGGAGCTTATAAGCGATATATTTTAAACGAGTGAATATTGGAATAAAATAGAATAAAATATAAATGGTGGTTGAGTAATAAGAACAAAAAGAAGGGAAAAAAAGAATTGTTAATAGAAAATAAAAGGTAGTGATAAAACAAAAAAAAAAATGAGAGAATGTTTATGAAAATACCATGGGCTTAAATATGAAGGGAAAGATTTGAAAAGTGGGAATAATTCAGTTACTCAAAGTAAAATAAATTCAGCTAAAGTAGAGTTGATAAAATATATAAAAGAATTAAGACAATGAAAGTTTCCGATAATGTTTCAAAAGTCTCCAACCCAGAATAAAAGTTGATATTTTTGGCATTAAGAAAAGTTAATTGACAGTAGGAAGCAAATGGTGATAAATATATATAGTTGATTAAAAATATATGGCAAGTTTTATGAATTGTAGAGTGGTGATATTGATTGAAGAGGCCCGATTAGGAAATATTTCATGTTGAACGAGTTATAGATGAAAAGTTTTGCAGTGAGATGCCGGAGGGAGGTTAGCAGTGATTACATTTCCATGAAATTTTTTTGATTGTCAGAAACCTCAAAGCAAACACAGAACCTGGGATTCCAGAAATCCAACATTCCTGTGGAGCTGTGATGAAGCAATTCAAACACCAAGAGCAGCAGATGGAGGATGGAAGAAGTTGGCAACAACGCAGGGGCAATGTGTCGCCAGAAGGGCGGGCCTTGCATTTTAAAGGCAGAAGGCGAGCTTACGAAAACAAGATCAAAGTAGTTGGTTTGGGCATGAGTTGGCCTATTAGTTGCACGAATAGCGCCGTAATTACTTGAAGTGGGTCGTGAGGTGAGTAATCAGGTTACAATGGCTTTTCCTGGGTCTGTTTGGGCCAATTGAGGAATGGGAAACAAAGACAGTGCCCCTGGAGCCAGCTGCTGAGATGCAATCCAAAACAAAGCAAGGGCATCCAGGTCCATCGCAACGTTGGAGAAGAAGCTCTGCTGAAGGAGAACAGCTTACGAGGGCTTTCATTGGCCAAGTTCTTTCCTGGGCCCTATTGTTGGGCGAGTGTGAGACAGCTATTGGAGAACAACCAGAGACAGGCCAGGAAAGGCCAGGAAAAGGCACTGCATGGAAGAAGGAGAGAGATCGCCCGAGCTGGTTTGTAGTGGAGCTCGAACTGTGTTTGTTTCGACGAAGAGCTACTCATAGTTTCTTCTAAAGCCTGCAGCGGTCCAAATCGCCCTTTCAAACTGGTATATATTGAGGTGTGTTCCTCGTCTTTTTGCTCTGGTTTTTGTTTGCAAACACTTTCTCTTCAATCTACAGTCTACTTCGTCAATCCTTCTACTTTCTACATCTGCGTCCACAATGAAACTTTTATCTTCCAAATTGACTTCGGTTATTCTTCTCGCTATTTCTGCTGTGCTTCCTGCTGTTGAAGCATATCCAATTCCCCAATACCACAGAAGAGACCTGGTCAGATACAAAAGAAGCGTTCCCAACTTTCACGCTCAATATACTGTTCCTCCAATCTATGAAAAAATTTAAGCTGGCACAGTCCAGAACTCCAGCTTGCTATTTTTTTCAGTTCAGTTCAATTCAATTCAATTCACCATTTACAATGTATCTTAGCTTCATTAACACCTCCAGTCTTATTTGACTTATGACTTGCTTCAAATTTACTTGATGCTGCCAATTAAGCGCCGATGTTTTTTTCATGTTTCTACGTGTATTTTAAAATTTGTTCTCCTAGTCATTTTTAATATTCTAGACCTTCCTATATACCTGATATTTTTTTTCTTTTGTACATCACTTTATGTTTTTAATTTATATATGATACACTACCAATAAATTTTTTTTTCTAATTTTATCCCAAATCTGTAATATATTCTCAAATTAGAAGCATAATTGCTTGATTCAGATAACAGATTTAATCTTATTTTCAAATTAAGGAATACTTCTTTTTTGCTAAAACACAGCCAAAAAATTGGATAATTGTCTTTTGTTGAAACATTTTGAAACACATTTGTAACTTTCAATTGAAATTCAAAATAAGATGAAATAAAGCAATCCACACGTTTGGCCTCATATTTTTCAAGCCGGGTAATATGGCTTATTACATATCTTTGCATACGAAAGAAAGTTCAAAATAATTTTGTTTCATTGGTTGTTTTTTTTATTATTGCTCATTAGCTTTGAAACTTTATTTTCAAATCAATAAAACTATAATGTAATAAAACAAGTGTATTAAATGCAATAAACATTGTTTTATTGGTAATGAATTGATATATAAACAGTGATTTTAAGTCAACAGTCAGCAATAATTCTCAGTATGTATGTATGTCTTTAGCTAACTGTTTAATTATAGATAAATATACTAAAATGAAATTGAATTACTCTTGTTTAATAGCCATTTTAGGTTATCTTAATACCTTCGTCGAATGTGCCGATTATAATAATTTTAATAGTTTTAATCTTAAAAAGGGATATGTTCAGTTTGACGTGAATAAAAAGGCTATAATAGATCCCCGCATAGTTGAGACCAAGAACAAGAAATCAAATCCATTTATTAACTATTTTAAGAGATCATTTATTGTTGCAGATAGTAATAATCAAAGCCAAAGCATTATTTCATCATTAATAGCATATCCATATTTCTATTCAATTGAATTGAAAGTGGGTGAACCAATGCAAAAGATCGAGGTGTTATTAGATACTGGATCATCTAGTCTCTGGATTCAAGAAAAGTCTAATCTCTATTGCTTAGAAAATGAATATAATAATAATAATAATAATAATAATAAAATTCCTTATAGCAAAAAATTTAAATGTTATAATAAAGGATTTAATGAAACATATTCAAAAACATTGACCAAGTATGATAAATCTGATTATTTAGTTAGTTATGTGGACCAATCATTTGCAAAGGGGAAATGGGTCACAGAAAATATTAAAATTGGAAACAACGATAATGAAATTGTTTTGAAAAACGTACCAATGGGAATGATTTATGAGACTAATGCACATGAAACTGGAGTATTGGGGATTGGTTATTACCATGAAAATCTAAAAGAACCAAATTTAAATGGAAATTTAATTAGTGAATTGAAAAGACAAAAATATATTAACAAAAGAGTTTATTCATTATATTTAAATGAAAAATTTACCGATGGAAATGCTCATTCTCTTAATAGCTTTAATAATAATGAAGATAATAATGAAGATAATAATGAAAATAATAATGAAAATAATAGTGACAAATATCATGAAAGAGGATCTATCATATTTGGTGGGATTGATCATGAGAAATATGAAGGAAAATTAAAGACATTTAAAATTAAAGAAAATGAATTAGCTATTAGCATTGACAATATATATATCAAGAATAATGATGAAACCAAATCAATATTAGATGATAAATCAAATATAAAGGCTTTGTTAGATTCTGGATCGACAGTTACCATGTTTCCCAAAGACATCACTCAAAGGATTATTGGAAGCATTCAAGACATTGAATTTGACAAAGACATTGAAGAGTTTGTTGTTAGAAATACTGAAAATAATAATACCAATACTGTTTTTTATAGCGATTTGATATCCAAGTATGAGAATACCACTATAATATTTGAGTTTTCTGGGGAAAAATTTGAGTTTTCAATATTAGAATTTATGAAGAGGATTAATAAAAAACATATAACAACAGAAAAAACAAGTGATGCCAATACAAATTCCAACAATAGGAACAATAAAGAGCACCGGAATAGCACTCACAATCGTAGTATCAGTGAAGATGGCCTCCAAGATATCATTGGTATTCTCCATTTCGGTAATAAATACAAGAGCAAAACAAACCAAATTACAATTGGAGACGATTTGTTGAGATTGATGTATGTGGTATATGACTTAGACGACCGAGAAATCTCGATGGCGGTTGCCAGAAAAAGCTTCAAGAGCAACATCGAGGTTATTACAGATAAGATTCCCCGAGCAGAAAGAGCATTGCACTACAGTAGTGTCCATGAGAGCCCCAGCATAGAGTCCAATGGTGTCGTACTCAGAGCCCCCATCTTCTTCAGTTTCCTCAGCAAGCTCTATGCGATGTTCAGGTCTGGACTTATTCATTACTGTACATAAGGGCCTTAAATCTACATGAATACGCATGTCAACGCGGTGTATGCATCCAAAAAACTGTCATCTGTATAGCCGCATAAATAGACACGTTGTCTTGGAAACTTCCACGCAGGCGCACGCGCGATGATCTCACTTTATTTTTGTCTCCGCTGGAAAGGAGGCTGAACACGTGCGTCACCGGTGCCAAAAACGCCAAAAATGACAAGAAAACCGCAGGCTCAGCAGAGTGTGTCGAAAAAGCAGCAGCACGGAACCCGTCGGACCGGGAAGCCAGACGAAGAGCTGACCCAGACCGGTTCTGCTGGAGTTGCTCTCGAAAAGCCTCTGGGAGATATATAGTGGAGTATATATAGCAAGCAATTCTTCCATTGAACTGTTCATCACCACAACCTCTTTCATCTCTCGCACACAAACAATGACTTTGGCTCCCACCCACTGCGCTTGTCTCTGCTTCATCCTCTCGCTTTTACTGGCAGTATCCCAGAGTAGCGCCTACGCATTCAGCAAAAGAGATGAACTAAAAGACCTTGTGATAATAGACTTTCAGATCCATCGAGGTGACAATCTCATTGATTCTTCGCCAGATAATCAGCCTAAATTTGTCAAAAGAGACGACTATCACAAAGCTGTTCTAACAAACGAATACACCTTCTATTTGGCCAATTTGACCATTGGTAGTGACGATCAAAATGTCAGCGTAATAATAGACACTGGTTCCTCTGATCTATGGGTAACTCGTTCAACCAACCCTTATTGTATCAATTCAAACGCTAAAAGAGACTTTGTTGACTTTATTGATTTTGACATTTCAAATAAGATAATTGAAAATCAAAACAGCACCAGATGGATTGAATCCTTCAAGTCCCACAAATTCGTCAAAAGAGACCCCAATCCTGCTCCAGATCCTGCTCCAAATCCTGAGCCTAATCCTGCTGTTACTGAAATTACTTACCATGGAAATGTCTACACCATCGACGTTCCTGATGGTGCAACAATTATACATATATCAACTCTTGATCCTGCAAACCCTTCTCAAGGCACCCTTGCATCTCAAATAGAAACTAGAACAAGAAATATTCCAACTCAAACAGGATCAAACCAATACATCCAAGCTACAATCGATTGCGAAGAATATGGGGTTTTTGACGAGGACTCCTCACAAACATTTCGCAACAATAACACTGAATTTTTTATTCAATATGGTGATTACACATATGCTCTCGGTACTTGGGGTTATGACGATGTTCACTTCTCTGGTGTTACTGTTACAAACCTCAGCTTTGCTGTAGCTGATCAATCAAACTCTTCCTTTGGTGTCTTTGGTGTTGGTCTACAGGGCCTACAATCTTCTTTAACTCCCTATTCAAACTTCCCAATGAAATTGGTCGAGCAAGGTTTTATCCTTAAAAACGTTTACTCCTTATATCTTGATAACTCTGAGGCTGATTCTGGCTCTCTTTTATTTGGCGCAGTCGACCATGCCAAATATTCTGGCTCTTTACAAACTATTCCTCTTGTCAACTCCATTCCAAGTCTTAGTCGAATTGTTCGTTTCGATGTCACTTTATCTGAGATATCCATAAACTCCTCCTCAAATAATTTTGACTCAATGACTATAACAACCTCTACAAGAGCTGCCCTATTGGATTGTGGTACTACTTTAACATATGTTCCATCAACTGTCTTTCGAAGAATTGGTCAAGCCCTAGGTGGAACATACTCTTCTCAAATCGGTGGTTACATTGTTGAATGTTCAATTGGTAATGAAGACGTTTACATTGATTACAATTTCCAAGGTGTAATCATTCAGGTCGCTTTACATGATGTCTTAATTCCTGTGACCTCAGGCAGAAACTCCTATTGTGCTATAGCTATCTTTGACAGTGGTAATGATAGAGTAATCTTAGGTAACAGTTTCTTAAGAAGTGCCTATGTTGTCTTCAATTTAGACGATAATCAAATCTCAATAGCTCAAGCTATTCACAATGCTAACGATTCAGATATTGAGGTAGTTACTTCAACAATTCCAAGTGCTGTAACCGCTGCATCCTACTCAAGTTCATATACTGCTGTTGGCTCAGATTCAATCACTTCGCTTTCGCCAAATAATCAACAAAGCGGTTCTTCCTCCTTTTCTTCCTCTTCAAATGAATCAAGCGATAGTGGCGCTTCTCATTTTGAAGTTTTCGCCTTGCCTGTATTTTTATCTATTTTTTTGGGAATACTATTCATATAATCACTTCATAACTCCATTTCATTTCATTTAATTTGTTTTGATATTTGCAAAGGTATTTTACGGAATCATGGGTTTTTATTTTTATTTTATTTTACTCAATTTTTTTATTTTTTTTGTTTTTTTCTTGGTTTTCTGTGCTTTTTTGTTTTTTGTCTTTTCTATTTTTTTGTCTTTTTTTTTTGTTGATGATTAAACTTTCAAACCTAAAATTAAATGCTCCATCTAAACTTTGTTGCATTGGAAAAGAGGCTGTACCATTCAAAGTAAATATATTCTATCATTTTATCAATTTTTTTAGTCAATTTATGTGTCGTTTTTTTTTCCTTCAATTCTATTAACTATAAAATATATTTTAGTTTTGATACTTTTACCTATCACTTGTAACTGCTTTTTGAATAAATACACCATTCTAAAAAAAGATCATATTGAATAAATAACTAAAAATACCATCATTCATCAACCGAAAAGAAATGAAAAGAAATGAAAAATATACAAAAAAAAAAATGCAAAGAAAAAAAGTAAAGACTAAAAGCAAGAAAAAATATTACAGCTTTTAAATGGTATCATAAGCTTATAAAAAAATAAAGCAAAAAAAAACATGCAATTGTAATATAAAGCAATTATAGAATTCAAAATCACTTAGCTTTGTTCATTCAAATTATTCCACTGATTAGGTCTATTTTACATTAAAATCATAGTTTATTATTCTGAAGATTATCATTTTTATCGTTTTTATCATTCTTATCGAAATTCCTATTAAACTTGGAGTTATTAAAGTACGTTAGACTTTTATTGTTCTTGATATTCCGGTTATTATTATCATTATTTTTGCTATTGCTATTGCTATTGTTATTGTTATTGTTATTGTTATTGTTATTGTTATTGTTATTGTTATTGTTATTGTTATTGTTATTGTTATTGTTATTGTTATTGTTATTGTTGTTTTTGTTATTATTTTTGTTATTGCTATTCCTATAATTATTGTTTTTATTATAAAAGTTATTTCTATTATAGTCAAAATTCCCATTTTTTTGCCTTTTTGCTTGATTGAATGGGTTTGAAATAGGTGATTTTCTTTTTGGCATAAACAAAGTCGAGTATTTGCTTTTAGATAAATCAATATTTGGCTGGAAAGGCACAGAAAATTTATTTAATGGACCAAATGGAAGGTTTCCTACAGCTACGTCCTTGAACTGCGAAACATTATTTGAGGGCTGATAATTTATACAATATGCGTTTAAAAATGATTTTGAGTAGATATCTTTGGGTAGTTTGTTTTCTTCACTAGGAAACTCCTCATAATGATCTCCAAAAAACACTGGAAAGTTACCAAACGAAACTTTTTTTGGATTTGTTTCTCCCGGCGAGTTTTTCTTAGTTTTAAGTGCTGACTTAATCTTGCGCATATCAAAAATAGGGCCATTTTTAGTTGTTTTAGTTGGAAATTTGTTAATTTCGTCAAGGATTCTTTTATCGTTTGATTCCAAATTTTGTTTTTCCGTAATTTTACCTATATCTTGATTTATCATTGAATTTTGATTGATGGAATTCGGTTTTATTCTTTTTCTATATTGTTGTAGAGATATTTGTGATGAACTTTTTCTAGTTTTACTCTCTAATATTGATTGGTTATTATTTTTATTTATTGATTCTAAATTTTCTTTTTCTTTCTCTTTGCCGTTATGCTTTTCTTGCTTTTGTTCCTTCTGAGACAATTTTTCATTTAAATTATCTGCCATATTTTTAAAATGTTCAGATGACATAATTTCTTGCTTTTTGTTATCTAATATATCTGTTTTCTTCATTTGAATATTTAAATCTTTATATGCTAAAATTTCATCATTGAGATTATCCTTCTTGCTTTCAACTATATCATGAGGTTCATCTTCATCTTGTAGTTCATCCATGTTGTCTAGTTTGTTATAATTTTCCAGCATATCTATATCATCAATATCACCTTGGATTTTTTCGGCCAGATTCTCAAACTCTTGAGATAAATGTAATTCTTCTTGAATATCTTCAGAAAGTCTATCATCTAATTCAAAATTTGAAATTCTCCTTAAAGTAATTGCTTCATCCATATGCTCTTTTTTTCTTAATGTATCAAATTCCCTTTTGTGTTCTGGAGACATTTGCATTTTTTTAAATAAATCTTCTTCGTCATGGTTTTTATTTTTGTTTTCAATTTTGATTTTATTTTGATTTTGATTTTGATTTTGATTTTGATTTCTATCTCTGTTTTCATTTGTATCTTTATTTTCGATTTCATTTTCATTAGTTTGATTTCTCTCGCTATATTCGGTTTCAACATTATTTAACCTTGAACTGTTTTCAACTTGGTTAATATAGTCCAGCTTTTTGTTTTCAGAGCTATCTTTTTTGGAGTCATTTTTAGTTGGAGTTGAAGTTGGAATGCTAGCAGTCTCATTGATGGGTAAAATTGGATCAACATGTGTTTGTGAAATCATCTTGATGGGCAACAAGCTTTGTTGTTGCTGTTCATTTACTTTATTATTTTCAGGGTTTTGACCATTATCTTTACTCACTTCAACATTATTTTCAATAGGCTCAGTTTTTTTTCGATCAATTATTTTTTTATTATGTATTATTTCTTTCTCAACTTTTTCATTAAAGGGTTGGTCAATTTCAATCTGTTGAGTCTGCTGAGTCTGTTGATTTTGTGGTTCCACTTGGACATTTTTGGATTCTAATTCTAGTTTTTGCGTTACTAAATTTTCTTCTTGAATTTTAGTACCCTCAGAATATAGATCGGGACTGTTTGCATTTGAGTCATCGATAAGATTATCATCTTTCAAAGTGATATTGGATTGAAAGTCAAGATCTTTTATATTTTTTTCCAAATTTTTGGTCTTTGTATCTTTTTGGTCAGTCTTAAAATCATTTTGAGTCGATTCATTTTCTTCTCTGTCTTCTGTATTACTTTTGAGTTTTTTTTTTTTTTCTTGGTTAGTTTTGTTATTCTGATTATCTTTATCTTTGCTTTTTGTTTTCTGATTATTATCTTTACTTTTTGTATTCTGATTATTATTATCCAATTTATTATTCTGATCATTAAAATTTTGAGTCTCGTTATTCTGATTATTATCATCTTCACTATCTTTATCACCATCTTTATTACCTGTATTGTTTAGACTTTTATTCTCAGATTCAATTTCCATTTGAGCAACTGTTTGTTTGTTATTTAGAATCATGTCACTGATGGAATCATTGGGAGGATTAAGAAAAATCGATAATCTTTCGACTAAAGAGATATCATAATTTTGATTGCAATTGAATAGGAAATTGTTTTTGTTGTAGATCTGACATCTTTTAATATGTAAACCATTTATTGAAGCGCAATATTTTAAATTATCTTTATAACTATCACTGTCACTGATGTTGAATAGATCACTATTATCAATTTTCTTGTCGATGTTGTCTGCCAAAACATTAGAAATTTGATTTTGAACAATTGCTTGCTCATTTTCATCTGGCGGATTTGGGACCATAGTTACCAAGTCTACATCTGAACTCAACATTGTCAGTAGTTCATCAGAATCATTAGATTCGTTAGTGTTGCTCTCATGTTTATATCTGTCGAGATCCACATCTTGGTATGACACCAATTCTTTGTTTTTAGGGAGTTCATGGGCAGAAATGTCTATTACTTCGTCGTCGCTCGAATGGTTGTCTTCATCTTCACTGCTGTCATCAACCACAATCACTTCGCCTTCAAAACTGGGGTCGTAGTAGGTGCTGATCTGCGATATGCCTTGATCCATCGCAAGCGTAGCCATATCTACAACAGCTCTGAATCCAATTTCTGCTGATTGATATCAAACATCAAAAAAAGCTCTGTTCAAGTATTTTTGAACCAGGAAAAAGGGACAAGGTTGAAACATAACAGGTCCTGTCCCAACTCTGCAACCCCCAATTGCAACCCCCAATTGCAACATCCCTTTGCAGACTCACACAGACCCCAATTTTGGACCCCTCAAAGCCTATTCCGGATTTTGGCTTTGACCTGGTTTAGGCCCTGAATTGGAGTGAGTAGGTAAAATCTTTCTGGAGCCAACTCTGATAATATTCTGTTAATGATAACGAGCTAGGGCAGCTGTGTTGAGTGAATTGGGAAATGCCAGTGAATCATCGTTTACCTCTTATCTGCTGGGGCTAATAACATATTTGCAATGGGTTAAATAGGAAGATTTTATCGTTTCTTCTCTTGGTTTACACCAGAAACAGGTTTGGCACAGATCAGATAACTTCGCAACTAAGGTGATCACAACTATGATGCAAATTACAAGATTGCCCAAAGAAATCATTGAACACATCTTTGAAAACTTGAGCACTAAAGATTTGGTGAGTTGCTCAATTGCCAACAAGCTTTTCAGCCTCTATTCTTTGTCAAGATTATATCGAAATATCTTGGTGGTCACCAACTCAGCTTATATTATTGATCAAAATGGCACAGATGCCTCTGAATGGACCTTTTTGAGGTACAGGAACTTGGTTAAATTTATTGCTGTGGTTTTAGACCCCAATAGTATCACACATCGGATTTTACCATTAAAAGATGCAATTTCCAATATCAAAATCATGTACGATAACAATCAGTTCAATATCTTGATAAATGGATCCTTGAATATTAGTGAAAAAAACTACAGCAACGTCAGTGGTTATTATAACAGTGTTATCAACGACCCAAATTATGGCAGCATTGTCAGTGATTCTGACAGTGATGACAACAATGATGGTAGTGATGATAACAATGATGAAATTGATAATACATTGTACGGTGATAATAATAATGATGAATTTTTTAATGACGCTATTCAAAATGAAGAGATAACTCTAAGTGATAATAATCTTAAGGAAAGTTCAAACTTTTTTTCATACCATGATTTAAATGATCTCTTGTATTCATTTTCTTTAAATAACTCCTCAGTATCACAGCCTGATTCAATGATCTCTCACAATAAAAACTATGACATCAATTTTCTAAATTTACTATCAAATCTAAACAATCTACATTCAATCAATATCGTTCAACCAACCCATGTTTCTCATCATTATAGTGTTTATAATCATAATTACAATATTCTATCATTTTATAACAATATATCAAAATCAATCAATTTGAATTCAAAAACAATTTTAAATTACTGGAGATTTAATTTTTCACTTTTTAGTAATTTCAATTCAATCATAAGTTTCCAGAATTTGAAAAAACTAGACTTGTTGTTAGATGATATAATATCCATCAATACTAATACGCGCATCAATTTTGACAACTTTGACGATAACAATAACTATAATAAATACGATAGTATGATTATAAATATAAATACATTGAAATTATTTTCACATATTGAAACATTAAACATTAGATCAACTAATATCAATTCATTCTTTGATTTTCTTAAAAAACTATACCTTTTTGAAAACGACACTGGTTTACCTATTTTTGCAAACTTATCATCTCTTAGTTTTAGTTTAATCATACAGAAATTGTATTTTAATTGTTCTGATCCAAATGGTATGAATGAAAATCCAAATGGAAACGACTTTTTAAAATATTTTAATAAAGCCTTTAATATCAATCAATTAGTACAATTGGAAATGAATTTGGGCTGTAACTGTCCTAATAATCAGTATTGTAATAAATGTATAACTACATTTTTAAATGATTTATTCCCCAAGAAATGCGAGAAATTAAAAAAGTTATCAATAACCAGAATATTCCTTTCTAGATCTATTGTCCAAGATAATAATGACTTTAATATTAACAATAACAACAATGAACTAAATAATAACGTAAACGTTAATCCAGACACGAATCAAACTGAAAATAATAGCAACGATAATGATAGTGACAATAATAATCACAATAATAACTATTTTGAGTTTTTAAATAATATCAATAAAATTTTGGGATATTTTCAAAATTTAAGTTATCTCTATTTGGATCTATTTAATAATGAATTTATTAAAAAATTTAAAAATGATTTTATAAATAAACTAACGGATTATTTAAACAAGTTGAAATTTAACAATGGTGATGATGATGAATTACCTTGGGATTATGAATATAAACAAGTTTTAATGAAGATTTATAATATTAAAACATTTAAATTTAATAAAGAAGGAAAAAGTGAAACCAATTATGAAGAATATGTTAATGATTTTTTTATAAAGGGTTATAACAAATTATCATACACTTTTTTTTCAAAATTAAGAAAAAATTGTTCACAGTTGAAAACATTAATAATACCAAATTTATTTAATAATTTTTTAATTAATATGATCAATTATAATAATTTCAATGAATTTTATGAAAATAAAGGGTATGATCCATTATTAAAATTTTTAGATAATTGCAATTGCGAGAAATGCAAATATATCAAGAAAAAATTAAAAATTTTAACCATCTACTATAATGAATTTGGTGGAGGGTATACAAATTATAAGAACTATAAGAATTATAAAGAATTGATTAATTATTTGATTAACGATATCATAGATAATTATTCATTAATTAGTTTTAAGAATATTGACGAAATAAATGAAGAAATTAATAATGAAAATTATTTTAATAGAGAAAATGAAATCAGCTTTAAATTATCTAGTAATAATAGTAATTTAAACTTCATTAAGGACAATTGTTTAAACTTGTATAATTATAAATTTAATTATCGATCAGAGAATATTAAAGAGCACATTTACTCATATCAGTTTTTAAATCAGGATAATTTGATTCGGAATGAAATCAAAAAGATTAACGGAGGAAACAGTTTTAATGAATTTAATGAAAACATAATTAAAGAAAGAAATAAAAATGAGGATTTTTTAATAATTAAAGGGAATGAGTTTAAATGTTTCATTGAATTGATTAATCATTGTTTTGAACCGATTTTGAGGTTTATTTTTAATTTTTCTAGTTTAAAACAGATATATTTTAATGGGTTTTTGTTTGAGTTGAGAAATAATGAAATTGTATCGAATTATTCTAAGTTTTTTTAAATGTTCCAAGATACTTTTATAGATTTATAGGGTTTATTTTTTTTATTTCTTTAGGTTATGCTATATTTGCTTTTATATTTTATATGTTAGTTTCTAATTTTTAGTTGTTTTAATTTCAAGAGTTTTGCAGTTGAATGAAGCCTTGTAGAAATAATAAGCATTTTGCACCAATGACCCAATACGGAAAGTCTTTCTTATTCGTATTGCATTTTCAACTGACCTATTTTTCATGCGTGTGTGCGCACTATTCCATGCACTCCTGAACTTAGTTTGAACGTTCTAAAGATCATGCTAAAATTGCGCAGAAATCGTGCAGGAATACAAGACTTTAAGACCCTTTTAAGCGGGCATTAAAACTAAAAACTCTATTGTTTCTGTTTTTTCTTTTACCAAAAAAACCAATCCTCACCAAAAGGAGTTTGCGTGAAAGTCGTTAGTTTTAAGGGATTAGATCAGGTATTGGAGAGTGACATGTTACCAAAATTGTTTAGATATTAACACTTGTGCTATTAGCTGTTGGCTGAAGAAGAAAGCAGAAACACCAGACACAATCAGCAAGAGGCAGTATTTCTGCTTCAGACATTGTAAGTAGCTGGAGATGAGAATCTCCAGCATTCGATTTGAAGGAACCTTCATTTTCTCTCGAAGAACAAGGCTTTTCAAAGCAAAAAGCTTAGTATCCTCAAGCAGTAACAGAATAAAAAACAAAAAGAAAAATTGCAGTTGTGAAAAGCCAGAAATAGGGATTTTTCCATTTTTTGGTGAATAAAGTGGACTTTGCATAAGGTAGAGACATTAGAAGGATGTAACATCTTCCCAACGCTATCCCTGTTGTTTCTGCTGCTTCTGCTTCTTCTTCCTCTTCTACTTTCCCTTCTTCTCTCTCTGCTCTGAAACTGCCCAGGCCAGCACAACGTGGCGTGGATCAACAAAACGTGGGCCAAAGAGAAGTTTGGGTTGCCCGGCCCGCCAAAATGGCGTGTCGTGTGCGGTAACCTCACGGCCGGGTGATGGTGTCTCAACAGAGGTTTTCTTACAGAAATTGTTGCTAACATTGGGATGGCTTTGCTAGGAGGACAATGTGGGTATAAAAACCATCTCATATCTCGTCGTTTTTTTGCTTTGATATTCTATCTTGAGTGTATGTGCAATTTGCTTTTCTTGGTTATACCTCTATTTTCCTCAGCTTCTTTTTTATCTGTTCTCACTTTCCCTCTTCAAAATGCTACTTTTGAATTATCTTAAATTGTTAGATTTCGATTACTCCAAAAGGCTCGCTGATCTAACCTTAAAGGAAAAGAGAATATCCAAAAGGATCACCAAGATCTCTAGAAATTTAGAGCCAAATTTGCTAGCAATATTTCTAATAAATCTCTTTGCAATCATATTTATTCAACTCATTTTATTCTACAATATTGGAAACTCAAATAAATTCAATAATCAAATTATCTCTTACCAGGAATTTTTAGAATCTTCTGTTGACAATGAGATCATCGATTATGAAGACAATTATAATGACAATCATAACTATAACCACGATGAAAGTTATGAAATCAATTATGAGACTAGCATTGATTTAACTTTTAATAAAAATTTAGAAATTTATGAAAATTTGAAATCAATAATTTTCAAAATCAATGAAATTATTAAATTAAATGATATTATCTTTAAATCCATTAATATCTTTCTAAAATTTATTAAATTTTATTTTTTCTTAATTTTTTTAGTTAAATTTTCAGTTATAATAAAAGAATTGAATACAAATGACAATGATAATTGTGAAACTAATGATGATGAAAAATTTCTTGATCCAACCCCTGATTTCGAAAGTTCCAACAATTCTAACACTAATAACAGTCTTCATGGGAAAAGCTTGATATTAAAACTATTCATACGATTTTTAAAAACTTTAATAATAATTGAGTTATTAATATTATTCAACAATATCTTTGAATATTATCATTACAATTCAACTGGTTTGATCTATTTCATAGATAACTCAAATCCTATAAATCCTATAAATTCAAATGATATAAATAACACTGATGATAATAGTCTCAACGATAGCTTATTTCAAAATAAATTCATTAAACTTAAATTCACTAATAATTTCAATTACGATACAAGTTTAGGTGGTATTATTAACATCAACGATATTAGTGATATAAATAGAGATATAATATCTGAAATAATATGTTCAATCGATGAGTCAAGTGCAGATTTAGAATTTTATTCTTTATTATTAAATCTTCAACTAATATTAATCAATTTTTTTGATACCTTTTACTTCAATTTAAAAAAATTCACTAATTTCACCAATTTATTTGCTTATTCTAAAAATACTTTTTCAAAATTTAAGCTATCAAATTTAATTAATCTCTCCTTCAGTATTACCACTTCTAGTAATAACAATGTTCATTATACAAAAATCTCCAAATTCGAACTCTTTTTCAATATCCTATATAAATATTTTGACTTTTTTGATGTATTTATTATTATGTTTTTAACGATTTCCTTTTTCTTAAACGTATTAATCAACTAAATAAGCTAGCTGATTCATTGTTCTTTATTCCCTTTTTTTTTACGTTCTTTGTTAAAGTTATTTTGATTGGTTTTATACTTAAAATCAAAAATTCCTGTTTTATTGTTTGTTTAATATTGATCTTTGTTTTAAAGTTTTTTGTTTTATTTTTATTATCTATTTGCTTTTTATTATAAATTATAAAAAATCTAATTTATAATTCATAGCTATTTTTTTGCCACCATCCTAGAAATAAATATTAATAAATAATAAAATAATAATTTTAATATTGTAGTTTTTCTTTTTCTTTTTCTTTTGCTATTTTCAAAATAAAGAGTAATTGGAAATTTAAAAAAGAATATTTATTATGAAAGAATTGCTATTTAAATTCTGTGAGAAGAGAAAAAAATATATATAATCATATTATCAAAAGATATTAAATTGATCTAAGTTGTTATCATTAATAGACATAATTTCTATATTTGAAATTAATATCACTGATTAAAATACATAAGGAATAAAGCGATAAGGAATTTCTTTACAATAAAGCTTCCAATCTTTTTTGTATTTCTTGGCACATTTTCTTTCATCTCTAATCGTTCTGTGGATTAAAACAACAAAATAAAATATTGGAAAAAAATAAATAAAAATCGATGAAAACCCACAAATTAAACTCCAGGATAAAGATTGAATCCAGTCTGCCGTGTAATGGATTTTTCTGGCATATTTAACCCAACCATCTGTTAATAATGTTGAACCATTTTCACATTTAATATATTTGGGGTTTTCAAGAACTTGATAAGGTAAAAATGGGAATGTTTTTCTGATCACTAAATCCCCAGCAATTTGTTTTCTAAAAGTATTCTTTTGACCATTTGCCGTGTCGAAAAAGTAGTAAGATGTTACCAAAAGTAGGAAACAGAAAACATTGTAATAATTTGACCAGTTATATTCTTTGGGGTCATGATAAGTCAAGAACAATGTAGTTTGGCAATAGGTGAATGGAACACCAGCAATATTCCAAAATATTAACATGAATCCAAATTTTTCATATGCCATATCCCAAGTTGGAACAATTAATTCTTCACCTTTAGAACAAGCATTTGCATAAAGAAAATGTGCAAATAATAGAACAAGAATTTGAATAGAAACATAACCATATTCGTTATATTGTTTAAAACATGCTCCCAATGTCAAGAAAAATAAAATGAACCATGGTAATCTTACTTCAAAAAACATTTTCAAGTCTAAAATACCGATTCTTGGGTTTAATGGTGCACCCATAAAGAAATCATAAAGATGGTTACCTGTCATTCTATGATAGTCACCAGAATAGAAAATTGTGAATAAATACAAACTAATTGAGAAAACAAAACCTGAAATAATAGCTGCAGTCATCAATTTTCCAAAGAGTTCAATAATTGTATACAATTTAAACAACCCAGTGAAATGTAAAACCAAAGCAATGACAATTGAAAGATAAAACGAAAAGACTGCATTGCAGAAATAATCCAATTGTTTATTGTTTAAATGCTTCAATGGTTGACCTTTGGTCCAAAAACCTGGCAAAGTATAATAAAATACTGCCTGTGTGAATATAAATGTTAAGAATATTCTCCAGGTTCTAAAATCTGGAACAGCGTTGGGAATAAAAAAATCAAAATATAAATGTTTGAGAAATTGGGGAAAGGTTTCGTCTTTAGCTGGCCATGCTGGCGCACCTTTATAAAACTCAGCAGAGATCCACATATACCACATTAATAATGGAAAACCAATACACATTCCAATCACACCAGCGGGACCACCAAACTCATAATCAACATCTTTCTTAGCTAAATACCTAGATTGAAGAGGTGGTTGTAAAGTGTTTTGAGCTTGTGGAGCTAGACTTTGTTGTACTTGATGTGCATCAGTCAGATAGCTTATGAGTGGAGTATTTTCAGAACTTTGAGCCATTATCAGTGCTTATATCAAAAGGCGATTAAGAGCAAACGAGAAGCCACACCAATGATAGAACGTAGAAATCGAAAAATATGTTGATATCTTCAGCTTTTATTCAGTGATGTTTGGAATCAACAGAAAAATGCTGGCCACGAGGGAACGAGGCTCGAAACGAGCGCTACGAGCGCAAAAACATGCTTTATCAGGCAGTATGTTTATCGTTCAGTCTTGCCTAAATGGTAGGGGCCCTCTCGTGTTTTCTTTTGGAAACCTTGTTTCTGTGTACAATTTTGTGTACAATTTTGTGTACAACTAGCAAATTTTTAACTTCTCTATGGCAAAAAAAAACTAAAAAAACACAAAAAAAATAGTTCCCCCAGAATTAACATCCTTAAAATTAGTAAAAAAAAAAGATAAAAATTTTCTCATTAAATATCGTGAAAATCCTGTTGATTCATTAGTCCTGCTAACTTTATTATCTGTTTGGCACCTTTGGGGTTTGAGATTGTCAATCTAGACAATATATCTAATTCCTTATTTTCCAGTTCTTTAGATCCAGATTCTCTGTTGAAATCTGCAAGTTGATCATTCTGCTCAGCATCTACATTCAAACTCATTTCTTCGGCATCATCATCCATTTCAATATCAGAGTCATTTTCGTTATCTTCGTCATATTCGTCTGTATTCTTTTCGTTGTCTCCATTTAATTTTTGTGTTTCAAAGTAATTGTTGTCTATATTTGTATCTTGAAGTTCTTTGTCATTATTTTTCTCGCCTTCTTCATCTTGATTTTGAATTATAGATTCTTTTTTCTTCTCTTTTTCCTTTTCCTTTTCCTTCTCTTCTTTAGATATCGCAGCTCTTTCAATTATTTTATTAATTCTGACTTGGGATATCGCTTCACCATGCACTAAACAATTTAACTTATATCTCATAATATTTCTAACTAACAATAAAACATTTTCATTGTACCAGCCAAATGCAAGGTTGACATTGTTATTTAATTTTTCTTTTTTAAAAATTTTAACAAGCAAAGGATCTTTAATATTTTCAATTTGAAATAATAGAGAAATTGGCATTTCATCACCATAAAATTCATAATTTCTTGGGACCTCAGAAAATTGTTCAATTTTTCTTTGTTCTTTATCTATTGCTGGTTCATATTCATGGAAACCCAAGACTCTAAATGATTCTGTTTGGTACTTGGCATATTTGCTAGATGATTTGGGATTAACACCAAACTTGACGAATGATTGTCTCCAAGGCCCCTTACGAACAGCAAATGAAACATACGGCAATCCGTATTTTAACAATGGCTTTAATTTTCTTGGTAATATGACCAATAGATGTTTTCTTAACCAAATAGGTTTCTGTTCAAATTTTTCTTTTAAAAAATAAATACAAAGCAATAGATCTCTATCAAAGCTTGCATCTGAATTTAAAATTAGAGGATGGCTAGGCTTTTCAGCTTGATCATTGACTTTATCTGTATTTTCTATTTTATCTTGAATGTTTAATATTTCAATCATTTCAACATCTCCTTCATTTTCCTTATTTTTTTCGTTTTCGTTATCGTTTTGATTTACAATATCAATATTAATTTCTATTTCATCCTTGTTAGTAATTGCGTGTGTTTTTGGTGATACATTGATTGCATTGTTATCTTTTGGAGTTAAAATATTGTTATCATTTTGACTTAAAGAATTGTTATTATCGATAATATTTTTATCGCTGAAAAGATTTTGTTTTTCATTGAGAGGTTTATCATTTGTATTTCCAGCTTTATCATCGATTGTATTGTCAAGTTTATCATCATTTGTATTTTTAGTATTTGTTTGGTTTTGATTATTCTTGTTATCTTTTTTAGTTAAAATTGGATCGATTTTTTCAGAAATTGTAAAATTGATATCAATTTCGTCTTTTACAAGAAAACCAACTGCTTTTTTGATTTTTTCGAAATTTTCTATTAAATTTTGCGGAGGAAAGTCTGGGATTTCAGTTTTCCAATCAACAAAGATAGTGTGTAGCCTTGGTGCATGATTTAAATTGATTAATTTTATTTTGCCCGACTCTTCTTTAATTATATGAGCAGATGGGTTTTTTCTATAGTTGTAATTAAATGAGAGTGGTATAGTGGAAAACCTTGGAAGTGATGGTAAATCTAAATTGAGATTAGTGATTTGTTGTTTTGTAACTGGATTTGAAAGGATCTCTTCATTTGAGTACAATTGAAAATTATTGGGAAGCCATGGTCTCTTGTCAGTGTCAAGTTTCAATTGTTTAATTTTGGTGAAATTTCCATTAAATAAAGATTCCTGGATGACTTTTGAGTATTGGGAATCTCTATTGATGTACTGAAAATCTGCCAATTCTCTGAATCTGTAGATTTTATTGACTATCGCAATTGGCATTGCTTTATATTTTCTTTGAACTTCACAGATTTCGGTTGATTTGGCATATTGATGAGCATTATCACTGTTGTTGTGATTGTTCTCTTGGGGAGTTTTTTCAGAATTTTCATTTGCGATTTCGTTTGAGATGTTGTCGTTGGTGTTATTTTCGCTTCCATCCCCATTTTGGTTGTCCTGTTGAATTTTGATGAGATTTCTTTCAATTATGGTCTCAAGAGTGTCAATTGGGTCAAGGCTCAGTTTATTCGTAATGTTTTTGTCGTTAGTTGGATGTTTAACGAGTCTTTTGATTTTGCATGTGTTGGCTTTGATTGCCAACTGGATATTGCCATTGTACTTTTGCAATTCGCCCTTGGGCAAGGAAATCTTCAAGAGGATGTTCTCTCGATGGACGTTTTGCGACTGGATGGGATGGTGATAAGGGTCGTTCTTCCTTAGTCTCAATTCTAGAAAGTCGTCATTTATCAAGGCTCGTTTGATCTTGCCAGGCCCTCCCACCATGGAAATGGCTCTGTCCACATCTCTGACGTTCAAGGGAAACTCGATGGAGGCCAAGTGAGGAAGATTCAAGGAAAGATGTTTCGCTAGGTCTCTCTTGCTCAGCATCAAAGTGTCAGCCATGGCAACTGTTTCAATATCTCTTCTTCCTCCATTTTCTTTGAGTTCCAGCCAATTTTTGCAAGTGGACCACCACCCGGAACTCTGTTAGAACGTGACCTTCCCGGAATGAAAATTTGATTGGGACTGTTTTGGAGGTTTTGTGGTGGAGTTTTTGAAGTTTTTGGTGTTTTTGGTGTTTTTGGAGACGAAGCAAAGATTGAACAGGATAATGATATTTGTGCCAGCAGAAAGAGCAGTCGCAAGAGCTGGAGGCGCAGGTTGCAGTGCTGTCTTGCCCATAACGTTCAAGAGAACGCTTATCAAGAAAGAGTTCCAGTTTTTCAAGAGCACAGACGTTGATATCAAGCCTCGACTCCCCAGGAAGATTGGCTTGGGGAAGGCAAGACCCTCAATTTACTACAAGTTCAGATGCCAGGTCCAGTTGAGTGATGGGTCTGTCATTTTCAGAAAGTCTCAATTCCCAAAAGTCAACTTGAAAATCATCAACGATCAAAGAAACAACGGGCTCTGGAATCCAAGCAAAGGTGCTTTAGGTCAGGTTGACCAAAGTGGTTTGGACAGATTGGAGAAATTCAATAAGAGATTTGGTCTATTTACTCCTTCAAAGAAAGAGAGTGTTTCCGATGTGAAAAAGGCCAGTGCCAAAGAAGTCAAATCTGAAATGGGTTTAGAGGAAACGAAGAAGAACGATAGACAAGAAGCAAAGAAACCGGAAGCAAAGAAACCAGAAACAAAGAAACAAACACCAGACCAATCAGTCAAATCTCAAACCAAAAAAGAGCCTGAGGTTGAGTCTCAAAGCTCGGAATTTTCAGAAGACGATTATCTTAGTCTTTTGGGTGAGAACGCTCAGGAGGTTCAATCTGGTGGTAAACTACAGACTAAAAAGAAAGGAAAGTCCAAGAAATAAATCTAGTTTGGGCTTTATTGAATTGCCTGGGCCATATTGTTTTGCTGAAAAAAATAAAATGTCATGTATATATAGACTTAATTTGAATTTAATGTGTGTTCATTCTACATTTCTATGTTTTTGCCTGTGCTGAGGCTTTTTTTTCTTATTTATGACCCCATTCAAGCTAATCGCATTGTGTTTTGTCTGCCAACTTTTCACACTAGCTAAAATGAATCTACAATAGCAAACAATCCAGTTCTGCTGTTCCTGTTACTCAAAGCTGTGTTTTGCTACTCATCTTCTCGTCTTATCGCTGGCGAATCAAATTACTTTTCTGTGGCTTAACTAAAACCAAAACCGTTTCACTTCAAGCTTATTGTTAACATGCTGTAAAACGTCTTTAATATACATGAGTCAAACATTCAAACGTTATAGCTATGCCCAAGCTTAGCTTAGAATAATATGAAACTCGCTTTTTAGTGAATATGTGCCCTAAACTCCTCCTCTACCAGTAAAACTAGCTTCTTCTCGAAGGGGAGCTTTGTTCGGCTAACCTGCCTTGATAAGTTTCCATACTATTCGACCTTTTCTGTTTGGCTTCAATCACTAGAGCCCTTTCCAAATCGATTTCATTATCAATCTTTTGCTTAAAATTTATCAAAGAACTAAGATAATTCATAATTATGAATCCACTCATCACCAAACCCCTTAATTGCTTTATTTAACTGGTATTTATTCACTGCTAACCCACACATACATTGTTTGTGTACTCGAGTGAGTTCCACTAGCTGTGCAATTATATAATGATTAACGTCCTCCCTCAATTCTTTTGATTTTTTTTGTCCTCTCCTACTTCTTTGATTGAAGATTCAAAGAAATAAAAAAAAATAGTAAAAAATGAATCAAAATTTCGACTCGATAGACAGCTTTTTCAAGAACAATGCTGCCATCGATAACGACTCGAATTATGACATGGAAGCACAAACAAAATCTGTTCGTTCTAATAACATAAATACTTCAAACACAGGAAATGACTCGCTTGCTTCTACAAGCACATCATCAACAATCTATAGACAAGTTTCTTATGAATTACATCAAGTGAACTCTCCTCAACCACTAGCAGTTACCTCTGGTCACCAGCTTAACCATTCATTGAGAGCTATCGAGATTGCATCCATTTGTCTTTGTTCTGTTATTGGAACAGGTTTGTTAGTTGGTTCAGCTAGATTTTTAGCTGCCTCTGGTCCAGTTTCTTTGTTAATTGCCTTTACAATCATGGGTTTTGTAACAGTCCAAGTACTAAACGCTTTGTGTGAAATGTCAACTTATATCCCCATTCCAAATGGCTATTCTGGCTACACTTCTAGATATGTTGATCCCTCTTTAGGCTTTGCATTGGCCTATTGTTATTTATTGGAAAGTTTGGTAGTTGGTCCAAACCAACTAACTGCCGGAGCCTTGGTTATACTGTACTGGGTCGGTAGAAACACTATCAATCCTGCTGTTTGGATAACTGTTTTCTTGACTCTAGTGGTGCTCTTTAACGGGTTTATTAGAATTGGAAAATTTTCTCTCTTAGTCACAGCATTTGTTATCACGAAATTTGTTGTGATCACTGGGGTCATCATATTATTGATCGTAATTATGTTTGGTGGTGCTCCTTCGAACGATGTCATTGGTTTCAGATACTGGAAAGAGAATCCTTTTGCAGAGTATTCTGAAAAAATCGATGGAAGCACTGGCTGTTTTGTATCCTTTTTATCTGTGCTAGTTGGGGCCTCGTTTTCTTATCTTGGAACAGAAACAATTGTGGTAGCTGTTGGAGAATCTGTGAATCCAAGAAGCACAATCCCCAAAGCAAGAAAACTAGTTGCCTACCCACTAATCACTGCTTACATTTCAGTCATTGCTTTGATTGGCTTATGTGTTCCATATTATGATTCAGCTTTGGTTTCTTCAGAGCCTTACTCTTCAGCTGTCGTTGTTGCAATAGAAAACGCTCTCATACAAGTTTTACCTCATATATTCAATGGTGCAATACTAATTTTCGTTTTTTCAGCTGCTACTTCCAGTTTTTATGTTGCAACTCGTGTACTTTATGGCTTATCTGTTTCAGGCGAAAGTCTCAAAATCTTCTCCAAAACAAATAAATATGGAATTCCATATTATGCAGTAATTTTTGTGGCTGTATTTGATTTGCTATCATACATGAACATCACAGAGCAATCCTCCGAGATCTTTGGTTATCTAGTTGACACAACTTCCTCATTTGGTATAATCCTCTGGGATTGCATTTTGTTAACCCATATTTGTTTCATCAAGGCTTTTAAAACTCAAGGTTTGGATAGGAAAAAAGAACTTCATTACTACGCAGCGGGATCTCCATATACCACAATAATCGCATTATGTATATCATTGCTAGTCACCATTATTAAAAACTTTACTGTATTTCTCAGCACAAAAGATGGCTTTCAATATGGAAGCTTTATAAGTGGTTATATCGGAATACCTATATTTCTTTTGATGTTCACTGGCCATAAATTTTACTATAAAACGGAGTTTATAAAATCTGAGGATGCTGATTTATACTTTTATAAAGACTATGTTGATGCTGAAGAAGAAGAGTATAAGAAAAACTTACTAGAAGAACAAGCTAATGTTCTAGAGGACAAATCTTCAAAAGTTTTAAAAATCAAAAAATTGCTTTGGGAATGGTTTATATGAAAAAAAAAAAAAAAAAAATGAGTCCTTTAACCTATCACTCTTTTTTTTTGTTTAGATTTCAATTTCAACAGCCGGTAACATTAGTCCTTATTTTCCTTTATTTCCAGCTATAAAGTAAAAAGACAATACCAATCAAACCGACGACAAGTTAAAATAAAAAGACGATTGGCTAGTTTAGGCAGATGATTGCCCTAAGAAAGAGTCTGTTTTTTTTATTATTTTATGAAATTTTAAATTTTCCTTTTCAGTACTACTAGTTGAGTTATTCTTATACTGAGGTTCATTTGCCGTTTCGTTCTCTTACAGAATATATAGCAATATTATTAGTATTAGTTTGTTAAATAGTTACTTAACTTGTGTTTAATAGGTTTCCTGATTTAATTATACTTGAAATATGTGCCCTTTCCACTTTTTGTTCCAACACCCCCAATTGAGTTTCAGAGCCCTCGTTGAGCAGTTGACAATATACTGTAAATTATATCTAAATAACAGCTAAAAGATACTTTCTTCGTGATATTCTTATTGTAAGTTGGTGAAACGGGTCTGTAGAAATATTCCGACTAAAAGAACTCTCTAATTTTGAACCTTCTTTTTGAATCTTATTCAAAAAATCTACCTCAGTGGTAAGTTCAATAAAAGGTGTTGTGTAAATTAAACATTGTTATGCCATGTATTTTGAAATTTAATATAATAAAACTAACTGAATTTTCCCGGAACCATCAAATACAGGCATTTCAAGAAGAAAACTATGATTTAGTCTTCTTTTTTAATCAGACCCAAAGCAGTTCTGTGACTATTGTTTGTTTTTTTTGCTTTTTTTTTGCAATATATAAATAACTGTATAAATCATTACAATGCAAGTTTTGGAGATCAATTCTGATCATCAAACCTTTTTAAATTTGTTTGAATTTTGAAAACTTTTTCTAAAAATGGATTTTTATAACAAAAGAAATCTGGAAGACTCTCAATGGACAGATATCTATTCCAATAAAAACAATTCAAACAATGAAAGCAGCAGTAAAAACGATCATAGCTCCTTCAAGAGATTTCAGTCCTGTGGACCTCTATCCTTTACCGAAAATAACGATACCCTTTCTATTGCTGCCAACAATCAAACCGAAAATAATAATCAGGAGCCTGCAACAAGGCCTTCAATAGATACCTCAAGCACATCCTCAACGATATACAGACAGGTTTCATACGAGTTACATCAGGTTATATCGGAACAGCCATTGGCAGTGACATCGGGCCATAAACTTATACATTCGTTGAAAGCAAAGGAAATCAGTTCAATATGTCTCTGTACTGTGTTTGGAACTGGATTGATCGTTAGCTCAGCATCATCATTAGCAACAGCAGGGCCTATTTCCCTATTGATTGCATTTAGTATAATGGGATTTGTAACTGTTCAGGTCATCAACTCGCTTGCTGAAATGGCAACATATATACCACTTCCCAACGGTTATTCTGGTTATACGTCAAGATACTTGGATCCCTCTTTAGGGTATGCATTAGGGTATTGTTATCTATTGTCTAACTTGATATGTGGACCAAATCAATTGACAGCCGGAGTCTTGGTTATTCAGTATTGGATTTCGAATGAAAAAGTCAATGCAGGAGTTTGGATCACAATTCTTATGATAATCGTCACTGCTACCAACACCATTCGAGTGGGCAAGTTCGGTGTATTAACAACCGTTATAATTAGCATCAAGTTACTTATATTGATCGGGGTGATAATCTTGTTGTTTTTATTATTTTTAGGGGGAGGACCAAAGCACGATACTATTGGATTCAGATACTGGAAAGACCCTGGGGTTTTTGCCCCATATTCTGATACTTTGGAGGAAAACACTGGAAAGTTTGTTTCATTTTTATCTGTGTTAGTCTCTGCAGCTTATTCATACCTTGGAGCAGAAACTTTTGTTGTTACTGCTGGAGAATCAGTCCATCCCAGAAGAACTATTCCTAAAGCCAGAAAATTGATTATTTATCCATTGGTGTCAATTTATGTAATTACAATCTTATTCATCGGATTGTGTGTTCCATATAACGATGAAAGCTTAGTTGAAATCGAGCCTTATTCATCACCGATTATTATTGCAATTCAAAATGCAAGCATACAAATTCTACCGGATATTTTCAATGCATGCATCTTAATATTTATTTTGTCAGCAGCTATATCAACTTTTTATATCAGCACAAGAGTTTTATATGGACTATCAGTTTCAGGGAGTTGCTTCAAGATATTCTCTAAAACAAGCAACGTAGGTATACCATATTACACCATTGGCTTTGTTACAGTATTCAACACACTAGCATACATGAACACTACCCAGCAATCTAAAGAGGTATTCAATTATCTTGTTGATGCCATTGGATCCCTTGGTTTGATTTTATGGGATTGCATTCTTATGACACATTTGTACTTTATCAAAGCATTTCAAAAACAAGGTTTAAACAGAAAAATCGAGTTAAAATACATTACAGCTGGATCTCCATATACAACCATTGTTGCCTTGGTATTATCAGTGATATTAACACTTATAACCAACTTTACAGTATTCATTGACATAGGAAATGGATTTGATTATAAATCATTCATCAGTGGATACATCGGAATTCCCATTTTTTTTATTTTTTTTATCATCCATAAACTAGTGTTCAAAACTAGTTTCATCAAGCCAGAAGAAACAGATTTGTATTTCTATAAGGACTTTGTTGATGCTGAAGAAGAAGAATACTTAAAGGCTAATGAAAACCAAAAAGATTTTAAAAATAGTAGTGTTTTAAGCCGGATCAGTCGATTCTTCTCAAAGGTCCTAGATTGATTTTGAGCATTTTTTTAGTGCTATTGTATTTGTTAACACTTTTTGTTTCATTTCATTTCCTTTCAGTTCAGTTCAATTTAGTTTATCTTGATTCGATGTGGTTGTTTGTTGTAGTTTATTTTAAGTTAGAATTCTGTATTTATATATAACTGTTAATTATGATTTTATTCTCCAGTTAAAGATAACTTTGTTTCTCAACGATCTAGATCAATCTCAATCTAAAACCCAAAAGATTCTTGTTGTTAACATGAAAAGGTGCAATTATGTTAGGGTGATTGGGAGTTTGGCAGCTCAATGTTTTTGGCCGGTCTGCTTCTTTTTTTATATCAGCTCACGTCATCAGAGCGCAAAACATAAACAGTTCTGCGTATTTTCATGCACATCAAGCTTTTCAATCCAGCTTTTCAGCCCAGCTTTCCACAAACGCTAATCTACTGTGTGTGCATGATTGGTTGGTTCTGCATTTGTTTGTGAATGCAGGCCCTCGCCAAACAGTGCTGACCAGCCAATCACAGCACGTGTGTGGATTATAGCGGTTTTTTCTTTTTTACTCTAATCAAACTTTATGCATGTCTGCTGCATCTAGAGAAAATACCATAAGTTTGGAATTTTCTTGTTTTTTCATATTGATTTGATGACACTGAAATTCATTATCTTTCTGAAAGATGATTATATGGGATTCCCAGTTTTATTGCAAATAACTGCCATTTGGCATGATGGGTAATAGCAATTACTACTGATTTACAGATGAGGTCAATTAAATTGCTGTTAACATCATCTTGATAACATTAGTACTGGGATCGCTGTGTTTTGAAAGGATCCAGATTTTGGTTCTATTGTGACACACACTTTCATGTCGTCAATATTTGTCTTTGAGGTCTGATGAGTTGTTTGCAAATTTTTTTCTGCTTTCTGTTGTTGGACAAGTGTAAGCTGTTGCAGATCAGCAAAAACGGTCACAAATGAAAATTGATTAAGATGAAAACTGATTAAGATGAAAACGAATGTTTATTTATTTATGACAGTGATGGATTGTTGCTTGAAAAAAAAATGTAATTTCTAATAAATCTAAGAGCTTTTTGAAAAAGAAAAATTCTTGGTTTGCTTTCTTTTATAGTACGAATGCTCAAGCTATAAATTTATAAATGGAAGAATAAAACAATAATTAAATAAAAAAACTATTTTAGTTGAAGACACAAAAAAATATATATGACAAAACAAACCAAGAACACTAAATGTAACAGAATAAGAGAAAAATTAATAATCAACAATATGGAATGAATTTTAAAATGATTAGTAATAGATGAAAGAAAACCAAAAATAAAAATAAAAAAGATCTTTATGCTATGACGCTATGACACTATGATAACCACAATCAACCCTTTTTTTGAATTTAATTTTTAAAGTAGAAATAGAAAATAAACCAAAAAATTAATAATGAGAAATGAGAAAGAAATGAGAAAGAAAAAAAAAATTATAATTGGAATTGGAATTTGAATAATAATCAATTTAATAAAGTTAATTAAGTTTAATCAGCTCGACCAAATTATACAACCTGAAATACACCCTCTCTTGACCCAATTAAATCCCCATCTTTATAGCAATGTAACTTAATGAGGTATCTTCCCTTTTTATAAACAATAGCAGAACTCAATTTGGCTTTGAATTGCAATGAGTTGCTAGTTGGATTTGTGTAGCATTCAAGGTAATTTGTAACCAATTCCCTTCTTTGAGTTCCATTTAAAAAATAAACATATTCTAGTTCAGCATAAGCAAACACGTTTGAGTAAGCACTTGAAGTACCTGCTATCACTTCAATATAAGGCAATCTTTGGAATGAAATCATTTGAGAAAACTCTGTGAGATAGTAGTCATAAGTAATAACTTGAGAAATATTCATCAAACTTTTTTCAAACATAGGAAAAATGATTTGTCTTTATCGATAATAATTTGAAAAAAAAATTAATGAAAATAAGCTAAAATTTTGAAAAGAAAAAGGTTTGATTAGAGTTGAATTAAATTGAAAATAAATAAAAGTATTATATTTAAAGAATTAAAATGATTATGAAAAACAGTTGTATCTGATTTGAAATTGGACTTGCAAATTGTTAAATATATTTATAATCTCAATAACATTTTTCTTAAAAGCAGCAACAAATAATCGGAAAACTATTGTATATATATGATTTAAAAAATCACAATATAGCACTTGCAATATAATCAAATCATATATTTTAAACATTAGTTTTGTATATTGTCTTTCAGATTTCTTGTTCTATATTAAATATACCATAATCTAACTGCCCAACACATTGAGGTTAGGTACTATTATGCATAAAAATCCACTAATACGGGTATGTAGTTTGTTATTATTGTTGTGATTTTTAGAAAAAAAAAAATTGTGTTGCTCAAGACAAATTGATGTAAAATACGATTTATTTTTGATTTTCTAATAATCTATTTTTCTAATTTTTATTATTATAATTATTATTATTATTTTGACCGTCCAATGATATGTATTTGTAACATATATCTGGAAAAATTATAGCTGTGGTTCCCAGATAAAGAGTTTAAACATGTCTTACATTATTGCCTAACTAAGGGAAACGAATTTCTACATCAATTTTTTGATTCAACATAATAAAAAGCAGTATATTTATATTTTATTGTCTGTTTCCTGCTGAAATATGAAATTTTGATAATCAGTGGGGCATTTATTTATTGTCAATTAGATTATTACAAGGCCGTTGTTAGCAGCAATTTAACAAAGTTTATATGCTAACCCATTAATTTGGCAAACTGGTAACGAAAAACCGCTTTGGAAAGCAAAAGTATGGTTAAATGAAGGAAAAATCGTATGAATAATCATTAAATTTTTTTGCAATGAAACAGTTGGTTTTGTTGAAAATAGTAGTTTGTGGTATTAATAATCAAAACTACTCTTTTGGATCCACCATAATCCCGTTTTATTTGATGTTTGTCTTTGTAGGTGGATGGAAAACTGGTCGTGTTCCGCTTTGGTGAGCAGATATATAACTTTGACTTTCCCACCAACAGCTCAATATATAATCTAGTGGATATCGTACGCTAAATTATGAAATGGTTAACGATTTGATTTGGCTAGCTGTGGCATTAACCAATCGAACTAGTTGGCTGATGTGAGTACAGCTTATAAGGGTTTCCAATGCCCTTTCTATAATTAACTAGGATGATAGATACTACACTCTACATATATTACTACACTCTAAATATATTACTTCACCTCTTACTACAGAGAATGATACTAGTGGGTTATGTTGAGACCGATGGAACAATCGATTAACTTAACATAAGACTGGTAAATAGCTACTTGTATTTGGTACAGTAAACTTATTGTTATGCTATGTGTGAAAACCTAATCATTTTTGATTGTATGAAAGGTGGTTTCTGAAATCTTTTAGTAAAAACTAGGTTGTCTCAAATTACAAAAACATAGGTTGGAGAAAGTGATGATGTATAAAGTTTTCCAGTAAACAAGTGATGCAACTTGAAAGTATGAAAGTATGAAAATTTTGGTTTTGCTAACCCAAATCTGCAGAAAGAGAAACATGTGAACAGCGAGTGTAATACTGAATTGAACCATTCAAAAAACGTAATTGGTCATCTTTTTTCAGCTGGATGAACACACGAAAATCGTATAGATCATTTGAATTCTTTGAATGGGCTGCTTTTCTCAGTCATTTTGGCGAGTTTTGATAGTGTTTGTTTTCAATCAAAGAAACATCAACAGGATAGAGCACCAAAACAACAAAATTATGAAATTCTAAAAAAAAGTTTAAAATTTGCAAAGTTGAACCAAAGTTAGACAACAATAGATTATTCAAAATAATCGACAATCAGCAAAGTGTGATACAACAAGCTGATAATTAATTAATATTAATTAAGCGTAGTTTATAATTTACAATTTCAGCTTGAACAATAGGAAACTCCAGACAGATCTAAAATTAGAAGCCAGAGTTGAGCTATTGTGCTTGAGCTGACTTAACACTGTCGCTTTTTCTTCGTTCTGCGAGACTCCTATTGCCCCAGCCTATAAGATAGCGCACTTTAGTGTAGCACGATACAAATAACGATAAATAGAAACAACCTAATATCCCTTGAATCTTCTAGAAGACTGTTTAGCTTATCAACTAAGTTAGAGTTATGAGCTGAAACGGATCAAAGCTGATTAATTTCTACTTCTTTTGTAATCTATTTTAATCAGACTCTGCTAGAGAAAAGTAAACAAATACCACACATGCTATATAAGTAATTATAGTTCCATTTATATTTAAATAAAAAAACTGCGTACATGCTTCAATATAATAAAGGGTTCGACCTAGTGCTTTAACTCAGTTTATATTTATCCTTAGTTTCTCACCAAGTACTAATCACCTACTTATCAAGCACAGAAAGATCAATAGAAACAATATGAAAACAAAAAGGGAACTAAAAATAAAAGTTTTTTCCAGGATGTCAACAATGAACAGCAAAATTAGTCAGAATCAGATCAATTATTCTGAATTCATTTTTTTGAATTCGTTTTTCTGAATTCACGTTCAATTCACCACTTTCAATTCCACCAAATTGTTTTTAACTCATCTTTTTGGATCAGATCAATTGTACCACAGAACTGGATCGGAAAAAGCTTTTGTCGCCAACACTGTGGATCTCTAAGAGTTACCCTCCAACCACTAATTTCCTGTTCCAAATTGACGACTGTTTATATTTGATGATAATATTTGATGTTGATATTCGTCTAATAAGATTCAGAATCTGACTATTAGCACTGCTTCCTTTTTGTATTTAGTTCGTAGAAAACCTTTTTAAACATTGTAAAGGAAATGTATAAACAGAAGTTTTGCAGCGTTCGACCAAATTTTACAACTTTTCATCTCTTCTGATGTTTTGGTAATGAATTTCAAGCCCAAATGATCACCTTTCCAAGATATTCTATCACCAAATACCTTCGACTAGCCAATTGCTTAGCTTTTTTTGCTGGGCTTTAATCATCGATCATGGACCGCAATGGGCTTCTATTTCTGTTTGCCCCAAGCTGATCATTCTGGTGGTTTGCAAATGTTTATAAATATCCAGGGTTTCTTCTCTTTCCATACCTTCCCATCCACTCGTTTTAGAGAAAAGATCAAATTACAAATTTTACTATTCCGCAAAGCAATCCAGAAAACTAGAGGCTCACCATCAACAATCCATTTCAAACACATTGTTTTCCAAAAATTATAATGTCTCTCTTGAAACTTTCTTTGTTTTTCAGCTTACTTTTCAGCTCTGTCTTCGGCGCTTATATTCCACCAAGCCCTTGGTCGACTTTAACTCCAACAACCACCTTATCCGATGGTATAACTGACTATTCTTCCACCTTTGGTATTGCTGTTTCAAGGATCACAACTGCATTAACAAGTACAGCCGGCCTCCAAAAAAGAGCCGAAGATGAAACCAAAACTCCAATAATCTCTTTTCCAGTTATTACAGGCTCCTCTGAAATTGAAGAAGATTCACTTTTAAATCCATTGCAACAAAATGAAAATGGCCACATTGAATTTGTTCCCAATGAGGATTCTTCATCTGCTGAATTAGTCAAAAGAGATGATTCTACAACTACTTACTACTTCACTACTCCAACTCAAACCACTTCAACCACCACTTTCCAATTCAAATACACAAATTCTGCATCTGACACACCTTCACAAAGTGAATCATCCACATCCACATCCACTTCTACCAGTAATGTCATCAAATATCATGCCTGTGGATCGGAAAGCACTTTATCAATGACTTTATTCGGCTCAGTTTTAACTGACTCTTTAGGCAGAATTGGTGCCATTGTTTCAAATAGACAATTTCAATTCGATGGTCCACCACCACAAGCTGGTACTATTTATGCTCTTGGTTGGTCTATTAGTAAAGACGGCTATTTAGCTCTTGGCGATAACGATGTCTTTTATAAATGTCTTTCCGGAAACTTCTACAATCTTTATGATGAATACATTGGTTCTCAATGTACCCCCATTCATTTAGTTGCAGTCGCTCTACAGCAATGCTAAAGTTCAAAGGCTCATCACAATATTTAAAAAAAAAATTAAAAAATTATAGAACAATTCTTTTTTTGTTTTCTCCTTGTTTCCTTACCCTTTATTTTATTTTTCATTTTACTTGAAATTATGGTTGGTTTTTTTTAATTGCTTTCTTTTTTATTTTTATTTTTTATTTTGTTTCGTGTTTCTTGTTTTTATAGCACATTACTTTTGCAAGTAGGTGGTCTTCAAAATTACTTATATTTTAGAAAAACAAAGATAAAAACACTTGTTGGCTAGGTGGCTGTTTTTTTGACTTAATGGTTTTTAACGTTTTTATAGTTTTCTATTCCTATATTTCTACTTTTACTATAATCCTATAATTAATCATTTCTCTAATGTAAACGCTTCAAAACAAATCCCGGGTTGAGTTCAAACACGCGTCTTCCAAAGTTGATGTGCATATACACACATATATTATTTCCAAATACAGCCGGGCCCTCACAACCCTTCGGTTAAAAACAATTGCCCAGGTTTCTCTCGTATGTTTTCGCACCACCCCAGAATCCACTCTGATTGGCTGCATGTGACCGACTTCGACAAATGAATAAGGCTGATGATTTCAATTTGTTGTTGGGTTTTGTGTACGTATTCTTCATTCTCTATTGTTCAATTATTCGACCTTTTTTTTTGGTTCTCTTTTTTTTTATATTCCTTGTAATTTTTTTTTGCAAGATAATGTCAACAATAAAGTCCAGAATCTTATCAAAATCGGAGATTGAACACAGAATAGCGACTGGAGATGCCATAGTGATATATCAAGACAATGTTCTTAAACTAAACAAATGGATCGATAAACATCCCGGTGGTGATAAAGCTGTTTACCATCTAATTGGCAGAGATGCGACCGACGAAATGATATCCTATCATTGTGATGGAACTCAATCCACTTTTCTACGTTGGTCTATAGGAAAAATCGATCATAAATATAAGTGGGAAAATTTCCTACCTCCAATTCAAGGTGGAATCTACAGGACTTATGAAGAACAGAATCAACAAAATGATTCAGAAACCTCAACTTTAACTGCCTCATGTACCGATTCTTCCACAGGTTCATTATCTACCTCAACCGTTGTTTCCGATCTGGATACCGGAACTAATGGAACTAATATCAAATTGGACAATGAATTTGATAATAAAATTTCAAATCTTAGAAACACAAAAAAGCCAGCTCCAATAGGAACCTCATCTGTTAAAATTATACCCAAGGCTCCTCAATGTGAAATTTTAACAAAAGAAAAGTTTTATTATTTTGAAAAGCGTGTAATCAGAGATCCAGAAGATGTAATCGATAACTATGATAACGATCTAGCTATACAAGACTTGAATTCAATTCCATCACTAGACTACAAAACCCAGGAGTTTTTATCGAAAAAATACAATCAACTACATGAAAATGTTATTGCTCAAGGTTTCTATCAATGCAATTATTGGTGTTATTTCAAGGAATTTTGTAGGATATCTTCACTAATGATGTTTTCTGCTTCTTTATTCAAAACCAATCATTTATTTTTTTCTGCTGTACTACTAGGTGCTGCATGGCAGCAAATGACTTTTATTGCTCATGATGCTGGTCATATATCGATAACACATAATTATCAAATCGATAACCTTATTGGGATGACTGTCGCTGATTGGTTTGGTGGGCTATCCTTAGGTTGGTGGAAGCGTAACCACAATGTCCATCATTTGATCACAAATGATCCTATTCATGATCCAGATATTCAGCACTTACCTTTTTTTGCGGTATCAACAAGACTCTTTAAAAATGTTTATTCGACTTATTACGATAAGTATCTATATTACGATAAAGCTGCTCAATATTTTATAAAATTTCAAGATTATTTATACTATCCTGTTCTATGTTTTGGCAGATTCAATCTTTACAGGTTATCCTGGACTCATCTTTTGCTCGGTTTAGGTCCAAGAAAAGGCAAAGCTGCTTGGTTTCGTTACTATGAATTACTAGGTTTATCCTTTTTTTTCTATTGGTTTTTTTATTTGATAGTTTATTCTCGTATTGATGGTTGGGGTGCAAGACTACAATATGTTCTAGTATCTCATATAACTACAATGGTTGTTCATGTTCAAATTACTCTATCTCATTTTGCAATGTCAACCTCCGATTTAGGTGTTTCTGAATCATTTGTTTCAAAACAACTAAGAACAACGATGGACGTAGACTGTCCTGAATGGTTTGATTACTTTCATGGTGGTTTGCAATACCAGGCTATACACCATCTTTTCCCCAGAGTTCCAAGACATAATTTTAGAAAGCTTCAACCTTTGATCATCGATTTTTGTAATGAAGTTGGTCTTAAATATACTATCTATGGTTTTGGAAAAGGTAATAAAGAGGTTATTAATAAATTAGGTGAAATCGCTAGGCAGGCTAAAATTTTGGCTGATTGTACAAAGAGCATGAAAAAAGAAGCACAAGGTTTTAAGAGACCATGATTTAACACTAATTATTTTCATTAAATAAAGAAACATTAGATAAAAGAATTTTCGTCAAAAAAATATATATTTATATACTTATTTTATAGATATTACAATAAAAACTTCATTTTCATTAGAAACAGCAAAGCAATCAAAAAAAGTAAAAACAAAAATAAAAAATAACATAACCAATTATTAAAATATAAATCATTAAATGATCAACTATCACTTTTTCCCAATTGCACCATTTGTAAGATAAACACACCAGTCTTTAAGTCCAAATGAAGATGGAGGCTCATGTTGCTGCTGTTGTTGTTGTAGGTGTTGATCACTATCGGATGAGCTCGTGTTCAAAGTTTGTAATAAGTTGAGTCCATCTTGAGGGTTTTGAGGGTTTTGTGGATTTTGAGGCATAGGTTGGAAATTTCCATAGGGATCAACAGGCATTTCTTGAAAAAATTGCATATTTTGTTTTTTTAAGCTATTAAGGAAACTTTCTGTTTTTTGAAAATCTATATTTTCATTATTCATATTTTGATCCATAAATTGATTTGACATATAATTAAAGTCATCAAGTTCAGGAAACAATTGTGTGGGTTCCCAATTTTGAGGAGGATCCGTTAATTGGGTAACATTCCACATCAAACCATAATCACCCCATGAATTAATAGATTCCACGACAGAATTTGGTTGATTACCAATAGTGTCATCTTCATATATAGTTTCAACCAAATTATTATTGCCAAAAACTTGACTAGATGGATCGACAACAGGCATGGGAGGTTTGTTTTGAGAAAATCCGTCATTGTTAGAATTGTATAATAAACCAGTGTTATTCTTATTAAAATCGGAACCATTATTGTTGACTGTGTTGATATTTTCATGAGAAAGTAAATTACTTGGGGTAAATCCCAAATTTCTTTCATATTCCACACTACTAGCTTGAGGTTGTTGAATAACTGGTCGATCTGGATAATTATTAGCTAGAGGTTGATTGATATAGTAATTCTGAGCATCATGAGGTAATTTAGTATCAGGTTGTTGATAGTATTGTGTCTGTGGTTGATTGTTCATAAAGGTATTGTGGTGAACTTGCTCTGGATGTTGGGGCTGTATTACATGTTGCTCTAGCTGTCCTGTTTGATTAGGCTGATTCTGAGCTCCATAAATGTTAGAATTTGGAATTGGTAGTGTTTGGTTTGATGGAAGAATGCTAGGCTGTGTCTGCTGATATAAATTTGTATTCTCCACAGGTTGTTGGGGTTGATAAGATGTATTTTGAATTGGGTTTTGATTTTGAAATTGTTGAACATTATTTTGATTTGAAAAGGACTGAGGCTGGTATTGAGGTTGTCCATTAAATACATATTGTACACTCGCTGGTTGTTGTTGTTGTTGTTGTTGTTGTTGTTGTTGTTGTGGTTGAGAAAAACTTGTTTGATTTTGTTGATAACTGGAGTTCCATTGTTCATTGCCTACAGCTTCATTAGAAACGGGTTTATAGGCCGGAGCTGTGGGCTCATCTCTTTTGTAAATAGCAGGATGAGAAGATTGATAACTTGGAGATTTTTGATGATTGGTGGTTTCATCTTTAGGTGTTTCTTCTGATGGAGATTGGTCTCCTGGAGAATGATCTCTAGAACTATCCTTTTGTTCATCATTTTCTTCAAAGTTTGGACCCAATTGACGTTTATAATTATTCACAATATCTTCAATGCTGAAGCCTCTCTTTTGGCTTCTGCGTCCACTGGACTTTAATTTGGTAGCGTCGTCTTGTTTGGGAAGGAGATTTCTATTATTTCTAACAAAATCTCTAACGATTTTTTTTCTTAACAAAGCATTTCTCTTGACTGCTTCAAATATTTTCAAGAGAATTTTAGCCAATTCCCAAGTTTTAGTACATTGTTCAACAAAAGAATAACATTTTTTAAAATAAAGATTTGCGATTTCTTTTATTTGGTCGTTTTTGGAGTCAATATGATAAACAAATATAATACAAGCATAGAAAATGCTGTAAAGAATAAAGCCATTTGCATGACCAAGGTCATTATGTTTAATGATATCTTCAACAATTTGTGTTAATTGAATAGCAGAATAAAATGCAATATTTTCATTTATATCGATACGGTTATTTCTTTTTTTATAAAGTTTATTTTTAGACTGTCTTCTGAGGAAAGAAGAGCGATGAAGAAGACAAACGACAGTAAAGTAGTTGATGTATAGCAAAGCACCAAGTAAATTGTATCTCATTCTAGTGTAATGTAGTTCAGCTGGCAAGTCTTTGATCCATTGAGTCAATAGTCTGTCAAATGAACCAATTTTTTCAGCTTTATCGTTTCTTTGTTCTGCTTTAACAGAGAATATTTCTTTCATGATCAAACCTAGAATCATATATAAAGTGGAGTATTTGATGAAAAAGATTGCTTTTGATTTTTCGACTTGTCTTATAGGTTCCAAACCCAAACCGGGGTCAGTATCGTCAAAATCGTCAACAGTTAGCATTTTAACATCACAGTCAACTAAATCGATACAATAGGGTCTTCCAAAGACTAAAGACAAGGCTCTATCTCTAATAAACAAGTACCACCAAATGATTTTCCAGCATTTTTTTTCGGAGAGACTCATGTTGGAGTCAGAAACCGATCTTTGAAAGCCAAAACCTTGAGCTACAGTAATGGCAATTCTGTTCCAGTAAAAGGCGTTACTAGTAACATCATCAGGTCCTTCCCAATACCAGCCAAATAAAATCAAGGATTGAACGATTGCCAAAGGATCTTTTTCATAGTTTGATTCGTATAGTGCTTTTGCTCTTTGAAAAAAGGTTGAGCTAGCTAGGTCGTTTTTACCTTGAGAATCCTTTAATAAATCGTTTGTGCAAACTCTTGAGCCAGCCAATAACATACTTTGTAGTAGTAATAGAGAGGGAGGGTTTTTCGGGTCATTAAATCTAGCCATGAACCAGCTTTCATTTATTACTGGAGTGACTTGGTGAATGTGATCGAAATAGGCCTTGATTATATCCAAAGTTAAAGCTTTTGTTGGTAGTAGAAAAGCACCACGCAATTTAAGGATTTCTAGCTCTACAGTGTCGATGTTTTCTGAATTGATGAATCTATTAAAGCCGGTAATGGTGTAGTGGCTCAATTTATTTTGTTTAGTTTCTTCAGTGATTAGTTTGAAGTTGGAGGTTGAGCCGTAGAATGAGATGCCATTGGTGCCACCATTTGCTTTTGATTCCTTGAATATTTTTCCGTTGTAGGTCATTGCCCATTCAGCAGCATTTTCCTTTGAGATGGCAGCCACAGGGTCTCTTTTTGTATTGTTGGCAGAGTTGGCAGCATTTGTTTTCCTTTTTTTGGGAGGAGGAGGGTTTGGAGGGTTGGATGTGGACAAATCGTTTTTTTTTGTGTTGGTAGAGGTTTTGTTGGTAGTGGAAGTTTTATTTGTGGATGTGGTTTTATTATCAAGAGATTTAATGGGAATTTCGATTGAAGGATTTTTGTTTTGGATGATATTGTCAGTGGTAGGAGCGGTTGAGTTTGAGGTAGTGGAAGTGGAAGTGGATATAGTTTGGTTAGGTGGATCATTTGAGTCATTTTTATTTGTAATTGAGTGTTTATTATTAGCGTTAGTTTTGGTGGAAATGGTAGAAGTGGTGGTATTGGTGGTGGTGGTGGTATTGGTGATGTTGGAGAAGGAAGATGTGTTGTTAGTGGAGTCAGTTTTTTTTGATTTTGAGGATTTGGGGTCGTTTAAAGTGTTAATTCTGTTGATGTGAGGAATGATTTTTTGTTTTTTTCCTCTTTTTTTAGTTGTTTCAGGGAATGAGCAATCGCATCTGAAAGTGACACAATTGGTGCAAGGGATTCTGATCATTGCATCACAACGAACTTTTCTTGCATGGCAGACTTTGCAAGCTCTAGCAGACCTTGGTCTTTTATATTTCATGGTGAAGGAAGGTTTTTTTTTTGTCTTATTAGGGGCAGCGTTGGGATCTGTGGTGGATCCAATGTTTTTATCAGTGTCGTTGTTATTAGTGGTTGTGGGATCAGTGGGATCAGTGGGATCAGTTGGAGCATTGAGAGTAGTGTTTTGGGGGCTATTGGTGGTGGTGGTAGAGGGAGAGTTTGATTTGGATTGATCAGAGAGGTGTGTGGGTATAGAGATTGAGTTTTTTTCAGATGGAGGAAAGATGGTACTTTTTTTGTCCAATGGGATGGTGTGGTCCATGCTTTGGTTGAAATTGTGGTTGTTGTTTAAGTCAGAGAAGGAAGTATTTGATGGTGGAATAATTTGAGGTTGAGGTTGGGATTGGGAGAGCTCTGACGCATGAAGAAGATTAGCAATTGAATTTGAGTGGGAGGGATACTGGTTGATATTATGGTTAGAATTGGGAATTGAATCTAGATTTGAGGTTGAGTTGTGGTTTGAAATGTGGTTTGGAGTGTGGTTGTGAAGAATGTTTGAAAAAGAGCTGGGAGAGATTCTGTTCTGCACATTGGAATAGGAAGGAAGATTGGGGTCAGCGAGAACAGTGCTGGATGAAGAAGCAGACAGTATATGGTTGTTCTGGGGCTGGTTGGGATCAATGTTGGAGTGGTCTTCAGACATTTCGAGAAAGGATATGGAGACGAGAGTATAATATAAAATAAGGCAGAAAAGCACAAGAGGGCCGTAATGGTGTTGATTATATCAGGTCTGAAGGGACCAGAGGGAGATCAATGAATAAGACTGTCAATGAATAGGACTGCTCGAGCCGTAGAAAAGACGAGGTAGAAAAATCTGCGGATGCAAAAATGAAACTGAAGAAAAGAACGAGTTTCGCTGGGCTTTTAAATAAAAAAACCAAGGGCGCACTACAAATGCTTTAAAAGCGAGGGAAGATCGAGTTTCTTGGGGCTTGAGGCAGATGCTAAAAAGCTGAAGGGCTTTCTGGTGATGGCAAAACAGGCAAAGAGAAAGAAAAAAACAAAAGCAAAAAACGAAACCAAACAGAACAGAACGAAAAGAAAAGCAGGGAATTTCAAAGCCAAAATGCAAATTCCTTTTTGAGCACGAGAAAGCTGGAGCAGAGCGCTTTTTGGCCATTCTCCAACTCTGCGTTTTTTCTCGGTGCAGCCACACAGCGCTCTGCCGCGGAAGCCTGCTTTTTTAGCCGAAATGTTAATGGTCTCTGCTGGCCTGAACCCTACGTGCGCCCTGCTGCACGCACCCACACGTCCACCAGCCGCACTTGCGCAATCGGGACTGCTGTCCAAGCGGCCGTGAGCTTGGCAGCGCTGTCTTGTTGCATATACGCGTGCGTCTTGCAACGTGTGTGTTACTGTGCTTGTCAAGACGCCGGTGCTCAGCATATATGTGCCTGGCTCCACTTCTCCGCTTGCCAGCCAAGGTTTCTTTTCAGTCCCAACTGTTTGTTCTCGGCCTTATCTCAGCCAGGCAAAATTCCCTTCATCTGCTTTTTGACCAGGGGTGATCACGTATTCGGTCAGTGTGTGCGACTCGCCAGCTGGTCCACGGCTGGCTGGCCAATCATGGTCACGCGCGTTGCTCGCTACCACAAACCCTAAAATTGCTTTTGTTCGGTATTTTCTCTCTGTTTCAGCGCTGCCCTAGCAATGGCCGCCTTCACTTCCGGCTCCCAACTGCCGCTCGCTGGAGTGCTGATAGAACGGTTTCCTTCAGCGGACCAACTGCTTGGCTCGTTTTGTTCCGAGTTTGAAAGCGCACAATCTATTGTAATCTCCCTGGTGTTGGATCAAATTCGGGTCCATTCTACGGCTCGCAGTCGGCTCTTTCTCTGTTACCCGCTTGTGTATCAAGAAGCCGCTTCTCCATGCATTAAGCACCAAACCCTATTTTTTACCGAGAAAGGAACCACCCAAAAACAGACAATAACAGCAGTATAATAGACATACTCAAAAAAACTGTAGGATCAACACGTAATTTAGTGAATATTTTAATGGGAGATTAAATGGGGAGATTTAATGGGTAGGTTTACTCTTTTCTCAACTCGTTTTCTTTTTGCTTTGCTTTTGCTTTTGCTTTTGCTTTTGCTTTTGCTTTTGCTTTTGCTTTTGCTTTTTATCCTTATCTCTATCTAAATCTCTATCTAAATCTCTATCTTTAAAGCTTTTTTAAAATCAAATATGAAATTTGATTGATTCATTCTCGTGAGACAGCTTTTTTGGTTTCTTATTCAATTAATCACGTATTTATTAACACTGTTGATATTATTCAGCTTCCGTTTTCGTTCAAATTATAGTTTTCAATAAAACATTAAAATCAATTTAATGCACTTATCCAGCTGATTTTTCTCTTAAAATTTCAATGAAACTTGAATAAATTTAATTTAAAATATTAATTATATAAAGAAAATATGATTTCACTAAATTATTACATTATTACAGTAATATATTAATTTAATTATCAATAATTATCTAATTAGATAATTATTGATAATTAATGATAATTTTATTTTAAATCTTCAACTGTGTGTTTTGTTTCAATTTTTTTGTAATTTATAATTATTTCATTATTTCATTATTTTATTATTTCTTCACCTACTTACCCAATCACTTAAATAAATTTTAAAACTAATATCTCTCACTCACTACAATTCCTTTTCGCTTCCATTTATTATTCCTTTTTATTCCCATTAACTTCCTGTTTATTCCTGTTTATTATTTTCATTTATTTTTCTTATTTATCAAAAACAATCTACACCGTCTATACAATCTACATAATTTATATTATTTACTATCATCCGATACTTCAAACAATTTAAAACACTCTTAGAATATCCCCAACTTTATCTCCTTATTTATTTCTATTTCCATCAACTATCCACCATTGAAATCCTTTCCGTATTCTGCTACACTGTTTCAATCCAATTTGTTAAATTCTCAGTTTAATTTTTTTTCTTTCTTCAAGTTGACACCTAAATAATTACTCTCTTTCTCCAACTACCATCTGTATGATTATTTATACATATACAACTATAAAACTAAACCTTACCTTTCTTAAAGAATTTTCTTGTCAAACATAAACACCAAAATGTCACATATATTTTTGTGCCAAAATCAATCCTGTTCTCTTTCTATATCTCCATATCTCAATATTTTATTTCAATTCAATCTCTCAATCTCTCAACCTCTCAATACCTTAATCACTTCTTCTCATCCAGCATCCCTAACCTGCCTCAATATATTTCTGTTACTTTGCTTTCATTTCTACAAAAAGCTTATTCTCCATTCGATTTATTATTGTCTTGAAAACCTTTCCAAATCGGGAAAACGCTACCTATTCCCGTTAAGACCCACAATTCCCACTTACAAAACTCAACTCAAAACCCAAACTTCAAAAATAAACCCTCGTTCAAAACAGACTTCCAATCATCTCGCTCTTATTCTTGTTTCTCCCAATATCAACGCCTGCTTTCCCATTAACACCATTCCTGACGCTCAAAACTAAGGTCCTTGTACTGCAGGTTTGAGTTACCAATATTATAACACCCGTAGCTTTAAAAAAAGGGGATCCTGGGTCAGAGGACAAGTCTGTGGAAAGTGGCAACTTTTTGCGTGCTTTTCCGTACTACCTTTGAGGTGTTTAGCTTGCTTTTCATAACATTGCAGTGCATGCGTTTGGCAGCTTCCATTGCTACTTCCAACACGTGCCGAACATCCGCTGAATCGGGATCTCTTTTTAAAGTTTATTTTTGGGCATTTGGTTCCAAATGTCGGTTCATAAAATCCTTATTAGCCTCGCCCTTCATTTTCTCTTCTTCCCGTCCTAACATGTCCCGATATACCCCAACACGACCCACTCTCCATCCACTATTAGCCACTATTAGCCACTGGTAGCCAGTATCATCTTATAATGTTCCAATAATCATTTTAATAGTCACTTTAATAATCACTTTAATAATCACTTTAATGAAAAAAAATATAAACCCTCGCTCATTGCCTATCCCTCTCGCTTCAAAGCAAAGAAATAATTCAAAATTTGAGTCATTTAAAACCCATCTCTCACTACCTTTCATTCTCCAATGATCAACCTATTCCATTAATATGCTAATAAAACTATAAAGAATCAAAAACCAAAACATAAAAAAAAGAAAATTAATCAATTGACTAATTGTCCCCGATATCTTTTAAATTTTCGCCAGTTTCTTCTCGTTATTTCACCACTTGATCACTCAACTCCATTCTTCTCAATTTAAATCTCCCTACCTTTCTTTTGCTGCTGATTATGGTCAGATTCTCTTTCATCATTTCAAAAAACAAACCCCATCCATTTATCTCAATAAAAAATTCAATTCAATTCAATTCAACTCAATCCAGTTCAATGGAATGGAATCTCTAATCATTAACTGGTTCATTTCAAGTAATTTCTACCATTTTAATCCTTTTTCACCTGAAATTATTTCTATTATTATAATTTATTATTATAAAATTCATAACTATATTTTAGCTAAATCTTGTCATTTCCTTATCATCCATTTTTCTTTATCTCCTTTATCTTTTTTCTTTACCATTTACAATTTTCTATTTTTTGCATTCAAAAATCCTTTTTTTTTAAATCCATTGCAATGGATCTTATCATCAATATTTTTTTTTTCCTTTTTCAAAATTTTTTCTATATGTATTTTGAATGCTGTGCATTGTACAACTATAATATTTTTTCTTTAAATTGCGTATATACTTGAACAATTAACATTAACATTAACATTAATTCAAATCCAATTCCAAATTACAATGACTTCCTCTCAATTACCTGACTCTCATAAAAAGCGAAAAATCACTGATCTTGATCAACAAAATATCGACTCAATTGATCCAGCTGAAAGAAAGGCCTTGAAGAAAAAATTAAAAAAGGAAAAGAAGGATAAAAAAGATAAAAAAGACAAGAAGGACAAATCAGAAAAAAAACATAAAAAGGATAAGAAGGAAAAGAAAGAAAACAAACATAAAAAACTTAACAATGAAATAAATGATCTCAAAACAGGCTACAATACTCATAAAGATCTTCTAGCTTTACCTCAGTCTGATATCGACCTGTTTCTAAAAGAAAATGAGGTCGAGGTTAAAGACCCTACTGAACTTAATTTAAGACCAATTATATCCTTTGATTATCTAGAAGGTTTGGATAAAAAACTCCAAAACGTTTTCATAAATTTTAAAAAACCCTCTCCAATTCAAGCTGTTTCATGGCCTTATCTTTTCAATTCAAACGACGTTGTTGGAATTGCTGAAACTGGTTCTGGTAAAACTTTTGCCTTTGCTTTACCTGCTGTTAACCATTTACTCTTAAATCCACCTACTACCTCCGATAAACCACAAGTTCTTGTTATATCTCCAACTAGAGAATTAGCTCTTCAAATTTTTGATACTTTTAAATCCTTAACTAAAAACACACCTCTTAAATGTTCTTGCGTTTACGGTGGTGTTCAAAAATACGAACAAAGAGAAACCGTTAAAAACTCCAATATTATTGTTGCAACTGTTGGAAGATTGCTCGATTTCATTGAAGAAGGCTCAATCGATGTATCCCAGATATCTTATATGGTCTTAGATGAAGCAGATAGAATGCTCGAAAAAGGGTTTGATGAAGATATTAAGAAAATTTTCGGTTTCATTAAATCAGAAATTAGACAAACATTGATGTTCACCGCTACTTGGCCTATGGAAGTTAGAAAAATCGCTTCAACCTATATGAAATCGCCTGTAAAGGTTTCAATTGGTAATAGAGATGAATTGTCTGCAAATAAAAGCATTACTCAGATTGTAGAAGTTGTAGACCAATTTTCTAAAGAAAAAAAACTTTTACAATTATTGAAACAATATTCAACTTCAAAAAATAATGAACAGAAAGTTTTAATTTTTGCCTTGTATAAAAAGGAAGCCTCCAGAGTGGAAAGAAATTTAATCCGTAATGGCTATAATGTGGTTGCAATTCATGGTGACTTATCTCAACAACAGAGAACAAGTGCTCTAGACAGTTTCAAATCTGGTCATAGCAATATTTTATTAGCAACCGATGTCGCTGCAAGAGGTTTGGATATACCCAACGTCAAAGTCGTTATTAATTTAACATTTCCCTTAACAGTAGAAGATTATGTTCATAGAATTGGTAGAACTGGAAGAGCTGGAAATACTGGTATTGCTCATACTTTATTCACAGAACAAGAAAAACATCTTAGTGGAGCTTTGATCAATGTTCTTAATGGTGCTAACCAACCTGTTCCTCCAGAATTGTTGAAATTTGGTAGTCATACCAAAAAGAAAGCCCACAGTGCTTATGGTGCATTCTTCAAGGAAATTGATATGGATAAGAAACCAAAAAAAATTGTTTTTGACTAATTTTGAATATAAAAAACAGTTTGGGAAAATCTTCGATTTTTTGTTGTCAATACTATCATATCATATGTATTAAAAAATATTATTTTATTTAAAATTAATCGTATTTATTTTATATTTCTTTTTCATTTTTGTTTTCTGTTGCAATTATTCATGCTTTTTAAAAGATTTATGGATTTTAAGCTTTAAATAGACTCATATAGCATATAGATCATCTAAATTCTTTTGGGCTTGTAATGTACTTGGGGATATTAATAAACTTTAACAAAAATAGAATAAGAAGCAATTTTTTTTTTTTGATCTTTAAATTCTAGGAGGCTTGATGATTTCTAATAAAAAAAATTGAACCTGTTAGAATATAAGATTAATGTATAACCTATATCTTTAAGAGAAAAAGAATTGCATTGATACATAGAAAGTGTAAGTACTAAATAAAACATCACAAACTTATTGGTTGTTTCAACTATCTTGTGTATTTCTCATTTTCAAAGTAGCTATTATCAGCAATTAATGATTTCAACAAATTTCTTTTAATATCTCTAAGCAAATATTAATAATTAGCAAGTCAATTCTACAAATAATTTTGAAAATGAAAAAATAACAGAATTTATAAATCGAGACACATTACAAAAGAATATTTAAATCATAAAACATTGCTTGACTGAAATAATATAAAAACTAATTAGGAATATAAGAAAGTTTTAATTATCACTGTAACCAAAAGGAGTTGCTATAATATATAAGTAATATCAGTGAATGGTTTGATGATTAAATTAGAAAATGACAAAAACTAAAAGAATAAATAAAAACAAAAATGAAAATGAAAGTAAAATGAAGTGAAACAAAATAGTATAAAATAAAGTAATATAAAGTAAAATCAAATCAAATCAAATCATATAAAATAAGGTAAAATAAAATAAAAATTCAAAGAAAGTACAAGGATGAACAATATCTTCATAAAAAATGGGTTTCTCAACATTTTAGTCAAGAAGTAAAGAAAAATTTTGTTGTTGGAGAACATCAATCCAACTCACATTGTGTCCATTTTTTCTTTCTTTCCAGACTACCCTCATAACTTCTCTAGCTCTCCAATGGTTTTTCAATGATAGCTTTTCATGTCTATTGAGTAGGTTGTCAAATTTTTTTTGCATTTTAATATCATTGTCAATCTCACAGCCACAAATAAAATATTGCCAAAAAAGAGGATTAATGGTAACATCATGAACTTCACGAATGTGTTGAATTTGTGATAAATGACCATAGCAGAAATCAACAAATTTTTTTATTTCTTTTGGGTTTTCTTCCTTTTTAATAATTGTATAAAAATAAATTTTGAGGGCATAGTAAAAAGAATACATGTTATGATAAACAGCACAATGCCAATTGGTCTCAAAAACAAGCCTGTTTAAAACAGTTAAGCTATCAAGTTTGCTGTTATTTAAAATAGCCAAAGCTTTTTCCTTTTCCTTTGGGTTACTATTTTGGAAAAGAAACCATTCCAGTTTCCATGAATTTAATTTTTCTTCAAAAGTATCCACTAATTTTTTATGACCATCTGACAGACCATTTTTTAGTTTTTTTTTATCAGTGAATAGTTTGTTGGCTTCAATAAGTAAATATATAATAGAATTGGGTAAAGCAAACAAAGAATCACTAGCATAAATAGATTCTGTACTTTTTTTTATGGGCATTGATTGCTTTAAATTGGAGATACTTTTACTGCTTGATTTAGTGAAATTACGTTTTGCTTGCAGAGTACTGACGATTTGTTTCTTCTTGATAAAAGATTCATCATTTTTAATCGTTAAAGGAGAGTTATAAGCCATTTTAAATGATCCAGTTTTTCTTTCAGTATCATCCGAACGAGCTGTCAAAATAAAATTAGGAAATTTAGATTTTCTTGTTATATCTGATAAATCGTTAGTGTTACTTAATAAATATTCTAACTTTGATTTTTTTTTCAATTTTTCTGCATCAATTTGAGTATTGTCTCCATAATTTTGAAATGGGTTTTCTAGTTTTTTACTGTAATCAAAGATTATATCTGGTTTAACTCTCCCTTTGCTGTTTCTTGAAATTTTTTGAAATATTTCTTTTAGCTTATAATTGTTGATATCAAAATCATAAACAGAGGTTGAATTATATAAAAGCATCAAAAAATCATATATATTGTGCAATCCTTTAGCCTTGGGAGAAATCTTGGAATTATTTCTAATTCTCTTTAGAACAAAAACCTCACAGGCTTTCAAAATTTGCTCACTGTCTTGCATTGTTCCACTAATTGAATCAATTGTAGCAATACTTAGGAATGAGGTTAATACTTCTTTGTATTTGAAAATATTAATGTCATCAACAAATTTAAGCAAATGATCAATTGAGAGCTCTTTAAAACGATATCCTAGCTCCAACCAATAATTATAAGGTTTTGAATTACCAATGAATTTGTTGGACAAGAAAAAAGCAGATGCTGATAAGCAAGCAAATAATAGGGAATGTTTTGGACGAGACGTATTACCAAGAGTTAATAAATCAGCAAAGGCCATTTGACACCTTGGAAAAAAAATTGTTTTCCATGGATTTGATTGAATTCTTAGAACAGTCAAGTTTCCTGTGATCTCATCAGAGTATAATGCTATTAAAGTTTTTACAACAGGACTCACCATGATTTCATATTTAGATGAATCATATGCTTTAAGTGATTCAGGGAGATCGAATTCGGGCTCTTCTAAAACTCTTGCATGGAGAAATTCATCACAATTTTCGAGAGAAATTTTGCTAGGAACTTTGATTCTTTTCTTTTTTGACGATCTTTTCTCTTTTTCTCTTAAAGTTTTTCCATTAGTTATAATAGAGAAGCCTTCGTTATTGATTTTGTTGTTTTCATTGTCAGTGGTGTCATCATTGTTATTAGTACTGGTTGTATTGCTATTGGATCTATCAAGTAACAAATTAATGTTATTGGATAAAGGCAAGTCCAGGCTAATATCGTTGTCGATATCATTTTCATTAGAATCTTCGAAAATTATGTTATCATCAATACTACGAGGATTTAAATCGATTCTTTTATCGATATTATTGGTGGAATAATTGTAATTTGATAAATTAGTGGAGAAATCGTTAGGCATGGATTGAGGATTATCAGAATGAATAAGTTGAGAGGTAAAAATTTGAGTGTTTGATGGAGAAATGTTTGAATTGTGATTATAATGAAATAAGCTGGGGTTTATTGGGTTTTCGTTGTCGATTTGTCTAAATTGAGAAGATGTTGATGAAATATTTGGATCAAATGGATTTTTTCTGTTTGATTGAGAAATGGAATTTTGTTTTTGTGAGTAGTCCACAGAGACAATATCGTGTGTATTTTTATTTTGATTGTAACTGTTGTAATCGAGAGCATGTGAGTAGAAATACCTATTATTTTCTGAAATGCTATAGTTAGTATGACCATTTAAATTTTGTGATCTTTGGTAAGTGTTGATCTGGTTATCCCATTGATTTTGAGAGTGGTTATTGTTATTTGTGGTGTTGTTAGAGTTATTGTAGACAAAGCTTTGAGACTGGTTTAAGTTTAGGTTTTGAGGTGTAGTTGCATTTTCGGTATAGTTATAGTCAAGATTTTGAGGCAGATTTTGGAAGCTAACAGCCATGTTTATGTCATTAAAAGTGGAAGATCGATCGATAGAAGTTGAAATAAAAGTGTGGTTAGTGTTTGAAGGTTGAGACGAGTCGTTGTCTGTTACTTGATCCTGAATCTTATTGGAGACATTTTGAGAATCAAGAGAAGTTATATTATAGTTTGGGATCAGATTCAGATGCTGGCCATTACGGTTTTGGAGAGATATTGAGATGTAGTTGATTGGCTCTGAGATGGAATTACGGTTTGAAGAGTGAGAATATGTGTTATTGAACAAGGAGGGAGTTTTGCATTGAGAATCAGATGGGCTTGGAGTTGTTGGAGTGATTGAGGCAAACAGAACAGGATCTATGTTTTGAATGTGGTTTTTGGCAGCAATGGTAATGAGCTGTGGATCATGGTTGGAATCAATTTCAACCATGTTGGATATGATGGTGGATGGTAAGCCTGAGAGGGAGTCTTTTCTCTTCTTGGGAGTGGTAAGGTCTTTAAATGGCGATGATCTTTTGTATCTTTGATTTTTGGGAATTTTTCTGGTTTTGTTCAGTTTTGTGTTTTTTGTGTTGGAATTGGAGGTGGAATTGGAGGTGGAGGAGTTGTTTAGAGAAGCAGAGTTAATTCTTTCAGGGTCCATAAGGAAGACAGAAAAGGGACCAAAGGAGTTTGTTTTGTTGGGAGGATCTACAAATTCAGTGGTGGAGAGAGAATTAAGCATCGAGAGGTGTTTGTCCATTTCAGCATAGGTCTTGTAGATCATATTGATGGGATACTTGACAAATTCTATGCTTCTTCGTTGGAAATACTGCTCTCCAGAGGAAGAGGTGCCTTCAGTGTCGCTGCCTTTGGAGTCTCTGTCTTTGAGCTTCAGGTCTTTCTCGTCTTTGATGAATCTGATGTCGTTGTCGTTGAGGGTTTCTGGTTCGTCCTTCTTTCTGGAGGTGTTGGAGGTGTCTGAGATGACATTGCCTTGTCTGTCGTATTTCAAAGGTGTTAACCAACAGAGCTTTATATCGTATCCATCACAGGGTTTGTTGGACTTTTGGCAGACCTGGCATGAAGGCTTTCCTCCATCGCATTTTACCTTTCTTTTGCGACAGGTCCAGCAACCGGTGAAGGTCTTTGTTCGTTTTACTTTCTTTGGAAGAGGAGGAAGAGGAGGAAGAGAGGAGGACAGTATTGGAGGAGAGAGGTTGGAAGAGAGGCCATTGATCTTTATAGAGGAGGAAGGTAAAGGAGCAGCGACAGATGCAGATTTGATCATAACCAGAAAGAGGTGGTAGTAACTAGTTATAGTTTTTTTTTGTTGTTGTGTTGTGTTTTTTTGTTCTTAATTATCTTTTTTTTTAATTTTAGTTTAGATTTGTTTTTAATTTTAGTTTAGATTTGTTTTTAATTTGATTTCGTTTTGTTTTTATTTGGGGAATTTTTTTTTTTTTCTTTTGCCTTGAAATAGAAGAACGAAAGAAAAAGAAAGAAGAGAAAATGTGTAATTTTTTCCCTGAGTTTTTTAAACTTTTCTGGTGAGATACAGTTTTCAAGGGAATTGATAAGGTGAAGTAGAAAGGATATAGAGGATATTTCCAGAGAAAGAATTGGGAATGAAGAGAGAGAGAAGAGAGGAAGGGAATGAATGTGTGGATGGGGGATATAGAGTACAGTGTGGACAGAATATGGGAAGGCAGCAGAGGTAATTGAAGAAGACTGGAGATGAAATTTTTTGCAATTAATATCAGGCTCGAAGAGCAGGAGTGGGATAACAAGCTAAGAGAAGCAAGAAGGTTTAATATCAGTCATGAAACACACAAAGTAGCAGTGATTGGACGACGTGGGAGTAGAGGTTATAAGGGATATTATTAGTACAAAGGAAGGCAAAGCTAGTTCAGGTAATTTTGCAATGATATAATTAAGAATAGAATGGGAGAAAGAGCATAGAGTATAAAGGATATAAAGAGTATAAAGGATATAAAGAGTATAAAGAGTATAAAGCAGTAGTACGATAATATGAGCAGCATAGAAACAAAGTGCTGCGAAAACAGTGGATAGAATTTAACAAGATATAGCAAAGAATTAGCCTAAATTGTAAAACTGACTAAGAATTTAGTTGATTTTAAATTTTAAGTAAAACTTATAAGTTAAACTCGATAAAATTTACTGAAATTCAGTAAATATGATTAGATTCTACAACAAGATTCCAGCAAGATATTAACAGGATTTCTACGAGATTCATATGGGTCAAGACAATTTCAGGCAGCTGCTGTTTCTGCTCCAAGAGCAGCTACGTCTCCAGGCCCAGAGGCCAAAGTCCAGCTGGAATTGGAGCAGAAACAGCAGAGGCAGCAGCTGGAAATGGAGCAGTTAACTGCTCTCGCAACGAGTGGTTTTGGGGTTACAGCTACAGCTTGGGATAGCAGCAGAAACACTGCAAAGATCCCAACATCAGCACTAATCAAAATCCAATAGAGCTGCTGGACTGTAACTGAATATCGAGGTGATCGACCTCAAGTTGAAGACTCGAACGCCATGTTATGTTGAGGAGCCAGAGCTCTGCTGCAGCTGGTGCAATTGCAGTTATTGGAACTGGTTCTGTTCTTGCAACTCGATTGCCATAACCCAGAGGCTCAGAAAGGCAATTACAGTTCCAGAAATACAGATTGGCTTTCTGCGATTTTCGATCAACAAAGAAACAAACGAATAATTGGAATAATTGGAGCCATAAGATCAAGCCAAACTGAGTTAGATCTCACTCAAGCACCATTCCAATATTATTCAATGTTATGGCAGCAGAATCCACAAATTCGCCAGCAAAATAAACATAAACTGAGCATAAACCGAACATAATGAACATAATGAACATAATGAACATAATGAACATCCAACTGCTTCCAGTCGAGATAATTGCCCACTATCCACTCGATTTGCGAAACAGCAAGAGTTGTCATTTTCATCCATCCATCATTGCTATGGTTATTCTATGATAAAAACCAGGAAATTCCAGCTGTTGATTTCCTCATGATTTCTGAAACACTCGTCTTTAAGGTCTTCAAATGTCTCTCCCAAAGGATAAAATTTACAGTTATATTGGTAGACATCAAACAGCCGAACCCATCTCAACTGACATTTGTCCACAACAGCTATCTTCTACTCAAACACATTGCCTACGCTATATACTGCGATTTCTGATAGCCTTTGATCAAAGAACCACCTCCAATATTCCTTCCATCTCGAAATCTTACTGCTAAAATCTTGTTTCGAAAAGCAAAATCTTATTACGCACTTTGAACTTACGCACTCCAACGAATATGACCCCATCTGCCCACTCAAGTCCCCCAAGTGAGAGCACCTTCATCCAGCATTCACTCTGCCCCAAAAACACCAGACCTCGTATTGAGAGCTTCAACGGTATTAGCAGCATGGGTCTCTTCTCCAGAAATGGCATTCATTACGGAACCCACCCAGGGTCTTTACTTGTGCTTCCAATTGTTTGGTGCCATACACGTGAGCATTCCAATTTTTTTACAAAAGCTTGGCTTGGCAGATTGACACGCATGCACATCCATGTACCCAGCAGATTGAGTACGCAATCTGCTTATTAACGTTGAGAGCACGCATAACATTGACTTGTGTTACATGAGCAAGCAACCTTAACAGGTTCATCTATTCCGACCCCTACTCCACCGTAATTTCGTGCATCCGATCCAATTTGGATTTCGCACTTCCGAAAGCGTTCGGCCGTTTGCTGACATTGGAAGAATCAACGCTCAAAAAAATGGCATACAAATGACATGATACACTGAAATTAACATATATAAGACAAGTTTGAAATTCAAAATTTATCATTAAATAGATGCACACTAATATCCATCAACCCCCAAAAGCAACACCTCAGCATCAAAGTTAAAAAAAATCTAGACAATGATAACAATCCTAAAAAAATCACACATAAGACAAAAATAAAATAGAAATCAAACAATTATAAAACAAATATATACAAAAATCATTATATTGTACATTTAAAAAATAAAATTAAAATCAAAAAAAAATAAAAATAAAAATAAACATAAACATCATAATATTTTTACCCATTTATCTTTTTATCTTTTTATCTTATTTACTTTCCTATTAGTTGCAATCGTTCATTTAATCACCTTCAAAATTTAGGAAAATACTCTTCCTCCTCGCTTGTAATTGGGGGAGGCGAAGTTGGTAAAATATTTTTAATCCCAATCAAATCTTCCTTTTCCTTGCCTTTGCAATCTCTATTATTTCTTTGATGATATAAAAATCTTGGTTGTTTATAATCAGAATAAATTGATGGCTTGGTTTGTCTAGGGGATAATAAGCCCGATGGTGGTGATAATGGCGGAGACATTGGTGGTGACACTTGTCCATAAAACGTTCGTTGAAAATTATTCAGAACCGGTTTGCAGAAAAATGATTTATTTTTATTATTTTGCATCTCACTCAATAACAGTTTTACTGTACTTTGTTTTCTCCCATTTTCATTTCCATTCCCATAATTATTTTTATTTTTATTATCATTATTATTATTATTATTATTATTTATATCACTTTTTCTTTTATCAATATCATTACGTTTTTTTCTATTTTTATTTCTTTTGGATTTAGATATCTTGTTGCAATTTTTAACAAAAGGCACTTCGTTTTTGCTTGATAACAAATCAGTTGAAAACATTGATAATGATGACCTTGCCAACTCTTCATTGCGTTTTTCTTCTTCTCTAAATAAATCAAATGCCTTCCATGCTTCTTCTTCTTCAGTTGTCTCCTTGTACTTGTTAGTCTCATCTTTTTTCTCAACATATTTATTATTGTTATTGTTATTATTGTTACCATTACCATTATCACTATAAGTGTCATAATCATAATCATAATCGGCATTATTAATATTACTATCAAACCCATCCTCATCTTCAAAATCAAAATCAAAATCATCTTCAGGATTTGAACGAATTCTCAATCCTTTTCTCTTAGTACTGAAAACAGGAGCCGGACAAAAATCATCCACATCGTCAACTATACTATTACTATAATCAACATTTCCTCGATTATTCCCATTATCCCTATTATTCACACTATTATTATTATTGTTATTATTGTTATTATTATCTCTAGATAAAACACATTCATCAAATTGGTATTCAAATGCATTCAACCTTCTTAACGTGCTTTCTCTTACTATAGACCCTCTAATAACACCAGTCACAAAAGTGTATGAACTATCTTGCAAAGTATCACACATCGGACAATTCCATGACCGAACTCCAATAGCCAATGAACCAACACCCAAACACCTTGGATGGTAGCACGATGAGCATGTAGAACATAATGCCAATCCAGTTGTTACCGATGAAGCGGAATCACATAGCGAACATTTAACTCTGTTTCTAATCAAATTGTTGATTCGGGAACTTAAATCACCATCACTCAATGATTGACTTGAAGCATCAAAATCATTGAAATCATTGCAAACCTTCGACGGTTTTTTAGGTTCGACAGTATAATTATGAACAACATTTCCATCAACATCAACAAGATCCACTTTTTTAAATGAAGTACGACAGCTTGGACAACTGTTAGACTTTTGACACCAAGGTCGAATACAGATATCATGATATCTATGGTTACAAGACCCAAGTCTTGCTACCAACTGCTTCTTTGCATTGCTGTTAACATCACTGCCATTTGAGAAAAGATTATCAAGACAAATCGAGCAAATGTCTTCAAGATCCAATGCATCAGAAGACGACTCTGATTGCTCTGGTAATTGATTCATTGTTCTTATTAACTATCGTTAATTATCAACTTATTTCGTTATTATTATTATGAGGAGGATTATTATTATATTCCCAACCTTAATTCAAGCCTGATATGCAACCTTAAAACCACTTTTTACACTTCTAAAAAAACGTTAGACCACAATAAAAACAGCAACAAGTTCATTGAATATTAAGATAAAGCCAAAGATAATCAATTCAATTTGCCAAATCAAATGAACAAACTACTTTTAATAAAAAAACAAAAGAATCAAGGAAAAAAAAAATAGGAAGAGCTGAGTATTTATAGGATTTCAATGTATGGAAAATAATTTTCTGGCTAAAAAGACAGTCACATGACCGCAGCATTGAACGAGCGGCAAATCAGAGCGGGTAATGCTTAGCCCGGATGCAGACTCCACCTCGATGGGCCGGCGCTGGCTCGCAACCGTTCTTTTGTGGTTTTTTTCTGGTGTTTTTTTCTGGCTTTTTTTTCTGGCTTTTTTTTCTGGTGCTTGTCTTTAATGCTCAAGTGCTTTTGATATTTGCCGTAGCAGCTCTCACATACAGCCTTTGTTGGCCAACAAATCAGCCTGTTCGTTTCCAAAGACTCCTATGTGGCCTCGAACATGGCAAAAGGCTAAACTGGGCTTTCCAGCCTGTTTGCATTTTTCGTTGATGGATTTCTTCAAGGCTACTGCTGATTTGATTATATCGAGATTGATTATTTTTTGTCCAGTGGCTTTTTTCCATCCATTTTTTTCCCAGCTCAAACTCCAGCTATCAATACATGATATCGAGTATTTACTATCAGAAAATATGGTGTAACACTTTTTTGCGCCATCACTTAATTCCTGATCGACCACTTTTAGAGCATGTAAAATCGCACTTAGCTCAGCTCTTTGATTGGTTTGCTGGCCAACGACTTTCCCATAATGATTTCTAGGATCTCCCATACCAAAAAAACATCCAAACCCTGCTTTAGCACCCTCCTTACCATTTCCTTTAGATGCTCCATCAGTGTAAATATGTTCATTCTCATACGAGCTAACGGAATCATCATACGAATTAACAGGACTCTTATACAAGCTAGTGGAACTCTCAAACGAGATAACTTTTGGTACGATATTCTGATACCTCAAAATTTTTTCATTATTTTTGACATCATTGTCAATTGTTTTCCCATAATTGTATCGAACTTTAGAAACAGGTTTTGAAATAGGGTGGGTAGTAAAAGATTTTTCTCTAGAACTGGTTTTTAGATATCCCAGCGCTTCAGCTTGGGTTGAAAACTTTTTAAACTCAGAGCATGAATACCCATTGATTTGAGCTTGACATTCTTCCCAGGTTTTAAAGATTCCTGTTTTGTATCCTTTATCAACAATTGAATAGATCAAGGCATTTGTTAATAATTTGAATCAAATTTCTCTTTTAAAAATGCAAAATCAGAACGATTAAAAATACTAACCTCTTCTGACGGCATAGAATCCTTTTTTAGCCATTTCACAGACTGTGTTTCCAAAAATTTAGTTGTGATTAGATCGATACAAAAATCTTCAAATCATAACTTCGCCGGAAGTCGTGAAAAAGTATTTAAGAGCCAAAAACTGATAGATCGAAACTATGTGCTTTAAGTTTCGTATTCCCGAAAAATGAAAACAAAAATGTTAGTAGGATCAAGTCACATGCCTCTATTTATTTCCTGCGTTTATTTCATTGGTTACTTCGGGGCTCGAACTCGATGGGATAAAACGAAAAAAAAAGTTGAATATTGTATTTTTGAAATCATAAAACTGAAATAGAGATAAAATCAAAGTTCATTATATTTTTGAACAAAACATATACTATGCCTGAAATTTTATGTTGAGAGCAAAATTTCCGAGTCTTCAAATCTTATCTTTCAAAGCATTGTTGAATGGCTAATGTAGTTCAAGGGCTAAATGCCAACATGATAGGGGATATTGACCTATTAATTATTCTATTTCTAAAATTATACATGAGATTGTTGATGCACCAAGATCAAATGAATTGAACATTATTTTAGATGTGTGTTATGTGTTTTATGATCTTCATGATTAGAAAGAGCGTAATGGATAGTTTTGTTTTGTTTTGTTTTGTTTTGTTTCATGGATATTTTTGCAAGTGATATAATTATTTGATTATTTTAGTGATTATTTTCTTAGTGGTATTGATGTTAATCCTTTCATAACCAGCTTTGTTTACAAAATTTACAAAATTTTTGAATGAAACCAAATATTAAACGTTTAAATTCCTTTTTTTTTAGTTTGATTAAAAAACATAGGAGAGAATAGGAGGTTTTCCAAAATTTTAAATAAAGATATTATAGATAATAATATGTTATTGTATTGTTGTTAGAACCACAAGAGAGACAAAATGGGTGATTTGTTTAGTATAGTGTAATATTACCGCCAAATGACATTTTGGCTTTGAAATTCTAGTGTTTGATTATATTCTTTTAACTCTTTTTTTTATTTTTGTTTTGTTAAAACATTTTGATTAGACAAGTTTAACTGATAATTGGAATTTATAAATAAATAATTTAACAAATTCATTTATTTAAATTGTAAATTTCAATAGAAAAATAATTTTATGTCATTGTGTATAGACTTTCCAAATTTGGAATTGGAACATATAAATCTATTTGTCACAAAGTGTTTCAATTAAATTTGAATTAATAATATATTAATACTAATGAATAAATAATTTAATAATAAATTCAATAATAAACTTTAAGGGTTTTACATTTTTTTTCTTTTTTCTTTTTTCTTTTTTTGATACAAAATGGTAAAGTAGAGCCTATAAAATGATAGTACATATCAGGAGTATCATTATCATTATCATTATTATTTCGATTACATTTGATGGAAAATGTTCATCTTATGTAATTTGAATGTTACAATTTTAAAGAAAATTGTTAATCTATCAAGTAATTAAATATTTAATTAGTTTATACTAGTACATAGAGATGACATATTGATATATAAATCAGAGATCATTAGATAGGTTAATGCTTTTTTTTTATTTTTTTTTTGCACTTTTCAATCAAACAAACGCTTGTGTATGTTGGTTGACTAAAGATTATCCAATGCTTCGATAATCTGTAAAGATCATTTGGATTCTGTCATCGAGGAAAAAGACCTGTAAATCTTAAATGTCTTAATTATGAAAATTATTGTTAAAATTCATTATTTTAAGTAGATGTATACAATCTTCAGGAATATTAACAATAATTTATTCTTAGTAATGTTATTATTGCTCTTTTTTTTTTTTGAACAAAATAATTTTACTAAATATTAAGATATAAAATGTAATAAATTGGTTTGATTATTTTGCCATTTCTTAAGATTTTATCTTCTGGAACTGTTAGCAATTCATTTGAACCAAAGTCGTTTTTGGATAATTTTTTGTAATTTAGTTTATTTATATACCAGTTGATTGCTATAAAGTTTTTCGAAAAGACGCTTAGATAATATTTCTTAATCCGATAGTTTTTCTTGAGCTGCAACAACGATTTTAGTTGAGGATTGCCATTTAATAAATTTGCCAATGAGTGGTATTTGTCGATTAATATAGAGCCGAGTTTAGAATTCTGATAATTCGGGTTGATATGGATTTCAAACAAGTAAAAGTAGTAGTATAGGTTATTCTTGTCAAACTGGTTGAAAACTAGTTTGAAAGATAGAAAACCAACTATTGTAGTGTTTTGATTGCAATTACGGTTCTTGTTACGAGGATTAGTGTGAACTGTGTAGTACACATAAACCAAATTGTCCTCCTGAAGCTCGATTATCTTGTCCTTTTTCCAAGTTTCGCCATAGCTATCCAAGTATATATCACCGATGGTCGAGTTGATTAGCCGCAAGAAGGAGGTCAAGGTCTTTCGCTGAGCAGCTAGGTCATGACTGGTGGTGGTTTTCAAGCAAAGTGTGCCGCCATGTGCTAGAGGTAGAGCTGGGGGAAACACACTCTCGCAAATCGTTGCCAATTGGCTCGTCGACTCGTTGTTCATTATATCTGGTTTTGAAATAGGTAGCTCTCTCAAAGCCGCCTTACTTTGTATCCCATCAGCACAGTGTATTCGGTTAGCTTATCCGTACGGATCCATTTCGTACGGAATCCACAGGGTCTTACGGAACTGCTCACGGAAATTAGTAAAGTCTTCCTCGTCGTCGCTTTCGTGGGCAAAAATAAAGCCACCATCACAAAGGGACCGAAGAACATGTTTGGTTTGATGAGAAGCAGAAACTTCAGCTTTAAAAGTCGTAGTTTTAGCCTTAGTTTTAGCCTTAGTTTTAGCCTTAGTTTTAGTTTTAGCCTTAGCTTCAGCAATATAAACTGTAGTATCAGTCTTATCAATTACTTCGCAGTCATCGTTTTCATGGGCAACAAAGTCGTCAGAGGGAAAGGGGAAAAGAACTCGTTTGGGTCTGCCAACATCCTCAGCAGCAGCAGTAGCTATACCAGTAACAGCAGCTTCAGCAAACGCTTCAATACGATCGGCCTCTTCTTTAATCCCATAATCAGCTAAACAGAGCGCTTGTGTATTTGCGTACTTGAAAATCTGTTTTGATTCGGTATTGTAGAAAAATCTGATTTCCTCCCAGCCCTGAGATGTATAGTGCTTGTTGATTATTTTGATTTCATTGAGACAAAGTTTAATTATATCTTGATTTTTGACGTCTTTACCCTTTGATGTCTTCCAGCCATTCCTGACCCAGGTGTATTTTCAGTTGTTGAAGCATTTTAACGAGTATCTATCCTTTGTGTAAATAACATAGGGAAATAGTTTTTTTTTGTCGTTGTAGTTTTTGTATCGAATAATTTCTTGTTTAATTGTTATCAATGCTTCTAGGATGGCCTTTAAATTTGCTCTTTGATGCGATTGAGTCCCATCTAACGTTCCAGATTCATTTTTGGAATCGTTTTTCCCGAAAAAACAACCGTAGCCCGCAGCAGTAAATTTTTGATCAATTAATCTGGCTTTTCCAGCAGTAAAGACAATTCTTGTGCGATTGTTTAGGTATATTTTCGATTTATAGTAATTGTATGCTTCTTCAAAGCTGTTGAATTTTTTGAATTGGTTATCAGGACATCCTTCGACTTGTTTTTGACAGCACTGATAATCAAAATAAATTCCGGGTTCGTAGCCTATGTATACGGAAAAAAAGATAAACAAATAAATGAGTATATATACATGAAATTGATGAGACCCATTGATTATTGAAAGAATTGATTAATACACTTGAGAATACACTCAATTTGAGATCTCAGGTGAATTGATTAAATATAACATACCTCTTCTAACCACGTAAAAGGTTTCCATAATTAGTGATAAGATAGTTGGGAATTAAAAGAAGGATCAAGAGCTACCATGTAATTTTAAGGAAGCACCCTTTGAGGCCCAGAACAAGTTTTGATTGGTCAGTTTTGGAACCCCAGCCCGGAATCCTTTAACTTTAAGAAAACCACTGTTGAGGAATCCACGAGATATATAAATAAATTTGCTTGTATTAGATAATTATCAGAACAAAAACAACTAAAAAATAAATTTGGTGATAAAATCAAGTAAAAAACGATAGATAAAATATACAAAAGTGATGACAGTAAAAATCAATGATTTAAAAAAAATAGTATATATATATAAACTCATAAAACTAGTAAACCGATAAACATAATAAGCTGTTTGTTTTGGACTGAATATTTATAACGAATTTGAATGTGTGTTTATTTATTTGTGTATATCTTTCATATATTTTCATCTTTGATTGATTCATTCGAGGAATTTTTTGAACTGGAAGATGAGGATGAAGAGTTATTTTTACTTATTTCATCAGGAGTTTTAATTTTTAGAGATAGAGCATGGACACCTTTGTTTTTTAACTCATCGTCCAAAAGCTTATAAATCAATCTGTGTCTCGAGGGCAAATTCAAACCAGTAAAAGATTTTGAAATGATGTCAATTCTGAAATGAGATTCGGTAATATTGGTTGCTCCTCGAATTCCAGCATGATGAGCATGTTTCGATGAATCGTTTTTGATAGTCAAGGATATTGGATTGAAGCTGTCTATTAGTTTATTAACTATTTCCTTCTCAATAGGACCGGGAGTGGAACTGGAGTATTGTAGTGTGTAGGTAGACATGTTTTTCGAAAAACGATTATAAACAAAACCACTATTTTTTTTGTAATTGTTATTGTAGTTATGGTTGTTATTGGCAGTGTGATAATTGCTAGGGATGTTGAAACTGAAGAAAGGATTGATTTTGTTGATTGAGTTATATAAAAATGAGGATCTCACAATCGAACTTCTTATCATGTTAAAAAACAAGAAAAGGGAATACAAAGAAAAAGAAAAAAGAAATAAGGGAAATCAAATGCAAAAGTGCAACAAACAGCTTCAGCTAATCGAAGAGCCTTTCAAGTACCTTTCCAAAGTACTTTCTCTGCTAATTAACAACTTTACATCGACTGTTTTCTGCTTTGCTCAAAGCTGCAACACTTTCAACGACCATTAAAGTACTTTTCCACCAGAGGTCTAGGCCCGCGCATATATCGCGCAGCGCTTACCCGAAGCAGCGCTCGTTTTCTCGGGGGGCTTGCGCGCTTCTCTGCAGCGAAGTTGCTTTTACACCGACACAGTCCCGCTGGCGGAGGGATGGCCGTAGCGCCACAGGGCGGCACGCGCACCAAAAGCGTCTTTGGCTGGCAATGCTCGAGATGGCGTTGGAACAGCTGAAGCTGTGGCAACAAAGGCAGGCAGCAAAGACAGCTGGTGCAACAGGGGCACTTCTACACAACTTTGGGCATATAGGGAACAAAAAGGAATTCGGGTAATTCAAAAGGAATTCAGTGCGTTAACAAGGAGTATCGTAGTGGAGCCAGGAAGGTTTTTGAGAGCGGCCGATGGGCCGCCACAAAAGGCTCTTCTTCTTGAACAGCTCTTAAACAGTTCTTAAACAGTTCTTAAACAGTTCTTGAGCAACCTTAGAATAGCCTTTGAACAGCTTTTGAACAGTTCTTGAACAGCTTTGGTCCCTTTTCAGATTACTCTTTCTTTGAACCTTCTTCTGGAAATGGAAACTGACTAAGAGAGCATTGAGACTTCAGCACCTATTGTCCGTTATCCAACCAAGTCATCCCTCTTTCAAGAAGTCTTTTGATGTTGCTGTAGGGAATTGATACTTGGTCCAACTTGTCATGAAAATGCCCTTTTATTTGACAACTTCATAAAGGCTGTGCAACTAACTCAACTAGCAATTACAGATTCTCGCTAGAGATGTGAGTTAAATTGTACATTTTACAATATCAGGAACCCCCAAATCAATGCAAGTATGGTTTGTTCAATATCTAGCTGTGTACAGGAAACAAGCAATACAAACCATAGTTTGCCATCAATCGAGAACTGCTCACAACACCAAAAAAATCTCAATTTAATTGATTACATAATCCACGCTCTAAATTAAACTTTGAAAACGTGATTGTTTTGAACCTTAATTATTTTTTTCTGAAATTTTCCAAAGTGAAAAAAATCAAAATCAGAATCAAAATCTCAATTGATTTTTAGATTAATAATAATATACTAATATCAAAACCTAATAAACGAACGAAAAAACACAAAAAAAACATGAAGTTATTAGTGGCTTCAGACAATACAGGCTCTCTTAAGGAGGTCATATGTAACAAGGGTACCGATACCTCCCAAAAAGATGCGATTCAACCTTCTATAAAATCATTTCACAAATTGGGTTCGTCAAAAAAGATCCAAAAATTAGTCAAAATCGACTCCAAACATTTAATTGTTGTTTCAAGACTTGGTGGCTCGATATGTTTTTATGATCTCACTTCTATGGGCGAATACCAACTAGAAACCTTTAATAATAATGTTACAACAAACCCAACCAATGAATCTGACTCAAAAACCCATGGAAATAACTATCAATTAATACATCAAATTGACGGTCTAAGCTCTGATCCAAAGGACAATTTTATTTCTTTAAATTATGTCAAAAGCTTGGATATAATATATACCTGCACACAAAACGGAAGAGTATCTTTAATCTCTCTAAAAGATGATAAATATTTGCATTCTGAATTTTCCTGTTCTACTAAACCCGTATCTGCTTTCATTCATGATCCAAATATCATTGACAACTTTCAATTTGTGTTTGGTGGAAAAGAAAATGATTTAACCATCATTAAAATCGCAAATTCAATAAATGATTTTCTTAATCTATTCAATAATAATCCTCAATCCAATCAAATTATTACAACCTTTAAAGCTAAAAATGTTAAGCCAGACAGACTTCATCTAAGAGTCCCTATCTGGATTACCAACATCATTTTTTTAAATAAAAACTCAAACGAAATCGTAACAACCACAAAATATGGTCAATTGAGATACTATGACACTAAAATTGGTAAAAAACCAAGATACTCAGTTCAGTTGACCGAAAAACACTATAATCAAACTGTTGGCATCATCAATGCAGTTCTATCATTCAACAAAAACATCAACACTCAAGAAATAATCTGCTCTGATGATCATGTATCTGTCTCAAAATACGAAATCAAATCAGGCAGATTGGTCGGTAAATATCCAGGAAACACTGGTTTATGCCAAACAATCAACTCGTTTGATGACAAATATCTAATAACTGGGGGTTTAGATACATACTTGAGAGTATTTGAAATCGCCTCAAAGGAACAGCTCATCAAAGTCTATATTGGAAGCAATATCAGCAACGCAATAATAGTTGATCCTAAGGATAAAAATGTTGCAAATGACAAAAATCCTAATCCTCTACTTTCAAAACCAGAAATCAAAAATGAAGACAACGACGATGATATATGGGACGAGCTAGACAACAATGTTCGAAAAAGACACACAATAAACAGCCCCTCCAAAGACCACTTTAGCCCAAGGCCTACAAAAAGAATAAAAAAATCGCTAGTTAGTACATAGAGCTGTAGAATTAAATATAACACAATAAACTTTTTTTATTATGTTTGAGGGTAACCGTTTGTTTGGCTTCAATATCGGAAAATGTTTTATCAATCTCCAAACATCAAAACTAGAAATATCTCCTCAATAACTGCGATGGAGCCTGGTCTTGTGAAGTATGTCTAGTCTAACCTTTTGTTAACGAAAACTGTATAAACTAACTGGTTTGCTTTTATTCAATAGAGTCTCGCGAAAGAGCTTGTACGATTCTGGCTCTGATTTTGATTCTGATTCCGATCTTTCTCAGAATGAACAACCATTATTACCAAATATCAAATTTGATTTCGTCGATAAAGTAAATGTCCAAAATGATTTGAATCTTGGACTTGGTGATAAGCATAGCAAATTAAACCCAGGTACAGAAACAGATGAAGAAGCCAAAACTTCAAAGGAAGAATTTTTCTTTCCACTTTTTTCAACTTCAAACACATCCAACGACAATGGCAATGAAAATGCAAAACTAATAAAGATAAATATAAAAGAAAACGATGATGCTGAGATTTTAGATAGCATAGCTAAAAATCAAAAAAGACCCAATAGTTACTATTTTGCAAGCTATTCTGATGATGAAAAATCACAATTTCTTCAAATTGCATTGACTGGAGAGGACATAATAAAACAATCTCAGCATTTTAATACAATGAAATACATCAAATCAAAATATAATGGAAAACTAATTGATTTAAAGCAATATAACAATGATATTGAAAGACAATTGATAATATCCAAAAAATCAAAGAAACTGAGGCCCGGAAAGAAAAAAAGGCTAAAACACTCTGAATCTCAGAAAAGAAAAAATGAGAGAATTAAAAAAGATATTGAAATTAAAAAATTAAAAAAAAAATTATTAAAGAAAAAACATCGCAAAAGACCTGCTAAAAAAAACAAAAACAAAGTTGATTCCAGCGAGAAAACAACATCCAGGCCAAAATACAGAACAGAATAAAAAAAAAAAAGTTAGTTATTAAAAATTTTTATATTCTATTTATTAATTTTGTTACATAGAGCAATATCTAAGCAATTAAAAAAGTTTATTTGATATATTACAAACACCATTAAACTGATTTTAGGAAAAATATTCCCATTCTCCATCAGCATTTTTTTTAAATCCATTAGTAGGAAAGTAATGATAATTAGTTTTTAATGTAATAGCTTTTTTTTGGTTGGATAAAGAAACAGCTCTGACCTTCACATAAGAATTATCAGCTACCTGTTTAATAGCACTCAAAAACTTATCTAATGTAGGTGTTTCTATTTCGTTAACATGCGTGATAAAATGAGAGCTGCCTAAACCATAGTCCTTAGCAGGAGAACCTCTACCAACTGTCATCACATATACATCTGAAGGCAATTCTTTTAAGGATTGTCTAAGAGCATAAAATGGGTTTTGGAAATTTGCACCACACCAGTGAATAGTTTCTTCAGTTTTTTCAACTTCAAACGTTCCAATTTTAAGCAATATTTCTTTTTGATTACGCACGACTCTGAGTTCTAGTTCATCATTTTTAAACATCAAACTGGTGATATCTGTCACTTTATTAACAAAATTACCATTAACTGTCAAAATCACATCACTGACTTTTAAACTGTTTTTATCCAAAGATTTTTCCTCAAACTTGGAACAGGCAACAGAAGAGACATTGATGAATTTTAATCTATGGTTTTCTTCATCCAAAGCACTGTTTTCTAATTTTTCAATCCATTCTTCTTTCACACCCAAAACTCTTGCTGTAGAAATTGGCAATTCAGAAAATTCAGCATCAATAATACGCACAGATGGAATCAAATCTGAGATTTTGAAACTTTTGACAATCTCACTTACATGGCAGATATCAATGCATCTAAGTACGCTGTATAAGTAATTCTCTGAGTTGTCAACAGCGTCTACCCCAGTGAATTTTAAACATAAACCTCTTACATTTGCATCATCATCGACCAAAATTCCTCCAAGAATGCTAGAGCTTAGTTTTGTACTAATAGAGACAATTTCACAATTAGTAGCTCTATAACAAGGATATGAGTACTCCAATTCAATTTTCAATAAACCTTTTGAACCGACTTTTGTTTTTGAAGAAGAAAACTTTCCGGTATTGTCTTGATATACAAAAGTTAGTTCATCGCCCTTTTTCAAAGGGTTTTCAATAAATTTTATTTCTTGAACTGGAGCAAGAATCAAGGATGGATCATATTTTAAGATAACAAAACCGTATAATGGATGGAAAAAAACCACCTTTGCTGGAATGATCACCGAATCTGCAAAAGTTAGTCTAAAGTAACCAAGATCATTTTCAATGTAGTACCTTGAAACTAAGACCAAGCCTTTTTTAGCATCGATAACCAAACCCGAACCAAGATCATTTGTGGATTCAGCACCATCGATATTTAATGGATGATGTGCAGTGACAGTGACAAAAGAGTTTGGCAAAGTTCTTAGAGCTTCTTTTTCTGAATGAATTTCGATGAATTTAGCATTTAATGGCTTTAGTGGTTTACTGGGTGCAATGAAACCAAGATCATTAAAGTCCCACAACCCGGTTTCATCATTTCTAATTGCTAGACGGAAATCTTCATACCACTGTTTATCGATATAAACGGTTCTGGTTTCGATATTGTGTATATTTTCAATTTTCATGCATGTAATTGATATCATGGATTTATCAGAGATGTGTTTAAGAACATTGATAAATTCATCCAAGTTGTTGACAGTTTTGTTATCAATTGACTTGATAATGTAGCCGAAACCCAAATCAGCGTCTTCAAAAGGACCGTTGGCTTGACTTACAAAGACACCTGAAACAGCAAGATTATGAGTTCGGGCCAATTGATAGGATAAATTGTGGAATATTGAATCGCAAAACTTGATATATCTATCTGGAGTTATGGAATGCAAATCTTGAACTTTGCAAGCTAGATCTAGAATTTTGCCATCTCTTTGAACAGTGAATTTTATAGATTGACCAACTGAGGAGTCTAATATTTCGTCGATAGTTTTAAAGCAGCTGATTTCTTTATTGTGTATAGCAATTAGAACATCACCTTCTCGAATTAAGTTGTCAGCAGGCCCCTTTGGCAAAACTATTTCAGCAACTAGTAGACCAATGGTTTCAGGAAATAAAGATCTCATTTTGGATTCAATTTCGGAGGTTAAGCCCAATCTTTTGCACTCATCAAATGGTTTTAAGTTCCAAGTGACTTGAATGGTACCTCTTAAGATTGGCTTGTTCTTTTGTATGCAGTGAAGTGCTCTGAAGACTCTGTCGATTGGTAAAAAGAAATCAGTTGCACCGAAAAATGAGCCGCCAGCTTCCATTGCCAAAACGTTTCCATTTATATCAATGACAGGCGAACCAGAAGAACCACCTTTAGCGTTGGCAGCAGCTTGAATATATTCAATATTGAAGTCGTTGTAGTTGCAGCAGCCGTAATAAGGGGCGTTTCTATTTGTCCTAGAGATAAAGCCACTGAGAATACTCAATTTTTCACCATTGTCGTTACCAATGACTCTAATTTCGACACCCACCTTGACGAGGTCGGGTCTTAGTTTTAAATCTGGTGGCAACTTCATGTGCTTCACATCGTTGGGATTGAACTTCAAGAAGCCAAAATCATGAATGGGGTCTCTGTAAATTGGAATGACAGGAACTTCCTCGTAGTTGTCCAAAATGATGTAGCCGGTGAAGGGGCCTGGGCTGACGACGTGTCTGTTAGTCAATATTATGCCATTTTCCTTATCAATGATGAAGCCAGTGGCCTGTGAGCTGGACCTAAAATCTGAATCAAAACTGACGATTTGGCAGAAGTGGATTGAAACAATGCTTTTGATTACGGTTTCGACGGTTTTTTGCCATCGATTGCTCTGATCAGAGCCGCCGAGAGCTAGAGACGAGTAAATGCTAGAGGAAAGAAAGAGAGTTAGTTGGCATCGAACCAAGATGTTGCAATGAGCTGGAACCAGGCAGAGACACTTACTCCTTTGAAAGGTTTTCGATCTCCATAGAGGTTTTCATTGGTAGTGGGCTCAAACAAATTCAGGTGAAAAGCAGGTATATATGTGTTTGCTGCTGGTGGGACGTAACGTAGGCTCTCAACAAAACCTCCAGAACAGTTGCCTAATCGACCTGATGATTTCAAATTGTTGGTTTGAAAATTCCTGATTTGAAATAACTTGAAAAGTGGTTGTTTGATTTCAAATGCTCGAGCAATTCTCGTTTCTTACGGAAGCGCACCACTGCGGTGGATCTGGGGCTCTTGTGTTGCGTCTTTTGTTGCCTGTGGTGGATCTGCTGCCTATGCTGTTTATGCTGCCTATGCTTGAGTAGTGTTACTGGCTCAAATGATTTGAAACAGACCAAACTATAAATCGCTAAAACACTCAAGAAGAATTCTAAAGTCAAAATGGATCGCAACAGCTTCCAACAACTTTATCTGTTTTAAGACACTTTTCCTGTCCATTGTGTAGCCCCAGCTTCCAGAGCAGATACAGTACTTGGATAAGGGGTCACTTCTGATCTTCTTGCATCGCTCGCACTTCAAGTCCTGGTTGCAGTAAGTCGTTATCCACTTTTGCAAAAGGGCCACTAGCTGCTCTTCTATGGCAATGCTGTTGAACTTGTCACCACAACTGTCACATATCCAGATCCTCTGCTCTGTGTCGCGACAGAAATCAATGTCCTTAACATAGCTGCAGCTTTGGCACACCACAGAACTGAGTTTTAGCGAAATTCCTGGGTTTTTGAAAATGGCACTCTCGTTGAACTCCCCAACATCAAATATATTTAGCAAGTCCCTCCTCAATAAGCTCACCTCCATGTTTCTCTTTCTCGACAAAGCGTAAACTGCAAGAATAAATTTCACGAGCATTAGTGTTGGATCCTTTTGTTTTTCTGACGATATTGGAAACTTTGGAAAATCATATTCATGTCGTGTTTTCTGATTCATCATTGCTTCATTCTGACCTCGTCTCAAAGCTCCAATCCGCTGCTGAAGTGCTAATCTTATCGATTCAAATAGTTTTTCTGCCTCCTCCTCATCTCCCTTTGCACCTTTCTTCTTTCTGCCCCATTTTCCTATATAACTCGCCGAGTTTATTCGGCACTGTTTCTTTTTATGTGCCTCTAAAAGCTCCAAATAAACAACAACCCAATCCTCAAACTCACCCTGCAACAACAGAGGTAAAAATCTTTTCAATTGCCAGTTCGATTCATACATTGTAACAATGTCCTTATCAGACTCCTCATCAATTTCCTCGCAATACTTGCCCGAATAATTATACTGGTCCATCCAAATCACTAAATCCCAATACTTCACAATGCTCAATTCCAAATAATGGAAAAGTGAATTGGTTCGAATCGCCTTTATGATGTACTGGCAAAATGCATACGAACTTGCCAATGACAACTTTGAAGTATTCAATATCAACTTCCCTCGGTTTGCATAAAACACATATGTTCCCATTTCTTGAAACTTCTTAATTAATTGAAGAAACACCTTCTTCGACAAATTTTCAATATGGTAATGCAAAACTGGATCATACAAATACGATTTCGATGTTTGAAGCCACAACACAAAATTATGTATCATCAAATCACCATTCCTATCTCCCAAAAGTGCATCTTCCCACCACCTCTTTACAATTTTTTTCAAAATTCCCAACGCTTTACTAGAAAATGAATCTTCTGCTAAAGTTCCTTGATCGTTTATAACATTGTTTTCAAACACGTCTGAATTCGCAAGATCTGCTCCTTCAGCCTCATTCACTAAACTCGATGATAATAACGTGTTAACAATCAAATTAGACACAGACACTTCTATCGAAACCGTCTCATAAACTTCACCTTTATTCATCGAAGGAAACTCAAATGTTTCAGTCATTGGAATAATTTGATCCTTTTCTGATCCCCCATGGTCTGGAATTGTATTTTTAGACCACCAAAGAACAACATCGCCCTTTGATAACATTCTCGAATACTCAATATCTATCAAAAACCCAATATTATTCAACGGCAAATTGCAGATTGGAATATTCGAATATCTAGAAAATGAAATAAGTTCACTTAAAACTGTCCCAAGTGAAAAATAGGATTTCAAAAAATTAGAAACAATTCCTGTTTGCCATTGTAAAACTGACAACTTTACTTCGCTACTTGCCAACTTAATAACTGGAAAATTACCAAGTACCTTGATACTTTTAAGAACTTTAGACACAAATGGTGACTGAAATACCATTATACTAGACCTCCCTCTTTCATCAAATATTTTTGAACACAATGATCCAACTTTTTTATCAAGTTTCTTGGAATCACTAAAATACGAAACATCAAACTCCATATCATTTGAATACTCAATTATATTTTGAAATGAAGATATTTTCTTCTCATTTTCTTTGTACAACACTCCATATTCTCTCTCTATTTTACTTGTCAAGTTTTGTGAATTGTGTGACGGCTTTAAAACTAAAACATATGCTTTATTCTCAAATCCAACAAACAACACAAATATTTCATATTGATTCGAAAAAATATGAAGCAAATAAACAACATTAACAAACGATCTAGAAAGATAGCTACTATTATTAGCCAGGCGTAAATCGCTAACATGGATTCCTTCAGACAACCCTTTGCTTAGCGACCCAATTTTAGAAGAATCAAATTGACAACATGTTCCTAATTCAATCATCAATCTTTCCAGAGTATTTACATGAGATTCATAAATTTCCTCAACATTTTTCTCAAAATAGCCACCGGGTCTAGAAGATTCAGTTATAAAAACAGATTCCGGTAATACTGCTTTATACAATTGATTATTAGGAGATCCATTTGGTAATTCCTTTTTAACCTTTTCAATTTCACATTTTGGAATATCCATTCTTGGAGCAGGATTGGTTTTTATATTTAAATATACTGTTTTGGGAACTTGAAGTTTAACTTGATGTATATTATTATTGATTAAAGCAAATGCTATAACATTACCGGGAATAGAAGTGGCTTTATATTCTAATATTTGCCATGTTTCATTAGCATACAGCTCAACCTGTTTTAGCATCATATTTCTAACACTTTCAGAAACATACTTGGTTGCTTTACCAAAAAGACGCTCCTGTGTTTGGAGTTTCTCATTTTGTTTGATCCATATCTTTTTTTGAAACATCAACCATCCAACATAATCTTCATCAATTTTGGGACATGGTCCTATTAACTCATCATCATCCATATCCTCATTTTCAGCTTGTTTAGCTTTTCTTTTATTGGATAATACTTTTGCAGTTTTTTTCACACCAGTTTGCTTTCCAAAGTCCTCAATATCTTCTGGTTCAGGTATAATGGCAGAAACTTTCCCTTTCGTTAAAAAACCTGCCAAACTTGATTGTTTCTTTGCATCTTTGCTAGTAAAAATTTTTTTTTGCAACCAGTCAGGATGTAAAACTCTAGGAACCGGATTAATAACATTTTGCATTGCTGCTGGAATCGTGATGATTTTCTGGATTGTGGAAGCCAAACGTTCTCTATAATACGACCAATCAATAATATTCCGAGGATCAAAGTCTTCCAAAGAGAAATCCGCCAACCATTTTCTAAGAAACATTCTTTTTTGAGAAATATCCGCAGAAAAAATTGCAACAGGAACTGCTCTCTCGGTAATTGGAGAGCCTCTGGGCTTGGTAGAAATAATGTAAGAACATTTCAATCCAGCATCTTTAACAGTTTCAAAACCTAGAAATTCCCCAAGTCTTGTTGCTGTTGTAATTGATGTTGATTTCTGACCTTTATATGATGCTAAAGGTCGACTCATGTTTCTATTTTCCGAAATGAGTTCTATCAAATCTTCATCTTCAAGCATTTTCCCCTTGGTTTCTAGAACATCTAACCATCTATTTGCAATACCTCCAACAGATAAATAACATTCTTCTAAGGTTTTTCCCTCAAGAAAAACTTTAAATATGTCTGATTGAAAATTCTTGATCAATTGTAACTCACCTCTTCTTTTTAATTCAAACCCCTTCAATTCTGAAATAGAACCGTCAAAATTAAAAACAGCATACCTCTTTTTGATACCCTTTCCTTCTTCTTTTGAGGTGGGCAAAACCATTGCTCTATAAGGTCCATCTAATTCAAAAAATATGGAGTTTTCCTTTTTCACAGCGTACTCAAATCTTTCTTTGTTTTTTAATTCATAATATTGATGGTTTGTGAATTTTTGGTGTACTAAATAATTCAACATGGAACATAGAAATGAAAGAGAAATCTTCCCTTTCTTAAGTTTTATGGTAAAATCATCTGGAAATGAAGAAGGAATAATACACCATATACCATCAGTATCTAACTCCAACGGTCTTCCAAATCTTTCAACAACAGATCTTGCCATTTGGATAATTGTAGCACCTGTCAAACAGGTTATGCCTGCCATTTCCATAGAATACCATCTAGAACCTTTTCTCATAACATAACCATAAAAAGAATTCAAAATGACTTTGTGAGCAAGTTGCAAAGAGTCGTATGTGACTATCATTTTCCTGACCTCTTCTAATGTATGATGGTCATCATGATCTACTTTAGATGCCTTTTGTTTCCATTCTTTAGCCTTTTTTTTATATGTATATCTACGATCTCTAAAATCTCGAACAGTGTTGATATAAAATGGATTTTCTTTCTGACAAACAATTGATTCCTTTTTAATTGTCTCTGTAACTGTTATTCTATGATAAACCTTCCTGGAATAACTATTCAAATTTTTTTTCAAGTAGTGCATCTGATCCCCATAAACAAGATTATTAAATTCTTTTTGCTGGTTTCCCTGTAGCGATTGAAAAGATTCATTTTGTAAAGCTCGTTTAATCATATTATATTCATTCATTTTTGTAGGATAAAACTCTCCTCTCCAGGACCAAGTGAGTTTCCTATCACAATCTTTACCAGCAGTGTTGAATTCACATAGGGCACAGTCCTTTTCAAATTTAATTGAATCTGGCTGTAGACGATTTGATATCATAATATTGGGATACATTGAAGCAACATCAACATGATAAATCGAAGGTTTTTCAAATAATTTCGGTTTGCTTTTAAATTTTAGTAATCGGTTTTTCATTTCGGTATAAACTTCTTGATAGTTTACGATGTCGTCCATGGATTTTTTATTTTCAACTGTTACACAAAATTTGATTATTCCAGGTAACATTTCCAAAAATTCGTCAATGACAGTTGTATCAATTTTGAAATCATAATTCAAGTCTGCTCTAAAAACACCAGTTTCTAAAGATTCGACATGACCTCCAACATATGTTTCAGATTCTAATAAATGACCATCATAAAATTTTTCTAGGGTATCAATATGTTTATTTGGAAATACAATGCCATGAACATATGCTTGAACCATCAACAACATTTCACATAAAGTACCAGTACCTTTTCTTAAAACTTCATCAGGATTTAATGGAATGATAGTGGCTAAAGAGAATATAAAAGGATGAACATATTTGTAATATAGGTAATAAGTAGCAACAGCATCGGAAACAGAATATTCGGAAAGAATCTGGGGTTGTTCAATAGCATATGGAGTCATTAGTTCTGGATCTAATTCAAGAGGATTATAACCTAGCTTCGCTAAAGTGACAGCTTTCAAACCTTGAGACCCTTGAGGTAGATAAGAATCTCTTTTGACCCATTTGTAGCAATCCATATGGGCACAGTATGTTGATTTATATTCACCTTCGGAATCTTTTCTAAAACCTATTTCATCAAACATTGAAATGCTATGATAATCAGCTCTTGCTTCTACAAATGGCCAATCAAAAAAATCACCATTAAAAGTTGCAATAACAGTTGGTTGCACATCTCTTATATGCTGAAAGAAATATTTTATCAATTCAAATTCATTTGGAGCGTTATAAATTTCAAATAACCCTTGGTATTCAGGCTTTGGAGTATATTCAAAATCTTCAATATCTTTGCTGATAATTTCTCTGTTTGTTATTAAATAGCCTTGGCCATCAATCATATAAGAAATCATCATTATTTGATCCACGCTAGAATTGGGAAATTTCAATGGAGCTTTAGTAGTTTCAATATCATAGGCAAGAATTACAGGATCGGCAGGAACCACTAAATCCAATTCTGTGAGAATTATATTGTTTTCTGAATCACCATTGGGATCGACACTATACCATTTTCCAACTCTTATATTTTTATCTATTGCTACTCTTACATGATAAGGCACATCGTATTCACGGATGTCATCAATAAATTGAGAAGCGTTTATGCCAGTACTGCTGTTATTTTTATTGAAGCTGTTGGAATTGTAAATATTTTTGCTGAAACTCTCATAATCGTTGTCATTAAAATTATCTAGGTCGGCAATTGATTGGTAAATGTCTTTCATTTTGTTTGTTTTTTTATTTGAAGCTAGAATTTGATTTATTATTCTTCTTGCTTCGATTAGATCAGATACATTGTGAAAGGAAATTTTGAGATAACTTCTCTGAATTCCGATTAAATGGTTTGTCAATTTTAAATCTTCTTTTGATATTTTCAGTATTTTTTTTAACAAGCCTTCTAATTTTTTTGTTAAAAATTCTTCCACTTCATTTTGGTAATTGGTATTTGAACATGATAGTAGAAAATAAGGGTCATATAGAACAGATGATTTAAAGGTTCCGCCTTCTTTATCCAAGAAATAAAGATCCACAGCAGAATAGCCAAGTAGTCTTGAATCATTTTCGTTAAAAATTGTTGCAGGATGGATATTGACTAGCCAACCAGTTTTCTTTGGGCCAGAATCGAATCTGTGGAAACCCATAAGAGAATCAATCTCGTCGATTTTTTTGGATAGATCATATCTTGCTAGTTTTTTGAAAGAATTGGAAAAAAAGTTATTATTTGAATTGAAGTTATTGTTTGAATTGTAATTGCTGTTTGAGTTGCTGAAATTTTTGCGTTGAAAATCGTTTTCTTTCTTTCTTCTAGCCATGATATTATCAAACAGAAAAGCAGAATGGAATTAGAAAGAGCGAAAAGGTAATGAAAAAAGCCAGAGAAAATAACAATTCTTCATTTATTTGAGATTGACATCAAGGTTTTGCTGATCAGAGATTGAAACTTTGGCCAAAATTCAAGGCACACGAACTGGCATTTTTATTAAAACACGAAAAAAGAGAAAATTTCCCAAATTGTCCGTTTTGAGCATTTTCCAATTAGGTAATAAACAAGTGATTTTACGTAAGCGTTGCTATTATTTTTTTTCATTATATCATTTGGTAAATTCAAGTGGAGGACGATTGTAACAAATCTATCAGAAAGGTGTTGGAGTAAAGCTGGAAAGATGTTTGGAGCATTTAAAGCCACGAATGTTGCGTTGGGGGGTTTGTTATGGTATGTTGTTTTTTTACTTGGAAAAGACGTTTTAATATTTTGTTCATTCATTTCTGTTTGACGATTATTATGAGACAATGTTTTGTTTGTATTCTAACATGATTGGTTTTATTTTTAATTTTATTGATGTTGAATAGGAAATTTCCATTGAAATTATCAAGAACCAGGAAATACAGACAAAGAAAGAGATTGCAAGCAGTTGATAATGTTCTCAGTGTTGTAACTGAAGGGTTGGTTAAAACCGAACAAATCGTTCCTAAAAAGCTTCAACAGTTGAATAATTCGGAATTTTTCCCCAAAGAACATGAGATGTTGCCTAGAGATAAATATACAGTTTACAGTAAGAAAACCAGAGGGTATAGAAAGGGTATACACAGGGTGCCAAAATGGACAAAGGTATCACAAAGAGTTAATCCAAAGTATTATTAAAAGAATCCGAAGTGTTATTAGAAGAACTTGTTTATCATGATTCTTTATTCTTGTTTTTTTTTAAAAAAGTTTATTATTGGTATTGCTATGTTGAAAGTTCTTTTATAAATATTCGAAATGTGTAAATAGATAATGAACGGGTTTAAATTATAATTGACGTGTAATTAAGAGGTGTATGTATTTATATAGAGATAAAAGACAGAGGCAGATATATATATATATATACATTTATAAAAGAAGTATAAAAAAAAAGATAATGAAAGTAAAAAACTGTTTTATTAGAGAATATTAATGCACAAAATAGATCGGGTTTAAGATTCAAGTCAATTAATCAAGTAATACATCAAGTAATAAATCAGGTTGTATTATATTATATTATGGTATGATTGATTTGATCAATATAAATAACTTTATTTATATAAAACTAAAGCAGAGCCGAAAATAGCAGCAAATACTAAAATGCTATAACCAGTTCTGTAGATACCCTTGATAGTTAATTCTTTACCCATATCCCAAACGTAATGCCTTAATCCGTTACTTAAATGGAAAGCAAAAGGAAAGGCCAAAGCAGATTTCAAACCATATTGTAAATAGACAGGCAATGATTCAATCAAATTGAATAGAAGATGATGGTCAAATTGGTATCCCAAAATACTTGAAGCAGTATATGCACAAGTAATACCATAAAAACCAAAGGCCAATACAACACCGGTGACACGGTGAGCACCAGATAAAATCATAGTCAACTGAGGTTGGTAGATATCCAAATGTGGAGAGGTAGGTCTGTTTCTTCTTTGAGCAACTAGAATTTCCTGCTCTTCTTCAGAACTAGCAGAAACAGTGGATACAGAAGATCTCAACAATAAGGGTTTGGCTACATTATTGAATCTTGAGATGGACTGTTTTGAGATATTGGCTCTCATTAAACCTAAACCAGCACGATGTAATAGCATTTTGAGTCGAATAGTGGGATATTGTGGAATGAGATAGTAGAATATTAACAAATAGTATCAGCTAGGAACTGGTGAAGATGGAGCAATAGTGCGAAATCTGCTGTGCGAAATATATTGCATGCTATATATGGAGATTCTGGAGGTGAGTTCTGAGCCAGTAAAAACACTGGCTTCAAGGAACCGGCACGTGACCTCTTCTTATCCAGCCAAAGATCCTTTTCCCGCGCTGCTCCGAGCCGCTCCTGCTTCAGACCGAGAACCGCCAGCCAATGGGAGCACGTTCTTTCATAAGCAGTGCAATGCGCGTGATTATGCACACTGTGCAGTGAGCAATGCGCTACCCCAGTGCTGGACCAGGCACTTTGCTCGCAACCTCTGCACGTGATCAGCTGGCAGCGAATGGCGGCGCTGCAAAAACCAACCAAGTTTGTTGAAGAAGAGGCAGAAGCAGAAGCATTGAAAGAAGCATCAGTGTTAGTCAAAATGTCTGTTACTTTGTGGCGTACAATCAAGAATGCTTACAGTGTGGGATTAAAGCGCTATGCCTTCCAAATAGCAACCATTGGTGACACCAAAAGTGGTACTTTGATTGGTACTGACGATCATGGCAACCAATTTTATGAAACCAGCAATCCTGAGGAAATCCACTTGAGAACTCGTTGGGTGGAGTATGCTGACAGAAACTTCGACATCTCCCAAGTCGAGCCAGGCTGGCATTGGTGGTTGGCATATGGAACAGACGTTCCTCCCCATCAATTGCCCAAAGACGAAGTTGCTACCAGAGCTTATCCGTTAAAGACCCACGCTGCAAACTACACAGCAACCCCAGGTGCTTATGTTCCTTACAACACTGCTGTGCCAAAATGTTCCAGTTGGAACCCACGGGTCCGTGAACGTTTGTGATTCCAAAATTTTCATTCCAAAGCTGTTCATCTTTAGTTCTTTTTTATTGATATTAATTTACATATATTCCTTGATCGATTTTGGTTCGGGCAAAAGTAGAATACTCTTTGAAATTGCCGGGCTCTTGTTTTTGAACTCAGGTCACGCGGTATTCCCACCCTTATTGCTGAAACCGCAGCTCCAGTTTCAATTCCAACGGGGCCTTCTCTATCAAAAAGATATTTAAATGGATCAAATCCTCTTCGATTTCCTTTTCTATTTTTTCATCAATTAATATAAATAATATAAATAGCAATGCAATAACTCTTACCAAATGATCCATAAAATATAATACACTTCAAATTCAGATCTTCAGATCTTTACCTGAACATAAACTCTAGAAAAAGTAAAACCAAGAATGAAACTACAATTATTTAAACAGTACTTACAAATTCAATTTATCAGTCCCAATTATGCAAAAACCCTCTAAATTATAATATATTAAATTCAAATTTTAGAATCAATAATTCAATGTTGGTAAATAAGCTAGATAATATCCTCCAATTAAATAGAAAAAAAAATAATTAACATAAACATAATAATGAAAGAAAAAAAAATCATTATAACACAAGTATCAGAACAAAAAATTTATTCATTATCCGAATGACTACCATAATCTTTGGTTGGCTCTGTTTAAAACTTTTAATGTTGCTGCTCTTCCTTTAAATCTTCTAGGAAATTTGCTTACTTTGTTTTCATTATTATTCTCAACTGCTATAATCTTTTCCGAATTTTTGTTTTCTGAATTATCAAATGCCAGCTTGTCTTTATTGAAATTCATGCTTCTATTCAACTCAATCTCTACCATTTTCTTTTGGTCCATTGCTTTCAATATTTCCTTGTAATCTTTATCCAAAATATTCTCTATTGTGCTTAATTTTACCCAATTAAGATCGAGAGACTCAAATTGTTCCTCTCCTTTTTTGAAAACATCCAACTGCCGATCAATTGACATCGGTCTTCTATCCCCTAATATAGGATAAAATATGTTCCAAAGTTTGACCTTTTGTTGGTCATTAACTGGAAACTTAGAAATATTGGGATATTTTTCATATAAACTCTCAATAGCCGTCACTAAATTAACTTGCAAATCAACAACCCATTTTTCATTATGGTTGATGATATAATAAAATGGTAAATATTTCATTGAATTGGAAAAAATCTCTTCTTTTGTTCTTTTGTCCTTCCCGTTTGCAAAAAAATTCGCAATATGAAGTCCATATGGATAATGCCTACGAATTCTTTTTCTTTGTTCCAAATCTCGTTTTTTCATTTCAATTATTAGTTTTTCTTGAGCTTTTCTTTTACGCTCCTCTTCCTCTAACTTGATTTTTTTCTGCTTTTCTTCTTCCATCAAAATTAACTTTCTCTTATCTTCTTCTCTTTTCTTTTCGGCTTCTTTAATATTGTCAAGAATTTTTTGTCTTCTTGCTTTGAGCGCTGCCTCTTTTTTTTGTTCATATATCTCTCTTTGTTTAGCAGCTTCTAAATCTTTTTGCTTTTTGCTTTTAAATTCATCGTCATTAGCAGTTGCACCCGGTGTTTGAACTTTATCTTTCTTTGCTTCCTTGACTACTTTTTTCAAGTCGCTCAACTTTTCAATTTTAACTGTTTTACTTGTTGAAACCGGAGAAACCGATGAAGATGCCGACAATAGTATTGATACTTTAGAGACTGGAGTAGCTGATCTTGATATTTCATTCTTCTTATTAATTTCCACAACAGCATTTTTATTGAAAGTATCTGCCATTGGGTTAGGTTTAGTTTCAATGGACTCGTCAATATTTTCTTTAATATCCTCCTTAATATCCTCTTTAATATCTTCTTCAACACTCTCAATCTTGTCTTTACTCTCATCATCAACATTACTATTAGAAACCTTTTTTCTTTTAACATTTTCAGTTTCAATTTCATCGTCAAAAATACTTGTTAATTTTTCTTTCTTTCTCTTTTTTTTATTATTTAAAATATTTCTTTCATCACCAGCCAAGACTTTATCATCAGCAGTATTCTCAGCTATTTTACTAACTATTGTATCTTTGACTTCATCATCTTTTTCGGTTTTTGGCTTTGAAATCTCCTTACCAAGCTCACCCGTTTTATCACTAACCATTTCAGTACGCTTAGCTTTGGGTATTTCATCAACAGGTTCAAGAATTTCAGGAATCTTAGCAATTTCAACAGTCTCAATTTCCTTGAAATCACTAGTAGAACCAGGGGGCTTTTCTTTGGGATCTTTCCTAATATCCTCAGATAATTCTTTCCAATATTGCTGATGATCTACAGAGGCACTTGATTTAAGCCATTTGTTATTGTTATTTTCCTCACTTTCATATGAGCTTTCTCTTTTAATTCGTTTAAGCTCTTCGTTTTCTTTGCCTCTAATAAGCTTCCTCTTCTTGCCTTTTCTTTTGGTTCCACTTCCATTGGTTGGTGGTTTTGTCATTAATGAGCTGCTATTTTGGTTATCTTTAAAATTTTTCATTGATTCTTTTAACAATTCTATTTCATCATCTTCTCTTATATCAGAATTTAAAGCAATATCCAAAGCTGTTTTTCCATCTGTTTTTCGTTTAGCTAACGGATTAGCACCATTTTCAAGCAAAAGTTTCACAATTTGAGTATGTCCTCTCCCAACAGCGTTCATTAATATTGATGATCCATCATCTGCTGTCGAGTTAACATCTGCGCCTGATCCTAAAAGGACGCTAACAATATCATCGTGCCCATGTCTTGCCGCCAAAACCAAAACTTCAGTATCTGGTCTACCCCCATTTATCAAGTAACTAATTACATACTCATAATCACCTTCAGCAGCCCTTTTGTATATTTCTTTCCTACCGGTTCTAGTTGTAAAATCAACCAAAAGAATTTCCCCTCTTGATTGAGTCTTTTTGTGCGAAACTTTTCTGGTTTGCCTTGATAATGATCTGCTCCTTCCATTGTTGTCTTCTTCTGAAGACATTGGTTCTTTGTCAGAAAAGGCAACAATATCTGCAGATCCTTCTTTACCTCTCAATTCCAAGATAGACTCTCTCAAAATTTTTCGAATTCGAGGTGTATCCTCATCATCTTCATTTAAAACATCAATAGCAGTTTGCCCCTGTTCATTCATAATTCTGGGATCAGCTCCTTTTTCCAACAAATATTTGATAACATCATAATGGCCATTGGACGCAGCGTCTATTAATGGTGTATCTCCTTCAACACCTGTTTTGATATCGATTGATGCATTTGAATTAATCAATAATTTTACAATATCTAAATATCCCTTTAAGCAGGCTTCATGAAGACCTGTAGTCCCAGCATTGTCACAGCTATCTACGTCTGCACCATCATCAATGAGTTGTTTTGCTATTTCAAAATGACCCTTTGCGCAAGCTCTTTGTAATTTTGATCTTCCTGTAGGATCTCTATCTCTGACTCTTCTCGAAGAAGTTCTGATACTTTCTGGGTTTCTTTTTGGTTTCCCATTTTTTTTCTTGCGGTATGATCTTCTTTCTTTTGGTTTGTGAGAGACTGGGGGTGATTCTGCTATTTCTGTTTCAGCTTCAGAAACCCCCTCGTTGTTTTCATTCATGTCTTCCTCATCTGTCTCTGTATAATAAAAAGGTGATTTTCTTCTTCTTCTTGCTTGTAATTTTTCTTTTTTATTCTGAAAAGCTGGCGATGTACTCCTACTTGATATTTTTTTTTCTTTCAGAAACTTGGATCTTGTTTTAGATGTATCATTATCACTTTCATTTGATAGTTGAGAAGAAAACGAAGATTTTCTCTCTCTCATGTATCTTTTATAATCTAGAGTCATTTCGCTTATTTTGTAATTGCTGTTTTTATTTGAGCTATTTTCATTTTTGACAACAATTGATGCTTTGGGGGTTGCTTCAGACGAGTTATTTTCAGGTGTGTTGGTATCTCTTTGAGATGAAAGTTTATGATTAGTGCTTTCCTTTTTATCATCCTTTTTGATATCCTTTTTGGTGTCTTTTTTTACTTCTTTTTTAATTTCTTTGGGAATATTATTATTAATCACTTCACTTTTATTTTGGCTATTTGGATTAAAATCTCTGTTTTGATTTTTGATTTGGTCTTTATTGGTTTTAAAATTGTCATCATTTTTGTGATTTTTAATTTCTTTAGGGTTGCTCAATGTATGATTTAATTCCTTTGATTCTTTTTTAATTGTGTCTTTCTCATGTATTTCATTTATGATATCCTTTTGAGAAATATTTTCTTCGACATCCAAGTTTCCAACTACTGTTTTATCATGTTTCAATGTTTGATCTGATTTTGAATCAATGCTTTTTTCTTTATTTTTCTTTAAGTCAGGCAATCCGTTATCATTTGTTTCATTATTGCTTATTTTATTATCGTTTGGCTTATTATCATTTTTTATATTTTCAGCTTCCTCCTTTTCAGTTTTCTTAGCTGAGCTGTTTTTATTTTCATCTTTTTTATTTTTTATAACGTTTTCAGTTTTATTATTGCTCATTATGATAGATGTTTGAGATTTTTTATGAAATGAAACTTCAATTTTACTTTCAGGTTTTTGTTCAATCATTTTGTCGTCCAGAGGTGAAACTTTTTTGCTATCTTTTTCAGGGTTTTCGTCTTTTAAAATAGTTTGCTTTGATTTGGGTTCCTTCAAAGCACTATTTTGATCTTCAGATATTTTAGGATTATTTTTTTCATCATTTTGGTCAATTTGGTCAATTTGAGTATTTTGAATATTTTGAATGATTTCATTTTTACTTTGATGATTAAGTTCCAAATTCAATTTATTTTCAAGAATTTTTTTTTTGTTTTGCTTTTTTAAATAATGACTTAGAGGTATTTGAGTTTTAACCGAATCTATTGATGTCAACGAAGGCGAGTTCAGTTTTATAAACAAATTTGGAGTTGTAGTTGAATTGGTTGTCAGATTTACGATTTGTGCCGAGGTTGAGTTTGGAATTGAATTAGAAACAGGGTTAGAATCAACTATTGGTTCCAATGAAGGAAGCGAAGATAAGGAAGAATCTAAATATTTTATATTTGGTGGGGGTGTGTTAGGAGCAGTTTTTGGTCTTTTCGTTAACGATGATAATGATGATAATGATGATAAATTAGAATCAGAAGATAAAATTTTTCTTATTTTTGGGGATTGTTGCAGTATCTCAATTTCTTTTTGTAATTGTGATTGTTTTTGCAGAAGCAGTTTAATATCATTAGATAAATTATTATCCCCAGATATGGGAGGTATTTGGGTGTTGACAATTGAATTTTGATTTTGATTTTGGCTTTGGTTTTGGTTTTGGTTTGAATTCAGATTTGGATTTATTATTGTATTTTTTGGAGAATTTATCTTTGGGGATACTGAAGATACTTTTGGAGATTTTGAAGTCAGTCTCACGATTGAAATACTTGATTGTATTTTATTTGTGATATAATTATCTTTTATTTTATGTTGAATTTGATTATTGTGATACAGTTGAGTATATTGAGGGTTATGTAATTGTGGTTTTGTCTGTTTTGTCTGCATAATTTGCTGTTTTTGTTGGGGTTTGAGTTGCTTTTGTTGTTTTTCCAGTAGCATAGATGATCTATTATTTGCATTAATATTGTTTGTTTTATTTTTGTTGTTTATATTGCTATCATTCAAATTTGCACCAAGGACACTATTGTTGTTGTTATTATTATTATTATTATTATTATTATTATTATTTATATAAGGATTACTCTTTATATTTGTGGAAGTAGAATAGAGCTTTTGATTTTTCTCATGGAAACTATTAGAGGAATATATTGCGGTAGCATCTTTCTGTATCTGACCATTATTTATCGAGTTTGTATTATTATTTAGATTGTTTACGCTATTATTTTGGCTATTCAAAAGATTTGAGTTACTATTATTGTTATTGTTATTGTTATTATTATTATTACTGTTATGACTGTTGTAGGAATTTGGATAAGAGTTGTAACTGTTGTAAGAATTTGAGTAGTTGTTATAGTTTGTTCGATAGCTTAGATTTGGCTTGCTGTTATCGTTGTTGTTGCTGTAGTATTTGCTGTTATAATTGTTATTTCTTGAGTAATAGTCATTGCGTTTTTGGTTATACTTTCTTCCAAAATTATTATTGGGACTGTTGTTGCTAGCCGAGGGCGTAGAATTAATTAAACTATTAGTGGTTAGGTTAGGTATATTGCTGTTGTCAGCAGAAAATGTTTTATTTATATTACTATAATTGGAAGAACGTTTTGGAGGTATCGATGAGGACAGTGGGCGACTATTTCTTTGGATATTGTTGTATTTAGTGCTGTTATTGTTATAAGAATAATTTGGACTGTAAGTGCTGTAATCTCTATCTTTAGATGAAGGCCTGTTGTTGTTTGGGTTGTTATTGTAATCACCCATAATTGATATCAGTGTGTTGATTGCAAAATACCAAAATAAAATTACAATATAATAATCCAGCAAAGCAATATTCTATATCAGATATAAAAGTTGGGGAGGTTTAACAATAGTAAAAAGAAGTTTGCAATTTGTTTTTTTTGTTTTCTGAATCGCAGCTCTCAAAAACAGCGGGCGAGTCACCTGACACACGCACACACACGCGAATAAACGCGGATGTTACGCATAAGGCAGTAGTTACTTGCAGTATATGCATAGTAGGATGCTGCTCAGTACAGAGCCCAGAAGCGTGGATCAAGTTTACATCACGTGACACAAAACTGAGTGGTTTTTTTTCTGTTTTGTGGTTGACCAATGAACAGCGCTAGAGATAGATAAGAATGTTTTGGACGTATGCATGCGCGTGTGAGTACTCATGCTGCCAACGCACTGAGCTTTAAGCGTCTGCATAATTCGTGTGTATGCATTTGATCCTGCGCAATTCTGCAATGCCACTGTTGTGGTTTTGTGTTGTATTCACGTGGTGTGTAGATCTCCGGTTTGGAACTCGAATGTGGAGGTCGGAAGTGCTTTGAGCCCGATTTGCGACTGGATCTGATGTAAGAACTGTTTGTCTGATGATAAAATGAATATCTATCACAAGTGTAATTTGATTTGGGTTAGAAAACTCAAAATGAATCAACAGAAAAAAATTTAAATTAAAAGGTTTTAAAATGCAATTTTTAAAGTCTGATAAAAAGTAAAAGTAGTAAATGAAAACTTATAGAAAAACATAGTAAAGAAGAGAAAAGAAAAGAAAAGAAGAGAAAAGAAAAGAAAATAAAATAAAAGAAAATAAAAGAAAATAAAAGAAAAATGTTGATATTAGAAAATAATTAATGATGTAAGAAATGTAGAAAATAAAAATATGTTATCGTTCCCAAACTTCTCCTAAAACTAACAAAAAAGAATTAAAAACAAGAAAGAAAAAAATAAGAGTATTAAAACAAAAAGATTTAAACAAAAATGTGTAAAAGTTAAAAGACAAAACAAAGAAAACTCCAAACAAGAAAGTAGAATGAACAAAAATTTTGTTTACTGTAATATTCAGATTTCTTCAATATAGATAAGAACACTATCAAGTTAGAATTGGAAAATTAGAAATTGGAAATTCGAGATTAATTAGAAAATATTAAAAAATTAAGAATTAAGAATTAAGAATTAAGAATTTTCAAGAATCTTCAAAGAATGGTTATTTGAATTGACAACTGTTAACAAGTATTAATTAGAATTGTTACCAAAAAAGCCTTTGAATGATATTGTGGGAGTATAGAACACGTCTGAATCCGATGAACTTTGTAGTGAAACGGATCTACTTGACCTGTTTGATCTACCTTTCAAGCTACTGATACTAGTGATATCATTATTGTTATCGATATCATTGTAATCATTGCTATGTTCATTATGGTCATTTTGATGATTAACAATTGGCAACCGTAGTTTATTCTTTCTATTATTGATAATAGTACTTGAGCTGTTAAAGTAGATGGAGTGATTATTATCGTCATCGTCGTCATTACTTGAATCATCGCTTGAATCTTCCCAGCTGAATCTTTTCTGCTTGGAGTAGAACCTTCCATATTCGTTGTTAGTTGATGAAGCTGAAGTTGTAGCTGAAGTAGTTGTAGAAGCTGAAGTGCTTGTTGAGTCGGTTGTGCTTATATTGGTTCCAGCGGTTGATATTATCTCGTTTTCATCATTATCATCATTATCTATATTGATATTAGTATTAGTATTAGTATTAGTATTAGTATTAGTAGTAGTAGTAGTAGTAGTAGTAGTAGTAGTAGTAGTAGTAGTAGTAGTGTTATTATTATTATTGTTAGTATTGTTAGTATTAGCGTTGTTATTATTAGCGTTGTTATTGATAATTGATTGACTTTTTGATAAAATTTCGCCCCATTCAATCAATTCATATAATAGAGTCATGTTAGGACAGATTTCAGAAGCTTTTTCCTTAACAAAACAATAGGCGTCAGAGAATTTTAAATTTTTCAATTTCATTATGTAGGCAACTACTAAAGAAGCAGATCTTGAGACACCACATTGACAGTGAATTAAGATTCTTAAATTTTTATTCAAATTTGATTCAATTAGCTTTGTTAATTGGGGAAAGTCTGGACATAGTTGAGAAGTATGAGTCCAGGGCATGTAGATATATTCTGGTAATCGAGTATGAGTCTTTTTGTTGCTGTTGTACATTGTCAAGCTATTATTGACGTTAGCGTTGGAATCGTTTGGAGGATTATATATCGATGGGACCTTAACTTCTTTCGCTACGTTGATGATGACATCAAATTGATTTAGTTGGGATAGAGTCGGTTCAGAATATAAGTATAAATTTGGTTCGATGCAAATGGGACCATTTGGATAAGCGTTTAATTTATGTTCATCGTAGTTGAAGAAACTATCATTAAATGAGGAGGTTATGTTATTGGAGATATTGGAAAGAGTGTTGAGATATTTATCGGTCAAGGGGTAGTTTTGAATATTGAATGATTGTTTTTTTATAGTGTTGATCTTGATGCTATTTTTGAGATTTGAATTCAAATTTAAATTCGAGCTTGAATTTGAATTTGGATTTGAATTAGGAATTGATAAGGATAGAGATAAATTATTTCTTCTCCTCTGTAGAGTAGAGTTTGATAAATTGTAATTTTTATTGATTGAGTTGTTATTTTGAGAGGATAAAGAGGATAAGGAATTTGAGTTGGTTGGAGATTGAGATTTGGATAAGGATGGGTGTCTGAAAGGCAAAGGGTGGTTGCTGTTGATTAGGTTAGTATCATTATTGTTGTCGTTGTGATTGAAATTTTGGATTATTGGAGTATTTAAGGGGATATTTGAACGATTTAATGGGGATAAAAGTTGAAGATTAAAATTATTGTTGTTGTTGTTAATATTATTGTCAAGATTAAAGTGGTTTGAGGTGGAAGTTGATATGGATAAATTGAGTTTATTGTTTTTATTCTTATTGAAGTTGTTATTTGTAATTGAAGATAAGTTTAAGGAAAGATTTTTAGTATTCCTTGATTTTATCTTTGAATTGCTTAAATTTGAAGGGAATTTCAAGGTGTGGTTATCGTTGGTATCGTTATTGTTATTATTGTTTGTACTATTGGTGGTGTAAGATATAGGTTGATTTGTAGAATTATTGGAAAGATTTAAAGAGTGGTTGATTTTGTTATTTATGGGATTATTGGTTGAGATGAATAAGTTATTGTGATATATGTCAGCCATTTTAGATATTTAGATAAAGAGAAGTATGGTAGAGTGTGATACTATCTATTGAGAATCTATTGAGTATCTATTGAGTATCTATTGAGTATTTATCGAGTATCTATTGATGATCTATTATATTGATTTGAAATAGAGGAAAGGAAAAGAAAAAAAAATACAATAATTAGAGTATTTAAAAGTAAAAAAACTGAGATGCAGTGCAGAAAATATCAAACAATAGTTTTCAAACTGAAAAAGAGGATATTTGTAGATTATTTTCTGAGGAACTTTTGAAAGGTTTGAATATTGATTTGATTAAGTGATTGGAAGATTCCGTAAACAGTTTTCTGATTAGTTTTTTGTTTTTTTTGTTTTTTTTGTTTTTTTTGTTTTTTTTGTTTTGTTTCTTTGATTAGTTCTTTTACTTATTTATTTATTAACCAGATAGTTGAATGCTTTCTTTTCTTTCCTTCTTTCTTGCTTTTGATAAAATGTGAGAAAATTTAGAAATAAACCAAAATGGATTTTCATAGTTTTAAAAAGCTTTTGATTCACTTATTAATAAAAACTTTTTTTCTATTTTTATTGTAAGTTGAAACTGTGTTTCTAAAATTAATTTCTGGAAGTTTTGTTTCCAGAGGTAATTAGTGCGTAATTATGCAGAAATCAGCAGGGAAGTTTGCAGCCGGTGTGCGTCCCGGTTGCGGTTTCCATGATGTTTTTGCGAGCTGCAGAAAATGGCCAATGGAAAAGCAGGATGGATGACCGAATTTGGCTGCTGCGTGTGTTCTTGCGCGCTGTACGGTGTGTAAACGCAGTGAACAGCAGTTGTTTTGTGGACAGGTTTTGAAACAGCAGGGTATGTTTGAAATGTATAGCACTAAAGAATGGAGATTAAGATGGGATAAAAAGTTTTTATTTTGGTTTTACGAGTTGAGAAAGAAATGGAAAGGGAAATGAAAGCAGAGAAAGGACAAGAAATGGGTCCCAAGCAGCAAAAGCAGTCGCTGAACAGTTGCTGAGCAGCCTCCGAGCAGCAGCCTCCAAGCAGGCGCTGGAAGCCAGGCCAGACGCTGAGCAGACGATGACGGTACTGGAGAATGGAGCTGAAATTGACGATGTGTGAGCGAATCACAGCTCTAACCTGGGTATCATCTTGCAATGTTGTCTTCAGTGTAACAGCACTGTGCAGCTGGGCCTAGACCGAGTAGAACCTGGCCCCAGCACTGGAGGGTCTGCGCTGCTTCTGCGCTGCTTCTGTACCGCTTTTGTGGCGACACGATGTGACTCGTTTTACGCAGTCTTCTGGAGATCAAAGAGGTCTGGTCGCTCTTTTGGGCCGTCCTGATTAGAAACGAACGCAGCACTGTTCGGGAACTTCTCTGTTTCCCTGTTTGTATTTTTAGAACTCCCTGCTGTTTTCATGGGTTCTAGTCCTAAACAAAGAAAGACAGCGCACAAGTGTAAGGGCATAAAAAGAATGGAATATATTAATAGTAGAAAGGTGTATGTAAAAGTAACATGTGAATTTAGTCATTAGAAGGTGAGCGTGAGTGTTATATTGTTTATTTCTTTTTTATTTTTTGGTTTCAATCCCTTTTATCTTGAATTTTAATTGGTTTTTATCTTATCTTAATATAGATTATAACCGTTTCAATTTCAATTTCAATTTCAGGTTCATATAATCGTGGAGTTTTCATATAGCATTTGCGTTCATCTGTAGGGGGCATCAGAATCCAAACAGTATTGAATTTCCTGCTCCCACTTGTCCCCATTGGCCAACAACTTCTCCTTGTTATATAGCAACTCCTCTCTGGTCTCGGTGGCGTATTCTGTGTTGGGCGTCTCGACAATTGCATCGACGGGACAGCTTTCTTGACAGTATCCACAGTAAATACACTTGGTCATATCGATGTCGTACTTGTACGTTCTTCGTGATCCATCGGCTCTCTCTTCGGCTTCAATGGTAATTGCCTGTGCTGGGCAAACAGCTTCACAGAGCTTGCATGCAATACATCTTTCTTCTCCCGTAGGATATCTTCGTAAGGCATGCTCTCCTCTGAATCTTGGTGACATTGGTCCCTTTTCAAATGGATAGTAAATTGTGTATGGCGCTCTGAAATACATCTCCAAACAGATGTACATCCCTCTGAACATTTCTGAAAGCAAGAAAAACTTTGTAGCCTTGTCCAAAGCACTCTCGGATCCTTCTTCCCATGTCTTAGGTCTGGGAATTCGAAACCCTGAGGGATAGAGCTCTTCTGCTGGCGCTGCTGTCATCGATGCTGGCAACAATCTCATCACATTGCTCGAAAATAATCGTTTGCTTGAATGTATTCCCAATGGACGAAAAACTGTTCTTGAAAGCATGTTTTCTCTGTACGCACTGTATTATATTATATTATATTATATTATATTATATTATATTATATTATATTATCTTATATTATCTTATCTTATCCTATCTGATATTTCTCTTATCTCGTATGGTTTTGATTTCGATCTTGGTCTTATATTACACTATCTTCTGTCTCCTATGCTGTCTAATGATAATCGATGCTCACTTTCTTCAACTTCTGATGCTCAGCGATTCTCTTCCATATTTCACTCACAACTCCGTCGTGTAATGACTATTTCTCGTCCGCTGATTGGCCCACAGCCTTCTCTCACACCTTGCTTTTTTTTCGCTCTCAGCGCCCGTTACCCGGCCCCGTCTTTTTTCTTTTCTGTTTTTTAAACAGAAAATGTCACTATCCACTCACTACAATTTGCAATAAATGTAATCATCAATATAATCATAAGTGGATTAATTATATTCTTAGTGCATTATAAATATACGTCTCTTTTTTTTTAACATAACTCAACTCAACTAAGCCATGTAACTCTTTTTTTATTTCTTTGACTCTATTAATATTCTCTTGTCTTTTTACTATATACCTGGCATCTTCGAAGATCCCTATATTCGCTCAATAATATAATGATTCAAAGCGATGCCTAAATCAATTTATTTAAGTTTATTTAATTTAAATCTTTGATCCCAACCTGAATTAAACTATTCAAATGCGTTTTACTCTCTCTTATTTGAATACGATTCGTTTGGAACATTCCTTCATTTCTCTATATCTATTTTTATCTCATATATTTATCTAACTATCTTAACATAAAATCATAAATTACAAAAAAAAACAAAAAAAAACGATTAATATTATACTATACTAGATAAAAGTATTTTACCTTATTTTATTTTAACTTAAATGAATTGAATTGAATTGAATTGAATTGAATTGAATTAAATCATAATCTTTTTTTAGTTCTACTCCTTCTGTTGTTCATCATGAAGCCTTTGTAATTTCTCGGTTAGCTGATCAATTGAATATGACGCACTTGATTCAAGAGGATTTTGTCCATTATCTTTATTATCATCTTCATCTTCATTAATAATAATAATACTATTATCATTATCATTGTTCTTCTCTTTTGCACTGTTTGAAATTGCGGTTTGGAAAATACTTTTCATATTACTAGCACCATTTCCTGTTCTTATTCCACGATTAGGCAATGCATTAAATCGGTCTCTATTATACGTATAATTTGTAATCATTGCCGGAGTTTGAATACCATCTGGTGTTGCAACACTGGTGCCATATCCACTATTAAGATTGCTACCCATGTTAATAAATGGTGATAGTAATTCATTTCGGATCTTCAATTTATCGCTGGGTAAGGTTGGAACAACTGAATACTTTCTCTTTTCATTGTAGTTGATGGAAATTTGCTTCAATAGCCTGGTATACTTGAATTTATCAACTTTATCAAACCAATCACTCTTTTCATTAAACTCATACAATTCCCAATCAACACCATACGGTTTGGGTGTTAATACATAACAACTGTGCAATGGAATATCTAATCTACCAATTTCCTTTTTGTCTAAATCCATAAAATATGCCAATAAAATTCGACAAACAACTCGGTGTGAAACAATCATAATATGATCCTCGGACCTTTCGGTCTCGGTTATAATAGGTTTTAATCTATTAATAACATCTAGATATGATTCTCCACCCAATCCGGGGTATCGGTATGTCATCTTGTTATCGATTCTTGCTTGAAATTCTTCTGGATAATTGTCTTGGATTTCTTGATATGTTTTACCATCCATTTTACCTGAACCTAGTTCATCCAACATTTTCATTTCCTTTATGAAAAATTCATTTTCGTTGAAATATTGCGCAGTTTGAACACTTCTCTTTAGCATACTTGTCCAGACTGAAAATGTTGGTTCTTGTGGAACTCTGTTATCTTCAGCATTTTGACCATTTAACAATTCAGCAGAAAATTTGACACTATTAATTAGTTGATCTTTAAAATTTTGAATTTGTTTTTTACGAAATTCTTCCTTTTTAAATGCAATGAACTTTGCTAAAGCTTTTGAAAATTTCAAACCTCTGGCGGTTAATTCTGAATCTCCTCCAATTTTCCCTTGAATGTTGTCAAAACTTTCACCGTGTCTAGTTATCCAAATCATTCGTTCAGCCAAGTTGAAATTTAAAAGAAAATAGACTGTTTGAGAAGCTAAAAACCCTTGGATATTAAACGAAACAATTTTTCTACCGACATTGATCATTTTAATATACTGGTAATTGGTATTAACAAACGAGTCCTCTTCTTGTTGGTCGATTGTTTCATAAACTTTTTCATAGTTGTGCAATCTTTCAGTAAAATCTTTCAAAGCGACAGTTGGATCCATTTTTTTGTAATCGGGACCAGAAAGTTTTAGTCTCATGTTTTTTTGTAACAAAGCAGGATCATCACAAATACTTTCTAAAAATAACACCTTTAGTTGGTTATTTGATCTCTTTGAAATTTTATTCAAGATTTTTTGTCTTCTTGATTTGGTTGTGTTTGTAGCATCAAAGATTCCAACAGAACCCGGACCATCGATTATATAGTCTAGTAATTGATCTAGAGTGTCCATTGCCCACTTTTCTCGAATGGCTTTACTTTTTTTATTTAAAGGAGAAAAAAAGTTAGCGTCATGGATCGTTGCAGTCTCATTTGCATTTAATAAGGTTGTTTTTTTATCATGATTTTTGGTATTAATGTTTTTTAAATCATTAGTTGAATTGTTTTTTGAATTGTTTTCAGGAGATGGAGAATCAGATAGAGGTTTTGAAGCAGGACCCAAATTCATTGCATCATCTTTTCTTCTTGTATTACCGACATTGAATACTCTGCAATTATGCTGGGACCAATTCAAGTATCTTGTTAGTTTATTTGTGATGTAGGATTTGCCTCTGGCCGGCAAACCAACCATTACCACAACTAATTTGGAACCAATATTTAAATTTGCAATTGTTCCATCAGGAGACGTTTTTGATTTTGTTAGGCCGGGAACATCTAAAGTTGTTGCTCTTCTTGTATGTTTTTTGTTTAAATGTTCATTCAAAACCTTATCTAGTTTTTCCAAGCTTGCAGGGGATGAGAAATCAATTTCATTGCCCTTGTTTTTTGTTGTTTTTTTTTTGTTTTTGTTTTTGTTGTTGTTGTTGTTGTTGTTGTTGTTGTTGTTGCTGGAGACGTTATTGATTTTAGTTTTCAATGGATCTTTTGAAGATGATAGGGAAATGTGATTTATATTATTTTTGTGGTTATCAGGGTTGTTTTTTTTTCGGTTATCGTTTAAATCTAAATCAGAATCAAAATCGTCTTCATTGTGGTTATCGGATTCTTTATCCGAGTCATCAGTGGGCAGTAAAACAGGAGAAGCGTTTCTAGAACCAAAGGGAGTGTCACTTAGAGGTCTTTTTTTGAAGGCTGGCAAGTCATGGAGACTCATTAAATTGATGCTATCAGTGGCCACATTGAGGTTGTTGTTATTGTTATTGTTGTTATTGTTAAGGTTATAGTTGTATAAGTGATTTTTAGTGTCTTTGTTGCCTTCATTAGTGCGAAAATTACGGTTGTGATGAGGGTGAGTATGAGAGAAATTGTGAGGATAAGAACGGTTGATTGTGAAACTGTTGATTAGCTTTGTACCAGGAGAAACAGATCTGTTGGCATTGTTTCTGTTGTTGGGGATATCCAGATCATCGTCGTCAGAGGAAGAGACAATAGCACTTTCGATGAACTGGGGAACTGATTGGAATCTTAGGGACTTCTTCTTTCTAGAGAGAGCCCTTTCGGTATCAGGTTCAACGTTGCCATTGTTTTGACTGGTATTATCACTATCGTTGGTGTTTGTTAGACTCTCATTCGAATGGTCAGAAGAAGAAGTAATGGTTATCAGCGGTTTCTTTTGAATTGTGCGATTTGTCATGAGAATATCTAGATATTCCAGGAAGAATTGAGACTGATTTCTTGTGAAGAGTGTCCTGTGAGCAAGTAAAAGAGAAAACAAGTGTAGGCAGCCAGATAACAACAGAATATCGAGCTTATAAATGCAATTCTGTCAGTTTGTTGATTCCTTCCAGTCTGAAAAGCAGCAAAAAGTGCAGCCCAGTGTCTGCTGATGGAAGCCCCCGTGGTGCTGGTCAGTACCATCTGCTCGGATCCAGCGCCTGCGACCGCGCTCTAACGCAAACATCGCGCACGTGGTCAAACCAGCAACGCGGATACGTTCACCTGCGCAGTCCGTTTCTGTCGCTTTGACAGCAATTGTATCATTGGGTTAAAGGGAGTTTGATATTAAATATAAACATTGGAGAAAGCTGTGTTCATGTTCTTAGCCATTATGTCCTCTCAGAAAACATAACTGTCTTGTTGGCAATGCTGTTCAAACAAACACCGACCAGAAAGCCTGTGGTTGCCTGCTTTACCGATCCTGTCATCCCTACATAAACGAAACTATTGCTTCAACTCAAAAGATAAAAGAAAACTATTGAAAACTCCGGATAATCATGAGGTAGCTGAACATATTGCTCTTGTAGACAACATGCAAGCGGTTTCTTGCACTTATTCCAAATGGTATCTGTTTGTTATAATGTCCAGTATAAAAATAAAATAAAAAAGCCATTACATTTCTCATATGCACAGTCCAAGTCAAACCCGCCTATGGCTTTGTTGGCAACACTCACCACAGAAAGCAAAAAAATAGTTTTGCTTCCTGAACCAAAATAAATCGGTTCGAGAGGCCCAGCGAGATGGTACGTTTGATGCATGTCTACGTATGTACACGCGTGTGTGTGTTTGCATACGCGGATCCGCATCTATGGATGTCCCAGCCCCGATATTGAAGCCCCAGAATCTTAGAACAATATAATACTTTCCAGAGATACAACAAGAACACTGCTGGACGAGCATAGAAACAGTGGAAAGAGAAAAGCTGGATGCTTCCATTCCTTTGATTACCATGCCAGTCAGAGCCAATTCAAAAAAAAGAAGCATAGTGGACAGACAGCCCACCATATCAGACTACGTCAATATATCAAAGGAGAAAAGAATCCAAATTGCTTTGCATTTACTAGACAATAGGCAAGATGAGGCGTTGACTTTGAGGGAAATTGCAACCATGGTAGGAATAGCTGAGTCTACTATAAGAACCAGATATAAGAAAAGAAGCGAGCAGCATAATAGAGTAATTGCCCCTATGATGATGGCAATCAGCCCCCTCCAGAAGCAAAAGACCAACGATAACAGTAACAATAATAGCATTAATAATCTTGCAGATAAGATCAACAATATCCAGAGCAACAGTAATAATACCAATAATATCCAGAATAACAATAATATCATCATCGGCAACAACCATTTCATCAATGAGAAGATCAACGACCTGCAAACCAAAGATAATTCAAATTCAAACTCAAACTCAAATTCGAATTCGAATTCGAATTCTATAGATAACCAAATCAATCACATAATCAATAACGACAATTTAAATTGCCCCTACATAACAAGAACTCCCTCAAAGACTTTGCTCACACAAGAGGAAGAAAAAAATGTTATTTCTGCAATTGACTACTGCTGTCAAAATGGAATTCACATATCTATTTCCGATTTAAGAAGATTATTTCAACAAATAATATTCCTAAGAGCAAAAGTCCTACAAGATCTAAGTTTTTCGGTTGATAATCCAAAACAAAATCTAAATCATAATCATAATCACAACTTCTCCTTAAATGATTCAATCATGACCAATCACCAAATTTCAACCGATTTACTCATCCAATCTTCCAATCTAATATCCAATTCCAAAAAATTCTTAAAATCTAAAGGTGCATTCCATGTGGGAAAAAACTTCAGCAGAAAGTTTTTAATAAAACACAATTTAACTGAATCTATTTGTTTTAAAAAAATCAACAAAAAGGAAAATAAAAGAAATTCAAACATAGACGACCAATTAAAAGATCACCAACAAACAGATGTAACCTCCCTTAATAGCCAAAAATTCTGGAATCTTTTACCATTAAATGTTACAGGTTTCAATTTATTAGTTATTTATTTTGCTATTCTTTTTGAAAAAACAGAAAATATAAAAGACGATCAACCTCAAAATCAAAATGGGATTGAAAATGATAATAATGATAATGATGATGATGATGACGACGACGAAGAAGAAGAAGGAGATGAAGAAGATGAAGAAGATGAAGATGATGAAGATGATGATAATGATATAAACAACTCTTGTATCCATAATAATATGAACTTGGGAAACATTAATCATAATCAGCTATCTGCTAAAATCAATCAACAAATTCAAAACCATTATAATCCAGATGATATTGTAAACGATAGTACTATCGAAAATATCGAGAATTCAGATATCACTGATAGTGAACTTGCAAAAGAAGATATTAATAACATTATCCAACAAAACGATGATATTTTACAGAGTTATGGAATTACTAATTCACAGCTACTAAATTCAAATCTCAATCGTAATGAATTTTCAATTTTCAATAATAATAAACCATACGATCAATAACTCAATAACTCAATAATTTAGTATTTTTTTCTGTTTTTTATTTGTTAATTTTTGTTATTAATTACTAGGCAAAAGTGATTTTCAAATACTGTATTGGTTCAATGTGTACATCAAATTAGATGTATTTTTGGTTTTATATTCTTGCAATCAGAATAATAATAGGGATGGAAAGGGTATTTATAAAAACAGTCTTTTTTAAAAACATTAGATATAAAGATTTCTACCAAAGAGAAACGTTTATAAATTTAAAACGTTTATGGGCTATTCAAAGTTTTTTTAAATTGTGAAGTTGGAAAAGTAGCAATAATGAATCACAGATTTGATATTTTTTGATAAAGTCAACTCTTTACAAAATCAAATATATTGAAATTATTAATTGAAATTATTAATTGATTTTTATTAATTTTATTTAAAATGGATGAAATGGTTATTTAAGTAAAACTAATATAATATAAATTTATATATGTAAATATATATAAATAGATAAAGAAAAAAAAAAGAAAAAAAGAAAGCAAGAAAGCAAGAAGTGAGTAAATATATATGGTTATTCATATATATCATCTTTTTCTTTCTGCAGTGACACAGCTGATGCATATAAATTCATTATTTCTAGCCATTTTCCAAAACATAATTTTACCATCATCACCAGTGCTACTTAACATTGTACCGGTTACATTCCAACTAACAGACCAAACAATTGAATGATGTTGGCCTCTTGTTGATATTAATTTCAAAGCTAAAGAAGGGTCATCCTTTATTTGATGAGCATCGGAGGTAGTATTAGAAGTGCTAGAATTATTTGAGATACTAGGATTATTGGAAGTAATAAGATTATTATTGTCGTTATTGTTATTATTTGAATCAGGTATGGAATTAAATAAAGATGGGCCATTATCACCATAAAATATGCTTGAAAAGGTTTCGTATAATTTGAAAACACGAACTTGACCATCATCACAGGCCGTTGCGATTAAGTGATATGATCTTCCCATTGTTGGAGCCCAAGATACATCTCTAATTAAACCGGTATGAAATTTATTTAAAGATTTGACAATTTCATATCTAGCTTCATTATCACCGTTGTTGTTGTTATTGTTATCAATATAGTTAAAATTTAGATCGTTATCAATAAAATTGGAGTTATTGTTGTTGTTGAAATTAATATCGATATTATTATTATTATTACTATTATTGTTATTACTATTACTATTACTATTATTATTATTATTATTATTATTATTATTATTATTATTATTATTATTATTATTATTATTATTATTATTGTTATTGTTATTGTTGTTGCTGTTACTATTATTAAGACTGTTTGTGCTGTTACTGATATTATTGATCTGATTATTGATGTTATTGGTGTTATAATTGGTGTTATTAATATTATTATAATGAGAATTATTAGTATTTGAAACTTTTTGGAAAATGTAGGCTTGATTTAAAAAAGTTGCAATAAATCTCTCTTTGGAGAATTTTGATGGACACCATGATAAATTGTATGCTTGAGGAGTAGCATTGGAGAGGTGATTTGAAGGTAAATAAGATCTGAAATCGAATTCTCTGAGGGATTGCCATGAAGTGAAATCACTTAAATCGACCAATTCATAAAATCTTATAAAGCCATCAGAGGAGATTGTAGCCAATTTGAAACCTAAGTGGCTGGGTAAAAATTCGATATCATAAACAGGACCATTTGCTTCTAAAAATTTATTTAGTAGCTTTGTCTTGTTTAAAGCACGCATGTTATTAGCATTGTTATTTGTAGTATCGTTATTATAATTGACGTTGGATAAATTGATTTGCCAAATTTTGACGGATTTATCGAAAGAACAAGAAGCTATGATGTTGCCAAACTCAGGGGCAGCCCATTTGATCTTGACAATAGAGGAGTCGTGTGCCTTCCAATCGTCTATCAAGTTTGCCTTGGAATCAGAATTGATAATGGCATCCTGACCAGAACCATCGTTGGAAGACAACAGATACACCTGTATGTGTTGATCAGAGGAACAGGTCGCAATGTACCTGCCGTAGTAGTCGTAGGCAATGTCGTGGATCAACTCAGTGTGCTTTACTATCAAAGGCTTCAATCCCATTGTTTCGTGCTTCTAAAATACTTTCTCCCAGCAGCTCCTGAAAAATTCCTCAGGAAGCAAAAGCAGCAAATTCAGCTCACGACCCAGCTCCAAACATTTACTTCAAAACACGTGAATATAATTACATAAGCAATTAAAAACTGCTTTGAGTTTCCAGTGCACTGGTGCTTCACGTGCTGACATAAGTAGAATATCTCCGGTTACGTCAGCGAGACACGTGTGTTGCTGTATATTTGAAGACTGACCTTTGCTGAGTTTTTTGTTTCGCGATTCCCTTTATATTTGTTGTGAAGTTGCATTGAAGATAGCAGGTCTCAGGAGCACTAAAGCATAGTTGTAGATGATAGCAAGGTATGTGTGTCTTGAATTGCAGGCCTCTTTGCTCCAGCTGCCCAATCGCAGCAGAAGGCTAGGGGCTCTATCAGCTGGGAGCGAGCACACGAAACATGATTGTCAGGTGAGAAGCCTAGCGAAGGGCTGGGACGAGAAGAGGACGAGAGCAAGACGAGCTGGGGCTGGTGTCTCTGCTTCTGCTGCCCCTGCTGCCTCTGCTTCTTGTGATTCCGGGTTCTTTGCTGCAGTTTTGACTGAGTCTTCTGTCAGGCGATCTGCTGGTGTGATTTTGTAGGGGGCTTCCTCCTATAGTTGACCGAAAATGGCATTGATACTAACTATCCGAATTCTGTAGATGTCTAATAAAAGATCAAGTTCTGATGAAATTTCTAGTGATTCGATCAAGAAGCTCAAAGAATCTTTGATTGATGAGGGAGAACAGGTCCATATTATTAGTCCCAACAATGGTATCATTGAGGAAGATCAAACCAACCATGGCAACAACAGTGTTACTGACATTCATCAAAATAATGATAATTTTAATAAACACGATAACGATAACGATAATAGTGGCAATGGTGACGATAATACTAATAACAATAATGACAATAATGACAATAATGACAATAATGACAATAATAACACTAACGATACTGATAATCATGGTAATCAAAATTCCAACGATAAACTAGACAAAAATAAAAATCAAAATGAAATGAACTTCAGTATGATCGATGAAGAATTATTAAATAAACAACCTGATTATCATACTCAATTAACCAAAAATAATGATGATGATGATGATGATGATGATAAAGATAAAAATAGAAACGATATCAATAAAAATATTGCAAACCACCTAAATGGTGATAACAACCAAGACATCTCAAAGGATTCTAATGATGACGATAATGAAACCGCTGTAGCTGCCATTAAAGCTGCAACTAGAAATTTAAACCAACACCACGATCAAAATGGGGACCCTCATGATAGTATGGGAAATAAACATCACGACAATGATCAAGATCAAGATCAAGATCAAAACCAAGATCAAAACCAAGATCAAAACCAAGATCAAAACCAAGACCAAAATCAAAACCAAGATCACATCATGCATCTTAATATGAACATGAACATGAACATGAATAATTTAAATAACTTGAATAACTTGACTAATCATTTAGAACGAATAAACGATTTCAATAATATAAATTTAAATAATTTGAATATTAATTCAAAAGTTGACTTACAAAAACTTCAAGATCTATCCAATTTTGCTGTAATGGCAACTGAATCCTTTCAAAATGAATACAACCCTCACAATAATAACTCTCATAATAACAACCAAAATAACAGTTCGAATAACCAAAATAATGACCCAAATGATAACTCAAATGATAATCAAAATAATCAATTGATAAATAGACAAAATATACACCAAAACTCCCAACTTGCTGATATAAATAACATCAACAACATCAATAACTTGAACAGTTTGGACAATCTAAACAATCAAAACAAAAATTCAAATAAATTAACTCGCCGTTCTAAAAAATATCCCCTGGTTCAAGATTTTAACGAAATTCAAAGAATAAAAAGATTAACCCACAAAGAAGTTGAAAGAAGAAGAAGAGAAAACATCAACGCTGGTTTAATGGAATTGGCTTCTTTATTACCAACTCAAGAACCAAATAAAACTCAAATCTTAAGAAAAGCCGTTGAATATATTAGAAGATTGAAAGAAAATGAAACCAACAACGTTGAAAAATGGACTTTGGAAAAATTATTAACTGATCAAGCAGTTGCTGAATTAGGTTCTTCTAATGACAAATTAAAAATTGAATTGGAAAAGACCTACAGAGAATTGGAAAGCTATAAAAAATTGTATAACGATTTGAAGTTGGAGAAAAGTAAGAAAAAACAACAAAGTCGTTGAAAGATATTATTAGGTTTTGTACTCATTAATTTATTTATTTATTAATTGATTATTTTTATTTACTAATTTTTTGTTTATTCACTAATTATTTTATATATTTTACTGAGTTTATGTTAGTTTTTCTATTATTTTTCTATTATGTTTGTCTGTGTTTCTCTTCTCTCTTTTTCTGTTTATCTATTAATTTATTAATCTATTTTCCTGAGCCAGTAGCAGTTCATTTTCTTTCTTTTCGCTTTCTTCTCTTTTCTCTCTTTATCCTTCGTGTCCATGTAAAAGTAAACAAAATCCTGCTTTTTCAGCACAAGCACCAAATTCCTCAAACCCCACGTGGCTCGATCACTGCTTCTTCCAAATAGAGCTTTTCAGTGGTTTTTTCTTCCAGAAATGCTCGAGCTGTTGGCGATTTGCTGATTGGAAGTGGTTGTTTGCTGATTATAACTGGTAGTTGTGCTTCTAATTGTTGGACTCTTAGAATGGCTTTGGTTGAAAACTCTCTGCTCAATATCGACAACGTAGAAGCGTTTTTACAGAAATATGATAATGATCCAAACAACCTATTCAAGACTTTACCAATAAACCAAATCAAATCTATTCAATTGAATTTGATTGAAAAAAGTGATAAATTAAACCAAAAGTTGAAAAATCTAGTAATTGACAACTATGAGGATTTATTATCAACAGCAGATACTATAATTGAAATAAACGACATAATCAAAATCCAAGACAAAAAATTAAACCAACTATTTAATCCGGATTCTGAGATTGATACCAATAATTATAATAACCAAAGTAAAGACATTAAAATCAGTTCAAAATATTTAAATCAAAATTTCAACTCTAATTTCAACAATTTCAATAAAAGTTTAGTTAATTTTAATTTTAAAAAATTATATCGCCAAAATGACTTAATAATTTTGAGAAATTTATTATTTAATTTAGAATTAAAGCTAAATTCTATGGTTCAATTTAACAAAGAGAATAACAATATCAATATTTACAATTACAATTATACAGAAAATCAAAATCAAAATCAAGAACCCAATTCAAATAGCAAATTATATATCGATTTATCAAAAATCTTTTTTATTATTGAATTCCATTTTGACAATCTTTTATCACAAAATGAAAATTTACTTGCAAAATTCAATAGTTTAAAAGAAATCTTATTTAGTCATTTAACTAATATAATTCAAAATACAGATATCACTAATAACGAATTCATTTTAGATCAAAATGGTGAAATTGATAATTTTACCAATAGTAATAGCATAAAAAACTCCAATAATAACGATAACTATTTAAATTCTTATCAAAACAATGATTTGATCTTAAATTCTTTAATAGCCATAACTATTTTAAACAAATTTAACTATTTTCAATTAATTCAATTTTTTTTGATAAAAAGAGAACAAAAATCTGTTGAGTTTTTTACTAATACTAATAGTGCTTCTATAAATAAAAATAAAAACAAAAATAACAAAAATACAATCAAGAGTAAAGTTGATATTTTATATCCAAATAATTACTTTAATTTAAAGGACTTTTTAAATTATAATTATAAATCAATAATTTATTTGGTTGATTTTTTTAAATTCAAAAAATTTCAATCTTTATTGTTTGTTAATTTGATCACAAATATGAATTTATCTTTCCTTATAAAAAATTTCAACTCTTTATCTTTAGATTCATGGTTTCATAATAATACTAACACCGAAATTAAATATACTTACTCAATCACGCAACTAAATGATTCATTTTCTATGGATCTCTTAAATAATGAAGTTGATTCCTTTAAATTAAAAATCTCAAATACAATTTTAAATAATTTCAACAATTTATTAAATTCGATTCTTGAAAATAAAAAAATCAATGATGATTTGAAGATTCAAAATTTAATTAATTTAATAAAATCAATTTATTTAATTTTTAAACAATTTAACACTTTGTTGAATTTACCAAACCCTCAAAAAATTGAAAGTAATACTGAAAATATAAAAAATGATATAAACATAAATATTGAAAATGAAAATGAAAAAGATTTATTTTTTGAAGTTTTAAATTCTTGGAGAAATGTTTTGTTAACTATAATAAATGAACAGATTAATAACCTAAACCAAGTAACAGAATTAATCCAATCATTAAATGATAAAAATATAAATAAAAGTATAAATGATTTCGATGAAAAATACGATATTGACAGTGATAATTTATGGTCAGTGAACATTCAAAATGATTTTAGAATCACAAATTTAGATCTTTATTTAAACAAAATTGTAAACATATCTCAAAGTAATAAAATCTCTCCATCAAGCCACATTGACAATAATAGATCAAATATAATATTTAAAAGAATTCTTTCAGGTTTGATTGGATATTTTGATCAAATCTTGAACATTTTAAAGATTTTCAAATTTCAGTTTTATAATGAATTTATTATTAATATTGAAAACCATAGTATTAATAGTGATGAAAATTTTGAGAATGAACTTATGAATCTTAATTATAATTTAAATCTTGAGAGTTTTGAAAAGTTAAAAGAAAATTCAGGTTTATTTAATAAAAAATACCATTTAATATTTGAAAATTTATTTAAAAAAATTTGGTTCAATAATATTATTGATAATTTAAATAAAACTTTTAAAAACTTTTTGGAGTTTTTACAAATTTCAAAAAAACCAGAAAGAAATTTTTTAATCAGCGAGAATTTGATATTTAATATAACAAGAATTGTATCCAAATTCAATTACTTGGTTAATCAAAAAATTTTATTAGACCTACTTGCCTTGAATATCAATGAATCCAACAGTTTAAACACTAATCAACTAAATGATACTAAAGAAATTCAAAAGTTGTCAACTGAGTTATTAAAGACATATTTTAACGAAATTTCAAGCAAAGTTATAATTGAAAGTAAAAGTGAATTAAGTGAATTAATTTTACAAAGATTTATTCCAATTAATTTTAAGCAATTAGAACAACCAGTAGGTATCTTATCAGAAGGCTCACTTGAAGAAAATAAAAGTTTATTTTCCATATTAATAAAAAAGTTAAATTCAAATGATACCTACAAATTAAAAGAACCAGTTGAAATCGAATTATGGGAGAACGATTTACCTGTAATTCCATCACTAAATTTTTCAGGATTATTGCAAAGATTGTCTGAAAATCTAATTAACGGAAATGAACAATATCTGATAAATAATAATAAAATTTGGGACTCAAACGTGGACCTATATGATAATGATTGCTTTCATGAATACAAAATTAAAATAATCAACGAATTATTGAAAGTTTATGAAAATTGTGTTACATTTATTGCCAATATATATTTAGAAAAAATGAACCCGTTGGTTGGTGAAAAGAAAGCTGTATTGAATAACATAGAAGTGCAGAGCAATGAAGAGGACGTAAACAAAGAATTTGGCGAAAGCATTGCAGACGAAGCACAAAGTCCAAAAGAAACACAAAGTGGAGCAACTTTGAAAGAGAAACTTTCCCAACTGGTTGTTTATAACCAAGTTCTTACAAGTTATGCAGATATTTCCTACTTGTCGAACTTTGTTTGTACCATCTCAAAATCAGAGAATCCCATATTAGATTCTGCTGAAACAAAAAAAACATTAGAGAGGCTTTCTACCATCAGCGACACATTTCGCTCTCTAAACCCATTCAACTTGAAGTTTATCAACAAGAACGTGTTGGAGCATTACAAACACAACAAATTGCTACTTCTTCCCTTGACAAATTAGTCTGAGAGTTCTGTGCTCCCGCTGTGGTGGTTTTTTTGTTTTTCCGTTTGACACATTTCTTGCGTTTTTTCTATTGTTCGATTGCGTTCTGCTTTATTGTTCCGCCGAAGTTTAATTGTTGCTATTGCTCAAACAGTACCAATAAAATAATAGTAAAGTGATTGCACGAAGAGTGTCGTGAAAAAAACAAGAACTATTGCTCTTTGAAAAATGGAACTTTTATTGCATAAATATCTAATGTTTATTCTCTTTTCTTCTTTTCTTCTTTTTTTTTTACTATAGAAAATTATTAATCTTTAAATCTTTGTCGATTTTCTAAAAAAGATATATTAATATATTTTGTTTTGATTTTTACTTGATAGTTAAATATCATTATCACAGTGTTTTCCAATCATCGACCTATATTTTGACATGGCTGAGATTATCAATAGTTTATCTGTTGGAGAAATATCTGCTGAGAATGAATCAACTTTAACTCAACTTCAAAACTCTACTGCTACTAACAACAGTTCTAACTTGACTGATGAATTGAAACTTAACCAAACACCAAGTTCTAAGGTCGATGCTGATGCAAGCACAATCAACAATATTAGCAAAGTTTCCACTAATACAGCTAAATCAAAAAGAAAAACCTCGTGGGTCCCAATTATTCTTTGTATTTCAATTTCCTTCGGTGGTTTCATTTTTGGTTGGGATACTGGTACAATAGGTGGAATATCCAATATGCCTGCATTTTTAAGAAGATTTGCTGACCAAAAGTTGAATCCAAATACTGGTGCAATTGAATATCGTTTTGAACAAATAATTATTGGTTTGATTATTTCTTCATTTAATATTGGTTGCGCTATTGGTGGTTTGATAATTCCTTCTCAAATTGGTGATAGATGGGGACGTAGATGGGGTATCATAAACTCAGTTTTGGTTTATTTTGTTGGTTTAGTAATCCAATTAACTGCTACTTTTACTTCCAAATGGTACCAAATATTAATTGGAAGAGTAATTGCAGGTATTTCTGTAGGTGCCACTTCTGTTTTGGTTCCCATGTTTATCTCTGAAAGTGCTCCAAAAAATGTTAGAGGTGCTTTAGTTGTTTTCTATCAATTAATGATTACACTAGGCATTTTTACTGGTTATATAGCAGATTTCATTACCAAAACTATTTATAAAGACGACAGACAATGGCAAATTCCATTATCATTATCTTTTGTTTGGGGTTTAATGATTCTTATGGCAACTTTTTACATGCCTGAAAGTGCAAGATTCTTGATCGAAAATGATAGACAGAGCGAAGCAATCAATTCGTTAGCAAAGTTAAATAATGTTTCAATAGATGACCCAGTTATCAATGAAGAAGTTGATGAAATGGTTTCTAATTTTGAAAAAGAAAAAGCTGCTAAACAAACATTACAAACCACCAATCCATGGATCGAATTGTTAAAAGGACAACCAAAACTAGCCTTTAGATTATTGACTGGTATCTTAATTATGTCCTTTCAACAGTTAAGTGGTTGTAACTATTTTTTCTATTATGGAACATCTTTATTCAATAATGTTGGTATGGAAGATGGGTTCTTGACTGCTATTATTCTTGGTGGTGTTAATTTTGTCTGTACTTTCTTGGGTATCTATATTGTTGAAAGATTGGGCAGAAGAGCCTGTTTGATTTTTGGTTCAATATTAATGGGTTTATGCATGGTTGTTTATGCATCTGTTGGTTCTTTTGGTGTGCAACATGGTGAAGTGATGATAGCTTTTACCTGTTTCTATATTTTAGGATTTGCTTGTACCTGGGGTCCTGTTGCATTTGTGGTGGTTTCTGAAATCTATCCCATTAGGGTCAAGTCTCAAGCTATGGCTCTAGCAACTTCAACTAACTGGATGTTCAACTTTGTTATTTCTTTAGTTACTCCATTTATTACAAGTAAGATTGGCTATAAGTTTGGTTATTTCTTTGCAGCTTGCTTGCTTGTCAGTGGAATCTTTGTTTCTATTTTTATGCCTGAGACGAAAGGTCTAGCTTTAGAAGATGTTGATAGACTATATGAAGTATCTGAAGGTTACTCGAAGATGTACAGAGCAAGAAAGCATCTTTACTATGATCATTATGAATGAATGTGTATTATATTACATGAAAACTCCCCAAAAAAATTAAAAAAAATTAAAAAAAAAAACTGTTTAAAATAATGGTTCAATCAACTATTTTTTTATCACTCAATATAATTTACTTGTCATTAGACTTTTGTTTTATCTTTCCGATCCAAAATTAATTTTTGGATATTTTTCTTTCAATGTTTGTTAATTTTCAATTTTCAATTTTAATACTTATGATTTATGATTTATTTTTTTATTATCAGTTTCTTCTGTTTATGAATTTCACTTTATAGTAAATTTTCATTTTACTAGAGTTTTTTTTCTATATTTTTATTTCCATTTTTATCAATTTTATCGTTATATTATTAAACTTTAAGACAAGATTAACAATTTTAAATAATCCATAGAGTAGAAAGTAAGAAATAAAAATATATAATTTCAAGGGAATCATAGTAGCTTATAGTCAAAGAAGAACAGTAAAGCTTTATATTTTTCAAAAAAAAATAAAAAAAACTAGTAATCATTTTATTCTTCTCTTTTTCTCTTTAAAGATGCATCTTCAGCCTTTTCAGTTGCAATTAAGCCATCAACCATTTTGTCAAACATTTCAACATATGGCTTTAAAGAGGTTTTATCCCATTCCTCACCTCCAGCCGAAATTAATTCGGCAACATTACTACCATGATATTTTTCCATTTCATCTTGCAATCTTTTCAAGTTTGGAGAATTTGTGGGGTCAAAACCAAATTTGGGATCAAAGGGAACACAAATATTACCTGTTCCCGGATGAATACAAAATGGAGATTTTAAAAGATGGATAACTTGTCTTGAAACTTCAACATCTAATCTCGGGTATAATGTTTGTAATATTATGGCTTGCTTTGCTTCAATTAAAGCATTTGGTCTTAATTTTTTTGTAACACCCTTTTTATAGACTTCATTGATATCGTTCCATTTTTCAAAACTGGATCTTTGTGGTTTAGAATTCCATAAGTTTCTCAAAGCATCATTCAATGCTTTATCAGGTATCAATTTATTCAACGCGTTATTTGCCTTATCATTATCTCTCCAAGGATCTTGATCATTTAATATTACATCTTCAAATTGTTCAGTTAAGATTTTCAATGATCTTTCTACATGAGGATGTAAAGGACGATAGAGGATTAATCTTTTCCCTGAAGACTTGATCTTTAACACATCCAAATATTCAATTATAGCCCTTCTCTTTGATCCAGATAAAAAACGAGCCTTTTTGTCACTGACCCAACAATGAGCACCCCTTCTTCCAGAAAACACCCATGTTATACTTTTAAATCCAAAATCATCTCTCAATGCAGTATCCATGATTTTGGTTGCAATCGTAATAAATTTCCAACATTTTTGACAAATTTTTGTTCCACTACAGCAAGTTCTAATATCATCATAATCGGTCAAATCAATATCAAACACCAATTCTTTTTCCAAAGGTTTCATTGCAGATTTTGGGACAGATTTTCTTTTATTTGGATTGATCGAGTAGATTGCACCAATTTCAAAACGAGTTGGATTTGCCTTGATGACACTGGCTTTGAAATCACTTAAATTTTTGAAAGAGTTATAACGTTGATAGGCACCAGATCTATACTCAAATGCAAACTCCCTCATTGTAAAGCTTGGCAAGGGTTTGTTTGGATTTGAGGTATGTGCTAGCCATTTATAAACAGTAGAAAATGGTAGCAATGTTTCATAGTAGTAAGCCATATCAGAAACTGAAGGGGTATTGGATTTCGGTTTAGTAGACTCGTTATCGGCAAGCTCTGAAAAATCGTTGGCTTTCTTTTCATTGGCATCATTTTTGGCTGTTTTATTGCCACCAATTAGCTCAAAGTCGTCGTCGCTGTCTTCAACACTGATGTTTTCTACCACTTCACCAGCTGCCTCCATTTTCCTTCTCAATTGGAATTATTTGAGATAAATTTCCAGTATTGAGAAAAAACCGAATCTGTCATTTTGGGAGAGAAACGCGAAATTCCATTTAATTTCTTTAAAACGCGAAACCCTAAAAGAGTTTGTGGCGCCTTGCTGCTCCACACCACTCATTTAAGACTCTCTGCGGCTGTGTATAGCACGTGATTTGTGTGCTCTTCAATTCGGAAGAAAGAGAGAGGCGAATAATCAAGATGGCGCTTTCGTCTTGAAGCAACACTTCAATTAAACATACTACAACAAATCATTGGACATGGATATAATCTTGGGTATCAAGACAGCTGATTCTGTTATAATTGCAACCTCAAAGGCTGCTACAAGGGGTATTTCTGTTCTTAAGGCAAATGATGATAAGACAAGACAATTAACGGAGAAATCATTGATGGCCTTCACTGGTGAATCTGGCGATACTGTTCAATTTGCTGAATTTATCCAAGCAAATGTTCAATTATATTCAATGAGAGAGAATGTAGAATTGTCATCAAAGGCTATATCCAGCTTTGTTAGAAACCAATTAGCTCAGTCTTTAAGATCCAGAAAACCATATCAAGTAAATGTCTTGATTGGTGGTTATGACGAAAATAAAGAAATACCAACATTGAATTGGATAGATTATCTTGGGACAAATATCGAATTACCATATGCTGCTCATGGTTATGCTGCTTTTTACACATTTTCCTTACTAGATCGTCACTATAAGCCAACGATGTCCACCGACGAAGGTCTAGAGTTGTTAAAACAATGTATTAAAGAACTAACAACTAGAATGCCAATTGATTTCAAGGGTGTATATGTCAAGGTAGTTGATAAAGATGGAGTCAAAGAAATTGATTTTTAGATATTTAATAGTATACTTGATCATTTAAACTCCGATATTCTCTGGCCAATTGTATTCTTTTACATTTTTATAAGATTCAGTGCAAGATATATTTTTATTGATTGTATGATATATAAAGAAACAAAAAAATAACCTAAAAAAAGTAAACAAATCTACCGAATCTGTACTGGTATCCATAAAAATAAAACCAAGATGACACTAAACAAAAAAACCAATAGAAAACCTAAAGTAGAATATAAAGAGTAAAAGTGTGATAAAAGAAAGAAAAAAAGTACTATTTGAATTGAAATAAAATTCAAAAACTATCAAGTAATACGACAGTATTCGGGAACATTACAAGAATAATTGAAAACTGAACTTGAACCATAATTTGAGAATTCGTCATAATTGGATGAATTTTGCAAGTTTTTGATTTTTATTGTTTGTTTACCTAATCCATGATACCATTTTAATACTTGTAAATCATGATCAATAGCATAATCATTTGAGTTACAATCAGTTCCAGAAAATTCTACTACTAAACTTTCTTCACTATTTATTTCAAAATGCCACTCTGGTAAATAGATTAAAGAAGGTTTAGCGTTATTATTAGAGTTTTGTGTACAATCAATATCTGATTGTACAGTTAATGTATATTCTTTATTTTTATAAGAAAATTCTGCAGTTTGAATTTTACCATTTATAGCTAATGCATAAGGTCTAATAATTGAATTGATAGCACGCACACCATCGGGAGATGCTTGGTTGATACCTGAAAGGATCATTGACTTTTTATGATTGTTTAATGAGGTATCAAATTGATTGGTATCATTGATATCATTAATATCATTAACATCTTTGATATTATCATGGTTGATATTATTTGATGTTGAAATAAGATTATCTAAAGAACTAGTTGATGATTTTGAAGCGCTTGAAATAAAAAAGTTGTCCTTATTTGATTTATCATTATTTGAATGAATTAGTTCAATGGAGTTTAAAGTTTTGGAGTGGTATTGATCATCTTTTGACCAAAAGGAAAAATCTTCACAATTCCATCTATCGCCCCATTTGTGAGAATTAATCGATGAATAAGCCCAAAAAGTGTGGGACATATTGGATCCTTCTAAAGCAAAACCAAGTGCATCTAAAGCATCAGTTTGAGAGTCAAAAGAGCCGTTTTTTGATTTATAGACCTGTTTGTTATCCATGTCAAAGGGCATACCAGTTTCAGACATAATAATTGGAACATGAACACCAAGGTTATCAAAGGATTCGTTTTTGATTTCAATAAATTGGGAACGGAAACATTTTCGAATATTGTTTTCACCAAAGACTATACCAAAAATTGGATTCAGATAACGGCCACGCATTATACCTAGAGTGTCGACGTTATAACGCCTGTTCCAAGTTTTGAACATTAGAGACATGCCATCGTAGTAATGAGGAGAAAAGATTAATTTTTTAGACAATTTTAGGGGATAGTAAGGGGAGTCGCTGTCCAAGTTTAATAAATTTGGAGGGATTTGTAGAACGGGGGATTGCATTATTATGAATAAACGATTGTTGATTGAAGATATTTTATTATAGAAATCTAGGAAAAAATCTAGGAAAAAGGTATTTGTAAAGACAAATTTATCAATTTTTTCGCCGGTAATGGGATTTTTACCAAAATAATCAGGAATTAAAAGAGTGTTATTAATTGGATCCCAAACGTTGTGCTGAGCCCAAATACAGGAGCCTAGTTTCCAGGATGGATGTCTTTTAAAACCATATTTTATATCATATTGATCGGTGTTTAACCAGGCTATAGTGCCCTTTGGATCAATATAAGTTGAGCCAGTTTTCTTTGGACCGAAAACCGAAATTTCATAAGTATCAACGGTTTGAGGGATGCCCATACCTAGCTGAAAAGTTTGCAAAACAGTTGGAGAGGTACCCAATCTCAAAGGTTGAGATTTGGGAAAAACATTGATGTTTTGGTTGCCTATTAAGCCCGAGCTTGGTTCGTTTAAAGATTCGACGGCAAATATGGTGTGGTTGAACAAATCTGGTTGAGTTGAGTGAATTTTATTGATGAAATAATGAACTGCGTTAATAAAATGGGATTGTAAATAATCTTGGATATTTTGATTATCAATGATGCAATTGGGAGCAAAGATTTTGCCAGCAAAAAATAAGGTGAAGATAGTTGAAGCTACCAATCTTTGATAATTGGTTGACCAGATCATTTTAGGGAAATTACCTGGATCATCATTATTATAGTAATTATGTAGAATTGCAGCATCAGTCTTTTGGAAGCTTTTTGGGTCAAAGCCTGCAGCATAAATGGTCCAGAGAGGAGCACCACTTCCACCAGTAAATCTTGACCAGACATCTTGATGGGGATCAATAAAGACGTACATGCCGCCGATATTGTGGATGATTTTCAAGATTTCTATGGTATAGTCAACAAAGTCTTCGTCGTATATATCAGGCCCTAAGTGTTCTATTGCCTCCCAAGTTATTATGTATCTTATTGTGTTGAAGCCCCAGGATTTGATTCTGGAGATATGGGAGTGAGCTTCAGATATGGGAAAGGGACGACCAACAAAGGAGACATGGTCAGCATCGTAAAAAATCTTGTCGTGGGAGGGATGAGAATTGTTGTCGCCAATGGGGTAGTCAGTGGGAATGAAAGGAGAGAAAGGTAGCTTTGCTGAAGCATCTAGGTTGATGCCCTTGAGGGTGAGCTTTCTGTTGAAGGAATCGAGAAAGCTGCCATTATCGTCGACAGCAAGAGGGCCATTTATGAGCGAGGGCATTATTGAGAGAGGGATGGAGAGGGAGAGATAAGGAAGGAAAGGAAGGAAAGGAATATATGATAGCGACCGAAACGGGACAAGGAAGAGGAAGCGAATTCCGGAAGAGAAAGGAAAGGAGGAAAGTTTGGGTAAAACTAGGTTTTGGGTTTTTTCAGTGCTAAAATGCAAGATACAGAACTACGAGAGAGAAAGCTAGAGAAGTTGACCAATATTATTAGTGGTTATTGGTGCTGAAACAGTACGAAGAATTGAGAAAATTGGGGTGGGAGAGAATGACGACAAGATAAACGTAGGTTAAGAGTATATTAAAGTGTGTAGTGGTATAACTAAGAATAACAAAGTACATAAGAGAGATGAAAATGAGATAAAAAGGGAAAACGAAAGAACGAAAGGTCATATCAAGGGGTAGTGATTGATTGGAAGTGAGAAGGTGAGGGTGAAGGTGATAAAGTGAAGGTGTAAGTAAGTGGTTAAATTGATTTCATTTCATGAGCAAGTAGGTAAATGAGTAAATAAAGTTGGAAAAACAACAAGATAGAGCAAGAGAGTGAATAAGGTGTAGAATATTGAGAGTATAAGAGGATAAAAGAAGAGAAAATAAAGATAATTTGAATTTGGATTTGAATTTGGATTAATAATAATAATAACAATAATTATTATTATGATTAATAATTATGATTAATATTATTAGTCCTAATTATAAATTTAGTTTTATTTACAGATAGTCATTATGCCATAAAAATTGGAATCTTTTTTTTGTTTTTGTTTTGCAGACTATATTGGAGATACATGTTTGTATTTTGTAAAGTCCAAATCACTATCAAATACTAAGTCGTAGTTGATCTGTTCAGTTTTAGCAGTTTTAGTCGTTTTTCCAGAGACAGAGCTGATTTCTCTTTTTAAAGGGTTGTTGTAGGAAGTGTGGATGATATCCAGTTCGTCATTATTTATGTTATAATTGTAGCTGTAGTTGGAGTTGGTGTTGGAACTGTTGGTTGTGTAGTAATAATAGCTATTTGATCTTTGGTTTGGAGTGACTATGTTGTTATTGTTATTGTTATTGTTATTCAAGTTGTTTGGTAGAGAGTATCTCTGAGAATTGATATTGTTATTTGAAATGGGAGCTCTAGGGAATTTTGATAACGAATTTGGAGATTTGATTGAGGATTTTATTGGGGATTTTATTGGGGATTTGATTGAGGATCTCTTGGGTTTTATAGAGCTATTTTTTAGAGATTTTGAGTTCCTTAAAGATTTTGAGTGTTTGGGATAATCGTTTATAACTAGGCCAGTCATTAAATCGGATCGATTTATTCTTTGAACGTAGTTATTGTTATTTGAATCATTTGGAGATTGTAACTTTGAAGGCGACTGTGATTGTGACTGGTTCAACTGATTGTCTGAGTTGTGATGGTTGTAATTGAGGGAAACTCTTCGAACTACATTTTTAGTTATTGAAGTGAAAGAGTTTGTTCTTGAGTTGCTATTTGAGTTGTTTGGAGAATTACTTTTGGAGTTGCTTTTGGAGCTGTTTCTTGGTGTGTTCTGTGAGGTGTTGCCTTTGACAGACAACTTACGAATGATATTGGAGGTGGAGTACCTGTTTTTCTTGTGATCCGAAATCAACTGGCTCTTTTCGTCGTTATTTACGCTGATATTTATGTTATTGTTAGTGGCAGCATTTAAATCAAAAGGCAGCTTGGGTTTCTTTGAGTGAAATAAGCCACAGGAAAACATTTTGATTGAGAGTGTCATAGAAAAAAAAAAATTAACAGAATTGTGTAAATATATATCAATCTAAGAGTATATTATAATGGAGAAAAAAAAATTAGGTAATTCAGTGAGATAATCAAGCAATGGAGTCGAGTAATTAGTAATGGAAAAAAAGAAAAAGCGAGTAAAGTGGATACTTCTACGCTACTTATAAGCTATTCCCAAACTACTTTCCAGCTCCAAACCAAACAGAGTGCAAGACAGTTTGAGATAACTACAGCATTGCACTATTGTTAATAAGATTCGAATAAGATTTGAAATTAAATTTCCCAGCAGAAAAAAAACTGCTTTTGTAAAAAATAACTGAAAATCTAAATCGGCTCCACTCCCAGCTCTAGCCTAGACAGTTCCAGTGCCTATACTGTATTGCATTGCATTGTTCGTTTGCTTCACCAGCTGCTACGATACTGTATCGCAGTGTTTTCATTCCAGCTCTACTGCTGCATCGTCTGCTGTTGATTATATTGTATTGTATTGTATTGCATTGTATTATATTGTATTGTATTACTATATCGTATTGTATCGTATTATATCGTAACTATCTTCGGTTCCAGAACCAGGGATTTCATCGCTATTTCCGATCTTGCGGACAGGGTTTTGTTCCGCTTCCACAGCCGGTCTCAGCCCTTCGGATCCGCTGTTCTTCCGGCACTGCTTCCTATGCTGTCTCTGCTTCCTCTCCGGTGCTGCCGGTGCTGCCAGTGCTGTTCTGCCTATGTTCTCCTCTTCTGTGCCCACTCCAAACAGACACTGATTACTATTTACAGACCTAGCTCGGCTCCTCTAGCAGCCTCTTTGGTACCCTCTGCAGATCCACCATCTCCCACCACATCATCGTCTTCTGTGCCTCTCTCTGCCCTTGCTCTGCCACTATGATCTTTTTGCGCAGCCCTACACTTTGCTCGCTTTCCCTCTTCTACGTCCTTTCCGCAACTTCCTAGCTCGCTTTCCTCGTTTGCTTTTCCTTGTTGCTTTCTTCAGCTTTCCCACTACCACCATCTCGATGATCTCTTTGATCCAACGCGTCATTGTACACGCGTCTGCATCTGGACGTGTTCCAGCGCACATTGTATGCGTCTCTTGTAACCGCTTTTCTCGCCAATCAGCGGCTGCTCCCTCTTTTTGAATTAGTATTGAAGTTACCGCAATCCTGGACTCGCAACCGTTTGCTGCTCTGTGTGTTGCCTTATTAGTATGCAGGTACATGCTGTCATACGCACCAGCTATTATCTCATTGATGACTCATCACAATTATCTCCGCGGTTGATGTGTTGATTATCTCCAATTTTCTGTTTTTTCGTGTTAATTGTGCCCTTTTGCTCCGATTTCTTCGATTTTCCATACACTTTTCGAAATCCATCCGCCCATATCTGTCCCAATCTGGTAATCCGCTCATATCTTGTCAACTTTTTCAACCATTTTTCACTGATTTTACTTTTTTTTTTCTTCAATTCAATCGATTATTCCCTCTTTTGCTCATTCACAATTGATATTAATATTGATATTAATACCAATCTTACACCTTACCTTTTTGTTTTTGTTTTTTCCAATATTGCTGGATGATATTATTATATTATACCATAATACTATAATACCATAATACTATAGAAATTATAAGCTATATTTTTCAATTGTCCCCTGATTGAAAATAAGGAAACAAAACAAAACAAAAAAATAAAATAAAATAAGGGCCAAAAAAACAAAAAAGAAAAAAAAAATTTTTTATTTTTTGTTTTTTTGTTTTTTTTTATTCAATTTTAGTTTTCTTTGTATCCCCTTCATTGCATTAATATAAAATATCTTTATTGTATTATATATTATCCCAAGTTGCTCAATTAAATTCAATTGAGAATCAACTCACTCAAACATACTAAGATCAAAAAGTTGATCTTAACTTGTATCCAACTCAAATCAAAAAAAACAAAAAACAACATATTTTTAAAACAAAGATTCATTAATAAAAATCACAAACTATAAATAACAAAAAAGCAGAAGAAAAAGAAGAAGAAATCATTTACTCAAAATGATTATTAAATCTTCTTATTTGAATTTAAATCTAAATTCAAATCTAAATTTACTTCGAAAATCCCTACTTTATCACTCATCCTTATTCTCCCTTTCCTCTCGTGCTCTATCCCACAATTTCGCAAATAAGCCTATACTCCCCTTTCTCAACAGATCTCTATCCACTTCTTCTCCTATCAACCAAGCTTCAAACCAAGATCACATCTCAAAACCCTATGCTGGCTCCAAAGTCTTGTCCTCTTTTAACGACGAACATGCTCACCACCTAGTCGACGTCCACAAAGTTCTTGTCATCGGTTCTGGTGGTTTATCTATTGGTCAAGCTGGTGAATTTGACTATTCTGGTTCTCAGGCTATCAAAGCTCTTAAGGAATCAAACAAGGAAACCATTCTTATCAATCCAAATATCGCAACTAACCAAACCTCCCACTCCCTCGCTGATGAAGTCTACTTCTTACCTGTCACCCCTGAATACATTACCTACATTATCGAAAGAGAAAGACCCGATGGAATACTCCTAACCTTTGGTGGTCAAACTGCTTTGAACTGTGGTGTTGCCCTAGAAAAAATGGGCGTCCTTGATAGGTATAATGTTAAAGTCCTAGGTACCCCAATCAAAACTCTAGAAACTTCCGAAGATAGAGACCTATTCTCAATTGCTCTCAACGAAATCGATATCCCCATTGCTGAATCTATCGCTGTTGATAATCTCAACGATGCCCTAGCTGCCGCTGAGAAAATTGGCTATCCCATCATTGTTCGTTCTGCCTATGCCCTTGGTGGTCTAGGCTCTGGTTTTGCTTCCAATGGCTCTGAATTGAAAAATTTGGCTTCTCAATCGTTATCTCTTGCTCCTCAAATCCTAGTCGAAAAATCTCTCAAAGGCTGGAAAGAAGTCGAATACGAAGTCGTCAGAGACAGAGTTGACAACTGTATAACTGTTTGCAACATGGAAAACTTCGATCCTCTAGGTATCCACACCGGTGATTCAATTGTTGTTGCTCCCTCCCAAACTTTGTCCGATACTGAATATCATATGCTAAGATCCGCTGCCATCAAAATCATTCGTCATTTAGGTGTCGTTGGTGAATGTAACGTCCAGTATGCTCTACAACCTGATGGTTTAGACTATAGAGTCATCGAAGTTAACGCCAGATTATCAAGATCCTCAGCTTTAGCCTCAAAGGCAACTGGCTATCCTCTCGCTTACACTGCTGCTAAAATCGCTCTCGGCTACACTCTTCCTGAATTGCCAAACCCAGTCACTGGCACAACCACCGCCAATTTCGAACCCTCTCTAGATTACATTGTAACTAAAATTCCAAGATGGGATCTAAGCAAATTCCAAAATGTCAATAGAGATATAGGCTCTTCAATGAAATCCGTCGGTGAAGTTATGGCTATTGGTAGAACCTTTGAAGAAAGTATTCAAAAGGCTATTAGACAAATTGATCCCTCCTTTTTAGGCTTTCAAGGTTGCGAAGATTTCGCTGGTGAAGAAAACAGAGAACTACTAGATGATGTCTTGAAAAATCCAACTGATAGAAGATGGTTGGCCGTCGGTCAAGCTCTCTTGCACGAAAACTACTCCGTCGAAAGAGTCCACGAATTATCTAAAATTGACCACTGGTTCCTTTTCAAATTAATGAACATTGTTGAAATGTACAGAGAATTGGAAAAAATTGGCTCCTTATTCGGTTTAAATTCAGATGTCCTTTCAAGAGCTAAAAAATTGGGTTTTAGTGACAAACAAATTGCTAAAGTCGTTGGTGCAAACTCAGAATTAGATGTCAGAGCAAGAAGAAAATCTTTTGGTATTGTTCCTTTTGTTAAAAAAATCGACACCTTGGCCGCTGAATTCCCTGCTACAACTAATTATCTCTACACAACCTATAATGCTTCAACTAACGATATCGAATTCGATGAACATGGTACCATGGTTTTAGGTTCAGGTGTCTACAGAATTGGTTCATCTGTTGAATTCGACTGGTGTGCTGTCTCTACCGCTAGCTCTTTACGTAACATGGGCAAAAAAACTATTATGGTCAATTATAATCCTGAAACTGTCTCAACCGATTTCGATGAAGTTGATCGTTTATACTTTGAAGAACTCTCCCTTGAAAGAGTCTTGGATATTTACGAATTGGAACAATCAGCAGGCATAGTTATTAGTGTCGGTGGTCAATTACCTCAAATTATTGCCTTAGCTCTACAAAAGTATGGTGCAAGAATCCTTGGTACTAGTCCAGAAGATATTGATAAAGCTGAAGATAGACACAAATTCTCTTCAATTTTAGATAGTATTGGTGTCGATCAACCTGCTTGGAAAGAACTATCTTCCTTAGATGCCGCCAAAGCTTTTGCTAACGATGTTGGTTATCCAGTTTTAGTTAGACCTTCCTATGTTCTTAGTGGTGCTGCCATGTCTGTTATTAGAACTGAAGAAGATTTAAAACTTAAGTTAAGCAACGCTTCTAAAGTTACTCCAGATCATCCAGTTGTCATTAGTAAATTTATCGAAGGCGCTGATGAACTTGATATTGATGGTGTTGCCTATAATGGTAAAGTCTTGGTTCATGCTGTCTCTGAACATGTTGAAAATGCTGGTATCCATTCCGGTGATGCTACTCTAGTTTTGCCTCCTCAAAGTTTATCTGACGAAATTTTGGCTAGAATGAAAGAAATTTCTGATAAAGTTGCCAAAGCTTGGGATATAACTGGCCCATTTAATATGCAAGTTATCAAAAATAATAATATTGAAACTGGTGAAATTGAATTAAAGGTCATTGAATGTAATATCAGAGCTTCAAGATCATTCCCGTTTGTTTCAAAAGTTTTAGGAACTAACTTTATCGATATCGCTACAAAGGTAATCACTGGTATTGATGTTCCAGAACCAGTTGATTTAATGTCTCAAAAATATGATTATGTTGCCACTAAAGTTCCTCAATTTTCCTTTACTAGATTAGCTGGTGCCGATCCATTTTTAGGTGTTGAAATGGCTTCAACTGGCGAAGTTGCTTGTTTTGGTCACAGTTTAACTGAGGCCTACTGGACTTCAATTCAATCAACCATGAACTTTCATGTTCCATTGCCTCCATCTGGTATATTATTTGGTGGTGATATCTCAAACGATTACTTGGGTAATGTTGCTAAAAATATTTCATTGATCGGTTATAAATTTTACACTGCTTCAAAAGATGTAGCATCATACCTTAAAAACTACTTGCCTGAAGAAACTCAAGTCGAAGTTATTAAATTTCCAAAAGCTGATAAAAAGGTATTAAGAGAAATTTACCAACAAAAGGATATCAAATGTGTTTTCAATTTAGCTAAAACTAGAGCTGAAGATCTTGTCAACGAAGATTATATTATGAGAAGAAATGCTATTGATTTTGCTATTCCATTATTCAATGAACCAAAAACCTCGTTATTATTTTCAAAAGCTTTAAGTGAAAAAATTGATGAAAAAATTGCTGCTCAATCAAATGAAAAAGTTCCAATTCCCGCAGAAGTTCGTGGATGGAGAGAATTTGTTAATAACGGTTCTTTATAAAAATAGTCATTATTTTTTAATCTGTAAAAAAAACCCTTCTCTTTTTTTTTGAATAGTTTTTTTACTGATTTTTCTTATTTTATTTTATGTAATTTATTTTACTACAAATGATTTCTTGTTAGTTTTAATTTTTTTTTGCGGATAATCTATTGTAATGAATAAATGAAATTTGTACAAAGAATATAAAATATTTTTACTGAAAAGTTAAGGACAGTATAGGGATCTATGAAATATAATGAACGGTAAGTCTAAAGGATTTAACAAAATAACAGTTTTTAATAAATATAAAAAAAAATAAAAAAAAAAAATTATTGAAAACATATTGAATTAATTAATCTAGCTGAGTTGGTTAGTTTAGTTTAAATTAATGAGCATAATCACCAGAATTATATAAACCAATATCAACTTCGGATTTAACAGAATCTGAATTAACGGTTGAATTTCCAAGACCTAATTCTTTAAGCTTTTGATTTTGAGCTCTACTTTCTTCCAACTCTTTTAGATAATCTTGTTCAATTCCAGTGATATAATCACCGGTAAATACACCAACTTCAAAGTCTTTAATTGAATCAGTTGAACAACAATCAATTAAATCGTTTAAATCTTGGTAAATGACTTTATCAGCGGCGATTTCTTTTGAAACATCATTTTCAGTTCTATTGTAGGCTACTAAAGCCTTTGTATCAGCTAAATCAATACCGTAGATATGATTGTGTCTAATAGCTGGAGCACATGAGGCAAAATAGACTTTTGTTGCACCAGCTTCTCTTGCCATTTGGACGATTTCCTTTGAGGTTGTACCTCTGACAATTGAATCATCAACTAATAGGACGTTTTTATTATTAAATTCAGATTCCATTGCATTCAACTTACGACGAACAGAAGATCTTCTTTCTTTTTGATCAGGCATTATAAAGGTTCTTCCAATGTACCTGTTTTTAACAAAACCTTCTCTATAAGGTAGATTTAAGGCAACAGCACAAGCTAAAGCTGAGTGTCTAGAGGTGTCGGGGACAGGAATGACCACATCGATTTGAGAGATGTCATTATTGAAATGTTTTAGGATACTATCAGCCAACTTTGAACCCATGTTTAATCTTGAATGGTAAACACTTATACCATCAAGAACTGAATCAGGTCTAGCAAAATAAACATACTCGAAAATGTCGGGAGTGTAAGTTATCTTTGGGATGATTTGTTTGAAGACTGGTTTATGAGTATTTTTGGGAATAATGACAGCTTCACCAGGTAAAATATCTCTAAAGGTATTAAAGTTATGGGCTTTTAAAACAACAGATTCAGAAGCTAGCATGTAATCTTTTGAGCCATCGCTTTTAAGTCTCTCACCAATAACGAGAGGTCTAATGCCATTTGGATCTCTAAAACCGATTAAGCCGTAACCAGCTAACATACCAACACAGGCATAAGCACCACGACATTCTCTGAAGACGCCCTTGAGAGCGTTAAATAAATCATCGTTATTAACTCTAGCCTTGTGGTACTTGTCCAACTCGGCAGCAAAAATGTTCAATAATAATTCTGAATCAGAGTCGGTATTGATATGTCTATGGACACTTTTGTCCAAATAATCTCTTAGGTATTTTCCATTAACAAGATTACCATTATGAGACAAAGAGATTCCATAGGGGGAATTAACATAGAAGGGTTGTGCTTCAGAGTTGGCAGAAGAACCAGCAGTTGGGTATCTTAGATGAGCAATACCGTAGTGACCTATTAGTCCAGACATTCTTTGTTGAGTAAAGACATCTCTGGCCATCCCATTACCTTTGCACTGATACAAACGACCTTTATTCCCACAGGTTACAATACCAGCAGCATCTTGCCCTCTGTGTTGGAGGAACATAGTACCATCAAATAACTCATGAGCGACAGTTCCCTGAGAATCAGCCAAAATGATACCAATAATACCACACATTTGAGAAAAGGGTTTGAAAAAAGGGTTTAAAAAAAGCGATGCGAAGATGAAAATCCTGAAAAAAGTTCAAGTTTGGAGTAGAATATACCTAGATACAGTATATATGGCCACCATTTACTTCTTTCTCATTTTCTTCAAATTAAAATTTTTCTAAAAACTCAGAAAGAAAATCGAAGAGCTGAGAAAAACTCGACAAAATCCAAAATGGATACCGTCGCCAAACAGAGGGGAGGACTTGAGAAGAGGGTATTAAATCCCCAGAATTAGTGAAACGTTCGTGGTGCAGCAGCCAGTTAGAACCAGGCAATTATCATCGTTGCAGTCGTATTTATTTGTGTGCAACAGCAGGAGCAAATGGGTGGAAAACATTTGTGGAATCAGTCACTTGCTCGACGGATAGGGTTCCATCTACACTCCCCCTACAGATGTGTCTGAACCGGAGCACAGATGGACTTGGAAATTTCACCAGGCCTGGTTTTGACTTTGAATCTAAACCCAGAATTGCCTCTGGTTGTGGAGTTTGAGACAAACACAAAGCTCTTCTTTTCGAATTCCAGATTTTTTGTACAGACTGAAACCTTCTTTTAGTCCTCTTTACTTTCGCTGGAGTTGTCTCAACGAACCCGGGTTCAAACCTCCTTCGGACTCTTTTCCGAAACAATTCCACTGGTGTGGATTGTATCCACACCAGTGGAATATCTGCGTCTCATGCCGGTGCATGCATGTACCGCTCTGGCGGACAATTTTCAAACAGATATTTTGTTGTGATATATGGGCGATGTGAGAAAGAGCAAGAGATAGTCATCCATCTCCCAGCAATGTCCTCGTACTTGTTCAAAGATGCTGTGTTCCAGTATCTAATAGACTTGCCGCAGTCCATGAAGTTCAAGTTGTTTGAGTCGCCTGCAACATGTCTCGCCATCTATCGACTCTTACCCACTTTGGCCAAATTCTACATCATGTCGATGGTCTTCAACGAAAAGAAAATCATCTTGAAAAATTTTGACAATTGGATTAAACCTGATCCATTGAACAAGAAAATCAAAAACGAATCCTTGCAGAAGTTACTTGACTTGAATTTGATAGAAACAGAACACAATAACTTGATCATCAAGATAAACTCAATTTTCAGACAAAACTTTAGGAACGCATTAATTGGTGAAAATTCGATTTCTCTGTCGAATTCAAATCCTTTGCTAAACAACAATAATAATCAAAATAACATAATAACAAACAACGGTTTTGGCGTTCCATTTGAGGGCAAAAATGATAGTCAATCAAACAAAATCACTGTTGATTTCTTGGATAATTATGCTACAAACAAATGGGAATCCACTCTTCATTTCATGGTCGGAACTAAATTAATTTCAAATCCAAGTAAAGGCACCATCAAGTTATTGGAAAGCAGTGGGATTATGGAAGTGATCGATGAGCATAACAGTAATGATACTTTGTTACCTGATAATTTTTCAGCGACTAATTTGAAAATAACTAAAAAAGGGTTCCAATTCTTATTACAAAATGTGAATACTCAAATTTGGACTTTATTATTACAATATCTTAAAATTGCCGAAACTTTACAAATGGATAGAGTTGATGTCTTGAATTTTATTTTCATGCTAGGTTCATTAGAATTAGGTCAATCTTACTCTCTAACTTCATTAAGCGATACCCAGATAAACATGTTAAGAGACTTGAGAGATTATGGTTTAGTTTACCAAAAAAACTCAAAAAGCAAAAGATTTTATCCAACAAGATTGGCTACAACCTTAACATCCGATACAATTGCTTTAAAATCTGCTTCGACTGCAATGGATCAAGCACTAAAATCAAATAATAAAGATAATAAAAACTCCGCTACCAATTTGGACACCTCCTCAAATACTGGTTCAACTTCAAACAACTCAATAAATAATCAAGAACCACTGAATTCTCTAGCTTCGATCAACGGCTCAATAATAATCGAAACAAATTTCAAACTATATTGTTACACAACTTCTCCTCTACAAATCGCCATTCTAAATCTCTTTGTTCATCTAAAACAACGGTTTCAAAATATGGTAACTGGCCAAATTACAAAGAAATCAATAGATTATGCCTTAAAATCAGGTATATCATCTGATCAAATTATTAAATATCTTGAAATCAATGCTCATCCACAAATGAAAAAATTGGCTCAAGAAGAATTAAATAAAAAATTAGAATTGATTGCAAACAAAGTAATTGCTTCTGCTTCACAAGAACTACAAATTATTCCACCGAACGTCGTTGATCAAATACGTTTATGGGAATTAGAGTTGGATAGAATTCAAAGTTCAATAGGTTATTTATTTAAAGATTTCAGTTCAATACAACAGTATTTAGCAATCAAAAAATACTCCGATGAAATTGGAGTATTGTTATGGAGCCATGATAACTCAAGGAGGCTTTTTGTCACCAGTGAAGGAAAACAGCAAATAGCTGACTATATGATGAGAAGATCCAATAAGGCCTCGAATAGAGAAAGGCCTAAATAAGTTTCAAGAAATAACACTGAAATTTCTCAAGAATCTCTCAAAAATTCCAACTTCAAAAGCACTAGTCTCATATTAAAAAAAAAATAAATAAATGTTGTTTTTATCTATTTATGGTTCTTTTTTTTATTCAAAACATATAAATAATTATCTTCAATAGCATCTGAAAGATCTATTGTATTATGGTTTTCAACTATTCCATCCTTTATTAGCTCTTTATCATAGCGTGCCATATTTTCTTGTTTATTTTTTGTGCTCAAATCTCCATTGCTGATTGATAATTGTTCATAATGATGAGTTATCAACTTGTTTATCTTTAAATATTCTAATAATGTATCATCGTCCTGGTTTAATAATATTAAGTAATCTTCTTCTTTGAAATTCTCTTCAATAAAATCTGCATTATCATTAGTATCAAAATCTTTTAAATTCTTCTTTATTGGAGAAACTATGTCGCTCATTTTTATGAATTTGTCATTGATATTTTCAACAATATTATTAACCGTATCAACACTTGGTTTTATGGTATTATTCTCTGTACCTTTATGTTTTGTTTTATTATACTTTTCAATATACTTTATTTCATTAGCCTTTAGCTGTTCAAAATTGCTTTTTGAATAAAATTCTCTTAATTTATCTCTAAAGAAAAGGGTTGGAATCCACTGCCCAATTTTCTTATAATAATAATAATTTCTATAATACGGTTTTAGGCAATCATTTCCGTACTCTTTTTTTAACATTCTTTTGAAATGTTTTGGATAATATACATTTGTTGATAATGTATTTGTTCCAGATATTATTGTTAAATTCAAAGGCAATAAGTCATTAAGTTCATAGAAATGGTTGTTGCGGCAATTTACTAGACCTAGTTTTAAATTTCTTTCCAAATTTTTTTTATTTTTATCATTTTTACTATTCTGGATTGTTTTCAAATATTCAAAATTATCTTTATATTTGGAAATTGAATATTTTTCATTATAGTTATTTTTTTGAGCACCATATTTATAATTCGGATGGAATTTGTTGGTATTAAAATCCATTATTGCTTTATACAAAAAAGGAGTTTGGGTATTAGAAAAGCTTAATCCTGTAATATCAATGTATAAACCACTTTGGACATCAATAAATCTTGCATCAATTTTATTCACGCCTTTATTTTTTTCTCTCGAAAACATATCAATGTTACAATCTAAATAATATTCTCCTAATCCCTTAGTAACATCTTCTAATATAATTGAATTATTATAATATAGGCATAGCTTGTTTAAATCTTTAATTGACATTTGCAAATCAATATCTTTATCCCAAGGAAAAACAGAAGATGAGAAATACCACGATAACAAACTTCCATGAGCTAGCCAGCTTTTTAAATCAATGGAGTCTAAAAAATGAAACCAGTTTTTTAATAACTTTTCTAATATTATTTTTCTTTGAGAATCTTCCCAAATTATTCCTTGAAAAAATCTCCAATCGTAATGTGAACCATCAATCTTTTTATTAGAAAAACTACATTCTTTGAAATATTTAGAAATATTTGTGCCTTGTGATTTGGAAAATGTCATTGATCTATAATAATTCAATAAATTTGGAGTTAGTATTTTAGAAAGCTGTGTTGTTTTCAATTCGTTTTTTTTGAATTCAATTGCTAGTGGAGTCTCTGGTGGATCTAATAATAAATCCTTTTGAAGTTTTTCAGCATCAACTAATTTTTCAAAAATATTTATTATTAGATCAATATTAAACACAAAAGCATCGACGCTCAAAGAATTTGGGTCAGTATCATCTTTCGAATCTAGTAATTTGTTGATCTCTTTTACTAGCTGTTCAAGTTCTTTATTATTATTAATTTGTTTAAGATTTGAGTTACTCAAGAAAGATATATTTTTATTATTTGATTTGTTGAGAATATCATTGATTTCATTAAACTCATCAAGTGGATCAATATATATATATGAGTCATTATTTTTAGATTTGATAATTTTGTCTTTTGTGACTTCTCTTAGAAACCCATTGACATATCCATTTTCCAATAATCTTTGGCTTTTTAATGGGTATAATTTTTCGTGATTCTGGAGATAATCATAACTTTCAACATTATCATTATTGTTGTTTTGATTTAAAAATTCGAAATTTTTAATATTAAATTCCAATTTTTTAATTTCTTGGTTTGAATTAAGAGTTTTGAAATTTTCATTGATAAATATTATTTTAAATGGACGAATTTTAACATTGTTTATATTATTATAATTATACAAGTATGCTTTGCCATTAAATTTTTTTTTTAAAACACTATGTCTTGAAGAAGGTGAATCAATTAGATTAAAGCCTAGATATGGTTTTAATTTTGGATGAAAAAATGAAAAATTATTGTTATCATCATTATCGCTATTTAAGTAGTCAGTTAAAAATTTGAAATAGTGCAAATCTCTACATGATATTGTTGTTACATGAGATTGAGAGAACATATTTTTGGATTGATTAGGAGACAATCTAAGTGACTTTTTATTAAAAGAGTTTAAATTATTTGTTAAGTTTAAAGTAAGTAATAATTCATTGATTTTAAAAAAAGTTTCAGGATCAATATCTTGAAGTTTTGGATCAACGAAGATTGAACAAGAATTATGCTGTTTATAGATGTCGGCAATATATTCTAAATCAAAATTGCTGTTATTAAATAAGTTATATTGAATGAATAATTGGACCAAAATTTCGTTGTTTAATATTGTCAAATCAACAAAGTCATACCAATCAAATGGAATTTCAATATTTTGGTAATTATTATTTATTAGATTTAATTTGATGTAATTTAAGTAAACCCCTAGTGTCATTCTATAATCAAATTTGTCGAAAATCAACGGTAAGTATCTATTTTGATTATTATTTTGATTATTATTTTGATCATTATTTTGATCATTATTTTGATTATCATTGTTATTACTAGCGTTTAGTTGAAAATTCTTGATGAAATAATGAGGTATTTTGGTCTTTGTTTTGTTATGATTGATATAATTGGCTAAACTTTTTATTGAATTTTGGATATTGGGTTTACTTTCAATTAATAGATTGATTTTGTCGTTCCAAGATAAATCCAGATTAATATTATTATTGAATATTTTATAGTATAACATGTCAGATATTGGTTTTTTCAATAATTGGTTATTATTGCTATCAAAATTTTCATCGATATGTTCTTGGTCATAATCATCATCAATGAAAGAAGAACCAGAAGTGATTGTTTCATTGGTTATATAGCTTTCAGCATATTTTGAGATTTTATCATTAACAATGTATATTTTGGTTGTCAATTTGAAGATTGTTGAATAATTCAAAAACAATAAGACCCATAGAACCAAAATATATATAATCGCCGATGGTTTTCTGATTAATTGTTTGAATATGAAAATTTTTTTAAGCAACATTATCGACTGTCTAATTTCTAGTATACTACTACTGGAGAAAATACAAAATAAGCTGAAGAGATCAACGTTAGAATGGGAGTCTACAAAAATATATAAAAAATCAAAAGAAACACTAATGTTGCTGTATACCCAACCTTAAAGTGGCTTGGACAAACGCCAATCTTAAGCCCAACAGCATTCTAGATGTTTACCCATACTAAACTCGGCGATTGCACGGCAAACAAGCCTGTTCGGCTTTTAAAGATGCAGTACAAAGCTTGTTATTTATAGTCTCAAACACGGCCGGGTAAGTATCTACTGGAACACCGGCGAAGAAATTCAGAAACGACTCAAGCACCTCGGCACGTGAAACGCCGGTTGTTTTTCTTTTTTGGGGAAGTCAAATAAATGTGTGGGTGTTTTTACTCAAACCAGTAAAAGGTGCACTCAGTCCAATCACCAAATCCGCTGTTCAACTCAACAAGGATTTTGCATGGATAGTTTTGTTGGAAAGAAGTTAAATTTTCACCAGTTTAAACCTTTAAAGAATCAGATTTAGTGATTTAAAGTTATTATAATCAGTACAATATATCAATTAAAATCCTTATTACTGATAGCAGTATTACAGTTTTCTGCAAAGAGTTGTTTATTGTTTAGATACTGATTTTGATAGGGTTAGTTTTATTGCTAGTCCCCAGCTTTTTACTTTGTTATTTAAGAGAAATCAAAGAACAGCTTCATATAAAGATTTTTTTTTTTTCCTTGATTTAAAAACCTAGATAAATTAAAAAAAAATATAACTATTTAAATAGTTTTTACAATGACATACTCTGAAATTTTTATAGCCAGTGTTCTCACACTCAGTGCATCTATTGCTGCTTACGTATTGGTAGTCTCACCAAAAGAACGCAAAGTTCTCAAGAAAGATGAATTTCAAGAATTTCCATTGATTCAAAAAACTATATTATCTCATAATTCAGGAATATACAGGTTTGGTTTACCACGTCCAAATGACACACTAGGATTACCAATTGGCCAACATATTTCTATCGGAGCTAACATTAATGGCAAAGAAATCGTTAGATCGTATACTCCAACTTCGTTAGATTCAGATTCCAAGGGATATTTTGACTTGTTGATTAAAGCTTATCCAAATGGTAACATTTCCAAATTAATCGCCAATTTAGATATTGGTGAAACTATTAAAGTCAAAGGTCCCAAGGGTTTTTTCGTTTACACTCCAAATATGGTCAAGTCATTTGGAATGGTTGCAGGTGGAACTGGTATAACCCCAATGTATCAAATTATCAAGGCCATCATAGCAAACCCTGATGATAACACTACTGTTTCATTAATTTATGGAAACGTTAACGAAGAAGATATTTTACTAAGATCAGAATTAGACAAAATTACAAAAGAACATTCAAATATTAAAGTCTTTTATGTTTTGGATAATCCTCCTAAGAATTGGAATGGAGGTTCAGGTTATATCACTCCTGATATTTTGAAAGCTCATTTACCTGCTGCATCTCTAGATTCTCAGCTATTAATCTGTGGTCCACCTCCAATGGTTAGTGCAATCAAGAGAGCTGGTGTTGATCTTGGGTTTTCTAAAGCTAAACCAGTTTCTAAATTAGGTGATCAAACTTTTGTCTTTTAAATCAAACAAAAACAATAGAAAAAAAAATCAAAAAAAAATAGAAGATCAAAGGGAAAATCAAGGTATAATCAAGGTAAAATTAGAGGTATTTATATATATAAATTGATATATAGATATATTCTTAGTTATTATTCATTCTTTATGGTTCAATTTTATATTCATGTTTAAGGTTATTATTTATAAAAAAATTTGTAGTTTTTATATTCAATGAATAGTAACAAAAAAAAATAAGTTTTGGAATATTGCAATTGTGTGACTGTATTAATCAGAACAAGATGGTTACTCAATAAAAAAAAAATCATCTATCTCATTATGGAAACAGAAAAGAAAAAAAGCAGATTTTCTGTATGTGACCAAGGGATCTCAACTTTGACAATTTTTAAAGACAGAGCTATGTTTCTTCTATAAAGACGTTGGAATGGTGCCAATTAATCAGCAGAAAAGGCATCAAAGCTCAGAAACAAAAAAGAAAAGACTCTCTCATTGGTAAATGGGATTCCAACATGGAGAAAGTTCTGAGTAGTGATCAGAATCTGGATTATAGCTCCTCTTGAGTTCAACGGGTGTGAATAAGCAGCAACTATTCGTGTGGCAACACTCAAAAGTCAAATTTAGTGCGTTGGATGATTGAATATAATACGTTCTCGCAATTTCATGGGCTTTAGCAGAAACTGTTGCTGGAACTGTCTGCAGTGAAGGTCCTAGCAGAAAATAGCTTTTTGATCTTCTAGCAAGCTCCAGGCTACAAAATACAAAATGCAAAAGAAAAGATAAAAAAAACAAAAAGGGAGATGGAATGAAAATGCAAATGAAAATGCAAAATAGGTAAAGCAAAAGAAATCGAAAAAAACTAATAAACGTCGGATATTGCTTTTCCATTAATTTGCAGAACCAAAACTCAGTATGGATTTAGTAAAATGGATAAACAGCTCAGTAAGAGAATATCAAGATTAAGTCCCGTAATATTTTTTATCGATAAGATCAGCTTCAAGCTCTATTGTGCACATTAATTTTTAAACAAGATTTTACAAGACTTTACAAGAAATGACAAGAAATTGCTGATCTCTTGATATTGTTTGGAGCTGAGGAAATAAAAACAAAAATCCATAGTGAAATTACCTTCAAATTGCTTCTGGTGGAAAACAACAAATCTGTGATCTGATTTTAAAATTCCAGAACATTAATTTATTTCGCTGTGAGCCGTTAAGGGTTTTAGACAAAACCATTAAGTCGCTAGTCTTGAGCAGTAATTCCACATTGGTTTCTAAAGTGTAAGCTTTCCCAACTATAGTACTGTGTTTGGTTGCTATTAATGGTAGGATCGTTAAAAAATATTCTCAATCACTCTTTTTTCAACTTTTAGCTTTAACAATTAATTTAATCTTCTTTTTTTTCAGGTTTTTTAGAAGGCAAAATTTTCAAATAATCATACTACTTTTCTGTTTTTTCTGCTTTTATTTCCTTTTATTAATGATTGAAAAGATTAAAACGATGGAAATGATAATTGCTCCTGCTTTTCTAAGTTTATCATTAGCCTATTGATTCTTTTGATATTAATTCATTGGTTGGTTCATTGGTTGGTGCCAAATTTAATTTTCAAAATATATTTCATTTGATTTTTTATTCATTTATTCATTAATTCATTTTTGATTCAATTTAAACTTCAATTTTGCAGTTTTTAAACAAATTCTAAATGGACTTTAAACGGATTTTAAACAAGCTCTAATCAAATCTGAATTAATTTTCTACTGAAAAATATCTCAATATAAAACAATGTAGACATATTGGAAATGAATTTCACCTTAAATCCATCACTTTATATCTCGTCCATAAATTTCTCAGTTTTATTTTTGATATAAATTATCCCAATAATCTTGCAATTTTTATTTAGTTTTCAAAACCAAAGAAAAAGAAAATCATTATTTCAGTCTTATTTATATTATTTTCTTAGCATCGATTATTTTGATAGTAATAATTTACTTCTAGTAGAATTTGCTCATATATAATCCGGGGTTTGAAAAAATACCAAGACTTATTAAAAATAAAAAATGCTTAAATTATTTATCTCTTTACTGGGATTATTCTTATTTTTCCTAATTAATCTTATCAATGCCGCTGAGGTCAAAAACTTTTATCTTAATGCTACATATGTTAATGTCAATTTAGATGGTAAATATGAAAGACAAGCAATTGGTTGTAATGATACCTATCCATGGCCAACTCTTGAAGCCAACAAAGGTGACAGAATCCAGCTTTGGTTAACCAATGGTTTGAACGACACAAACACCACTTTACATTTCCACGGTATTTGGCAAAATCACACCAACCAAATGGATGGTGGTGACATGATTTCCAATTGCCCAATTCCTCCAGGTGGAACTTTCATTTACAACTTCACTTTAGAGCAATCTGGTTTGTATTGGTATCACTCTCACACTGCCGGTCAATTTGCTGATGGTTTTAGAGCTCCATTTGTTATTCACGATAAGAATACAACTAGTGGTGAAGATGAATTTCCTTATGAATATGATGAAGAGGTTATCTTAACCATTTCTGATTGGTACCATCAAGATAATGTTGAATTAACAAAGGATTTCTTAGATCTTTATAACCCTACAGGCGCTGAACCAATCCCAGAGAGTTTATTAATTAATGAAGGTATGAATTTAACATGGAAAGTTGAGCCAAATAAAACCTATCTTGTTAGATTAGTTAACACTGGTGCTTTTGTCTCTCAAATCTTTTTTATTGAAGACCATCAATTGGAAGTTGTTGAGGTCGATGGTGTTTATGTTGAAAAAAACATTACTGATCACATCTATGTTACTTCTGCTCAAAGATACTCTTTCTTACTCCATACTAAGAATTCAACCGATAAAAACTTTGCTATTATGCAACTTTGTGATCAAGATATGTTAGATGTTCCAGGTAATTTAAACACCAATGAAACCAGTTATTTGATTTACAATGAAGATGCTGACTTGCCAACTGAAGCTTATATTTACGATTGGGAAGATTTCTTAGATGACTATTATTTGTCTCCATTAAGTGGGTCAGAATTATTGGAAGACCCTGATTACCAAATTGTTGTTGAAGTTACCATGAACAATTTAAACGATGGTAAAAACTATGCTTTTTTCAATAACTTGACATATGTTGCTCCAAAAGTGCCAACATTAATGACTCTTTTGAGTGCTGGTGAGTTAGCTACCGATGCAGCAATCTATGGGTCAAACACCAATACATTTGTTCTTCAACATAACGAAGTTATTGAGCTTGTTCTCAACAACGCTGATGCCGGTAAACATCCATTCCACATGCATGGACATCATTTCCAACTAGTTCAAAGAGGACCTGATTACACTGATGAAACTGATCCAGTTCCATACGACGAAGAAAATGCAGATGAATTTAGAGACGTTCCACTTTCAAGAGACACTGTATTTGTTCGTCCTAATTCTTACATTGTTCTTAGATTTAAAGCAGACAATCCAGGTGTTTGGATTTTCCACTGTCATATTGAATGGCATATGATCCAAGGGTTGTCTTTGATTTTGGTTGAGGCCCCATTGCAGGTTCAAAAGGATGAGGGACAACAACTTACAGAGAACCATATCAGTATTTGTGAAGCTGCTGGTGTTTTGCCTTCAGGTAATGCTGCTGCCAATACCGAAGATTTTTTTGATCTAACCAATGAAAACGTTCAAGTAAAGGACTTACCAAGCGGGTTTACTGGCAGAGGTATTGTTGCTTTGGTCTTTTCATGTATTGCTGGTATTTTGGGTATTATAGTTCTTGGTATCTACGGTTTGCTGCCAATCAATGAAAAGAAAGTTATTGAAGATTTTGGTGTTGAAAGTATTGAGTTGGATGAAACATCAAGTAATGATGTTCAACCCAATACAAAATCTAGCACGTCTTTATGATTATAAGATTAGATGGGATTTAATTATTGATAATCAATAGTTAGCGCTAATTTTTCTGTTTTTTTTTCTGTTTATTGTTAATTTTTTTGTATTCTTGTTTATCTGTTTTTACATGTTTATCTAATGATTAATTGTTTTTATTTTGTATTTGCTTTGTATTTGTATTTGTGTTTTATTTTTATTATTTTCTATCTATTATCTTCTATCTAATATTTTAATGGATATGTATATTGATCTTCATGTCAGAAAAGGAGGGCTCTAGAGTTAGGGCTATCCCAAAGCAGTAATATTTAAAACGGAGGTGAGTGAAAGGTATTTGTGTTGCCCAATCAGATGCGATATCGTCTATTTAATGAAAGCGGAAAGTAAACAACATATTTAAGAGTAGAAGTGATAATCAATTGATTGAATTAGAATTGAATTGTATTATGTTGCATTGTGTTGTATGGTATTGTTTTTGTTACCAAACTTTGAATAACCCCCCTGTATTTGTAGTGTGAATGAAATGCATTCTTTGTGATGATCGTCTTGTTGAAAGGGAAAAGAATTAGGATTATTTTTATAGGAATAACATAGCATGGTTTATCATTTTTTTTTTAATTTTTTTTTGAGGAATGCATTCTTGAATGAGAAGTATAAAGGGTTTAGTTTTATTAAATTTTAGAATTAACCATGGTGAGATTAAAGTGTAAATAGCATTTTATCCTTTCTAGTAATTACAGACGTTTTGGGGAATATTATAATTGGTGGTAGTTTACTATATCGAATGATGTCTCTTATCAAATATGAAAATACAATATATGAGTGAGTGAGTGAGTGAGTGAGTGAATTGAATGAGATGATCATAGTGTGGTTTGATGAAATTCATGATAATTAGATAATTTAAAGAAAGGAAAAAAAAAAAAAGGATTAGCAATAATAGCCATGATTAGCCATGATAAAGAGTAAAAAATTTGGATTTGGATTTGAATTTGAATTTGGATTTACATTTACATTTACATTTAAAGATAATTAATGTTAGTGAGTGTTAGTGCTTTGATATTTTTTAGATTTCAATTTTAAATGGTTATTTGGGTGAAACGACTAAAAAAGGGAATTTTTGATATATTGATAAGATTGGGAAATAAATAAAGAGGTGATATAAACAGAGGTGAGTAGAGTGATTTAGTGACAAGTAGTGTCTCAGTGAAAGATGAAATAGAGGATTAATATTAAATATTTATAAATATAACTATGTAAGGTATATTATTTTTTAAAATTATTTTGGGATTATTTCATTTCAAATGATTTAGTTTACTTTAGTGAATTTAAATAATTTTATTACAGTTTTTTTGAGTGAGGATAGTTTTTAAGTTTATTGATAGTCAAATTTAGAAAACGAGACCCCAATATTAGATAAAGGGTTTATTTTGTTACATAATCAAGAGGTTTTATCAGCACGTGATATCTGTGATATCCGAGGGAAGAATGAAAATTTCATGAAAATTAATTAGGATGGTGTTGAGTACATTTGAAGGCTATTTATAAGAGGATGATAGAATAAAAAGGAAAAAAAATGAAAAAAAAAATGAAAAAAAAATGAAAAGAAAATAAGAAAAATTTTAAAAGTAAAGGATAAAAAAAACAACTGAGAAGCCAAAAAAAATAATCAAATCCAATGAAATGAAATAATTAAATAAGAGGTAAGTGGGTAAGTGATTGAAAGAAGAATATTGATTTCTTTGTAGATTATAATTCAATAGTTGAACATGAGAAGGAGTGAGTAGTTGTAGTAAATATGTTTATTTATTTATTGAAATATGAAATAAAATAATTATAGTTATAGTTATTTTAAAGATTCGACGGAGGAGAGAATCAATTGAGCAAAATCAGCTTTTGGATCATCTAGGTTGATATTTGATAATTGGGGAGATTGTGCGGTTGATTGTAGGGGTTGTTGTTTCGATTTGATGTAGGCGTCTTTTGCTTGTTGAATTAATTTTTCTTGTTTAGCATAGTCATGATCAGCTTTTGATTTTGCGGCAGTATTTTGGAGAGATCTGTCGTGGGTAAAACCGTAGAGGATGCCAGCACCTAGGACCGAGTATCTGAGAACACTTAGAGTTGACATTTAGATTAGGATTGGGATTGGGATTAGGAGAGTAGATTGGGAGGAATTAAAAGAAGGAAAAAGAAGGTGGTAGTAATGATTATGGCGATGATTATAAGAGGATGAAAATGAGAGAAGAAAAGGTTGAGAAATAAAATTGAGAACGAACGATTCTTAAAACGGCTATTGGTTGAAAAGGAAAGCAAAGCGGCCGGTGACGGGAGGAAGTGAAAAGAGAGTGAAGAGCGCGAGTGTTCGGGCGTAGGAAAAACACAAGTAAAGTAATAACACGTGTAAGACAATTACGTAATATTACGTAATATTATAATAATAGTTTGTTATTATTTTTTTGTTGAGTGAGGTTAATAAGGGAATAAAAGAAGTAAAAAAAATATGTAGATATAGAAGAGATAAATTTGACAGCTTCCGAAAATGAGATTGAAACCACTTCGTCTAATTAAAAAATAAATTATAAATTTTAAAAGCAAAGATAAAAGATAAAAGACAAAAGACAAAAGAGATTACTGGTAAATTAGAATCGTAAATACCAACAGAAGATTAGAAATCAGTCATTAATTAGCAGGACAGGAATAGAAAAGTATATAAATTCGTATGTTAAGAAGAGATTTAGAGCTAAAAAAACGAGAGTGGTAAGGATATGGGATGTATAAATTAGGAATATTGTAGGAATGGGTTTGGATAATAGGAGACAAGGCGAAAGATTTACTAAAGATTAATAATGAATTTTAAAGATTGAAAGATATTATTTATAGCTATAGAATTACGACTCTTTTTTTATTTATTTTTGTTTTTTAATTAAGGATGAAAGTAAATGGAAATGAGCAGGAGTCGAAGTAGGAGAAAGAACACGAGAAAAGAGGAAAGGAAATGTAGGATGATTCATTAGAATTAGAGAAAATGGAAAACGAAATGAAACTAAAAGTAAAACAAAACCCAAGATAAAGAGAAAAGAGCTAAAAACCCAAGAAAATAATGATCAAAAAAGAAATAGAATTAGGCAAGTTACAAAATTTTTTTTCAATTACAGGAAAGCTAAGAGTAAAAAAAAACCAAACGAAAAACGAAAAAAAAGTTAGGAGCTGAGATTAAATGTAACATAAGAATGGGAAGAAGTATGGAATTGAATGATATAATAACAGATAATGTGGATGATGAAACGACTGAACGAAGATAAAAAGTAGAGAAAAAAGGACTAAAAACGCACGAAACAAGAGAAAGGCAAACAATCGAGACGAAGATAAAAGAGAGATATTTTGTAAGAAATTAAATATTATTTGGATGTTTATATGATTACAAGATTACAAGATTACAAGATTAAAAGATTACAAGTTGTTATGTTTGTATGATTTTATGATTTTATGATTTTATGTAGCTATGATTTAATATTTACGAAAATAAAAGGTGAGTGTAGCGTAATAAACGTAGTGAGCGAGGTGAGCGAAGTTTTAGAGGTTTGTCAAGTTGAGTGAAGGTATTAAAGTGACTCTAAAAGACGAAAATTAACTTCCATCTTAGGATCAAGTGGTATGAATCATAAATTGAAGTAGAGTAGGAGCTAAAAAAGGGCTGTTGAGGGCTATTAAGGGGAGAGGATGGGAACTGGAGAAAAAGAAGAACAAAGGGCGAGCATGGAAAGAGAAACGGAGGGAGGAAGCGCAGCAGGGTATATCTACAAAGGATATCGAAGGAAGAGAGAACGGTATCTTTTTGCGCGACAGCGGTTGAGTGTTTACTAGCGACGGTGGAAAACAATCAAATAATAAAACACATTTGAAAGAAGCTAATCTGCTAAATTCTCGAGCACCACAATTGACATATTTTTAAAGGACTGGGTCGGTTTGCAGCGGCGAGCGCGAGCGCTGATTGGGCGGACGGGACGGTTGTTGCGGGTGACCCCCAGCGCGGCCCCGCAACGCACCGAGCGGGAATTTGGCGCAGCGCAGAAGGAGTCACGGGCACTTATTCGCAGCGTGCGCGCGCCTTTTGCGCTGTGGTGCCGGATTGGGCAAGAGGTAAACAGAAACCAGCGCTGGGATGTGTCTGCAGGCGGACGCATCATGCGGCGGGCAGAGAAAACGACTCTTCTCGGTGAGACGCTCTGGAATCCTCTGTCGCTCTCCTGGATTCCCTGGGTGGATTCTCTGGAGTGGATTCTCTGATTCTGCTTGGGCATTTCCTGCCTGAGCTTCAGCTGTTGTTCTGCCTCCAGCTCCAGCTCCCTCGTCCTATATAACTGCAGCTCTCTAGCCGTCGCCATTTCAGCTCTCTCCCAACACTCCCATCCCATCCCACTACACATCCCACTATCTCATACCATACCATACTACACTACACTCCTCCTCTGCCTCTGTACTCTATCCAGGTCTATTTAAATCCTTTCATCTCTCCCTTCAACAGCCCTTTGCCTCACTTACTCTTCTCTTCTCTCTTACGTCTTTACCTTGCTCATACCATACTCATATCACTAAAGGGTTACTTCCACATCTACTAAATCCAGAGAAAAATTTTACTGCTCTCTCTTTGGCTGCCAGAATCCTTTTCAATTTATCTTGTTTCTTCCTTAATTCCAAAAATTTTAATTCTTTATTCAGCTAATTAGATTTAATTTTGTTTAGTTTTATTTAATTTTATTTAATATTATTTAATATTATTCCAATTTTACTTTAATTTCAAACAAAATTAAAACAATTCAAGATTAAATTTCTAAATTAATTATTAACTTAATTAATTTTATAACCTAATAATAATCATTTCATTTCATACGTTTTATTCTACTCTACTCTATTCTGTTCTAGTTTTTTTCCATTCATATTGCTCTCTTAATCTCTCACTCACTAGGTTATTTATTTTCATTTACTTCTCTCTCTTTTACTATTATTATTCTTTTTCCACCTCCATTTAAAAAGAACCCAACAATAAATCCACAGCTCACAATTATCTAGCTCTTTTCCATTTCATCCTACTTGAAATCAAATTTCATTCTTCATTTTTCTTCATTCATCACCATCTTTTTTCTTTTCTTTTCTTTTCTTTTCTTTTCTTTATTTATCTTTATCCCCTTTAAGAACAACCAATCTATCTACTCCATCCACTTGCCTACTCAAAACAATCCACAAGCTCCATCCTCTATTCTCCATCATCCATCCTCCTTTTTTCTTGTCTTTTTGAGTTACTTGTCCACAAACTAACCATCCAATTAATCAACTTATATGTCCAATTATCTCTTATAATCAATCCTCACCTATACACTTCTACACTTCTTACTATCTTCTACAATCTTCCTCCAAAATGTCCCAAAGATCAAAAGACAACTCCAACTTCTACCCAAAACAATTGATCGAATCGGAAATAACCGCCCACAAATATGCCATCAACGAATATCAAAAGGACCTCTCCTACAACCTTTTTCAAATGGCAAACTCCTTGAAACCTGACATAAACCTCATCAAACTCCAACCAGAGCTAAATCTAAAACTCAGAGTCGTCCTCCTCAACTTCCTCTTCAAAATCGCCATCAAAATCAAAGTTTCCACCGGCATCTACTACAAAGCCGTCAAACTCTTCGACAGATACTGCTCGAAGAGAATCGTCCTCAAATCCCAAGCACAGCTCGTCATCTGCACTGCCCTATGGATAGCTGCAAAGGTCTCGGGCGGCTGCAACCACATTATAAACTCCATAAACCTCCCCACAGGCAACAGATACATCGGCCCCTCCAAAAGAGCAAGAATCCCAAAACTAATAGAATTCGTTCAACTATGTGGCCCAGACTGCCACTACGACACTGGCATGTTCATCCAAATGGAAAGACATATCTTAACAACCCTCAACTGGGACGTCACTGAACCCTCGGTTTACAACTGGTGCTTCAGCCTAGTCGACTACCAGTTCATCGACAACCCTTCAACTGAAATCTCCATCGACTTTAAAAAAGTAGCCATCATCAAAAACTTCCTAGTCGACGTCAGCTCCTTTTCAAACAAATTCATAATGATCGATCAGTCCGACCTAGGCTGCCTAATCAAAAAACTCCTTGTTATCCTAATCCTCAATGATGAAAACCACTTTAACATTGCTGAAGAAAACTTGCAAAGAATCCTAAATGACAACAGAGTAGAAAACTACTCAAACAATTTTAACTCATCCTCAAACTCCCCTCAAAATATCTCTTCCAATTCCCCAAATCTACCTCTACTCAACAACGACCATCTCATCAACATCAACACAATCAACAATCGCGACGAAGATTTCAATACTGAATACGCCAATGAACTACTATACAGCATTGCTACCATTTCAAATGACGTCTACAAAACTTACATTTCCTCTGATCATCCTGAAATTAACGAAATAATAACTAAAATTTATAAAGTTGCCGTCTCTCACATCATGGCGCTTAAAGACGAAAAGGCCAACAAACGTAGAAACTATGATGAACAAACAAATTCAAACAATAACCCCAACACTAATTACAACAACAGCAGCAACAACAACAACCCTAACAACAACCACAATCCCAATAACATTAACAACATCAACAACATCAATCACAATTCCAATCCGATTACTAATAATATTAACAACAATAACATTAATAATATTAACCCTATCAACAATATCAACATAACTCCCCCAGGCTACAACTCTCCCTCAAACGAATACTACAACTATTTATCAACTCCACCAAGAAGAGCTGTATCTTACTCTATAGCCCCAAGGAGCCCTAGCATAAAATCCTCCATTTCAACTAGCAGCGATTACTCTGATGTTGAAAGTTATAGAACCTCAAGATCTGTCAGCACTTCAAGTTCCTCCATCTTTTCCACCTCCTCTGTCAATAGTTTCCGTAAAAATTCAAATCCATTAATCCTAAGCTCAGGCTCAAATTTATCAATTTCATCCACAAACACTTCTCCAATGCCTTCACCTTTACATAAAAACTATTCTCAAAGCAATAACACTAACACTAACACTAACAATAATAATAATAACATTAACACCAATTCAATAACTAACAACAACTCCAATAATATAAACTATAACAATATAATGATAATTAATAACCAAAATATAAATTCAATTCAACACGGCGCCTCAAACATTATGATGAACTCCAATAATAATATCAACGTTAATGCCGCTACTAATAACAATTCAAATATAAACTCTAATAACTTATCCAATATAGGTGTTACACATTTCAAAAATAATGACATTATGATGATGGGAATTCCAGGCAAAAGCACAGATCTACCGATGCGTCTTTCAAAGAGTAACGGCTCATTGTCTTCAAAGTACAATTCCCAATCTCACTTGCAATCCCAAATCTCCTCTCAAAATCCAAATCAATTACAATCACAGCAAATTCATAGAAGTAGTTATAGTATAAAAAATTCCTATCCACATTCTAGGGTTAAAAACTGGGCATGATAATTTGATATTAATATAAATGTTATAGTATAGTTTAAAGTTAATTCAAAGTAAAAAAAATAAAAAAAGTACAAAAAAAAAAGATAAAATATTAAAAAATCCGAAAAAAAAATTATCAAAAATTTTAAAAAACTACAAAAAAAACTACAAAAAGATACATAAATTTTAAAACAAATGGATAGAAATTTTTATTTTTAATGCTTTTTCAATTAATTTTTGTTTTTATAAAAGTAATTTTTTATCATATCTTTAAAGCTTTTTTTTTTACCAAAAGATTTTTATTGTTTTTTTTTACTATTATATTTTTTTTAATAATATTTGAATAATTTATATCTTCATCATTTAGTCATTCCTTCATCAAATCCAATTTTAATTCAGATTCTAATTCAAAGTTTATTACATTAATTTTTAATTTTTAGTTTTTAATTTCTAATTTCCAATTTTCTAGTATTCTACTCTTTGTTTTTGTTTTTGTTTTTGTGTCTGTTTTTGTTTTTGTTTTATTGTTTCTCAATCGATTATTTTTTAGAGCATATATTTTAATTCACTTATTCAATTTTTACTCTTAGTTTTCTGTTATTTAGTTACCAGTTGCTTCTTAAAAGCTGAAATTCAATGAATAGTTTGCATTCGACTCGCTGTTTACATTTCCCCCAATGCAGAAATAGCCTTAGGGCTCTATATCAGGGCTCTATAATTCCAGGGCTATAACAGGTCAGGTGACTACTGTTTTAATTTTGCCAGAATCTCGCACTTTTTATTCTGCGATGGTTTCACAGTATAAGTATCACTATCTGAGAGATAAGGCTTGTGTTGAGTAAACTAGTTACATTGGGTATATTGATATATTAAGCATCTTAGATATAAATATAGAATAGAGGGCTTCTTTTTCTTCTTGAGTTTTTTCTTTGTTACTGCTGATTATTTAATCTTGCTGTGTTCTTGTTTTGGTACTAATTAACCATTCACCGATTCCTGGATTACTGGATTACTGGATTACTGGTTATAGACTCTTTTTTTTGAACAACAACCATTTATAGCAATACCTTAATTAAAATAATATAGAAGTGCTGTGCTTGTTTAGTTTCATATTCATCCCTATTTATTTGGATATTCTCTTCTGATTTCTTATCTTTTTTCCTTATATTCATTACTTCTTTTTTAACAATATTGTATTACTTTACTTTTTATCTTTATCTTTATTTATTTATTTTTCTTAATATTTTTGGCATTTTAATTGTAATCTCAGTCTCGTTTTTATTTTCATTTTATCCTGTTTTATCTCACCTTATTTAATTTTTGATTACTTTACCAAATGAGTTCATTATCTTTTTCATGGGGTTTCCAACCAAACCTAAAAGCTGACAATACTAGTGCAAATACCAATAAAAATAATAACAATAATAATACCAGTAATAATAATAATAATAATAATAATAACAATAATAATACCAGTAATAATAATAATAATAATAATAATAATAATAATAATAATAATAATAATAATAATAATAATAATAATAATAATAATAATAATAATACCAATCCCAATAAAATTAATAAATCAATTAGTATTAAATCCAAGGTTAATAATGGTATTACTAATATTAATTCAAAAAAGTCTATTAATAAGTTGAAGAGAAAAAATCACTTTAATGATGAAAATAATTATAACCATCTTAGTAATAATAACATTAATAATAACCGTGTTGGAAAACCATTAAAATCATCAACGAATTCAGGTTCTATAAAACGAATCCGTCAATCAAATTCAATTATAAAGGGTAAACAATTGCCATTACAAAGATTGATAAATGTCTTGGATAAAGAACAATTATGTACTTTAGTCAATAAATTGATTCAAGAAAAACCAGAGCTAAATGAGATTGTTTTAAAAAAAACATATAGTTTAAAATTAATACCGGGAATTGAAAATTCATTAAAATATCTTGAAAACTATTTAAATGGTAAAATTTTAAAAAATTTACCATACAAGGATGATATTGAAAGTGAATATTCATTTTTAAGAATTGAAAAAAATTTGATTGAATTTTATAATATATTAAGTGATTTCTTACTAAGTTTTTTACCTCCAATTGAAATTTCGTTTAAAAATTCAATTTTCTTTATTAATGGAGTCACAAATATTATTCATAATTTGCCAAATTTTAAAATTAGTCAATACAATTTATATCATAAATCTAATATTTACAATCAACTATCTGATGCTTGGTTATCTATATTAAAAACATATCTTTCTAATGAGAGAAATGAAGGTGATAGTAATAATAATAATAATAATAATAATAATTTTAATAATCTTAATAATCTTAATAGTCTCGATATGAGCTCTTCAATTCAAATTCAAAATCCAAATCATAATATTAATTATTCAAATCAAGTTGAATTTGGGAATTTTGATGGATCGAGCAATCATTACAATGATAGTAGCTATATTAATAATAGTAATGACCAACTTTTGACATTTGAAGATGAATTAAATAAATTAAATAATAGCAACAAAAATAATAATTGCAATATTAATTTGCTCTATCTTCTTGAAAACAACTGGGACAAGCTATTAAATGAACACAAGAGCAAATTAAATCAAAATAATTTCAATTCATTTGATAAGGTTTTGGAATACTTAAATAAAAAAATCAATGACTATAATAACTCCCTAAAGCCTTTTAATTCGATTATCATGGAGACTCCCTTAAATTTAAATTCAACACCAAGTCCAAAGAGATTTTTATCCAACAATAATTTCTCGCTGAACAACAGTCCATTCACCAGATTGCAAGTCAATTCGCCAATAATCCAAGATTCGTTCAGATGAAATCAATATTATAGAAACCCAATTTCTTTTTCTCTTCTTTTTCTTTCTTTTTTTCCTTTTTCTTTTCCTTTTTTTTCTTTTACAGTCATTTTTAAACCCACATATCTATCCCGTTGACTGACTATAGCTAATATATTTGTTGCCTTATATCTCTGTCTGCCTCTCTATATATTTGGCCTATACAATACACACCAAATTGCTCCTTGTCCAAATCTCGCCAGCTCTCGAGTGCTGTTTCCCTCTTCAGCCGTGGTTAAATGCCGAAACACAGCTTTAGTGGAACGCAAAAAGCAATTGCCGTGAGCCTTTCTCACCGCCGCTCATCTGCAACATTAGCGCGCGTAGTCGCAGAATAAAGCGTAATAAGGCGGTAATAAACAGCTCTCGCGCACGCGGTCGTGGCGGAGTTCCACGCGCAAAACTGAGCAAAGCCTGTGAGAGCATGAAAAAGCTCTTAGCTGGAATTGCTGTATCAGTGCTTTATCTTTTCTTCTTCCTCTGCTTCACCAAAATGTGTCCAATTGTTCTCTTTGGCTGTATGTTTTCTCAAGTTTGTTGCACTAGTCGCCGTGGGCCCTAATAGTTTTGTACTGAAAATACTAACTTGTTTTGTCTTCGCACATTTCAAAATCCAGTCGATGCTTACGATAGTCCTGTTTCTGATCCTGAAATTTCTAATAAAAGGTTCATGTGTCCAAGATGCCATAACAATGCTGTTGGAGTAATAACCCACAAACGGTTCTTTTCGTTGTTTTTCGTTCCTTTGATTCCCTTGAAATGGGGCAAAAGATGCAAATGTTTCATCTGTGGCTACACTGCTGAGGTCAACAAGGACACCCTTACTAGAGTTAAACAAGGTGCTCCGTTGGTTCTATCGTGATCCCAATGATCCCAGTGATATTAGAAAATGAAGTGATCTCAGCAAGTTTTAATGGTGATACTGGTTGTGATCTCACACAGCACTTGCACAGCTCTAACTGGGGCCCATTCTCCCGTGCTCTTCTCTTATAGTGGCCTTGCAATGGTCCTGCCCTTTGTTTCCACTCATGTCTTCTCCTATATTTTTTGTGTTTTTATATCTTCTATATCTCTAATTCCTCTCTTAAATACTGCTAAACTTTTAATACCCTTCTTTAAGGCCTCTTTCTCTCTCTGTCCATTTCCTTCTTTGTGTCCGTTCCGAAAAGCCCTACTCTAGTCAGAAACAGGGCTCCAGCCTCGGTTCTCTTTGTTTTTCAGCTGTTTTTTAAAGTTTTTCCTTTCCAAAAAAAGAAAAAACTTCTTTGATCATTTTTAAATTAGGCAAATTTCTACTGTTGCTGACTTTTGTTGAATGAATTGCTAGGTCTTGAATTCTTTTTATCTTTTCATTCTGTGTTTATTGTTCTATTCTTCATTTGGAAAGGTTTCTCATGTACTGATATTATATATATTATATATATTATATAATGTTCACTCTAATTTGTTTTCAACATGTTTTTTCCTTAATTATTTTTTCCCTCCATAATAAAAGCGACCAATATCCAATTTCATTCTAATTCTCTTATCACTTGACAATCTCAACAAATATTCTAATCATTAATTAAGTAATTAATTAAATGTCTAGTCTTTTAATATTGCCCTCAGAAATAATTGAAATGATATTTGATCAGTTTTTCAGTTACTGTTCAAATGATATAATGTCCAAATTATCCTTATTATCATTATCAAAATTCAATGTCATCTCTCATCTAGCCTCTAAATTTTTATACAAAAATGTCATTTTAATATCCTGTTCAGTTAACCAAAATTATAGATTCAACCATTTAAATTTCAATTTATCAAATTTTGAAAGCTATCTTAAATTTGACAATAATTATAAACTTAATAAAATCGGTAAAAATTATAGCAAAAATAGGAGCATAAATAAAAGCATAAATAAGACTATAAATAAAAATAGAACAAAATCTAAAATAAAAACCAAAGCCAAAACAAATATATATCGAAATAAAAATGAAAAAAATATAAACATGTTGCCGGTATTGAATAAAATTAATCAGTTTACTGATAACATTTACATGAACTCGATAGATACCCTTCAAAATATCGATAGTACTTATAAAAATCATCTAAAATTAAACTATAAAAAGATAAAATATATCAAATTTAAAGAATGCTGCGATAATAGCATTTCAAATTCAATCAATGAGCTATCAACTTATGATTTTAATAAATTTAATTCTTTAAAGACTTTGTTATTAAGCCATGGCAGTTTACCTTCAAATATCGGTATAAATAATTTAAACTTGTATAATTTAAAAACTTTGAATTTAAATTTTAATAATATCTCCTCAATAAATCAATTCAATAACTTGCCGAATTTAAGAAGATTAAAACTATCAAATAATCAAATTTTTAAAATCGATGGTTTAAATAATTTATCAAACTTGAGACACTTGGACTTATCTCATCAAATTATTAAACATGAATTCTTATTACCTGAACTGTATTTAATCAATAAAATTGAAAATGTTAATCATTTGTCTAACTTAAGAGGCTTGAATTTATCTCAAAATGCAATTCAATCAATTGAAAATGTATATAATTTACCATATTTAAAATTCTTAGATTTATCAAATAATCTAATTCAATCGGATCTTAATTTCAGTTTAAATCTAAATAATTTGTCATCAAATTTAAACGTTCTATTACTCAATGGAAATTTAATTCAATCAATATCAAATGTATACTGGCAAAATTTTAAAAATTTGAAAAAATTAGATTTATCTCACAATAAAATTGTTGAAATACCTGAAAGTTTTAATTGTTTAACTAATTTAAATGAATTGTTTCTAGAAAATTGTGGTTTCAAAAATGGTTATGAAAATAGTTTAAATAATTTAAGCAATTTAAATAATCTAAAATTGTTAGTCTTATCAAATAATAAAATTGAAGTAATTGGCGATTTATTTGATTCAAGCAATAACAATTTACAGCTTTTAGATCTATCTTTTAATTGCATTCAAAGCATTGATTCACCTTTTAAAAAGTTGAGAAATTTGAAAAATTTAGATTTAAGTTATAACAAAATTAAACAAATAACTGGGTTTGATAATAATAATAATCTAATAAATTTAAATCTACAAAATAATTTTATAAACCATCTTGATAATTTAAAAAATTTGACTAAATTAACTAGATTAAATTTAATGAAAAATCATTTAACTTGTTTAAATCCGTTAAATTGTCTAATAAATTTACAAGAATTAAATTTACAGAAAAATAAAATAAGTGATATCAATGGTATGAGACTAAATAATCTTACCAAAATTGATCTTAGCCGTAATTTGATACGAAGCGTTAGTTTATTTGACACACAAGAATCCTTTTACTTTAATTTTAACAATTTTAATAACTATAATAAACCAAAATTTTCAAATTTAAAATCTATAAGATTAAATGAAAATAAAATTGAAAAAATTTCTATTAAAATTGATAATAATAAATTTACAAATTTAGAATTTATTGATTTATCACATAACCGAATTAAAAAAGAGAATAATTTACAAGTCAATATAGCTGTGAATAATGATATTAAATCACATTTAAAAATAAAACTTGATGGTAATCAATTATCAAAATACAAAATAATACCCAAAAACAACGTAAATAATGAGGTTGCACCATTGCCCTTATTTAATGGCTTAGTTTTGGGATTGTCTTGAGAGCTGCATTTTATATATAGTTGTTTGGTAAAATTTCTGGTAAATTTATACATTTTTTGTTTTTTGTTTTTTTTGTTACACATTTTTTTATCTCATACTTCTTATCTCATATTTTTCAACTCATATTTTTCATTTCTTATACTTTATATTTTATATTTTACATTTTAAATAGCATTTTGAACAAGTTCGAAAGGATATCATACTTTCCAAAATGAGACCGTAAATATGGATCAGTAAAAAATAAATGCGTAAACATTGCGTGACGTGTGCGTGCAGAAAAGAAACGTTTTTTTTTCGATTTGAAAAGATTTGTAACGATTAGTAAGATCAGAGACATTAAAAGGTATATAAATAATATAAATTATCAATTATCAATTATCGTGCTTATATCGTGCTTATATTGTACTTATTGTCATTATATTTGAAGCCATATTCAAGTCATATTAAAATCATAACTATACTTTTTTCATATTCTTACTATGTTTACTGGGTTAATTGAGCACATTGGAACAGTCTCGGAATACAACAAACTTGATGAATCAAGTTCTGGGGGAAATGGTGTTTCTTTAACAGTAACTGATGCTTTACCCATTTTAGTTGATGCCAAAATTGGAGACTCTATAGCGATAAATGGGACCTGTTTAACGGTGACTGAACTAATCAATGCGAGCACATTTAAAGTTGGAATTTCAAGCGAAACCATACGTAAAACCAACTTGGGAGAATTACATGAATCGTCAAAGGTGAATTTGGAAAGAGCTATGGACTCAGATGTCAGATTTGGCGGGCATATGGTTCAGGGCCATGTTGACACAATAGCCAAAATAGTCTCGAGAGAAAAGGAAGACAATTCGATAATATTCACATTTCAATTGAGGACTGAAGATGATGAAGAAAAAAAATTGGTCAATTATATTGTGAAGAAGGGGTTTATTTGTCTTGATGGAACCAGTCTCACTGTGACTGACGTAGACTACACCGATTACACCTTCAAAATCATGATGATCAAACACACACAGGAAAGAGTCATTATGCCACTAAAATCCATTGGGGACTATGTTAACGTCGAGGTGGACTTGGTGGGCAAGTTGATTGAGAGACAGATCGAAAACCAGCTTGAAAACCTCAACGAGAGCAGCCCCCTAGCAAAGTTCATTGTCTCGATTGTGGACAAGAGAATCAAGGAGCTTGTGCACTAGAACCAGAGCCCCCAGAGCAACGAGAACATCTCCAGGGTCGCCAGAGACACGATACACCAATAAACACCACTTCGAAGCAACCCAACGCTGCAAATTCGCGAAACTCTCCCAGCCGCCCTCGGGCTGCTATTATATGTGCCCTCGGATGTGTTTCCAGTTTCCCAACACCCAGCGCCGAAACACAAGCTCTGAGCTCCGGCGCCATTCCGGACGCGACTGGATTAAAACCCACAACATCAACAAAAGCTCGTTTTGCAGTATTTAATTCTGGTGTTTCAACCTAATTTGCTTCCTCAACATGCAACTTTCTACTCATCGCTATCTTTTTTTGGCTCCAGTTCTTTCTCTGTTTATAAATACTGGGTGGCTTCCTTCTTTTCGTCTGTTCTTCTTTTGTTTCTTCTCCTTTACCCTCGCCAAATGGACTCCTCTCTCCATGAAATGAACTACTCTAGATACTCCTCCCCCAACTCTCCATTAATGAGCAAGATCACCAATCCTGCTTCCACCACCTCAACAAATTCTCTTCCTTCAGACAATGGCAAGCCCTCTCTTCCACCTTCTCACCCTCCTGTTTCCTCCAACCAAGACGATTTTCTACAGTCTCCAACTTCCCAGAGAATTGCGGCCCTCAATCTTTTATCCCCAAAGCCTTCATCATCAAGCATGATACTTAAAATTTTATATTCCTTTAAGGACAATTCATCATCCTTTTTGGCCAGATCTTCCTCCACCATAAACATCAACTATCAGCATATTACTTTGAACAATGTTTCCATAACCTTGGGCCTAATCAATGTCAAAACTTGTATAGACTTGATTATAAATTCATCCCCTGAATTATTTCTTGATTTTACTAACTTGGACAATAACTATGTTACTAATAATAATATCAATAGTTTCAATAATTCTTCCAATAATATGATTACAAACGATTCTAACAACAATATAAACTCGAATATGAATTTGATTTCAATATCGAATGACTCCAATGTTCTTAAAAATAATTTTGACTATAACATATACATCTCAGATGTAACCGAGCCCAATGAACCCTTAGTAGGAATTGGCTTGTTGTCTAACATCTTGAATAACTCCATTAATTCTCAAGTCACGATGATACCTGGAAAGGTTTTAAACAGTTTTACTAGTCTTTCAAATACTTTCAAATTCGTGAAAACTTTAGAAATTAAATTACATTTCATAAAAATAAATAAAATAAATAAACTTAATATAAGTAACAGCATAAATAATAGTATAAATAATAGTATAAATAATAGTATAAATAATAGTATAAATAATAGTATAAATAATAGTATAAATAATAGTATAAATAATACTTATAACAACAACAACAGCAATAGTAACACCAATAGTAATGATAATAATCTAAATTTTAATGACCTTAATTTAAATAATTTACAAAATCTCAATTTTAACAATTTAAGTGACAATTCCACTTTTGTATTGCCGAATTTGCAATCTGATAATGATTTAAAGCAAAATAATTTTCTTGATGATTTCTTTGATATAGATTTTAATGAATTTCCTTTGGAATATTCTTTGGACACCACAAATATCAATGAAAATGATCTTAACTTGATCAATTCTACTAACATCGATACTGCAATTATAAATAACAACAATAATAATATAAACAATGCCAATAATAATACAAATAACAATAATAACATAAATAATAACATAAATAATAACATAAATAATATCATAAATAACAACAATGACAACGAAATAGAAAATAATGAAATCGAAAATAACCAAATTGAAAACAACGAAATTGACTTGGAAACAGATTTAATAAATAATGACAATGTCAATTATAATGATAATGATAATTACAATAACAATCAAAATGAAAATGAAAATGAAAATAATACAACTAATCCCAATTCAAATTCTAATATCAATATTAATATTAATGACACTGTTCAATCCAATCTAAATTCTAATACAAATTATCAAACCAATAATTCAAATCAAAAAAAATTTAAAATTCCAATAACAAAAAAAAATAGATTACCAAAATTGGCTTCTTTTGCTACTTCAAATCAAAACTATTTAGCATCTTCTCCAATAAAGATTAAACTAAAAATCAATAACAACAACAATAACAATAATAACAATAACAATCATAATAACAATCATAATAACAATAACAATCATAATCACAATCACAATACTAGTACTACTAATAGCGCCTATATTAACAATAATTTTAATAATCTTTACAACAAAAGAAATCCTAAAATTCAAAAAAGAATAACCAATCCTGCTCCTGCTCCTAAAGCTGTAAGAACCCAATCTTTACCTGTATATCAATCGGATTATTTATCTTTATACCCACCAAATTCCATCGCTAAAAGATTGAAAATGGCTGATTTAAACAATTCAAACTCTCTAAACGCTAGATTAAACGCCGTTAGAAATCCTTCTAATTTATCTAATTTATATAAAATCTCAAATACAAATGATGATATTGATACAAATAATGGCTCAAGTTTAACCTCGGGAATTAATATCGAATTACTTAAAAATGCTAAAAGAAGACCAAATTCCAAGAAAAGACTTTCTGTTGGTGGTAATACTAATAAAAGTCATAATAACAACAGCAATAATAGTGACAATAATAAAAGTTTTACCATTACAGCAAATTCTAATATAAATCTTGACAATACCAATAATAATGATAGAAATGACAGAAAACATAAAGGCAAAACGTCGTTAAAGCATTTAATTATTAAAGAAGAATTAGAATTTGAATCACCACCAGATTTACCAACATGCATTAATTGTAAGACTCATGAATCTAAACTATGGAGATGGTTTTACGGAGACAATGCATTGATGCTAAATGATCAGGGACTTTTATGCGATTTTTGCCACATATATCTAAAAGATTATAACAAAATGAGACCAATACCACTTCTTAATAATAAAAAGAAGAGAAAAACAATACCCAATGAAACAATTAAAAAAAAAAAGAGAAAGGCTTTAGGCACAAGCAAGATCGTTGAAAAGAAAATATGTGACATCAATTCATCACCATTGGCTTCGTCGACATCAGATTACTTTGAGGCTAATCAGGAAAGTGAATATAATATCAAAAAGTTACTAATGAAGCGATCACCCCACAAAAGTGGTTCATCACACTCAAAAAAAAAAGTGTTGGGCGAACTGAATCTAAACAAACTAAACATTGCCAGTAGCGAATGCAATTCAACAGAGGAAACCGAAAATGAAAATAAGGAAGATCCCAATAATCTCGACCATCTCAACAATCACAACGCCAACGATAGCAACACCAATGAAAACAAGGAAAATGACCAGGCTCAGGAGGAAGAGAAACCCAACCATCTCAACACCAAGCTCGACCTTCAGAATCCAGACACTGTTGAGTGTAACATCAACGACCTCGACCAGTTCAGCGACATCTTCAACTTGAACAACTTAAACAACTTGGATACCTACAACTACCTGCCATTGACAGACATTGATCCTGTTGATCCATTCAACAACCTAGAATAAATGCCCTAATTTAACCACCACTGCTTTTATTTCATTCATAATCTGCTCACAATTCATAATTTATTCATATTCCATGCTCTTGAGGCCCAGATTGCTGGTTATACCATCAGTACACAACTGCATTAGACTACATTAAATTACCTTAGACTACATTGGTGGTCATAAACACGTTTTGATGATTTTTGAGACCGTTATTTTGAGACCATTTATGCGGGTCTTCTTTTTTAGATTTTCCAGTGAAAAATTTTTCTTTCTTTTTTTACCTTTCTTTTCAAAGAGTATAAATTGCATAATCGACTCCAAAAAGTTATCACTGTAAAAATTTAGCTCCATCCACACTTGTTTACTCTGTTATAGACTCAATTCTCTTAAGCTTTTAGTACTGTCATGTCTCAAGGAACTCTCTACTACAGCGAAAAAACTCCTCGTGGTTCTTTTCCAAAGGCCTTAATTGATTACTTGAAAATCGATGTTGCTGCAAAGACCACCGATGCTCCAGAATTTGCTGCAAACTTCCCATTGAAAAAGATTCCAGCTTTCATTGGTCCCAAGGGTTTCAAATTAACTGAAGTCATTGCCATTATTCTTTACTTTGTCTCTTTATCGGATCCAAAATCTCCATTATTAGGTAAAAACTCACAAGAATACTGTCAAATTATTAGATGGTTATCTTTTATCAATTCCGATGTTATCTCTGAGATTACAAAGGCCATTATTCCATTATTCCCTCAATCTAGTGTCCCATACAACAAAAAGGCTGTTGACATTGCTAATGCCACTTCTGAAAGATATATCGATATTTTAGAAAAGAGACTTGCTGACTACACCTACTTAGTCTCTGAAAGAGTTACTTTGGCTGATTTATTTGTTGCTGCTGCTCTCACTTTCCCTTTTACTTTTATTTGGGGTAATGAATGGCTTGTTGCTCATCCAAATATCAGCAGATGGTGGAAAACTGTTATTCACCATCCAGCTTTAGAACCAATTTATGGTAACTTCAAACCAGTTGAAAAACCACTTGAATATGTTCCACCAAAGAAAGAAAAAAAACAAAAACAACAACAACAACAACAGCCTAAGAAACAAGAAAAGAAAGCTGAAAAACCACAAGCTGCTGTTGAACCACCTCAACAAACTAAAAAACCAAAACACCCATTAGAAGCCTTAGGTAAATCTACAATTCCATTAGATGAATGGAAACGTGTTTATTCTAATGAAGAAACTAGAGAAGCTGCTTTACCATACTTTTGGGACAAGTTTTTCAACCCTGAAGAATGGTCCTTATGGAAAGTTGGTTATAAATATAATGATGAATTGACTTTAACTTTCATGTCAAATAATTTGGTTGGTGGTTTTTTTAACAGATTATCTGGTTCCACCAAATTCTTATTTGGTTGTTTAGTTGTTTATGGTGAAAATAATGACAATGGTATTGTTGGTGCTTTCTTAGTTAGAGGTCAAGAGTTTCAACCAGCCTTTGATGTTGCTCCAGACTGGGAATCTTATAGTTATGAGAAATTAGATTCTTCCTTACCAGAAACTAAAGATTTCGTTAACAACATGTGGGCTTGGGATCAACCAGTTGTTGTTGCTGACAAAAATAGAGAAATTGCTGATGGTAAAGTCTTCAAATAAGCAATTTACAAGATTTAACAATTAAAAATAGAAACAAAATTAGAAATAAAAATGATAATGAAAATAAAAATATACGCTAGCTTGAAATTTATAATGTTATTAAATTCTTTTAAATAGAAATAAAATTTATGTAAAATATTTTTTGATTGATCTATATTTTTAAATGAAATGAAATGAAAAGTAAATAATAAAAAAAATTTTTGTCTAAAATACAAATTGTAATAAATAGTAATATAAATGAAGGTATGGATAAAAAAAATATCGTTAAAAGTCATTAAAGGATTTCTGGAATTTAGAATTTGTTTTTCTCAAATATGTTTGGATGATTTAGTTGATTACTTGAACTACTCAATGATCTTAAACTATCAGGAGTATTTATATAATTATCAAGTTTCTCATTCGAATGAGATATATCAAAAATTGAATTATCCGAATCTGAGTTATTTCCAGAATTTTGAGAATTTTGAGAATCATTTCCATGCAAATAAAACCCATAGCTATTGCTATTTGAATTATTATTATTGTCATTATTAATAATTCTTTGAGTGGTTAATTTTTTAATAACCTCATCTTTTTCAACAGAAAAAAACCAATCCATTTCTTCATCATATTGATACATTTCCCAGCTTAAACCGTAAGGTTTAGGTTCAAGAACATAAACCGAATGTTGAGGAATTTTTAAATCAGTTAAAAATTCTTTATCAAGATTCATAAAGTAAGCTAATAAGATTCTCAACACGATCTCATGAGAGATTACTAGAACGTGGTTTGACAATCTTTCCAATTCAATTATAAAGGGTCTTAATCTGTTAATCACATCTAGATGAGATTCACCATTATTGGGAAATCTATAATGTAATTTTTCATTAATGTTGTTGCTATTAAAGATTGAACAATATTTTTGATATTCTAGAGGAAATTTCGATTTAAATTGGTTTGGAGTTAAGCCGTTTAGTGAACCAAAGGATAGTTCATTTAATCTTTTACTTTGCTTGACTTGATAATTGTCAGTATCGTTTTCAAAAAAAGTTAAAGTTTCAATAGTTGGATTTAGCATTGAAGAAAAAACACTAAAGTTGAGAGGATTATCCACTTTAATATTTAATTTTTTCTTTGAAATTGAAATCGGATGGTGAGCAGTAGTTTTTGATTTAATTGTGGATAATAATTGGTCCTTTTTATCAAGAAAAGAATTTTTGAATTGATCTAATCTAAATTCTTTTTGCTTTTCATTTAAGAAACGAACTAAAGTCTTTGAATATTTTTTACCCAAGGGGGTTAAAGATGTATTTGTTTTGTTATCTGAGAGAGATTTATAGCCGATTATATTATATTTATCATCATAAGACTGAGCATGAGTTGATAACCAAATTTGTCTTGATTTTAAATTGAAATTCAATAGGTAAGAAACGATTTGGGAGGATAAAAAGCCAGATATGTTGTAGGATAAGATCTTTTTACCGGCGTTTATAATTTTAATATATTGCAAGCCGTTGTCAATATTTTCATAAAATTCTTCTTCATCATCATCTATTGTTTCATAAGCAGATTCGTAGTTTTTCAATCTTAGTTTGAAATCATTCAAGGCTAAGATTGGGTCTAAATTTGAGTAATCGGGACCAGATAGTTTTAAATTTATATTTCTTTCGAGAATAGAAGTATCAGTGCAGATACTCTCTAAAAAAAGAACTTTTAATGTTGAATTTGATTTATGTTTGATTCTTTGATAAACATGGTGTCTTCTTAATTTGGTGGTGTTGGTGGCATCGAAGATACCAACAGTGCCATTTTGGTTGATAAGATAATCCAACAAGTTGTCCAAAGTGTCCATTGCCCAATTTTCTCTCATTTCCAAGTACGATTTATTATTTGGATCAAAAATCTTTGAAGAATGATCAATTTCAAAATTATCATTATTATCATTATTATCATTATTATCATTATTATCATTGTTGTTGTAATGAGATTCAGGATGATTAAGAATCGGTTTTGTAAGAGGGTTTGAACCAGCTCCATGATTTTGTTTTGATGATCTTCTTTTGTTTCCAACATTAAAAATCTTGCAGTTGTATTGCAACCAGTTTAAATATCTTATCAATTTTTTTGTTATATAGGATTTTCCCCTAGCTGGTAAACCAACCATTACAATAACTAGTTTTGAATTCAAATCGTGAATATTGCCATGGGGATTTAATTTCGATTTGGTTTGGCCCGGAACATCGATTGTTGGGTTGTAATTATTTGAATTGTTTAGGTGATTCAAGTTCAAGGTATTTATCAAGTCATTTAATTTATTTAGATTTGTCAGATCAGTGAACTCGTTTAATTGATTTAAATGAGTAATAATATTCTCATTAATCATGTTGGTTATTAAATATTTATCAAGTACTATTTAAATGAATAATAAAGATAATAAAGATAAAGTGTTGAAGATAAAGAAGATCAAGAAGTTTCGAAAAGGATGGAGAAATAGAAAAAACCATGATTATTTTGTGAAATATATATGAGCTGATGATGAAATTAGGTGAATCATAATACTAATAAAGCAAATAAAAGCAAATGGGTTGAAAAATAATGAAAAATATGAAAATAAATGAAAATAAATGAAAAAATATGAATGAGATGATTAAATTTTTCAAATTAAATTAGGAACCGAGAGGATTTCCGTACGATTTCCATTGAGTTTTCATACTGTTTCCATTGAGTTTTCATACTGTTTCCATATTGATAAAGAGAGTTTGGATAATAATAGGAGCGTGAAGGAGAAGAAAGCGACAGCAAAAGAAAATAAGGATCATGAGGTGGAAAGAAACAAGAAAGAAAGTGCGCGAAAAAAAAGATGTGAAATGAGTCAACAGCACGCATGTTCCGAACAGACTGGGCTATAGTAGTGAAGTGGTGTTCCGCAGTAAGAAACACAACTTCATTAAGAGCTAAAAGCACTGAAAATGGGTAGTGGGATTTAGTAAGAAGAACGTGCGCAGATAAGCAAGCCATATGTCCGCTGAGGTCTGATAACGGGCGCCAGGAAGCGCGGATCCGTGGCTTTCCTGCCGTGTTACCGCGGGCTGCGGTCCGGGAGGAGAAGAGAGACAGAGAGAGGGAAAGAAGAAGGAGAAGCAGCAGAAGGAGGAGGAGGAAGACTGGTCATTTTCGGGAGCGGAGATGAGACGAGAGACGGAAGAGATTTTTCCGCTGAACGGATATCACGGGGTCTGCGGTGGCTAGAACCGGATTGGATTGTGGGAGAGTGTCGGCGTTTAAGGGAGCAGGAGAGAGGATGGTGGAGCCGGTGATATCACTGCTGGTGTTGGTAATGTCGTTGGCATTATCAACGGTGTTGTCATTGGTGTTGTTTTCGGTATTTTTGGTGTTGCCGTTGGTAGCGACGGTAGTGGTAGTTTTCTTGTTGCGATGAGGTGTAAATTTCTTTTTGATGTGAACCATAGAATGTTTGGAGGATGATGTTTTGGTTGATTGGGAATCCAGTTTTTCAACTATTTCATCATCATTGGTAATGGTATTGTTAGTGTTGTTAATTGGATTGATGCTCATTGGCTTAATTTCTGGATTTTTGTCTGCATCATTATTATTAGTAATATTCATTAGATCGAGAATTGATTTGAGATTTAAAAGATGATTGAAAGGAAGAGGATATGGAGAGTACTTCAAGTGTTTGAAATCATTTGAGGATGAGATTTTATAATCATTCCAGAACAAAAAGTGGATGTCTTCGATTTTTAAATTTTCTGGTGTATTGATATTATTAATAGTATCAATATTAGTGGTAAGTGAAAAGGAATTTAAGATGGAAATTATGGAGTAAATTAGAAAGATTAAGAATTCAATTAAATATAAGTTGATTGAATTTAATAGTTTAAACAATTTTAAATTAACATCTCTTAATTTAAAAGCCAAAATTATTGATAAGTTTAACAATTGGATTAAGATAATTAAAAGTGAATTTTTAAAAGAAGTACATTTTGTGATAAAAATAACAATTGGATTATGATCATTACTTTTATTTTGAATATTATTTTCATTCCTATTATCATCTTGGTAATCATTATTATTATTATTGTTGGTAATGTTAAAACTATTTTTTAACTCACCATTTTGAATTTGAATATAATGGTCAATTCCATTTCCAATTCCAATTTCATCATCATTTTCATTTTCATTTTCATTTTCTCCTTTATAAGCAGACAAATATTCATCGTGATGAATATTGAGTTTATTTATTTCTTTTAAATCAACTGTGTTATTAATTTCATTTGGGCTCGTTGGTTTGCATCTAAAACGATTCATGTCTCTGAAATCAATTTTTTTCATGTATCAGTTATTGGTCAAGTGTTTAAACGAAAATTCTAAATTCAAAAACAGGATGAAATTCTTTCAGGAATTATAAATGATAATATAATAAATAATAATAATAATTATTTCAATTGTTTTAATTAGTTGTTTTAATTAATTATTTTAATTCTTTTAATTAAAATCGGTAAATACAGCTAATAAAAAAAAAGATAAAAAAAAAAGAAACTTTAAATTAGTATCGTATCAATATTGGTATTGATAGTTGTATTGGTATTTGTGTTGATATTAATTATTAAACATTCTTTTTCTTGACCAGTCTACATTAAAATAATTTTATATCAATTTTTTTTTTTGTTTTTAAAAGAAATCGATTTAAACATTGCATATTTTAACGAAAAAAACCAATTGCAAAAGAGAGACGATTTGTGGTTTCCCCCATTGCTGTGGTTGATGTATCTAAATTTGTCTGTGTTACAACAACTACAATGTTGCAAAACCACCGTTTTGATACTACAACCACTACGTTTTATGTAGCCAATATAAGCAAATAAACAATGTAATCCAGCCTTTGTACTACAGCGATTACAATAGCTGGAGGACTTCTTTCAGTGGTAGTAACCAAGTAACTGGGTGTCTGAAACAAGCAAGGCGAAAGAAAGAAAAAAAAAGAGACATCCACACGAGTGGCGTTGCCTTTGTTTCGGCTGTTGGGGCAGCCCTATTTCAAATAAAATTCTGAATGAAATCTGGGTCTGGAAAAGCTGCAAATTTTAGCTAATAAAGGAGAGTTCTTATTTGTTATGGTACTGACGATTTAAATCAGTAGTGATTGGGTGTATAATTTCATGTCCTATTTTTCATATCTCTGTCTCTTAATTGTCTTTTGCCTACTGTGCCTTCCTTACCTTGTACTAGTAATTCGGATAAGAAAAAAGAACTCTTTTCTTTATTTTTTCTTTTTTTAGTTTTGCAATTTTGCAATTTTGTATTTTCAGAATCTATTTAATGCTCATTGCACAGAAAGAAGTGAGAGCGGCTTTTGTTTCAATTTCAACTCCATCAATTCACTCAATTAAATTCTCGATCTCGTTTTAAAACTCATCAAACTTTTTGGGAATTTATTTGAAACTAATTGGTCATTTGAATCGATGCAGATTATTATTGACTAGTATTGATTAATCAGGATTAATCTGAACGAATTCATCGATTTGGACATTTGTGAATTCCAATACTTGGTGTATTGATGTATGATTACTATTTGTTATTATTGTTATTATTATTACTATTGTTATTATTACTATTATTATTATTATTATTATTGTTATTGTTATTATTATTATTAATATTATTATTAAAAATAATTTTAAAACACCAAATATCTAAATCCGAATAGTGAAAGCAAACAAGCAATGAAATCATCAAGTTGTTTGTTGAGTTTCAGGACACAAAACAAAATACATGCAGAGTTTTATCAATTCTGCCCTATTTGTTTCAATTCGTATACTTGGTGATTCAGGAACAAATATATCCACGAAATTTCTAGTTTTGGTGACATTTGGGAAGAAACCTGTAGAACTCCTCTTGTTTAGTAGCAGCAGACCCGCCGATCGGGAGATAACTCTGCTTCTCATCTCGAAAAGGCGGTGACGCCAGGGCACCTGCATCGCTTAGCAAAGAACTAATTTGAGCCCAGCAAAACTAAAGCGTGCCAATTGGTGCTGATTGGTGTCAGACGGTGCTAATTGGTGCTTACAGGCGCTACTTTTGCACAGTAGCACAAGAACCGGGGTTCACAAAAGCCTGTGTAAAGCCCTGAGTCCGCAGCAGCACGTCCTTTATGTGCAGTATCACACATACAAACGCCCACATATGCCGTCAACCGCTGTTGACTGCCGGAAGGACCTTTCCAGAACCAAGCGCTGTCCGCGCAGAAGACGTCTCGAAAGATTTTGTGCAGTGCGAATTGGCTGGAGAAATACCGAGCACTGAAAGAGTTGATAATACCAGCGATGGTACAGATCACATTCACACTGCAGTCTAATTTTCACAATTTCATCTCGCTCTCCAAGTTCTTAATTTCAGAGTATCTTAGTATCCAAACATCTTAATGTTCCCCTGTTTTTGAAAACTTTTGTTTTTCTTCTGTCCTTTTTTCGCTGTCCCAGATCCTCTTTTCAAAGCATTTCTTCTTCATTTCTGCTATTTCTCATCGAGTTTGATATTTAAACTCTTAAAACTCTTTTGCTATTTACTTGGTGGGCTTTATTATTTATCAACAGAATTTAAAACTGTATATTTACACTGATTCAAAAAGAATTAACAACAGTTTAAAGAATTTATTGAATTCTATACAAAATTGCAAAAAGTTACAAAAAATCTTAAAAATTATAAAAATTATAAAAATTAGAGGAAATTAGAGAATCAGAGAAAATTAATATAAATTAACATAATACCTTTTGGTACTTCTTTTGGTGATTGAAATTGAATTTTAATTTTTTTTCTTTTAAGATTCATACAAACTTTTCTATTTCCTGATACTTTTCTTTTATTTAAATATTTAAGTATTTACTCAAAGTACAAACAATTTAAATTAAGAAAAGAGACAAAAGAAAAACAAATAGCAAATTTACTCCAACACTAATCATTTTCAAAATAACTTTGTAACTTTTTAAATTTATCTAAAATTCAACAAGATTTTATTAAGATTTTTTTAAGATTTCAATAAAATTTTAATAAAAGGTTTTAACTTTCAGTTTCCATTTCCTGTTATTTTGTTATTTTGTTTGTTGTTTTCTTTTTTGGATTTGATACTTGATTTTTAATTTTTATAATTTCCTAAATTTTCTAAATTTCTCATATTATTTAAAGTATTTAAAATAATCAATTTCATAATTTCATAATCCATCATTTCTTTTGTTTGGATTAAGATTTCATATCTAATAAATATGGGTAAATACCCATCAAAATTATTGAGTGAATCTTTTTTAACCAACATAAATCTCATTAATAAAAGCCATATAAATACTACTATTAACAATAACAATAATAATAACAATAATAATAACAATAATAATACTAATACTAATACTAATACTAATATTAATATTAATAATAACAATAACAGAAATAAAATGATAATCGATAACAATAATTTAATACAATCTATAAATGAAGATGAAAATAAAATACTTGATACAATAGATAACGATAATATAAATATACACAACAATAACAATATAAGTAACATGGACAATATACCCAATGACATAGGCATAAACCATATATATAAAATAGATATAATGATAAATCACAAAGACATAATACAGACTATACAAGAAGAAGACGAAGAAGAGGATGATACACTAACAAATCTCAATCTGACAAGTCTGAATAATAATAATAATAATAATAATAATAATAATAATAATAATAATAATAATAATAATAATAATAATAATAATAATGATAATAATGATAATGATAAAGAAAATAAAACTAAAACATACACTTTGGAAGAAATAGCAAACCACACATCTCCCAATGATCTATGGATGATAATATATGGAAAAGTGTACAGCATAACCCCCAGTTTTATCTCGTCTCATCCAGGTGGCCCCGAGGTTTTACTAGACTGTGGAGGAATAGACGCAAGTTCCTTTTTCGAAGACGTTGGACATTCTGAATATTCAAGAGAAATGTTATCGCCCTTTTATATTGGAGAATTGGATGAATTTGACAAAGTCAAATTAAATAAAAAGCATCTTAAAAATCAATTAGCCATGAGCATTAAAAACGATTCATTAAAAAACACCTGCGATAAATCAAATAAATCCATCAAGTCTAATAACAATAGAAACATCAATAACTTACTACAAAACTGTATCCCAAATTATGAAAACCCCCTCAAAATTATCTCTCCTCCAAATTTTTCGAGTTTTAAGAAAAAAATTCCAAAATTAAATTACTCAAATTCAAATGATATCTATCCTTATAACAAGAAAAAAAAATCCAAATGTAAAAAAAATGATAACCTCTCAACTATACTACTATTACTTGTAGCAATTTTATCAGCCTTATTATTTGTTTACATTCAACATAAAAAATGGAATGATTTACATATATAATAATTTCTTTATTCTTATTCTTATAATTTATCTTTATTCAGAATTATTATTGATCACTATTATTACCATTATTATTATATTATTTTTACATGATTTTTACTATAGCATTTTATTATCATAGTTTACTTTTCTTTTTTTATTTACTTTTCATTTTTGTATATTTAATCTTTTTTTGTTCAACCTATATTCTAATATCTTTTTTTTAGTTTTATTATTACTATTTTTTTTCAAGATAATATTTTGGGTGTTTCAAAGGTCTTTTTTCATTTTCATTTTCATTTATTTTTATCTTTGTTTTTATCTTTTTCGTTGTTTCAACTAAATAAATTTATTATATTCTTTTTTTACTTTTTTTTGGTTTTTCCTGTCTTCTTTTCTTCAATTCTACACTGACTGACTCAACCGGTAAGTCAAGCCAGCTAATACTCTATCTCGTATACTTGAGTTCTGATTTTTCTGACTATAGTCTTCAAAGCACTGAATAAATTATTAATAAAATTATTTCCAATTTATTGGACGTGTTACATTAGGTTTATATATCACTCAAATTGAGTTCCCACTTTTTTAACCATATCGCCAATATCAAAGAAGGATTTAGAGACATATCCTGCCCAATATATACCTCTTTAAAGTTCTCACAACTTCCTTATTGTCACTAATTTTTTGCTTCCTCTGCTCGATTCCCATTTTCCTCACCTACAACATTGGTCGTGTTGTAGGTGAGGATAAACCACGATAGAACACCAACACGATGCAACACAATACAATAAAAAATAATGAAAATAACGAAAATAAAGCAAAAGGACACAACAATAAGTAGTGAACAGGTACAAAAACTGGATCTAGGCTCTGATGTCACTCTCCAACTTCCTTGCTCTTGTCATCCAGTATAGAGGAGAAGGTTATCGCTGACTTGTTTACTTGCCTATTTAGCTCTTCAACTACTGGATTATCCACTTGCCAGATGATACTTAGATAACAGATAATAAACTAATCATAGCGAAATAATTATTATTTAAATATTTAATATTTAATATTTAAATAATAATTCAGATTTGATGCTTTTGTGACACTTTTGCTAATTTTATAATTTTGTTTTTCTCATTTTTTGTAAAAGATCCCAAATGACGTCTCCGTGGATACATTACAATATTTTGAAAATCCACACTAAACAGGCCACAAATTCAATTAAGTTGTAAAATTATATACACTTTTATATAAGTTTGATACAATTGTATTGAATTCAAATCATTTCTATTATTTAACAACAGATTTGATCTCGTTGAAAGGTCATCTAACAATAGGCTGATATCTCTCTCAAATCATTTAAAAGAAAAGAAAATTTCCTTAATCAGTTACAATAGCATATATGTTTCCTAAAATTTCTATAATTATTAATATTTTTGCATAATTTTTTTATAAAGTTCTATAAAATCTAACAATTTTGAATAATTGTGAATAATTTTGAATAAAAGTTAACAAGCTAAAAGAAAACAAAATGGCTTATAATTTCAATTTAAATTCTTATTTGAATTCATAATTAATTTCTCATTTGATTTCTTAATCTATCGTTATAACTTTTAGACTGAGACTAAATTTCCCGATCTGTTAACAATCAGCAATCAATCAGTTATCAATTGGTTATCAGATATATGGAATCCAACAAGTCTTCAACAGGTGTTCAATCGGTTTCAAACAACTATTTATTGAGATAGAGATCATCGGCACTCAAGTTCAGAGCGCTGTTTTGCAAGGACAAACCTGCTGTTGTAGAGCCAATTCGACCAGCAGAGTACGAGAATCGCAAAGGGGGCTTTTGTGCCGGTGCCAACAAGGGCGAGGAGGGTTGTGTTGCAGGACCAGCGTCGCTGTTATCAAAGCTATTGTTGCTACTGCTGGGAACAGGATCGTTGTCGCTGTGGGAAACGTTGATTTGGATTGGGGCCACGCTGCCGGTGCCAGCTGCATCAGCGTCGTTGTTCGAGATCTCGTTGTGCTTACTAACATCAGCTAATTTGGACTCAATGTACAATCCTCTTTCAATTGAGCTGGGAAAGCTTAGCAACTTGTTCAAGTCGTTATACCATTTGAATAGCTCCACTTTGTCTTCAGTTTTGAAAATAATCTTTTGAATCTTCTTTGATAAGGGGTTTTTGTAAACCAAGATGAATTTGGAAATTTTGTCAAATTCAGAGATAAAACAATTATTCAACTTTAGTGAGTAAATTGGGGTATTATCATCAATTAGGTTGTTTGACTTAAATTCGTGCAAATAGTTTAATGTTAAAACATAATAATATTTGTTATATTTATTAAAGACTTTAGATTTTTTCAACAAAAACCCCATTTTAATTGATTTGGATAATATACAGTCATTAAATGGGTAGTAAATATCACCTAGATTTCTTGGTCTATTAAAATTAGAAATGAAGTTTTTATTTCCATCTTTGTTAATAAACTCATTCCATTCACAGTATGAATCTTGATTAATAATATCAATTAGAAATCTTAAATCGCCATTAGAATTAGCATTAGCATTAGCATTAGAATTAGCATTAGCATTATTATTATTATTATTATTATTATTATTCTCAATTAACGTTAAATATAAATTCAAATTATCTTGAATCTCTTGAAAAATAATTCGGTCCAATTCAGAACCATTTTTTTGAATGTTTTCATATGCTTCAATCAAATAATTTTCTTCTAAAATTTGATTTTTCAATTGCAAATCCAAATTTAATTTTAAAAGATATGGATCCTTACCAATAATGTTAATATTATCAATTTCATCCGTGGAAGAAGACAATGAAGAAAATGATTTCAATGATGTTGAAGATACGGATTTCTGATGTCCAGTTGATAAAGAAGTTTTATCATTACTGTTATTGTTTTTATTGTTTTTAAGAATGATTTTGTTGGTTTTCAATTCAAATATCGAGGATAAATAATCAGTCAATCTTTGTCCAGTTAAAGCAATTTCCCTGTTGATATTGTGATTAGCAAAATCATTTGATAAAATTTTAATTTCTTTAATTTTCATGGAAATAATCTCATTCAAATTATTCAAGTTTGGAATTAAAATTTTGGAGATTGTTTTATAATTCTCGTGATAAATTTTGCTTTGATTTTTATGGTAGTTGTTCAAATTTTTGTTCAATTTGTTAATGCCATTGGAAAAGTAATTTTTTTTAATATTATTAAGAGAGATATCTGTGTCATTATTAAACATATTTATAGAAATGTTATCGTTATTGTTATTATTATTGTTATAATTATCTGCATCACTATAATTGTAATTAAAAGTATTTTCGTTATCCTCATCATCGTCACTTTTACGATTATTTAATACACCTTGAGTCAAGTTATTATTAAAGCTAGCCAAGGTTTTAAAATTGTAGGAAATTTGAGTGAAATAATTGACCAAAAAACCAATCAATTTTTTCCAGTTATTTAATCTTTTTACCAATTTTTCAATGGGCCTCGCATTCTTTGATGGTATGTTGTTTGTGAAATATGGCGAATTAAAGTCATTGATTGGTAAGATCAATCTCATCAACTTCTTGACGGTCAAAACATTGTGCTGCAAATAAAACACAGAATTAGTAACTGAAGTTTTGGAACTAAAATTGTTAGACATTGTTGATTCCTGTCAATGCTTTTCTTGTTGACCATTGAAAGACAAAAGATGAAACGAAATGAAATAGGGAGACGTGGGATATATATACACAGGCAAAAGTTGCTTTTTGAACCAAGCCAATCTTCGTGCTTCCTGATCCTGCTCCCAAGCAGCTGTGTGAGGTGCGCTTGGTGTTTGTGTAAATCGCTCAGGGCCTGGATGGGCTAAATATAACACCCGTTGTCCCAGAGCCGCACGTGACTCGGGGTGGGATCTGAGCTCGGGATTCGACTTTTATCTGGGAATACACTTGAGGAAGATGGGTGAAGAGCGAAGACCAGAACGAAGACCAGAGCAAAGAAAGACAACTTTTGGCTATTGTAGTTACTGTTCTGCTGCCAGGAAAGAACTGTTGGAGGTTGGACCAGGCATGAAAAATGGCAAGATCTAGAGAATCAGAGAACACCAAGACGTTGTCAAAAGAACTTCTTCTTACCTCATTCACCGGCGCCATCAAAGGAGGCCTTATAGGCCTTACAGGCTCAGTGATGCTCAGATACATGTGGCCAACCTGGAAAAATCTCAGAATACCCATCAAGTGTTTTTGGCATGTTAGCTGGGTGTCAATGGGTGCAGTGTTTTGGGCTGATAGGCATCTAGTTGTCTTTAGTGATAGAATGCTTTTGGAGCAACAGGAAAAAAAGAGAAAGTTGCTAAATGACGCTGCTGAGAATGGTATTTTTATCGATTACAACGATAAAACTGTATTAACTGTTTCGCAATTGGAGCTGATCAAGCTAGTCGAAAATCTCGAAAAATAATTCATATTTCCATATGACGTATCTTCAACAAATTCATATTCCTCATCAATCCATATAGCCCTAAATAGATACTAAATAGATTACTCATAAGTTCTTTGTAGGTTTTTCGTAGATTCTAAATGTATAATTCTAAATGTATATTCCAATAAACACTCGTCTCAAATTGTTGATTGATCGGATTTACCCTTTGTGTATTGTTTTGCTTGCTGTTTCGCTTTGCCGGTTATTTCAACTGTAAAGTAGATTGGGAGGACAGTGTGGGACACCCTGGAGAACCGGAGTACTCCAGCTGCTGCTTCTGGTGCACCAGCATCCTCAACCTTGGATCACTCTGCTTTCTGCTCTTGGAAGCCATGGCTCAAGCCATAGCTTTAGCCCTAGCTTTAGCCCTCACCAACATCTCTTTAAAACCTCTCTAAGCAGCGTCTTGCTCCTTTGGCTCTTTGGATAACTTTTCTTTTTGGGGCAGGCGCAATCTCCCTCGCACCAACCTGCTTTATCGGGAAGTCCGTTCAGCAAGCAGACACCATTTGTAATTCCGTTGTTGTGATTGGCCAATTCCCAGATTCTTGCTTCAACAACCGATTGATCAAATCACTATCAAAACGCTATCAAAACAGGAGCAAATCAATATCAAACCATCATTTGAATCGCCTGTTAAAAGAAACATTCATTGCTTCTTCTCTTCCTCTGTCCAAATGGAAACTTGCTCGCAAAAACTATGTCCTTGCTATTACTAAGGTCCTGAATTGAGCTAATTGCCCAAACAACTCCCTCCAAAACATTGTTTGTTATCAAAACTTGTTCTGGATCATTGTTTTCACACTTATACCGCTTTTATTTCACAATTATTTTGCTCTTTTTTTATACTTTTTCTGCATGTTTTCAATTTGCTTATTTTAACTTATTTTTTTATCATAAAAAAAATTATTTCTCCCCGCTGATTTCATTTTTCAGATGCTTTTTTTTTATATCCTCCATTAGAGTTTTGCTTTTTATTTCTCTTCTTTTTTTTCTACCCAATTCCTTATTTTCCTCTTAGACTGTATATATACCTCCACTTTGCTCTTTATTTCCGGAGACTGCTACTAATCAACTTTAGACCTTTTTTTAAAATTCGTTTAATTTTTTCCAAGGTTCATATATTATTATATCATATTATCCCATCTAATTACTTCTCATTTGATCTTATTTAACCTAGATAAACAATGGCTTATAATAATAATAATAATAACAATAACAATAACAATAACAATGCTCCTATTTATTCAACATCTCAGGGTGCCCCACTTGCTGATGCTTTTGCAACTCAAAGAGTGGGTAAATTCGGCCCTTTATTATTGCAAGATTTCACTTTAATCGACAGTTTAGCTCACTTTGATAGAGAAAGAATTCCTGAAAGAGTTGTCCACGCTAAGGGCTCCGGTGCTTATGGTTACTTTGAAGTAACTGATGATATAACTGATATCTGTGGTTCAGCAATGTTTAATAAAGTTGGTAAGAAAACAAAGACTTTTACTAGATTTTCAACCGTTGGTGGTGAAAAGGGTTCTGCTGATAGTGCAAGAGACCCAAGAGGCTTTTCCACCAAATTTTATACTGAAGAAGGTAATTTAGATTGGGTTTATAACAACACTCCAGTTTTCTTTATCAGAAACCCAAGTAAATTTCCTCATTTCATTCACACTCAAAAGAGAAACCCTCAAACCAACCTAAAAGATGCTACTATGTTTTGGGATTATTTAACCAGCAATCAAGAAGCTATTCACCAAGTTTGTATCCTTTTTTCTGATCGTGGCACTCCTGCTTCTTACCGTAACATGAATGGTTACTCTGGTCATTCCTACAAATGGTCAAATAAAAATGGCGATTGGTATTATGTTCAAGTTCATTTAATCAACGACCAAGGAATTAAAAATCTCAATAACGAACAAGCATCAGAATTAGGCGGTACTAATCCAGATTTTGCTCAAGAAGATTTATTTAATGAAATTGAAAAGGAAAACTTCCCATCATGGACTGTTTATATCCAATATATGACCGAAAAACAAAGCAAAACTTTGCCTTTTTCTGTCTTTGACCTAACTAAAGTCTGGTCCCACAAAGAATTCCCACTACGTAGAGTTGGTAAATTGGTTCTCAATAAAAACCCAGAAAACTATTTTGCAGAAGTAGAGCAAGTTGCTTTCTCCCCATCTCACACTGTTCCATACCAGGAACCTTCTGCTGATCCTGTTTTGCAATCCAGATTATTTTCATATCCTGATACTCAACGTCATAGATTGGGTGTCAATTACAATCAAATTCCTGTCAATTGCCCATATGCTTCAAGAGGCATCAATCCAACTCTTCGTGATGGTGCTATGCAAGTTAATGGAAACTATGGCTCAATGCCCAATTATTTAGCCAGCGATATGCCAGTTGCCTTCAGAAGCGATGTCAAACATCAACAACACCAGGAAGTCTGGTCTGGCCCTGCCTTGCCATTTCATTGGGATGTTGTTGGTGACATTGACTATGTTCAACCAAGAATTTTGTATCAAAAAATCCTATCAAAACAACCTGGCCAACAAAAGGCTTTGGCCCACAATGTTGCTACACATGTCTCAAGCGCCAGACGTGATATCCAAGATAAGGTGATTAGGATGTTTGCTAAAGTCGACGAAAATCTTGCCAATGAAATCAAGAAGGAGATGCTCGAGTTGTCCCCTCGTACTGGTAAGTGTCCATACTCCAACAAATTGTAAGTATCACCTCTCTGCTCTTGTTTAATGTTCCTTAATATTCTTTTTTATAGCATTTACATAATTCCTCCACAGCACTAATACAAACCACTGTTCCCCAAACCAGCAGTATGCGCCTCTCTCCCTAAATCAGCACTACGCGTTGTGTTCCCAAAGCGGCATTATGCGTTTAAGAATACCCCTCTCGCTGGCGCCCAATAATCACATGCAAGGATGGTGCTCCATCTCTCTGGTATCATGTTTCTCTTTCTTCACCACTTATCCATTTTTGGGCAGTTGATGCTGGGGAAAACAACGCTTCTCCTTCTCTTCCACCACAAGCTTGTGAGTCTGCGAATTTCAACACTTACTGTAACAGGCGATATGAATTGGTTAAGCGAGCTTACTGGTTTCGACGACTATTCTCAACAGTTCAAGGACACCCCCAAGTTCAAAATGGACCTGCTATCAGCTTCAAACCTCTCTTTATCCAGATCCAGTTCAATCACTAATGTCAGTGACAGCTTTAGCTCTTCCAACAATTCCACTCTCAACAGCATGAACAACGGCTGCAATCCTCGCTTTAATGACAATGAACTTACCAATGATTCAATCCCAGTGACGAAATTACCTGCTGCTCACAGCTTGATGTTCTATTATACCCTACTAAGAAAACAGTTTACTATAAGAAATATTGTTTTAAGACTATACAGTATTTTGAAGTTAAAGGATTATGAATTTGAAGAGACTATATTAAATATCTTGGAATTTTTCTGTTATATATTCGAATTTCTCTTTAAAAACAAGAAAAAAAGACAAAAATTAAACTCTTTTTTCAAATTTGTTAACCATTTTATTATAATTATCAGATTTAAGGTCCTAATAACTAAAATTATAAAATTGGTTGAATTGATTAAAATTAAAAGAAACTCAATGAATCAAGATCGATCCGAAATAAGATTAATAAATAACGATACCGATAATGATAATAGTAATGATAATGATTTTGAATTAGTTTGGAATTCAAATATTAATACAAACAACAGAAACGATTTAAATTCTTTAACTCAACGTAATATCGATTATATCAGAAATCAAAATAATCATAGTCACACTCAGATAAATAATAACAATCAAATCAACAATCGAACAAGTGAAGAGTATAAAGAAGGAGAAGGAGAAGAACAAGAGCAAGAACAAAAACAAGATAAAGAAGAACAAGATGAACTTAGCAAATTGCTGAGCGAAGTGGCAATCGAATTGATTGAATTCATATTTTTGTTATCTCCCAAATCTTTTATTAATATATTCAAAAACACTTTCTTATTCAAAAAAAAAAAAGCAAAAATCCCATCTAAGAAAAGAGAAATAGAATTCTAAATTTTTTATCTTCTCTTTAAATTTGTCTTTTTTTCTTTCCAATCCATTTTAATATAATGATCTCTCCCTCTCTTGTTCTCTTTTTTTTTGTTTTAAATGATTTTGGTTATGCTTATTTTTTTTTACTTTTTATTTAGTGCTTCTTTATATGTTTTCTTTTGGGTTTACTAGCTGATAGTTAGACTTTATACAGTTCGTTTTTCCTTTGAGGTTTTAAGTAATAAATTCAATTATATACACCATATAATTCTCCTTAAGAGGAGCAAGTACAATATTTTACCATAGTTCATTAATGGAATCGCAATAACAAAAAAACAACCCATTTTTGATATATTCCAAAATTTAAACAACAAATTTTCATTCATCGATAATATCTTCATTAATGATTATTATTTTATCTAAAAGATCAAAATCAGCTTTCTCATTCAGACATATTGATCTCAATTCATATGATGGAAATTTGTTTTTATCTAAACTTTTTTCATGAACTCTTTGATTATCTCTAACCAAAGTTCTCAAAATGTCAACAAAAATTACCAGATTTCGATTTTTTAACAAAAACGCATGTAGTTTATTAATAAGATACTTGATTTTTAAATCAATTGAACGATTTTCATCATTATAACAATAATCTTCAAAATAACTGGTCAAGTAAAACAATATGCTTCTAAATGATACATCAGCTTTATCAGAGTCTCCCTTTTCATCTACTTTCATTGAATTCTGGAAAACAGAAATCGAAAAATTGATCAATTTATAGTAAATAGCTATTTCAACTTTACCCCCATTACTTTTCTGGTTTCTTTTTTTAATTAGTTTGAAAAATTCATTGCTTATAAGCAAATCATTCCAATAATATTCAATTTCCTTTCCCATGGATTTTAGAATTAGACTAATATATGACGATAAATTATCTTTGTTACCAAAAATCTGTTCATTATGAGGAATGTTTAAATACCAACACGTTAAAACTTGATTGAAACTACTAGATACAACACAAGATTGCAATAAATTATAAAGAAATAGAAATTTGGCATGCTTAGTATTCAACAGAGGCAATATTTCATTGATTATATATTGAGTATAAAACTCATTATAAACTCTGGGTCTTCTAAATGCTTCCAATTCAGATTTTGAACTAGGCCCGTTGTATTTAAAGTCTTTTATACCAGTTTTTATTTTATTTTTTAAACTATTTTGTTTAATGATGTCCTTGATTTGTGAGTTAAGAACATAGTTTAGATCATTATCATAATCAGTAATCATTATTCTATTGTCAATTCTTTTTGACGTTAAGTTGTAATAGATATTTAGAAATTCAATATCATTAGAATTTATAGTTTGACCACTTTGAATTAATTCATCAATTTTTTGAAAATTTTGTTTTAAATTTAAAATATTATCATAAATCAATGATTTAAAATGCATACTATCAGTTGGGTTAAAATCTTCAATTGTAAAAACTGAAGTTTTATTTTCGTTAGTTATAAATGAATTGGTAATAAAAAAATTTGGATCAATAAATGAAGAAAAGGATAAATTCGCTTGTAAATAATAGGAAATGTTATAAAATTTTGAAAAATTCAAATCTTTTAAATTTTTTTTCAGTTTTTCCTTTGGAATTAATTCAGAGATCTTTTGAAGTAAAATTGAATCGTTATTTTTAGCCAATAATAATAACATTTTTGTTAAAATTTCTTTATTTTGAGATTGAATTAATTTGAAATCGTGAATAATAAGAAATTTCAAAATTTGATAATAATCATAAATTAAAGAATAATTTAAGATTTTGATTAATGAATATTGGTGCATTGAAGAGTAATCGTTTAATGAATTTTTTGAATGTAATAAATTTAAAAGCTGTAAAACAGTCAGAGAGTCATTTTTAATCAATGAATAGTCAATAATTTGATTTAATTTCAATATTGAATTTAAAATGTAAAAAGTGTCATTGCTTAACAAATTAGAATAGTTTGAGTTTAAATAATTATATGAATGCCAGAAATGGTTAATTAATAAATTGTATTGGTTTAAATTTTTATAATAATCACATAATAAAGAAATCCTTAATTTTTCAAAATTCAAAACAAGAAAATCGAAATTATTGGAAACATTTTGCATTGAGGCTAAATTTTCTATTATAGTATTTAAATGGTTTTGCAAAATAGAAACATTTATAAATGAATTTGAGTTTGAAATCAAATCTGTTGAAATTGATAATATCGAATGCAACGAGGTTAAATATTGATTGTGGTTATCCTTATCTAATGAATGATGCTTTAAGTAAAAATTTATGGATTTTTCTGCGTAATTTAAAACAATCAAATTGATGAGATTATAATTTGTGCTTTGAGAGTTATTTTGAATTTGACTTTTAGTGGAGCTGTCAATTGATGAATAAATAGAGGATATTAATCGTAGAATGAAAAATAATTTCTCATAAATGATTAAAAGATTATGCTTCCCATCGATGGAATTGCTAGTTATGTCCAAATTTTCGATTTGTTTCAAAAGTTTCAAATTTTGATTCAATTTAGCTAAAAATCCATTTATATCACTAATAATAATTGAGTTTGATTTCCTAATCGAAAGCAAATCATCAATCAATAGACTATCAAGGGACTTCAATAGAAGAGGCGACCAGAGATCGAACAATTCTGAACTGGTCTTTCTCGAGTCTGTTGATGGGATTGGTGTATTCTGAGGCTGCTTAGATTGAAGGGAGGAAGAATAGCTTCTAAAGATGTGTGCATAGGGTCTGAGCCTCAGTCTGAAGCCACCAAGAGTCAAAGAAGAACTCTTATTCTGCTGGAGCTTGTAACATACCTTAGTGCGAGCAAAAGAACCAGTTCGTAGTCCTTTCATGTTAATCTCGCGCAAACGCCTCTCATCCAATAAAAACACTTCTTCTTTTTTCTTTATCCACTTTTTTCACAGACGTCCCAAAGCGGAATCAACCCACAAAACTGGCTCCAGAGTATTTTTCTATTAAAGTTTCGCGTTTGTTTATAAAACAAGAAGAGGAAGAGGAAGAAGAGAAACATAAAAACGAAGAACCAGCAGTAGAAGGTTGTCGTGATAATGGAGTCTCAGATTGTTCATGCTTCGAGCTCTATTCTTTCTTCATTGAACTCTATCATATTCAATTCCAATTCCAAAATTAATCTTGATCCAACTCAAATTATCAGCCACAACACCGATACCCAACTACTGAAAATTCAACATGACCCTCAACTGATTGATGCTCAAGTAACTCAGGTGGATGAGACTGGTATTCCTAATATTGATACAATAAATGCAAATGATGATGAAAGTCCAACTGAAATCACGAAGGAGATCTTAACAGCACCTGTTACAGCCAATGTTTCGGAAAAATCAACGAGTCTAGATGATCTTTTCAATGAAATAGATGAGTTTATTGGTGATGATGATGATCAAAATGAACTGTCAACACTAGGAAAACAGTATGCGAAGAGCAACAATATCAAACTCAATAATGATATCTTTAGTGATAACAATACTGTGGTTAATGAAATTGATAAGCCAGACGTAGACAATTCCACCACTTTCCCTTCGGATAAAACCATATTAGAATTGTTGGGAGAAGACACTTTGAATAATAATGAAAGTTTGAAAAGAAAAGAGAAAACCAAGAAGGATGCTACCGATGAAAAATTACTTGCAAGAACTATTCAGGAAATCAATTTAAAAAGAGACTTGAATTTTAAACCAATATCAAATAGAGCATTTACTAAAGAGCAGTTACTAGCCAAACTAGGATTTGTCAATGGAAAATTTGTATCTCCTGTTAAGAAAACTGCAAAAGCTCCAACAACTCCAGTAACTAAGAAAGTAATTGATATTGACTTGTCTGACGAAGAACCATCTGACAGTGAAGCGAAAAATAATATACCCGATACACTAAAAAATAACACTTTAGATTCTCAAATTTTAAGCAACCAAAAAGAACAAGATAAAAATACCCCATTTTCAATATATAAAAATAAATTAAAACAGTCTAATCCAAATAACATGATAAATCTTGATGACTCCAGTTCTGGTTCTGATTCTGATTCTGATTCCGATGATGAATTTGAAAAGATTCCCATCAAAGATAAAGGTTTCATTTTAGCTATTAAAGCAAAATATTTAAAGAAAAATCAAAAAAATTCTCCCAATTCTGTTTTGAAAAAAAGTGTGTTATTAACTGAAAATTATTCTCAAAGACAAAAACAACGTGAAGCTCTTTCTTCTTTAAAACAAAAACATGTTAGTCAAGTAATCCAGGCCAAAAAATTAAATCAAATTGCAATTGAAAATATTGAAAATGATGTAGATGATGAAACTTCCAAAGTAGAAGATTTATTAGAAAAGGAGCTTGAAAGAAATAGAAGAATTAGAAAAAGAGAAAAAGAAGAACAAAAACAAAGAGATCTTTTATATAAAAATCAAATTTTAAATAAAATTGACGAAAATGAAGATGAAGATGAGGAAGATCTCAATAATGACGGTAATATTTATGGAGTAGAAGAGGAGTCAGATGAGGAAGAATTAGCTTTAGCCGAACTTGAAACTGATGAAGAAAATAGTGAATTTGAAAGTTTTGTGGAAGATAATGATTTAGATAAAGACCATCAAGATCTATCTAACAATGATAAAATTGATAAAGAGTCAGATGATGAAGCTTTAATTAATACACGAACCAACCTTGTTAGAAATAAAAGAACTAAGAGAAAGGGGGTAGTGTTTGATGATGAAGATGAAGATGAAGAAGAAAAAGAGGAAAAAGAGGAAAAAGAGGAAAAAGAGGAAGAAAAAGACCAGAATGGAAATCTGGATGAAACTCAAAAAGACATTTCTAGTATTAACTTAGATAATCCTACAATAGCAGATAATTCATCTTATCTGACACTAGGTATGAGCGAAAAAATTAAAAACATATTTGGAGAGGATTCCTTATTGAATCTTGCTCCAACACAGGTTCAATATAAATCATATTCTAAGAAAAAAATATTGGATCACATTAGTGAAAATGAAAATGACAGTGGGGATAAAAGTGATAATGAGTATGAGTATGAGGTTGATAGTACAGATGTTCCAACTTTAGATGATAAGATTTCAGCATCATCTAAAAATACGAAAAACAATAAATCTTCAGTTTATGGGGTAGAAAATGAAGTGGAAGTGGAAGATATATCGGACACTGAAGACCAAAATGAACTGCTTCAGAAGGTCAAACTTGCGATCAAACGTCAGGCTCAAAATGAGCTTCGAAATAAAATTAAAAAGAGAGAGTTAGCAAAATCTGGATTGGGAGATATCTTTGAAGAAGAAGCCATTGAATCTGATGATGAATGGCATGGTATTGGTGGAGCTGATCGTAATGATAAGGATGATTTTGAAATGGATTCAGAAGATGAAAGAATGATTAATGATTCGAAGAATATCAATTATAATCATGATGCATTGAAGGAGTTTTATAATAAAGAAAATCTTAGTAATGATAGAGAGTATGTTTCTAAATTATTAAATGATATTAAGACAGGAAAACTTCGATCAAGAGTTAATAGAGATGGATTTGGTAGAGGAGGAATTGACGACCTTGATTTAGAATTGAGTGATGATGATGATGATGAATTGGCTAGATTTCATCGTATGAAAGCAGAAAGACAAAGAAGAAAACTTTTAGAAAATAATGAGATGAGAAATTTAGCTAAAAATGATAAAACTAAAGCATTTTTTGAAAGTATAGCAGAAGATACAAATACAGATAGCTTAAAAATTGTATTTGAAGACAGTTTAAGAAACGAGTTTGATAATGAACTAGGTATCGAAGAAGAAATAATAGAAAGTGGACAATTACAAGAAGGGGCTGATGAACAAATAACAGCTGATGATAAAGAAACAAGTCGAGAAGGTAGTACACTTAAGAGATCACTTACGATTACAGACGAGGATAATGGAAACCAACCAATAGTTAAGAGAAGAAGAATTCAAATAACGTCAGAATTTGTGAAAAAGACTTTATCATTTATTAATAATGATGATTTAGCAACTGAGGAGGAGAGATATTTACAAACTGAAAAGTTATCGCTTTCTCAACATAATTTTAAGTCTCAAATAGAAATGAAGGATGAATTTGCTAAAATTAAAGAAAGAATTAGACAAAAGAAATTGAGAGAAGAAGAGTACAAAAGAACCAAAGTTCACGATATTGAATTGGGTAATGAATCAAAGAAGGGAATCCATAAGACGAGGTCTATAATTGAGAATTACAAAACATTTTTAAGTGAAAACAAAGACTTTGCATCCGAACAAATAACAGTTAATAAGAATTACAAGAATGCGAATACGAATTCTGCATCTGTTATGTTCCTTATAAATAAAAATAAGAATTAAAAGGTTCTTTCATACAATTTTAATTTTAATTGTTTGTATTATATAAAATTAATTAATAATGATTTTTCTAATTGTATAAACGAAAGAATTGGGGAGCTAATTTTGTTGAGAAAGAATAGGTTTTCTCTCAAAACATGCCCTAATATTATTTAAACAAAAGATAGCAGTTTTTTGATAAGTTTCGATGGTCGAAGAACCAATGTGAGGTGTTAGAAAGACATCTTCTCTAGATACGAGCTCCTGGTCAATAGTTGGTTCATTTTCAAACACATCTAGTGCACAGCTTATAATTTTACCTGATTTCAAGCCATTTAATAGATCTTTTGTATTGACGATAAAACCTCTACCGACATTGACTATTCTGGAGCCTCTTTTGGGTAAAAGATTTATTGTTTTTTCATTGATTAGATTAAAGGTTTCACTCGAACCAGGCAAGCAAATGATGACTACATCAGCGATTGGTAGGATTGAAGTTAAAGAGTTGTGGTAAGTCAAAGGGAAATTAAAATCGGATAGATCATCATTTGATAGAGGGTTTCTTTTGAAATAATGTATATTCATACCAATTGCGTTTAGTCTTTTAGCTAGAGCCTTTCCAATACCTCCAAAGCCTAGGATGGCAGCGTTTTTATTCATTGGAGTGTATACTACTTTACCACCAGCGATTTCACCAAAAGCAAAATTGTAATGATTTTTAGGGACATGGTTACCAGATTGATAATTGAAATTACCATTTAATTTAGATCTTGCGACTAAAGTGTTTTTAGTTGAGACTGTTTGGTTAGCAAACATTGGAATAAATCTGAAAGTGGAAAGAGTCTGGTATAGAGCTAAATCAGCAACTTGTTCAGCACCGACAGAGGGACTATTTGAGAAGATGATCTTTTTATTTTTTAATTGAATGGTATCGTAATGATCAAAGCCAACAGCACAACTTGTTACGATTTTTAGATTTGGAGGAGAGAGATCAACAATTTCGTTTCTATAACCACCAAATGACATGAAACCTTCCCAACCTCCATAGATGGCTTGTATGTCATTGAATTTTGATTTGAAGTCCTCAAGAAGCTGTTCCTTTGTAGTTAATTCGTAGGGCTGTAAGGAAAAAGAAATAAAAGAAAAAAACCAACAACAGAGAGAAGATAGTAGAAATGTTTTTTAAATTGTTAGTAAGTGTTTATTTTCGATAAAGTTTCATAAGACTCCATAACTTTTCACATACGATACACTCGAAATCATTTTCAAATTGTTGGTACTCTGGCAAGGACTCGTCGAGCTGACCAAGGAATAAGACCTTTGGTTTGTTTTGCAGAGATTTAGTAGTAGGTACAGTCATAAGAAGAAGATGCTACAGTGGGTTCTGTTGGCAGTGAAATATTGTATTGAAAAGTTTTCAGAGAGGATGAGCTTATATATCAGTGCCTTATACGGCAAAGGAAGGAAGAGCGAGTTCCGCTGATAGCCATGGGGTGAGAGCGAAAACAGCTGGATGATTGGTGATTGTTGGTTACTGATTAGTGATTGGTGATTGGTGATTGAGAGCTCACTTGGACAACTTCTTCATGGCCAGGAGCAAATTTGTGTCGAAGTAGCCTGGGGCCAACTGGTTCGTGGAGTGTCGAAGCCAGGCCTGGTAGTCGTTTCTGTGGGAGTGGAGAAGCACTTGGTCCATCTGGGAGCTAAGAAGAGAGGCGTCGTTGGTGAGGGCCTGGATATGGCCTTGAGTGCTGTCGAATGAGCTCAAGAGACTTGGGGGCAACTGGGATGGGAGCGATTTGTAGTTGTAGGGGAGAGACACAGTCTTTGGAGGGTTGTAGAAGGGCGAGATAACAAGGGGCACTTGGGAGAGAAGAGGATGTGGTCTTTCATCAGGATTCATGTTGGCTGTTGGGGTGAGATAGGATAGAAGTAAGAGAGGTGAGAGAGGTGAGAGGTGAGAGGTGAGAGATAGATAAAAAGAAAGACAGATAGAAAGAAAGACAGATAAAAAGGTGAAACGATTAGCTATCGCCTACGATAACGAGTTCAAACAGAGCAGATAGAATACTTAAATACGTATAACAGCTCCAATGCTCTACCCAATGTTTTACCAATGCTCTGCTCTTCTTCAATACCAACACACTCTTGATCGACAAGAATGCTGTAAATGATGTAAATGCCATACGCTGGCACTTCCACAGCTTAAGACTTTCGCCCAACTTCCCACTGCCCTGCTGTTCATTCTACGTCTCTTTTTTACTGCCAACGTCTGCTGAATCTGCTGAATTTACTGAATCTGCTTCCTCCAACTCTTCGACAATGCCACAAGACTCTACTTCCACCAGTAAAGTGCTCGATGCTCAAGAACCAGTTCAAGAAGCACCCAAACAGTTGCCTGAACTAACCCTCAAGAACGTTTGTTTGGACATAGTCCATGGAATCCACTTGCTTCTCAATGATCCATTTCTATTGGTATTTTGGTCCTTTCTCATCTTTATTATCGAATTGATCGCTGGCAAACTCATCATCTTCAGAGTTCCCTACACTGAAATCGACTTTTCAACGTATCTACAACAGGTGCAACTTTTCAATAAGGGCGAATTGGACTATGAGAAAATAGTTGGTGAAACTGGTCCTCTAGTCTATCCTGCTGGCCATTTATGGATCTTTAAAGTCTTGAATAACATTTACGAAGAAGACCATAATTTGGAATTTATCCAGTTGACTTATGCTTGGTTGCTAAACCTCACCTTGATAAACTATTTAATCTCTTACAACTGTTTCAACAACTCATTAAGAAAACCTTGGTTTATCGTTTTTTTAATTCTTAGCAAGAGAATCCAATCCATTTATCTACTAAGATTATTTAATGACTGTTGGGCTGCTTATTTCATAAGTTTCTTGTTTGTTGGCTTACAATTGACTTCTCTTATTAAACAAAAATTCAATTCTTCGACTCATTTAATATCTCTTCTCATGTTTGTCAATTCAATCACCTATTCCCTTGCCATCTCAATTAAAATGAATTCTCTATTATACCTCCCAGCTTTTCTTTTGATATCTTTTTACTTGAACAATGGCAACTTTTTTAAAACTGTTTTAAATTTACTCACAATAATCGGCTCTCAATACTTGATAGCCTACCCTTTTTTCAATAATGGTGACCAAATCAAATCGAACTACCTTCACAATGCCTTTAATTTTAAAAGACACTTTTTGCACAATTGGTCAATTAATTGGAGATTTTTACCTGAGTTCTTATTCCAAGACTCAAGATTCCATTTCTTCTTATTATTCTCTCATTTACTAGTATTATCCTTCTTTCTCTTTTCAGTTTTTCTCCCTCTTTTAAACAACAAACTTTCAATCACAAAAAACCTCAATTTAAAACAAAATCTATCTCACAATATTAACCAATTTCTAAACCTATTGTTAACCACTCTAAAAAAACCTTTTAATGATAATATCCAACTAAATAATAACATCCTCAACTATCAAGATGGTCCTCAAACTATATTCGCTATTCTATCAATCACTAATCTAATAGGCGTAGCCTTTTCAAGATCTTTACATTACCAATTTTTAACTTGGTATTTCTTCCATTTGCCCTTTTTAATCAATTTAAGTAATACTAATGTTTTCTTAATAATAATAGGTTGGCTACTTCATGAAAATTGCTGGTTAAATCACCCAGTTGCTTGGAAAAGTGTTGTTTTTAACGTCTTAATTTTTGGTTTACTATTAAGAATCTGGTTTCAATTGAATAAACATTCCAATTCCAATTCCAATTCCAATTCCAATTCTACCCAAAGTGGCGAACAAAATAAGACAGATGAAAAAAATAAAAAGATTAAATAGACTATAAATTTTCTTTTCTTTTTCTATATATCTCCCTCTCTTCAATTAAATCTTAACGTATTGATATAATATACACAATGTATTAATATAATATAATATAACATAACATAAAATAAAATAACATAACATAACGTAACATAACATAACATAGTATAACATACAAAATAGTCGTTTTAAAATCAAACATTACAATCATTCGATATGAAAATTGTGATTGGTAAAAAAGTATAGATATTCAGTATACAGTAAAAAAAAAAGAAAAAGACAACCTAAACGATTGAAATTATAAGATTATATAGAAATAAAACAATAGAAATAAATACAGAAAAAAAAAAGAAAACAAAAACAAAAAAAAACGACACATAAAAGGAAAAAAGTAAATTAAAATAATAGACACAATATTTTTAAACTCAATTTGTATGAGAAAACTGAAATATAAATACGTAAATATAATTATTAATATTATTAATATTATTAGTAGTATTTGAAGAGATTATTTCTGAGTATTATTTTGATCATTAATTATTCTTTCTTTATTTTGTTGAGCAGTTATAACCATTTGTTGAAAAGCCTTGATTGTTAAATCACTTTTTGTTCTAGAATGAGATGAAGATGAAGAGCTTGACGTATTTGTTGGAGTAAGAGAATTTCTTGAGGGTTTTGGCGGAGTTAAAGAATTTCTGGGACTCTTTGCTCTATTGGCTAAGGACGAGAAGATGTTTACTAAAGTAGAAGATGAGGCGGTTGTTTCAGGGGGGATCAATTTAGGAGAAGTAGAACCTAGATCGGCAAAACCATCATCATCGTCAGATTCTTCACTGTTAGCCTGTTCTTTTAAAGCTTTGATTCTGTTATTGAATTTAACGACTTCAATAACTTGTCTAAATTTAGTCCTGGCATTGAAACCTTCTCTAATGTTAGGTAATAAGTCACAAGAGGAGTTTTCAGAAGCAGTTTTCTTTATCCAAATATTATTTAAAAGTTGGTCAGCGGTTGGTCTTTCATTGGGGTCTATTCTTAGCATACTTAGGATGAAATATTTTGCGTCGACTGAGATGTTTTTCCAGAATCTCTTATGGAAGACAACGCAGTTGTCATTTTGAACCTCTAATAGGAAATCATTGATTGTTTCAGATCTGAAAGGCGAATAACCACATAATAAGGTATAAGTTATTACACCAATGGACCAAATATCGCAGGCCTTTGAATGAGCAAAACCAGAAAGAACTTCTGGGGCAGCATAGCCAAAAGAGCCAGCGGTTGAAGTTATCATTTCATTGGGAGATTCTAGTTTTTTGGCGATACCAAAATCTGCTAGGACGATTGGAGAATTTGGATCTTCTTCTTCGGATCTTAAATAAAGAACATTTTCAGGTTTTAAATCTCTATGAACAATGTGCTTTGAATGGATATAGGATAAAGCATCCAAGATTTGAGAAATGCAAACCGCAGCATCCTTTTCAGTGAATTTTCCTCTAGAAACAATTCTATCAAATAGTTCACCACCAGTGGCTAATTGAGTTACGATATAAAATTTGTCCTTACTTTCAAACCAGTCTCTGAAACCAACAATATGAGGGTGATTTAGTTGTTGCAATAGTTTCAATTCATCATAGACCATGTTGTAGTTACCTCTTAATGTTTTTTTTAAGATGATTTTAACAGCGACCTGCTCATTTGTTTGACGATTGAGAGCTTTTCTAACGACACCAAAGGTACCACAACCCAATACTTTGCCATAGACATAGTTTTTGTTTCTTGCGTAGGAATCAGGCTGGCCACTAAGTCTGTTGAAGATTTTTGTTGCAGTGTGGCCCTCAATGGGCTTTGGAAACTCAAGATTGTAGATACCCATGTTTGGTAAGCTTGAAGAAAATGAGGCAGGTAACAAAACACAAATACTGGTTGGTTATATTTCCCCTATCAATGGCAAGGGGCTCACAATGTCTTTTAAATAGTAGAAGAAAGTGAAATGGACTGCGCAGCAGATGCAATGTGTTCTTCTGAGATGATAATTGCAAATCAAAACTTTCAATCAGTAATCAGTATGGTAATTGGAGAACAATAGACCTAGCATGGGATCCAGGTCTAATTTACTGCTATCTTTGCTGCTTCGTTCCACGATCCCTCGTCAAACCGCTGGGTTTGTCCCGACCCCAGGCCCCCATCTTCCGGTACAATTTCGACCAGCGATCCGGCGGCACTACCACATCCGGCGCCTAAAGCTCAGTACTGTGGCGCAAGTGCATATATGTACGTCCGGTGAAATACCGTTCTATTGCCGAACTCGAGTCCGTCGAATCCAAGCAGACCGGCGACGGCTGCTCTTGAGTCAGGTGCTTCAGCGGCGCAGCGCCGGCCGCTCGATTGTAAGCTAGCATCAGCAGCACGATGGTAAGGGCAACATAAGTCTATTGGGTGCTAGTGGGTTGTGTTGCGCTCCGGAAGCATTGTGATTTGCTGACTGTGTTGTTAGCTTAGAATGTGCATTTGAGTTGTAGGATTCGCTGTAGAAGAATTAAGACTCCATAATTAAGATTCTATGGAATCCTTCTAGAAAGAATCTGAGCCTTTCTACGGCCGCTTGACACATCCAAAACCCGTTTACTTGTCTGGCGGGATCTCCCACTCCAGCAGTCACACACGTGAAAATAGCGCTGCCCGCCCCGAAATAAAGCCCAGAGTCGACGGAAACAGACGGGGTTGTTTTAGGAATGAGCTCATGCACGAGATCTGAGCAATGTGCATTTTTGAGTCAATTTGGCTTGCTCGATCTTTATGGTGTTTAAGATTTCAACAATCCCTTTACGTTTTGGTTACTGTTGAATTGGGATTCAATTCGCCAGTTATTCAGATTGGATTTCAAGTATTCAACTTTTCAATTTGAACTGATGAGAACTGCTCAACGGTTTTCTCTTAGGTTGATTGGAATTCCACTTCTACATATGTGCAGTTTTTTTAGCTCGCTGGAAATCTTTTTTCAAGTCAAACAAAAGGTAAAAATACCCTTATAAGACTCCTGAAGGACTAACAAGCGATTCTCAAACCACCTTTTATCTTGACGAATTTACCTTCTCAACAAAAAACAATAAAAAACATTTAAAGGAATTGCAATTTATGTATTTTGTTATTTATTCACTAAATAATTTCTTCCACTACTAATCATTACTATTACTATACTTATTACTATAACTATTACCATAACTATTTATGATCATCGTTGCTGTTGATATCATAGTTAACCTTTACTAAAAGAAATTCAAACCAAAATTAGCAAAAGAAATGACAATAATTGGCTCAGTTATAAAGAAATTTTACACTTCATCATCATCATCACCATCATCATCTTCTTCAAATGACAAATTAACCTCTAACCAAGGCAAGCAAGGTAGTGCAGATAGTATAAATGCTATAAATAATGGCACCAATAAAAACAATAATCAAAACCCAATAATATTCAAAATCACTGATACCTCTGATAATGATTCGGACTTAAACTCAAACACTGCAAATCAATCTCTATCAACTCAAAATACTGATATTAGTAATACCAATGATAATAACAATAGCAATAGAAGAAAAAACTCAAGAAAATCAAGACATAATAGAGCAATCTCAATATCAAGCTTCTTATCTAAAAAACACAACTCAAAACCAAAAGATAATAATAACAATAATAATAATCCAAATTTAATTAACTATAACAATAACGATAATGAAGACATCAGCACTCTTAGTTCCATCAATACATCAAATACCAACTCCAATAAAAGAAAAAGTAAAAGACATACAATATCAATTACAACTAATGAATCAATATTGAAAAATAACTATAATATTACTCCAACCCCAGCTCTACAAATTTCTTCAAAACCTTTTATATATCCAAATTCAAACACAATTCCAAGTGCAAATTCAAACAGAAACTCCATGCTTGAACTCTCTGACTCAATCAGTCGCTTAAATTTTAATACCATAGACACTTATAATAATCAATATAGCAAAAGTGTTAGTGATATAGATCTAAATACAGAAAGTGATATAAATATTAATGATATTCCTAATAATCAATCTAATAACAAATCTAGTAATAACGAAAATGACAACAACACATACTTTAACAAAGCTGTAGAAATTAATAACCAAAATTGTAAATCTCTTCAGGATAGATTAAGCTTAGACTATTCCACTTTTTCAATTAATCAATTAATCAATTTAGATCAAAATAATAAGAAATATATAAATATAAACAGTAACATTAACAATAATATTGACAGCACTGTCGAGAATAACATTAATAATAATATCAATACTAACAACAACAACAACAACAACAACAACAACAATAATAATAATAATAATAATAATAATAATGATAATAATAAAGATGAAAAATATAATAGCAACGAAGAATTGGATAAAAAACGCAGAAAAAGATCAAGTCTTTTAAGATTCGGAAGAATCAAATCATTGAAATCAATGAATAAGAATAGAAATAGAAGTAGAAGCAAAAATAGATTAAATGAATCTCCAATTGAAATTAAAAATAACCATTCTGATGTAGGTTTTGTCTTTGATTTCGAAAAAGAACTTTTTAATGAAATTGATTCTAATGCTTTCAATAACAATTCTTCTCAAACTCATAATAACGAAACTGAAAAAAAATTAAGTTGGAAATTCGAAACTATAAATGGTTTATTTGACCAAGATAAATTATATGTTCAAGATTTCAACTATCAAAGTTTGGATAAAAATTTTGGAATTGGAGATAAAGAATGGGAATATATCACATTGTTTTTCAAATCTTTAATAAAAGATTCACTCAATAACAATATCAAACAAAATAAGAAAAATAAAAAACAATTTGAAAAAAATTTATTGAAATTGAAAAATAATTTATTTGATAAATATTGTTCTAAAAAAACCAGTAATAATTCTATTAATACGACCACCACGACCACTACTAACAGCCTGGATAAGGATAAAATTCAAGAAATTAAAAGGGAATTTGAGAAAAGTTTTAATAAAATGATTGAAAATGAAAACAAAGAAAAAAAGTTTGAATTTCTAAAATTCGAAGATAGAAATTGTTTAATCATTTACAAATTACTCTTTCTAACTCGAAATAGTGAGAGCTTTAAAAGTTTCAACGAAAACTTACTTGACCCTAGTATAAACAGTCGAGGAAAGAAACAATGTGAAAGATTAAAAGAATGTTGGATAAGACAAATTGATAAAGGCTGCCCATTACCAAGTTTGTATTATTCATCACCATTAAGAAGGTCGATAGACACTCTTATATACACATGGAATGATATTGTATTGGGACAATATTACAATAAATATATCGAAGAAAATGACGGTGAAGATGAAGAAGAAGATGAAGAAGAAGATATTTTGAGAAGAAGAAAGGTCAAAAGAATGAATACAATTGATAGTGAATTCGAATTTGATAAAGAATATGACTATTATGAACTAAAATATGAGAGAACTATTAAGACATCGAATAATTATCAGCCAATAATATATGAAAACCTAAGGCCATTAATTGAGTTGAAAAATGTCAATAAGAGACATAATAAAAGTGACATTACTCAAAACTATCCTAATTTTATACTCCAAAATGATTTTAGTGAAGAGGATTTATTATTTGAAAAGTATGAAAAAGAAGCGAAAAGAAGCGAGAATGTAATAGAGTTTCATGAGCGAATATTGAATTTTATCAAATACGAAATCTTTGAAAAGAATTATTTGTTAAATCAGTACAATTCTAATAGTTGTTTATCGATCAACTGCAATTTGAGGACCATCCAGGAGATCTTGAAGATAATGGGACATCGACCATTTCATGTTGAAAAAGGTGAGCTTATACCAGTGTTGATCAAAGGAACCAGAGAACCCACAGACAGCAACAATGTGATATTGAAATATCAATAAACATATGGGTAAATCTTTTTTTATTCTAAATAGCCTAATAATACCTGTCTTTTGTGATTGGTTGGTATAGATATAGATATAGATATAGAACTTTAATGTAATACGCAAAACCTGTCAATTGTGCATATTCCCGCTTTATCGTATTCTTCTCTAATCAACTCTAAAAAGTGTTTTTGTATTATCGATAATTTAATGGTCGAGTGAAATATCTTCAACACTACAAGATATTTCATTCACCCATTCAGCATCTTCTAAAAGGTTGCCTCTCAAATCGATATGATTCAATCAAATCTGATAATTTGAGGATCTTTTTAATTTTTTTTATGATGCTACAAGCTGGATTCAAACTTTCTATATGAATTTGATTTTCAATTCTAATTCTTTTTAGAAAATGATGAGTTCTGTTATGTTGGAAAAGTTGGAGTTTAGAGTATTCAAAACTAGCAATTCTGAAAATGATTATAGTCATCCAAGATAATCTTATTGCCATAGAAAGTAATCTTATTGCCATAGAAAGTAATCTTATTGCCATAGAAAGTAATCTTTAAACTTGGGAATGTTTTCCTCAATCTATCACTCTTCTTTGGATACTCCTGATTTTGATATTGCAATCTTCATAAAGTTAGACAATTGTGGAAGATCCTTTTTATTTAAACCTGACAAAGTGGGTTTTCTTTTAAACAATCTTTTGAATAGTTTTTTGAATATTGAAGACTGCTTAGTTTTAATTCTCCCATTTTGAGTTAGATCTATCTTATTATATCATAGATTTACAAATGAACAATTATTTAGCTGTTCAATAGAGACTAGTGTTTTAATACGATTGTTTGGTAAGTCCAAAGATTTCAAATTCTTTATACAATTCAAACCGCTAATTTCGGATATTCTGTTATAGGATAGATTCATTGTCGTTAATTTTCTCAAACACGTCTTATTTTCCACAAGTTTAAAGCCACTAATGTTGTGTGCTAAATTGATCTTACTTAAATTGTCTAATCTTTCAATGTTTTCTACAATTTTTATCCTGTTTGAACAAAGATTCAACACTGAAAGCTTGACCAAATTGATCAAATTTTCTATTTTTGTTATTTGGTTATTTGAATATTGCTAATTAAATTGTAACAAAGATATAATTCTTCTAAATTTGACAATGGATTTAAACTTCGAATACTTTTGATATTAAAAATGGAATTGTTTCTTAGATTTGGTTTGATCTGATCTTCAGGCTCAATGGGATTGTTAAACTCTTTTAGTTTATTAGAAAATAGTTTTAAAGTAGCCAAATGCTTTGGAAAATGAACATTTTTAATACTTGTAATTTTACTGTTGGTTAAGTCCAAATACTTTATCATTTCAGAAAAACAGACATTTTCCAATCTGCCAAAATTATTATTTCTTAATTCAAAATGGTTTATACTTTTTAGCTTTGACACGCCAGATTCTATTTCGGTTAGGTCCATACCATTCAAGTGTAATCTTTTCAAGTCAAATTGATTAAAATTAACACATTCATCTGAGAAAAGAGATTGTGGATCGGTTAGATCCTCTGGATGATAATCAGGATCGTTACTTGTGCCTGGTGCATGTTGAAATTTGGAATATTTCCGAGAAATTATATTCTTAAAGTCAATTATCACGGTTTTCAATGTGTGTTTTTGAACTAGTAGCAAGTTTTTGATTATTGATATACATTTCCGAAAACCATCATGTACCTTTGGTTCTGAAGAAGGCGCTGAATAAAGTGCATTATTGTAACAGTACGAAGGTGATTGTACGTCAATTACCATTTTTGTCACTGAACAAAACATAGTGATTATGTCTTGATGATTATCTAATAAATTTGTGTCAGGCAAGCATACTTTGAGAAATATCGCATTGGTAAATTGATTCAAATAGTGTTTAAAAAGTAAAACATCTTTAAGGCTCAATATCAAGGGGGACTTTGGGAAGTTTTTAGTGTGATCAGAAGGAACAAAATTTCGAGAATCATGTGTAATTAGTTCAATATTTTGGAATACTTTTGCCAAACATGTTCTTTTAACTGTTGGGTTAGCAGAGGAAATGAATAAGAATGTTTGTTCAAACGAGAGTTGGGTAAAAATAGCGTTGAGAATGTGAGGTGGCAATCCCTTTAATATGTTTTGTCTAGGACTCTTTGGCACTGCAAGTTCCATTGTTGATATATTTTGCTGGCTATGGATGCTATAAACAATGTATTTATTTCAGCAAAAGCAGAGCGAAATATCGGTATATAAATAGTGAGGAATTGTTCTGGAATCATGTACAATATGCACAATTATTTGAGTTTGATGCGTCTACATGCATGATACCAAACTAATAAAACAATGTCTTTGTTTTTTTCAGAGCAACTCTGGAAATTTTATTGTTGTCTGGATGGTTTGAACAGAGAAAGCTGTTTGTGTTTATACCAAAGCTGTTTGTGCCTATATTAACACATCAAATAGCGAACAGCCTGGGCAATATATGAAGGCCCAAGCGAGTTTGTTGGTGCTCTCTAGACAAGCTGTCAAACGCGCGTCGGCAATAACGTGCGTCAACAATAGACCAGCAATGTGGATGTGCACACAGATATATGTGATCCGCCGAAAGAGGAAGGCAGGACCGGCACTGACGGTGCACCGTAACTTGCCTCATAACTTGCGCTATAACTTGCCCCATAACACGCACTAACAGCGCACAAAATCGCGCACCATGTTTCGTGCCCTAAACCCGCTCCTCACCAAAACACGGGTGCAGTGCGTTCACCTCCACGCTGTGATTAGTAAACTGATTCTCACACCCTTTTGGAACGGCAAACAACTTCACTCTTTCGTCAATCGCTTTACGTAAGCTGCCTTTTTGGGCAACGTGTTGACCTGAGAACCGAAGGAAGAGAGGGAAGAGAAGAAAGAGAAGAAAGAGGTAGAAGAAACAGCGCTGATGGAAAACTCTGCTGCTTTGTCCAAAATCTCAGATCTCATCAGGACTGAGGATGATTTGGTCACGATCTCAGACCTCAGGACCCAGTTGGTCAACGAAAAGTCCTCCATCGACATCCAGTTGAAGTCTATTTTCCAGAAGCAGATCCAGCTCACCATGAATGGCTTGAACAACTTGGGTAGGGCCCAAAGCTCGATCAATTACTTGAACTCCAATTTCAACAGGATCTCCAGGATCTCGCTTGAAAACATCAACTCCATTGAGAAGTACGAATTGATCAACAAGATGAACAACATTTATCAGTTCTTCAACAGCGTCAACAGCATTTACAACAAAATCCTCACCTTCAAGGACAGTTGCGATCACATTAATGGCCTCATCAACCAGGACTTGAGCACTATAGTAGAAGACGACGAGGCAGATATCGAGAAAAACATCATCACCGATGTAGGCGACCTCTTTCCCAACCTATTCAAGATCCATTTCAATTTGACAAAGCTAAGGGACTTTAAAGACCAATTAGATGACTACTCTTTGAACCTATCCTCTGATTACAAATTGTTGATCTTGAAGCTATTCCAGCCACTAGACTTTATCATATTGAAATTCAATAAGTTGCTAAAGGAAATCATCTCTGGCCTATTGGAATCCTTTCAAGTTCAAAACTACGAATTGATAATTAAACTTTTCAAAATTATTGAAGTGGAAGAAAAAGAAGACTTAAAAATTTCATGCATTTTGAAAATTATCGACCATAGAGCTCATGAATTATTGAAAAAAAATATGGAAGAAAATGGTATCAAGTATATCAATGCCACCAAAATTATAGAATCTCACAATGATCACATTAATGGAAAAACAAACAATAACAATGACAATAATTTGCCAATTGCTCCTAAATTAACTTATCAACAACAACAATTTTATGATAAAAGTTATAAACATCTCAAAATTCAAATTCTATCAAGTAATGTTACCTCAAGAATGAAAAATAGAAATTATTTAAAATTTTTCTTTCAAAATTTGGAATCCTCAATAAATGAAACTTTTCAAAACTGCCAAGATCATTTTTTCAATATTAATTCAAATAATAACACATTTGAAATTTTAAATAACCTAGATTGGATTAAAATCGATTTATTAAGTGCTTATGGAATACAAAATAATTTAAAACCTCCATGTCGTTGGAATTTTTTCAATAGGATTTTTCAAATTTATTATGATAAATGTCAAACTATTTTATCAAAACTAATCGATATGGAACCTGAAACTTTAATTATCTTAAATATACTAGATTTTGATAAAGATTTCACTTCTTTCTGCAAAAATGACTTGAATCTTAAAAAAAATGAGTTAAAATCAATCATTGGAGAAGAAACTAAAGAAAAATTATTATCCGATTATTTGGATTTAATCATCAACAAGATGAATGATTGGATGAATAATTTAATAAAAAATGAAAATAAAACATTTATAGAAAGAAAAAATGCTCCAGAAACAGATGGTGAGGGATTTTTAGGTTTAGAAGGTTCAAATATTGCTGCTCAAATGTTTAGACAACAAGCTGACGTTGCAGCCGGTTCTGGTCAGGGAAAAATTTTATCTGGTGTTGTTGTCGATTTTTGTAAAATTTTAATTAAAAGGCAAAATAATTGGTCAAATATTTTAAAGGATGAAGTATCGAAATTAATAATGGTCAATAATCGAGAAACTAAAAATAATAATGAGGATGGTGAAACAAATCCGGAAGACGAAGTTCCTGGTGGTTTAATTGAATATATTATTGCACTTGGTAATGATCAACTAAGAGGTGCAGATATGATTGAATCAGTTCGCAATAAATATGTTAAAATGGTTTCCAAGAAATATCAAGATGAAATGGAAGAAAATTTAAATCTTGCTTTGGACGGTTTTATAAATTTATCAAAACAATCGTTAGAAGCAATAATTTTAATTATGTTTGATGATTTGAAACCACCGTATTCCGAAATTTTCACTAAAAAATGGTATAATGAAAGTGGAACTGAAGCCCAACAAATTGTTAGTACATTATTGGAATACATTGTGGATTTTAAAACTTTTATCAACCCAATTTTATTTGATATTATAATTGAAGATATCATTGATGAGTTAATCTTGAAATATATTCAAGCATTGAATAATCAAGATAACCATTCATTTTCGAATGGAAATGAGAAAAAGAAAACCAAAAACATTGAAAAAATTAAGTTGGATATTGGAATTTTTTATAAATCATTAAGTGAATTTTATGGGGATTTACAAAATAAATTCCGAATGTTTGAATATTTAATTGATTTTATATTTTTAGAAGATGTGGATGAATTGGTTGAAAAATTTAAAGAATTGGTCAATGACTATAATGATATACCACTTGAATTCATGAAACAAATCTTATATAATAAAAAAGTTGATGTGAGAGACCAAGAGTACATTTTGGGAGAATGTGATAATTATGTCAAGGAATTTTTATCACAACTTGGAACAACTGAGCCAACATATTTGGCAAGATTGACGTTCAAATGAAAGAGCTATATAACGATATGATCGAATATTCATTATATATGTGTTAATTGAATAATGTAATCAAGTAATGCAGAATAATTTTTTTTATAGAATATATAATGACTATTTTTATTTTTTTTGGGGGGAAAATCATCAAACCTTTTGTTGAGTTCTTAAAAAATGAGTTGGGCATTCATAACCTGAGGGATTATTGATTAAATATTTTTGATGGTAAGCCTCAGCATCCCAAAATTGAGTAATTGGTTCAATTTGAGTTACAATTTTATGATTAAGATAAAAAGATTTTTGTAATGATTCTTTTACATAAACTGAGTCGACTAATTGTTGTTGATTATGAGTAAAGATAGCAGATCTATATTGGGTACCAATATCGGGGCCTTGTCTGTTAACAGTTGTTGGATCGTGCATTTTGAAGAAGAAATCGATTAGAGTCTTGAATTCAACAATTTTGGGATCAAAAGATATTTGCAAAGCTTCAGCATGGTTTGTTTGGCCACCACAGACTTGTTTATAGCTTGGATTGGGAGCAAACCCATTAGCATAACCAACTTTGCAATCGATTAGTCCTTTGCCATCACCAAAATGTTTTCTGTAGATCATTTCAGTTCCCCAAAAACAGCTGTATTAAAAAGAGAGAAAACCATGTTAGTAATTGATGTAATGGCAGTAAATAATTGTTACTGATGATTGGAATTTAGAAATAGAGACATACCCAGCAGCAAGAGTGATGATTTGAGAACCCTCAGGGACTTTTAACAAGGAAGATACAGTAGAAAGAGACATTTTAAGTACGTGTGAATCGTAATGGATCTTAAAAGGTATAAATCTAATTCTTTAGAGAGAATTATTGATATATATAGTTTCGGTCAGTGATTAAATGATGGTATTGTTAGTGATTGTATATTAATGAGGGTGAGAAAAAGTCTGACAAATCATTGAAGTATTTCCAACACTATGAATCGCAAACTAAAATCGAGATATTTCTACAAAAGAAAAGAGAAAAAAAAGTAAGAGCTGACTGACTATATTATTAATCTATATTGTTACTCTTTGTTAAACTATTTAAATTAGTAGTGCTGTTGTTGTTACTATTTGTGGAGGTATTGGTTTTATCTATTTCGTTAGTATTAAATCTTTCTTGCATTAATTTGAGAGCGACTTGTCTTCGTCTTTCAGCGATTTCTTGAGCTTCAGATGATTTACTTGTGTTTTTATGATTGGCGTTGTTATTGTTAGTTGAGAATACTGAGTTTGATAAGGAAGATTGACCATTGATTCTTTTAAGAGCCAAATCATTTGATTGTTGGATTAAATCGTCAGTGAATTGACTAATTAAACCAAGACGAATTGATAATTGATAGATAAGATTAAGGATAGGAGATAAAATTGGTTGTAGAACAATTGGGAAAAAATGAATAAATGCAAAAGTATCAGAGGCATCACCTTTGATTTTTCTCACACCAAAGGATTGAGTATTTCCTGTGTTGTTAGTTGGTAATAAAGGATCTAATATAATTGACTGATGAAATCTTAGGTAGAACCATGAAAAGAAGAACGAAAAAATTGAATTTAAACCAGGATAGTAAGACTTATTAATGATTGATACTATGATTAATAAGTTTAGGACTACAAATGGTAGATGTTTAATTCGAACAAATATCAATCCCTTAAAGAAAACCAAATTGTGTTCGGGAATTAGTTGCTTGAAGCTGACTAGATAACTTAATAATAGAGTAAAGACACCACCATAGTTTTTATTTAAGATGTTATTGCTGTCATCAGAGGAATTGGAAATGAGTAAAGTAAGTGATATGACAATTAATGAGGTGAATAGATTGGTGAAAAAAGATATTATTAAATTGAATTTGAGTAACTCTTTACCTCCCCAAATTCTCTCAAAATATTTGAAACTGATCATGATATTTAATGCATTAATCAACCCCCCTAAAAAGGTAGATTCAACAAAGGTTGATAGAACCAATACCCATGGATTCTTGATGACAGAGGAGGGAATCAATTCAAAAAAGGGAATGAAGATATCATTGACTGATTTGATCTCATTTTGGTCACTCTGTTGGTGTTGAGCATTGTTCAAAATGTGGATCTTCAAATACAAAGTGAAAGATGAGAGTGTCAACAAGGAGAACAACGAGATCTTGGTCACTGGTGGAAGATTGAACTTGTAGAGCTTTGCTAGACTGGACATGGCGAGTATGGACAAGAAGAAGCAGTGTATTAACTCCTGCAAGCTACATAGATCATAGATGCTGTCTCTTGAGATGCTTTTCAGTTGGTGCTCAACTGTCTTCTTCCAACTTTCCAAGCCCACAGGCTTTTTCAGACCTAAAGCCGGTCGTGCAGCACGTGTACTTAACTAAGCGTGATTTATGCGCTTAGTAAATACATGACTAAGCATGCTGACTCAGCTCTGAGGTCAGCAGCCGTTTTGAGGAAAACCAATCAGCGGTCAGTTTTTAGTGATTATTCAAGTGGGATATCAAATCTGCAATTTCCAATACAGTTTGTCGACAGGAATCTGGCAATTTAACTGGCAATAATTTGGGATTTATTATCTATACTTTCAGGCTTGATTCATAGTTTGTCCCACTGGATATTGCTGATATATCCATTATATTTGTTACATTTTTCTATATTTTTCCACAATGATACAAAACTCAATAGCAAAATCGTTTGCTTTAAAATCCACATCCTCGACTTCTTTGAAATGCTCAATTAACACCATAAGAACTTTGGCGACCGCTGCTGGTGACCCATCTCAGACTCCTCCTCCACGTCAATATGGGGATTTAAAGGATAGCGACAGAATTTTCCAAAACATTTATAGCAATTATGGTGCCGATTTAAAAAGTGCAATGAAAATGGGTGATTGGTATAAGACCAAGGAAATCATCCTTAAAGGTGATGCGTGGATCATCGATAATATGAAAAGATCTGGTTTGAGAGGAAGAGGTGGTGCAGGTTTTCCATCTGGCTTGAAATGGTCCTTCATGAACCCTCCAGGCTGGGAAAAAAATGTAGGTCCAAGATATTTGGTTGTCAATGCCGATGAAGGTGAACCTGGTACCTGTAAAGATAGAGAAATCATGAGAAAGGATCCCCACAAATTAATCGAGGGTTGTTTATTAGCAGGTAGAGGAATGAATGCCAATGCCGCCTATATTTATATTAGAGGTGAATTTTACAATGAAGCCTGTGCTTTACAAAATGCTATAAATGAAGCTTATAAAGCTGGCTTTATAGGAAAAAATGCCTGTGGTTCAGGTTACGACTTTGACGTTTATGTCCATAGAGGTATGGGTGCCTATGTCTGTGGTGAAGAAACCGCTTTAATCGAAAGTTTAGAAGGTAAAGCTGGTAAACCAAGATTAAAACCTCCATTTCCTGCTGGTGTTGGTTTATTTGGTAGACCATCTACTGTTGCAAATGTTGAAACTGTTGCAGTAGCTCCAACCATTTTAAGACGTGGACCTGAATGGTTTGAATCCTTTGGTAGACCAAGAAACTCTGGTATCAAATTGTATGGTATTTCGGGCCATGTTAATAACCCATGTGTTGTTGAAGAAGAAATGTCAATACCTTTAAAGTATTTGTTAGAAAAGCACTGTGGAGGTATCAAAGGTGGATGGGACAATTTATTAGGTATTATTCCCGGTGGTTCATCCGTTCCAATATTACCAAAACATGTCTGTGAAGATGTCTTGATGGATTATGACGCATTGAAGGATGTTGGTTCCGGTTTAGGTACTGCAGCAGTTATTGTTATGAACAAACAAACCGACGTTGTTAGAGCCATTCAAAGATTGAGTGCTTTTTATAAACATGAAAGTTGTGGCCAATGTACTCCATGTCGTGAAGGTACTACTTGGTTAGACAAAATGATGAGAAGATTTGTCAATGGTCAAGGCTCCGAAAGGGAAATCGACATGATTTGGGAATTATCAAAGGAAATTGAAGGCCATACTATCTGTGCTTTGGGTGATGCCGCTGCTTGGCCAGTGCAAGGTTTGATCAGACAATTCAAACCAGAAATGATTGCTAAATTCAAAAAATTCGAAGAAAACATAGGCTCATCAGTATCGTATGGTGGTTGGGAACCAGGCTCTGATGTTAGAAATGGAAAAGTGGTTGGGTCCCACGTACCTCATGAACACTAGACTGTTTAATCCGTATCAATATTCATCCCTACGATATATTCTAATCATCATTTATGTTGTTTTTTTTCATGTGTTTTTATAACTGTTTAATTCTATATAATTAATTCACACATTCTTCTCTTTCGGCTTCCTGTGCTACTTCTGCTTCTGCTTCCGGGCCGAACGAGGCCATAGCCATTTTCTACGGCACGTGCACTGGAATTTTTATCCGTTGCCGGCTGACCACCGCAGCTTTTTTTGGACGATGCTCTTGAACAGAAAATGCTGTTTAAAATAGCTTCCTTTGAAGAGTTTATTCTTTTTAATATATTTCAACAACTCCAATGAAGCTTTTTTCTTGCAATACTCTGCTTGTATTTGTATCCTATCTCTTACTTGGCTCTTTGACCTCTTCTTTGAGCATTGAGAACTCTGGTAGCCCTTCCAACTCAATCAAAGATCAAAAACTCAAGGCTTTTAATGACAAGTCGCCTGTCAAGTTTGAGTATGTCAATAATCAGCCAATCCCCATTCAAATAGCTAAGAAGGGTGTTAGAGTGGTTCAAAATCCTATCAATCCCGAAATACCTGAGAATTCTGAAGGTTCTACAAGCTCTGATGCTGCTCAAAACGACCAGCCTGATGATGATACTTTACATTCCTTTTTAATGTCGATTCTAATGATTATTTCCTCAGAAATCGGCGATAAAACATTTTTAATTGCTGCTTTGATGGCAATGAGATCCCCGAGAGTTGTTGTCTTTTCGGCTGCCTTCTCAGCTTTACTTTTAATGACAATTTTATCTGGCGTAATTGGTCATGCTTTACCTGCTTTGCTTCCTCAAAAATATACACAATTTGCTGCTTCAATTTTATTTTTAGTATTTGGTTATAAGTTATTAATTGAAGGTTTGGCAATGTCCCATGAATTAGGCGTTAATGAAGAAATAGCTGAAGTCGAAGAAGAAATCTTGTCAAAGGAGCTAGGCTCATCTGGTTTGGATATTGAATCTTGTTCATCATCATTAGCTTTCTCGAAAACTAACACTAATAACACTGAATCCTTTTTAAAACAAATTGGAACTCAATTAAAAGAATTATCAAGTTTTATATTTTCTCCTACTTGGGTCAAAGTTTTTTTAATGACTTTCTTGGGCGAATGGGGTGACAGATCTCAAATTGCGACGATAGCCTTGGCTGCTGGTTCTGATTATTGGTTTGTTATCATAGGTGGAATCATTGGCCATGGATTATGTACCTCAGCTGCTGTTTTAGGAGGAAAATATTTAGCTTCAAAAATATCAATCAGAATGGTTACTTTAGGTGGTGCTGCTACTTTTTTTCTTTTTGCTATTTTATATATGTATGAAGCTGTTTATGGGTTTCATCTAATAAAGTTGAAATAAAATAAAATCAAAAATAGTAACATTAATTAAAAAAATAATAAAAATCATAAAAATAGAAATAGAAATAGAAATAATATTTATTATATTTTGTCATGAATATAAAATATAGAATAAATTTTGCTTGAAAAAAGCAGTTCTAATCAATTCAAAAATCTTCTTTTTATTTTCTTGTCAAATTATCATATCTTCATTCCATTACCTTATAATATAAATTTCAATTCAATTCAGTTTAATTTTTTTTCTTTTCTTTTGATAAAATATTATGTTTTAATATTAATTTCTATATATTTATATCTTTATATCTCTATCTTTGTTTTTTTTTAAAATTTTTTTATTTTCATACTAACATATCCTTGAATTATTTTTGTAGCTTGATAATAGAATTAGTTTATTAAACAACGGTATAGTTTTTAACGTTTTTTGGGTAACATTAATGCCAAATTTTATAACAATTAGAATTTTTAAATTAGACAAATTTTCTATTTTGTTTGAAGATTCAAATTCAAATTCAAATTTCAAATGTCTCAAACCAATTAAAGAAGTCAACTTTTCAATCCTATCAACTTGACTGATTTCTCCATGTTAGATAACTGATCAATTTAATTCATATTATTAAAAGATAGCCATAGCTAGTTTGAATTGATCAAATTAAATATAATATCAGATTCGGCTAAATCATTTGATAATAAATCTAAATGTTTTAATAACATTAATTTGGAATTTCTTAGATTAAGATTAGAAAATCTGTTCTTTGAAATATTTAACTATTTAAGATTCTGAAATCTAGACCCATTAAATTATGTTACAAACTGAATTGTTAGCTATCATTAAGTAAGACATTTTAATAAGGAGTATCTCTAAAATTATTAAGAGACAGGGTATCTTTGTAACAATTATTGCAAACAAGAACATCAGCAAAAATATGTGTGTTGACAGAATATCAAACCGAGAAAAGATAAATCCTTCCTCTATTATATCTGCTTCCCAAATAGGAAACTGCTTTTAAGCTATAACCACGTGATATAGACATTAATCCCATAATTATAGGTGCATATCACCTGAGTTAAAAATATCGGGTAACACTAGAACCTTTTTTGGTTTCAGAAGCCGCTGCTGCACTTTGAACTGTGGAGGATTTGCTGCTTTTACTGCTTTTGCTGCCAGTCTTTGGATGTGCTACTGCTACTGAGAGAACAAAAGACAACTGCTAGGATTGATCATCATAAATATGCTTTTGAGTCGGAGAGCTGCTACTGCTGTGGCTGCCAATCTGTCGTTGAGTTGCTGTTCCAGACATTCGCTACTTATTTTTAGGTCTTATCTTTCAAATTTGGCTATTTCTGATACTTCTCCTTTCAACGAATTGATTGAAAATGATGATAGTCTATATTCATTCAATGACGATTTTTCTCATTTGAATCTCAACAAGGCCTATATTGACAAAATAGCTCCATATTTGTCCAACCTAGGGCCTTATCCTCCAAATTCAAAATATATCAACAAACATCATTTTTATCATAATACTACTTTAGATTTTTGGCTAGCTAAAAAACCACATCCAATGACTCTTCGACAGTTGGTTTACTATGGCAAAAAATTAAATAAGGATAAGATCCTAGCTAGTGCTAATTTTGTTAGAGAGGAAATTCCAATCAGAATTGCTTATAAGATTAAAGAATTGCAATTAAAACCATTCTCAGTCATAAATAATTATCATTTGGTTCAAGTCTATGAAAGTTATTATGGCATCTTTGAACAATTTAGAAAAATTAAAACAATTCTGAATTTAGAAGAAAATGAACATTTTTGTTCAATTTTACAAAACTTATTAAGATTAAATTTATTGAATTTACCTCATATTATGATGGGTGCTCTAGAATGTTCAATCTCTCAAAATTTGTCTCAAAGAGATTTAGACGATTTCATGAGTTCAATGTTAAGATCAAGAATCTCAAGAAGAATTATTGCCGAGGAACATTTATCTTTAACTGATAAATATAATTTTTCAAAAGATCCAAATTATAAATCTAAATCTAAATCAAAATCAAAATCAAATGACAATAATAATAATGATAATAATGATAACAATGATAATAACGAGTTCTTTGGGGATTTATTTGTCAAATTATCTGCAAAGGAAAACTTACAATATTGTGGAGAACTTGCTTTAAATTTCACCAAAAGTCTATATCCAAATGATTATCTAATGCCTAATTTAATTATTGAAGGTAAAGATATCATTTTCCAATTTGTTCCAACTCATTTAAGATATTTATTTGGTGAAATCTTAAGAAACTCTTATGAAGAAACAATGATTAATTTTGTAAATAAAAATCTTTCAAATTTTCAAAAAAATCAAGATTTCTTTAAACAAAATAAACCTCCTCCAATAACTGTCACAATTATCAATAATAAAGAAAATATCTTATTTAGATTTAGTGATCAAGGTGGGGGTTTAAAAAATAACATTCCCATTGAAAAAATTTGGTCTTTTGGTAAAAATCCAAAATTTGCAAAACAATCTTTAATGAATTTTCATAAACTACCTGGTTTAGATTTAGCTACCAACTATTTTGATTTAGAAACCAATATTCATTCATCAATGAATAGTAATTTACATATTCAAAGAAGTAATGCTGAAGATCTATCAAATTTATTAGAAAAATCAAAAGTTGAAATTAATCAATTATCTTCAACATCAATTCCTGTGGAATCTTCTTTGGTCAAATTAATTAAAAGACCTTTAAATTTTAAGCTTGGTCTAGGATTGCCAATGTGCAAAGTTTATGCTGAATATTGGAACGGTGATATTAAAATGAATTGTTTAAACAATTATGGTACTGATATATATTTAAAATTAAGAAAATTAAATTCTTTAAATGAAAAACCACAATTAGATAGAGCTTAGACGAGACATTTCTTTAATTGTTATCTTTGTGAAGTTATGTTTTTATTATCATTCCTAACATTCATATCTATATTTATTTTTATTTTTATCTTTATCTTTATTTTTATTTTTATTTTTATTTTTATTCTTATATTTATATTTTGATTTAAATTTCGGTTTTCGTTTCTCATGAAACTTGGTGTATCTTTTTTTTTTCAATTCTCTTATTATTATGTATATATTTATATACCTTTAAAAATTCATAATTTCGTGACATATATATCTACTCATTCTTTAATTCCCTCAACAATTTACAAAACTTATCCAATTCAATACAAACCCAGAAATCAAATTTAACAAAATATATAAAAAAAAAAATTAAGATAAACTCCTTAAATAACTCTAATCAATAAAATATATAGTGGATACAAGATTCAACTAAAAACCATAAAAAAATACAAACTTCAATCAAAAATTTCTAAAGTGACCAAAAGAATGTAATAAAAGTAACATGAAGCAATGCTATGAAAGAAAATTAAAAAAAAGCTAGCTTTTATTGAAAATCAAAATAGAATTGTCTTACCAAGAATTATTAGGAGAATCTCTAGTCAATGATTTGAGATTCTTTTGACTTATAGGGCGTTGATAATTATTGCTAGGTAAATTAGTATTTGGCAACATAATATTTGTACTTGGAAAACTATCCGGTTGCTGATTTTGTTGAATATTATGGTTAGCTAATGAATCATGATATAGCAAGGAGTTTGGAGAAAATATGTTGTTCAAACTATTTTGATTGTTATGATTAGATAAAGAGTTTACATAATTGTTTTGATTGTTATGAGAATTTGAAGCTAACATTGGACGCAAAAAGAAATTGCTATTTAAATTTGTGGCATTCTTAATTAAAGGCAAACCACTTCCATTTCCATTTGCAATAGTACTACTAAGATTGAAATTATTCAAATTGTTGCTATTATTAAAATTGAAATTCAAGTTATTATTGTTGTTATTGTTATTGTTATTGTTATTGTTATTATTTATATTATTTATATTATTTATATTATTTATATTATTGTTGTTATTTATATTATTTATATTATTTATATTATTGTTATTATTGTTATTATTGTTATTATTGTTATTATTTATATTATTGTGATTATTTATATTATTTATATTATTGTTATTATTTTTATTCTTATTGATAATATTGTTATTGTTATTCATATTATTATTATATTGACCATTGTTACTATTGTTATTATTGTTATTATTGTTATTATTGTTATTTTTGTCACCTTCATCATTTGCAAGGATATTAATTCCATTTGATATGCTATTCAGTCCATTTAATGAGCTACTAGAGGTTAAAGAATTAGAAATGGGATCAGTGGATAAAAAAGAATTAAAATGATTTGTTGACAATTGATTGTTATTTGAATTATGGTTAGTGCTACCCACAAAGTTAAAACTGGATATTTCAATATTGTTTTGGTTTGGAAAACTGGAAAGACTATTTATATTATTTTTATTGTTGCTGGAAGTTAAAGAAGATATACTAGAAGAATTATTGTTGGAATTTGAATTAATAATAATATTATTGTTATTTGTTGCACCAATACTGGATGTAAGGTTATTATTAATATCTGTACCAAGATTTTCCATTGTGTTTCCATGGTTATTAGAATTAATGTCTTCAAAGTTATTGTTTCTATTAATTGCATTATTTGGGTTAGAGTTGAAGTTAAAATTATCAGTGTTTTGATTGTTGTTGCGAAGACTGATCAGGGGGTTATTGTTATTATCTTGATCAGTATTATTATCAGTGTTTATGTTCTTAATCCTGTTTATAAAACTATTCTTATCATGAGTATCATTATTAGACTTTGAAATATTTCCTAAAGTACTTAAATTTCCTAAAGTACTTAAATTTCCTAAGCTGTTAATACTGTTAATACTATTAATATTGTCAATATTGTTAATGTTGCTTATAGTGGAAATGTTATTAATGTTGTTGATATTAATGCCATTCATAGTATCCAGATTATTAATATTTGAAATAATACGATTGTTGCTGTTTTTATTGTTATTGTTATTGTTATTGTTGTTGAAGATATTATTCGTATAGTTGTTATTTGTATTAGAATTTGAATTTGAAGGTTGATTATAAGATAAAATATCATTTTCAAAAGATTGATTTTTAGACATTAACAGAGGAAAATTTGGCAAGGGATTAAGAGATTTACTCTTCAAGGAATGGTCAATATTAGAATCATTTTCTGTGTTTAAAGTTCTGTTATCATTATTCTGAAAAGAATTAATATTTGAACTATTTGTGTTGTTGATCAATTCGTTATTGTTTATATGGTTTAGATCTGTCATAATAATGTTTTCATTATTGTTGTTTTGATTATTTTGATCGTTATCATGATTTGAGATGTTGTTATTGTTTTTGACATTATTACTGTTATTATTAATATGATTATTACTGGGCATGATATTGGCAGTAATGGAATTGCTAATTGGGTTTGATTTCTTTTTATTACTAAGTACATTAAATTTATCGTTAGGTATATTGTTATTTTTGTTAATCATTTTTGAAGATGATTTCAAATTTAATGATGCACTTTTAGAAGTAGGAGAGTTATCGCTAATTGAAATTTTGGAGGATTGTTCATCTAAAGTATTATCAAAATTCATTTCATCATCGTCGCTTTCCTCCGCGAGGTTAATTTTTCCATCTAAGAAAAACAAATTAAAATAAAGCAATAGTAGGTCCACATTTGGTATATTGTTAACTTCAGTTGGGAGGCTTTCAGAGGTTATACTAAATTTTTTATATTTGTTCCGTAGTTCTCTATAATTTCTCCCATCAGTTGAAAAGCACTTCAAATCATTTAATCTGTGTTTCTTAGTGAATCTTCCCCAGAAATTGTGACCTAGTTTGATATCTTTAAAAGATAATAATTTTAATTGTTTCCCTTCATAATCATGAGTTACGCCTTTTGCTACTTGGTCAACCAAAAATTTATCTTCAAGTATTTTTCTTCTATAAAACACAATTTGGCAAATCAATTTTTTAACATCTCGAACCCTTAAGTATTTGTTACTGTCGTCATATATTTTGATTAGTTTTATTAGGATTCTTTCTTCGTTAACGGTTAATAAATTACAGCCTTTATAGCAGGCATTAACTTGAGTCTTTGGTTTTGATTTGATCTGCTTAACACGATTTCTCAAGGTCGAAGCAGGCAAACCAAGCTGGGTAGCAGTTGTTCTTAGAGGAGCTTTATCTTCTAGTAGCATTTTCAAGGCAATTTCCAATCGTTTCTCCTTTGGCGTAGAGACATACTCGGAGAGAGTTGGTTGTCGTTCCAAGATGTTGCGTTTGGTGGATATTGGGGGCATAATTCGAGCAGCAGGGGAGGTTTAGAAAAAACAAGCGTTGCAACAAGCAGCTGTAGCAAATTATCAGAGGATGTGTTAGAAGGTGTGTTACAGGTTTTACCAGATATTCAGAGTATCAGGATGGAGATATCAGCGAGTGCACAAGCGATTTAAACAAGAGTGAGAATCAGTTTACTAATCACAGCGTGGAGGTGAACGCACTGCACCCGTGTTTTGGTGAGGAGCGGGTTTAGGGCACGAAACATGGTGCGCGATTTTGTGCGCTGTTAGTGCGTGTTATGGGGCAAGTTATAGCGCAAGTTATGAGGCAAGTTACGGTGCACCGTCAGTGCCGGTCCTGCCTTCCTCTTTCGGCGGATCACATATATCTGTGTGCACATCCACATTGCTGGTCTATTGTTGACGCACGTTATTGCCGACGCGCGTTTGACAGCTTGTCTAGAGAGCACCAACAAACTCGCTTGGGCCTTCATATATTGCCCAGGCTGTTCGCTATTTGATGTGTTAATATAGGCACAAACAGCTTTGGTATAAACACAAACAGCTTTCTCTGTTCAAACCATCCAGACAACAATAAAATTTCCAGAGTTGCTCTGAAAAAAACAAAGACATTGTTTTATTAGTTTGGTATCATGCATGTAGACGCATCAAACTCAAATAATTGTGCATATTGTACATGATTCCAGAACAATTCCTCACTATTTATATACCGATATTTCGCTCTGCTTTTGCTGAAATAAATACATTGTTTATAGCATCCATAGCCAGCAAAATATATCAACAATGGAACTTGCAGTGCCAAAGAGTCCTAGACAAAACATATTAAAGGGATTGCCACCTCACATTCTCAACGCTATTTTTACCCAACTCTCGTTTGAACAAACATTCTTATTCATTTCCTCTGCTAACCCAACAGTTAAAAGAACATGTTTGGCAAAAGTATTCCAAAATATTGAACTAATTACACATGATTCTCGAAATTTTGTTCCTTCTGATCACACTAAAAACTTCCCAAAGTCCCCCTTGATATTGAGCCTTAAAGATGTTTTACTTTTTAAACACTATTTGAATCAATTTACCAATGCGATATTTCTCAAAGTATGCTTGCCTGACACAAATTTATTAGATAATCATCAAGACATAATCACTATGTTTTGTTCAGTGACAAAAATGGTAATTGACGTACAATCACCTTCGTACTGTTACAATAATGCACTTTATTCAGCGCCTTCTTCAGAACCAAAGGTACATGATGGTTTTCGGAAATGTATATCAATAATCAAAAACTTGCTACTAGTTCAAAAACACACATTGAAAACCGTGATAATTGACTTTAAGAATATAATTTCTCGGAAATATTCCAAATTTCAACATGCACCAGGCACAAGTAACGATCCTGATTATCATCCAGAGGATCTAACCGATCCACAATCTCTTTTCTCAGATGAATGTGTTAATTTTAATCAATTTGACTTGAAAAGATTACACTTGAATGGTATGGACCTAACCGAAATAGAATCTGGCGTGTCAAAGCTAAAAAGTATAAACCATTTTGAATTAAGAAATAATAATTTTGGCAGATTGGAAAATGTCTGTTTTTCTGAAATGATAAAGTATTTGGACTTAACCAACAGTAAAATTACAAGTATTAAAAATGTTCATTTTCCAAAGCATTTGGCTACTTTAAAACTATTTTCTAATAAACTAAAAGAGTTTAACAATCCCATTGAGCCTGAAGATCAGATCAAACCAAATCTAAGAAACAATTCCATTTTTAATATCAAAAGTATTCGAAGTTTAAATCCATTGTCAAATTTAGAAGAATTATATCTTTGTTACAATTTAATTAGCAATATTCAAATAACCAAATAACAAAAATAGAAAATTTGATCAATTTGGTCAAGCTTTCAGTGTTGAATCTTTGTTCAAACAGGATAAAAATTGTAGAAAACATTGAAAGATTAGACAATTTAAGTAAGATCAATTTAGCACACAACATTAGTGGCTTTAAACTTGTGGAAAATAAGACGTGTTTGAGAAAATTAACGACAATGAATCTATCCTATAACAGAATATCCGAAATTAGCGGTTTGAATTGTATAAAGAATTTGAAATCTTTGGACTTACCAAACAATCGTATTAAAACACTAGTCTCTATTGAACAGCTAAATAATTGTTCATTTGTAAATCTATGATATAATAAGATAGATCTAACTCAAAATGGGAGAATTAAAACTAAGCAGTCTTCAATATTCAAAAAACTATTCAAAAGATTGTTTAAAAGAAAACCCACTTTGTCAGGTTTAAATAAAAAGGATCTTCCACAATTGTCTAACTTTATGAAGATTGCAATATCAAAATCAGGAGTATCCAAAGAAGAGTGATAGATTGAGGAAAACATTCCCAAGTTTAAAGATTACTTTCTATGGCAATAAGATTACTTTCTATGGCAATAAGATTANTATGGCAATAAGATTATCTTGGATGACTATAATCATTTTCAGAATTGCTAGTTTTGAATACTCTAAACTCCAACTTTTCCAACATAACAGAACTCTTGTTTTGGATGCTTCTCTCCAATCAACTATTATTCATAAAAATATATATTCCATCCACATTCTGGAATAGCTTACAAAAGCTTTATACTCAATTTCTTGATATTGCAGCAGCTACTAATATTTTTTTTCGAACCGCCCTCAAAACTTTTATTTTTATTTATATCTTCTTTGAAGTTTTGGAAATGTATATCAACAATCATAAACCCAGGCGTTGGCCAAATCAAACAATTTACAGCTTTCTCTTTTATTTCATCGTTATTTCTTTCTTCCTCTTCTTTTGTTGTACTTTTGCTTTGAGTGTGCTATTTTCTTTCAATTGAATATTAGCAATCGAATTTCAGAACTGTTTGCCATCTACATACGTTTAAGAAAGAACATTAAATGGCAATAAAACCAGAACCTTGGATCGCTCCGCTTTTTGTGGGTGCTGGATGTTTCTCAATCCGGCGACGGATATACAAAGAGTGGAGCTGTTATCTCTTGTCTCTTTTCCCACCACAAGATGTTTGGGCTAGGAGGATTGCTATATGGTATGTTTGTGGATGTTGAGCTCGTTTGTGTGCGATTGTGAGCAATACTAACTTGTTGTCGTCTAGTCATTGTGTTATTCATCAACTCGATCTGTGTTTTGAGCGAGGACAGGTTTCTCAACAGGAGTAAGTAAGGTCTCTTTGTTTATTGCGTGTTGTGTTTTGTATTTTATTTGCTAACATTTCTTTTCACAAGTTGGATGGGGGAATAAAATAGACCAGCAGGCCTTTGGGGGGCCACTGGAGGCCACGATAAAGTCTCGTTTGATCAGCTTGATCTCAGCAATCAGAACGCTCTTGAAATGTATGTGATAAGTATTACTTCAATCAAATGACACAATTGACTTGTCATTCAATTGCATCAATGTCAAAAGAAATTATTGTGGTTTTAATACTAATACGCATTCTAGTCCCGTTAATTGTTATAAACATAATTATCATAATTTATGAGCTACTATTGGGTTAATGAATTTTTTTGCTATCTCTCTCATTTCATATAATATCTATAATATCTATAATATCCGGTTTCTGCTCAATTGTTTTCATATTTATAATCAGAAATTTAAGATTTTACAGATTCTAAATGATAAAAATTAAAAAAAATCTATTTCAATTTGTAGTTTATCAAATATTTAAAGTCCCTTGAAAGTACTGATAAGTTCATAAGCTAATAGCATAAGCTCATAATATTCTTATTTACTCTTGCTTCTCTTCTTTGCTGGACTGTTTAGGATCGGGTGAACTAATTGCGTGAAATTTGGAGATCCAATTCGCAACTATGATGTGACCGTATTTACCTTTTCTATAAAAAATTTAGTAAAGCAATCAAGAACAAAACAATTCAACTCACTAAACCTATAATCAGTTGAACCACTTCTCTTGTCCTTTAACGTTGGGATTATTAATATTGATAATTATATAAGATTATATGTTCCATAATTTCACGAAAATTTAAATTAGATTTGAGAAGAAAACCGAAAATAAAAAAATAAAAAAAATAAAAAGTTAAAAAATTTGAACACCACTTTTCTTAAAATCTTTTTTCTTATACCTCATCTCTCTTACTTTTTTATATTTCTAATAATTTTTGATACAAATTGATTCAAATTTTATCCAACCCGACTGGATTTGTTCAAATTTCAATAATTAAGTTACCAAGTCATTAAATGATAAAGTTAAGAGCAATATTAATTTCAGTAATGTTCTCACCTAATAAATATACAAGATCCGAATTATTAATAAACTGAAGCTTAAATTTTAATGAATAATTAGTGTTTCTTTTTTTTGTTTTATTTTAGATGATCGTTGAATTGAAAACTTAATATTCTGTTTAAAAGCAATAATTGTTCAAGAAGAAAAAAAATTCTTCTAAGGATAAAAAATGTAAATGTAAATGTCTTTTGTGCTTAAATGATTGAATAATTTCAATGATTAAATGAATAAATTAAAATAAAAAAAATTGATGTTGTAAAGTTATAAAAGTTAGAAAAAAATATAATTTTTTCAAGGTTTAAAAATATAAAGTTATTAAAACAAGTTATTTTAAATATTTAAATTATAAATATTTAGTTATAAAATTCGAAATGAAAATAAAAAATGAGTGTAATGGTTGCGTAAGATCTTAAGAATTAAAAGAAAATAAAAATGTAATTCAGTTTGGTTTGATTTGATTTGATTTATAATATAATTTATTTATTTATTTATTTATTAATTTGAAGTTGAAACTTTCTTGGAAATATTATCAATTTTTTTAAAATATTTTTGAAAAATCTCTAATTTTTTAGCAATATTATCGAAAATTTCTAATTTATGGCTATTTTTATAGCTATAATAAACAATCAAAGTATCATAGATTAATAGATATTGCTTTAATGTTTGAACCATTGAAACCCTTTGATTCCTAAATAAATCAACAATATCAAAAACTGGATCATGATTGCTATTTGGAGGATTGTTAGTACTGGTATCAGTATTGCTGGTATTAGTATTGCTGGTGATATTAGTACCATTCTTTCTGTCGTCATTATTAGTATTATTGTTATTATTGGTGGTAGTAGTATTATCATTATTAGTATTGTCATTATTTGGATGATTTATGATATAATCAATAGTTGAATCAATTGTACAAAAAGTACCAGTTCTACCACAACCAGCAGAACAATGAACAACAATTGGAGGATTTTCATTTGTTAAATTTGAATAATTTGTTGTAATTAATCTTTCGAAATAGATTAAGGTTAGTAGATCATCGTATTTATCAAAAGTTCCGTAATCAGGCCAAGACTCGACTTGTAATTGTAATACTTGATGTTCAGGTGAATCATCTAATTGAACTTGAATTCTTCTAATAATGATCGAAGAGTTTTTAATAAAATTAGTTATATCATTATGGTCATTATCATTGTTATTTGTAATAAAATTTTCAGTAAAATTTTGATCATTAATTAAATCTGACACATTGATTTCTTCGATAAGATGGACTTTTAAAGTACCATTATCGGAATAAGTTGCATTTTTCCAATAATTTGAACATTTTTCTCTATTATCTTCGAATTGAGAAGTTAGGGATATAATTAAAGGTGATTTGTGGTTAATAATCATTTCCCAAAAATCAGCTATAGTAGTGCTTAGAGGGCCTTGAGTGGCGATGTATTTATTTTGTGAAAAAAAGGAGGATAAATAAGAGGCGTTGATATAGTCTGAATCATTTTTCGCATTTGACAATTTGACCCTAGTATTTTCGTAAGGGATGATATCTTTATATCTATTTTTTGAGCCTAGTTCGAGACCTGAGGATATTTGTAGACAGTCCTTGTCATTTGGGTTTTTATTGTTATCGAGAGATAAAGCATTATTTAGTCTAATTTTTTCGTTATATTCCAACTGGTCAAAGCAGTTTGTTAGGTTGTTTGAAATTTGAATTGAATTTTTGGATAGTAAATTTGATAGCCAAATTGGAAAGATATTCAAGGGGATTGAATTTTTTTTGATTAGGTCATAGTTTAATAGTTTGAAGTAATCCGAGTTTATGTTTTGAATCGAATCTAGATCAAAGAAGCCATTGTTATTGTTGTTAATTGAGTTAATTTGGTTGATTTTGTTGTTGTTAATTTCGTTAAATAGATTAAAATTTTGGCAAGGTTCTTCATTTTGTCTTATTTTGAAGGTTGGCTGACAAGATGAAGGAGGTAGTTTGAAGCCAGATAGAGCAGGAGATATTTTATTTGATTTATATATGAGAGTGTTTGGAAAGGACGAGTTTTTATTTTGAACGTTGCAGTTTAGATTTAGGTTTAAGTTTAGATTTAGGTTGTTATTGTTTTTGATGTTATTGGGTTTATTTAGTTTTTTGTTATTGATATTGTTGAAATTAAAAAAGTTTTTTATTTTGTTGTTGTTGTTTGAAGGGTTGAGGTTGTGAGTGAAGTTGGTCGGGATGGAGCTTGGGTTTGATATTAGCTGGTTTAAAGGGCTTTTATCGATTAGATTTGGGAAATTTTTAGTAAAGGAGGTGAAACCACCTTGTAGTACAAAAACCGGAGCATTCCAAGCATTTTTGTTTAAGAATTTTAAGGACATGCAAGATAGAGTTAAAGAGGAAGTTAATGGTGAGTTTTCGTTATTGTTTTTGTTATTAGTGTTGTCGTTGTTTTTACTAGTCAGGGATATTATTGAGTTGGAGTCATAGAGAATTACACAGGGCAAACCAGTTGGACCTTTTGGTAATTTACTATTTGAATTTAGTTCAATAGAGTTGTTGTTAATGATATCGTTATTTAAAAAATAGTCAAAGATTGATTTTTCATAATTACCCAAGCTGTCAATAGACCTCTTCAAGTTAAAATTTGGTCTTTTTAGTAGAGTAGTTGGCAAGGAGAAATTTAAGGAATTTTTGATCCTTGAATTTGAATAGTCGTTAAAGGATCTTGTGTCCAATATCAATAAATTTGACAAGATTTTAAGCGAGTTTAAATCGGTATAAATTAAGTTTTTCTGGTCCAAGTAAGTAGCTAGTTGGGAAATCGTAATGGTTTTGGTATTTGGATGCAATTTGTACTTTAACAGGTTATTATGGGGTTTTTGGGCGACATTGTTGGTGAAGTTGGCATTGTTATTGAAATTTGGAATGTTGCAGACGTCGTGGATGGTGTGGATGCTGTTGGTGCTGTTGTTTCTTTGCAACTGTTTCAACTTTCTTGTGGTGGTGAGAGGATTATTAAGCGAGTTATTGAGATTCAAGGAGAGCGAGTAGTTGTAGTTGTTCACAGGCGAAGACCTGTTGATGGTGTTAAGAGTGTGTATTTTCTTGGGAGACTCAGTGTCATTTTGGGGGCTCTTTGGGCTGATGTTGGGCAAGCTGTTTATGCTGCCGATAGAGCTGATGTTGTTGAGAGTGGGATTGGAGGAGACAGGACAGGCAGAGTTGGAGGAGGCGTTAGATGACAAGTTCCAGTCAAAGGTCTTTTCGAAGGGCGTGGCAGTGGGAGTAGAAGTAGCAGAAGAAACAGAAATCATGGTAGAGCTTGCTCTGGTCGAGAAACAGTGGAAGAGATTCGAGTTCGATACAAGGTCTGATACACTTGAGAAGTCGCAAAGGAGGCCTCAGGAAAAAACGTCTTATATTTCAGTCTTTTCGCTCACAGCAAATCCAAACTCGACCCGAAGCGTAAACAAATTACGTTGCCGCGCGGAGCCCGTGACTGCGTAACGTCATAGCGCAGCTACTGCATAAGGATGCGTAGTTATACAGGAAATTTGCGTTGTTTGTGCCTTCATACGTGGAGAAAGACAGAAGCTGCAGCAGCACACAGAAGACTAGACTCAGGAAAAGACCGTTTTCAGAGCGCAACCCAGAGGTTTGGGTCCGGCTCCAGCAGTGTGGATGCTGTGCTGATCAGTGCAGTATGATACGGTATATTGCGTGCCAAGGCGTTTTGAGCAAGTTTCGACATAGTTCCGACATAATTCCGACATAATTCCGGGCTGCAGCTTTGAAGGTGGTTCTTTTGGAGCTTTTCACCAGCACTGCTACCAAAGCTGTCACCAGCTCCACCAGCATTCTTCTCGCCAGCACCAGCATCTCCCACTACTACTGCCATTCCAGCACCCCCTTCCTGTTGTTCCTACTGGTCCCACGCCTGTTGTTCATGTCTCCCAGCAAGTACCCGAAAAAGAAACACTTTAGATCTAAATTTTAGCTCTTAATCCTTTGGTCTCTGGTCCAGTCTTTCGCTTTTTAACTCTTCTTTTCTCTAGCTGCTCTCAATATCGCTTTCACTCCAATTATCCTCTTCCAATATGGATCTCAAAGTCACTTCTAATTTTAAATTTCCTCCCTCTCCTTCCAATCTAAACAATAACAGCGACAACATATCCACTACCTCTTCGTTGGTTTCCACTGCCTCTTCTTTTTTCAGAAACTCTATTTCTTCTTCCATAAATGATTCCCACAATCATTTTGATCACAATCTCAATAGCAATTCAGATACTAATTTGAATAACTTTGAAATGTCAAATCTAAATTCTACTATTTACACCGATAACAGCACCCACAATAGTAACTATAATGATGACGAAAACTTTTCAAACGAAAATGATTTCATGATTAACAACAACATTAATCACAATCATAATCATAGTCTTAATAACATTAACATTAATACTGGCCAAAACTCTTTTAAAAATAAATTTTCTTTCTTTTTCTATAAACTATGGTATGGCCCAGAGAATCCCTCTGATATCCCATTTAAATTCAACTCTTATTACTTGAAAAAATTAGACAATCTCCCTTTCTACTTTTCCAACTCTTTATCCAAAAAATTCAAGATAAACTTACTACTAATCTACTTATTTGGCTGGCTTTTGATTTTCTCTTTAATTTTGTTCCAAAGTTTAATCAAATCGCCATATTACTACGATAACAATGACAAAGAAAATATAATATCCTTTTCCTGCTTGAATCAAAAATCAATATGGAAGGGCAAAAATTCCTATTGTGGAATCAACGCAAACTTGTGTTCCCCCTTTGATAATAGAGATATCATCTTCAAATGCCCTGCCCTATGTGATCGTTCAAGTTGGACTTATTCCTCAATCCCTGTCGGTGATCAAGATATCAAATACAGAGGCTTCTTTATAGGTGGAGGCAAACTACCCTCCCAAAATACAAATAATAACGATAATGATAACGACAATAATAGCGATAACGATAATGATAATGATAACAATAATGATAACAATAACTTATCTCTCCCTTATAGAGCAGATTCTTACCCTTGTGGTGCTGCTGTCCATGCTGGCGTCATCTCCCCCTTCTTTGGTGGTTGTGCAAAACTATCCTTCATTGGATCTCAGCAAAACTTCCCATCAACTAAAGCTGCTTTTTCTTCTGTTGACAACTCGATACCTTTCAATACCTTTTTTCCATCTTCTTACATCTTTAAAAACCTACCAGCTTTGGTCTCAGGCTGTTATGATTACAGACTATCTCTTTTATTTATAAACATCCTATTAGGTTTACCAATAATGTTTTTTTGTAATGGTTTACTATCTTTTTGGATCATCTCTATAACTTCATTTTGGACTGTTTTATTATCGTTAGATCCTCCCCTAACCATTAACCCTCAAGATCCTGATAGTCTACCTTCTCTAATCTCAATGGGCTTTCAAAGACTATTACCCCTAGGTTTTGTTCTCTACACTTTATGGCACTCCTCAATATCAAAAACTCTAAACAACCAGACTTCTCCCCTAGCTAAACTGTTCATCTGGTATCCCTTGTTTTGGTTAGGCATAATGAATAACATAACCTTTGATAGACTACCCGTTGATAGATTGACAATCGATGACCTAAAAGAACAGCCTGGCTCAATCTTTGCTGTTGGCTCGATTTTTTTAGTTATTATAACTTGTATCTTCATCCAAGCTTACGTTCTTTGGAAATCGGGCAAATTTAGAAAATATCTATCCATCTACTTCATCTTTGTAATAGCCTTGATCTTTTTAGCAAGCTTATCCGGTTTAACTCTAAGAATTCATCACTATATACTAGGTATCCTATTGATTCCAGGCACCGCAACTAAAAATTTATCTGCAATGCTTTTTCAAGGTATTTTACTAGGGCTATTGATATCCGGTGTAGCTCGTTGGAATTTTGCCTCAATTGTTGAAACTTCAAAGGCCCTAAGAAGACTAGACCCATCAAATATAGAGGATTTGAAACCTCCAGGCTTTATCTCCTTTGACAAAGAAACTAAAATTCTAAGTTGGCAAAACGTTACAAAGCAAAAATCAAATATAATAGATGGTGAAATTGTTTCTCCTGATGATATGCTAGACGGTTATTCTTTATTAATTAACGATATTGAGAGATATAGAGGCGCTGAAATTGCAATTGACTTCGAACAACTTATTACCACAAATTCTGACTTAAATCTTCTAGTTCAAAAACAGTTGGGAAAATTCACAGACGATAATGGTGATATTTCTTTGTACTTGAGAGTCGGAAAAGCTACAAAGAAAATCGATAGACTGATTACTGGCGACTATACTAAAGCAGGGCTATTAAAGTGGCCAAGTGGAAATTTTGTTCCTCCTGCAAGTGGTGTAACATAAAAGTCTTATCTTACTCTTTATTTTCCCCTTTACTCTGCTGGGATTTTTAACAAGTTCATTCACCACTATGAGACATTTATAGATAATTAATGCATTTTATTTCAATAGAAAATTGATAAACTAAATTTTTTCTCATCAAGAAAAAAAAATAAAAACGTTTTAGGAAATATGTTAGATAATGCATTCTTTGTGTTAATTTGCATGTCGTGCATTAGACCCGTCAAGCCTTTTATTGTTTAAACTTCAACTTCAAATATAAAGAAGTGTAAATGAATAATCGGTTCTATTAATTGGTTATTTTAAAACCATGTTTATACCATTTTATATCTGATCGATTGTAATGGAGATGTCGGACAATAATATTTGATCAGAGCAGTTAATACAGTTCTTAATAGTGGCAATTTTTTTTTGAATTAACGTCGAATCATTACTGTGATTTCAATAAATATAACCATCTTAAAACTTTAGAGAATAATAAGGTGCAAATTAGTCTGATTAGTGGCTAAAAAAAATATAAAAAGGCATAAATGTCTAGCGATTTTCTTCAATCCTACAGTTCATATCCTTCAAAAGTATCATTTTATCACATCGATATCTCAAAATGACCGGCACTGCTATAGTTTTCCTCAATATGGGAGGTCCATCTGATTCAAAAGATACCTATGAGTATCTTCGAAAGATTTTTTCAGATTCTGATATGATGCCAATGGGGCCCTTTCAACCTCAGCTTGCTAAGATATTAGCAAAGATGAGAGCTCCTGGTGTCAAAAAGAAATATGATATGATTGGTGGTGGTTCGCCTATATTAAAATGGTCAAATTATCAAGTAGAGAATGTTTGCAAAATTTTAGATAAAACTCATCCTTCAACTGCTCCACATTTACCTTACGTCATGTTTAGATACGCTTATCCATTAACAGAAGACTCTCTTGTTGATTTATTAGATAAGGGTGTTACTAAAGCAGTGGCATTCTCTCAGTTCCAGCAATTCTGTTATCATACCAGTGGTTCTAGTATCAACGAATTATATCGTCAATCGGTAAAATTTGATCCGTACAACCAAGTTTCTTGGTCATTGATTGATAGATGGCCAGCTAATATTTTGTTTTGCAAAGCTTTTGCAAACTTAATCAATAATAAAATTTACGAGTTTTTAAATGAAGGAATAGTTAGAGACCCAAAAAATGTATTGATTGTATTCTCTGCTCATGCAATTATTATTAATTCGGTCAATAAAGGTGATCATTATGAAGCAGAAGTTGATGCATCAGTTCAAGGAGTAATGAAAGAATTAAAATTTTCTAATCCTTATAGGTTATGCTGGCAATCGCAAGAGGGTGGACCAGCCAATCTTTGGTTAGGCCCATCTACTCATAAATACATATCAACATTTGCTGAAATGTACGACGGTGTGGTTATTGTCCCAATTACATTTACTTCAGATCATATTGAAACATTATATGAAATTGATATTGAACTAATGGATTCACTCAAACCAGAACATCGCCATAAAGTCAAAAGATGCCAATCACTAAATGGTGATAGTGTTTTCATCGAGGGTTTGGCAGAAATTGCAAAAGAGCATTTAGATGGCTTAGACTCTGGTTTAGGATATAAAGGAAACAGAAAAAGATATTCCAATCAATTAGAGACAGATTATAAACTATTGAGCTCAAAATCAAAGGGTATATTTGAAAAACCTCGTGAATTTTTTCCTCCATTATGATTTAATGAAAACTGTTAAGAGAACATTTAAATTTTTCTATTATTTTATTTTTTTTCACTAACTTAATTAAAATCTCTTATATTTATAGAATTTTCTTTTTTATTTTTATTGCTTTATATATATGACTTTTATTTAACAGATTAAATTACCACTTGACATGATTTAAGATCTATGATAACGACCTTAAACACATCAATTTTGAATTAAAAAATAAAGTTACAAATTATCATGAAACTCGATAAGTAAATAAGTTCGACATTAAAAGAATATGGGGTAGGGTGTTTTTTCTTCTTTTGTAAACACAAAAAGTGAATACTATCCAAAATAATTATATTCTTCTATTATCAGTTGATTGTTTGATAACCAGTTTCAAGTTGCAAATTTGCAATTATTTCGAAAAAGTATTCTTGGATATAATTATTCTTTGATGGTGGTTCCTTTTAACTAAACTGATCGAATTCAACTCCAAATCAATTTCTATTTCCTAATTGATAATGAAAATTGAAGAAAAAAGGTAGAATGCAGCGTAGAAAACTAAAAATAAACTAAGCATTAAAACCAGTAAACTAAAAAAAAAAAGCAAAGAATTAAAGGAACGATAAAATAGAGAAAAAAAATGTACATATTAATGTTTAATGTTAAAGACCAAATAAACTGAAAAAAAAGCAAAAAAATCAATCAAAAAAAAAAAAATTTAATAAAACACAAAAGCACTACATTTTTAAAAAATTTTAAATTTTTTAGCAAATGAAAAGGGACCACCATCAACTACTTCTGGATTTTTTAATGTTCCTACTTGACCTGATAAATACACCTTTATAGATCTGTGGATATGACCCAAGAAATCAGTATAGCTAAGCAAATCATCTATACCGCTGTCTTCCACAAAATATGAGAAAAATTCACGTTGTTTTCCAATATCAATTCCATCTCTAATTAAATTGATTTGTAAAAAATCAATATTGGCCTTTGAAGTCAAATATTTGATTAATTTTCTTGTTTTGATATTCAACTCTGTTTCTAGTTCTGGCAATTCATCGATTGAAAGGGGATCTAAATCATTTAACAGATTATATTTTTCTCCAAATAAATGTTGAATTAATAATGGAACAGCGTTTCTTTGAATCCATAGCATTAACTTTTCTCCGTTAAATGCCAAGTAACATCCACCATCTTCAATTGAAGATTTTAAGCAATTGATAGTATCTGGAACATCATAAAGTTCCTTTCCATTTTCATCTCTTTCAACTTCACCTTCAAAATCGCTAAGTAGTTTATGTACAGGAAATATTGCGGGATAAAGATAATACAATAATTTATCCAATGGGTAATTATTTAAATTAAAAAATTGGTAAACTTTGGAATCATTATCGGTCAAAGTGTTTTTTATCCATAGACTAGATTTTTGAAATGCCAATAAATAAATCGGTAATAATTTTAGCCCATCTGGTAAGACTAACTGACCTGGTAATGAAGATGACTTTGCTACCAATCCTTTATATTTTCCCAAGACATCAACCAATTTAGTTAAAACGGTATCTCTAATAGATTTTAATGAGTCACCTGGTATATGGTCAAGACAGTCTCTGATTATTATGTCTAAAGAGACCTCCATATCAAGAAAAGAAAATACGTCAACTAATCTGTCGGTTACAGCTAAACATAAATTCATAACTCTAACTTTTCGAACACCTTCTGTTGATGTATAAAGAAAAGCTGCTTGAAAATGAGAATCATATTTTGTATCCAATTTGCCATCATACTCAAACAATACATTAAATGTCATGTCAGAGCTGAGAGTGGAGACTATTGGATCATAGGGAAATTCGAAACTTTTATGTGAGTTTCCATAATATTTTCTGACTTGTAAGCCACTAGAACAACGAACTTTTAGTTGGCCCTGATAACCGATTGTAGTAGTAAGAGATTTTTTAAAGTCAGAGATAAACTGTCTTTCATCTTTAACGGGGTTAAAATTCTGGTAATATTTTAAATTTCCGCCTGTTTTAGAGGTTATTAGAGCGACATTGGCTAAATCTACTGTTGAATTTGAAACAACAAATAAATCCAAGCCTACATTTGATTTTAAAAAGTCCTTTAATAGATTTTCATAATAAGCAGAATCCGGTTTAAAAATCAACTTTTGTGCTTCATGATCAGATAAAGCGTTTGAGAGTAGAGATGATTTACCCTCGGTCATAAATTTTTGTATTGATAAACTTCCAGGGCCCCAACTTGGCATTGAAGATAGAATGCAAGTTATTTTGCCTCCTTCTACTAATGAGTCTAAGGCCTGTTGGCACACTTTCAATGCAGATCCAAAACAAGAATAGGATTCGTTGATGGAATCAAAAATTGTTTCTATTGAATCTAAAGTTTCTTCAATTATTGATCTTGATTCAATTGGGTCGACCAAAAAGCCATTATATATTGGTAAAAAGGGGTCGTCAATATCAGCCATTATGGAGATTTCAGGTTCAGATAAATCAGGAGACAAGTTGTAAAAGTGAATAGATTTGTCAAATGTGACAATCGCAATTTTAGAGCCACAAGATAAGTTTTGCCAATAATTATCATCGTATAATATTGATCTGATCGATTCTGCAGCTATTTTGTTTAATCCGAGATGAATTGAATTGTATGAGACGTCAATTAAAAAAATGTGGTGAATTGGGTTTGGAGGAAGTTCTGGGTTTAAGTTATAAGCTTTAGGCAAAATAAAATCAACTATACCTCTAGTCAATTCTGGTCTTTGAAAGTAGTCAATTCTTTTTCTATCAGGACCTAGGGGAGAATAATAATCCGAGGGACAGTCATTAGGAAATTGACATAGATTACAAATAAATCTGTTTCCGTCATTAACAAATATCATAGAAGGATTAATATAGCATCTACAGCGACGACATCTTGGTGGCCCGCCAATAAAAGTTAAATCAATTTCAGGTATAGGTTCATCACCATCATTTTCAGCAGGACAAAAGGGTCTTAAGTATACACCGACAGGTAAGCTGGTAGCAGATCTCAATCTCTCTGAAGAAGGTAGATTGTACATCGAAGACCTCATATACTTTGGGGAAGCTATTCCTTGATCGACCACTTTGAAATGAACTTCGGAAGGAGGTGGACAGGCATTTTGAAAGGTCAAATAGCTCTTATACTTGTAATCTAATTGAGAATCCGATCTGAAGGCCGGAACAGAAAGAGATCTGTCAGGAATGTAGTCTTGTAGAGAACCTGGATCAGGAATTGTCGAGCTGACTTGACGTAGCCCTTGGTTGAACTGAATTTGAGGAACCTGCAAAGTCTGGGGCTGGTCTATGTGTTGGCTGTAATATGGGGTTGGGTTGTTGTAAACTTTGTGGTGTGTTCGAGAACTATAAGACTGTGGAGCCGGCGAGGAAGCTCTTGTGACTGGAGCAGTAATAGAAAAATTATTCGAGTTTGCCTGAAGATAGTCGAAAGATTTGACAGCACTTGAATTTGAGTACATTGGAGGCGTTAGAGTAGCCCCACGATCATCATTGTTGGATAGAGGAAGCAAGCCATGGGACAAGTTCTTTTGGTTGTAAAAAAAAGGCTTCAAGAACAGCGTTCCGGAGTTGATCGAGAGCCTTTTGAACTTGGACTCCAAGGTGTTAGAGGAAGCAGACAAATCCATCTTCAAAGCAAGGCAAGTTGGTCCAGAGCAGATCCACACCTTTGTAAGAAACAGCGTTCAGGAAGATGCTCTGTTAAGAAACCGAGTAGGAGAAGAAGCACAGAAGAGTACACCTTTCAGAAACACAGACCCCGTGATAGACCCCTGTTGAAAAAGGGGGTCTGGCGCGAAGGCGAAGAGCTCTTTCCAAATCAGAACAGTGATATAATGCTGGGAGGAGGAGCATGTTGGTGGGCAGAAGAGCTGGAGGTGATGTTGCTGGGTCGTTGGGCTCGCGAGTGTTTTCGAGGCTATTCAGGCAGAGGGTGTTGCAGCACAGCAGTTTTGTGATGCCCTCCAACTACGAGGGCGAAACTGGTTACGACAGGGCCTATTTTCGCACTGAGAAGCCCAAGAGGATCAGAGACACCAACTGGTTTGTTTCGTCTTACAACAAGAGACTCGCCAGCTTTGTTGAAAATTTGGAGCTGTCCACGCAGGTTGGGCTGGAGGATCAAAGACTGGCAAAGTTGGCCTTGTTTACTGATTTGTTCCAGAACCAACTAACAAACGACCAAAGTGTTCTTTGCGACAACTTGAGCTCTTTGAACAATCGTAATTACTTGTCCAGCTTTGAAAGAGTTCAAAGTTTCAAAGATAATGAACAGTTTATCTATTACAAACACGATAAACGGTTCAAACACAATGTTGATGCTGACTATAATTTGGTGTTTGCACGCTTTTTAACCAAACAGTATGAATTAAAAGACATTATGAGAGTTAATTTGATATATCCCTGGAGCACCTTTAATGAAATTTGTACAACTCGATATTTCGATCAAGAAACTGAAAAAATGGTTGAAAGAAAGGAATATTACAATACTGAAAACATTATTCAGTTGGGTAAAGTGACTTATAACTTATTTGTTAGCTTATTTATATTAAATTGGAACCAGAAAAAATTATTAAAAAGCTCAAATCCAGAGTATATTTCAGCGCCGATTTTAGACGACGAGGAGATAACGCTAGATAACTTTTATGATGACGATACCAATCTTTTTACTCGATTAGAGGAAAATTTGTCTTCCGCTAAAATCAATGAAATAAATCAATTAGAAGGTATTGTGCCCATTGATAGTAATTATATTAAGAAAGAATTGATGAAAGATGAAAACAGCTTAGAGCATCAAAAAAACCAACGAAAAAGTACAAAACCCAGAATCAGAAGATATAAACAACGTCAACTTTTCTCTTTTAAAAAGAAACCAACCGAATCTGAGATTGCTCTATCTTTGAAAATTGGTTATAACGATTCTAATGACATTGATGAAGAATTGATAATGAATTCCTATGATTTCAATTTATTGAAAAAAAAAGAAGATAAGGGCACTATCAAAAAAAAATCCAAATTGGCAAACAGCGATTTATTCCACTTAAATGTTACGGCAGAAAGATTGATATCCACCTCTTTATTAAAAAGTTTTTTCAAATCCAATTTTTGGCTTAAATATATTACGCAGTATGAAGAAAATAAGGGAGATACCAACATAAATCTATCAGAGACTCAAAAAACAATGCAAACAGGATATCTAGTTGAGAGGACTTTTCATTTATTGATCGGCATGATTGTTCAGCATTATGGTCAAAATCAATGTTTCAAATTCATTGAAAATAAAATTCTATTGGGAAGAAAAGGACTAATTAATATTTGTTATAAAAGGGATAAATACGAAATTGAGCTAGAAAAAAGAAAATCGACAATAAGAAGAAAACTAGAAAAGGTAAAATTGATAATTAGTCAAGTTCCACTAGTGGCTGTTCAAAAAAGGCGTATTGTTCGTTCGTTGACAAAATCAGCCAAAGACCTCAAAAAAGTTCAGAAATACAAGCCACACAAAATCTTCAAAGTCACAAGAAACTTGTATTGGAAATATCATTGCTTAATTGTTGCCATAATAACCCATATTCAAAAAATCAAATCCCAGAATGCCCCACTCACTAATAGCAAACGTTCGGAGATGGAGCACAGCATAAAAATGCTTCGACGCCTAGTTCCAATGAAAAACAGTCCTCATTTCAAGAAGCAGTTGTGGTTGATAAAAGAGTATGGCTCAATAGAAAAGGCACGCGAGCTTTCCATTATATAGTTTTTGGCTCTTTTGTGTTTCTCTGTATTTTCTCTGTATTTTTTTGTGCTTTCTTTGTATCTACAGTGGCCTAGTTATTCTGCCTGCTACAACTGTTTGGTTCTGGCTTTTGGCTTTTGAAAAAATTCATAAAGGACCCTTAATTGTTCTTTCCTTCACTCACAAATCTAAATATAACATTACAATCAAGTTCAAAAGCTTGAAAGGTCTTTCTTTGCAACTTAAAATTTTTGTTTGGCAATGTCTTATCATGAATTTCAATAATTTGAAACTACGCACGCAGGAGTTTGATGGGCATGTAGATCACTGTTTACCATTACAAGATCTTTTAATTATGGTAATACTAACATTCAATGATTAGATTATATCCAATATCATTTTCTCATGATGAATCGATATATTTACCACAAGATGTTTATAATGCATTGTTGAGCACAATTAGTCCTTTAGATCCTGATATAATAGATACACACAATAAATATACGGCAATTTATAGTTCATTATACTCCTTAGGATGCTCTTTTTCATTCAACCTCTCTGGTTTCATGATCGATATACCATTTCAAGAAATGATGAGTAATGAATCAAATGCGAGCGATGTTGAATATAGCAAGAATGAAAGTTTTTATATAAAAATTGATTTTCGGAAAAATCCATATGGTGACTTTTTTTATTAGGAATTTTTTTTTTAATGATTATTATGTTGTTTATGATTATGATGAGTACACCATATCACTAGCGCCGACACTCAATGCAATAGAATATTGGTTCCTAACTAAAGAAGAGTGGTTAGAATGTAATGAAAATTATCAGGAATATTCAGATTATGGGCAGGTTGATTATAATGATGTTGAAGTAGTGTCAAAAAACCAGCAAATACCTTGAGCAACAAGAGCCAAATACTATTCAAGTTCATACTTTGAATATGTTATCTCATACATTAACGTCACAACATATCCTGCTACCCAAACATATACATACCACAATTACATACCATACTCGTCATACATCTCAAAGATGTTTTTGCGATCCACTCCAGTTGGAATATACGACCACTACACAACAACACCAAGTGGCAATGGGCCATGGACAACAACAACAACAGCAATCATTACCGAAGGTAGTGAGACAGTAGTTTTGTTCAAGAAAAGCATCAGCAGTTTGGGGTTCACCAAGGCATTCACAACAGCATCACATCACAATGATAATAAGTTTAAGTCTTTCGAAAATAGTAACAATGGGTCAAGAATATCAGTAATGGATTTGCCAGCAGTATGTGTTTTTGCTGGTGTTTTTCTTTTCGCTCTGTTGATATAGCTAGAATAAAAAAATTATAATTCTGGTTATACCTTATCACTTTCTTAATTTTCTGTTTCAATTTTATACAACCAGTTGAGTTGATAATCAATTTAGGTTTTTTAGGTTTTTAGGTTTTTAGGTTTTTATATTTTTAGGCTTTAAATGATACACTTATGAAGAGGCAGAATCAGTACTGTGTTGATTCCTCTGAAGAAGCAGAATAGGCTGCATCTTTATCTTGCACGCGATTCTGCAGGGTTTCCGTAACTCAGCCGTACCGCTCACGGCTCCTAAACCGAAAATTACGGGATATAATTCGCTCGTTTGTTTCGACTAGCCGAGTCCGAAGTCAGCGATGAGCTTTCGATTTGCAGCTTTAATTTTTGCTTATTGTTGGTGAATGTCCACTCAGAACTTCTGAAAATTTTATTTATTTTTTTTTCAATTTATTGATGTGCATATAAATAGTGGAGAGATACTCTTTTGTCCCCTTTATTTTATCTTCCTTTTTTTTTCCTTTCCTTTGCAACGAGAAATAAATTCTTTTTGATTGCGACTGCTCCTTGAATTTTTTCTCTTTCTTATAACCACCCTTTGCTTTCGATCTCAATAATGTCCACTGCTTCCTCAACCCAAAAAATCGCTATATTATCGGTTTACGATAAGACTGGCTTGTTAGATTTGGCCAAAGGCTTGATCAAAAACAATTTCAAGTTGTTAGGTTCTGGTGGAACTGCCACTTTGATTCGCAAAAATGGTATTGAAATTGATGATGTCTCTGCAATCACCAAGTTCCCTGAAATGCTAGGAGGTAGAGTCAAGACTTTGCATCCTGCTGTTCATGGTGGTATCTTGGCCAGAAATATCGATTCCGATGATAATGATTTATCAAACTTGAATATCTCCAAAATTGATATCGTCGTTTGCAACTTGTACCCATTCAAGGAAACTATTGCAGCTCCTGATGTTACAATTGCTGATGCTGTTGAACAAATTGATATTGGTGGTGTCACTTTATTAAGAGCTGCTGCCAAAAACCATCAGAGAGTCACAATTATATCCGATCCAAATGATTACTCGGGTGTCTTGGAACAAATTGAAGAAAAAAACGAAATTTCTCAAGATTTTAGAAATAAATTGGCATTAAAGGCCTTTGAACACACAGCTGACTACGATTCCACAATCTCTGACTATTTTAGAAAAGTGTATTCTCCACAAGTTTCTCAATTATCTTTAAGATATGGTGCAAATCCACATCAAAAATCTGCTCAAGCCTTTGTGGAAAGTGGTGATTTACCCTTTAAAGTCTTAAGTGGTTCTCCAGGTTATATCAATTTGTTAGATGCATTAAACTCATGGCCATTGGTTCAAGAATTATCATCTTCTTTAAACTTACCAGCAGCTGCTTCGTTTAAACATGTTTCTCCAGCTGGTGTTGCATTGGGTTTGCCATTAACCGATGTCGAAAAAAAGATATATTTTGTGGGAAAAAACGATTTGCTATCTCCTTTGGCTAATGCTTATATTAGAGCTAGAGGTGCCGATAGAATGTCTTCATTTGGTGATTTTATTGCTTTGTCTGATATTGTTGATGTCGCAACTGCTAAATACATTTCAAAGGAAGTTAGTGATGGTGTGATTGCTCCAGGGTATCAACCTGAAGCATTGGAAATCTTAAAAAACAAAAAAAAGGGTAAATACTGTGTTTTACAAATTGATCCAAATTACAAACCAAATCCAGTTGAGACTAGACAGGTCTTTGGTGTCAGTTTACAACAAAACAGAAACGATGTGAAATTAGATGTTGGAAACTTCAAAATTATCTCTAAAAACGCTTCCTTGACCCCACAAGCTATAACTGATTTAACCGTCGCATCAATTGCTTTAAAATTCACTCAATCCAACTCGGTTTGTTATGCTAAAGATGGTATGGTTATCGGATTAGGTGCTGGGCAACAATCCAGAATCCACTGCACTAGATTAGCTGGCGATAAAGCTGACAACTGGTGGTTCAGACAACACCCAAGAGTCTTGGAAATCAAATGGGCAAAGGGCGTTAAGAGACCAGAAAAATCCAATGCTATTGATTTATTTGTCACTGGACAAGTTCCAACTGAAGAACCAGAAAAATCTGAATACGAAAGCAAATTCGAGACAGTTCCAGTTCCATTTACCGCTGATGAAAGAAAAGAATGGTTGAGCCAACTAACTGATGTTTCATTATCATCAGATGCATTTTTCCCATTCCCAGACAATGTTTACAGGGCAGCTAGATCTGGTGTCAAGTTCATTACAGCAGCCACTGGTTCAGTTATGGACCAAGCAGTTATTGCAGCAGCTGATTCTCAAGATATAGTTTATCTTGAAAACCCAATTCGTCTATTCCACCATTGAAAATATTCTTTATAGTCTCTAGGTATATACGTATCGCTTTTTTTTTGTTTAATTTACGATTTTGACTACTGAGTTGGGTGTTATGAAGGCAAAAGAGCTGAAGAGTTAACAAGTAGGAAAGAGCCAACACAGACAAAACTAGGTTCATGTCATTTTTTTCCGTGGGGAAGAGAAGAGAAGAGAGTATAAAAATATCTGGAATATAAGTAGGATACAAGAATATCTCAAGTATATTGATTGATATCGATCTGTTTTAACTTGTTGAAGAGTCCATTTTGTAGACAGGAATTTATTGTTTGCATTTGCATTATCTTAAGGAACTGTGTGAAAAATGAATATTGGCATAAGCAGAAGAAACATTGGAATAAAACCGTTGTCATCGATACTTTCATTAGCCAATATGCGATCAATATCATCGTCGTCTTTTGATACTCGACAAGTTATTAAAGAGTTGGAATCAAAGGGGTTTAATTCAGAACAGGCCAAAAATGCAGTATCGATAATCTCGTCATGTATCAATAAGGGGATAACAAATTATACCAAAGATTTAGTTAAAAGGGAGGAATTGAGAAAAATGTCCTATCAACAAAAAGTTGATTTTGCTAAATTAAAGGGAGAATTACAGACTATTGATAGGGGAGAGTTTAACAAAATAAATAATGAATATGAAAAATTGAAACTAGATCTAGAGAAGTTACGACAAAATTTAAAAGAAGAGATAACAAAGACAGAATCATCAGTTAGATTGGATTTAAATTTAGAGAAAGGAAGAATTAGAGAGGAGAATAAGACTCATGAGAGCAGTATAAAGGAGACTGATAATAGAATTGATCAGGAAATAGCCAATATGAGAACCCAAATTGATAATGTTAAAACTCAAGTTTTACAATGGCTATTTGGTGTTTGCACAGGAACGTTTGCATTGATTTTAGCTTATGTTCGATTATTTACATAAAGAGAATAAGTTACAATAAGGTATCAAAAAAATTATATTAAAAAATTATAATAAAAGAATTACAATAACATATGAGAAGAAATATAATTTATAGGATAGTGTATAAAATAGATAATAGAAAAAAAAAAAAAAAAAAAAAAAAAAAACAAGCAAAACAAGCAAAAGACAAAAAAAAATGGTTAGCTAGTTATAATGAGATTGTTTATAATGATATTAACTATAAATCAAATAATTCGTTCAAGATTTTAATAGTGTCTTCAGGGGTCTTTACAGAATGACCAATTGTTCTTTTATCAGTATAGATTTCCCAATCATTACCACCTTTATAAGTTTTATCGCCAAAGAAATGAATTTCAGAGAAATGTTCATCTTGAATATGTTGTAAACAATAGGTTTTATCCCAGCCAGTGGGGAAGACATCAAAGGAAATTTGGCCACCAATTGAAAAAGTCAAACCGTAATCAGGGAAGGTCTTTCTCAATTCTTGGACCATTGTTTCTCTAATTTTATGTTCCAAATCGAATTTTTCAAAATCGTTTCTTTCTTGAGTTGAAGCATTTCTACCAATGGGAGAAACGTTAATCATACCATTTCTAAACTCTATGAAAGTACCTCTTCTAACAGGTATGTCCAAATCAGATAAGTATCTTAAGATCCATTTGGCCAACTTGTTGTATTTTTCATTACCGATCCAATTGATAAAAGATTGAGAAGCCAATTTTTGAGCATTTTTATAAGCAGTCAAACCATTTTCTGAGAAACAGTAATCAAATTCGTTTAAAACATTTGGACCGATTTGTTCCAACTGTTTGGATAAATCAGAACCACCAACAAAACCAATAACGACTTTCTTTCTTAGTTTTTCTAAAGTTTGTTTCATTTCATCAGAAATAACTAATCTTGCAGGTGTTAAAGTTCCATCGACATCAAAAAGACAAATGACACCAGAAATTTCTTTGTGAGCGAAGGACATTTTGGAAAGAGGATAACGAGAGTGGTTTGAATTACAACAGTGGTAACAAATGAAAAGAGAAAGGAAAGTCAAAGAAAGAATGAAGAAAAGAAACCAAAAACCACCTATGCTTGGAGAGCCTATTTATATACTCTTTAACGAAAGAAAACTCATCTCAGTGATAAGTGTGAAAAGTGTGAAAAATGGAGTTGACGTGTGCTCTGCTCCTGCGCACAGCACGTTTGTTGCTACACAGTACCGATTTCTGCACATGGAAGGGCTCGAAAAGGAGAAACAGAGCTGACCACGTAAGCGCATCGACCAAATTTAGTATGGCGATGAGACTGGAATGGAGGGCGTGTAGCACAAATAAAGCGGCCCTGACCAAGCGCTTCCAAAATGGAAGAGAAAAGCACTTGAAATAATCGAAAAATCATTGAAATGAAAGAAGTGAAATGGAGTAGAGATAAAGATAATAGAATTAGTAAACTATAAAAGTACGCTAAGGAATTGCTATTACAAATATCAGTGGATTTAAGCTGAAGCAGAGAGGAAGTATTCTGGGAATTGGTTCAAGTTGTTTTCTAAGTTACCTTTCTTGGACAAGAATTTGACAAAAGCACCATCGTCTTTAACTTCACCAGCGTTACGTTTTACGATATATTCATCTCTGTTCAAGTTTGTGAAGCCCCATTTTTTGGAGATAATGATTTTTTGTTGACCTGGGAACTTGTATCTGGCTCTTCTTAAACCTTCAATACAGGTGGCTTTGTTGGGGTCTTTTGTTCTGACAGACATGATAACTTGACCAATGTTAACTCTGGCGGCTAAACCATGAGGTTTACCCCAAGCACCTCTCATACCTTGTTGTAATCTATCAGCACCAGCACACGACAACATCTTGTTGATTCTTAAGACGTGGAATGGGTGGACACGAACTCTTAAGTGGAAGGAATCTCTACCGGAGATCTTGGTGATATATTTGTTGGCACAGATACGGGCAGCTTCAAGAGCTTCAGAAGATAATTGTTCCAATTCGTTGGAGACCAAATGGATACATAATGGGAATTCATCAACAGTGGCCTTCTTTCTACCTAAATCGTAGATTCTGATTTTAGCATCTGGGACACCACGGTTGTATCTTGATTTTGGATATGGTTTGTTTTTACAGTATCTGTAACATCTAGCTGGCTAAAAAAAAGAGAAAAAGAAAAAAAATGTTAATAGATATTCTTGAAATTGGTTATAAATAATTTGATCCCAAGGTGTAAGCATAATCAAAATTCTTGATCATATTATTATATTTTAACATAATTTGTCATTATAATTTATTATAATTTATTCTTTAACTTTGTATAATTCCATATTTTATATCTAATAGTGTAATGTAGAATTGAGTAGTTTTGTAATAATTTATAATGAATTGGATTATTATGATATTTATTTTTTATAAATGTGGTTTAATAATATTGATATTGTAATGTGATGTGATGTGATATGGTATGATTGAATGGAAATGGATATAAATTTGATTAATGTTGTACAATTTTGTACAATTTTGTATAATTTCGATCTTTAAATGCTTTTAATAAATTGTTAAATGAAACCAAGTTGGATAAATGAAATTAATTCATTATATAAAATAATGAAGAATTAAAACATACTCTTCTAGCCACTATAAAGAAAATCGGTTAGTATATTGATTGATTTGGTTGAAATGAACAGAGCAAAGAGTGAGAAATACGTACTTTTTAATTAAATCTAATGTAATTATAATTGATCTGAATTAAAGATAATAAATCAAAGATATATTAGCAAGAGATTAATATATTAAATGTGATTTTTTTTCTTCCACTATATGATGGAGCTCTGTCCTTGCCGTTAATTAGTAATATGGGAGGATTAGTAATAGTGAAAAGAGAGGGTAAGCTAGTTAGAGAGAAGTTGCCGAAAGAAGAAAAAGGCGAACATGGGAAAAACAGAAGAAAAGAAGCGTGCAGATCCACAAAGGTGGTTGTTTGCAATGAAAAGCAGTCGCGAATTTGAAACTAAGATGAAGAAGAAAGAAAAGATACCTATAGCAAAGAGCCCTGAGGTATATCACATGACTGATAGATGAGGGCTTGCATGCAACCATGAGCGCAAACAGTTTTGGTGCGTATTGTTTATACACGCATGAGTATGCATATGTAAGCGCATGTGTACATGCGCGAATCAGCATTTGAAAATGAGACCATAAGGGAAATACAAAATGAAAATAAGACTAAAATGGATGATTAAAATAATTATAGGGATATAATGGAGAGCAAGAGAATGGAAGTTAAAAACAAAGTGTAAAAATTGAGCCAGCAGTTTTTGGTTTTGAGATTGAAATCAAGATTATTTTTTAGACGGTTCGAGTTTGCAGATGAAGATGTAGAAGTGAGGAAAACAAGACTGCTTATTGATATGCTGCGAACAGACTTGATGGTGTATTTTGAAGAGGTGGAGACATCTGGGTCTATGATGATTCCCTGTTGAGAGTTTACGGTATCAGAGTAGGTGTTGAGTATTTTTGAGACGGAGTTTGAGATGGACAGATGATTAGGTAGTAATGTTGTCACCATTGCCAGATTGGCTTCGCTGAGAGTAGAAGTAGGTGAAGCAGATATGTCGTCGCCAGAGTTTTGAAAATTAAGAGATCTGGCCTGGTAGTGATGAGAATGAGAGTAAGATCGAGAATGGCAAGCAAGATAATCTGAGTCTGAGTCTAGAAGTAGATTGGAATTGGAATTGGAATTGGAATTGGAATTGGAATCAGGGGTATCTGTGCATGAAGATAAAAAGATGGTTGATCTTTTGAGTTGAATTGATTTTGATTTTGTTATTTTATTGTTGTTAGCGTCACAAGTACTGGTAGCACCTGGGCTAACTGTGCAGGAAGCTATTATTGTTTTTGTGGTTTTTGTGGAAGGTGGTAGGATCTGTAGAACTTCTAGACCAGAATCAGTTAGTTGTTGTAGGCCATCCTTCATTGAAAGCTTAAAGGATGAATAGTAATCAAGCTGTTCAATTCCCAGTCCTGAGCCCATTATAGTTGTAGAATTATGATAATATAAAACGGTAAATAATATCAAAGCTAAAGATATGAGATAAGTGTTGTTTGGCTGTTAAATAAGTGTCAAGTGACTTCCCCTTTAAATTAATCAGGAGGGGTATAATTTATTGTAATATATATTGATGGTTATATTGATGGTTATCTTGACAAATACGCTGATAAATATTTTTTACTCAGTTAGCGTAATAGCAAATGAAATAGACAGGAAGGAAGCTGGCAGGAGTATTGTTAATTCTTTGCACGAGTGGCAGGGATCACAAGCAGGACCAATATGGCGCGAAGGTGTAGCTGAGGATGATATTCAACTTCAAACATGAAAACTGACCAATGCCTCGAGCAGAGGCGTGCTGATAGGCTGAAATGCCATCAAACGACGAGCAAAAAGAGACAGTCAAAACGATATCAAACATCAAACAAAGAAGCGATCCAAAAGCGTACCAAAAGCGCACCGCCAGGCAAAGAGAAAAAACAAGATTTCTCGAAAAGAGCAGCGCAGAAGCCGCTCCACGCCGGTGCTGGTTGCTCAAAGCCGTCGTGCTCGTAAACACAGACCAACCTAAAGCACCCACCACACTGGGTTTGCCCTAAGCCCAGCCTCGCCAAGTCCAAGCAAGCTCCGCCAAGCACTCCTCTCGGTCAGAGCTTGTCTCAGACCAACATTTCGCTGTTCGCAGGCCCGCCCGCTTCCAGTGGAAACAGCCGGGCACGTGCTGCATCTAATTATATCTCGATGGTCCCACGCCCCTGGCTTGGTCCAGTGCTGCGGATATCATCCTTCATACATCCAACCTCTCCCGGGCCTTGTGGCTTTCAGGTCGTGTCTTTTCTTCCATCTTTATCTTGATCCTGATCTCTCATCATCGCCATCTTTATCTTGTATCGTTAATTTGCTCTTCCAGGCCTAATTGTGTTTGCAATTCTTTTTCTCTTTGCACTTCTGCTCTGATAGCAATTTGTCCTCACTGCTCTGCTGCTTCTGGTAAATGATATAGGCTGCTTTCTGTCAATGCCACCACAATGTCGTACCCAAACAACAATAATAACAATGAAATATTTGATTTGGACTTTCTCTCTTCAAATAATCAACGTAACCAAAATAATCAGAATCCTCAAGATGATAACAACAACTCAAATCTAATTTCTCCCTCTGTTAACATAAACTCTCCATACAACCATAACTTGCCCTCGTCCTCATCCAATTTCAATCAACAAAATCCTAATACCACCACCACCACCAATAGTAATAATAATAATAATAATAATAATAATAATAATAATAATAATAATAATAATAATGTTCCCAATAACAACAGCGAAATTTACTTATCCGATGACTCTTTCAATATCAATGACGACGACCCCTTCAAATTAATATCAAATTCAGTATCAAACACTAATACTGCCTCAAATTATAAAAATAATCCTTTCAATTCAAACTCTGACATAAATTTAATTCAATCAAATGACAAGTTTATAGAAAACGATATAGCATTAGACGACGATTCTTTTGTCATCTTAAATAACAATAGCAACTCTCATCAAAATAATAATAACAACAACAATAACAATAACAATAACAATAACCCAAGAAATAACAACAATTATAACCAAACTAACAGCATCAACCTTAATAGTCTTAGTAGCAGAAACATCAATTCCTCAAACTTGCAAAACTTCAATACCTTAAACACCTCCCAGACTAACCCATTTGATGACCCTCCACGTAGAAGATCAACAAACTCTACAACAAACAACCTAATCAACAATAACAGCGTCCTAAACAGCTCTTTGAATCCCTCAACAACTAATTTCCAATCTCAAAATAAATTCAACATAAAATCTCTATTCAACAAACACATCCTTCGTAAACAGTCCTCCGGTGCCGATCTAGGTCCAAGAGTAATTTACTTGAATAACAACAACTTGATCTCTCAAAATCATAAAAAATCTTCTTTAAACTACTTTAATGACAATCACATCTCCACCACAAAATACAATTTTGCAACTTTTTTCCCTAAATTCTTGTTTCAAGAATTCTCAAAATACGCAAACCTCTTCTTCCTTTTCACTTCCATCATACAACAAGTTCCCAATGTCTCTCCAACAAATAGATACACAACAATAGGCACTCTACTCATAGTTCTCCTAGTATCTGCAATAAAAGAAATAATGGAAGATATCAAGCGAAACAACTCCGACAAAGAACTAAATTTCTCAAAGGCTCTAGTATTGGACTCAAATACTGGCCTGTTCATCATTAAAAAATGGCAAAACATCTCGGTAGGTGATATAATAAGAGTCAACTCTGAAGACCCAATTCCAGCTGATATCGTCCTCTTATCTTCCTCGGAACCTGAGGGGCTTTGTTATATCGAAACATCAAACCTAGATGGTGAAACAAACTTGAAAATTAAACAAAGCAAATCAAACACTTCCTCTCTATGCAACCCCATGGATCTCAAAAACTTGTCTGGAAGAATCCTAAGTGAACAACCAAATTCCTCTCTTTACACTTACGAAGGTACTCTTATCTTAAATAACTACAACAACAACTCAATTAACGAAATCCCTCTAAACCCAGATCAATTACTACTAAGAGGTGCCACCTTAAGAAACACTCCCTGGATTCATGGTATAGTAATCTTCACAGGTCATGAAACTAAACTAATGCGAAATGCAACTGCCACTCCTATAAAGAGAACTGCAGTTGAAAAAATCATAAATCTACAAATCATCGCTCTTTTTTCAATCTTAATCGTCTTGTCTCTCATCTCCTCTTTGGGAAATATCATTAAACTATCAATAGACTCAAAACACCTAGATTATTTGTATCAGGCTCAAGAAAATAAAGCAAGGCTATTCTTTAAAGATATCTTAACATTTTGGATTCTTTTCTCAAATTTAGTTCCCATCTCTTTATTTGTTACAGTGGAAATCATTAAATATTATCAAGCCTATATGATTGGTTCCGATCTAGATATCTATTTCGAAGAAAGAGACCAGCCAACCATTTGTAGAACCTCTTCTCTAGTAGAAGAACTAGGCCAAGTTGAATACATCTTTTCTGATAAAACTGGTACTTTAACAAGAAACATAATGGAATTCAAATCTTGCTCAATTGGTGGTCATTGTTATATCGAAGAAATCCCCGAAGATAAAAGTGCTACAATTATCGATAATGGAATCGAAGTTGGTTTTAATACTTTTGGAAAACTAAGATCAACTTTATTCAATTTTGATGATGACCAATCAAAATATATCGATGAATTTCTACTTTTATTAGCCTCCTGTCATACTGTCATCCCAGAAATTAACAACGATGGCTCAATTAAATATCAAGCTGCTTCTCCCGATGAAGGTGCCTTGGTAGAAGGTGCTGCGTATTTGGGTTACAAATTTGTAACAAGAAAGCCGAAAACTATAACAATCGAAACCCCTCAAGGTGAAGAACTAGAATACGAATTGCTAAATATTTGCGAATTCAATTCAACTAGAAAGAGAATGTCTGCAATATTTAAGTGTCCTGATGGTATTATTAGGTTGTTTTGCAAAGGTGCTGATACTGTTATACTTGAAAGACTAAATCAAGATGATAACCCGTTTGTTGATTCAACCATGCGTCATTTAGAAGACTATGCAGCAGAAGGTTTAAGAACTTTATGTATTGCATCAAGGATTGTGCCTGAAAGAGAATATTTACAATGGGCCCAAATTTATGATAGTGCATCAACAACATTAAACAATAGATCGGAGGAATTGGATAAAGCAGCTGAATTAATTGAAAAGAATTTGTTTTTATTAGGCGCGACTGCAATTGAGGATAAATTACAAGATGGTGTGCCCGACACTATCCATACTCTACAAGATGCAGGCATTAAAATATGGGTTTTAACAGGTGATAGGCAGGAGACTGCTATCAACATTGGTATGTCATGTAAATTATTATCAGAAGACATGAATCTTTTGATAATAAATGAAGATAGTAAAGAATCAACAAGAAGAAATATTCAGTCAAAATTAAGTGCATTTAAAGAGCACCAAGTGACAAATGAGGAAATTGATTCATTGGCATTAGTAATTGATGGTAAGTCACTTGCGTACGCTTTAGAACCAGATTTAGACACTCAATTATTAGAGATTGCAACAATGTGCAAAGCAGTTATTTGCTGCAGAGTCTCACCATTACAAAAGGCATTGGTTGTTAAAATGGTTAAAAAGCATAAAAAGGCCATATTATTAGCGATTGGAGACGGTGCAAATGATGTTTCAATGATTCAAGCAGCACACATTGGAGTTGGTATTTCTGGTATGGAAGGAATGCAAGCAGCAAGATCTGCTGATTTCGCCATTGGACAATTCAAATATTTGAGAAAATTGTTATTGGTCCATGGATTATGGTCGTATCAAAGAATATCGCAAGCTATATTGTTTTCATTTTACAAGAACATTTGTCTTTATATGACACAATTTTGGTATGTTTTCTTAAACTGTTTCTCTGGGCAATCGATTGTTGAATCATGGACTTTAACGTTTTACAATGTTTTATTTACAGTTTTTCCACCATTTATATTGGGAGTGTTTGATCAGTTTATTGGAGCTAGATTGTTAGATAAGTATCCACAGTTGTACCAATTGGGGCAAAAATCCAAATTTTTCAATGTTAGAATATTTTGGGGATGGGTTATTAATGGGTTTTATCACTCTGGTATAATATTTGTGGGAAGTATATTTATTTATAGATATGGGAACAGTCTTGATGATGGAATGCAAGCGGATCATTGGGTTTGGGGTACAGCAGTTTTCACTACAGCGGTTTTGACGTCGTTAGGGAAAGCAGCATTAATCAGTAATTCGTGGACAAAGTTCACGTTATTGGGTATACCAGGGAGTTTTTTGCTTTGGGTAGTTTTCTTCCCAGCTTATGCTACTATAGCACCATTGATTAATGTTTCTAAAGAGTATCGGGGAGTGTTGAAATATACATATCCTACGATAAGTTTTTGGGCGTGTGTGTTTGTGTTGCCATTGATTTGTTTATTAAGAGATTTCATTTGGAAGTATTACAAGAGGATGTATTTGCCTGAATCGTATCACCATGTTCAAGAGATTCAAAAGTATGATATTCAAGATTACAGGCCCAGGATGGAGCAATTTCAAAAGGCGATTAGAAAAGTTCGACAGGTTCAAAGAATGAGGAAACAGCGTGGATTTGCATTCAGTCAAGCAGACGAAGGACAGGAGAGAATTGTTCGGATGTATGATACTACCAAGGCTAGAGGTAAATATGGAGAGTTAGTGGATGCTAGAATCGAGTAATAATTGAATAGAAAAATAGAAAAGTAGAAAAATGTTTATTAAATAAAAAAAAGAGTAAAGAAAATCGATTATATAAAACCAGCTAGTAATTGAATTTTAACAATCCCAAAAATAAGATAAATAAATAAATAAAATAGATAAATATAGTAATAAATACGTAAATAAGTGAGTAAATAAAAATGAGATAAAAATAAGGTTAGATAAGATCACAGATAATAGTAAGTAAAAAATATAGTAGTAATATAAATTAATATAAATTGATATGATAAATATAGATTGTAAATGTTGAAGATCAATTACAAGAAGAAAAGAAGTATAAAAAAAAAAAATATAAAAAGGAGAGTAGGCAAAAGTTTATAAGGGGAGGTAAAGTTGTGGAAGGAGATGTAGATATTTACCAAATATAGGTTTTTTCTCTGATGATTGATTTTTAACTTTTGATTTGAATGAGGATATGATTTTCAGATATTGATTTGAGGTAATTGATTAGTTGGAAAAGTGAACAGCAATTGGGACTATGATAACAATTAACAAGATGATAATACCAATGATGATGCAAATTCTCATTTTCATGTCTTTTTTCCACATGTGTTTTCTTACTCTGTTGGAAGAGTCCTTGAAAGAATTCGCAGTGATGGCTAGATTTTGAGACTGGTCGTTGATTGAGTCTATTCTCTCACCTCTCTCAGTGACTTTATTGATGTTTTCCCTCATGATATCGACGGTGCTGTCAATTTGTGCCTGGATCTTAGCAGTCTTTGAGTTTGAGTTTGAGTTGTTTGAATCATACTGGGAGTTGGAAGGAGGGTCAAAAGGATCGTAGGGAGTAGCAGAGGACATGGTGGGCAAATATAAGTGGGTGCAGAGGGGGAGCTGATGTTGATAGCAGTGGGTCGTTGGACGAGAAGAAGAAGATGAAGAAGAAGAAACAGCAGCAATGGAGACAGCACAGGCAGTGGTGCAAATCGCAGAAGAAGCGAGACGAGATCCTTATAAAGGCGAGGGCTGAGAACCAGGGCTGGGGAAGAGGGCTGTATCGGAATAAACACCCAAGCCCTACTGGTCACGCCGCCAGATAAGCGGGATTACGTAACACCGTTGACATGCGGTGTTACGTGATCCAACACACCCTCACACCCGGCGTCGCACAGCTGCCACGTGCACGACGCGCTCGGCAGCCAGCGCTGCGGGAGGATGCGCGCGTGCAAGCGCGCTCCTGGGCGAGACGCGTTGGCGGCACAGGCAGCTCCGGCTGCACGTGCTCCAGCACGAATACGCCCGAACGTCCACAGAGTGTGCATTTTTGCTGGTTTCAAGCTGCGAGAAAATTTGTTTTTCTTTTGCTCACTCCAGATCAGATCAATCTTTCAATCTGTCCCAATATCAACACTGGCTTCTTTTCACCTCTTTTATCTCTGTCCCTGCTCAAGATATTGTATATATCTCGTTATAATACGTCTTCTGTTTAATGGTTATCTCTAAATAATATTTTCTCTCACGTTTACTCTGCAACTTATCGCTACACTTACTCTCTAATCTCTAAGTGTCTTTAATTCTCTCTCACTCACTGTTAGATCGCATATACCTTTTTTCTTTTTTCCCTTTCCCATCATTCTCATTCCCTCTCTCTTCCCTCTCTCTCTCTCTTTCTTCCTTTGTTTGTTTTCTCTCACCTTAATTTCTCGAATATATAATCAGAATGGGTGTTTACGACGCTGGTACCCATTGTTGGTATCCTGATGCTCAGCATGGTTGGATTCCTGTTGAAATTGTATCTAACGAAAAATTGCCAAACAACAAATACCAAATCATACTAAAAAACGAATCAACCTCAAAGAACCTCCCTCCTATATTGGTCAACTCTCTAAATGATGAAGTTGAAAAAAATCTACCTTCCTTGAGAAACCCAAGAATCCTAGAAGCCTCTGAAGATCTCACCTCTCTATCCTACCTAAATGAACCTGCTGTCCTCCACGCAATCAAAGTAAGGTACGCAAACTTGAACATCTACACATACTCGGGTATGGTGTTGATCGCTACAAATCCCTTTGAAAAAATCGATCAATTATACTCTCCCGATGTTATACAAGCCTACGCTGGCAAAAGAAAGGGCGAGCTAGAACCTCATCTTTTTGCCATTGCTGAAGATGCCTACTGCTGTATGAAAGAAAGAATAGAAAACCAAACCATAGTGGTTTCTGGTGAATCTGGTGCAGGTAAAACTGTATCTGCCAAATACATCATGAGATACTTTGCTTCTGTTGAATCAAACAACAACATCACAAACAACAATTCAAATATCCAAATCAACACAATCAACAACAACAACCCCAACAACATTCCATCAATCAACAACAACAATCCTCAATCGAATAACTCTTCTACCGCTAACCCTAAACACGATGACATGTCTGAAACTGAAAAGAGAATCTTAGCTACAAACCCAATCATGGAAAGTTTCGGTAACGCCAAAACAACCAGAAATGATAACTCCTCAAGATTCGGTAAATACTTGGAAATCTTATTTGACAAAAATATCTCCATCATTGGTGCAAGAATTAAAACATACCTTCTAGAAAGATCCAGATTAGTCTTTCAACCTAAAACTGAAAGAAACTACCACATTTTCTACCAGATGTTATCGGGTTTAAAGGACAACGAAAAATCCCTATTCAGCCTATCCAACGATATCAACCATTATCACTACTTGAACCAAGGTGGTGACTTTAAAATCAACGGTGTCGATGATGCAGAAGAATTCAAAATCACTTCTGACGCCCTCAATTTAATTGGCATCAACTACAAATCACAATTCGAAATCTGGAAAATCTTAGCTGGTTTGCTCCACATTGGTAACATTGTAATAAACGCAACAAGGTCCGATGCTCATCTATCTTCAAATGATCTCAGCTTAATCAACGCCTGCAACTTGCTAGGTTTCGATCCCTCCTCTTTCTCAAAATGGATCATCAAAAAACAAATCATCACCAGAAACGAAAAAATTCAAACAAACCTATCTTACCCTCAAGCTGTCGTTGCAAGAGACTCGGTAGCTAAATATATCTATTCCGCTTTATTTGACTGGTTGGTCGAATATGTCAACAACGATTTATGTGCTCCAGAGATTGTTAATAGTGTCAATACCTTTATCGGTGTCTTGGATATCTACGGTTTTGAACATTTCAAGAAAAACTCCTTTGAGCAGTTTTGCATCAACTATGCCAACGAAAAGTTACAACAAGAATTCAATCAACATGTTTTCAAATTAGATCAAGAAGAATATATCAAAGAAAAAATTAACTGGTCCTTCATCGATTTCACTGACAACCAACCCTGTATCAGTTTAATCGAACAAAAATTGGGTATCCTATCTCTCTTGGATGAAGAATCAAGATTACCCTCCGGTACAGATGAATCCTGGATTCAAAAAATGTACCACACTCTAGATAAAATCCCAACCAATAAAGTCTTTAAAAAACCAAGATTCGGTGGTGCTAAATTCATTGTTGCTCATTATGCCTTGGATGTTGAATATGACGCTGAGGGTTTCCTTGAAAAAAATAGAGATACCGTTAATGATGGCCATTTAGAGACTATAAAAGCAACAACTAATCCAATGTTGAAAAAAGTTCTAGAAACTGTTGAAAGAAACAATGATAGATTGCAAAAGGCAAAGGAAAGAGAATTGGCTAAAAAGGCTGAAACTCAAAAATCAAAACGTTTTTCAATGGGCCCAATTGGTAAATTGGGTGGTAAAGCCAACATCAGAAAACCAACTTTAGGTTTAATGTTTAAAACTTCTCTAGTCGAATTAATGGCCACTATCAACTCAACAAATGTTCACTATATCCGTTGTATCAAACCAAATGAAGCTAAAAGGGCTTGGGAATTCGATAACGTAATGGTTTTGTCCCAACTAAGAGCCTGTGGTGTTTTGGAAACTATTAGAATCTCATGTGCCGGTTTTCCATCTAGAAGAACCTACGAAGAATTTGCTCATAGATATCATATCTTGGTTCATTCGTCTGAATGGATTAAAGTTATTTCAAATATTAACACAACCGAAGATGATGTCTGCAAATTATGCAAAACTATTCTAGACAAAACTGTTGATGACAAGTTGAAATATCAATTAGGTGAAACAAAAATCTTCTTTAAAGCGGGTATTCTTGCTAATTTAGAAAAACTAAGATCAAATAGATTGCATGAATCAGCTGTCTTAATTCAAAAGAATATTAAAGCGGTTTACTATCAACAACAATATAGAAAAATCAGAAACTCTATTATCAATGCTCAATCATTATTTAGAAGTTATTGTGCTCAAAAGAGGATTAGAATAGCTATTGAAATTAGAGCTGCAACAATGATCCAAACAATTTCAAGAGGTTATTTGGTTCGTAGCAAATTTAGAGTTACAAACAAAGCCATTGTTACTTTACAATCAGCTATTCGTGGTCACAGTTCAAGATTGCTTTATCATGAATTACGCAGAAATGCTGCTGCTTCTTTGATTCAAAAAAGCTGGAGATCTTATGCTGGTAGACGTGATTACATTGAAACCAAAAAGGCTACCGTTTATATTCAATCTTGTTTCAGACGTACTTTAGCTGTTAAAGAATTGAAAAAATTAAAAGAAGAAGCTAAATCTGTTAATCACTTGAAAGAAGTTAGTTATAGACTTGAAAATAAAGTCATTGAATTAACTCAATCTTTAACTGCAAAGGTTCAAGAAAACAAAAAACTTACCACAAAGATTTTAGCCTTGCAAGAAACTGTTAAAGAATCAAGCGGTGCTCATGAGAAATTGAAATCTAGAGAAAAGGAATTTGCTGAACAAATAAATACTCAATCTAATGAACATTTAGCACAAATTGCTGAACTTAATGACACTATTCAAATAATTCAAAAGGATTTTGAAGATGCTAAAGTGAAAATCAAAGAACTTATGAAAGAAAAGGAACAATTAAGAAATGACGTCACTAAGAATATTCAAGAATTAAAAGAAGCCAGAAACTCATTAAACAAATCTAACAACAATGAGGAAGATTTAAGAAAGACAATTTCAACTTTAAAGGCCGAACTTGCTGCCTTGGCTTCTCAGGCTGCATCTCAACGTAATGTGAATGGCAACGCAATTAATGGTAACGCGACTAATGGTAACGCAAAATTATTACAAAACCATTCTAACGCTCGCAGTAAAGTTCAAAGCATGGCACAACTACCTTCAGCATCAAGCAGATTATCTTGGAGTTCTGCTGCTGACAATAATTATAATCCAAGACCAGTATCTGCTCTTCCAGTCTCAACTAGAGATTATGAAGACACTGCCAGTGAAATTAATGATGAATTATGGAAATTATTACAAGATTCTAAATCAATTCATAAAGAAATCGTTGACGGTTTATTGAAGGGATTAAAAGTCCCACCATCAGGTGTTGCTACTGATTTAACAAGAAAGGAAGTTTTGTTCCCATCAAGAATAATTATTATTATTCTTAGTGATATGTGGAGATTAGGTTTAACAGGAGAATCTGAAGATTTCCTTGGTGAAGTTTTGAATGTTATCCAATTAATTGTCTCCAATTTGAAAGATGATGATGTTATCACTCATGGCGCTTTCTGGTTATCTAATACTCATGAATTATATTCATTTGTTGCATTTGCAGAAACAACTATAATGGTTAGTGATGATATTGCTAATGAAATGAGTGAAAATGAATATAATGAGTATTTGAAACTAGTTGCAGTTGTAAAAGAAGATTTTGAATCATTGTCTTATAATATTTATAATTTGTGGATGAAGAGAATGGAAAGAGAATTGGAGAAAAAGGCAATTTCAGCAGTTGTATTGTCACAATCATTGCCAGGATTTATGGCACCAGAGACTTCACCATTTTTGGCCAAAGTGTTTTCACCAGCTCCACATTACAAGATGGATGATATTTTAAGTTTTTTCAATTCAGTTTACTGGGCTATGAAATCATATTTTATTGAAGATGATGTTATGAATGAAGTTATTGGGGAATTACTAAGATTTGTTGATGCAATCTGTTTTAATGATTTAATAATGAGACACAACTTCTTATCATGGAAACGTGGTTTACAATTAAATTATAATGTTACAAGATTGGAAGAATGGTGCAAGAGTCATGATATTCCAGAAAGTGCTGGATATCTTACGCATTTGTTGCAAGCAGCCAAATTATTACAATTAAGAAAAAATACAACTGAAGATATTCAAATTATTTATGAAATTTGTTATGCTTTGAGTCCAAGTCAAATTCAAAAGTTAGTATCTCAGTATTACATTGCAGACTATGAAACACCAATTGCTCCAGAAGTCTTGCAAGTTGTTGTTGAAAAAGTAAAAGAATCATCATCAACAGCTAATGATTATTTTGAGGAAGTGAATAGAAATGGAGGACAATTTGATGACCCATTCAGAGCAGTTGGATTAAGACCATTCTCAAAGGTTGAGGCTTATGTTCCAGCATGGTTAAACGTTCCAGTTATAAAGAAAATTGTTGAGTTGGTTGCCAAAAACGCGATTGTTGCCGAATCCGAAGCATACACGGAAATAGGTTACGACGATGGCAGATTCGATGAAAAGAATTACTACATGGAATCCACTGAAGAATATGACAATAACTCCACTCTTGCATAAATATGATTAAATTGATTTCAAATCAGCTGCTTTTTTTTAATGTTTTTTTTGTTTTTTTAAGATTTTTTTTACTTGTTTTTATTAAATTGTCGTTTATGCTTTTATTTTGCGTCTCAACTTATGAAAGAAATAAAACTGGTTTTTGAAAATTGTTTGTTGAACGTTGTCCATTGCATTTGTTGTTGGATCTTTTGTACAACATAATAACTTTTTATAAAATTACATCTGGTCATCATTATATCACCTTTTTTTTAAGTTTTCTTTTTTTTCATATCTACCTATCTACTTTAGTTTTTTTTATCTGTTTACTCAAATATATTGTTGTGTATCGTCCTCGAATACACTCTGTTAGCTTTCCACTCTCGATTCTGTCCATTTTGACCAGTGTTTTGGTTTAATGCATGATACTGCACTATTACTTTCAAACGCGTAAATATGCATTCACATGCGTTTCAAATTTGAATGGGGAGAATCTTCTTCACCTTTTCCATCAGCATCTTCAGCATCTTCAGCAACACCAACACCTCCACCAACACCCTTTTTGTAGCTGCTTGAGTGCACAGGATCAGCGATAATGGGCAACCCCAATAGAATGTACAAGTACCAATACACAACATTGAGAGCTGCTCAGATGAACAACAGCTTTATCTCGAACCAGGAAACGAATAAAGACCAGAACATAAGACTTTGCGACAAATGCTTCCACAGAATAGAGGAAAACGATGAAAAATTCCATTGCAACAAGATTTGTTTAAAATGCCACTTGAAGATGTGTTCCTTGTGCCGCCATCCATTTCTCAAGGGTTCAAGGCGAAACGATCCACTTGAAGAATACACTTACTACTGTCCAATTTGTGTTAAAACTCATCCCTCAAGAAGAATGGTTGAATCTCATGTTGTATCGAGAAGTGAACATGAAAAGGAGTTGTATGATCAGTTTAAGGACAAATCTATAATTTCAAAAGTTCATAAAATGTGTTTACTAAGGAAATCTATTTCATTTCCTGGTGAAGGATCCTATAGAAGAAAACTCAAAATTAACTACGATTCTTTAATGTATGAACAAATCAATCCAAGTGTTGGCAAAATCTTGAATGAGATCTTAAGTGATTCAGATAATATAAATTCTTCAAATCAGAATATTCTGCAAGTTAATTTGATAGGAAATAACAATTCTACAAACATAATTGATAACGAGCTAATCACCAATGACATATCTAATCAGATCGGTTCGAATCAATCAAATCAGGTTTCTATGAATCGTGTTCATGATAATAATATTGATGCAACACTTTTAAACAATTCTACTCTAGATAAAGAAAATTCCAATTCCAACTCCAGCTCTAGCTCCAGTCCCAACTCCAACTCAAATTTGAATTCGATTTCAAATTTCAACCCTCCACTTATAAATAAAAATATTTCTTTTCCTATCGATATTCAATCGGTAGTATCGAATTTAGGAATTCAGAATCAAAGTCAAAATCAAAGACTACCGTTAAATAAAAAAGAAAATGATAACAATAATAGTCAGAATAATAATGATAATAAACATAAAGCCTCTCTAAATAATAATAATAATAATAATAATAATAATAATAATAAAAAGAAGAAGAATACCTATTTTGCGCCAAATTTGCCATTTACTTTTTCGTCACAAGATCAATATATTTATACTCAAACTAAGCTAATACTATCGATAAATAGTGAAAATGAAAGATTGAAAAAAGAAAATATTCTTCTATTAAAAGATATAAATTCAATTAAAAATTCGTTTAATATAAGTGATATAGAAGAAATTGATTCCAAAATTAATAAATTTAAAAAGATGAATGAAAATTATAGCGATTTAGTTACAAATTTAGAGATATCTAATAAAGAAATTATATCATTAAAAGAACAATTAAAGGTAATGAAACAAGAGAATAAGAATCTTAAAGACAAATTTAAAACCTACGAATCTTATGGTTTTAATTTAAATGAAAGCATCCTGACAAATTTTCAAGAAAATGAGGCGACAAATAAAATAAACGGGAATGGAAAGGAGATTACAAGTAATCAGTTGATAGTAATTAATCGGGATTTGAAAAATCAAAATTTAGAAGAAAATCAAGAACTGAGAATGGATCAGTTATCTGCGAAAGAAATTACGAGATATTTTGAAACGTTTAATAATAATAAAGATAAAAGTGGTGATGAGAATCACCAATTTTCCAATGAGATTAATGGTATTGAGAGTGATATGAAAGAATTGAAGAAAAAGGAAAATATAATGGCAAATCATAATGATGATGATGATATGATAGATCAACCAAATAAAAGGAGAAAATTTGATTAATAGAAATAAGGGTGGTCATCGTAAAAATGGCAATTGGGACATCTATTGTAGTTAATTTTATTTGAATTGTTTGATTTAGTAAAAATTTGACAAATATGACCACAATTTGGGTTATCGCAAAGTCTAGAGTAATATAATAGGAAATACTGTTGTGAATTACATTGATGGCAAATCCATCTATTAAAATTGATTGGATTGTCAGGGTTAAATAGTTCATCGTTATCATTTTCAGTGAAATAAGGAGGACGAACTGAATTCAAGTATCTATGAGGAGGAATATAGTATGGTCTTGGGGAAGATGAAACGATTTCTTGTTCTGAACTTAAGTATCTGTCATCATTATTATCGTCGTCGTGGTCGTGGTCGTCGTTATGATGATAGTTTGAATATGATTGAGAGGTATTATTTGCTTCAAGTCGAGACTGTTCATAGTCTCGTAGTAATGAGTTTCTTTCTAGGTAATCCAAGTACATTTGAACTACAGTTTTACTATTCATATTCATAATTAAGGAGAAGAAGGAGAAGAAAGAGAACAATAATAATATTAATAGTAATATTAATAGTAATAATAATAGTAATAATAATGAATATAATGAATATAATGATAATAATAATAATAATAATAATAATAATAATAATAATAGTAATAATGATGATGATGATGATAATTTATGATTTGATTAATTAAAAATATAAATAAATAAGATTTTATAAGAAACAAAGAGTTGTATTTATATTTATATTTATATTGTTTGATTTGATTTGATTTTGATTTCAATTAATTATTATTATATGAATGCATTTCATATGAATAAAGTTTTAATTGAAATAAAATAAGTGTTTAATATGAAATGGATAATAAGATAGAAATAGAAAGATATTGTAATTTTATTACAAAATGAATCAATTGATTTAGATTATATTGATTTGAAAAAACCCGAGAGAAAAAAAGAAAAAGAGGAAAGAGGAAACAAGGAAGGGGATTAAAGATGAAGAATAGTGAGTATTAACGATCATAATTGTACATAACAATGGATAAATATTAAAAAAAAAAAGAAAAAAAAAGAAAAAAAGGAAAAATTTTAAATGTTAATAGTATAGAAGTCAGAAGTTGAGTTTTATTTGTCTTTTTTATAACCTATTTTCCAACTAAACAAAAAAGTAAATAAAAACGTGTAAAAAACGCTACTAAAAGATAAAAAATGGTAAAATAAATGTGTTGATAATTAATTGCAAAGTAGTCACAAAGAAAGAGTTAAAAGAGATTCCAATCGTCCAATGCGATGTCTAGAAATAGACTTGTTTTAGACCAATCAAACACCATGAGTTGGGTGATAACGCCAGATTTGAAGCAAATGAGTAATTGTTTCATTTGTTCAATCTGTTTGATCAATTCCATTTAATTTGTTTAGTTTAATTTGTTGATTGTGTTTTATCTGAGTAATGGAGATAAAACAACAAAAGACATTGTAAACAGGAAATCCTTATTGGAAAGGTGAGGACTAGACAGTAGCGTTATTTATGCGTATACACGCATGTTTGCGCATGTGTTGTTTATAGCTTGTTTTTACTCTTTTTGCTTTGGGTTTTGGTGCTGGAGATGGAATTGGAGATGGAACTAGAGATGGAACTGGTGAAGGGTCTTGAGTTGTTGGTGAGAGTGTGATGGAGCTGCCAGTTAGTAGGGAGTGCTAGCTGGCTGTCCAATCGAAAGGGCGACGTTGTGAAGAAACCACAGGCTGATTGGCGGGTTGGGCGAAAGACCAACGAATTAGCGAAGAATGGAGTGGGACAGGGTGGGCCTAAGAGAACGAACAGCGAGCATCATTCAGGGAGCACCAAACAACGAGCACCAGGAAGGGAAGCCACAGAGAACAGGGCAGAAGAGAAGCATTGGAAATAGCTTGAGATGAGTCCAAGTGGAACTGAGAAAAGGGCAAAAGAAAGCAAAAAGAGCAAAGTAGGAAGGCGATAAGACGCTTTTCTCGCGTGAGCTGCGGCGCGGCATTGCCCGGCCCTGGAACGCCAGCCGTTTTGGCTGTGGAGGACGTGGAGGGTAATGCTGTGGCGTGGGATGTGAGAAAAGCAGTGGGAAAGAGCAGGGAGGTGAGGTGAGGGAGGTGAGGAGGAAGAAAGATCAAAAAAGAGCAAAAGAGCGAGCTGAAAAGAGCAAGAGCTGTGGCACTGCCTTGCGCGAAGAAGGGGGCGCCGAGGGCCCCACCACGCTCTAGAAACGGCGCTGGGCTCCCTCTGCGCGAACGCAGCTTGTTTGTGGGTGTTTTCTGAGGCTGTTTTCTTTGGCTGGATCTGATTTGGTTTTGTTTGATGTGATTGGTTTTGTTGGATTAAATTTGATTGAATTTGATTGAGCTCGAATTAACTCTCTGTCTTTGATTGTCTTTGCCTCATAGCTGCTACGTTGTTTCTGCTGTGAAGTGCTCTTATCGTCTGAACTGCGTCTTTGAAGTGTGCTGCAATCTCATCTTGCTTGTGAGATACTGTTATCTTTTGTTTTTGTTTCGTTTTGTTTAACTTATTTTTTAACTAGTTTCGAAACAGATAGGTATTGTTGAGAGTGGTTTCTTTCTATTAATTTCATTTCCTTTACAAATTAAGAAAATTTTTTACTTTCATTAAGTCTAAACTTAAGAATCTTTACGCTTTGTATTTTGCAAATTGAAAATAAAAGAAATAAGCAAAGAAAAAAAAAAAGCAGAAAAAAAATAAAAAAAATAAGAAAATTTTTTTCTTTTTATTGTATATTATTTGTTTAACAAATTTAACCTGGATTGAATTTAAAGAAAAACAAACTAAAAAATAATAATAACAATAATAGTCACCAAAAAAAAAGACAAATTTAACATAAAATTAAAAAAAAAAATGAAATCAAGTAAATTTCTATTTTGCTAACCAATAGTTTTTAAATCTTGTTTTAGAAAATAAAATAAAAAAAAACCAACCCTTTTCGATATCTTTCAATCTATTACTTTGCTTTAATTTTTACTTTAATTTACTTTACTTTATTCTGCCTTACTTTATCGATATAATCAGTTTGAAATGGGTAATACCTCTTCAAAGCAATCTGATTTGATTCCCAATCCAAATAATTTTATTCGAGCTGATACTTCCACCTCTGTTAAATCCTCCAGATCAATTCTTTCTCTGAAATCGACAAAATCAACTAAATCAAACAAATCAGCAAAATCATCTAAATCAGCAAAATCAGCAAAATCAATAAAATCAATACCCAACTCCATCCCAAAATCAGTCAAATCGACAAAATCTGCTTCTTCCTTTTATTCCTTCGATAACCATTCCATCTCTTCATTCTCAAATAATATCCCAAATAAAAACCCAAATAACCATCTAATCAATGACACACTTAACCTCTCAAATAACAATCTCAACATAATAGACCCCAACGCTAATGATTTCAATACCAGTACCATTAATAATAATAATAATAATAACAACAACAACAACAACACCAATTACACCAATCATAGCAATAACACCAATCACAACCACCACAACTATACTCATAACTACAACCACAACATCAACAATAACGTTATAAATATAAATAACGATATCCTCCCTCCATCAATGGTCCAACTAGAACCAAATAAACCAATTTTGACTAATAACGATTCCTCCACTTTTCTCACCAACAACTTACCAACAAATAAAATCAATCCCATACTATCAACAAATAACATTTCTACTATCTCTAATATTTCAAATAATTCAACCACCAGCTCAAATAATACAAACAGCATTATCGATACTTCCAACGATACTCAAATCGTAAATTCACTATCTCATTCCCTTTCAAACACTCACTTGAATCCAAATGTAGACTCATCTTTAAAATCAAAATTAAAATCAAAATCAAGATCAAAACCAAGATCATACTCCACTTCTTCTAAATCTTCTAAATCTTCTAAATCTTCAAAATTAAAACCGAGATCAAGATCAAGATCAAAATCAAGATCAAACTCAATTACCACAAACTCAAACATCCAAAATAAAGACTCAATAGACGATTACTTAGTCTCCTCTTTTAATAGTAGATCAAATTATAAAGAAGAACCCATTGTTTCTAAAAATAACGACGATCTCAATATTAAAATTAATACAAATAATCAAACCAATAATAACATTAATACCATAAATCCAAATAATGAGCAAAATACTAATGATAATAATTTACCCGATAAACTTGATAACGACAACGATAGCAATAACGACAACAATTTCGATATCAATAATAACAATAATAACAATAATAACAATAACGAAAACAATAACAATACCGTCAACAATATCTCCAACAACGCCAACAAAGCCACTATCAACAATAGCAATGAATCTTCAAGAGCTATACTACTATCAAGACCATCATTCTCCTCAATATCAACCCCTTCAAGTAGTCAAATAATCACACACATATCTGGTAAAAGCAAAAAATCAAGTAATTCAATCAAAACTTTGAATGTGGAAGATTTAATACAAAGACTCCTAGATGCTGGCTACTCAGCTAAAAAAAATAAAAGCATATGCTTAAAAAATTTTGAAATCCAAATAATTTGTTCAACTGTTCGTGAAATTTTTTTAAATCAACCAACTTTGTTAGAATTAAGCTCTCCAGTTAAAATAGTAGGTGACGTTCATGGTCAATATGGCGATTTAATTCGAATTTTCACTAAATGTGGGTTTCCTCCAGCTTCAAACTATTTATTTTTGGGTGATTACGTCGATAGAGGGAAACAAAGTTTGGAAACTATTTTACTATTATTATGCTACAAGATCAAATATCCAGAAAACTTTTTTTTATTAAGGGGCAATCATGAATGCGCAAATGTTACAAGAGTTTACGGTTTTTTTGATGAATGTAAAAGAAGATGCAATATCAAAACATGGAAAATCTTTATTGATACTTTCAACACATTACCGATTGCAGCAATTGTTGCTAATAAGATTTTTTGTGTTCATGGCGGATTATCACCATCGTTAAATTCATTAAATGAGATTCGAAATATTTCAAGACCAACAGATGTGCCGGATTTTGGATTGTTAAGTGATTTGCTATGGTCAGATCCATCAGATACAAACACCAATGATTGGGAAGACAATGAACGAGGAGTCTCGTACTGTTTTTCAAAGATTGCAATAAATAAATTTTTGGGTAAATTCAATTTTGATTTAGTATGTCGAGCTCATATGGTTGTTGAAGATGGATATGAATTTTTTAATGACAGGACATTGGTAACAGTTTTCAGTGCACCGAATTATTGTGGGGAGTTTGATAATTGGGGAGCAGTAATGAGTGTGAATGAAGAATTGTTGTGTAGTTTTGAACTATTAGATCCATTAGATTCAGGGGCATTGAAACAAATGTTAAAGACAGGAAAAAAGGAGAGAAAAGAGGCCGAAGTGAATTATAATTACAATTACAATTATAATAATTATATGAACAGCAATAATTATATTAATAACAATAACAGTTTAAATCATCTTAGTTCAAATACTGAAAATAGTTTAAATGGCGAAATTAATTTCAATAGACAGAATTTTGGTGATAATGATAATTCAAATAACATTAATTTAAATAACATCAATCCAACTAATATAAACTCAAATAACAACAACAACAACAACAATAATAATAATAATAATAATAATAATAACAATACGTTGAATGGAAGTTCGCTTTCAATTGAAGCAGGTTTAAAGTATAATGAAAAAAATGATAGAGAAGAGATCAGCAGTTCGATTACATTGGTGGAAGGGTCAAAATGATGAAACGTTTTAGGATAATTTAAAATGATTTTAAGTTGATTGAAATGCTTTGGGATTATTGCTGGGAAAACGATAGAGGATTATGAAATTGGGATAAAAAAAGTTTACCAATTATTTGCTAAAAGAAAAACCAAAAAAACCAAAAAAAAGGGAAAAACACTCCAAAAAAGAAAAAAAAACAAAAAACAAAAAAAAACAAAAAAGAAAACAAACCAGAAGAATATATAACCATCAAAAAGAAATTCGGGACATTTTTTTTATTTTTCAACCCATTACTTTTTACTCGTCACCTTATTTTCTGTTGTCAAATGAAGATCACTTTTTTTTCTTTTTAATCTGTTTTTTGTGTAAATATCTAAGTTCATTAAAGTTCCTCTCCCTCTAATCCGTTTGCAGTTTCTGATCTTTCTGTGATCCTGCTTTGAAGCAATCTCTGTTTCTGCTTCTGCACCAGCCATCCTACATACACCATACACCACCCATATTACATATTCTGACACCACAAACACCAAATTCTTCAAAAACACCAACTTCAAAGCTTCCTCAAGGCTTCTTCAAGGCTCCAGCGACTCCTCAAAGCCTTGGAAAAAGCCCTGCCGCAGCCCTAAGTTACCACACTTCTGGTCACGGACGGCGCCGCGCTCAGACGCAGATCTGCATCGGTGACGCAAGCCCACTCCAAGCCAGCGCGGCGGGCCTGCTGACGCGGTGCAAACAGCCAAGCAGTCACACTTGCTAAGACCGCCGTCTGCAGCTGTGTGCGTACTATGCGAGCTGTGGTGGCGAAACACGCTTGAACTGCCCTTTCGGGACGGCATATTGGACTCAAACAGGCCGGAACTGAGCGGCGGTCGAGTCAGATCGGGCAGGAGGCCCCGAAGAGGCAGGAGAACGAAACTGGGCCTAGACTGTTTCAGAAGCAGAAACCAAAATGGGCTTAACCTCCATTTTCTGCTTTTATGGCTTTTTATAAAAGAAATACAATTTTTCATTTTTTTCATTTCCCATCATCTCTTTTTTTTTTCTTTCTATCTTTCAATATTTTGCAAATCTGCTTCTATATCTGTCTTATTCATTCTTTTGTTTTCTGAGTTAGCAATATACTTGTGTCCTCTGAAGATTATATCAAATATTCATTCCTTTATATTTGTTCCAGCTTTATCTCTTCCCACAAGTACTTATATATCATCCACTCATTTATTTTGTATTGATTGCGCCGATTATTCAAAAATATCTACTCTTAAATTAAATATTTATCATTTTATTTACTTCAGAAACACATCTGAAACTGAAGTTAGATACCTCTTCCATATAATCATTTCATTCCTTTTGATCATATAAATAGTTCTGATTATATCCATAAAGCTCAGTTGTCTTTGTTCCAATAATCTTTCCAATTTCGCTGAAAACAATATTATTACCTATAAAGAAATATAGAAATCTAAAATTAGAATATAACTAAATTACATTAAACTAAATTAAACTAGAAAAATACCAATTCATTTCAACGATAAAAATGATTTTCAAAAATAGTTTTGTTATCGCTTCCTTAGCTCTATTGAATTCTTTGAAAGCTTCAGCTGCATGCTCTCAAGTTAGTGGAAATTACTACTGTGATGAAGCCTCTGCCATTCTTTATTCAGGTGTTGGTTATTCTGGTACCTACAAGGATGTTACAAATATGGACGAATCTTCCTGTGAATGTTCTCAATCCAGTGTTTCATTTTCCAGTGACTTGTCTCCATTAAATGAAGAATTAAGTGTTCACTTCAGAGGCCCACTCAAATTGTCTCAATTCGCTGTCTACTATCCTGCCTCATCTTACAAAAAAGTTAAAAGAGATGCCGACCCAGTTCCAAAGGCTCACCACAGACACCATGTCCACAAGAGAGCTGCATCTCCAAGAACAACAACTGTCTTCTTTGCTGAAACTATTTATGTCGACACCAATGGTAACACTGTTACTGTAACTGATGTTGATAGCTCAGCCCCAACTGAAGTTGTTCAAAGTCTTGATGAATCTGACTATGTTTCCTCTACTGAAACTTGGACCTCCACTTTCTATACCACCTTGGATGAAGAAGGTTATTCTTCTTTTACCTCTTCATTATCCTCTGCTTCCGTTTCCGCTTCTGCTTCTTCAGCTTCGGCTTCAGCTTCCGTTTCTGCATTATCCTCATCTTTAGCAGGATCCTCAAAATCCACTGTTGGAGGATCTTGGTCTAGATCTTCTTATTATACTCCAGGTTCTGCTCAAAATCTTGTTTTCTTAAACAACTTAGGTGGTGTTACGGATTCGGGTACCTGGTCTTCTTGTTTTGGTAACTCCTTATCCTTCTGTGCTGCTAATGGTCAAGATGCCTCATCCTCATCTCAAGTTTTAAAGGAAGTCACTATTGGCTCTGATGTTGAATACATCATCTACTCTGGTTCAAAATGTGGCAGCTCTTCTGCTTCTGGTGATTGTGGTTACTACAGATCTGGTATTCCTGCTTACCACGGCTTTGGTGGCTCCAACAAAATTTTTGCTTTTGAATTTACAATGCCAACTGATTCTGGTTCAGCTTCTGACAGTAATTATGATATGCCTGCTATTTGGTTATTAAACGCTAAAATCCCAAGAACTTTACAATATGGTTCGTCTTCGTGTTCTTGTTGGTCAACTGGTTGTGGTGAATTGGATTTGTTTGAAATCCTCTCTTCTGGTTCTGATAAATTAATCTCTCATCTTCACACTGGTCAAGGCAGTGATGGTACTTCTTCCGGTGGTGGTGGTTCTTCTGATTTCTTCAAAAGACCAACCTCCTCTTCAATGAAAGCTGTGGCGGTTTTAAGTGGCTCTTCTATCTCTATTGTTAAAGTTGATGATTTCGATTTCTCTTCTAGTTTAGATGAATCAACTGTTAACGGTTGGTTGTCAGAATCGTCTTCCAGTGCTGTTTTAGTTTAATCTGAGTTCTCTTCGAATTGTTTTTGTTAAAAGAATAAAAGTTTTCTTTTTTTTCTTTTTATAATTTGCTATTCTCTTGAAATAATTTTACACTCAATTATTAAAACTAGTTTATCTTACTCTACGTTTTACTATTACTATTACTACAATTCTTTTTTTTAATTTTTTAATTTTTTTTAAATTAATTTAATTCCAAATTAATTCTTTTTTTGATTAGTTTTTTTTGTCTTGTCTTGTTACTATAAATTATTTGTGTACTTTTCGATATTTTTTATAAATAATGTTGTATCTTTTGGTTTAAAAACTTTTACTAAATGATAATGAATAAATTAAACAATCTACTTTGATTTACTTTCATCAAACTTGTTCTATTTCAATCCGCTCTATTCTGTTTTTGAATTCTTACACCCAATAAATAACTTAAAATTATTTTATTATTTTATTATTTTATTATTTTATTATTTTATTATTTTATATTTTATATTTTATATTTTATATTTTATCTTACTATTTTACCATTTTACTGGTTTTTTTACTCTACTGCTGATTTGATTAGACTCTTAAATGCCAATGCTTGCAATAATATCAGTGACAAGAATCATAATAACACCAGGTCAATAATCATCATCATTCCATTTATTAAACAAATGAAATGTCATAGCTCACACCAACTCTCTCTTCTTGCCTGAATTCTCTCTGGTTTTTAATGCAAAATTCCCACGACTAAACATCTTAAAGTTAAAAACCAGTCGACGGTTCGTCAACCGTAAAAAATCATTTCGAAAGCATGCAATATACGTAATATCAATCCGTTTAATCCCGCAAATCCCGTAAACGGCATATACGTGCTCGAACACATCCCATCGACCGGTTGATGACTCAGTGCTGATTCAGCAAAATGACTCGGAACTCCCAAAATCGGGCCAGAGTAACGTTTTGTCGTTTCTTATCATCTCACTCATTGGAGAGAAATCCCTAACATCAAAATTCAAAATTCGATACACCAACATCAGATTCTTTCGATTATTTGTTTTTTCCTTTGCAATTGAGAAATTGTCAGTTCGTGATTTGCATTATTTATTATTATTATTATTCTCTTAATCTGCAAAGAAATTTTTCTTCTTTCTTTTTCTTCATCCTCTTATAAACTCTTATAAACTTCTACTAGATATTTGCAGCATTCAAAAATGATATCTTCTGCCGTTGGTCGTTCAATTCAAAGAAATACTTTTTCTCCATTATTAAAAAACCAATCCTTTGTTAAACCATCCCAATTTTTTTTAAAATCTTCAATTAATTCTAATAATTTCAACAATTTTAATTACAACTCATTTTCAATCTCAAAAAGATTCAACTCATCTGACTCATCCCTTAATGTTTTAAATAAATCATCGTTACCTTTCACCTATTCAGATGGTCCTGTTACTTTAAGATTCACTCCTGAACATGAATGGGTTGCTTTCCATCCTGATGGAACTTCTTTTATTGGTATTACAAAACATGCTTCTCACGCTGTTGGTGATATTACCTTTGTTGAACTTCCATCAATAGACACTGATGCCGTTAAAGGAGAGGTTCTTGGTTCTGTTGAAAGTGTCAAATCTGCTAATGATGTCTATTTCCCAGTTAATGGTAACGTTGTTGATGTGAATTCACCACTTGAAGATGATCCTTCTCCAGTATCCACTGATGCAATGGGTGATGGTTGGTTAGTAAAAGTTGACCTAGTAGATTTAGAAGGTACCCAAAAAGACACAGAATTAATGACTGAAGAAGCATACAAAAACTTCCTTGAAAACGAAGAACACTAAATATCCCACAATATATATTCTTTTATCTATATAATTCAAAAAACATCATATTGGCAATTCGCCAATCAAAGTGACAAATTAGTTCCATCTCATTGGGTGACGCATGCATGCGCATGGCTTGCATGAGAAATGTTCCACCTCCATGGATTTATTTTTTTTGACATGAAAAAAAAAATAAAAAAAAAATTCGTTTTAGGCCCATTTTGACTAATAATTCTTATCATCATTTCTTTAAACTATATTATAACTTGAATAGATTGAAATCAAAATCGCTTACAGACTTTTTTTTCTCTTATCTATTTGTTTATTTCACAATGTCTACTATTATGCAAACACAAACAATTCGAATAAAATCGAAACCAAAAAACCAGTTGCCTGAAAAAGAACGTTTTTTGAAAACTTGTTCTGAGGTATCTCTAGAATTAGTAGCTTCATTACAAGACTCAAAGGATATCAATTTAAATGGCTTAATAATAAAGTATTCGAAAAAGTATAAACTAAAAAGACAACCAAGATTGACCGATATTATATCCTCAATACCTGATCAATATAAAAAGTATCTTATTCCAAAATTAAAGGCTAAACCTGTTAGAACTGCTTCAGGTATAGCTGTGGTTGCAGTTATGTGTAAACCACATAGATGTCCTCATATTGCTTATACTGGTAATATATGTGTTTATTGTCCCGGCGGTCCAGATTCAGATTTTGAATACTCCACTCAATCTTATACTGGGTATGAACCAACTTCAATGAGAGCAATTAGGGCAAGATACGATCCTTATGAACAAGCAAGAGGTAGAATCGAACAATTAAGACAGTTAGGTCACACTATTGATAAAGTCGAATATATTGTCATGGGTGGAACCTTTATGTCTCTTGATAAAGCCTACAGAGAAGAGTTTATATGTAATTTACACAATGCCTTGAGTGGTTATAATGGAATAAATTTAAAAGAATCAATCAAATTTTCTCAGCAGTCTTCCATCAAATGCGTTGGTATAACAATTGAGACCAGACCAGACTATTGTACTGAAACTCATCTTAATGATATGTTAGACTATGGCTGTACTCGTTTGGAAATTGGTGTTCAATCAATATATGAAGATGTTGCAAGAGATACCAATCGTGGCCATACTGTTAAATCCGTTTGTAACACTTTTTCTGTTGCCAAAGATGCTGGATATAAGATTGTTTCTCATATGATGCCTGATTTACCAAATGTTGGTATGGAAAGAGATTTAGAACAATTCAAAGAATATTTTGAAAACCCTGCTTTCAGAACTGATGGTTTAAAATTATATCCAACTTTAGTTATTAGAGGTACTGGTTTATATGAATTATGGAAAAAGGGACTTTATAAATCATACAATGCAAACGACTTGATTGATTTAGTCGCTAGAATTTTGGCTCTTGTTCCTCCATGGACAAGAATTTATAGAGTTCAAAGAGATATTCCAATGCCTTTGGTTTCTTCTGGTGTTGAAAATGGTAATTTGAGAGAATTGGCTTTAGCTAGAATGAAGGATTTCGGTACTAATTGTCGTGATGTTAGAACAAGAGAAGTTGGAATCCAAGAGGTCCATCATAAGGTTCAGCCTGATCAAGTAGAGTTAATTAGAAGAGATTATTATGCAAATGGTGGTTGGGAAACTTTCATAAGTTATGAAGATCCAAAGCAAGATATTTTGATTGGTTTATTAAGGCTAAGAAAAGCTTCAAAGAAATACACTTACAGAAAGGAATTCACTGAACAACCTTCAACCATCATCAGAGAATTGCATGTCTATGGTTCTGTTGTTCCTGTTCACAGCAGAGACCCAAAGAAGTTTCAACATCAAGGTTTTGGTTCTTTGTTGATGGAGGAAGCTGAAAGAATTGCAAGAGAAGAACATAAAAGCGAAAAAATCAGTGTCATCAGTGGTGTTGGTGTTAGAAACTATTATGCAAAATTGGGCTACTTCCTTGATGGTCCTTTTATGTCCAAAATGCTCGATTGAACGTCGAGAGCTGTTGCGTTTTAACTAAATCCTTATCGCAATTCCACTATATTCCTATTCACTTTAAAACTCCATTGTATTAAATTACCAATTTTTTATTTCTATCAAGTATATTTCAATAAATAAATAGATTTTATTTTTCTTTCCAGCTTCATAAGGGGTACATTGCTTTATGTTAAAAAGACGACAACAACATTCATTATTTTATATAAATTTATATAGGAATTTCTATTACTGTATAAGTATGAATTTAGTTTAAAAAATAATTACGATTACGAAATTAAAAATATAACGAAAACTGATTATGGATGTGTATGTCGTTTGACCTTTTCTTTCTTCTGATTCTGTTGAATTTTTTTTTTTTGAAATTTTTACATCTTTTTTATATTTTTTTTTGTTTTTTGTTTTTTTTTTTGATTTTTTTGATTTTTTCATACTTTTTAAATTAAATAAAATGTTTGAAAAAAACTTCAATAAATTATTAAAATAAATTAATGGATATAAATGTTACAACAAATATACAAAATAAAAACAAGAATCAACAGAGAAGCCAAAGGAGGGTGATTTTTTAAATTAATAGATAAAGGAATAACCAATACCCATTATTTGTTAGTAATTAATAGATAATTTTATACCTTGAAAAAGTAAAAATTAGAAGGAAAATTTTTAACAAAATAAATGAAAATACAATACAACATTAATATCATATATCAAGATATAATGATTAATTCTTTTCAATCATCATCCATTTCAGATGGTTTCAACAAACCACCAACTTTCATAGCATTTTGCCTTTCTAAACGTTGTTTTTCAAGTAATTCTGATTCTTTATCTTCAGCAAATAAATAATCAGTTGGGTCACCTCCAAGTTCTTTAAGTTGAACTAAAAAGTCTCTTAATGTACTCTTAAATTTATTAGGATCATTGTGTTGATTAATTAAAACAGTAATAAAGTTTTCCACTTGAGACGGTTGTAAATGTGGGAATTCATTTATTAACATATTTCCAATAAATTGTTTAAGGTAAACGGAATTAGATGTTCCTTCTGGTGCTTCACCTTTATTATATATAGGAACTTGAATAACATTTTGTTGAACTAATTTTATCATTTTGCCAATTAATTGTGCCTGATAACGGAAACCAGATTTATGGTCAGAATCGGTTAAAACCGAAAAGGTATCAGCCAAGATTCTGAAAAAGAAATTTTGGTAAAACGCAGTTGAAAATGGAGTTGTGCCTAATTCTTGAACGTTTTCCATTAATTGGATACCTAATTGTAAACCGCAGGTTTCAACTTCTCTATTATTATGTTGAAAAGCCCATGAGATGGCGGAAATGAACTGTTGGAAGTCATTGCCAGATAACTGTAATAGAGCGATAAATGATTTTTCGTTAATTATTTTCAACAATTTATAAAATTCAACTCTGTGTTCGGGATACTCGGTGAAGTCTTTGTTTATCATATTGATTGTGCAATCAAAGACATTTTGTAGTATTAAAACAATTCCCTCAGGAACGAGCTCACCAACTTTATCAACAACGGTGGTCATACAAATTAAGACTTCAGCATCTCTTGCATCGGGAACGTTACGATTATAATCATCTAAAACGGCTTCAAACAATGGTCGTATTAAATCTTTAACAATTTCTTCTTTATTGTCAGCACCGGATATATAAACCTCAACAAGATGTAATACTTCTTTTTTGATTGTTCTTAAACCACGAACCTTCGGGGTTTTAGTGGCAATTAAGCCTTGAGTAGCAACGGTATCAGAGATCATACCACTAACCACTCTGTATAAAGATAGCATATCAACATATATCAAACCCAACTGAGAGTAAAAGGCATCACCTAGATGCTTACAAACGGCTACATTTGATTTGATGATACTAGCGATAATTTTGACGGTTTCATTGCTTGTTAATAGGTTTGAGTTATTTGAGCTTTGTTGGACTATAGCTTCCCAAGCAATATTTGGTAGAGACATTAAATCGCTTATCAATTTTTGTTGTGTTTGAGTATTGTTTTGAGAGCTAACAATGATACCACATGCTTCGTAAAAGGTGTGAACTTGTTGAGGAGATAAATCTTCGGTGATATCTTGGATATTTTTAATTATTTCTGAGATAAAGGGTTCAACTTCATTTGATTGTAGGCAAACAAAATGTCTTTTACATTTCTTAGCGATTTTTATAAAGGTGTCACAAGCCATATCTTGAACTCCTTCGTGAGTTTCATGCATAAATTCGAATAACTTGTTGACGACAGTTTTGAGAAATTTCCAGTGAGCTTTTAAGAATCTTGGGTATTGGCCGACAATATACATGATGTTTGAAGCGACGACGGCTTTATTGTCTTTACCTCTTTTCATTTCTGTGAGTGCTAGCAAGTCTTTAATAACTGTGATTAAGAATCTTTTTTCCATTTCTTCAGACATAGTACCTGAGATTGAGCCGATTGCCCAACAGAGGGTGTTGATGTTGTGCCATGACCATTCAGTGCCGTCGATTTGTTTGGCTAGTTTTTCAGTCATAATTTGCTCAGTGTCAAGAACATCTAGATGAGTTAGGTAGACTAATAGTTCTCTCATTGATTTGTATAGAGTGATTGTGTCACTTTCTTTAACGAATTCTCTGACGATTTCACCTTCGTCATTTTCAACAACCAAGACTTCTTCGGGTCTTGCCATTGATTCAATGACAACTAGTCTTAGTTTTGATAGTATGTCATTGTAGAGATGTTTTCTTAGGGGGAATTTATTTAGATATTCCGGATTTGGAGCGCCCGAGGAAGGATTTAGAGCAGAGCCAAAGCTTAGTTGGAGAATTGGGGATAGTTCGTTTTTAGGTAAGTTTTGGACTTCAGTGAATAGGCCAAAGACGAGTTTGCTCCAGTAGTCGATACAGATTTTGAAAAGTTCTCTTTCGTCGATTCTTGAGAGTTGGATTAGGTATTCATTGGCGGTTAGTAGGATAGATTTGGATAGTTCTTGTTTTTCTAGGTCTAGGATATGAATTGATAGAAAAGTTGATAGGAACATGGCTAGATCTTGTAGAAAGGCTTGTTCAGTAGCGGATATTAATCTATAGGAATCTCTTAGATCGGTTGTTACTGGGAGGAATTGTGAAATTTTCTCCAAGCTGTTTTGGAACATTAGGAAGAAGTTGTCGTTGTATTTGGGCTCAATTAAGGAGCTAACTTCGATGAGGCATTTGATTGTGATTGATCTTGTTTCAGGGGGGGATAGGAATTTGTTTGTTAGTAGTTCTAGTAGATTAGTTTCAAAGATGTAGCCAAAGTGAATCCAGTGGAGGTATCTTGATAGGGCAGATAGGGTTTCTACGATTAAAGAGGGTTGATTTGCTTTATCGAGGACTTCGTAGCATAGTTTGAAGATTTCTTGGAATTCGTTTGATAGGTTTTCTTTAAGTGTTTTTGTCTTCTTTTGAGTCATTTGGTCAGCAGAGTAGTCAAAGATTTCTTCGGATAGATATTTCAAGATGATCATGTTGTTTTCGCAGACACTGAAGCCAGCTCTTGAAGAGGCGACTAGTTCTGGGATGAACTGGGGCCAGTTGTGGGGCCAGTCCTTTTTCAAGATTTGGACGAGGGTGAGATCGCATTTGTTGATTAGAGATCTTTGAGCTTGGAACTGGTCTTCGTTCTCACAGAGAGCGATTATCATGTTGACTAGGAAGTTTCGAATGCCTAGTCTTTGATCGTTAGGAAGAGCCATCCATCTTGTTTGAATTAGGTTTTCTAGGATTGATAGGGCTATGAATTTTGATCTTGAGTCGTTTGATTGTTCTAATATGAGACCGGCATTTTCCCAGGAGTTTGGGTGTTGTTTGAATTTTGTTAGGATTTCTTGAGCAGTTTGTTGTTCAGAGCCTGAGCTTTTGTAAAAGGTGTCGACGATTTTGTCAAGGGCGTTGACGTCAAAATCCTTTGAAAAATCAAGAATTGAGTCCATATTCGGGAGGAAAAGAGAGTGGAGGAAATATCGATTGGAATTGAAGTTGAAAGGAGAAGTTGTGTGGTTTATATAAAGCTTGGATGGAATTAGGTTTTCGTTTTTATTCTTTCTCGATAGAAAAACAGAAAAGACAGTAAACGTGGAAAAAAAAGGGAAAATACGAGACTATAAGCGCAAAACCAAGAGAGATTAAAGGACCAAAGAGAGTCAGACAGTGGAGCAGGGGGCAAGAAGAAGAATTACCTATTTCTTTCGCTTTGGCAAATTTTTTCCTTCCACACTGCTAGGAAATAGGAGAGGAAAAAACAAGACAGGACAAGAAGACAGGAAGGGAATAAGAAGCAGGTCTGAGTTGTCTACAATTGCACAGGCAAAGGGCAGGAAGAGCAGGAAGAAGAAATAGGAGCAGGAGAGGAAGAAGAAGAAGCACCTTAGGAGGTTATATACCAGCTTGCCACTGCGCTGAAAAATCGCCAGCGAGGTCACGTGTGGCGGCAGTGGCAGCAGCGGCGGCATGTATTTACAGGAGCGGGCAGCGGGGGGCTAGACGGCGCTTAAGAGGTGGCCGATGCTGGCAAAGTAGGCCGGCTCGACCCTGCTCGCGAGCTCCTCCCGCGCCAACCACGCGTACTCGTCGGCGAGCGCAAAGCGGCCCGCGATGAGGTGCGACAGAACAACGTACTCGCGGCGGTCAGCGGGTCTCAACACCGCAACCGGGTAGTGCGACACGGTCTGGATGTTGAGCCGGTGAGGACACATCTGCTGCGTGTGCTGCACGGTCTGCACGTGCAAGGGCTGCGTCGCGTCGGTGACGGCGAAGGTGGGGAGCTTCCACACGCCGCCGCTGTTCACCACCAAGTAGAGTGTGCGTGAGAGCTTGCGTTCCAATGAGCGCGTGTCGTTCTTTTCGTCCGCCTCGGTGGTCCTGGGGTTGGCCCTGATTTCGTCCGTAAAGCTGTCCTGTGCGCCGGGAACCATCGACTTTTGGGTGGGAATCACCAACTCCTGCTTGCTTCTTCGCTCTCGGTTGTGTCTGATCTCTGGCACTCCCTTGGGGTAAAACACGTCTGGAACTCTCGAAACTGGGCCCTTGTTGGCCTTGACAAAATTTCTCTCACTCAAAGAACCCTTCTTGAAGTAGAAATACGAGGGAAAGGTCCACATCAACCTCTTTTCCAATTCCGTTTGGTACTTATAATATGCTTCTTCAAACTCGTTTAAATCTCGGCTCACAATAGGCGCCCTAGCCAATAAAATCGACGAATAGACATTTTTCAATTCTGAAGCTTTACTCCTATCTGCCACTTGACTGGATACCTCTGAAGCAACCTCTGAAGCAACCGCTGCTGGAATCCGCCAGCTGTTTAATGTTGAAAAGTTTTTGCTTCCTAAATTGACTGATTTAATTCCAAAATAAAAATCATAAACATTTATCAAAAACCGTCAATGGTAAAACAACCCGATGTTAGTCTGCTGAATCTGATACCAAACCGCCAACACATCATCCCGCAATAATCGAAAATCATAAAATCATAACATACATATGTTCCTGGTTAATGAACTCATTTTCAACCGACCTCCACAACGAAATACTGATTTTCGTCCAGCAACTTTTCAATATCCTCTTATCTTCCTGTCCATTTCAATCTTCAATAATTTTTCAACCTCGACGAAAATCCGTTTGCGTCCTCACGTGCCGCACCACGGACTCAGCAATCAAAATCCCCGGATGCCTACATCCGATTCTTTCAAAAGGTCTTATCTCTTCACAAACCGATTTTATGTTCACAATTAGCAACTAGAGATCAGTATTAATACTGATTTAAGTATCTACTTTTCTTCTTTTTTATCAATTCAACAATTTCTACAAAAAAATGTCAAGGTTCTTCTTAGCTTACTCCAATTCCTTGAAAAATCATCCTTTAATTACCAATGGTCTAACAACTGGCTTTTTATTCGGCTCTGGTGATGTCCTAGCTCAATTTCTATTTCCACTTGAAGATTCAACAATCTCCCAAGATACTTCTGAACTTTTAAATAATCCATCTCTAATTGATTCAATTATCCCAAATAAAACCAATAAACAAAATAATTCACGCGCCTCCTGGCTTTTGCATTATGATATTAAAAGAACAATTAGAGCCATCATTTACGGCAGTCTAATCTTCAGTGTTATCGGTGATAAATGGTACAAGATTCTACCTAAAATCAATTTCCCTTTCTTCAAAAACTCAATCTACTTTATCAACAACCCCAATTTCAAATCAAATCTAGATACCCTAGCAAGAGTCACTTGCGACCAACTACTCTTTGCTCCACTTGGTATCCCACTCTACTATTCCGCCATGTCCCTCTTGGAAAATAAATCATTCAACGACTTGAAAGAAAACTTGTTAAATAACTATAAAGTCACCCTATTGACTAACTGGGCTGTTTGGCCCTTTTTTCAATTCCTAAATTTCTCTCTAGTTCCGGTCCAACATAGACTACTAACCGTCAATATCGTATCTATTTTATGGAACTGTTTCCTAAGTTATAGAAACAATACCTCTTCTAAATTAATCAATAGAAACCCAACCTATTCGCCACCATTGCCTGAATAAATAAAAAACTTCCCAACTATGAGTATAATCATAATCACAAGTATAATCACAATCACAATCACAACCATAATCTAGATTTTCTATCAAGCCCTCCCTCCTCCCCCCAATTATCTCCCCATTCTTAATACTCTCAATATTCTTATCCGTAAATAGCTTCAAATATTCTCTTTACTCTCTTTATTTTTAATACTATTACCTTCTTATCATAATTATATTTAGCCTCTGTAAATAATTTTATCTTAATACTAAAGCTTGTTTATCAATTCAACTCACAACTCTACTCAATAAATTTTGTGGTGGTTTCAAAACTTAGACCAACTCGTTTAACCACTTCAATATATTACTAGCCACCATCAGTGTTTGTTCCCTATATTTTATTCTTTCCCTATTCTTATCATATTGTCTTAACAACTCTCCTACTATTTTCAGTAATTTCGTCTTTTTTTCTCAACCATCAACCACTCACTTCACCACTCCAGCTCTCACTTCCTCGCAAAAATGAGTATCTCACTTTCTATCGGCTCTTATTGTCTTCTATTGAACTTTTCTCTGATGTAATAATGTAATTTCCTAAATAGGCCGCATGCTACAATTTGTGACAGTTTCATTTTAAGTTGCCTCAAATCCTATTTTATCAATATATTTATTTCCATCCTAATTATACTCAAGCTACTCCCTTTCTCTCTACAGCTTTATCACTTTAATTGTTTAAATACATTTATATTCTTTTTAAACGGGCCATAAATTACAATCACTATTTATTGATCTATTAACTTTGTTATATATATTTACAACATTCAAATCTACTGATTCAACTTTTTTTTCTTTGGTCGTTTATCTTTTCTTTTTTCATTACTCTTGTTTTTTTTTCCTAGTTGTTTTCTTTAAAAAATCAATTATTAATACTAATACTTTATTATTCTCTTCTATCCCTTGATATTTTATCATCCTTTCAACATTCTTCAATCTTCAAGTTACTTGATTCAATTTATCTTTTCCAATTTTTTTAATACCTTATTTTAACTTGTTAAAGGAAGAAAAAAAAGTAAAAAGAACTCCAATAAATTGATCACCTATAATAAATCATCTCCTTGTTCACCAAATTATTTGATTGCTCTTTTCAAATTTTCTATCGTTATATCTATCATTTCCAATCTTTAAAAATGGGTTGCGGTGCAAGCATAGAAAGTGATTCTGATGATCCATACTACCAACTTAAAAAGCTTGACAAACAAATTGAAAGAAATCTTCTATTAGAAAAGAAAAACAGCAAAAATCCAATCAGGTTGCTTTTGCTTGGTGCTGGGGAAAGTGGTAAATCTACTGTACTAAAACAAATGAAAATTCTTCACCATATTGGCTTTACCAATGAAGATAGAACCCTATATAAAACTGTCATTTGGAGTGATGCAATAGCTTCTTTTCAGTTACTAATTTTACAAGCAAGAGAGAAAAAAATAGATTTGGATTGTGATAAGTTTGAAAATAGAGAATTATTCAACTATAAAAAAATTATATTTAGAGCTTCAAGTTCTATTAAAAAAAACTCGGATCCTAATTTCAATTTCCTAAATCAATATTTGGAGAAATATAGTGAAACATCAAAACTCAAAAGAATGGAAGAAAGTACTGGTACTCCTGATACAATTTGGGATGAAACTTCCCCTGATCAAAACCTCAAAAATGATCAAAATTTCTATAACTATACTGATGAAAACTATAACAATTCAAACATTAACGAATTCAATCAAGCTTTAAATGAAGACAATATGATCAACCTCAAAATCAGTGGTTTCCGAAAGGATGCTGGAACTCGAAGAAAAAATTACATACCTGATCCAACGAAATCTGAAATAGCTCATGCAATTAAATCTTTATGGAATAATGATTCAGGTATTAAAAAAATTTATGCAAGAAGAAATGAATATACTATTGACAGTAACATTGATTATATTTTTAATAAAATAGAATGTTTTTCCAATGATGATTATGTTTGCACTGATCAGGATATTCTTAATGCTCGTATTAAAACAACTGGTGTCACTGAGACACATTTTCAAATAAAAGGCTCCGATTTCACTGTTATTGATGTTGGTGGACAAAGATCTGAAAGAAAAAAATGGTTGAGCTGTTTTAAAGATATTACCGCAGTAATTTTTGTGCTAGCTATTTCCGAATATGACGAAAAGTTATTTGAGGATAATAATGTTAATAGGATAGTTGAAAGCGTTTTGTTATTCAAAAGTATAGTCAACAGTAAATGGTTCAACGAAACTCCAATCATCGTTTTCCTCAATAAAACAGATTTGTTTAGGGTTAAAATTCAAACCAATCCACTAAATAGATATTTGCCAGGATATACTGGTGAAAGTGGCAATGCTGAAGATGGTATTCAATATTTCGAAAATACTTTAAAGTCATTAAATCAAACATCAAGAGAGTTATATTTCAATGAAACCTGTGCAACAGACACCCGTCAAATGAATTTCATTTTGAATGCAGTTACAGATATAGTGATTCAAAAAAATTTAAAGGCAGTGGGCTTAATTTGAATTTTTTTTATTTTTTATAGATATATATTTCTTTGTTCTGTTGTTTTGATTTCTGTTTTCATTTTTATAATCATTTTGATAATCAATTTTTTACCTTTGTTTTTATTTTATTTTTACATTTTGTTAAATTTAAATATTTCACCTTCAACTTGATTTTTCTACTTTTTTTTTGGTTTGAAATTCATCCTTTTAAATTTATTTCTAGTGATAGCAATAATACTTGTTCATTTTCCCCAAATTTTTTCATAGTTTATTGCAAATTAATTAATTATTTTTGTTAAATAGTTAATTGATATTTTTTTTGTAATTTTTTTAGTTTTTTTTATTATATTTGTTTTTAATATACACCACTTAAATAAGCCAAATACAGATAATATAAACATATAACAGAAATAGTAGAAGTTTTCATTCAAATATAAAAGTACAAATTGATGTAGTATAGTATAAAAACAAAAAATAAATTAAAAATAAATTAAAAATATTGATTTAATTTAAAAATTCCAATTTTCTATATTCTTGACCTAATTTTCTCTTTCTCTTTCTTTCTAATAACCTATCCTTTTGTGTTTTATTCATGGATTCAAATTTCTTTATTTGCATCAATTTCTTTTGATCACTTTTCTTTAGATAATAATTAGTAGATTTGAGTTTAGGTTTGATATTGTCTTTTTCATTATTTTCACCAATGTTGTTGTTATCATGACTATTAGAATCATGACTATCTCTGTTCAGTCTGGCACTTCTAACTTTTTCTCTAAACTCATCTCTTATTTGAATTTCTAAATCTCTATTTCTAACAGAATCTTGCTTAGATCTTAGCTGTTGTAAATCTAATTTATATTCATTGACTTCATTCTCAGATAACTTGTGAAGTAATTTTTTATTCTTCAATACTGATTGCAAATTTTTAATTTCATCTTTTCGATAGTCATCCAAAAATTTATAATCATTGCGAATTCTTTCAAAATTCGGTTTTCCATAGACAGGATTAAAACGAATATCCCCAAATAGATTATCGTTATTACTAGCTTTTTTAGAATACCTTGTGTTATCTAATAATCCAGGAATTTCTCTCACTACAGAAACAGGTCTCTTTGCTGAGGAGATCACAGGAGAGTGCTTGTTTTTCTTTTTCTTGGTTTCAACTGTTATTCTTTGTTCTTCGGGTTCACTACTACTATCACTATCACTATCACTGTCGATTTCACTCTCATCACTATCTTTTCTTGATTCTCTCTGTTTGTGAAAACTATTTTTTTTCGGATTCAAGTTCGAACTGAGCCCATATTTTCCTTTAAAACCGTAGTTTTTTCTGTAACCACTGTTCAGATCTCTGTGTCTGTGACCATCAAACTTTGGTCTCCTTTTGGTATCGTTGGCAGGCTTCTTTATTCTATTCATCTTGATATCTCTACAATTGTTTCCTCTTTCACTATAAATCACAAAAAAATAATCTGAAAAGCTGAAAAATCCCAAAGCAGAAAGATCCCTCAAACTGGTCTCAATAATCAAGCACGTGTTCGAATTTTCCTGATTGAAAATTTTGAAGGAAAAGAAGCATTTTTTACTGGAGAAGACTCGAAAAGAAGTCTTTTGTCGTTTGCTCGCAGCTGGAAGAGGGAAATGTTTCAATCTACTGCTAGACATTTGTCAGTATCCTTCAGGTCGTTAGCATTGGTGTCGAGGGCCTATGCTGTTCGTTCTTTTTCCTCCGGATTGCCTGTACTTCTCCAGCTCCAAAAACAACAAAATGCCAAAAAAGCATCTGCTTCAAAGGTAGTAAATGTTCAAAAAAAGGCTAATTTGCCAAAAAAGGTTAATGTTCAAAAAAAAATTAGTGTTCTTAAAAAATCTGCTGCTTTAAGAAAGTCCAATATTTCAAAAAAAAATAATGCTGTGGAAGGAAGAAATGCTGCCAAAGTTTCAAAAAAAGCAGGATCATCAAAACAATCAGTTTCTTTGAGAAATGTCAGTTTCAAGAAAAAAATCACTCTCAAGAGAAAAGTCACTCTCAAGAAAACAGTCACCCCCAAGAAAAAAGTAAAAGCTTCAAAAAAAAAGACTTCACCAAATGAAGAAGCAAAAACATTGACTGTCGAAGAAATGAAAAAAAGATTAGAAAACCAAGTGCAATATTTAAATACTCCTCACAGAGATAGATTGTTAGCGTATAGACCTAAAAATAGTGAACTTTTAAAACAAAAATATTTACATATGGAGGAATACGAGGTTGGAACTGAAAGAATTTCTGAAACACTTTCTTTCCAAGGACACCCATCTCCTTATTTATTTATTGAATACATTAAAAGATGTAAAAGAACTGTTGATAGTTATTTTGAAATCAGAGACTACATACTCTTATATTTAAGAAAACAGCCAAAAATGCTTTTGCCTCAGACTTTGATATCATTTCTACTTTTCAGTATTGAAATCAACAAGTTGCCACACACAATCACTTTTTACTATGGTAAGAGGAATGTCTTGAAAGATTTAATAGATTCCAATGTCGTTGCTCACATTTATATTATAAACCTATATCTAAGAATGTCCAAATTGAATAAAGATTACCTTAAAAGGAGTCCCAATTTCAAATATTTTTTAGAAAATGATTATCTTACACCTTTCAAGCATACTTCTATTGTCAAGACATCTCCTTTATTGCTTATTTCTCAATTGGCATGCATCTCGAAATACTTATCTATTAAGTATAAAAATATTAAATATTTTGAAATAGATGAGCAAGAAAGAACTCTAATATCAAAACAAATAGCTTCAAGATTCGTATTTTTGGGTAAATTTAATTTTGAATCTTATCTCAAACCATTAGGTGTTAAACCAGGTACTGACTATACCAAAGCTAGATGTTTTTATTCATCTTCAGATGCTACTTTATCAACTTTAATAAAATTTCACACTCAAAACAAACCAATCAATAGAATATTGGCTATTTGTAGAGAGGAACTTGAAAATAATTTATTTAGAGATCAAAAATTTTTCCAACTTGAAAACAGAAAATTTTTAGAACAAATTAAAACTGTGAATGACTGTTATGATCTTGTTTCAAAAAAATTACATAACTCATCTGGTAATAATTTATTTTCAAAGCTATTAGAAACTATTAATTATAAAAAACCTGCTAGTGAAGAAGACTCTAAAGCTGAAGCTGAAGTTGAAACTGAGGCTTCAAAAAAGGCTTAAATTGTTGAAATCGAAAACCGATCTACCCATTAATTTATTTTTTTTTTCTATATTCGTTAGATCGCCATGTATATAATTTATGAAAAATACATAATTGAATTTGAAAGATTACTCTATAACTATATTCCTAATTTTTTTTATTTTTATAGGACTTTAAAATATTTTATCAAATTAATCGCCCTCAAAGAAAATGCTAGATATATATGTCAAAAGAATAATAGAATTAAAAATAAAAAAAAGCCAAAAAAAAAGACACGGGAAAAAAGGAAAGAAAGAAAAAAAAATTGTATCATATAAGTTATCTAGGCAATACTGTTATATTCTTTTAAAACTACAGGAATTGAAGAAGGAGGTAATGAGCCCATTTCAGTTACAATTTTTGTAATATATTCAGCAGGAGTTAAATCATACATGATATTTAAAAGATTCAAATTTTTAGTATTTTTATAATCAACTAAAGGATCATAATCCTCGTTATTTTTTAGTTCATTTTCTTCTTGGAACTTTTTATTCAATTTATTTTGTTGTTGCTGTTTACTTAATCTTGAATTATTAAAATTGTTACTATTATTTTCAATTGATTTTGATTTTATAAAATACTCTAAGAAATAATTTTTCTTTTTAGGTAAAGAATTAAAATTTGGAACATTCAATAGATAATCGTTATCATTAATCTCGTTTTGAGTTAAAGAATCTAATTGAATTTTATCAGTAAATTTCAAAGATTCACAGCAAACAATGATTGGAACATTTCTCTTATGAGAGACTAAAGAACACATTGCAGTGCCCACTCTTGAATATAGAGTTCCATTTGATAATATGCCATGAGCACCTAAAAACACAGCATCAATTTTGTTTGTATTTAAAATGGTTGATATAGCATTTATAAAAATATAAGACAAATTTTCTCTCTTGAAGCCTGAATTGATTAAATTATTCAATAAAGTTTTCCCTTCAAATAGTGGTCTTGAATCAACAATAATTAATTTGAACTCTTTTTTTTCAATATTATGACAATGAATAAATAAGTTATTTAAAACTTTTGAATTACCATAAGTTAAGATAATTGAGTCATTAGATATATGTTTTTTAGCATCATTTATAATTAAATTTTGAGGTAAATAAATTTTATTTTTAATGAAATCATCAATTTTTTCAGAGATTTGATTTTTAAAGTCTATTTGAGAATCGATTGAGTTTTCGATTGGCGATTTGAAATTTAAGGATAGCTCCGAGATTGTTTGTTTTAACCAACGAATCGAATTTCGCATTGTTATTGATAAAGGTCTTGAAGTTTTCAAAAATTCAATTTGGTAGCTTAAATACTGGGTTAAGTCTCTCGAAAATGACAAATTTTTTTTATCGTTAAATTTGTAATCATTTATAACTATTTTGAAAGTATTTAACATGGAAACACATCTGTTTATTGAGCCAATTATTTTAAAATTTGAATAGTTTAAATTTAACTTAATTATTGAGGTATGGATAAATTCATGTAAAATGTTCAGAGAACTTTGGTTTCTTTCCTCCTTTGTTGACAAATGGGTAAATAATGAAATGATCTTATCTCTTGAAAAAGATTCATTATTTGTCGATTGTTTGTTAGTATTAGGATTGAAGTTGTTGTTACTGGTCGCATTGCTATTATTGGTTTCATTATTGATTTGTTTTTTAATTTGATTAGATGATGGTTTAGCATTGTTTTTATCGTCAGAATTCAGAAATTGTTGTTTTTTAGCAGCTCTTTTAGCAGCTTTTTCCTTTTTTTTTAATTCTTTTAGTTCCTTGTTTGACAAAGTAGGTGGATTCTTATTATTAGCTGCCTGAGAGTTTTCATTTTTGGCATTAGAATCTGCATTTTGAGGTGCTTTTGAAGTAGAATTAGATGCAGAGACAACACCTACAGGATTACCAGAAGAATTCGTGGGTTGAGCAGAATCCATAGTCAAATTTAGTTATTTGTTCAGTTGATAGTGATAGAGAAAGAAGCCCACATTAAAAATTTATCAAAAATGATTCATTCAATTTCAATTTCAAAATATTTCACATCATGTGATGTTATGTAATCAATAATATAATATTAGATAATTGTGTTTTGTTAAAATTACTTCTGAAGTGATTTGATTTAATAATGAATTTTATTATCAAATAAAGTATGGAGTTGTTCACTATTATCATTTAAAGCTGTTTGCATTTTTACTTTTTTCTTATTTTAATACACTTTAATCTTTTGATTGTCTCTTCGCAGCTGATCCTCTTCTACAATAATAGTGCAATACTACAATCCTCCATCTAATTCCCTTACTTAACCACTCTAGTTGCTGAAATATCAATAAAATATTGTTTCTTTTTGGGATTACACAACTAAAATTATATGATAAAGTTGTTGAAGCTGTTGATATGGGCTGAGTATCGACAGGAGATTAGAGAGTAATATTTGTGACAATAGCTTTGATTTTAATTCTAGAGTGAGTGACTATTTGTTTGATTGTTTAGGTTTTTTGTTTTTTCACAATATCATAGATCAAATATAGAAGAAGAAAAAAAGAAGAAGATAGAAAAAAGTGGAAACTGGAGAGAATGTGAAAAACTCATACTGATAGAACAGGTTTCAGCAGCATGTCGCAAGTGGCTGCAATGCTAATGAGTCTCTGCATACACTGTATGTGTGGAGTGCATACATATTACATGCAATATGCATGTGTGGAGCTGTGTAACTGGGACTCAGTCCTGATTCACTTTTGATAACAGGTTGTATAATCTACTGTGGTGTTATATTCTGTGAGAGTATTGGTTATATCCAAAACACCAATTGGCCATGGATACACATGGTGAATGTGATGTGATCTGAACTGGCTTGTTGGTGGTATAGCTATAGCTGCAGCTATAGATATAGTTATAGGTCGAACATGCTGAAATTGGAGATGTCCATCAACATGGCGGCAGTTGAATATATGATATATCCAATACAACAAACATGCTAATACAATAAACATGTTTGATCTGTATAGAAGACAATACTGGTGATGGGAAACAGAATTGGTGATAGATCTCAAGCCTGGATCATGGAATAAATATAAATAAAGAGAGGATCAGACTATACTTGCTGAAAGATATCAATTGTGGGTTGATATTGATATTAAAAGTATCCAAAGTATTTAAAGTATTAATTTTTTGCTCATTGGGTTTTTTTCGATTAATTTAGTAGCTTTAAAAAACTATCAAAATGCCAGCAGATTTTAACTCGTCTGGAAATGAAGGAAATGAAGACGAGTTTATTTTAAACTTCCATGATTTTCTAGATTTGGATGTTATCAACATTAATTCCAATGATTCATCCGCTGATATTGAAATACTTGAAGAATATTATGCAGATAGTGAAAGTGATAATGATAGTAATAGTAATGGAAATTATTTCAGTGAAATTGGAAACGAGGAGGATTATTTCATTAAGATTAAAGATGAAAGCTCTTCAAGTATTTTAATTCTTTCAGAAATTGATGAAAATGATCCTATTTTTCAAGTTAATGATGACGAGGAAGAAGAAGAGAAAGAGGAAGAAGATGAGTATCATAACGTTGATTTTACTTTGATGGTGATAAGAACATTTAATAGTATTTTAGCTGATTACATTAAACTATTAGAAGAGTTTTTAGCTTGTTTATCTTTTCTAATTTTTTTTAACCAAATTCCAGATCAAGATCAAGACACTTAATTCAATTCATACTTAGAAATATAATAATATTGCTAAGCTTTGCTGTATTATTTTTCACTGGTTATATTTTATTTGATATAATATACTTTTTTATAATTTTGCGTTTTTTAATAAAGAATTGTATATCTCAAAAGAATAAATGAATCTCATGTATAACTGGTTAAATGTAATACGAAACGCGTAACTGGTAGCTTATCCAGTCTTTTGTAGAAAGAAAACAACCGATAACTGCATTTTTCAACCCTCACTGAGTTGTTTTTTCTACACTTATGAAAATGTATACTGAAAAGGCAGGCTGTTTTGTGATACCAAATATAAAGACATCAAACGGAAACACTTGAAGGTGAGCAAATTAACAAAACCCCATTTCCTGTTGAGGAAATCACAAATAACTGCTCAAAACCAGCAGCTCCGAGACGCCAAAGCAGGTCCAAAACAGTTCCAGACCCCTTCTTCAGCCTGCCATAAAACGGCTAAATCCCAGCAACAAATAGCTCCAGCTCCAAGGATCTCGTACAAATATGCAGACACACGTCTGTACCCGCTGCAATGCGCCGCCACCCGGCCCCGAGCACCCACAATTCACGCGTGTTCCGTCCGGCAGCGCGCGCTGTGATCACAAACACCGCTGGTGAAGCCCAGCTAAGCTTTTCCAAGCTTTGCACTGCTTGGGGCGGTCCCTCAATAATCGCGCGGACGTATACACACAGCACTCAGGCTCAGAGGGCCCAACATGGCGACGCCAACACTGGTGGTAGTTTTCCTTTCTCAAAGAGCTCTTTTAAAAATAGCAAGGCGAGAGATATTCCGTAGAGCACAACCAACAACTCAATCATGAAACCTAGTTTCTGAGGTCTTATGCTCGCTGACCAGTTTCTTTTGCTAATCACTAAGCTGCTTATTCTCAGGAACTGAATTCAACAACAAAAGAAAAAAAATATATTATTGTTTTCAGAGCAAATTTAGTATAAATTCATTCTGATTTTCCTGTAATATGCTTTTCTGTACTAAAGACATTACTCCACCAAGTAGTTATTACTACCACAATATTTTATAACTATAATCATGTCTTCAAATAATCAAGAATCAAGTATATATCCCAAGTCAAATTCGAATTCAAACTCTGAACTCAATTCCCAGTCTGAAATCCAGCTCTATAATCCTGTGCTAGACAATGAGGATGCTCAATCAGAATTGTCTAATATCAACTCAAGAACCTCGTCGATCAACAAATACCAAACCAATCCTGGTGATAGGATAAAACTTATGAAAACAGAAACCGTTAAAACTTTGGCTCAGATTGGTGTCACTTCTATTACTCCAGTGCCTGATGTCAATGCTCCAACTAGTCTCAGAAATCCTATTTTTCCTGAAGAATATACTTTGGAAACAGAAACCGGCTTAGTTCCTGTCGTGACTTTGACCTCCATAGGTAGAATAAATGTTAATCAATTGAACAAAAACATCTCCAGAACCAGAACTGGAACAAGAGCAAGAGCAAATTCTGGTTTTACAAACCAACCATATTTTCCTACTTATCATGAATACGCCGAAAAAACTCATTCAAAGACATCTTCAACAAAACATTCATTGAAGATTCCATCAAAGGTCCCAACAAATATACCAGCTACTGCTTTAGAAAGTGATAATGAAGAAGAAAAACCATCAATTGATCATGAACGAAACGATTCCAATCCAGATGAAACTCCAGAGATTGACCCAGAGGTTGAATTTGTCACATTTGTGATAAATGATTCAGAGAATCCACATAATTGGTCACTTTTTTCCAGGTGGTGTTACACTTTAATATTCTCTGTTGCTGTCATTTCTGTCGCCTTTGGATCTGCTTGCACATCTGGTGGACTTCTCTTAGTTAATGAAAAATACAATGTTTCAACAGAAGTTTCTATCTTAACCGTTTCTCTTATGGTTCTAGGTTTTGCTTTTGGTCCTTTAATATGGTCTCCTTTATCTGAAAAAATTGGTAGAAAATGGGTATATTTTATCTCCTTGGGTTTGTATACTATATTCAATATTCCCTGTGCTTTGTCTCCTAATATAGGAGGTTTGTTAGTTTGCAGGTTTTTATGTGGTGTTTTCTCCTCTTCAGCTTTATGTTTAGCCGGTGCCTCTATTGCTGATATGTTTCCAACTGCCTCAAGAGGTTTGGCAATTGCTTATTTTGCTTTCTCTCCATACTCTGGTGCCTGTTTTGGGCCTTTAGTTTCTGGTTGGATTGCTGTTGGTTCTGGCAGATTAGAATTATTTTTTTGGGTTAACATGGCTTTTGCTGGTGTTCTTTGGATTGTTTCTTCTTTAATTCCTGAAACTTATGCTCCTGTTATCTTAAAAAAAAGAGCACAGAGGTTAAGAGAAGAAACTAATAACCCCAAAATCATGACTGAACAAGAAGCTCAAGGTTTATCCTTAAAGGAAATTATTAAAACCTGCTTAATACGTCCTTTATATTTCACAATAACCGAACCTGTCTTGGATTTGATGTGTTTTTACGTCTGCTTAATTTATTCATTATTATACGCCTTTTTCTTTGCTTATCCTGTTATCTTTGGTGAACTATATGGTTACAATGATGGTCAAATTGGTTTAATGTTCATTCCAATTTTAATTGGTGCAGGTTTTGCTTTATTAACCACACCAATTTTGGAAAAATTCTACATGAAAACATCCAAAGTTAGAATCATGACTCCAGAAGATCGTTTGGTTGGTGCAATGGTTGGTTCTCCATTTCCAGCTATTGCCTTGTTTATACTAGGTGCAACTTCTTTCAAACATATTATTTGGGTTGGTCCTGCTTCTTCAGGTATTGCTTTTGGTTATGGTATGGTCTTGATATATTATTCAATCAACAACTATATCATTGATACATATTCATTATACTCAGCCAGTGCATTGGCTACAAAAGTCTTCTTGCGTTCTGCTGGTGGTGCTGCTTTCCCATTATTCACAACTCAAATGTATAATGGTTTAGGCTTACAATGGGCAAGTTGGCTATTAGCTTTTGTTTCAACTGCAATGATTTTAATTCCCTTTGTGTTTCACAGATATGGTGCCAAATTAAGAGAAAAATTATGTAAAGAAAATTACTCCATACAACAATAATAGTTTCAATTATCTATATTCTTTAAAAATTTATAAACTCGTCACTTTTTTTTATAATTTCTTATATTTTATCATATTTCATTTTATATTTTAACAGTTTTTGCTGGTTTTCTTTCCATTTAATACATTGATTTCATTCTTCACCTATCATCTATCACCATCACCTGTTATATGCTTTTTTTTTTCATGCAAATTCGCAACTATTATTCTTAAAAATTTAAGTTATATCTTTCCACATCTATTTGTTTTGTGTGTATATTTAACTTTTCTGTGGTTTTTCCTTTTTTTAAACATACTGTCATAAACAAACTAAAAATCTTACTTATTATTTCATTCTGTGTATATATATTAATATATTAAAAATATTATTTATAATGGTGAAAATAAATATTGATAAAAACAATTCTAATCAATAAATTCTGATTCATTAAAAATATTTATTTTAACTTTTATTTAATTTATTAGTAGTTCTTTAGTATTACACTTCATCCATCCGATGAAAAATTATTTCAGCTGAAACTGATAAAACTTTTATAAACTAAATTTTTGATAATATTGAGAGTATAAAATTCATTATCTTAGTATCATAATCAGTAAAATCATTATTAGTAAAGTAACTAGTGTCATCGCTTCCATTATTGGATAGAAGATTTTTATTTTTATATTCAATAATATTATTTCTTGGATTGAAATAATATTTATTAACTATTCGAATAAACTGAAAAACTATTCTATCATTCTTTTTTGAAGCATTTTCATCTCTATTGATTGCATTAAGAACTTTAGGATGAGAGTAAAACCTGCAAATATTTTTTTCAAAAATATTATCGGTATTATGGTTGGTATTTTCACTATCCTCGTTTTTATTTTTACAATTTTTCTCATACTGACTATTTCCATTTTGGCAATCTTGATTTTTAGCAGAAAACTGAGCAAATAGTTTAGCAGCATTATTAAGATTTTCGAAAGCAACACTAATAATCATAATATCCAAAAGCTTGTTCTCAAGTTTATTAATGTTGGTACTGCTTTCATCATCTAAAGTTACATTCTTAAAAAAATCTTCTCCAACTTCTTCAATTTTGAAATCAGAGCAACAACTATCCATTTTAAATTAATTAACTAATGAGCCTTAGAATTAGTAATATTAAAACTTTCCTCAATGTAATTTGTCCCTATTGATTATCAAGATAGTATTTGAAATTAATACTTTAAATACTTTAAATACTTTGGATACTTTTAATATCAATATCAACCCACAATTGATATCTTTCAGCAAGTATAGTCTGATCCTCTCTTTATTTATATTTATTCCATGATCCAGGCTTGAGATCTATCACCAATTCTGTTTCCCATCACCAGTATTGTCTTCTATACAGATCAAACATGTTTATTGTATTAGCATGTTTGTTGTATTGGATATATCATATATTCAACTGCCGCCATGTTGATGGACATCTCCAATTTCAGCATGTTCGACCTATAACTATATCTATAGCTGCAGCTATAGCTATACCACCAACAAGCCAGTTCAGATCACATCACATTCACCATGTGTATCCATGGCCAATTGGTGTTTTGGATATAACCAATACTCTCACAGAATATAACACCACAGTAGATTATACAACCTGTTATCAAAAGTGAATCAGGACTGAGTCCCAGTTACACAGCTCCACACATGCATATTGCATGTAATATGTATGCACTCCACACATACAGTGTATGCAGAGACTCATTAGCATTGCAGCCACTTGCGACATGCTGCTGAAACCTGTTCTATCAGTATGAGTTTTTCACATTCTCTCCAGTTTCCACTTTTTTCTATCTTCTTCTTTTTTTCTTCTTCTATATTTGATCTATGATCAATTTCTTAAAAGTTTTATTTTGTAATTTTTAATTCTGTTTCAAAGCACCAGCAAACAGCATCAGATAACAAAACGCCCAAACAGCTATCCATCTCAAGGATTAATATTAACAAAAATAATTAACTTTGCAATGCTACCATCTTGTCTTGTGGCAATGTTCACAAATACACTCGTTCCCATTTGATGCGTTTAGTATAATTAAGTGCTATATTGAAACAATAATACATTGAGACGTTAAAGTATAATTCTAATGGTATATCGGTAAATCTTCCAAACAGACTGAAATGATATTTAAGCACTTCTAACAAAATTCGTTCATTTTAGAGAAAGCATCCAATACAATGGATGCAATACTTCTCTGCTATCCACTGCGAGATTATGCACACAAAATCACAAAAAGAATATCAAAGATCAAAAAATATCCAAACCAAAATTACTGTAATTCACAAAATGAAAATATATAAAGACAAAAAAAATATCAAAATTTTCTTTAAATTGATTTATAAATTCATTGTTATTTTTTTCTTTCTTCTTTCCCCTTTTCCTCTATTTTTATTTTTTTTCTCACAGCCTATTATCAATTTTATCCAGCTACTTATCAGCAATTAATTCTGTCTTATTGTTTCTAGTTTGTCTATTTGCTTGACTTAATCATAAAAAAATGAGACTCTTCAATTCAATTATTTTTTTATCGTTAGCTTTAAAATCCTTATCATCCCCAGTCCCTTCAAATAATAAAGATAGCAATGGTTTAGAACCTCAAACTTTAAATCAAAACCAAGCACAAGAATTAGAGAATTTAGAACAATATGAGGGCGAACCTGATGATTTTGACTATTCCACTGCAAATGAAATCCAAAAATTAGAAGAAGAAAATCTTAAAAAAAATCAAGTTGAATGGCCAAAATTTTGGTGTGAAAAACAGTGTCGTGAAACCTATTTACTATATAAAGGTTGTGAACTTCAAGGAGATTTGATTGGTGAAACTTGTACCTGCTCTCCTCATTTTAGATATAAAATTAACAAATGTACTAACGATGGTTGCGATCACTTTTATGATCATGCCCCAGAATGGCAAGAAAAAATTGAGCCATTGATTGAATATTGCAAAGACAAAGGTGATGACTTTGTTAATTATTAGTTATTATTTGAAAATAAATCATTTTATTAATAATGACAACATAAAATAAAATAGAATTAAATATTTTATTGCCAACCCTGCTTTTCTTTTTTTAAATTTATTTATATATTTAGCTTTATTTAACTCAACTGAATTTTTTTTACATCATAATACAATCTTTGGAACTTCTATCTTTTTTACCAGTTATATTATCATTTCCCTCATTATTACCGATATTGCTATTGTTTTCAAACCCTGTGTTGGGTTTTGCATCACCACCCGAATTATTTATATTTGTGTTGAAAGCTGAACTAAAAAGTTTTTTGCTTTTAAAAGCCCCTTTACGTTCTCCAGCACTGTCTTTTTGTTTTACTGGTTTTTTCACATTGTAACTCTTTTCATTTCTTTTCTTTTTATTGTAAAAATTCTGTAATTCCTTTGCAACTCGTTCATCCTCCTCTAACTGAATCTGTTTAGCTAATAAATAATCTTCACTTTCTTCAATTCCACTACCTATAGTAAAACTATTAGTGTTATATATATCCCCAGTTTTGTACAAATCCTTACTAAACCCTGTTTCTTTAATAGTGTTTGGTTTATAATTACTACTATTAGCAGCAACAGTATCAGTGGTAATAGTAGTTGTGATTGGAGAAGTATTACTTGAATTTTTACTGTTATTAATAGTTTTCTTCTCAATAATTTTCCTAGGTATAAATTTTATTTCTTTGAATTCCCCATTATAGAAATTATCATTTGAACCATCAACAGACTTTAGTTCACTCCAAACTATTTGATTTTGTTTAAGAAATCCCTCATCTGTAACTAATATAAATAAGCTTTCTTTTTCATTTTTTTCTAAATCTTTAAATTTAATCATAGTATTGAAATGATCATTTCTAAAAAAGATTGAAAATGAATTAGATTTCATCCTAGAATTCAACTTTTCTAGTCCAAATTTGGTTAATTGAGTAGATGTATAATTTAACCATCTTCTTAACAAATAATTAAAATAAATTAATTTTTTATCTTTAATGGATAATTTTTCATATTCATCGTTATTATCGTTAATATTAATATTACTATTAACGTTTTTCTCAACAATATTTTTCGCTTCAATGTTTTCATTCAATTTTTTGTCTAGATTTTCATCTAAATCTTTACTCGAATCTTTAGTTGAATCTTTATGCAATTCTTTATGCAATTCTTTATTTGAATCTTTATCTGAATCAATGTCTATATCTTGGTCTAAATCTTTATCAATATTCTTTTTTAAATCTTTGTCGGTTTCTTTATCTAAATCCTTTTTGATTTCTTTATTCAAATCGTTGGAAGATTTTGTAATGGTTACTTTTTCAGAATTTTCTATTAATTTTTCTCTTTTTTTATTATAATTATTAAAAGGGTTTGAGCCCAAACTTTCATTAGAAGAACTATTTTGATCAAATGTTTCATTTTTATTTTCTTTATTACTTTTTTCTCGAATACTATTCTCTACACTTTTGATAGAATTTATCTCATTTAAGTTATGAAATGGATTCAAAAATGACTCTTTGGAACTTCCATCTCCTTCATCAATTTTTATAATTGTTTCTCCACAATTAAAAATGAGATTTTCATCTAAATTTGAGTTATTTGTTTTTTCATTAATAATATTCTTATCGTTTGATTTTTCATTTTTGCTGCTATCATAGAATAAATCAATTTTAATTTTATCAATTAATTTATGGTCATCATTGATATTAAATAAGTTGAAATTCTGGAAATAAATTTGAATATAAAGTAAAAAATTTTGTAAATTTTCATAGTTTTTGAAATATTTTAATAAATTATTCAATATAATTGATTCGTTATCAAGCTCGTTTAAATTTTTACTATTATTAATTTCATTACCATCATTAAAAATATTAGCATCATCAGTAAAAGTTTCATTTTTTGTAGCTCTATTATTGTTTGTATCAATTGTCCATCCATGTAGTAGTAATAGATTGTAAACTTTAAAGAGAGAAAGTTCTGGATTGATGTTGTCATTATTTCGATTGCTTTTATCTATAGTTATATCATTAGCTGATATATCGTCTGCTTTTTTAAAATAGTGTGAACCATTGAAAAAATAATCTAAATCAAAGTCATCTTTATTGATATCAAACATATTTGATATATTGGTTTTATCGAAACCATTATTGAGAAAATTTGGGTTAATATTTAAACCTTGATGTAAATTGGGCAAAAGATTCAAAACCAAATTTGCATCATTGTTATCAAAATCAAAATCAAAATCAATGTCGTAATTAAAAGCATTATTGTTGTTCATAGACAAATCGATAATATCAGCATTTCTGTTTTCTATTTCTTTTTCTTTTCCTTTCCCTTTATCGATTTCATTAATACTATCTGGGTGATCATAATTATAATTGTAATCACTTTCAAAGGTGAAATTCAAACCATCTTCAATTATTTTTTTCTCTTTTTTCTTTTCCAATTGGTTGGTATTATATAGCATAATGTTAGCCAAGTGGTCTATTAATTCATTTAGGTCCAAGGTTTCTTTTAAATAGACAGATCTAATCAATGCCTCTATTTGTTTGTTTCTGTTTTCCTCAATAGTGATGTTAAATATCCCACCATTGACATCAGAATTAGCATCAAAATTTAAATTATAGCTTAGCTGATAGCTCAAAATCATGGTGTTGATTATTGATAACAAGGCACAAGGACCATTAGAATTTTGGATCAAAATACGAGAAAGCAAGTAGGTATTAAAAACTGGATTAAGCCATTTGATCTTTTTTGTTTTAAAGACATTTGGATCAGCAATCGAGCTTGAATTGGTGTTCAAATTGGTTTTTGATTTGGAACTGATATTAGCATTCGAGTTTGCATTGGAAGATTCGTGGATCGAGGGATAGTGAGCAGACAGTGTAGGCTGTGAATTGGGTTGCAACTGAGCAGAGGAAATCATATTGCAATTAAGAAGAAGTAGGTCCTGGTGCTGGGTGGAAAGAGAATATAAAACAAAGAGCTCATGAAGAGAGTGTTTTAGAGGAATACCTCGTTATTATATCAGAGATGATTGCTCAAAAAAAAAAAAGGCTGTGAAATGGCGGTCAGACCAAAATTCTAAAGCATAAAGCTTATCAAATAACAAGTGAAAGGAAGACATTTTCATTAAAGTATTACAAATTCTATGTAAAACATTCTCTATATACCTAGCAGAAGCAGCACACTTAACAACAAAAAGCCAGACAAAACCCCCTAAAGAAAGACCAAAAGTATTTCGAAAAACCGAGATAAAGAAAGATAAACAAAATTGAATAAACAGAAGCAGAAAAAAAACCAAAATAGTTAGCAAAAGGAACAGGTGGAATTATTAAAGGAACCATGGATATTAGAAGATTTTGAGCGAGACTCTGGAGGAACAAAGTTTCCATTCCAGTCGACTAAGTTATCAGAATATAAAAAGTAAACTGAATCGTTGGAGTTGATAATGCTGACATTACTTGGATTGAGCAATTTGTGTCTATTGAATTTATCATTGTTTGGGACCTGAAGAGAGGTTGAATTAACTGCTGAGTTATTGAATGAGTGGATGTTGTTTTGAACTAAGAGTGAATGAGCATCATAATGAGTAAGATTATCAATACTTGAATCATCAGTATTGTCAGTATCATACATTGTTGATTCCGATATGCTACTTTGATCTTTTGAATAAAGTTTTATAACATTCTCGACTTCATCAACATCCTCGACTTCATTGACTTCATTGACTTCATCAACTTTATCAACTTTATCATCTAAACTAGCATCAAAAAAGAGATTAATATCATTTAGTGAGGTTCTTTTTACGTTCCTGGAATAAATAGATGTGTCTAATTTTTTATATTTGTTTGCAGAGATATATCTATTGCCATTGTTATCAATATCGACTTGAATGATTTCAATTTTATCATTAATTTTAATAATTTTTAAGCCATTTTTGATATTTTTGTCATTATTATCATTATTATTGTTGTTATTATCATTATTGTTGTTATTATCATTATCATCATCATTATTATTATTATCATTTTTATTATCTATGTTAGCAATGTTATTAATATTATCAATATTATTGACATTATTGACATTAAGGTCAATATCATCGTTATTGATCAATGTTTTATAAAGTTGAAAAACAGAAACGTTTTGGTTATTAGCAAAATTAAAATCATTAATAATTCTCAAAATTTGATAATCATTATAATCTTCAAAATCAGAAATTGGTAAACTTTTGTTTAATTCGATATCGATGTTAACACCTAAGGAATGAATATTCCAGTTATTAATTTTTTCCAATAGGTTTTGTTTTTTATTTGATTTATCCAAACTAATTGAAGGAGTCTTTGAGATTGAAACTGGTTTGTATCTTAAGGGGTAAAAGATTAGATTATTTGAAATTTTAAATTTGCCAAAGATTTCATTTGACAAGTTGTTTTCGGATAGGGTATAAAATTTATAAATTACAAAAATATTTGAATGTTGATTTAAATTTGAGTCATTATCGTTATTGAAAGTATTGGCCAAGTTTTTGATTTGTTTTAAATTGAAAAATTTTGTATTATTATTTTTAATTGTTTTACTGATGACGTTGTTATTCTGGGGATTGCTATGCTGGGGATTATTATTATTAAAAGGATATTTATTAATTAAATGATTTTTGTATTTTTTATTATGTTTGAAAAAATGATCATGTTTATGAAGAAATTTGTCATTGATTTTATTAATAAATTTCAAATCTTTATAAATTTGTTTATTATATTGTTTTTCGAAATTCAATTGTCTTTGTCTTTGAATCAATCTCGATACCTTTGATTTTGAGTCAGATATAAACTGGATGAAAAAATGGTGAAATTGTTTAGCTCTTAGATCCAAGATGTTTGAGTAATTTGAGTCAATGTGAAAGTTTTCATAGCAATAATAAGATTGGTAGTTATTGTCATCGTCGTTATCGTCTCTATGATAACTTTCAAGAGTGATTGAAGAGGCAGTTGTTAGAGGGGTTAGGTGAGCAGATGAATGATAAGAAGTTAAAAAAATGTTGTCATTACTATTATTAGAGTTGTTGATAATTTTTGGGTTTTCATTATCACTAATAATGATATTATTTAAATTGTTGATAATGACATTGTCTGGGTCAATAATATTACAATCAGGAACTCGGACTTGTTGCATTTTTTTTGTTTAGTGAATTGATGGATAAGAGAATTAAAAGATTGGAGTGAAGAAGACAAGATTGAAAGGATAGAATAAACAGGAATATTAATGGAAAAAATATGAAAGAAAAAGAAGTGAAAGAATTAAAAGAGTCAATTGATCAATTTGAATCAAGATTCCTCAGACTATAAGTATCACACAGCAAAAAAACAACAAAACGAAAGAGAAAGCAAAAAAGATAACTGGAGACTATATATGTTTTTTTGAGATGGATAAAACAAACTGTATCTTGAGAGAGACATCTCGATGAGGATCGGCGACGGTTTCGGCGGGTGCAGGTCAAACAACGAAAACAGGCGCGGAGGGGGTGGATTGCTTTTTTCAGTGCGTGGGTGTTGGAGGTGTGTAAGCATGGAGGCAGCACCAGACAGTCCCTGCTGCGCGAAGTTTGGTGTGGGAGCGCAGCAGAAAAGTCTCCGCTAGCACACTCTGCGGAGAAAATACTTCACTGGAACCGCGGAAAACAAAGTGTCAACGAAAAACAAACGCACCAAAAAGCGCAATTACAGGGCAATGACAGTATATTTAGTGTGCAATGGGCATGCAAATAGTGAAATGGTCGATTACCAGTGGCTATTTGAGAGCCAAATAGTCGTTGACTAGTGTCTGTTTGGTCTAAATTGGTGTTCGATCAGTGTCTAATTAGTGCGGACTAGTTCTAAGAACAGAAAGGATATGAAGGTGAGAAAAGTTTGTGGGAAGAAAAAGAAAACAAGTAACGTAAACAAGAAGAGAAAAGAAAGAGGACAAAAAGTGAACAAAAGTGAACATCCCATAGAACAGAACAAAGGCCTGATAATAGGTGATACAAGTCAACAAAGTTTCTTGAAACAAGCTTCGAGGATTTGCAAAAAAACATTAACCTCGCTTGAATTGTTTTGATCATTTTGATTTTGATTTTGATTGGAGTCACCAGCATTTTGCTGTTGTTGGTGGAAGTTTTGAGGAGTGGCATTGTAAGCATGGGACACCTGGGTGGATATATCGCTGGCGTGGGTGTCACTTAAATCAACAACCAAGACTCCAGAATTGTCAGGATCAACCGAGCAGGAAATGCCATATTCTCGACACCATTCTTCGACACTTGGTTTCAACTTTGCAATACCATTCTTAGAGTGCAAACCCTTACCAACAATGACATTCAAGTAAGGTCTGTTGTTGTGAATACAGAACTTGAACCTCTTTTTGACAAAGATCTCTGCCTCCTTGACGTACAACCCATGAAGATCGATCTCGTCCTCACTCGAGTCCTCGTTGTTGGCTACAAAGACATACTCAGCAGCTTTCTGGTCGTATTCCTCAGCCTCAGCACGATACTGCTTGGACTCCACAGAAAGCTCGTGGGCAAGCTGTCCATCGCCATTTTGGTAGGCCTCCTGAGACTCTCTGCTCTTCTGCTTACACTTCAGGTAGTTTTCCTTTGCGAGGTCTCGCCACTTGACATATTCAGCATCAACAACATGGTTGAAGTCTCTCTCGCCTTCGTTGTCGTTTCCCAAAAACAACTCTCTGTCCATGCTGCCTGTGCTGCCTGTGCTGTCTTTTCCTCTCTTCACTGCTGCTTTCGCTCACTGGAAAAAAATCATGGTCACGTGCGCACCACACATGCGGTTTCAAACGCGGTTTAAAAAGAACCTAGGGAGGGATCAACAAACGCGCTTTTTTCTTTGAAAAAAAAGCCGCTTGAAAGCGTGATAAACACGTGTGTATGCAGAAGAACACCCGACTTGCGCGTATTTCTTTTTTCTCGACGCATTTCGGCTGTCCGTACCAGCAATGCTTCAAAGAAAGAGAAGAGAAAGAGAAGAAAGAGAAGGAAGAGAGAAAAGAGAAGGAAAATGAGAAACATAAAAACGATAAAAACAAAAGAATATAGCCAATAAAAAAAAGCTAATAGAATAAAAAATCATTAAAAACTGTCATCGCCATAGTATTGATTGAAGAAGAGTCTGACTTTGTTGAACTCATCTTTAGCCTTATCTAATGCATTTTTGGACAAAAACGCCCATTTAATGTAGTTACGATTGTCATCTTCATAATTAAATTCCTTCTCAACAGATTCTTTTAATATTTCTTCTAACTCTTCAATCGTTTTGTTTTCCAATTCATCTAGTTCATAATTACTCTCAGCATTTTCTTCTTCTTCTTCTTCCTCTTCTTCATCATCATTACTATTATACTTGTAGTTGTCATCGTCATCATTATTATCATTATTTTGATGTTTCTTGAAAAATGATTCATTATTACTCGAATCATTTATCAAACTTAATTGAAATTTCTTATTTGAATTTATAAATTGGTTTATATTCAAATCATTTTTGAGAGTTATGTTGAAACTATCAATATTGATTAATTTTCCGTAGTATTGTAATCTTTCGCAATTCAATTGAATAGACAATAGTCCCAATGCTGATGATGAGCCCTTTATAAAATGCCCAGCTTCTGATAGTTTTGAAAACAATTTTTTAAAACTATTCATTCCTAATAATTCAATCTTGAATATCAAATACTTCTTTTCAGATTCTGAAAAATGATCAATAATCTCTTCATTGGGATCGTTTTCATCGAATTTTAAATTCAATATTGATAAGTCCAATGGTTTGTCAATAAACTTGATCTTGTATAACTCATAATCATAATTACAACCATAGTTTTTCAATTGATTTAATTGGTTGAATATTTTATTTAATATTAAATCAATCTCCTTGAATGATAAGCAAGCTTGCAATATAAATAAATATAATAAATTTCTTGAAAACAATGAGTCGTCATTATTCTCATCATCCATTTCTAAGACGTCATTGAATATTGCCCAATCAATCAATTCTTTTTCAATGGAAATCTCTTCAACGTCTTCATCTTCTTCATTGTCTAAATGATTATTGCTTATCGGTTCAACATTACGATGTGTTGGAATATCCGCATATGGATCATCGAATCTTGGAAATGCATTATATCTTTGACTATCTTCGTTCATTTGAGTTATTTGGCCTATAGAAGAGTTGGATTTGGATATTGTTCTTCGTAGTCCAGTTTCTGTTTTTGTCATCATTAATCTAGATGTATAATAAAATATAACAAAAAAAAAAGCTAACAAAAAACAGTATATGATATAATTAATTAATTGATTGATTAATTAATTAAAAACAAAAAACAAAAACAAAAACAAGAACAAAACAAGTCCAAGCGACTGTACAAATAATATAGTAAATATAATTAAAATAAAAACAGGAATTTGAATATTCTGAGGTTATTTTTAATTATGGTTTTGGTTTCCTTTCTTTTCTTTTTTTTAGTTCTTTTGTTGTTGTTTTTTCTTTCTTTTTTGTTTCTTTTAATATAATTCTCGGAGACTTAATATAATATAGTATAATATAAATGGTAATAAGATTTTAATTGAAGAGAAAAAAAAAAAATTAAAAAATTGCCAATAAAAGCTGATTTAAAACTGATTTGAAAATTGAAAAATAAGTTTATGAAACTTGTCTTATTTTAGAAACTTCTGTAACAGGTTTTTCAAATTAATCTTCAGTATTCTTTAATTTGATGAAAAAAAATAAAATAATAAAATAAAACGGAAAAATAATTAAATCAATGGTATTATTAATATAATTATGGAATATAATATAATTAAAGACAATACAATGAAAGTTGGTTTTCTGCCTTAAGCTGAAAATTACTAGCCAACGGATTCCAATTATTAGAATGAGTATATGAATAAAAGCTCAAGCCTTTGCTTCTAGTTGTCCAATAATATAGCTAAAGATTACTTGGTAGATTATATGAGAATTTGGTTTTGGTTTTGGCTATAATTATAATTATATAATATATGAACAAAAAAAAACGAAACAAAAAGCAAAAAAGACTGTAAAAAAGGGAAGAAAAAAAAGGCATATTAATATACAATTAGCTTATTTATAAAGGATTCCTAATAAAAAGAGAAAAAATTGTATAAATCGGTTGACCCAAAGTTTTTCCAAAAATTCTGTAATTACATAATTGGATTCGCTAACAGTCTCCGGATCTGTGCTATTACGTTACACAGGCGTTTCAGTGCCTAACAAGGAGTGTTGAGCTTGGCATGCGCAAGCTCGGCGCTGGTCAGATGGGATGAACCTTCACTAACAGGATCAAGTACCTGAGACTACATCACAAATGGAAAGTGACAAAGAGCAAACGCTCGCAGCTTTGTGTTCGCAGGTTCTGCGAAGAGGCTGCGGAAACTGCCTCGCGTGCTTCCTCACAGACCAAAATCTGCTCCAGACATCCACAGGCTGCTGGAAGCCGGAGACGGTTTTGCGACAGTTGCTGAGACCACTGCTTTCAAGACCTTCTGCAAGTTCTGTGTCCTGCTGGGAACAAAGCCTGAAAAGGAGCAACAAAAAAACACACTCGATATTCTGTTGCACGTGACCATGTGTGGCTTCCTAAAGCGGCCCCACGCAAGTTCCACATCCTCGTGGACTGGTATAACATCACTTTGTTTGGAACCTGATTTTGCGGAGTCATATTCAGCTGCCTTTTTGTTTTTCATCAACCAGATGAATATAACTCTTCACACTCTGAATTCGCTTGAGTAAACTGTTTTAATCTCGTTAAAAAAAGCACCACGTTGAGGCATTTTATTATACCGTGACATCATAAATCGATGATTGGATAAATTAGTGGTTTCCATACAAAATGGTATCCATTTGTGAGTTCTCCTTTTATCTTGGAATCTATTCATCTATCTTTTATCTCTAGACCACTTATTTATCGATTTAGAAAATTTTTAATAACAATAGCCTAATCTATCCTCGTTCTTTGTTTAGATTTTGGTTTGGTTTGGGTTAATTTAACATTATCTTGATAAATAATATTCTATTGTTCAAAAAAACCAAAAAGAGTCTTAATCTGTTAATCATAATTCATAATCCATTTAACATTATTATGTCCAACTTTCTTTGCAAATGATTACAAACTCACAAAAGTACTTAGAATTAATCAATTGTATTTATAATCTAGCTCTAAATTATAATCTAGAGGTGAAAACAAATTCACCTGCACTATTAGGATAGCAACAGATTTTTTTTTGTATTTTTAAGATTGGGTTTTACAAAACCTTTGGATTTTACGATTGAGTTTCACATAAACCCGTGGTCATAACAAAAAAAATTCGTTATTCTGTTATCAGATTCAGATTTGAAAACAATTATCATCCATTTTTATACAATTTTCATTACAAAAACTTCCTACAGGCTTAATACAACGTAAAACAATAACAAAATTCCACCTGAACAATATAGTGAATTCTTCTTTAAATAATAATATAAACAGCTACACTATTAAACTACCATATTATACACTATTATTGCATCGTAGTAACCATTTTCATGTACAATACATCTCAAATCGCACCTATAAACTGGGTCGCTTATTGAAAGGCAAAAAGATCCCTTTCTCCCTGTTCCACAATCCTGCTCTGGCAAGTACTAATTTTATGCTGGTGGCATCATATTCAGAGTTTGTCAATGCATACGTCTGGAAAAAGACACAGGCTACGTCGTTTGTGTCGTGCAAAAGCACCTACGGCTCTTAGGGGCTTCTCAGTACCAAACGTACGCGTGTTGAAAAATATGATCACACGTATGTGTGCATACACGCGCTGCCACTTGTTTCAATTCCGACCACTCCAACCCCTTTTCTTATTTTGTCTTCCTTTTTTGCACTGCTTTTGCTTTGTTTTGATTTCGATTCTTCGGCTTTTTACACGGAGGGGTCTACCTCCCAAAACATTTTCTTTCCAGCCGCTTGGATCGTGCACCATTTTTTTAATGATCCATTATTTTTATCCAATTCACTCAATCTCGTTTGAGATATAAGAATCTTCCATCGAAAGTCAACTAATTCAATTTGAAAATGCTCACTATTATATCAGCTTTCTCGACTTTCTTTTTCAATGGCTAATAGTCAAAGATTCTAGTGAAATCAGATAAAGATGCCTGATGTTAAGTACATTTTCACTGGTGACTCTTATATTATCGAGAGGTGCGATACTGCTGATAAGCCGATCGTTAATAACGATAACAATAATGATAACGATAATGATAACGATAATAAATTAGATAAAATTGAAAATGTCGATAAATCTGTTTTGAACAATATACTTTCCTCCCCCATATTACAATCCTTTTTAGGGTTTGGTTCAATTTCTTATTCAAAAAATCTGTCTATTACACCGAATACCATTAATTGTAATAGTAATAGTAATACTGGTAGTGATAGTGATAGTGATAATAATAAAGATAACAATGATAATGGTAATGATAATGATAATGATAATGATAACAACAACAACAACAACAACAACAACAACAACAACAATAATAATAATAATAATAATAATAATAATAATAATAATAATAATAATAATAATGATAATAATGATAATAATGATAATGATGATAATGATGATAATGATGATAATGATGATATCAAAAAAAATATCGATTATCTTAGACCAGAAAAGACTCCCAGAGATATTTTAATCAATATTAGTTCTGACAAAAGTCATAAAAATACTAAATTTAATAAAGACAATGAAAATAATTATATCATAATTAACGGTGAAAAAATTGACCCTGTTGATTATATTTTTAATCCTGAAAAGTACAAATCAAAAAATCAGGATAAATACTCTAAACTTCAAATCATTAAAAATGATCAGTTTAGAAACATTTTAATCAAAAATTTAAAATTAGCCGATAAATTGAAAACCAAATTGAAAAATAATTATAAAGAATATCTCGAATTTGTTGAGCTAGAAAACAAAATTAAAGAACAAAATAAAATCAATGAACAACAAAAAAAAAAAGTTGATATTGCAATGAAACACAAAACACAAAAAACTAAAAAAAAACGTATATTGAGTTTCAATTCAAAAATCAACGTCATCCATGACAACAATCATGATAATCTTGACAATAAAATTAATCATAATAACAACAACATCCGAAACTACAGTAGCAATAAAATTGGCTTTAAAAATCAATCCAGTGAAATTCTTCAAAGACCTCCTGTTCCTAAAAAGGATAGACCAGTATATAATATAAAGACAGAAGAAGCCAGTTTCGATAGATTTAGCAATAGATTAACAAATTTATCAAAACATGAACCTGGGGATATCTCAAATAGCGATAAAGATCACCAAAAATTTGATAACACAAGTTCTACTCCTATCCCAGAACCTCAACAACAGTTTTATTGCAAATCGATTCCTGATCAAAGCTCTTGCTCTACTATATCAATTTTTGAGTCTACACTAGATTCAATTTCTGATTTAACCTCTGAAGAAACTTCTAAACTAGTGTCTGAATCAAAGTCTGAATCGACTTCCAGCACAGACTCCAATTCAACAACAAATCTGAATAACGATTCTTACATCTCCTTCTTTATCAAGTATTTTTCCTCTGTTGCTCTGACTGACATGGGCAGCTCAATTCTCAGTCCTGATTCCAAACCAGATCCAATTCCAAAGGACCCAATTCCTAAAACCGCTGACGATTCAAGTTCTCTGCATCTGGGCTCCAAAATAAACTTGTATAAACCACTCCCTCCTCTTCCCACTTGATCTCCATACATTTTTAGATCACCATATCGTTGCTCATGTTTCTTCTACCCTATTTCTGTCATTTCTCGCATCGTCTTTCCATTTTATAGCATTTATAGAACTAATCTCGGGCATTTTCCGGCCCGTTCCCCTGGCTGTTTTCCGCTTACCTCCCGTTCTTCTTATCTGAGTATTGTTTGATTATATCGTAGAACCACTTCCATCGAAAGATAATGATGGAGCACTTGGATGTGAATGATCGTTTCTCTAACATAAACCAGTCTCTATCGATTAACCAGCATCGCTCGAGGGAACCAAGCATCAGCTCTCAAATATTTGCTGTTCCTTCCGATTTGGCTTCTGTAGAACACCGCCATAGAAGAGGCAATGGTGATAATGACGATGATAATAATGATAATGATGATAATGATGGTGATAATGAAGAAGAAGACGATAACTCTCAGAACAGGAACCAAAATTACAAAACAAACGTCAGAAATGCTAATTTGAACACAAACACTTCTCTACTAAACAGCAATTCTACCAACAGCACTCAGGGTTTGAATCGCAATGAACATAATGAATATGATTCTGATTCGATTTCATCCTCATCTTACGCAGAATCATCAAGCAATTACTCCCAGGATAACTATTTGAGTAGTTTTAGTTCGTTTGATTATCTTTTAACCTCAATTAACGATTCTTTAGTTAATGATAATAGTTTGTTAGATAAATCATTGGTTTTACAGGCTCAGACCTCTGGTTTAATTAAAAACAAGACTTTGGAATTAAAACTATTACAAGAAAATGCTAAAAAAAAGATTCAGTTAATTAATAATATATATTTATCATCTGTTTCTTCCAATTCTTTATCAAACTCAATAACAAGTTCTTTAACTAATTCTCTAACCAATTCATTAACTAATTCTTCATTAACAAATAACAATAATAGTGCATTGACTGCATTGAATAATTATCAATTAATGATTAAAAATATTAGAAAAAATTTGAGATGGTCTGAAAAACATTTAAATGAATTAGAAAATTTATTTGAACAAAATCATCCAATAGAATATAACGAATCAAAAGATATAATATTAAATAGATATAATCCAATCAATAAAGATGATATGAATTTGTTGAATAAAAAAAATATAAATAATGAACAATAGTAATAATAATAGTAATAGTGATAGTAATAGTAGTAATAATAATAATAAGAAAAAAAAATAGTTAAGCCAAAAAAATCATAATGACCAAAAGAAAAATAAAAAAAATTAAACATAAATATTTTCTCATATTTGTGTATTATTATCCGGATCTGCTGAACTCCTGAGATTAAATTAAATGATAATTTAAAAATGAGTTTATAATACTAATAACTTTAAATGATGATTGCCTGAATCATTATTAAAACCTATATAATTTAGAGTATAGTTTATATGAAGACTGTTTAAATTTTCTGATAAATTTTTTTTTTTTGAAACAATATATAATTGGATTTTTCTTTATATTTAAATCTTAATAATTCATTTTTAGTTCTTTTTTTTTTCTTTATATATGTGTGTATATATATTTCTTTAAAAAATTCAACTAATCTTTTTTTTTTTCTTTTTTAAGTAGGACCAACTTTCCAAACTTCTAAGCCGTAAATTTTGAATCTATCACTAGCATCACTTAAGGGTTCATTACCAAAAGTCATTGATTTTTCGGATATGCCATTGATCAAATTATTATCTATCCATAAACCATAGTGACCACCAGACACACCCATTGCTAAGAATTCTTTTGTTGAGTATATTATAAAGTCGTTAAGACCTGTGTAGGGGTAAATTGTTAATTGTAGGTGTTTTTCTGGTGAATGGTTATTATTGTTATTGTTATTGTTATTGGTGTGAACATCTTTATCATCATCAAAACTAATTACGGAATTTCTTTTATCTTCTGAAAATTGTTGAATTGGATTATGATTATAATTATTGTTTTTATTGGACGATTGATGAGGATCATTTGATTGAACTAAATTGACAGATTTGACTAGTTTAGATTTCCATAAAAAGCATTCCCCATTACCATAAAATCTTTTTGTAATATCACTTAGATGGAAATGTTCATTTGAAAAGCAACCAAATAAATTTCCTTTTTGATCTTTGATAACCAAGATGAAACCAAGATTTTTCTTGTGGTGAGACTTGTAATTTGAAGAGATATAAGAATGACCAAGATAGCCAAAATCTTCCTCATCATTATCGTCATTTTTCAAGGGATCATGATAGAAGTTTCCCTTTTTATTGTAGTTGTAACCTGGTTCACAGTTGTTGTATAGAGTATTTAAGGATGAGCCATTTTGTTCGAGTGAATAAACCAATTGCCATTCTGAATAAAGCTGTAATCTTGGGGTCAACATATTACGAAGTTCTTCAGCCAACTCCTGGCTCATCAAGTGGTTTTTAGTCTTTAGTTTATAGCCCTTTAAAGATATAGGGTCTAATGGTGGAGGTTGATAAGACATTATTAAATCCAAACTGGTATTACTATTGTTACTGTTAGTGTTGTTAGTGTTGTTAGTGTTGTTAGTGTTGTTAGTGTTGTTAGTGTTGTTTGTGTTATTGCTGTTATTGCTGTTGTTGGTGAAATTAGTTGTGAGAGAATTGTCTTCGACGTTTTGGTTTCTTAGCAATGAGTCGAACAACTTCGAATTTCTGAATCTAAAGCCAAAGGAATCAGACACTGCTCGTTGCTTTAAAAAGGAAGATGTGGGTGGATCGACGTCAGTTGAGTGGGAATTGATTTTTCTCAACGTTGGAGTGTTGGCAGCTGCCTGAGTGTTATCTTGGACACTATCTTTGGTGGCATCCTGAGCAACCACGTCTCTGTTTGCCCCAATTCCAGAGCCAGAGCTGTTGGAGCTGGCAATTGGATGGTGGGACTGAGACAAGGCAGTGGTGGGCTCTGCAACGTCGTCCAAGTGGGAGTAGGAGAAGGATCTAAGGCTCTTGAAGCCTCTCACGAAAGAGCTTCGAATGGAGTCTTTGAGCGAGAAGTCTGTGCTTGCTCTGTTCAAGAGTTTGGGTGATGAGCTCTCAGAAGAAGCAGTCATTGTTTGAGGTGTTTGAGGTGTTTGAGGTGTTTCAATCGTGGTTTGGGCAGTAAAGGCTCCAGTTATAGTGGCAAGAAAGAAGAACAAGAAGAACAGGAGCAAGAAGATCTGGCAACAGAAGACCCAGGACTGGAGCTGGGGGTTGTATCCAGAGTGAGCAGAGCAGTTTATGCTTTCTGTCTGCTGGCGATGGATGACTATGGCTCCTCTTTGCTGATGAGAAGATGCAATCCAAAGGCTAATTCCAACAGCAAACTGCCAGGAGGCCTCTTGGGCTATAAATACAGAAGTTGCTACTCCAGCAGAAGCTGCTACTCCAGCACATCCACACTCCAGCAGGCTCTTCTTTGACAGCAGACCCAGCTTGTCTCGACTCTTCTACTTGCTACTGTGGGCTCCTAAAGGTATAAAGAGTTAATCGCAAGAGGCTCTCGCAATGGTGTTTTGTTTCCAGAGCTGTTTTCCCCTGGTTCTGCTTGAAGCATATTTCTTGCACTTGTTCTTCTGTAGCAGCTGTTATTTATGCCAGAATTAAGTCAAAACATACGCTTCGTTCTCCCCAAGGGCTGTCTTTTAGATTACACAACCACTTAAGGTTCTGGGTTCTCAGCTCTTATCGCCTTCACCGCAGAGAAACAAAAGTTGCAAAGCTGATCTGCCATATCCATATCCCATAGCCTTTAAAAGCTTTAACAGTGCTTTGCCGAACTTGGTCTTGTGCAAAGCAACTCATGCTGTTATGAAATTTGTAGTGGACCTTTCCTTTGATTATGCAAAATTATATTTCTACAGTTTGAAATTCAGTCAACTAGACAAAAAGATATCTATAAAGCAGTAAACGTATACCAATTCTTTTCCAATTCCGTTTTGATACGCTTCAACAGTTTTGAAATCTCCAAACTTACTCTGCAATTGTAGCCTTCTTTGCAGGTCTTTTTCTTTTAACTTCAACTGCATTAGAAGCGTTGCCATTATCCTCTGTTTTCTTTTTCACTCTTCTGACTTTTTTCACTTTCTTCTTGGCAGAAACAGCTTCGTTGTTTCCAGACGCATCGAGTTTCCCATTATCGGTATCCTTACTCTTTAATGCTTTTTTCAATGTTTTCTTCTTTTTGGCTTTGGCTATTGTTCGTTCTTCTAGCGCTGTTTTTTGCAACTCTTGTCGGATTCTTTCAATCTCAATTTCATTTTCGTCGTCATTTTCTTTAGGTTTGGAAATATCAAAATTATCCAATGCTGAAGAATCGATCATCAACTTTAAATTCCGGTTGGGTTTTTTCTTATTTTTCTTCAAATTTAAACTGGATGTTTTTGATAAAACATTTCTAGTACCCGGGATGGTTTCTTCCGTTAAAATAATAACTGGTTTTTTTATCTTCCTGCTTTTGTTTGGGATTGCATATATTGGCGCAAACTCTTCTTTGGCAGGAACTGGCGACCCTGCTAAACTTCTTTGAGGCGATTGACTACCAAAAAACCCATTCTTATCTCCATTGTCCGATATATAATAAGGATTGTATTTTTGCTTTTCTAACCTCTCTTTACGACGTCTCTCAATATCATGTGGAGTTTCCATAACAACTCCCTCAACAGTTTTCTCCCACTGATTTTCCATATTGTTCTCATAATAATTGGAACTCTTTCCTCCTCCTTCTTCTTCTTCATCATTGTCATCTTCTTCGATATCGCTGTCAAAATCATAATCAGAATCCCCAGATTCCATATACCTTAAATAATCATCTGTTCCAAATGAATCTTGAAAACCCTGCCCTAATGGAAGATCTGTAAGATCGATTTCTTTATCTAATTGCAAACTATCCGGCGTTTCAATCCTTTGTTGTGATCCCCTTGCAATTGGAATCAAATCATATGAATTGAACAATGAGGGCAAAACGCTAGATAATAATAATGGTGGTTCTGATGCCTGCTGAGGATGTTCCTCTATAGCTTCTTTAATTAATTTTAAAAACTCGCCAAATTCAGTTGATCTTTCTTGAATTTCATAAAAATTACATGTCGACAACTCATTTAAATAATTCAAAATAATATCCAATAATCTCAATATGCTTTCTCTTTGTTTAGAATCCCAATATTCTTTATTAGAACCTTTATTACAAAATGAGGAGAAATTTTTGACAATAGATTGAATTAAAACCTCAAAGATTCTTTCAAATATAAACAAATGAGATTTCACTTGTTGTAATGTATCTGATGAATCATCATCTGAGTCATTTGACAAGAGAAAGGGATTATAAAACTCAATGAGCCTTTTAATAATCTTTTCATTATCGTCATTTAAATCGGAATACTCTCCCAAACACCATATTAAATCATTCAAACAGTTGGGCAATTTCCCAATAATTTGTCTATTGAATATAATCTTGACAATATAATTATTTAAAATTTCCTCTCTAAGACTCGGAATCTTAATTACAATGTCTCTAAATGTTGCCCCTAATTCCACACCGACAAAGGAGCCAAAATCAGAATTAACAACAATTGATATTAAATCATTTAAAACAGTTGTAAACCATTCAAAATCAGGGATATTGGAGTAATTATCCTTTATACAAGATGTTAAAATTTTATTAACAATCTGAACTTTATAATTATTTGGCAAATTAATTAAACTAGTCCTTTGCAAATATTGCGGTTCTAAACCTTGGTTTTCATCTTCGACTGAAGGAGGTCGTGGAATTAATTGACAAACTAGACTTCCAACAATCGCTATTATATTTTCTTCATTTATAATGCAATCAATTAAATTTAATGCTTGTTCTCTTATTGATAAATCATAATGATCAAGACACAGCAAAATATTCTTTTGATGAGCCAAAATTAAATTAGGAAATATCGTTGAAATTTGATTCAAGGCTAACAAGCCAACAAATATCAAATTTGGATCTTTAAAAGCAAAATCATTGTTTGCTGAGATGTTTTGATCAAAAAAAAAATGTAATTTTGATACTAAAAACTGAGCAACTTGAGAATTTGAATCATCTAGCATGTTTCCTTTTATTATGCACATTATTCCTTCATACATTATTGATGAGGCCTTGGTTGTTTTAATTAAATCTAATATTGGAGGCAATAGCTTAGTTTTTAATCTTGGTTCAATTTGAGCTAATGACGAAAATAATTTGAATAATCTGATTAACATCCAATGATTTGTTGATGTTTTCAATAGATTATATAATTGAGGAGCTAAGGGAATATAATTTTTAGGATTTTTTTTAGCCAATTCACATACCACTGTAACCACAGCACTAACAACAGAATTATCAGTATCATTAAATTTATCAAACAATCTCTCAAACGATGAAGATAAAGCTTCTGGATACTTTAAAAAAATTTTATAAAGACATAAGACTGCTTTTTTTCTAACATAAGGCTTTGAGTGATTTAACATTTTAATTATATCATCAATTAAATCTCTTGCTAAACTCGGAGTGACAATTGATGCTATACCACTTAGTGCTAAACCAACTTCAACCGATTTTGCAGAATTGAGGTCCTTTTTGAACAAGTTTGTAACTAAAATTAAGATATCACTGTCGTTTTGAAAAGATTGAATTGCAGCTAAATAGCCCACCCTTTTTTGTTGAAATTTCGAAGAAGCCATCACCTCAAGGATATTAAAATTCGCCCAGGACATATCAAACCCATACATTTCTAGATAGGTTAATTTTAATATAGCCATTGTCTTGAGATCCAAATCTGATGATTTGACTTCCACTCTACATTCAGATAGAACATTTTGTAGGAATTTTGTTTGAGATTCAGGTTCCTTATGCGCCCTTATACCTTTTATAAGATCGGTCAATGATTTTTCGAATCTTCAATAGAAAACCAAAAACAAAGAATTGTGTTGCAAAAAGTTATAATTAGTGGATGATTCAATGGATAAGTGGTTCTATAAGAAGGCAATCTATCTTAACAGATAGATCTTATTTGTTTTGCAGCTACTTACACGATTCCAAAGGGCCTCAATCGGGCCCTAACTTCGTCTCTTGTGGACAAAGACATTCTTGCTGATAAAGTGCAAAAGATGGTGGAGCTGCTTTCACAACAAGAATAGCATTACTCTGAACAGACAGAGAATTGGGTGATGAAGAAGAAGATTGTTCTTCATCAGACTCTAATCGGAACAGGGCATGTGACGGGTTTTGTTTTCTACTACTTGTGAAGATTTTCACTTCAAAGAGACGTTGATTGAGCGAGAGCAAAAAACAAGAAAGAGCCAAAAAGGACAATATATAACTATTTATCTAACTACAAATCCCAGAAACCAGAGAGATCGTCACCACCACCACCATAAGCAAGGAGATTAGGGGTGTTGGCTGGAAGTTCTGTTAGCAAGTTTCTGGAGGCAAAGGCAAGGACTTTTCTTTTCAATTCGAATGGCGAAACCACATCTTCGGAACCATATTCTGATGTGCTATCTGGGTATAAAGAAAGAAAATAAGATAATAAACCACAGACGTGAGGTGCAGCCATTGAGGTTCCTGATAAAACTCTAGTTTCAGTATTTGAGCCAATATAGGTTGAGAGAACGTTGAGACCAGCAGCAAAGACGTCAACACATTCTCCATAGTTGGCAAAGTATGCCCTTTCATCGGTAATTGTTGAAGCTGAAACAGTGATTGGATTTCTTGCACTAGCAGGAGAACTATTGCAGGCGTTTTGATTTTCATTACCAGCAGCAACAGCAAAGTGGACACCAGATCTAACAGCTATATTAACCACCTTATTTAAAGCAAGAGATTTTCCTCCACCTAAAGACATATTAGCAGTTGAGCCTTTAAAATTAGGATTTCCCTCCCTGGATTCCCTCAAGTGCGATTTTACAACAAAATCGACACCTTTAATCACATCAGAATTGGAACCAGTACCATTTTGTCTTAATACTTTAACAGCAACAACATTACTTTTTTTAGCGACACCATAAGTTTTGGATGCAATAGTACCAGCACAATGAGTTCCATGACCATTATTATCTTCATCAAAATCATTTCTTGGAATTGTCGAGCCCCAAACAGCTCTACCTTCAAATTCTTCATGGTTGATGTTAATACCTGTATCAATCACATAAGAAGTTACACCCTGACCAGCAGTATCATCATAGAGGTATCTGTTAAAGGTGTTGACATCTAACTTGTTGATGTGAGAAAGTCTGGCTAAACCCCAGGGAGCACCTAATTGTTCAACTTTTTCCAAAGTTGAAACTCTCATATTTCTTTCAATTATATCAATGTGAGAATCTTGTAATAAGGCATCAACAACTTCATCCAAGAAATAACCCGAATAACCAGACAATTTGTTTTGAGATTCACCAATGTCGAAACTAGTAACAATTCCACCAGCAGTTTTATCATTAACGTTTTCATCATTATTCAAAGCAAGAAAAAAAGGATTTGTGAAATCAGAAATCTCAATTAAATTTTTCACAGCGCTTAATTGTTTAGACTGAACCCATTTCTTATGTAATTCGATTTCTTCAGATGGATAACCTGGTTTGAAGGTAACAATATAAGAATAAGGAATTATTTTATCAAGATTATCTTTATCATAAAACACTTTATTAAAAAAATTACCAGAGCGATTTATTTTGTTTGGAGAGAGATTTTTGTTTTTTAAATCAGCTTGAATCATAGCTTGCTGGATTTTTTGCCCAAATTTTAATTGAGGAATCACCAAAGAGCTTGTCAATGAGTGAATGGACACCAAGAAGGCCAATGCGCTGAAAAATTTCATCTTGGGTAATTTCTTCTGATTAAGAATTGAGTATTATCTGAATAGTATTATTTGAATGGTATCAACAAAATTGAAAATATCACAACAATTTTTTAGCGCCGAAGGAAGAAAGACTGAGATGAGATGAGAAATAAAACTAAGATGCGAGAAACATTTCAGGAAGCAGAATCGCCTTAAATAGCACCAGATGCTGGAGCTGGCGCTTCCACATGTCTGATGCTGCTCGAGAAGCACAAGAATTTAGAGGTGTTTCAACTTTGTGGCAGAAGCACAAAGAGAAAATATGTGTTTTTGGTGGGTTATTTGTTGGAGTGGTAGAGGTAGTTGATGAGGTTTTCTCTATCCTTGGGCTTTCTTAAACCTTGAAACCCCATTTTCGTACCTGGAATAAACAGCTTTGGGTTCTCCAAGAAACTCTCCATTTGCTCTCTATTCCATACAAAATTGTCCTTTTCGACTTTTTCTTTGAATCTTTTGAAAACCTCGCTGTAAATGTAATTTGGACAATCTCCTATTTTCTTGTCCATGATTTGATACAAGTTTGGACCAGATTTGTGAACTCGTATATTTTCATTGAATGTGTGACATTGTAAACATCTTGTCTTAAAAAGATGGGCACCCTTTCTGATTGAGTCTCCACTAAAGGAATTGTGTTGATTTGATTCTTGGTCAGCAGTATGATCTATTTTCCTGATCTTGTTTTGAGATTTTACTTTTTCTGTCTTGCCTTCGACCTGTTTTATTCCAGCTTTTGTGGTATCATTTTTTGATAATACCAAATTTTCATCTGAATCGTTTTTTCCACTTTTTGAAGAAAGTAAACCGAATAATACCATCCTGATGTTTGTTTCTTTATAAGCAGTTATTTGTATCCTTCAATAGTTATATTTGATATAGCTGCAAAAGCGATCGAGTTTATATTTATGATTTAGTTTTGAACTTTTCATAGCTTCAATTTTACTAGTTTTTTTTCAATTTTTTTTCCTTTCAGTTTTCGCTAGTATTCTCTTATATGGATAATTCTCTTACATCTTCGAATTAAATCCATTTTAATAGTCAACAAGCAGTTACATTCATAGCCACATTCTTTATAATGCCATTTTCTCTTGACCTGCTAAACCAATGAAAACAATACTTCCACTCTTAGCAACATAATATCATAGTAGAATCATGGTGCATGGTGTGTATCGTTACATTATGTTCATTAAATCCGGTTGCTCTAATCATATTAGGTGCCAACGATAGTTTCAATCGATGCCTCACTAGTTGATTAACCTGAAAAACAGCAGCATATCTCTATAGACAGAAATAATTCAAGCCTACAAGCTGCTGCTTTGGACTCACAATGGGTTTTAGTTCCAGGTGTTTGAAGCTGATTTTGTCTGGTCTGGATCAACACTAGCTTTTTTAAGGTTGTTTTAGGTTCAACCCAAATCCACCACTATTCTGCAGCACTTGTCATTGGAACAGACTCCAGCCAATCAGCACGCTGTGCTTTCAGGCCCAATGATGATAAACACGAGCTATTCTGAACTCGTTCTGCGCGAAAACAGAAACTCCCTCGAACTCCGAGCTCCGAGCTCTGAGCTCCGAAGTTCGAATTTGCAACCTTCTTTTTGCAATTTTACCTTATTTTTCACCATTCTTCGATTTGCACCTTAAGAGTTATTACCTCCAAAACACCCCAAACTGTCATTAAGACCACCATTAAGACCACCATTACTTCATGAATATAATCCACAATTGCTATCAACAAGCTCTTCTCTCTTACTTTGTTGCGATACTTTTTTTTGTTTGATTAGTTGCATTTTTCATGATTTGTTTCCACTAAAAAGGGTGAACAATCTTGAATGTAAAAAGGTGCCCCACCAATGCTGAATTGAGTAATTGGAGCAGTTGTTGATTATTTCGAAAGTCTATTTTTTAAAATTAGTAGAAACTGGTTTTATTTAATATTATGGTTTAATTTTGATCAAAATTTCGGGTTTATAACAACTTGTTTATCTATTTGTTCTAAACTATTCACATAATTTAGATTTCAAGACTCTCAATCATTTAAACCAAAAGTTGCATTCTTTTTTTTTCTTTTAAATTTAACCACTTATCAAAAGCCTATTTCACTAAAATCCTTTTACGATTCTTGGTTTACAATTTTTACTTAATCCAGAGGAATATAAACTCTAAATATTGATATAAATACTTGAAGTTTTCCTTTATTTTCTCTTGTATCATTCTACCCCCTTTCTTGATTTCAACAACAAATAATCACCCTCCCCCCCCCCCCAAAAAAAAAAAAAAAAGAAAAAAAAAACGTTTCTCTTTTTCTGTCTTTTTTTAGCTCAAAATGTACAGACCAGCTTTATTAAATAACTCCAACAGATTCATTGCATCCAATTTTATTAGAAATTTTTCTAATTCAAGAATTGTTAGATTAGCAATTCCAACTAGTCAAAAGGGTGTTATTTTTGAAACTAATGGTGGTCCATTGATTTACAAAGATATTCCAGTTCCAGTTCCTAAACCAAATGAAATTTTAATCAATGTTAAATATTCTGGTGTTTGTCACACTGATTTACATGCCTGGAAGGGGGACTGGCCATTAGCCACAAAATTACCTTTAGTCGGTGGTCATGAAGGTGCTGGTGTTGTTGTTGCCAAAGGTTCTGAAGTTAAAAACTTTGAAATTGGTGATTATGCTGGTATTAAATGGCTTAATGGCTCATGTATGTCCTGTGAATTATGTGAATTGGGTTATGAATCCAACTGTGCTAAAGCCGATTTATCAGGTTATACTCACGATGGTTCTTTCCAACAGTATGCTACAGCTGATGCTGTTCAAGCTGCCATGATTCCCAAATCTGCTGACTTGGCTCAAATTGCACCAATTTTATGTGCTGGTGTCACTGTTTATAAAGCTCTTAAATCTGCTGATTTGCAACAAGGCCAGTGGGTGTGTATCTCTGGTGCTGGTGGTGGTTTAGGCTCTTTAGCTATTCAATATGCTAAAGCCATGGGTTTCAGGGTCATTGGTATTGATGCTGGTTCAAAAGAAGCTCTTTGTAAAGAATGTGGTGCCGAAGAGTTTGTGGATTTTTCCAAAACTAAAGATTTGGTTGCTGAAATCCAAGAAAAGACCAAAGGTGGTCCTCATGGTGTTATCAACGTCTCTGTCTCTGAAAAGGCTATTTCAACTTCATGTGAATATGTTAGACCATGTGGTAAAGTTGTTTTAGTTGGTTTGCCAGCCGATGCTGTTTGCAAATCTGAAGTCTTCTCCCATGTTGTCAAATCTCTTAATATCATTGGTTCCTATGTTGGTAACAGAGCTGATACAAGAGAAGCAATTGATTTCTTTAGCAGAGGTTTAGTTAAATCACCAATTAAAGTTGTTGGATTATCAGAATTACCAGAAGTCTATAAATTAATGGAAGAAGGCAAGATTCTTGGTCGTTATGTTCTTGATACTGCTAAATAAGTTATTCATGTATATTCATTATTTTCAATATTCTTGATTGTCAATATTTTATTTTATTTTCTTTTCCTTCCTTTTATTTTCTTTTATTTTGTTATTGATTTTTGATTTCTATTTAGTTGAGTTACGTTTAATGTCATTTACTGCTAAACATACTGAAAGTTTTCTTTTGCAATGAAAACTAATCGATAGTTTGTATATGAAAGATCACAAAGAAAAACTTATTTGGTTATTGATTAGGAAAAAGCATTGGTCTAATAACCCAATATATCATCCAGTTCAAAAAACAGAAGGTTTCTTTTAAAAGTCTGAATTAGAATCAAGACACTGATATCAATTTGAAAACATCGACCCTTTGCAGAGATAATAATAAATGAAGATATTTAAAACCATCTGGATGGTGCGATATAGGAAAGACCAGCTTTGAGGTACTTGAGTAATAAGAATCAATAAAAGATGAGGAAGTGGAATAAAAGAGGTAAATATCGTGAAAAGAGGTGGTTTATTCAATGATTTGTGTAAAACTAAATTGAATGCTTATGAGAAAACTGAGCATTGTTATGAAAAGAAATTGTAGTTTCAAAAATACGATTAATCTTCTTGAAAACAGTTGAGTGTCATAAACAGAAAAAAAGAAGCATGTTAGAAGAAATGTGCTAAAAGAACAAATTAGAACTCGGGATTATTGCAATTCACAAATAAAAAGGATAATATTCCAGTCGTCTGATGATGTTTGACAAATATAGGCAATAGTTAAAGCTACTAGAACATTGTATTGACATTTCCAAATCGGAATGGTATGAAAAAGAACAGAAAAACAATGAAAAAATATATTGGATGTTGATAAATGAGACAAGATTTCGTTAAAGTATAAAATTAATTTAAGATTAAAATTAAAGATAAATTAGAATCAGAATCAGAATTAGAATTAAATGATTAAACAATATTATTTGTAATTAATCTTTTTTGTTTAAAAGAGCTTTTTCTTTACCACCAAAGTAAAAATGATTTAGAAATCTGTAACCTTGAGTTAATTGAGCACATTCATTAACAATATGACAACCTAGTAATAAAGGATTCCATGGAGTAATTGAAACAGCATATTTCATAAAAACACAAGAATAAACAACCAAAGCACCAGTCATTGGACCAGAGATATATTCAGGATCCTTTTTCAAGTCCATTATAGCAGCAATGGGAATACCAAAGTTTGAAACTGGTCCCCAAAAATGAGTACTGCAAACATCTTTAATAAAACCAGGTTAGTTAGTTGATTGTAACTCAATATACTACCAATATACTATCAATTGACTTTTGGCTTTTGCTAATTGATAATAAACAAAAGAAATAAAATAAAGAAAAACAAGATGAGGTGGAACATACATCTAATAGCTTGTTTACTGAAAACAGTGTCGCTGACTTTAGAGATTACACTTCCTGAGGATGTCATTTTTGGATATTAATGAGTAGTAAATAACAGAAACCAAATAAAAAGGACAGAGCTTGAAGATGAAATAGAACAAAGTAATAATACAATATTTGAACAAATGCAAATTGGTAACTGAACTGATATCAAATTATCTCTCTTTGATTTGGTTGAACTGAATCTCTTTTCCAGCATCCAACGATAGTGATCAGCCGCTGAGCGGAGGTGTCATAATCTATGTTTTTAGCCGAAAAGTGCCATTCCTGCGAAAATTCGCACTGCAAAACGCGAAATGCTCATACATTTCCGTTGTGTTTTTTGGGCGCAGCGGCGATAATCTGCATTTAATCCGGAAAAAACAAATACATCATCTGACTAAGCACATGTTACATTCCGGAACTGACAAGAACCCGTAATTATGGTCTCGGAAATTTTAATGGATTTTTCTGGGAATATTTCAGATTTGGAAAGAGGTGAAAAGAAGGGAAAAGAAATGAAAAGAGATAAATGACAAAGAAATAGCTCGTTTTGCAGTGAGAACTATCTGGAAATGGACTATATCTATGCTCCTCCTCCTCCTCCTCCCTCAGAGGGTAAAAGAAACAAAAATGGTGGTCAAGGCCAGATGAGCCACTCGACTAGCTCCAGTACAGGCACTAACAGATACCCAAACCAAAACTATAAAAAGCCCAATAATTACAACAAACGAAGAAACAACAATAATTACAACAACAATAACATTAGCAATAAAAAAAGATTTAAGCTGTCAAAAGATAGGAATGATAACAGATACAAAAGCACTAGTAATAATATTAATAATGGTAACAATCACATTTCAAACGATGGAAATATAAACAATCAAGTAAATTTATCCAATTTACCCACTCACCTACCGAATCTGATATCCAGCTTGATATCTATTCAAAGTCAGATAAATAATAATAATAATAATAATAATAACGATAATAATGATAACAATCAGCATAGTGAAAGTGAGAATGAAATCGATGAGGAAGCATTATACCTTAAGAATAAAGGATTAACCGTTAATTTAGATTCTGAAAAACCAATAATAGCAATTCCAGGCACGAATATCGTTCTACAATCTGATGATGATATTCAATTATGGATTGAAGAAAGGAAGAAAAATTGGCCAACAAATCAAAGAATAAAAGAAAAAAAATTAATTGCAAATGAAAACAAAAACACAATTCAAACTGGTACCGCTGATAGCGATAATAATAATAATAGAAGTAAATTTAATAAACCTAATAATAAATTACTAAATAAGGATAAATTCTGTCATAATTTAATTAAATTTTCATTTTGTAAATGTCAAACAACATGTCAATATAATCATGATTTAAAATTATTAAAAGATTTCAAACAAAATCAATTATTGGAAAAGAAATTGAATTTAGTTCCACAAAAAATATTGCCCATGATCAATAACTCTAAAAATATTAAAACTATTGAACAATTTAAAGTGTATATTCCTGAGCGATTTGATCCAACAAAGTCTTCGCTTTTGTTTGAGAAAAACAATTTAATTAATAATTATAATCAAAGATTCAATAATAGAAATAGGAATAACAATAAAAATAAAAATAAAAGTAATACCAAGTTTGATAAGCTTGATAAAATATCTTTATCCGAAAAAAACAAGGATTTTAATCAGATGTTAATTCAAAGGAATAATGAAAATGATAATAATATAATATTGGATTTTATAAATGAAATTTTTAAAACTGGTATAATTTGCAATGATTTAAATGATATAAAAAAAAAACTATAAATTGAAAAAAATAAAAAAAAGTATATGAAAAAAACAAAAAAACAAAACATCAAAAAAAACAAAACAAATGAAATTATTATATTATATATAAGACACTCAAGAAATCATTAGTATATTTTAATTTAGATTTTAATTTTAATTTTAATTATTATTATTATTAATTTTAATTTAAATATTATTAAATTTTTTTTTTCCATTTTTTTTTTATTTTTTTTGGGGTGATTGGGTGGTTATTTTAAAATTTTATTTTAGTTATAAATAAAACTAAGTTAAGTTAAATTAAATTAAGTTAAATATCATTAAAGAAAATTAGATTTCACCAAAACCAGTTGGAATATTTTTACCGAAACCACCTTCTTTCATTGCCAATTCATAATAACCGTATATAGTTGTGACAGCTAGTAACATTGAGGTACCACTACCCAAGGTTCCTAATAAATCACAAATGACAGATAATGCACCGATGGTTGCACCACCAAAAGCTGCAGCAGTGGGGATTATTTTTTTCAATTCTTTATAAACACTTGTTTCTCTAACACCAGCGATGACCAAACCTTGATCTTTGAATTTTTTGGCAACATCCTTTGGAGAACTACCAGAAATTTCGATCCAAGTTGTTGAGAAGATAGCACAGGTTGAAAGGACAAATATGACATAGATTGTAGTTTTGATTGGATCCAACATTGCTTCAGATACGGAAAATGGGGGTTGCATGTAATAAGCGATGCCACTGCTAGCGAATAATTGAGATGAGCCAGGTCTTGAATCCCAAGTACCTAAGATTTTAACAAATAAATTATTTGGGAATTTTTGGAATAGCATTTGGGATAGGATAAAGACGTTTGAAGTTAAAGCACTTTGTAACATGATTGGTAGGTTTGAAGTGTAGAATAGTTTGATTGGATATAAACCATATGGGCCTCTTGTTCTTGTTGATTTGACAGGGATTTCTAGTCTAAAACCTTGAAGAAAGACGACAACAAAGAATACTATGATAGTTGAGAATAGTTGGAACATGTTTGGTAAATTTTTTCTGTAAAAGGCTTGAATTAAAGCTCTTTTTTTATCCTTTTTAGTTGTTAGAAGATGAATTGTTGCGACAATTGCACCCTCGAACTCTTCACCTCTACCAGTATTTAAAGTTGTTGGAGCAAATGCCTTCCAGAAGATTTGTTCGGAGATATTAGTTGCAGTGAATAAAGAGATACCTGAACCTAAACCGTAACCCTTTTGCAACAATTCGTCGAGAAGGATAATCATTATACCAGCAAAAACCAATTGCAACACTAACAATAAGCAAACACCGAGACCTAACTCAGATGGAGGACCATACATACCAGTTGCGACATAGACTACAGCTTGACCGAAGGACAATAGGATAGCGAAGATTTTTTGAGCAGTTTGGAAATTTTCACGATCGTTTTTATCGTTCATGTTGATATCTATTAGTTGAGTACCTTGCAACATTTGGAAGACCATTCCAGACGAAACAATTGGAGATATACCCAATTCCATAAGAGTACCTCTATTGGAGGCCAACATCATACGCAACCAAAATAGAGGATCTGAGGATTCAGATGATACGATACCATATAATGGAATCTCACTCATAACTAGGAAAATCATCAAAGTGACACCAGTCCACATTAGCTTTTGGTTAAATGGAATCTTTCTTTGTGGAGCGATAACCTCAGGAAGAAAAGGTGAAAAGGGTTTCACTAGATCCAACACACGAAAACTCATTGTCAATGTATTGATTTATTGTGGTATTGTATTGATAGAGTGTTATATTATAGTGGTGAAAGTGGATGAAGGTGAGTTCAATAGACACTTGTCGATTAAGAAAGATATTTCAAACTGTGAGAGTGAGAGTGAGAGTGAGAGTGAGAGTAAAAGTGAGTGTGGGCGTGAGTGGACGAGGAGGGGTTGAATAAAAGAGATCGAGAAAATAGGAATTGGCGTGTATTAATTGAAATATAAGAAGAGAAGAAAGTGAATAGACAGCAGAGAAATTGAATATTAAACAAGAGGACGAATTGAAAATAACAGCGATGGAGTATTTATTCTTAAAATAGCTCTGAAAAGTTCAGGTTTTGGGAGTTTTGATCAAAATTTCCCAATTTTTCACAGCTCTGTGAAAAAAAACCTCTTCGCAGTTTTCAGTGACGTGGTTTTCCAGAGCCAGTGCCAGTGCTGTGGGTCGGTGCTGAGTCAGCGCTGCGTCAGCAGCGGCTACTGCCCGAACAGGCGATGCATATATGTGCTACTTGGGGGCTATTTATTTGGGATCTTGTTCGACTAGAGATCAAAGATGTGAAGGAGATAGTAGGGGTAACCCGGGCTCTTTTTGTGGAAGATGCAGACCAACGAGCTGGCAAGCAACAAGATCAAGCTGACGAAGAACAACGTGGTCACATAGTTGACTTTGGCGTTGTAGATCTGGGGCACCGACTTGATCAACACCACAACCGACACCGATAACACAGCATAGAGCATCGACACAATTTGTGTTTCGATACCGAGTTGCTGTTGCTGGCCCGAAACAAAGTACTCCACAGCGCTACCTCCATTGGGATCGATTTTGAGGTATGGAACGTTTCGAATGGTGTTGAACATGTATCCCGAGATGAACAATATGATTAATAGAATTGAGAAAGACGACCAAACGTTTTTATTCAACAACACCTTATTCAATATAGTTGAGTAGAAGGTTTTGAATATGAAGACAATTATAATTGAGATTACCGATGTTAGAAATATGTTGCTGTAATTTATTGGTTTATAAATTTTAATTCTTTGGTTTGTTGTTTCATAAATCCAATTTCTAAAATCACCAAGGACCTCATCTTTATCTATAGTGCTGCTGCTAAAACTGAAAACATATTCATCGTGAACGTCAGCAATCAAATCATTCTTGGTTACGTTTGTTGGTGAGTAGTAGTACAATTTAGGAACAGAGGTTATCTTGTAGCTTTGAAAGATCTCTCTTTGATTTTGACTGACACCGAAATCTGCTATAGCGAAAAAAATTGGTGTTTCATCCCCATTTTGACTGTCTTTTATGCTGTTGATATTATTTTCCTTTGAATAAGAACTAGCTAGGATTTCATAAATTGGCTGGAATTGAAAACATGTAACGCAATTAATCTGGGGATTGGTTGCAGTTAAATAAACAAATAAATGATAGTCTCTATCCTCACAGATTATATTTTTATAATTTCGTGAACTCAATTTTAAAATAGATGGATTACCATTTTTCTTGAGTATCTTTGAGATCTGTTCTGATTTGAAGCAATTGGCATCTTGAATCAAAAAAGTGATCAACACAAACACAAAAAAAAACACCAGCTTGTTACTTATGAACTTCATCTCTAATCTTCTATCCTGCGTTAATTCGAGCCAGCTATCTCAACTACTCGACCAACTTTTGAATCAATTAATCATTGTTTTGTTGTTCAAAGGTGAAAAAGAAAGCTTATTACCAACCGCTTAGTCACGCAACCCCCTATGTTTCAAACCCCTTTTCCAAACCCCAAATAGTATAAATAAGTCAAATCGCCTAGAAAGTGCTTCTTCTCTCATCTGGCGCAACGGTACCGCTCTGCGATCTTCAGACAGTGTTGTCAGTTCGACCCCGGACGCCCTTCTTCTGCTGCTCCAGACTTTTCCTGTTTCTGAAGCACTTTCACTGCATTTCTTTTGGTTTCTTTTGATTTCTTTTGATTTCAGTTTGATTTCAGTTTGATTTCAGTTTGATTTCAACTGGATTTCTCTTGCAATTGGCTTCCATTTCTTGTATTCTACTCCATTCTGCTGTGTATTCTTGTATATTCTTGTATTTTATCTGTTCTCGAGTTCTGCTTCCATTCTTCTTCTCCTGCAAAAGCAACAGACTCTCATCCCATTCACCACAACCACACCAGAAAGACAAGCAAAATGCCTTTTGTTTCATCCTTTTAACTTGCCTTGATAACAAACACTTAACTATGCTTTTTATAAATCCTCGTTTGTTTCTTTTACTGGTTTCTCTACTTCTCAATTTTATTATACAATCGTCATTATCCCACCTCTCCCACGACTCAAATAACTCTGCAATTCCCCTGGCTGATAATTTAATCGCTAAACGTAGCCAAATTCCTAATACACATCCACTTTCAAACGATTCAATTGAAAACCCAACATTTAATCCACTAAATGATCCTATAACTAATGTTGATCCTCTAATCAATGCAACATTAATATCCTCCAACTCTAATTCTAATTCTAACACAATTTCTGATTCGGATACACCTCTTGATATCGATATAGATATTGACACTGATTCTGATAACGATAATGAGACTGAGTCGCCCTTTTTATCCTTTGAAGAATGGAAGAAAAAAAAGACTGCAAACAACAAATACCAGATAAACAACAACAACAACAACAACAACAACAACAATAATAATAATAATAATAATAATAATAACATAAACATAAACAACATAAATAATGACAACTACTTGATTAATAACAATATACAACTTAACAACGAAATTAATAATGATATCATTGGCGATGACTTGGAAATTGATCCAAACTTATTCAAACACTCCATGCCTAACTTATCTTCACACACTCACACAAACAACAACAATAACACCAACAACACCATTGATAATGAAGACAATCCGAATTCACAATCCTCTTTACTAAAATCATCTAAAAAAAGATTCAATTATGCCTCTATAGATTGTGCAGCGACTATAATTCAAGCAAATCCGGAATCAAAAAATTCCTTTTCTATCTTATCTGAAAAGAAAAACTCTTATCTATTAAATAAATGCTCTTCAAAGAATAATTTCATTATAATCGAATTGTGCGAAGACATCCTAATTGATCTAATAGTGCTAGCCAATTTCGAATTTTATTCTTCAATTTTTAAAAAAATTAAATTTTCAATATCAATTAATAATCAAAATTATCAGCTCTTGAATCAATTCACTGCTAAAAATATTAGAGACTATCAATTTTTCAAAATTAAAAACCCCTTATTTTTTGCTAAATATTTAAAAATTGAAATCTTATCTCATTATGGCAATGAATTTTACTGTCCAATTTCAATACTAAAAGTTCATGGCAGAACAATGATGGATGAATACAGACTAGAAGAAGAACACTCTTTATCTCAATTATCAATTAATAATCAATTAATGAATAATGATCTTAATCATAACGAAAATGATATTGAAATTGAAATTGATAATAACAATAACAATAATTATGATAATAATATCAAAAATAAAAATAAAAATATTCAAAATGATCCCGATTTTGATTATGATGATGATAATAATAATATCAATTTTAATATTCCTCTGTTGAATATTACTATAAACAACTCAAGCATATTCACTTCACCATTAGAAACTTCCTCATTTGATGACCCATGCTACTCATCAAGTTTTAAATACATTGGTTTTGATGAATTTTTAAAAGATTTGAAAACATGCAAACCAAACTCAACTAAAGATTTTGAATATTATAGCAGTAATAACATTCAAAGATCAACTAAACATATTTCAAACCCAGATTCAACTTCCCTATCAATTGAACAAGTCGAACAAGTCGAACAAGTTTCAACTCAAGAATCTATCTATAAAAATATAATGAAAAGATTGATTTTATTAGAATCAAATGCGACTTTATCTTTATTATACATAGAAGAACAAAGTAAATTATTATCAAATGCCTTTAATAAATTAGAGAAAAAACAAACAATTAAATTTAATAAATTAATCTCTAAATTCAATTCAACGATTTTAAATCAAATTAATAATTTGAAATCTTTATATACAGCATTTGAAAATGATTCAAAACATTTATTTAAGAATCAGGCCGATAATCATCATAAATTATTATTAAAAACTAATCAGCAGATCGATTTCTTAAATAATCAATTAAAATTTCAAAACAAAATCATCATCCTAATATCCATTGTATTAACTTGTTTATTAATATACATCATATTAACCAATGATACATATATCGAAACAGAATATGTCGAGGATGATGATAAAAACATCAGCATCCTTAGAAATTGTATTATTAATGGCAATAATAGCAACAATAATGTCAATTTTTTAACTCATCTGTATAATAATAGTTTACAATCTGAATCATCAAATGAAACCACCCAATTAATAAACTCGTCATCATCATCATTATCCAAACCAAACACAACAGATATCAATAATAATAACAATTACAATGTTAAAAATAATAAAAATAACAATATTAATAATTTCTTTAGCAAAAAAAAATTAGCAGTCAAATTTAAACATAAATTTCGGCCAAGCTCAACTTTTTATATTGATACCGATGATTTAAATTACCATCATAGCTTAAATTATAATAATTCAAATAATAACTATGGTTATAATTATAGTAACTTATCATCATCATCACCATTTAGTCCAATAACTCAAACCAGATCATTAGTGCAATCACCAACTGATTTAAAGTTTTATGATAGTATCAGAAATCGTAATAGTCTCAGCGTCAATAATGAAAGTAATTTAAAGAGTACAAACAATAAAAATAAGATGATTAATAAAGAAAATTTGAGAAGAACGAGTTCCTTGCCAAAAATTGATTTTCAAAGTTTAAAACCCAAAATAAAACTAAAAGAAAAAGAAGAAAGAAAAGATAAAAATATAGATAAAAAGATTGAGAACATAAAGAACGAAGATGATAAGGAAAAAAAAAAGGAAAATTTAAGTAATTTAGAACAGACATCCAAATTGGAAGAAATGGGAGATGTTTTCAGATTTCCATTAAAAGACAAAACGAATCAAAACAGAGATAACCAGTTGAAATCAATCAAACTTTAGTAATTCAATGATTAATAAATTTATAGCATGATTTTTTTTTTTAGCATATCATATTTCATTTTACATTTAATCATTTATAAATGATAGGTAATAAATAATAGTAGCACAGCAATATATTGATGTAGTCTAGTTAACACTTAAACAACAATAAATTAAATTTTGATTTATTTTTTTAAAAATAACAGTCTTTCAAAAAATTTACAGATTTCGGTTAATAAAAAGTTTTTGGTTTAGTAAGACATGATTCCGATTTTATAATTTATTTCTATTAATTACTTGTATTAGATGACTTTCCTTTTAAGTAGTGAATAGTAATCATTGATTTCAGTAAAAAATCTCAAATGAATATGTAAAAATAAATAAATAAATAAAATAGAAATTGATCTAGTAATATAAGAAAATAAGAAAATAAGAAATGAAAACATTGAAAAAGTACTAATAATAGTAAAGTGATGGAAAATTAAAAATGGAAACAATAAAAAAAGTCATTAAATCATTCCAAAAGAATGTTAAATAAAAAATTTAAAGCCTGTGAAGCTAAAAGAACTGCAAATATAATAGCAGGCAAAGTAAAAATAACATAGGACCAAAATAACACTCCAGCCATTTCCTTTTGATAAATCTCATTAATTTGACAAATTTGAGAAACTTGTAAAGCTGGAGGACAAAAAATTAATACAAAAGCACAGAGAAGGAAGACTGGGTCTGTGGCATTGGGAATGGACAAATATTTCACAATTAAAAATGTTAAAGGAACCAAAATGGTAGCAGGCAAAAGCATTCTGGAGATTAAAGAACCAAACACAAGTCTATTGTAGTAAGGAGTTGCTGAGGGAACATCGTTGGATGGATATAAGTTGGCACCCAAGATGATCAAGACTAGGGGAACAGCTAGAGCACCTAGCTGGTCAGTAGCTAGAACTATCGTCGAGTTTAAGAAGCCATTGTTTTCGAATAGAATTTTTCTAACTCTAGGCAATAAGGAAATGATCATAGCAGCAATCATTGCATATAATGGGGGATTCATGTACTGCAAGACCTTTGTTTTTATTTTATTGAGAGTGGAATATAGGGAAGAAGAAGAAAAGGACGAGGATGCAGAAGATATTAATAAGGGAGTGCTTTCAGTTGGATTTAGTTTGTCATTACTAATTGTGGTAGTTATTGGGACCTTGGAAGAGGATATACCTTTAAAGATCGAATTATCCAAGGATAAAGCATCATCGAGATTTCTTTCGCTATCATTGGGAATAAAATTTGGATCATCTAAATGGTACAATTCATTATTATCAACTTTTTTCAAAAGAGTATTATAACCCCAAGACCATCTCAAAATTTGACCAAGTTGGTTATAGATTAAAAGATATAAAACAGTTCTGCTTGCCATTTGAGCTGCATCATCGTTGGGCAACTTATCCCAAGTTAAGTTGGGTAAAGTGGAGCATAAGGATAAGATTAGAGAAACAGGCAAAGCAAAAGAATTTGGGAAAACAGAGTTGGCAATAACAAAACCAGTTTCTGATTTATTTAGTTTTAAAATTGAGGATACAATTCTTGAGCAGAAATACGAGGTGACAGATGAGAGAGTAAAAAAAATTGGTATAATTGATAGTTCTAAGAATTTTTTGAGAGATAAAGACTGAGCTAGTTGAATAAAAATTAATGCAGGTGTGAAGATGGATATGTTTAATTTTGATATTTGTTTTTGGGTTGTGGAGTTAATTAGGTTAAATTTCGCTGCAACATAACCAGATAAGCAGATTATTAGTATTTCAGTAACAGCTTGAAATGTTAGATAGGATATTTGAAAATAAGATAAACCTTCTGAGAAATTTTCAATCATTGTTATTTATTTGGGATTATATGTTTTTTTATAGTTGTAGTGTTTTTGAGAGAAAGAGCAATAATATAGGCATGAATATTGTAAAATAATGTAAAAGCAGATTGTAGTAGATTAGAGCAGAATAGAATTGAACAACTGTAGAGAATAGCAACAAAATAAAATTAATAGAATATAAAATCCAAAATATAATGATTTGAAGAAGTATTTATAAAAAAAATATTTTTTCTGGATCACAAAAAAAAAATCTTATTACTGGTAATCAGATACATTAAGAAAATATGGTAAGAAACGATAGTTTTTCCATTGATATCATTTCTTTTTTACCAAAGATATGATCTTTTTTTTATTTTTAACAATAACCACAATAGAAATTATGGAGAAATTTTGCTTAATTAAGGATGAGGTCTTGCGAGCCAAAAAGTATAATAAAGTAGTCAATGATAGTTAATAGCAGTTTGTGATTTGGTGATCTAACAGTTTAATGATTATATCTATGAGCCAAAGAAAAAAGTGAAAGGCATTAAGTCTAGCGAAGTTATTAATATTGTTCTTTTTACTGTTATTGTTGTTGGTGGTGGTATTAAGATTTATATGATCTTTTTTTTAGTGCAGAAATAAGATTTCCATGACACATTTAAAGTGAATAAGTGTACCTGCATTCTCTCATTGATCATTGATTGTTTGAACAGTTGAGGATAATCGTTATGAATGAGAGGAAAGAAAAATTTTCAGTCTACTAATAATAAATCTAATGATGGCTAGTATGTTATCATGCTTGAAGTGAGCTTAAGGTTAAATTCTAATAACACCAGAGTGGTTGGTATCAAGTCTCATGAAAATGACCATGACAGTTGCAGCTGTGACTGTTATGGCAATTGTTAGCCAGTATTCCGAGAGCTATTGGAGACTATCAAAATGATCTACTGCTTGATCACCACAGCTCAAGCAACAGATGCGATGTTCATGGCAGTGAAAGAGAACAGGCTCAATGATTTGTGGAAATGGGCAAGTAATTAATATGATTTGAAGAAAGAAGGTTAGAGACACTTTCTCCTCCTTTGTGATGTGGAAGGCAACTCCCTCCTGGCAGTAAGCATATCCAGTGAAAATATACCCCAAATGAACAGACAATTCCCCAGAAACAACTCAAAACCACCAAAACCACCAAAAAAGAGAATCCACGAACAGAAATCAAAAGAGAATAAAAACTAATATCCAGTGTTGTGGTAATACCCAATGATGTAGTAGTATGCACTGGTGCAGATTTAGCCAAACTGTAATTATCCTTCAGAACCACTGCAGTGGTAGCAAAAACTGCTTCCAATTCTCTCTTAGGAAATGATCTATTTGATGAAGATATATTGAATAGAAGAAGAATAGACTGTGGAATAATAGTGTGATGGAACTCTAAACAGCATCTCAGCACCCAGAAGAAGCACCACTAATATCTGATATTTAAATAAACTAATCTGTTCATGTTAAATTTCAATTTAACAGACATCATTAAAGTTGAAATGGAAAAGCTCATCAATAAAATCAATCAATTGAAAGGATGAATATTTCATATTTGTTTATTTTAATGATAAAACATATTATTGTCTTTGGTTTTTATTGCTTAGCAAATTACAAAAATATCAATCAACATTTTCTCATTGATTTAAATTCAAACTTAGCAACAAGTTGAAAATAACAATTCAAGGTGATATAATAACAATTGGATTTTTTAAAGTCCATCCAGAAATTTTGGTTTTACAAAAAAGGTTTAATGGTTTAGATTTAAATGCTGAAAATTAGGATTGCAAAAAATTATAGCTGAGAATCTGCTCCAAATTTTTAGAATTGAAACAGATCCTGTTACTGATGAAATTGCTATGTTTGAGTATGAAAAAATTCAAAACAAGATAAAAAATGATGATATTTATAAAAATTTGAAGCCCTTCATGTAGAAAGATGTTTTTCCTTTGAAAGGAATTTTTGATAAAACGTATCGGCGAATTACTGATATTCAGAATGCCACTCTTAATTTTCAAACTCCTATTAATCATATCAATCAAATAACCATTTGCTATAATTCTCTTTTTCACGCAATCGAAGCAAATCTAAACAGTTTTAAAAAGCTCAAGCTTTATTTTATCAATAAAAACATACTCCCAGGATTTTCTTATTTGAACTTCTTTAGCGATAATACTCCAGATGATAAACTATGTAAACTAGAACCTTTTTTCAATTTTTCATCATTAAGATCAACTCTTACAAAATATATAGAAAGATTTCCAGGTAATAAAAAAAGAGAATTGGAATAACAAAAATTTCTCTTAGTGGAGAGGGAATTTGAGTTTGATAATAATATTAGTCTTGATTTGACAAAATTTTTAATAAAACATTAAAATTATTTGAAAATACAATTAGAATTTCATTTGTTTTATGGAAATATATTGGATTTTCAGGTCATACTCAATGTAAAATTATAATTATGTTCAAGTTATTATATTGATAGCTACAAACCGAAACTTGGGTTAAAGAAAAATGATAAAAGACATCATTGTTTGAACATAATGTTAAAGAAAACTAGAAATAGAAAAACTAAAGAATTTAATTTTATTTAATATAGAAAACAGTTTTTGCACTTATTATAAACGATAAAACAAAAATATCAAGACACTAAATATAATTCTATACTTGAGTATTTTATATCGTGGAGTATACCTGTTTTCAGATAATAACAGATTGGAAAGAAGCATCAAAGAAATTTCAGTGTTCTATCTCAACCTGAGGCTACAAGAATGCTATTATGCTGGAGATTTTGGACTTGATCATGTTTAAATTCAATTAAAGGTTATAAGTTTTTTAAATGATTAATTCCTTGGTAGCTAATCTTTAAATCTGGAAACATTTTCCTTAATTTATCAAATTCATCATTGCGTAATCGTGATGATGTTCTTATCTTAATTTCTTTAATGTTAGGTATATGTGGAAGGTCTTTGTTATAAAAGCTCAATTCGCTATCAGGGAGAACTAAATGGCTTATGTTGCTCCATTTTGCAAGCCCTTCCACTTGTTGTAGTGGGTTGAACATTAAATCTACTTCCATTTTCTGATTTTTTGGAAGAACTGGTGAAGCTATTCTTCTTTTAAATAATCTTTTGAATATTGAAGGCCTTTTAGTTTCTTTGGAGTCATCTTGAATTTGTCTTATCCAATTGCACCTTAGATTAATAAATGAACAATTATTTAAGTGTTCAATAGGCACTAGTATTTCAATATCATTATTCGATAGGTCCAAATATTTCAAATTATTTAAACAATTCAAACCATTAATTTCGGATATCAGGTTATATGATAGATTTAAAGACTTTAATTTATTTAAATAATTAAAATCTTTTATTTCAAATATTGAGTTATAAGATAAATTCAAAGACTTTAAATTTTTGAAGTAACTTAAATCTTTTATTTTATTTATTTTATTTATCCTGTTGTCAGATATATTTATTTTAGTTAATTTTTTAAAATATATCTCATTTTCATTGATTTTAAAGCTAGTAATTTTGTTGTGTGATAAAGTAATCACACTTAAATTGACTAATTTTTCAATTTTTTGAACAATTCTTACTCTATTGAAAGATAGATAAAACACTGATAGGTTAGGTAAATTGTCCAAATTTTCAATTTTTGTTATTTTGTTATTTAACAAATTTAATTTGGTTAAATTTGTTATTTTATCCAAGTTTTCAATTTTTTCAATTTTATTATTTGATAAATCTAACAGTGTTAAGCTAGTTTGGTTAAAATGTTCAATTTTTATTTGGTTACGGGATAAATCAATTGCCATTAAATATAATAATTCTGTTCTAAATATTTCAATTTTTGTAATATAATTTATTATTGAAACTAATTTCTCTAAATTACAGAAATTAATAAAGGAGGTACGAATATTCAGAATTCTGTTATTAGTTAAGTCAAAAACTTTTAAGTTCGATAAGTTCTGAAGGTTTTGAATATTGCTAATTAAATTAAAATCGAGATATAATTCTTCTAAATTTGACAATGTATTTAGGCTTTTGATATTTCTGATAGAATTCAATGTCAAAATAAAACGATTTAATTTTTTAAATTTGGAAACATTATTGATTTTCGAAATGGAATTGTTTCTTATATTTAATTCGACTAATTCTTCACATCCAATAAGATTTTTAAACACCTTTAGTTTATTATAAGCTAGTTTTAAAGTAAGCAAATGTTTTAGAAATAAAACATTTCAATACTTGTAATTCCATTATTGGATAAATCTAAATGTTTTATCAGTTCAGGAAAATGAATATTTTCCAATCTGACAAAATAATTATCTGTCAATTTAAGATTATTTAAATTTTTTAGCTTTGAAAAAACAGATTCTATTTTAAATATGTTTATATCATTCAAGTTTAATGTGGTTAAGTTAAATAAATGATAATTAACAGATTCATCTGAAAAGATTAATTGAGAATCAATTCTAAACTTTGAAGGATATTGACGATTTAACCTCATTCTTGATTTACTTCCAAATTTGAAATGGTTCCAACGACAAGAAGACTTGTTTAAAGGAAAGTTGGGTCAAAATAGCATCGAGGATGAAAGGTGGTAATCCCTTTAGTATATTTTGTCTGTCTTTTGTTGAAACCTGAACTTTCATTGTTGATGTATTTCCTGCCAGTTATAGATAATACATAGAGTATATTTATTTCTACGAAAACAGAGCAAAATATCGACATAAATAGTGAGGATTCTTTTGGAAATATATATAGTGCGCAATTCATTGAATGCCATGCATTGACATGCATGAGATTGAACCAATAAATCGCTTTGATCTTTTTCACAGCAATTTTGTGCATTTGTTGCATTTTCTTCACCCATTAGACTGGTTCTGCACCGGCACTTAGTTTCTTGCATATTCATGTCTGTACCCTCATTGCGGGCCTTCTCCTTTTTCCACCAAAGTGGTTCTTATCTTACTTTTTTTGATACCATCAGTGTTATCAGCATCATCACCATCAGTGTCTGTTCTTGCCTTTCTCCAGAATATACTCCTAAACCAATACTTTTTTGCTTCAACCCAATTCAGAAAAACTCACAATATCACTATGTCCAGCTTAGAAAACTCACTATTCCAGCTAAAGGTATGTTTTGCTCCTGTCCTATCTGCTGTCTGATGAATTTTTACTAACTAAGGAACTCTTATTTTAATTCTCTTTTTTGTCTTATTTTGTTTATTTACTCGTTGAATTAGTTTACTGCAAAACAACTCAACAGACAAGCTCAAAGAACTACAAAGGAAGAACAAAAAGAAAAAGCAAAAGTCAAAAAGGCAATGCTTCAGGGCAATAACGATATAGCTCAACTATATGCCCAAAATGCTATACGTAAAAGCAACGAACGATTGAATCTACTAAAACTCGCCTCCAGAATTGATGCTGTTGCAAGTAGAGTCCAAACTGCCGTTACAATGAGACAAGTTACAGGTGGAATGTCACAAGTTATTAAAGGAATGGATAGAGCTTTACAATCAATGAATTTAGAAAAAATCTCACTTGTAATGGATAAATTTGAAAACCAGTTTGAGGAATTGGATTCAACTGCTAATTATTATGAAAATGTCACTAATGACGTAAGTGCTTTAACTACTCCACAAGAAGAAGTTGATCTATTAATGAATAAAATAGCTGATGAAGCTGGCTTGGAAATTAAACATAATTTAAATACCGTCAAAGTCGATGAAGAATCCTTGAAAGAAAATGTAACCAAAGTTGATGAAGAAAGAGAAAACAGATTAACCGAAAGATTAAGAGCCTTAAGATCTTAATTTTCGTCAATTTCGTTATTTTTTTATCAATTTTATCAATTTTATTATTAGCATCATGATCGTTATCATCTTTATGTTAATAATTAAGCCTCATTTCTCTTTTTATACTTCATATTATCAATCACTTTATCTTAATATTACTTTTAATCTAGAAGAAGGACAATTATCTATTAACTGATATCCATTAAATGTTTTAATCTCAAGAAAAAAAAATTAAAAAACAATTATAAATTAACGTAGAAACTAAAACTAAAATTAATATCAAAATAATAATAATGATAATAATAATAATAATAATAGTAATAATAATAATAATAATAATAATAATAATAATAATAATAATAATAATAATAATAATAATAATAATAATAATGAAAATAAAAAAATTAACAATAAAAATGAAGATGAAAATGAAACTTTTTCAAAGCATTAAATAAATCATTTGTGGTTAATTTATTAAAAACCAATCTTCAAACCAAAAGAAAGAAAAAAATAGAAAAAAATAAGCAAAAAAAAAACCAAGACAATTTTTTATAAAACTAGTCATAAATTTCAATTGGTGGCAACCTGTCTGTCGTTGTGAACCAATTGTTACTTTCCAACTCATTTGCTAACCAATTAACAGGGAACAAAACCAAATTTCCTTGAACATTACTCAAAATCTTTTCAGCTGTTTCTCTGTCAAATATTCTTTCGCCATGATACATTCCTCTAGATCCAAATGTATTGGTTCTAGTTCGAATTCTTCTTTTCTTATCCCCACTTGAATATCGTGCATCTTTTTTGATTGAATTACCACTAATTGTGCCATTTAATGTAACTTCTTCAAACTTTTCCGGAGAAATAGATGTTTTATTTTTTCTCATTTTACCATACCCATCTGAATCTCCATATCCATCATCTGATTGGTTAACAAATGTTGCAGGAGAACTTTTCAATCCGTTTGCATAACTACCTCTTTTGTTTTCTATTTGTTCATCTTCCTCTTCTTTAATAAAAGAAGGATTTTGATTTAATTTTCTTTTAGCAATAAAACTACCCACTTTTTTTCTTCTTAAACTATCTCTATCACTATTATTCTCAGGTGGATGCTTCATTGGAGGGGCCCCAATAAGACCATCTTTAGAGTTAAGATCATTGATATTAATAATAGTACTATTACGAATAGAGGCATATGTCTTATTTCTGTCCAATTTAGGTCTTGAACTATTAGTTTTATTAGTTGCATTCACATCATCTGTCTGTTCATCAACTTCTTCTCCATCATCCAAACTAACTGAATCGAAATTTAATTCTTTTCTAATCTCTGCTTCTTGATCTTGAACTAACTTAAATGCTGCACTGAGATCAGAATACTCTTTATAATCATTCCAAGTTAAAATAGTATCATCAGGTTGACAATGGAAAACCAATCTAAATAATTTAGTATTACTTTCTGCAATATCAAACCATACATCTTCATAAAAATCTTCATCCAATGGATCATCAAATCCATATGGATCAACAAATTTTTTATAATCAATTCCATCAAGAGTCCTAGATAGTAACTCTTTGATTTCATCATCTTCTAAATGAGTAATAGGGATATTTCCATTTGATCCAACAGAGTCTGTATTTGGATCCACTTTTACAGAACCAATTCGAAGATGATTTCCACTATCTGCGGTATCTGCAGATTGAGTTGAAACATTTTGAGAATTAGAATGGCTCATATTTTCTGCAGTACCGAATTCAGCAGAGCCTTTATCAGGTTCACTGGCATTAACCGTAACGCCATTTGGTGATTGCTGAATTTCAGACATGATGCCAACATTTAATTTCTTTTGAGCCTCTTCCTTTTCTTGTAAATTTTGTTTGGCAGCTACTCTTTGCAAATAAGATATCCTTTTAAGCATTTCCCATCGTTGTTCATCTTTTTCTAAAATTATTTTCTTATTTTCAGTAGATAAATTGTTAATATTAAGGGACGTAATCTCGTTCTGATTGATAAATCCATCATCCTCTAAAAATTCAATCACTTTTTCATAATTTGGCAAGAAAAAATCATTTTTTTGAGCCATTGTTTCAATAGCCCAATTTTTCAAAGCAGTTGATGCTAATATTTTTGATTTTTTAAATAATTGATTTGAAGCATAATTAGAAACATCATCCCTGTGACTTTTATTATGGGTTATACGAGGGTCAGATGAAAATTGTTTGTATTCTCTTATACCTTCATTTTCATCATAATTGTTAAAGGATTTATAAATTCTTTCTGTATCTGATCGAGTATTTAGTTTAGTTCGTGGAAGTCTGATGTTTTCATTTGGCATTTCCTCTTTTTCCTTTTCTTTTTGTTTTTGTCTTTGACGCTTCTTCCACCTTCGTGTTCCATTAGGCTGATTTAAAACATCTCTGGCAGCTAATTCAACCATAGAAGACTTAATTTTTAAATCAGCATCAGCTGCATTTATAGTAACAGCTTCCATTCCCTCTTCAGTTTTAGCCATCTCAGAAATTTGATTGAATTTTCTTTCAACAATATCAAGAACATCAACATCAATTCCTAAATGTTCTCTCATTAATCTAACCCTTAAACTGTGGGCGAATCTACCTCCAATGTATGGTTTTCCGGCCATTTTTATTTTAACAGTATCAGTATCTCTAACTATTGCAGCCACCTCAGAATCTCTGTTTCCTCTCATTGACCTTTCATTTATATTTGCAGAACCAATAATCGCAACCCTGTCATCAACAATCATAGTTTTAGCATGAATATACAATTGCTCAGAAACGATTTGCCTATATGGACCGATTCTACCCCATTTTCTTAAACTGAAAAATTGAATATAGTCATTTGGTTCAATCTTAAGTTTTCTTAGCTTTGCAAATATAGAAGTGCTACCTCTAGAAATAGACATATACTGACATTGAATAATGACTCTAAGAGAAGAACCTTCAGATTCATCCACCTGGGATTCAAACCCTGGCATTAATGGAATTATAATTACAGCTCTCCAAGGGGTTCTTTCTTTGTGAGCACGAATAATTCTATCGACTAAAGCATCACCAATTCTGTTTTCAATGATAGTGTTATCAAAAGCACATGCAGTAACAAAAAATTGATTTTCAATATAAACAAAATGTTCTGAAGTCTCAATCAACTTAAGATAAGCGTTTTGAATACTCTGTTCAATATCTTTTAATCCTAATGACCAACTAGCAGATGATCGAAGTAATTGGATTTCATTTGTTCCTTTGAAACCAAGTTCAGCAATTTCTTTATCTGTTAAATCAGAAGGAGGTAAAAGTAAAGGAGTAGGTCTTGAAGGCCTTTTTTGTCTTAACAAGTAATTCCATCTTTGAACAAAATGCCTTGATAGATCCCTAGCAATTTGACCAGCTGTAAACATATGAACATCGTGCCAAGGCATTCTTGGAACTATTTTTCTATCATACATTGATTCATGTGGTTTGTCTAGTTCAGTGAAATCTTTAACCCTAGGATTAGAGTAATCTTTTCCTGGAAATGTTCGCCATTTTAGATTTTTTAAATTTTTCATACTTATATTTTCCAAGTTTGAAGCAAAATCATATGGAGAATCATCAACCAAGACATGATCAGGTGTATCATATCTTCCAAAACATAGATCAATACCACCCAAAAATGCAACAGTTTGATCAATTATTAATAATTTTTCATGGTGAGCCCAGAAAAAAGTGTTTTGTAAAAATTGATTGGGTGATCTGATCACCCTAATATTGTCATGTAAGTCCATTAAAGAATGCTTTGTCCATAAAGAATCGGTAACAACAAATTCACCAAGATTTCTGTAAACAATAACAAATATTTTAACACCCTCTTCAGCCTTTCTCTTTAATAATCTATCTATTCTGTATTCTTCATTACCATTTGCTGGTCTTCTCAAGTAAAGTTCGGGCGTTAACCACCAATCATGAATAAAAATAGTATCTTTAGCCATTAAGATAGCAGAAGAAGCTGCCCAAAAATAATCCCTACCATCGACAAACCATTGAGCAAAACAATTATGACGCACTGGGGCAAAAGAATTAAAACGATGTTTTTGAGACCAAATTGTTTTCTCTTGCATCAATTTTATAGACCTAATCCATAGTCTTAATTGTTTTTTAGAAGCTGCAAACATCTTTAATTTACGTTCACTATTCATTACAGAAAAGTTGAAATGTAGAGCAACTTTTCTAATATTTTTAGGAACGGTTGGATCCTTTTTATTCTTTCTACCACTAGAACCTTCTAATAAAGACAATTCTTCATCATCTATCCAATCATCATTTTCTTCATCAGAAGATGAATCAGAATCTTTATCATCATGACCAGCATATTTGATTTGAAAATCAGAATCTACTAAAAACACTTCTAGGGGTGTTGTGGAATTAATATCTGCTACGTACATAATATAAGAGTTCCTAACAAGAAACCATTTTGTTGTATGTCTTTTATACATTGCTTTTATATCTCTAGCTCTAAAATGATGAACCCTCCAACCTTGTGATTTTGCACTAGAACGAATAAGTAACAACCCTTGTTTTCCAACATAACCTATTTCATATGATAAAAGAACACTGATCGGAGATAATTCATAAAATTGAAACAATCTATTAGATTGAGGTCTTAGTGTTAAAGCCATGTTTAGTTCTTTGAAGTAGTTTTCAATTTTTCTTGCATAAAAGCCAGGATCAGACAATAAAAGTTGACCCTGTGGGGTTTCATAAATTAAATGAGGGTGAATTTTTTGATGTATGTTATCTTTAAAAGAAGAAATTCTGGAGGAAATGCGATGAAGATGCGATCTAGAAGATTGGGAGCTTGAAGATGAAGAAGTGGTGGAGTTTGAGTTTGAGCTTGAAGTAGAAGCTGGAGATAAAGATAACCTATTTGCATCAACATGGATTGGATTATTAGAATTCAGCTCATCCTGTATAGTAATTGGGATTTTTGGTAGTGGTGGATGTTGTTGTGATTGAGGCATTGATTTATTTTTAGTTTTTATCAGTTGAGATTTTTGCAGTTGCAGTTGGTAATTTGATAGAGCATCATCACGAGCAATAGAATAACCGGAGTTGTTATCATAAGCTAAATTTTTCAAACTGTTTGTTGTATTGCTACGAGACAAGGTATGACTATGAATTTTTGGAAATTTGGGCAAAACAGGAGGCTTATAACCAATACCAAAGGTGTTATTTTGCAAGAAGTAAATCTTGAATTTTTGTTGTAAATTTTCAATTTCTTTATAATCTTTTATAATTGACCATTTAACTCTATCAGGGCCAACACCGTATTCCAAGAATATTTTAAATTTTCTATTTTTGATAAATTTGAAATCTGAGGTTGTTGGTTTGGATTCAAAATTTGTTTGTGTAGCAGAAGTTGGAGCAGAATTTGGATTTGGAGTTTGAGGGACCGAGTTATTGTTTAAGAGATAGCCATCAATATTGTTGTTAATACTACTGGAATTGGGAATGGTGTTATTGTTAAGGCCACTAATATTATTTATATTGATGTTATTTTGAGTATTTTGAGTATTTTGAGCATTCTGATTATAATTATTATCTTTAAACTGTTGAAAAGAACCGAAAGTTAAAGTATGAGTATGATAAGGTCTTGAAAGGTTTTTTCTTCTTCTGTTAAGGTATTCTTGAGTTATATCATAAACCTGAATACCCAAGAGCGATAATAATAAGGGAGCTCTTTTAGTATCATGTTCGTCATCCAAAAATACGGAAAAGGCGTATAAAGAGGCAGGACAGCCAGCTAATAAGGTGCTAATTAAGTGGTTTGATCTTTCTTGAGCTAGTAAGTCACTATAAACTTCTCGTTCAGATTTTGTTATTAACTTTTGGGAAGGAATATTTTGCATTGAATGTGGATCATTATCATCTTTTTTCTGTTTTCCAAAATTGGATAGAGCATGCTTAAATTCTTTCCATTTATGAAGTTGGTTTTCTTCATTTGGGTTAGTTGATAAAGCTAGTTTGGATAATCTTTTTTTCCAATTTGATTCTTCGTAACTTGTGGTTGGATGTAAGAAATTATTGGCGTTATTGATGTTGTTGTTATTGGGTTGGTTGTTTGAGAGTGAAGAATTTGCGGGGAGATCTTTAGTAATTGGAGTTGGCAATTCAGAAGTTGAAAAGAAAGTTTTTCTGGAGGACAATTTTGGAGATTTAAGAGATTTAGCTCTTTGTTTTAATCTATTTGATAAATTTGATTGAGATTGACTTGGGGAATGAGATGATTCAACCAAAGCGTCTTGTTGATTTTCCGTTTCAAAAGCTTTATCGTTATCGGGATTAGCAGGATTATTAAGGTTATCAATATTATTGTTGACAATATCATTGTTGACAATATCACTGTTATCAATTTCAGCGATATTGTTATTGCCGTTGATATTGGAATCGTTATTGGTGTTATTGTTATCGTGTTTTTTTGAAAAACTCATAACAGTGTTTAATCTAGGAAGATGATGATCCTTCTTAGCTGATGATGAGATGGGTTTTTCAAATAACTTTGAATGAGATTTAGTGTTTTTGGGAGCGATATTATTGTTGGCGGTGATATTGTTGGCGGTGATGTTGTTGGGGTTGTTGGGATTGTTGATATAATTAGTATTGCTATTAACCGGAGGTATATTGTTTAGATTTTCGTTTGTACTATTGTTATTTTCAAAATTGAATTCATCCTGAGTAAAATTGTCAGTGTTCTCCCGGTTTTCATCGTTTATCAAGGGAGAAGTCTGGTGTTGTTTGGTGTTCTTCTGGGAAAAATTACGAGGGACCCTATAGTTTCCATAATAGTTGGAGGGACTGCTGTGGGGCAAGCTATCATTGTTGTTGTCCTTACCAGCAGCGTTGGGAATTGAGTCAGTTTCAGGGACAATGGTGTTGATGGGGATGTTCTGGTTCAGAATTGAATCCAAGGCACCCATTTCATGTATTCGTTTCACAGCAGAAATGGCTACCAGGCAAAGGAGGAATAGTGAGTAGCAGGTGTTTCAGCTGGCAACGACGTTCTCTGGAGCTTGAAAGAGTGGAATGAAGACCTGTGCTGGAGAGAAAGAAAAGAAGGACAGAGAAGTGAAGGAGAAATGAAGGAGAAACGACAGGTGAAGAGAGATGGGTGGTGAATAACGAGAAAGAGTTCTTCCACTCATGAAGGATTATATCACCCTCGCTGAAAAAGGCAACAAAACAGCACTCCTTCAGCAACCAGAGTTTGCCCCGCACAAACAGGATGCATGCGTGCAGAGGCTGTGCAGACGCAGTTTACACGCGTGTTTCACGTGATATGCCCCTGTGTTACCGGGCGACTGCTTTTAGAGCTTTGGAATTATCAGCAACGTCATGAGAAAAAGAATAAACCAAAAGTAAGTCGTGGGTGAAATATAACTAATGAACAAAAAAACAAGAAATTATTTATATAAAAAGATCTGAAGTATATGTCGTTACACCATTTCGTTCATAAAATTGAAATTGTTGAGAAAAACAAAAGTAAAAGTAAAAGTAAAAGTAAAAGTAAAAGTAAAGTAAAGTAAAGTAAAATTAATAAAAATCTTTTGTAGGATCTGAAAAAAATATAAATAAAATATATTTAATGACCGTTAATTTTGTTTTCTAGTTTTCTAGGTTTAATATTTGGTTTTTTTCTTGATTGGCTCATTATTGTCGAAGGAATTACCGTTGGTTTTGTCGTAGTAATAATCTCTTTTTATCTCCTGGTATCGAATTTCTCCAAATCCCAAATTCAACATGTTTTGAAACTCTTCATCATTAAGCTCGTTTCCCAATAGTTTTCTCAATTCGCTCAATCTTCTCACCAAAACGTTTTCACGGTTTCTGTTGATTTTCTCTGATGACTCCAATTCCATTATTCTTGTTTTGTACAAGTCATTTACAAGCTCTAGTTCTGATATTCTGGTCTTCAACATCTGAACTTCCTTATCATTTGCATTGCTGAGATTATTATTGTTGTTATTGTTATTATTGTTGCTGTTATTGTTGCTGTTATTGTTGTTGGTATTAATATTGTTATTGTTAATATTACTGTTATTATTATTGTTGAAATTGTTGTTGTTATTATTATTATTATTGATGTTAGAATTAATATTGTTATTATTATTATTATTAACAGGCGTGAGATTACTAGCAGGATTCATTGGAGAATTGACTGTTGAGTTCGAATTTGACCTATTTAAATCTAGTGATACAATCGACATATTCGTGCCACTTATATTTTGAATTGGTGTTGGCATTTGGCTTCTAGGATTTAAATTAGATGAATTTTGGTTTTGATTTTGATTTTGATTTGGGATGTTTCCATAAGTTGGATTACCACCGACACTTAGACTGTTCAGTGTATTTATACTTGAACTTAGGGTCTTATTTGAATTGAGGTTTGGATTAGTGGTATTATTAATATTATTAATGTTATTCACATTTGTTGGGTTCCAAACCTGAGGTGAATATTGACTATTTTTTAAAGTACTGACAGCTGGTTGTTGTGACTGGTTATTTGGTTCATTTACAAGATTATTACCATTGGAGTTATAAGCTAGATAGCTTCCAGAAGCTAGGGGTGAATGCAGAGTTGTCTGTTGAGATTGCAGCTGTGATTGAGAGTGTATAATTGATTGTTTGTACTCTCCTTGTAATGGTGATGGTAGTCTTGCTCCATTGGGGTTGGATGGGCTATTTATAGTGTTTTTATTGTTATTAGTTGCAGTGTTACTGTTTATGTTACTATTATTACTTATGTTATTGTTACTATTATTATTTGTAGCGCTGTTGTTGTTATTGTTGTTGTAATTTAATATAGGAGGCAAATTAGTGGATAACGGTTTAATTTGCTGATGATTTAATGAAAAGTTATCGGGTGGAACACTGCTGTGATTTTGATTTCTTAGCAAGTATTGTGGACCAAATGTGGGAGAGGATATTGAGGCAATATTAGGATTAGTTGCAGCAGCTACTAAAGCAGGCAATTTTACGTTATTGTTATTGTTATTGTTATTGTTGTTATTATTAGGAGGAGGGTTGTTGTTATTGTTGTTATTGTTGTTGTTGTTGTTTGAATGAGTAGAGTTGTTATTATCGGTGTGGTTGAGAAAAGAAGGATATTCGTTTGAATTGGAGTTCATTGTAGGATTGGTGTTGTTATTGGATTTGCTGTAAGTATTGTTTGTGTTGTGTGTGGGATTTGAGTTTGGAAGATGGATAAGGCCATTTAAAGCTGAGGAAACAGTTGATGGTCGAAAAGGAGGTGTTGAAAATTGGTGCAGAGGATCATTCAAGGCAGAAGAGGGCGAGAAGGGTTTTGCTCTTATGTTTGAGGTGTTGGAGCTGGTGTTGGGAGGGTTTAAGGTGGAGGGAGATGAGGTTGAGGTAAGTAGGAATTGGAGACTTGAGGTGTGTTGCTGTTGTTGGTGGTAGTTGGCCATGGATTCAAGAACACCAGCAGCACTATGGACCTGAGCAGTGCTGTTGTTCATTGGTATTTTGGGGTTTGTGGAGAGAAGTAAAGGAGAGGTGATTACTTGTAAACCAGGAGCAAAGTGGGTTGGGGTGGAGGAGGGATACTGTAGGGGCTTTGGTAGGTTGTGGTTTGGGAAAATGGAAGATTGGCCCCAGGGGTTGGGAGTCTGGGAGAGCTGGTTAAGTTTTGATAAATTTTTGTTGGTAATGTTGGTGATGGAGTGGAAATTGTTGTTGTTGCTATTGTTGTTATTATTGTTGTTGTTCAAGTGGGAGAGAGTATTTATATCTTCTCTGGGTCTGAGAGGAATTAAACCGGGAGAATTTGTCACGGATGTGATTGGAGATGAAGAATTTTTATTTGAGGTTGAGATGGAGGCAGAAGAAGAGCTAGAGAGAACAAAGGGGGAGGTGGTTGTGTTTAGTTGGGAGGTGATGAGATTAGGGTTGGCAGTGTTGGAATGATGATCTTTTGGTTTTGATTTTCTGAATTTTTTTTTTATGGCAGTTGAGGAGTCTAGCTTGGGTTCCAATTTGGGAGTATTTGGCAGCTTTGAGTTTTTGTTATTGTTATTGTTATTGTTATTGTTATTGTTATTGTTATTGTTATTGTTATTGTTATTGTTATTGTTATTGTGATTGTGATTGTGATTGTTGTTGTGATTGTTGGTGTTGATGTTGTTAATGCTGTTGTTTTGTATATTTATTGAGGAGTTTGAATTGGATGGAGAATTGTTTGAGTTGGAAGAGGAAGAGGAGGTGGTGGAAGAGTTGTTTGAGTTTGGGGGATGTTTAACCCTGTTTCTTGACTTGATTATATCAGTTTTAAGCGAGATGGGTCTTGCTCTTCCATGTAGTTTCAAGAATAAACCACAGGCGTTGCAGAGGACCTGGCCAGTTTCGTCTCTTCTCCATAGGGGAGTAGTCTGAGTTTTGCAGTTACGACAAGTGGGGGTTGTTATGTTAGTTTTTGTTGTTGTTGTGCCATTGTTTGATGTTTTTGAGGTTGTTTTAGCATTTGGGTGAACAGGAATTAGATCGTTGTTTAATAATGATGATGATGAGGAGGATGATGAAGATGATGAGGAAGAGGAAGAGGAAGAGGAAGGGTGGTTGTTAATCAAGTTGTTTATGTTATTTGAATCTTTTGAGTCTTTTGAGTCTTTTGAGTCTTTTGAGTCTTTTGAGTCTTTTGAGTCTTTTTGAATTTTTAGATCTTTTAGATCTTTCAAGTCCTTTTTATCATTTTTGTCTTTTTGATCTTTTTGATCCTTTAAATCCTTTAAATCCTTTAAATCTTTTAAATCTTTTAAATCCTTTAGTTCTTTTAGTTCTTTTTGTTCTTTATTGAGAGGATTAAGGTTATTCAAGTGATTTAGGGTATTTGAGTTTGATAGGGCAGATAGTTTGGATAGATGAGGGAGATGAGATAGATTTGATAAATTGCTGATTGGAGAATGAATGGATAGTGGGGATTTGTTTGAAATAGGATGTTTAGATATATTGTTGGTAAGGAGAGTATTATTTATGTTGAAATTATTAGGTTTGTTGGTGTTGTTAATGTTAATAGTGTTATTATTGTTAATAGTATTATTAGTGTTATTAGTGTTAACAGATTTATTGGAAGAAATAGAATTAGAAGTTGTAGAGGTAGAAATGGGAGTATTAGGTTTAAGAGAAGTAGGTGTGGAAGTAGTGGAAGTAGTGGAAGTAGAAGAAGTAGAAGAAGTAGAAGTGGAGGTGGAAATGGAAGAAGTGGATGAGGATGAAGGTGGAGGAATAATCTGGGAAGATTGAGTTGATATTTCATTCATTTTGAAATTATTATTTTCGCTTTATAATAATAATAATAAAAATAATAATAATAATAATAATGAAAATATAATATAATATAATATATTATATTATATTATATTATGTTATAAATGGATATAAAATAATAAAAGTATAAAAAAGTATAATGATATAATATGATATAATATGATATAATATGATATAATAATAATGATAATAATAATAATAATAATAATGATAATAATAATAATAATAATATAATTGTAAAATCAGAAAATAGTGAAATAATATAACAATCTAAGATAAGTCGAGATAAAGCGATTATCAGATATGAACTTGTTTGCAAAGTATCCAAGGGGAGATAAAGAAGCTCTTTCTTTTTCAGTTTATCTGCAAATTAAGTTGGATATATAGCTGGGACAGATAAGTGGAATAGCAAAGGAAACAAACAAGAGATGGAAGAAGCTCATTAACTGAACTAACAGAAGACAACAAAAGAGTGCAACAAAATGGAAATCGAAAATTTAATGAGAAAATCCAATTGAAAATTTTTTGATTTGATAGAACTGATAAATAAAAATCAAACGAAGGAAAGAAAAAAAAGAGAAACTACAAAAAAAACTAAAAAAAGACTAAAAAATTTTCACCAAAGATAAAAGATAATGATATGGTATTAGAAGTTAATCTTAAATTCAAACTGCGTCTTTCTCGCAGCAGCCTGGAAGTCCTGAGACGACCTGTGGTCTTTGCAACAGGCGCAAGCAGAGAAGAGGAAGGGAGAACAGAGAACGGAGAAGCAGAGGGCTTCTCCTTCTGCCTCTTGTGCTTCTTCTTTTTCTTCTTTTTCTTCTTCTGCTGCTTCCTCTTCCTCTTCCTCTGTTGTTCGCATGTTCGCCAACACGCGCCCCCATACAAACCACCACGAACCAATCACAGAGCGCGCACAGCGAACAGCCTAATCTTATCTCTGGCTGGAAAGCTGCTGTTGCTGTTGCTGCTGCTGCTCGAGCTGGCTCTGCCGGCTTTGGTGGCCCACAATGAGGCTCCTGCTGCTGCTACTGCTCCAATTGCCTCGCTGCTGCTGCCAGACCACTACCAACCCAGCTTCTACCTCCACTCTCCAGCAGCCATCTTGAAGCATACCTTCTTCTGCTGGGGCTCGCTGGCCAATCACAGCGCCCCGTCGCTATCATTCCCTATAGGAAAACACTATTAGCGATTTTCAAGCACCAAGGTCACTCCTCCAGCTGCCAGACTCCTTTCCTATTTCACTGTTTCACTCATGTATTACCTTATGTTCTGCGATTGCACTACTCCAGAATTTTCCCCTTCCACTGCGCTTGCTTTGTTCTTTTCGGCCCACCCAGCTTTATCACCCTGAGCTCTTCAACACCTTTTCGCTCCTCCTTTTGGACACGGGTTTTGAACAAATATCCATCCAACAGAAAACGATTCTTCGGCGCACACCGGCGCAGCGGTACACACAGGACGCAGTAGAGCGCTCTTGGGTGCAGTGTATTCCGAGGATGCTCTCGGTCCAAACCCCCAGTGCGTCAACCTCTGTGTGCCTCCGCGACAGACCCTCCTCCCGACCTCTCTCAATGAAAAAGCTGATATTAAATTCCCAAATTTTCATTGGCTGTGACTTTTCACTTCACCAACAGAATTATCATCATCTCCTTTGGATTCAGCTTTTTGCTTTCGCTGATTCACAATAGTCTTGTATTATTTATACTGCTTTACCTGTCTCTGTTTCCCAACGCTTCCTAACGAAAATTTCAAAGAGCTTCAGTCCACATTCTTCCCTTGTCTTTGTTTTTCCTTTCTTTGGTTCCTGGCACTCGTAGTCCCACCACTTGTATTTCCTAATTACCAATATTCCCTTATTTCTTATAATATTATCTCCATCTCTGCTGATTTATCCTAATAAATAAATAAATAAATAAATAAACTTATCCACTTTTCAATCTTCCACTTGACTTAAATATCGAATTCCTCAATCACAATCTCACAAAAATGATCTCTCGTTCAAACTGCCTTAATGCTTTCCGTACTGCTTCTCGCTACTACTCAACCTCCATCATAAAGCCAAAATACACCTCCTTACCAAGTGGTTTAACAATCGCTACTCAATCTGATCCAAATGCAAAATCCTCTGCAATTGGTCTATACTTCGGTACTGGTTCCAAATACGAAAACCCCTACAACAATGGGGTCTCCTCTCTCATCGGCAACTACTTTGTCAACTTGAACCAAAACGACGCTGCAAAGTTCGGTTCCATATTGTCCTTTGAAAACTCAAGAGAATCAACTGGTATCATATCTCAATCAATCAACCCAGAGCAATCCCTATCCCAACTAGCCTCCTTTTTCAACTCTCCAGACTTCGACTCCTCTCTAGTCCAATCCCAAGCCAAACTAGCCTCCAAAAATGCTGAAATATTCGAATCAAATTACCCCAAAATGGTCCTCGAACACTTGCACTCTGTTGCCTTTCAAAACTCATCCTTAGCTCTACCAGTCAACGGTACCTCCGACACTTTATCAACTTTGCAATCCTCTGACTTGGAAAAATTCTTTAAGAAAAACTACTTTGCAAGCAATGCTGTCGTTGTGGGTGCCGGCAACATTGCCCATGAAACTCTCGTCGAATTAGCTGAAAAACACTTCTCCCTCAAAGAAGGCTTGCCTGAACAACCAAAGCCTGCTTCCTTCTTGGGTTCCGAAGTTAGAATGAGAGACGACACTCTTCCAAAGGCCTACATTGCCATTGCTGCTGAAGGTCCTGCAATCGATTCTCCAGATTACTACACTGCTCTAGTCGCTTCTTCGGTTTTCGGCTCATACCTCTACTCTGAACCCTTCTATCACAATTCAGGTGTCAAATTGGCTTCCATCTTAACCGAATACCACGTAGCTGACTCATACGACCACTTCTCTTTATCCTACAAAGATTCTGGTCTATGGGGTTTTGTCACTGAAACTGCAAACATTGGAAATATCGACGATTTGATCCACTTTACTCTCAAAGAATGGAACAGATTGTCCATCTCTCTCACTGAAACTGAAGTCGAAAGAGCAAAGGCCCACCTATCAACAAAACTATTCAACCAATTCAACTCCCCAAAGAACACTGCTTCAATCATTGGTAAGGATATCGCTTCTGGCGGTAGAACTGCCACAACTGCCCAGATTCAACACAACATCGACGCTGTATCTTTATCCAAAATCAAAAACTGGGCTCAAGATGCCTTGTATGATAAAGATATCGCCATCTCTGGTACTGGTCAAATTGAAGCTTTGCTCGAATACTCTCGTATTCGTGCTGATATGTCTATGATGCGTTGGTAAGAAATTTCAATGAACAAATAACTAATCATTATTTCTTGTTTCTTTACCAATCATTACCAATCTTTATATATATACATATACACTTACTTACTTTTAATAAAAAGGAAACCCTATTCTCCATTTCTTGTTTTTAAAATATATATTTGCTTTGTACTTTTTTTTTCATTCGAAATCACCTAATAAAACAATATATCATGGATTTTATTACAAATCGAAATTTGAAAATGAAATTTAGATTTCTTTTATTATTATTATTATTATTATTGTTATTATCTTTTTTGATTCTTTCGCTCTTTCTTGGAATCTATTTAGTTCTTATTACACATATATACAAGAAAATTAATGAGAATTAATAACCTAGAAATAAAAGATCAACCATCTGACTGTCTTTTAATCAAATTCATTCTTTAGATACCTTAGCTAAAATTTCCGAATCTCTGAAAAGCAAAAACTCTTCTTCACCAACTTTAATACTTTGTCCACCGAATCCTGGAATCAAAACTTCTTCGCCTTGTTTAACAGAAGTTGGAATCAAATCACCATTGTTATTAACATATCCTGGTCCAGTTGCAATAACCTTAGCTTGCATCAACTTTTCCTTTTCAGTCCCTGGTAAGTAAATACCGGATGCTGTTCTAGCTTCTTGTTTCAACCTTTGCACTAAAACTCGGTCAAATAATGGTTTCAATGCAGAAACTGATTTCAAGAGTGTTGACTAATAAAAAAAAAAATCAAATCAAATCATTCAACAGTTAGTAAACAAGGAGCTTTATTTAATCATTTCAGGCTTTTTACTCTACTATTTTGGTCCCAAGTATACAATTACAACATACCATTTTTGTGATGTGGAAAGATGAATAAAATAAAGAAATAAGAAATGAGAAATGTAAATAGTACGTCGAAAGATAGTGGTACTCAAGCTTGAAGAGTCTGGAAAAGGATTTAAAAACAGTTTATATGAAAAATTTCACTCTCAACTTCCCATCTTCTTTTCCTCAGCTTTTACTCAGCTTTTACTCAGCGGTTTTGCACGAGCCAATGGAAACTTCTAGAGCCTCCGCCGGATCTGGCGGGTGGCTTTCCGGATACGGAGGTACGGTTGTATCTTGGATATTATTTGCGGAAACATAATTATATTTAACGGAAATCAGCGGATGTAAATGAGATTTCTTTAAACTTACATATATTTTTTTTTATAATTGCAATAGATTTGTATATCAATTAAACCAGCTCATTGAGAAATAAAACAAGTGAAAACAAAAGAAAAGTAATTATTTATAATCGTGAATCTAAACCGAGGTCTAATTTTTTTGAAACTAATTTATTGCAGTAATCAGTATACTTCATCAAAGCCCTTGGTGCATTGAATAAAATCTCGCCTTCACCAGTACAAGTGATAACACTTTTATTACCAAAAGTAACAGACATATGGGCTCCGGGTAGGGTTATGAAACTTTTTGGTAAGTTTTGAGCATTAAACTCAGAAAAGATGACATTTGAGATGTTGTCGCCAGAAATTCCTCCACAATGCATTGCACCTCCAGCACTTTTAACAAAATCCAAATCTGTGATATCACCAGCTGCAAAGATCTTATCTTCAAAGCCCTTAATAGAGCAATCATTGTTGATTCTAACTTGATCAAATTGGTTCAATGAGCCTAAAAATGGCGAGTTCTCAAATTTAAGATAATCAATATTATTTTTATGAGAATTGCACCAATAAACTAAATCAGCTTTTATTTCTTTATGCTCTGGATTATTGGTAATCAAAGTTATTAATCCATCATTTTTATTATTGCCCTTTTTGATCTCATCCAATACTCTTGTATTCAAAAGAGTATTTTCTTTTCCAATAACGTTTTGCAAGATCTCAGTGGATTTTTCAGCAAATTCCTTGGGTAATTTTGGCTCTTTTAAAATATTTGCATGTGGATGGATTAGTTTAACAGATTTATCGGGGTAATGTTGTTTTATCTCCCCTGCTACTTCGACACCCAATGCACCACCGCCGATTACAACCACTGAATTAGCAGATTTGATTTTTTTAAGGGATTGTCCCATCTCATCAACAAATTGCAGCCTAGTCAAGCCCTTGGGATCCAATGGCCAGTTTCTCGTCCTGCCAGTTGATACCGAACAATAGTCAAAATTTAAAACCTGATTGGAACTCGTTATAGCATGATCGGAATACAATCGATGGCAGCGGTCCTTTATGTGATTGATCTTAATAATAATACTATCTGATATGTTTAGAGTATTATTGATTGGCAAGTTTAAAGTTTTTTGATTATACTCAAAATAAGACTCATTTGCATGCTTTAGATCAAGTAAAGCTAGTGGAATACCCAAAATATTGATAAACCCATTTCTTGGTTCTAAAACGGTGATATCTAGATTCAATTTGAGAATATTTTTATTTGACAAGGCACTTGAATAAGCTGTTTGGTTTTTGGTAATGTTATTGATAATTGATTTAAGTGCTGAAAGACCGCCAAAAGCACCACCAACGATCAAGATATTTTTTGAAACTATACCAGTTGTCATTTTTTCGGAGTATTAAACTGGACAGTAAATATGAAAGCAATGATATTTATCTCACCTGGAGAAGAATAAGATTACAGGCCTGAAATTTTCATGAATAAACCCATAGCAATTTATATTCAAAACTAAAGTCATAATGATTTAGAATAATCATACATGGAGAAAGAATATAATTGAAGTTAGGGGTGGAATTAAACCTATTTGAGCCATCGAAAGGAGGAATAAGCCCTTCGTTGGAGTTAAGCAAAACAGCTTGATTCTGACAGCATTATTAAGGAAAGAGTTATAATTTGTAATGTGAAGATTCATTTATAATTGTTAGCTGTGAAATACAACAAAACTCTACACATCAAATCCACGGCTGTTTCTTAAAATGGCCGACAAACCGCCGCCTAGTGTTTTACAGCCGGAAGTAGCCTCAAACAGAACTATCTCCGTCAGTCAAGAAAAAAAATCCGCGCGGAGATAATCAACATTGGGAAAGCGTCATTTCGATAATTGTCCTTTCCTAATTTGCCTTGATTTGTCTTACTATTTTACTTTACTAATTTACTTTATTACTGTTTACTTTATTGCTGTTTAATGTACTTCAATTTGACTACTGTTATTGTCTGAGCACTGCTTGAGAAAAGCGTAATATTAGTTATATCCATAAAGTAGTGAAAAGTAGTGAAAAGTAGTGAAAAGTAGGGACAAGTATTGTATATATAGAATATGAATTGAGGTTCTATCTGGTTTATTTGGCAGCTTTTGGAGTGACGACAATGTTGTCCAACAATTCTCTTTCCGCAGCTTCAGCTTCAGCTTCCAAAATATATGGAGTTAAGTAAGGAATATCATCCTCTGCCTTTAATTGCTTGCTAGCTGGCAATAGATGATGTGTGAAAGAACATTGATGAGCAGTTAACATTCTGAAATTTCTAGCATAACTCTCTGATGGTGGTAATCTTCTAATTGCAGTTTGCATAACATCTGATTCTTCAGCAATTAAATCATCGAATCTAAGACCCATTTGACGGTATCCTGCGTATTCACAGAATAGTTTGCCTAGTGGAACAAAAGCTTTGGCTAAAACTGGAGTCTTTAATATAAAATCAGTAACTTTTACAACAGATGTTAAAGTGGCCATTTTGAAAAAAAAAAAGTATGATTTTGGAAGTACGAGACTGTGGTTGAAATAAATTATCCAAAATATTGATTGTAGATGAATATATGAATTCAAAATCTGATATACTTTCAGCTCTTCTCTGTAACTGTTTCTACTGTTCTCTAATATTCTGCAAGAAATCGACTGTATTGGTTTTTCAGCTGATTTGATTGGTCTAAATAATGTATAAGGGCGGGTAACTACATTTTAAATTTCTATACATGTTTGGTTATAATAACGTAAGCAATGCTGACTTTATATAATATTCAACATGTAATATGATGCTTAGGTAATCTTTACTTTACTCTTATCATTTAGATTTTCTACCAAATTCAAACAGTGTTAAATCTTCTTAATGGCTCATTTATTTATATGAAGTCTGGCAACATACTTTATTCTAAAACAGTTTATATTAAATTTCAGTAGCTCAAGTAAACTCAATTTTCCATTTTCTTTAAACACAAACTTGTTATTGGCATATGAAAATCTAATCTTTAATATTTCTTTCTTTCCTTTGTCTTCAACAGTTTCCAAAAGCGTCCTTGTTGGTAATTTAAAATCTTGAAACTTCAAATGTTCTTCTAATTTGAATAATTTATCCAGCTTGATGACAGAAGAAAAAAATGTGTAAAACTATAGTCATTCAAAATTGAATATAAGTTGGATAAATCATTATAATTACGATGTTTGTATTTATCTCTAATACCTTTGACCAAATTTTCATAGATATCTAAAATTGTTTTGAATTGAGTTTCAAGATACCTGGAGTCTTTGGAATTCAATATGGTGTTTTGAGCCTCAATAATATCATCTTGGATTTTTGAAAATGCAGATTCAGATCCAAATTGATTTTTAGTTGCAGTCATGAATGGACGAAATCTGTTATATGTGAAATTATTTGTTTTGAGTTTGGCCCAAACACAACGAAATGAATTAGAATTTTCTTTGAGGTTATAGTACGTTGAATTAAGTTCCAATATATCAAATAAATCTTGTGTTTTAATGGGTTTGGTTGTTATTTTTTTGATATCGACTTTTAATTCGGTGAGAGATTTGTATCTAATTATATGACAAGTCTAAAATTTTTAAATTCAATAATTCATTTAAATTTTTAGTACATCTGCCAATGTAGTTATGTCCCAAATAAAGCACTTTCAATTTTTTTTCAGTTTTGGAAGCAAACAACCATCAATATTTTTAAAGTGATTTGAAGAAAGATCCAAATACTTAATTGTTTTAAAAAGGTTTATATTTTTTAAACTGGAAAAACGATTTTCTGTCCATTTGAGTCTTGTTAGGGTTAATTGATTTCTAATTTCAAATTACAATATCGTTTCAATTCTATCAATTCAACTGCAATGGATATATTTTTTGCAAATCGAAAGATTGTAATTATATTTCTATCTAATTATAAATCGTGGTTATTTAGCTACAAAACTGGAAACATCTTCTTATGTAAGCACACTGATACTTGTATTGACATGCATCAGATCAAACCAATAAATAATGCTCTTTATCCTTATTTCTTCTTTGATAGCAACTTTTTTATTTTAGTGAGCATAACTGTTTTAAAAGATCTTCTACAGGATTGGCAATGCTAATTTATTATGTGAAATGTATATTATATATGTACTACTATAACAAATTAAAAACCAAATAATAACGATCTTTGTAAACTTTGTAAACATGTAACTGAAAACTTGACGAATATCAAGACTAACTGACTATTAAACAATGTCGCCAATGATTTTACTGGCTTCCCTATATGTTTGCAACAATTTGACACATTTTTCTCTTTCTTGAGCAAGATTTTCGTCTTCGTGAAGTAGCTCGTCGAATAAATTTTCTTTATACAACTTGCTAACTAACCTATTTTGAACACTTTCTTTGCAATAATTAACCAATAAAAACATAATTGCCTTGGGAACTTGGTCTTCAATCATTTGTCTAACTATATTAAAATATGATATAATTAGCCTTCTGATTAATTCGCATTCTAACTGTTCTCTGTCAGTTATATCCGAAATACTAGTTTGATCACTGGTACTTTTCAATTTCAAATCATCCAATGCCTGAGGTAACAATTCCCCATTACTTATCAGAATTAAACCATCTCTAGAATTATATTGCATAAGATTTGAGGATATGGATTTATTACTAGAATTTCCATAACTACTAACATATCCACTGTTAAAATTAACATTTTCATTATTGGAATTTCCATAATTAATACTAGAATTTCTTCTGCCACCTCTATTGCTATTACCGTTATTATTGATGATATCTTTATCACTTTTGCCTCCAAAAAAGTAATTTAAAAATGAATCCTTTGAATCATTTCTAGAATTTTCTTCATTGAAACTGTCAAATGAATCTCCACTTGCAATTCTGCTATGCCCTTTTCTTAATTTATTATCCTTTATATTCATTATTTTTTTGCTAGGATTATTCACGTTTCCATTAATTAATACATTATTATTCCCGCTTCCATTATTGTTGGATCCATTGTTGGATAAGTTATTAAGATTATGGTTGGAAGAATTTGTGTTTTTATTGGTATTACTAGCATTGATATTATTATCATTATTTTTCAAGTTTCCATTAATTTCTTTGCCATTATTTTGGTCACTATTTTTATCATTTTCATTACTGACATCATGACTCTCAATTGATTTTCTGGGCTTTCCTCCATCTTTTTCATTTCTTCTTCTATATTGTTCTTTAAGTTTCCTTTCTTCAACGACTTCTGTCATTGCTGCTGCTGCACCGATAAAATTTGGATGATTAGTATTGATATATGCTCTATGAATATTAATTAAACTTTCGACATAAGAGGCAGTTGGGCCTAGTCTCTCTCTCAATAGATCTGAAACGACTTCAATTAATTTTGTTTGAAATTTTGGATATCTTGCTAATTCTGGGATATTTGAGCCACAGCTATGAACAATTTTCATTAATTCTTCATAAACAAGTTCAACGCATTTATGAGATGGGGATTCTAATAGTTTAATTTGAGGTTTAACTAACAAGTCAAATGCCAATTCTGGTACAAATAACGATGGTCTTGGACCTGTTGAATTTCTTATAGCAATTCTAATATCAACTGTTGATAAGTTTGCAGTGGGATTGATTGCCTTTAATACTTTTCCAAATACATTGTTGTATATATAGTAAATTCTGGCACCGCCACATAATTCTTTTGTTGAAATGTCAAAAGTATTATTACCATCAATCGACGAAATAAAGCTTGTTGCGAATTTTGTCATCAAGGACAAGATTAAATTTTCTCTATTTTCCTTTGAATATAGGTTTGAATCACCATAGCTTAGTAGCTCCTGTTCAGTTTGGCCCATAAGAGTATTCAATTTGGCTTTTATGTCAGGTAATCTTTCTCTAATGTGGTTCATTAATATATGATTAAGAGTCTTTGATAAAAATTTAGTACCGCATTTATTGTGAATATTTTTGTAAACAGGGTGGGATAAGAAAAAATCATCTTCATCTCTTAGGGAGTCTTCTAGGGATTTATTTTGCATAATATCCTGTTGAGATCTATTGACCACGCCAATAAACCCTAGTTTCAATGGGTAAACCCTACCAGATAAGATGTCTAAAGCATTTGTACCATGATCCATTAGATCTAGTTTTGATAATACACCGATAGTTCTCTTTCCCAGAGGATCGACTTGTCTTGCTAATTTCAAGGCTTCGGAATTGACTAAATCGACATTAGCTGGAGAAACAGCCAAAATAATCGAGTTTGGTTTTGATATGTATTCCAAAATCAAGTTTCTAATTTGTTTTTCAATATCGGTTGGCTGGTCGCCAATAGGAACTTTTGTTATTCCAGGTAAATCAACTAGAGTTAAATTTAAAACATTTGGAGAATAGATCTTTAGATTGATTGGAATTCTGTTAATGCCTTTATTTTTACCGGCAATTCTCGATGTTTCATTTTCAATTTCTAGTTTAATATCCTCAAAGTTATAAAATCTTTTTCCAGGCAAATGTAAAAACTCACCCCACTCATTTGGTAGAGTAAACTTGTTTACTAAGGGTTGATTGTTATTGTTATTGTTGATGTTTGGATTATTGTTGAGAGTTTGATTGCTGGCATATTGTCTTAGATGTTGATCCAAAGTCATGCTGTTAGCCATGTTAATGTTGTTGATGTTGTTGGTAGCGTTTGGATTGTTTATAGAAGCTAAAGAATTTTTGGAGACATCCCCAGTATTTTTGAAAATTAATGGAGAATCTTCAGAAATGTTGACTAGTTGTAAGATCAAAGGCCTTCTGGTAACGATTCCTGTGCCTCTTGGTAGGAAATCTTTACCCACAACGTTTTCTAAAACCGAAGATTTACCAGAGGATTGAGAGCCAATAACAGAAATCTGGGGCAAGTCTAGAGAGTCGTTGCCTATGGTGTTATAAACTAGGTCTTGCAATTTGTTTATAACATCTAGTATCCTTGAATCAAAGCCAGACATTGTTTAACACGAGAGTAACTGCAACTAGATGGAAATGGTGAAAGAGCGTAAAAATGAACAAAGTTGGTCCAGATTGATCTGATCTGATCTAGCTTGAGACCAAAAGACAAGTTCTGGTGTTTACTGTTGATGCTCCTTTAGAGAATAAGCTGTGCAGAGGCAAAGAGAGTTGTGGAAGCACACCAAACACGAAACAGAACAGGCAGCAAATGGCAAGCAGCAGAAGCAGCAAAACACAGCAAACAGAGAAGAAACAAGGAAGCAGCAGAAGCAGCAGAAGCAGCAACGTCGTCACAGCAAAGCAGTTGGTTTCTGAGGAGTTGGTTTTTGTTTCTGATTTGCGAAAACCGCAAATTTTGCTCGGCGGCCGCGCCATGGGAGTGGGTTTGAGCTGCTTTTGCTGCTTTGTCGCCTCCGGGGCCTACAGTTGGTGGTTGCAAACAGAAGAAACATCTTATTGAACAGTACAGAGAAAAGCTAGAGACTGGATTTACACACAAGGGAAAGGCACAGCTTTCGCTACGTTCGTTTCATGTCGTATTTTGTATTTTGTATTTTTTTTCGGGTTTTGTGGTGTTTTGAGGTTTAGTGCACAAACACACTTAACTAAAGAATATTGAAGTCCAAATGCTGAACGAGATTGTGAAAATTATCAAAAACGATCCAAAGTAGATCAATCCCTCAACTGGTCTGGCGGTGATGGTGCCCTTTGGATCTTCGTATACATCCAAGATGTACTGATTGGCACTGGCCAAGTAGATTTTGGAGTAAATGTACGCTTGGTTGTACTTCTCTTTAATGCTTTCGATAATTTGATTCTTGTCAAAGCTGCTTATTATATCAAGAATTTTACTGCCTTCTTCTTCATCGTCGTCGTCCTCAAAAGTTGGTGGTTTAGATGGACTCTTTGGTGCCTTTGGTGCATTGGCTGACGATTCTTGTTCTTCGATATCTAATTTGGGAACGAATGTGGTATTGCCAACGAATTCAGCTTCTCTGATTGAATGTCCAAGGTAAATGTTGTCAAACAAAATATCATTATCCATAGTCCATAATTCAAAACCAATACCTCCAATCTCTTCAAGATCGGCAGGTTTGGAATCTTCGTAATAATCGGGATTGGGGATCTTTCTTGGTTTCCACTCGCCTTGATAGTTGACGTTGGTAATTAATGGTTGTCTCCATTTGCCTTTGTATTCAGGGTTGGGGATTTGTGGTGCTTCCCATTTACCACATCCATGTTTTTGACAAACTGGATTGGGGATTTCGGGAGCAATCCATTCTCCATCTTCCTCTTCATCCCAATCTTCTGGAACTTTGGCATCTGGATCAGTGATATGGTTAGGAGCATCTTCGTCCCAATTTTTGGGTTTTTTAGCCTTTGGATCGGGAATTAATTTAGGCTGAGTTTCATCCCAATCCTCTGGTTTTTCGGTTTGGTCTGGATCTGGAATTTCTTCTTCATCATCCCAATCCTCTGGTTTGACATCATTCACATCGTCAATTTCCTTTTCTGGATTCAATTTGGGTGAGAATGTATTTTCATCAGTCAATGATCCGGCTTTAGCAACATCACCATTAATTCTAATTTCATAATTTTGATTTTCATCAAGAATCAATGTATATAGCGTGGAGACCTTGACATTTCTAATCATTGGAGGAGTTTTGAGATGCTTTTCTTCATACTCTCCGGTGACTGGATCTTTTCTTTTGATAATCAAATGCACCTTATTGGTTGTTCCACATTTATCTGGACCAAACATAACTTGGTATGGTGTCTCATTTGAAAAATGATTTTCTTTCAATTCTTGCGAATTTGATAATAATTTGATATAAGCGCCACCACAAGATAACCCTTTTTGCAATTTCACCTCATATTGAAGCACTAGTGTATTGTCTTTGTTATTAAATGGTTTGTCGAAAATGGTAGAAATAGCATGGTGGGCAGCAGGAGATTTGACCACCAACCCTTTATCATTTTTAAATCCAGCATAGATTGATGGTTCCTCCACGTCCCATTTCCCAACATAAGTAAACTCTCCATCTCTTCTAGCGTGGGATACGGTCCAACGTTTCTTCCACTCTTTATCTTGAAATGTCTCTAAAAATGAGTCCTCAGAAAGACCAAAGTCAATTGGGGTATACTCTGGATGAACTATTTGAATTGATGCCTCTCCATCCTCGCCAAACTTCTCTTCAATCTCAACCGATGCGAGCGACTTGGAAAACAAGAACAATTGAGCATATAGCAATGCTTGGAGAACAAAATTATTAGTAAACTTCATTGCCAACGTAAGATCCAATTTCAATTAAACAACACAATCAAGCACCTCTTTGGCAATAAACGCTGTGATCTGATCTCTGCTCTTCTTCAGAATCGTAGCCTGATGGCAGTGCTTTTATACCCCGACGGGCCTAAATTACCACGTAGACGTTAAGACGCCCGTCTGTGCGGAACCTAGTGTGTATGCGCTGAAAGATGCATATAGTACATATTGTGCATGGCTACAATTTTTTTTATTTTGAATTTTTTTATTTTTTGATGCTGAAAAATTTTCCAGATTTTATTTGATCAAAGAAGCATTTTGTGGACTCAAGTCTGTCTTTATTGCAAATCAGAACAATCTGGATATCATTCTCGACATGGCTCCTGATATTCAAAGAAAGAGAAAGTTTTCGGTCTCTGAAGCTTCAAGGCCAGATCAAAAACAGATCTCTCAATTACTGTCAAAGCAGGCTGATATTTCATTTCCTAGAGGTGGTGCTTCAATATTAACTCCATTGGAGGTCAAAGAAATTGCCAATGAAGCTGCTAGGGATGTCTTGTTTGAAACAAATGAGGCCAAAGCTACCGAACCCTTGAAAAAAAAATCTAAAAACACTAAATTTAAAAATAAAAATACTGCTGAAAACAAAAAACATTCTATTTCTGATAAGGATATTGAGGAATCAGAACATATATCTATCGACGAAATCTCCAAAAACATATTAAAAGTTGGCTCAATGGTTCTAGGTCAAGTTAGACAAGTCAACGAATTCAATGTCATACTATCTTTACCAAGTGGAAGAACCGGTTTCGTCTCAATAACTGATATATCAGACGAAATCACTGATAGAGTTGTGGAATATGAAAACTCAAAAGCACCTATAGATTCTAATTCTAACGACTCGGAATCAGAATCAGAATCAGAATCAGATGCTGAAAGTGAGAACGAAGATGAAGACACCATTAAAATCAAAAACAATATTACTAAATCTGAACCAAAAGAAAAATTCAAAATTCCTACTATTAAAAATTTAATAAAAGTTGGCCAGTGGTTGAGGGCCATTGTGATTGAGCCAAACCATGATCTTCCTGCACAATATAGAAAAAAGAAAGGATTCAAACAAATTGTATTGTCTCTTGAACCTTCACTAGTAAACCAGTCATTAGATACTGATGACTTGATACCTAATCAAACCATACAAGGAACCATCAAATCCATAGAAGATCACATCATTATTTTCAATGTTTGTGCTTTTAAAGAATATAATTTTTTTCTTCATAAAAGTGATTTACCAAAAGATACAAATTTGACAAATTACAATGTTGGTTCTATGCAACTTTTATCAATTAAATCTGTGGCTAACAAAACTATAAATGTTACTTTAGCAAGTAATTTTTCCAAAAAAAACCAGAATCTAGTTAAAAATATTTCTTCTATAGATAGCGTTGTTCCTGGCAATTTGGTTAATTTAGTTATATCCCAAATAAGCAAAAATGGTATTGCAGGAAAAATATATGGTGTGATTAACTCCTCCATAAACTTGATACATTTGAATTTATTTAACTTTGATCAACTACAAAACAATTTTCAAGTTGGTTCAATTATAAAAGTCAGAGTTTTAGCCAGTTATATTATTAACAATTCAAAAAAGTTGTTTGTGTCTATTTTAGAAAAAATCTTGACATTCAAGGAATCTAGAGCAACAGAACTTTTTCAACTAAAAGGCAAATTCTCTATTGGAAGTGTTATTAATGGTGCTGAGATTGTTGGGGAAGATTCTGAACGCTTTTATTTTAATCTTGGGAGCAACAAAAGAGGTTTTGCTCTTAAAACTGACACCAAAACCAATTCTATCTCGGATGAAAAAGTGGTTGGAACAAAGTGTAACGCTGCAATAATGAGATATGATACATACGAATCAAGATTTCTTTTATCATTAAAAGATGGATACATAACAAGAGAGTATATTTCTCCAAAGGATGTTCCAATTGGAAAAATCTTAACTGTCACCGTTAAAAAAATTCAAAAAACAAACAAGCAAGAATCAATTCGATGCAAAACTGTTGGTAGCAATTTTCCTTGTTATGTTCCACATAATCAAGTAAATGATCTTTATTTTATAAAAGCATCGCAAAAATATAAAGTCGGTGATCAAGTTGAGGCCAGAGTAATTAATTACAATCATGATGCTCGTGAGCTCATTCTTACCTTTAGAGATTCATTTATTAATGCAAATAAGAATGAAATTATAACTTCGTGGAAAAATATAAAAGTTGATAACTCGTACATTGGATATATTTCTCAAATCAAAGAAGACCATGATTATGCTGAAGTGTCTTTTTTTGGAGATGTCAAAGGTGCTTTGTCAAAATATAAAATAAATAAAATCAAATTTAAAAAGATTGAAAATATTTTAACTTTAAATCAAACTATCAAAGTTAATGTTTTATCTGTTAATTTAAAAAAAAAAAATTTAAAATTAGATTATACTTCTAAAGATTCAAATGACAATGAAACTAAAGGTTTGAAAAATTTGATATCGGGTCAAAGTATAATTGAAAATGCAATCATTAAAAAAAAAACATCTAAATCTATTACTGTAAATCTTCCAGATAATGACTCTTTTGCTGTAATAGAATATGTACATTTAAGTGACGAAAAATCATCTCCTCAAAAACTTATGAAAGATCTAAAAATTGGAAAGAATTTGGAGTGTTTGGTTCTCAAGGCTAAGGGTAATGCTTTGTTACTTACTTGCAAAAAAAGTCTCATTGAAAGTGCAAAAAATCATCTGTTACCAAGGTCCTTCTCTGACTTAAAGCTTTCAGACCAACCTTTATATGGATATATTGCTAGTATCACTGATAAGCAATTATTTATTAGATTTGCTGACGATTTAACTGGGTGTATGAAAAAAAAAGACGCTCTTGGTAATCACAAGTCAAAAGTACTTTTAAGAAATATCTACTCTCTTAATGAATCGATAAAGTGTTATGTCTCTAAAATAGAAACCGCAAAAAAACAATTTTTTTTAAAAAAGAACCCTCCTTTCTCGAAAACAATAAATGATAATGCTGATAAAGACTCATCAAAAAAAGTTAATTTAAAATCAAAAATAGAGCCAAATAACCACAAATTTGCCGAGAAACCTATATTCAGACCAAAATATGACCCCAGTCTAACCATCAAAGAAGTAGAAATCGGCAAATTTTATGGTGGAATTGTGAAGTTGGTATCACGGAATTATGTGAATATAAAACTATCTGATACTATCACAGGCAGTTCGTTCATTACTGAAGCTTTAGATGACTATGATTTGAATTTAAGTGATACCTATCAACCTAAGTCAATTGTTACTTGCAAAGTTTTATGTATTGACAGCAATAACAAAAAGTTAACTATATCTCTTCGTGATGATAATAAGAAAACTTCAAAGGATCCATATTATAACTCATTTGAACAGCTCAAAAGGGGCGATGTTGTAAGAGGTTTTATTAAGAATATCGCAGATATTGGTGTATTCATCTATATTGGGCGTAATTTAACAGCTTTAGTTAGAATTACAGATTTGTCTGATGATTTTGTCAAAGATTGGAAAAATGAATTTAAAGTTAATCAGTTGGTCAAAGGAAGAATACTCTCTTCAAATGGTGAAGGCCAAATATTGATGACATTGAAAAAATCTCAAGTTGAAGGCAAACTACTCAAAATATTCAGTGATATTAAAGTAGATGATATTTTTGAGGGAATAATCAAAAATATCGCCGAGTTCGGTATTTTTGTTAACTTGAAAGGAACTAACAATATTAATGGTTTATGTCATAAATCTGAAATATCTGACAGCAAAAACTTGTCAGAATTAAAAGGAATATTTAATGTGGGAGACAAGATCAAAGTAAAAGTTTTGAAAATTGATAATGCGAAAAAAAAGTTATCATTGGGAATGAAAGCTTCCTATTTTATTAACAAATCCATATCTAAAAATGAAGATATTGAAATGGCAGATATTGATATTTCTAAAAGGTCTATTAGAGATAAAGAATTTAAATCGACTGAAGCTGATGAAAATTTCGATTTTGACTCTGAAAGTGATATTGAAATGAAAGATTTTTCTGATGAAGAAGGCGAAAGTGAAAGTGAAAGTGAAAGTGAGAGTGAAGATGAAGATAATGAAACTGATACACATGAAAATGAAGATTTGTTGCAAGGTTTAACATTTAATAGTCTTAGCACCAATGGATTTGATTGGACTGCCAGTATATTAAATCAAGCTGATGACAAAGATCCTTTCTCTGACGATGAAGATTTTATGGACGTTCAAAAAAAGAAAAAGAAAGTAAAGAAAACTCAAACTGAAGATAAAACAGCACAATTAAACTCTAGAACGCCCCAATCTGTTGCTGATTATGAAAGATTATTGATTGGAGACCCAAATTCATCAACTTTATGGGTTGGATATATGGGATTCCAGTTATCGTTGAGTGAGATTGAAAAGGCCCGTGAAATTGGTGAAAGAGCATTGAAAACCATTTTCTATAGAGAAGAAGAGGAAAAAAGAAATATCTGGATAGCGTTGTTAAATCTTGAAAATAGTTTTGGAACTGATGAAACTTTGGATAAATGTTTTAAAAAGTCATGCCAATATATGGATTCTTTGACAATGCACAAGCGATTACTATACATATACAGATCCTCTTCCAAAGTAGAAAAAGCCATAGAGCTTTACAATTCAATGATTAAAAAATTCGGCTCAGGTGTTTCAGTATGGATCGAATATGGAGAATTTTTAGTTGAACAAAACAAAAATGACGAAGCTCGTGAATTATTAGGAAAAGCCTTGGGTGTATTACCAAAGAGAGATCATTTAGACGTTGTTCGTAAGTTTGCTACAATAGAATTTCAAAAGGGAGATCCAGAACAAGGAAGATCACTTTTTGAAGGGTTGATTGCAGATGTGCCCAAAAGATTAGATATATGGAATGGATATATTGATCAAGAAATTAAACAAGATGAAAAGGAAAAAGTCGAGGAGTTGTTTGAAAGACTCATAGTAAGAAAAATGAGCAAAAAACAGGCCAAATTTTTCTTCACAAAGTGGTTGAATTTTGAAGAAACCAAAAAAGATGAAAAAGCAGTTGATTATGTGAAGGCAAAGGCTATTGAACATGTTCAAGGAACAAATTGATTGTATATCTGAAACTTTATACTCTATTTTTTTTTTGCAATTGTTACATACAAAGATAATATAATTAATTTTTTTAATTTGGTTTATTTTCTACTTTTTAAAACTCAGCGTCGATAATTTCTATTATATATTTTCATCGTGTGAATATTATAAAAGAAATATTGTTTGAAATTAACAGGATCTCATGGTGTTTGGGAACTAGATGATTATGATTTTTTGCTGTTGTTATTTGATGCAATAGTAAAAGTAAAAATAGAAAACAACTGCCTTAATTTGCTGCCATCAGACTTCAATATCCAATAACCAAAAAATGATAAACTAATCAAAAACTTTATAAAGGCCTAAAAGCAGCAGAAAAGAGTTTTCTCTACTCAAAAAATTCCAGAAAGCAACAAATACACAAAAATTGGTGTGAAAAAGATAAAACTATTGTTTTATTGGNTCAATCTCATGCATGTCAATGCATGGCATCCGAAGAATTACGCATACTATATATATTTCCAAAAGAAAACCTCACTATTTATATATCGATATTTTGTTCTGTTTTCATAGAAATAAACATGTTCGATGTATCGTCTATAGCCAGCAAGAAATACATCAATATTGAACTTGAGATCTCAAAAAAAGTCACACCAAATATATTATATGGATTACCACCTCACATTCTCAATGCTATTTGACCCAACTCTCCTTTAAACAGAAGTTCTTGTTTATTTCTTCTACTAACTCCATCGCCAAAAGGATATGTTTGAAGCATATATTCAAGAGCATTAAATTGATTTCGACTCCTTTTTATCTTTCTTACCATCGCTCTTCTAACAATTATACCCTTTCCAAGTCTCTATTGAAATTAGACTTTAAAGATGTTCCGATTTTTAAAAACTATTTGAATCAATTCACCAGTAATATATATCTCCTAATAGATTTGCCCAACAAAGCCTTATTAAAAAATCGTGAAAAAATAATTACCATGTTTAGTTCAATGAAAAAGATTCCAATCTTAGTACGAACAAAGTTTTTCTGCGAGTGTTCTGCACCTTACTCTGCACATTACTTAGCATTTAAAGTACGTGATGACTTTTGGAAGTGTATATCATCAATCAAAGACTTGCTACTAATTCAAAAGCACACACTAAAAACAATAATGATTGATTTTGGTTGATTAATTAGTTGGGACACAAACCAAATTTAAAAACATTGAAAATGACATTTAATAGTTTTTTCAATTTTCAAAATTTCAAAATTCCTAAAAATATACAGCATTTGGATTTTTCTTACTATCATATTAACAATATTAAAAATATTAGTTTTTTCAATTTGAGAAATTTAGAATTTCCTAAAGAAATAAAGTGTTTTGATTTTTCTTTTAATAGAATTGGAAATATTAAAGGTGTTTCATTTCCGAAAGAGTTGGTTACTTTAAATTTATCAAATAATTGGATTTCTGAAATTGATAATTTATTCAAATGTAAAAAATTGGAGATCCTTTATTTGCAATTTAATTGTATTAAATCTATATCACAATTGCATTAGAAGTATTGATAACTGTTTTAAGAATTTAGTAAATCTAAAAACATTGATTTTAAAAAAAAAANAAATACCCAGAGAATTTAAATTCGTTAAACTTATCAAATAATGCTATTAAAAGGCTATCAATGATCAAAGAATTAAATAATTGCTCATACATAGACCTAAGATGTAACAAAATAAAAACAAT